CTTACCCTTACCCTTACCCTTACCCTTACCCTTACCCTTACCCTTACCCTTACCCTTACCCTTACCCTTACCCTTACCCTTACCCTTACCCTACCCTTACCCTTACCCTACCCTTACCCTTACCCTTTACCCTTACCCTTACCCTACCCTACCCTGCAACCCGGGGCTCTGCCCTGTGGCAACCCGGGGCTCTGCCCTGTGGCAACCCGGGGCTCTGCCCTGTGGCAACCCGGGGCTCTGCCCTGTGGCAACCCGGGGCTCTGCCCTGTGGCAACCCGGGGCTCTGCCCTGTGGCAACCCGGGGCTCTGCCCTGTGGCAACCCGGGGCTCTGCCCTGTGGCAACCCGGGGCTCTGCCCTGTGGCAACCCGGGGCTCTGCCCTGTGGCAACCCGGGGCTCTGCCCTGTGGCAACCCGGGGCTCTGCCCTGTGGCAACCCACATATTAATCATCAGGTAAACCTGATGATTAATATGTGGGTTGCTGATAAATTGGAGTTTAAATAGATATATTTTATTTCTATAATTCAATTCTTGAATAAATGATTGAAAATACAATACAAAATGTTTTAGTTTTGCATTTTGTCCAAACATTTTTGGCAAAGTAAACTTTGACGATTAAGATGGGATTGCTTTTAATTTCTATAAAATGGTGTTTTATATCTCAGGAATTCAATTCTTGATGAATTGGTTGAAGTTTAAAAAATATAAAAAAATTAATTTTGCATTATGGGCATGAGTTTTTATCTAAGAACAATGTAGTGAAGAATAATCATTTTACTATATTAGATAGAATTGATTACCTAGTTTTTAAAACAAAAACTTTGATTTACAGAGATCGAATTTTGTTAATTTACATGTGATTTTATATCGAATAACTAGTAACCCAGTATAACTCTAAAAATAAACCAAGTTACAAATAGAATAATTGATTCTATTATTGATTCAACTATTGATTGATTTATTTATTCATTTATTCATTAATTCATTGATTAAATAATGTATTCTTTCAATCTATTTAAATATTGATAAATACTTTTTTATTCATTTTTTTGAATTAATTCATTTATTAATCATAGATTCCAAAGTAAATGAATCATATCAAGTAGTATGAATCGAATAAATAAATATGATTGATTATTTTAAATCTGGAACTATATGTTTCATTCTTGATCACCACTATTTACAAATTGTCATTGATCTTTGGAGATCTGATCTAAATGTTATTGTTTCCATTTGTTGTAGTTGTAGTAGTTGTTGATATTTAATCTATCCTATTGAGTGACATCTTATTTCAGTATCTGTTATCTAAATTTATAATTTCCTAAATGATAATCAATAAATGTTTAGTAAATTAGTGCTTATCTTAATGTTAATCTATCTGTAGCTTTAAAGATTGTTGGTGTCGATAATTGTAATCCAAATGTAGATTATTCGAAACATTCGATCTATAGTGACCATATCTTCTTGTCAGATGATAGTGGCTGCATTGACTTTGATCAAAGTGTTGGTGTATACTTCACCTATTAGGTCAGCAAAGTAAGCTTTTGACAACAAGTTGTACTTGATGAATATCATTTTCCAATGCTCTGTTGAAATAAAATCTAAATATAAATTAACTTGACTCTCTATATGATTGTGGTATATTAGATAATTGCAGTAGATTTATAAATTTTAAAAATTATAAATATAAATACCTCAATAGCAATAAGAACACACTTCTTGTAATGTTGATGATCATACTACTAATTGGTTGTACTTGAAATGTATTACTCTTGCAATGGTGCTTTCACTCTGATAGTATCTTTAATCACGTTGATCCTTGTCATGTTTTAGCAAAGAGTCGACCACCGCTTTTGTCCGTATTTAACAGCATCTTCCAAAATAAGTATCTATCTTTGAGAGTATAGTCAATCTAATATCTAATCTTCATTCATCAGAACCAACCACCACTCAACTAATATATTGACATTGCTGTCAACAAACGATATCTAATCTAACGTTGCATACTCTGTATCTATTAATAAATTAAAATTAGTTTGTTAGTTTAGTTTAGTTTAGCATTATAGGAATGATCATTATCTCAATATTATCCTTCAATATGTATCTTTTTAGAACACAAAAAGTAAACTTGAAAGAGTGAGTGCAACAATATAATAGACTTACAATAATGAAATCATTGACTGAGCTTACATTTGAATTGAAATCTATAACTCATTACTTTCTTAAATAATTTATTATATTCTAAAGCTGTAACATCTTTTAAAATTATAAAATAAATAGATATTGATATTATTATTACTATTGATAACGATATCTTAAGAACTTTAAATAAAAGTAAAAAAAAAATAAAAAATATTGATCATAAACACTGAACATCAAAAGAATATTTTATTATTTTTAATTGTTATTTAGTTTCATATCATTTTAAATATACTTTATTAAACAAAAATTAGCATATTTTATATTGAGCTCTATTATTATGAAACTCTTGTCGATAATTTAAAAGGTTAGTTAACTTTTATTCTTATTTAATCTACACTATATCTTTACTGTTTCAATATAATATCGATTTAACTTGTTCATAGACAAAACAATATTAATCATGATTCATACAACTTGGATTACCAAATACACCAACATAATCTTATATCGACTATCTTAATCACAATTACACAATTATTAAAAGTAACATAACATAGAAACCTATACTTTGATTATACAATCCTATACACTAATGATTTCAAGTTACTGATTGTTTATCACGATTGTTCACACTTAATCAACAATGAAAATTGATTCTCAATTCAAATAGCTCATTTTTTTTGTTCATTTATTTATATAATTCGTTTAATCAATCATTCATTAGTTTTCCATTGACATATATTTATTTATTTATTCATAAGTCCTATTTATAATTTCAATAAATTAAATACTATACTATCATTTATTAATTGATTTACTAATATTTTTAAACTTTAATGATCTATAGATCAATAATATGTTAATCATACAAACAAATATTCAAGACATTTTTGAATTCTTTTGGAGGGATCTTTGAATAAGACATCTGCTCCACAGACCACACTTACTGTGCTTGAAGAACATATTCGATCTTGTTGGTACGAAAGTTGTCATCTTTTTCTGGTCCAGAGATGACAGGTTGGCGATCATGATCAATTAAATCATTGTAGAAACTCTTGAAAGTGATGCTATTCCTCTACTATCTACTTTTCAAACCTCAAATAAGAAGCATTGAACACCTCTGCAATTATTTGGTAAGTTTTGTTAAAATTATTTATTTATTATTTATTATAAATGAATAACTAACTAACTAGTTAAAAAGAGAATCGATTGATGAAATAACAATATTGATCATAATAATAATATAGGACTGATAATGTACAACCGATTTTAACTTTCAAGAAAGTTATGGTGCTGCACCATTTGAAGTAGATAGCCACCATATTCATTTTATATTCTAAATTATTTAATCATTAAAACCATCACAACACACCTATTTACTCATTCAAACGATCAATCAACATCGATTCATCTAATCTTTATGATTAATTCATTAATTTTTAGATCAACTAAATTGGAGGTGTCATATCAATTTGACAATGAGTGGTGATCACACCTATCGAACCAACATAGTGATAAGAAATCTGTTAAGGAGACTTACAGATCATTAGAAAGATTTATCGGATCAACATATTAAGAATATACAATTACAATAAATTCAAACTTCATCCGATATTTTGAAGAACACACCAATCTATTCAAACAAAAAAAACAATTTTACCTATCAAACTATTCAATAGTAATAATAACAATGTAAACAAAGAGAATTACAATTCAAATAAATAATTATAAATACACTATCTAAATAAGTTTTGTTTTTTATTTGAGAAAGTAGAGTTGTTGAAGGTATGTTTGTCTCGATAATTCAACATGTATGTTGTTTTGATAGTGATTGTCGATAAAGAGAACTTGAGTTGATGATGTTTTAGGGTATGATTTTGATTGTGACAGCAGTTCCTTTAATGCTAGGTGTGTTAGTTGTGGATACTTTTGTATTGTATAAAGAAAAAAAATAGAACTAAAATATTGGGATGATTAGAAATTGAAATTAGATGAGGGATTTGATCAAATTAATAGAATTCGAATTTTATTTATTTTTCTTTGCAATTTAAATTAAAGATTGTTTTTTTTTTTTTTGTTTTTTGGTTATCATACCTAGATTGTAATACAAAATAAATGATAAAATATCTATTACTATTAGTTTTTTCATTAAATGTTTTTCAGATCAGTTCTCAATTAGTTTTGGATCAAAATGTTGGTATGTATTGAATGCATGCATTTTTCTGTTGTTTTAATAGACAATCAACCGAACGGTTCGGTCAGTCAAAAATGTGTAGAGAATATCAAAATTAATAGAAATGTTTATATATATAACTAGTTGCTTCTATAAAATGGATAATGTATCAATATTCAATACCTTTGAATTCAAATGGATTTAATTGCAGTACTTTAGCAGAAGGTTATTACTTTGATCCTTTCATATGTTCACCTTCTCCAACTAATTCTTCCGAGGAGATTGTTACTCAATTGTTAGTATTAGAATGCTTTTTGAATTACATAAACACATAAAAATACTTATTGTTATTTCCAATATAGTTCACCCTAAGGAGTGAGCACACCATGAACAATACCAAACCCAGGACCTATCACCATACTTTATTTCCCAGATCTCGAAACATTGAAAATGAACAATATTCTCTTTTATCAATGATACAACCATTTCATTGTTTGAAATGTTTGATCAGCCAGAGAATAAAAAATTAAAGTATTCAGGTAAGCTATTCATCCATGTTATTAGTAATTTTAACATTGTAGATGATTAACCATATATAAATATAGCTTAGTTGTATTTGACAATCTAATAATGAAAGATGGTTTTCCAAAATATATTCCTTTCAATTCTTTGTAAGTCTAGTTTAATATAAAAGAAACCTTTTTTTTTTTTCAAGACCAAAAATATCTTATTAACAATATTGTATTTTTAGATTTTGTTCAGCTTGCTCTATTTCTCCATATGTTCCAAATTCAGCACTTACACATATGGGAGGTCTCACCTGTGATGGTGATTCAATTGTTGACTTTGATCAGAATTCCTTATACCCAAATCTATCTTCAATGTAACTATCTATTTTAATATCTATATTGTTAATCAATATTTTACTAATATCACCACCTAATTCAAAGATCTACATCTTGGAAACTAAGGAATTCGGAACCTTTTTCATTTAGAGAGGAGAATTTCCCAGTATTGATTATATTGTAAATATATTTATAAACACTATTTTTTAAAAAACTAGTGTAACTTATTCCTAATATTATTTAATACAGTAACAGTAAAATTTCATATATGGACAATAGTATAATTACTTTTGATACAAATTCCATACTTTATATCAATGTTTATCATCCTGCTCGTAACACCACTATTTCCTTAGGGAGAGCAGCCAATCTCATAGGATTGTAAGTGTATTTAAATTAAAATGTTAAAAATGACATTCATTTACGTTTTAGCTAACTCGAACATCTCATATTAGAATTCTTGAAGGAACAACTTTTTTGAACACAGATTTTACAGTTTATCCTCGTATGGACAGCATGTAAGAAGAATTTCAAATTTAAAATTTGTTACGATATCATATTTATTATTGATCATTATTATTATTTTCATTTTCTATAGAGATTTCCGTAACGTAAGAGGTAGCGTTGAAAAAGCAAAAAATTTACAAAAATTATTCCTCACCTATCAAAATCTTACTAGTTGGCCTCCAATTTCTTGGTTTTCAACCACCATGAATGTTCAAATGTAATATTTCGTAAAGTTTATTTAAATACTGCACAGTTCCATTCTAATCCATTTTATAAATATATATTAGAGATTTGAGTAATAATCTATTAGAAGGAAACATTCCAGACTATAGTAGTCTGTTTCTTGGAGAATTTAATATTAAAAACAACCCTGGTATTAATGGTAGTATTCCTGATTATATATGCCTAGTACAATTCATCAATTTCTTAAATACTTCCATAACAGAGGCACCAGATTGTATTTTCTGTGCATGGAGCAATCTACAATTACAATCCCTGATGCCTGCATCTCTTCATCTACCATTTTCATTTAACTGTGGTATATATCTTATTTTTATTTAAATATTTATATATTTGAGATAATTAATTCTTTTTTTTATTTTTTTTCTTAAAAAACAGTAATTCAATTTGACAAAACTAATTTCATATTTTTTGGTAACTTTTCTCCATATGCGCTTACTATCACTGGTAAAAATCTTGGCTTTAAAGCGCCTCCATCCACACATATGGTGAGGGCAAACACTGAATTTTTGTAAGTTGTGAAATCTTATCAATTGAATTTCCAATTCTTTATTCCTTTTATTTATTAATTAAATTTATATTTATTAAAGATATGCAGTAGACCATGTAAAGGCAGGAAATGTTACTCTAACGTTTAATAATAAAACACAAACATTTACATGGTATACAGATGGTAAGTTAACAGAATATAAAATATTAATAATTTTAACTGTTATTTCTAATCTTTTTTTATTTAAAATCAAATATAGTAACACAAATTAGTTATCCAAACTTTAATCCAGTCATGTTACCAAATGTGACTTATAATCTTGGAATTTTCGGTACTTTCGATACCACTTTGACTTATTCAGTTTCAGTTAATTTACAACTCTGCGAGAACATTCAAGTTCATAACAGTTCATACATTGATTGCCAAATAAATATTTTAATAGGAAAAAGTCAAGTAATCACACTGTCCAATCAATACCAAAATTTGACGATCTATTCAAATTACCAACCTGGTAAGTTTCTATCATAAATTAAATTGTACAGAATTTCGAAACAGTATTAATTAGAGTTAATTTTTCGATTATAGCGAATATTATAGTTACATCTTACTCACCTATTAATCGTAATGGTGGTGCATTCCACATCGATGGACACTTTGAATCAAACCCCAACATCACTGTCAGTGTTTACCTAGACTATAAAGAATGTAAAGATATAGTAAAAAGAAATTTAACCATCGATTGTAATGTCGCTGGTCCTCTGACAGTTGGATATGTACCTCTATTGGTTACTGTTGGCGATGGTTCATCTCTAACAACTGTTAAAGTTGGTAAGTTGTCATAATATAATAGCTTTTGTTTCAGGAATAATTTAATTTATTTTTTTTTTTCAAAGATGATGCTGTCATACCAAATGATTGTGGTGAAGCTGACAAATGTTCAGGTAATGGAGTTTGTTTAGAGAAAAAATGTAAATGCAATGAAGGATATGGTGGATATTACTGCGATCTCAAACTTGGAAAAGGTACGATTGTTACCAACTTGACGACACCTTCAGCTTCATTCGTTGCAGAGAATGTGCAGTTCGATTTCAACATCTATTCGATTCAGGAGGTTGACAGTTCAGACAATGTCGTAAAGGAGTTGAATGTTACCCAATGGAGATTTAGAAACGACACCGAAGGTGAAATCACCAATCTCTACTACTACCTCAATGTATCGTATCCCAATGTGACAACGATGATTCAATACTCGCCAAAAGAGAGAACCGTTGAATTCGCCGGAATCACATCGTATCTCCCACCGAATTCATTGAAGGTTTCGATCACTATTACCGGTTGGCTATTCCAATCAAATCTCAATGTCCTCCGGGTGGTATTCAACACTAAGATTGAAGATCAATTCGACGAGTGTGGAGATAAGCTCGATATATTTGGAACTGATATCAACAACGATTTGAAGTACCTGAGGATCACCAAGGACAAAACAGTTTTCTACGGTTCGTTCCTCGATAGAATCATGTCGGATGGCAAACCAACCGCCACTAGAAATCAAGTGATTAGCACCGACAAAGAGACAGGAATGACACTGATAGGAATTCAACTTCCACAGTGTTACAACTGTATTATCGACCCAAATTTTTCAGTGCTCGTTGAAAATGGAGGGGAATGTGGTAAATCACATCGCACACTAATCATAACAGTTTGTGTGGTTGGTGGTGCCGTTTTTCTAAGTTTAGCATTTCTCGGTGTTTGGTATATAAGAAGGAAAAGAGTGTTTACACATATCAAAGAGAAGCTAAAAGAAAAAAACGTAAAGCTTGGTAATTTATAATGTGTGAATATGTTTAATTATTTTTTAATTAAATTGGGTTTAAATTATTATTTTATAATTAAATATATGTTTTTGTAATCTTGATTCCGATTTGATTTTCTTCAAAGAACACCAACCAATTTCACCTATCAAACTATTCAATAGTAATAATAAATTTAAACAACAAGAATTACAGTATTTAGTGTATAAGAATTAAATAAATAATTATAAATAAACTATCAAAATAAGATTTTTTTATTTTTATTTGAGAAAGTAGAGTTGTTGAACGTATGTTTGTATTGATCATTATCGCCAACATGTATGTTGTTTTGATAGTAATTGTCGTTAAAGAACTTGAGTTGATGTTGTTGAAGTATGATTTTAATTGTAACAACAGTTCCTTTAATACTAGTTCTGGGTGTGTATTTATTTTGGATACTTTTGTATTGTATAAAGATCGAAACGTGGGAAAGAGCTGTTGTTGTTGTTAATTTATGCATAAAATTGATTATTAAATTCTATCGTTTGATATATTATTATTTGTTGTTTTTTAAAATTGATTATTTAATTCTATAATTATTTTAATTAACTCTATACAATTTACATACCTGAGTGCACAAATAGATACCTAGTTCTTAGGTCTTGCTTTTGGTGTTGAAACGATATTAATATGATAGTGAATGTTGGCGGTAGAATTGGAACTCGTGCTTGTTGACATGGCAAAACGTTGGGTTGTGCTGGTTACATCTTTCTCTTGCAACATCTGAAGTGCTTTCACTCTGATAGTATTGTTGTATTTTACAGAAGTTTCGATACAAGTACCTCTGAGAGTATAGTCAATCTAATATCAGCAAAATCATAACCACTCATCGAATCGATAACAAACAATATCTAAGATTCACTGTCAACAATCTAATAGTAGGTGATCTCTGAATCTAAATGCCATTTATTACGTAAATCCATTTATAAATATTCTATAATTATTTTAATAACCAAATATTAAAAATAGGTTGTTAGTATTTAGTAAAGATAAGCTTTATGAGAATGATCATTATCAATATTACTCTTCAATATGTATCTTTTCAGAAAAATAAATAAGTAAACTTGAAGAGTGATAATAAATTACATTTGCTTCTAATTCATTATATTCTTAAAATAATTGATAAATTAAAAAAAGTAGTAACATCTTGCAAAATGATATTGATATTATTACTATTAATGATGATATGTTTTTAGATACAAAAAAAAAAAAATTGTTTTTGAGCATCTAAAGAAACATTAAATCATTCATTTATTAATTTTTTTATGTAATAATTGATAGATTCATTCATAAATTCATTTTTCTTTAGATTGATTCGCTAAAATCTATTGTATAAATCATAATATTTATTCAACAAGTACTTTCTTAAAGTGAATTTACAAACAGACACAACCTTTGAGACTAATAAAAACAAATTATTAATAAAATCTTTGTTTTTTTTTTAAAATTTAACAATTAGTATAAAACATTATCTATTTCTTTTTTATTATTTTTTTTTTACAAATATGTATTCGTCTCTATAAAAATATCATTATTGAAATCATGAGTTTCTGATTTCCTGGGAATACTTCTATTCATTATATAGTTATTATTTTTATTAATATTTGGATTTGAGTTATTAATTTGATTAGGACAACTACTATTGTTGCTATTTATGTTTCCATCGGACTTTGAAGTATCATATTCTTTAAATAATGGTGGGTAATAATTTACTTGGCTGGTCCATCTTGGAATCTTTTTGGGAATAACTTTGCTATTTTGGTTATTGTTTAAATCTTTATTATTTTCCATTTTATTTTTGATAAATAAAGATTTATTTATTTTCCGAATGTTAATTATTAATTTACTGAGATATTTGAAATCATTTATCTTTGTCTTTATATAAAAATTAATTAAAAATTATTTTTTTTTAATTTGTAAAATTAATTTGATTCACTAAAAACAAATAATTTTGGACACACTCTATGATTGTAGGTAAGTAATATTATTTGTCTTTAAAAAAGTAATATTTTTCTATAAATGGAGATAGTGGTGGGGTTAATTTTATTTTTTCAAATATTGATCATCTCAAACAGTTAATAGTATTGAACAATTCTGAGTATCATCATACTCTTGGTTACATGTTCTCGTTAAACCAAATCCACAAATCATTAAAAAACAAACATGTTGTTAAAAAGTAATAAACACTCAACATATATGATTTTATTTAAATGAATCCAATAATAACTTTACATATGTGTGATTAAATCTAGATATGATATGTTCATATTTGTATTTACGTGAATAGCATTATTATTATTGATAAAAGTTTGATACTAGCTGAATATATTTTTTTTTATTGTAACTTTTCTTTAATTGTATTTAAGAAAGATTGAATATTGGATTGTGGTACAATCATAATTAAACCTTTTCTGTTCATACTGCATTCTAAAGTCCATCTGGCACCGTTTCCGTATTCGTAGGGAATGTCGAATGTACTCCATGCTGATGCGTATTGTCTGAGGTATTCATCCTCTGGCTTTAAGTAATAGAGATCACCTTGTTTGAGCTCTGAAGAAGTTGATGTTTCTTTTTTTCACTTTGATTTGTTTTTTGAAGTTTCTTTGGTTGTTGTTCTGGCATCTTTCTCTGCTGTTTCAATTTGTTTGCTTCTTTCTCATCGATTACTTCATCTGTCGATTCTCCACTGACAACTCCAAACGTTGTCAAGAATAAATAGTTATTGAATTTGAATTCATTAATTTTAGATTCCTTGATTATCAAATTGTTAATAACAATGTTTTAATGTAATTAATAAAGAGTTTAAGGATACATTACAACTAATAATTCTAAATCCCAATGTAAGAATTGATGTAACGGTTGTACAAGTTGAGGTGGTATATTGAGGAATCGTTCGCTAAAGAACAAACCTAATTGATTCTTTTTGGAGTTTGAGAGTAGATCACCAAGTATAGCCGACATTTGCTTGTGCTTAGGGAATTGTTTGGCATCGATATATTGTGATTCTGGTTGTTTAGACTTGAGCTCTAGGTATTCTGTGTAACCTTGAATGGCATCACTCGATTTATAACTGTTGTGATTTAAAACCGATGCGAATCCATATGGGTCATCATTGTGTTCCACACGAATGGCACGACCAAAGTTTGATTGCTTACATTGCTCCAATATTAAATCTGTAATTTCACCTGCACTAAACTTGGTGTCCGATGTCCATGGTACCAACTTGGTCATCATATTCTTTATTGAATGATAATCATTATCTTGAACTGTTGAAATATCAAATTCTACATTAATCTATTATTATAAAAAGAGTTGGGTATTGTTTAAAAATTAGTAGCTATTAGAGGCATAGATTCGAATTAAAACATACTTCGTTAAAATCATCTGAATCATCATCGTCATCACTTGTATTCTCAGAATCATCTTCATATTCATCTTCACTGTTACTATCTTCACTATATTGTATATTATAAATGTTTTCATCACTATCGCTGTCACTATCAACTTGCTCTTGTACTGGTTTCTTTCTTTTCTTATTTTCTACTATCTTTTCATTTGATTTTTGTGTATTGTTAGTTGTTTTGGTAGATGTTTTTGTTGCTTTACTAGTTTCTTTGATTGATTGATTTATATTCTTTTCTTTTTTGGCAATTGGTTTGTTTGTTGTTGTAGTAGTAGTGGTTTTAGGTTTTGTAGATGCTGATGCTGCTGTTGTTGATGATGTTGTTGTCTTTTTCAATTCTTGTGTTTGTTTTCTTTCAGTAGGTTTTTCTTTAGTTGTAACTTTCTTCTTTTCATTTAAAACATTGCTCTTTTTCTCAACAACTTGCTTTTCTTTATTGTTTGGTTTATTCTTTGTTGACATTGTTAACAATTTGGATTATTAAAAATAAAGATTTACTTTCGTTCGTTTTTTGTTTGGATGTGATTTATTCTCTTGAGAAACAAAAAAAAAAGTTAATTTTGTGCTTTTCATTTTTTATAAAAAAAATTTCATTGTTACTCTATTTTCGAAAGAAAAATGAAAATCACTTACATCTTTCGATGAACCATTTCATTTCGGGGAGATCTATTCAATCATCCTCCGGGTTGTCCTTTTTGAATGGACACAATAAAGTTGGACGGGCTTTACCTTTTAAATATGCTTCGGCAATAGTAACGATATTCAAACAGGCATTGAAATCACGGTTGATGTAATACTTTGTCTCTCCATCCAAATAGTATTTGATAACATAAGAATTAGGATCATCCGGAGGAGCTTTGACTTTGGCGGCTTTATACACTTCTTTTCGTTTGGCATCTGACTTTTCTTTAACATGTGTAAAAAAAAATTAAACAATTTATAAAATTTTTTTGTATTCCACTGAGATTTTCTTCTATTAGATATAATTCAAATATCAACTTGGTTCACAGGGTGTCAAACAAACAACCAATACCTGCTAAAAATTTATATTTTATTTAAATTTTGAAATGGTTTATCAATAATTTGGTTATTCTTCATCTTCACCAATTAGAATGTCATTATAAGAGAATGGTTTGAACAAAACACCAGTTCCTGCAAAAAACTATTATTAAATAATAATCAAAAATGTTAGTAATCTATGAATACTCTTTGAAATCAAATAACTCTTATTACCTTATTATTGAACTCTACCCAATGTAAACTAGTTTGTAGATTAAAACGGTTAGTAATCTATCAATAACTCTTTTAAAACAAATTAATTACTTACCGAAGTGCATGAAGGAATGCGGATAGTGTTTCCATCATAAGTAAAACTCCTATAGTAGCACCCAACCATGCGCCAAATGCGATGAATGCCAAGAACGGACCAGAGTAGATACCAGCTGTTAGAATACGATTCCAGAATACAGTGGACAACTCAGAGTGAGCAAGTGAGAGTGCCCATAAACGAAGATAGGAAGCTGTGTTGGAGATAGCACCAAGTACAAACTCAATGGTATGGATTACTTGATGAACGAATACATCACTCATTTCAAAGCGATCACCATGGTGTCCATCGGCTTCGAGTGCCTCCTCTTCAAACTCTCCTGCTTCTTCTTCACCACTTTCACCGCCACCACCACCTTGTAAGTGGTATCCATGGGACTTTGCTTCCATCTCCTTCTCGTAGAGCTTTTTCATGAGAAGCGGTTTGGGGATGAGCATAACAGGAACGGATATGAATGCTAGAATCAAGAGAATGGTCTGCACACCTTGCTGTCCAGAGTAGATAGGCGTTTTGATGGATCCTGGCGACAAGAACATATCGATAATGGTTGGGAGAATATAGTCATCGTATGGAGATCCCCACTTTAGCAGGATCAAGAAGCACATATATCCAAAGATGGACCAGAGGAAGACTACTTGAGGAATGAATTGAGTAAAGATGTTGATCCATTTCATTGGACCTTTCATGTTCAAGTAGTTCATCAGTGAAAAGACAATACCAACAGTCATTTGAATGACACCAAACAACACGGATATCTTCATTTTGAAGGAATTATAGTATTCCAGTTCGTTGGGTGCACCTTTCCAGACTGGATCCACTCCGAATGGATATGTTTGATTCTGGAAAACCATGTGTTTTCCATTTTGCTTCCAGCTTGTTCCAAAGATGTCCATCGGAATTGCAAAACACTCATTGTAGATGAAACCGACATAAATAGAAAAGAGCCCCATCAAGAAGAGTACATATCGACCATCGAAAGGCATTTGAACGAGTTCATTCAATTTCTTTCCACTGAGATTCTTTTCCATCTTTATAAAGGCGACTGCAACGGCAAGTAGCATCAGTCCGTGACCGACATCACCAAACATCAGCGCAAACAAGAACGGGAATGTGATGATGGTCATCACAGCTGGATTGACTTCACGGTACTTTGCAACACCATAGGCATTAACTATCTGTTGGAATGCCGACACATACTTGTTGGTTTCGAAATGAGTTGGTGGTTCTTCGTTGGGACGAATCACACTGAGAACAGACGGCACCATGACACCACTCTTTGTAGTTCCAGCACGTAGCGCAACTTGGATCTCTTCGATTCCGGTCTTTGGACACCAACCTCTGCCAATCAAACACTTCCTACCTACATCATAATCAAACTTGTTCATCGAATGGTAAATCGATTTCTCCTTTAGAACCTTTCTCTTCCAGCCTACGATCTTCTCGACAATATTGATAAGCAACTGTTTTCTGTGCTCTCTTGATCTCTCGATTACAATATTCAAATCCATAATTCTTCCCATGATCTTTTCTAATAATCTCGTACGACCATAAGATGAATCTGGACACTCATATAGATTTGCTTCAAACGATAAACAAATCTTTTTAATTTTATCTTCTAATCTTTCACCTTGAAAGAATACAATAAATACTGTTTTATTAACTTCATCACCCTTTTTATATATTAATAAATAAATAGATTTAATTTAAAGTTTGTTTTTTTTTTTTTCTTTTTACATACAGTTTTTGGATCAATGATTGGTTCATCAATGATTGAATCTTTTGAAAAGTTATTTCCTCTTGTTGCTCTCCACAATACCCTTTGGAATTGTGGAATTCTATCGGTATTCATAACACCTGTTACAAAACTTAGTTTTACACCTTGCTTTTGGACTTCGACTAGTGTGTCCTCTTGGAGTAGTGGACTCTTGGCAGAGTGATCTTTTCTCTCAGAGTCATCGTTAAGGTTTTGCTCCTGGAAAAATATGGCATCTTTGGTCAAGACATGCTGGATCTCTATCAATTCGTTGTAGTTTCTCTGTAGTGACTCTGCATTGATATTGATCTGTTTCAATTCGTTTTCTAGCTCTTCGAGACGAGTTTCCAATTCGTTGAAACCCAAGTCCATCTCGGTCATTTGCAGCACATCGTAACTGAATAGGTCGACACCACTGTACATGTTTCTCTCGAGTATTGCGGCAAGCTTCTTGTCCTTGAAGATCTCATTTTCGAGAAAGTTTATCTTTCTCTCCATGTTTACACATCGATTGACCTCATTGACAAAATAACGCTGAAACATACTGACATGTGGATTCTGGTCTACAAACTCTATAATTCCAAGTCGTCCCAATTCATCTATTGTTGGATGAGCTGCTTCTATCTGAATAAACAATTGCACCATCTGCATTGGAGTTGATCTCCACAGAGGTGTATGAATATATTCCATAGACAAATTTCTTTTCTAATTTTCAACAACAAACTAATATATAAAAATAAAAATAAAATACTAAAAAAAAAAAAAAATTTATATATTTATAAAGATATCTTTATCTTGATGAAATAAAAGAAAAAGGTTGATAACAAATATATTGGTAGTATGAATTGATTTTGTTTACAATAAAAAAATTTTTTAAACCAACCAGGTTGAGTTATATATTAAAATTTTAATAATTAAATTTAAAATAAATTTGTGTGTGTGAAAAGAGGTGGCGAGTTTTGGTGTGAAAGTGGGGGAAAAAAAAAGAAAAAAATAAAATTAAATGAAAATTAAACAAAATTAAATAAACATAACAGTGAAGTTGCAAAAGATTCAAAGTGAGGTTTCGTCAAAGAACTTTAACAGCTTCAATGATAAATGAAAATAGAGAAAAATAATATCTTTTATTGTTATACAACTTTTGAATCGCGAATTAACTTGTTTCATTGTTTATTTTTTTATTTTATTTTTTAAATTTTTGCATGATACCGCCAACAAGGAATATCTCGATTAATTAGTAGTTTTGTGTAATAACAAATAAATTTATTTAATGTATAAAATAACTATAATAACAGCATTATTTTTATTGTCAACGGCATATCTGCTCACAAAGAGACATCTTCAAAAGAGTATCTGTAAAACACAATATCTAATATTAGTGTTGCGGTTGCTTATTACATTTGTATTTTTCTTTTATGTAGATCGCAATGACATCATGGGAAGTATTCATCTCTATCAACGATACTCTCTGATTTCATTTCTTTCGACCATAGCAATACTATTATCGATTTACAATATCACTGGATTAGAATATAAATCTTCAACCAACAACATCAATGCAAATAATATTAAATCGAATCATTTAATAAACAATACAAGTACATCAACTTCCAACATCAAGGAAGAAAGTGAAAATAATAATAATATAAATTCTCATGCAACGACAACACAAAACAATGTAAGTTTACAAGCTCAAATAAGACAGATCTTCTCTGGCAAAAGAGTAGTATTCGCCGAATTGTTGGCTCTTGTTTGGGTCTACAGTGTATTATTACTTTTGGTACCTTTAGACTCAACAACAACAACAACAACAACAACTTCAGATAAAGATCTGAGTATTCGTAAGAGAGTTATCTATGGTTTACTCTCGGTCACTTCTTTCGGATACTTGATGCTTAATGTTAGAATGAGAACAGCAAATCTGAGAGTACCGCCCCACAAGTTTGACCAATGGGTCATTCAGCTGCTTACACGCTCCATAGATCATCTCATCCATATTTCATCGATACTCTACTGCGCTCTCACATTAATGGTCGTTCTCAATCGGACATCCAACTCTATACCATATAGTTACAACTACATTTTCATCTACCTGCTCGAAGTCATCTCTAACAGCTCTTTTTGTATTTACCAATTAAAGATTATCACACAGTTGGCTACCGGATCAGAGAGCACTCCTTCACACAAACAGTTTCCAAGCTTCAAAACTGCGCCTCCTTCACCTTCTCTCCTAAAGAAAAAACAAAATTAAACATTATAATAAAGAAATATTATGCCATTATAAGCTTGAAATTAATTTGTTCATATTCATATATTTTTAATTTGATTTTGTTATTAAATATCAAAACAATTGAAAAGATCATCTATAATATTTAAATCGTTTGACGTTGTGAATCTGATACCAATCAAAATAAATTCTTCATGGATGGGTCAAATCTTTCACGGGGTGTTAACTCAATACTAATTCGACGTAGGGCTCATTTTTTCCTTTTTTTTTAAATGGTCGATTATTCAATTTTTATTATTACATTATTTATTTTATTACCTTAATTCATTTGTGCTACTTAACTTGCTGCTTCACTACGATTAGTAGCTCTTGTACAGAACCCAACTTAGTTGGCCTCGCTTTTAGTAAGAAACTCACGCTATTGCTTGACCTCATCTTATTAAGAGTAATGTGCTATCGATCAGAAATGCAACAACATGTTAAGCCTAGCAAAAGTGATTTAGGATCTACTTAACCAGATATTTAGTTTATAATATGAATTAATAGACAACAATTCTGATCAATCTAAATTAGATAAACCAGTATCCAAAAAATCAACAGATAATCCATTTACATATTATTCAAATAAGTTTAATATCAACCCACGTTGGGTTTCAATTAGCATAATCATACCAAAAAGTTCCAAAATTTTCTTTAATTGTATTGTAAGTCATACATAGTTTGTAATAACTATAAATAATAATTAAATTAGTCAATCTAATAATTAAAATTTAACTTTTCTATAGAAAAGACCTATCGACCAAATTGACAGTTTGAAATTAACCAATCTTTGTGAACAACTCATCAACAGCCTTGCTTTCCCAGCAATAACAACAAATTACAAATATACAATCACCTTCTCAATCATCTACACTATCCTCTTCATCACATTACACTCATCGAATAACTATATAGTCAGAGCACCACCCAGTAAATAACTTATATAAATATATATTAACATTATCTAATGATATTCATTATTATTATTATCGTCAACAATAGTAGAACCAATCTCGGCACTTCTCAAAAATAATACCACTAGTGGTACAATATATCATCGCTTTATCCGATATTAGCAGAAGCCAGGAAGTTATCATCAGTTCAGCTCAATTATCAACACAACAAAACAACAACCAAATCAATATCAATTCAATTTCTTTTGTTAATAATAATATAGATAAGATCAATGACCTTCAGACCAAGCTCAATCAGTCAGAGACTAACATCAATGACCTTAAAACCAAGCTCAACCAGTCAGAGACTAACGCCAATGACCTTCAGACCAAGCTCAACCAGTCAGAGATTGAGATCAATCGATTACAATCAATTATTATGGATATGGTGCAACATTATATAGATAAGAGAGAACAATCTGACCGGGGCCCCTAGAGGAATACAAGATGAAATGTAGATTATTAGAATGTGAAATTGCCAATCACCAAAAGACTCTCGATGTATACCGTACCGATTATGACCAATTAAAAAAAATGATCGAAACAGAAGAGCTCTATCATCGAAAACACCAAGCAAATAAGCAGATGTTCGATAACCTCATCGATAAACAATCATTTGATGGTTTTATAAGAGATAAGCTACTGGTTGACAGGACTTCGAAATCTAGTGACCCAATTGTTCAAGCGATAAACAATTTGTTTAATTTTGGAAAATCAAACGAATTAAAGTCTACATGGCTCATTCCTCTAGGTGTCGTAGGAGAAGAAACAGTGAAACAAATAGCCTACCAAATCTTTCCGAGAAACTCCTCTGTACCACCTTGCATAGTGGAAAGCAGTAAGTGGAAATCCGGCATAGAGCCTCCCTGATGTACAGAAACTTTTTTGTCTCTTTGCTTGGCGCAATCAAAACTTCAAAATCAACTTATACCCAACTTCTTCAACGATACCTAAAGAACTCTACACCAACCTCTCTAAATGATGGCAATTCAAAGAGTCAATCCACATGAACTGATGATACCGCTCCAATCCACATCCAACAGTGATGCCACCCCAAAGAAAAGAGGCAGACCTCCAAAGAGTAAACCCACACCCGTCAATGAGGGATAAAGGATGAAAATAAATTTTTAATTAAATTTTAATTGTTTTTTTTCCCCCTTGCAAAATCTGAAAAAAAATTTCAAATTAAAATAACAATTTGTGGGGTCATTTGAATAGTTTTCAATTAGGCACCCAACATTGCTTCCCAAAATAATCACAGATTTTTTTTTCTTTTAAACTTTTTTAAAAAAATTACAAAAATGCGGAGTGAGAATATGGGGAGTGTATGATCATTCAAGAGATTCGATAAATAGCCGACTGATCTATCCTGACATCAATTCCAAAAATTAATGATTTAATTTATTTTTAAATTTTGCAGAATTTGATAATGTTTCAAATGATATCTATCAACATCAAAATAAAATACATATTTTTTAAAAATATTTTTCAATTTTTTTTTACAATGATTTAAATCTAATAAAGTGTATATTTTTAAACCGAATAGCAATAATAAACAAAACAAAGTAATAAATAAAAAAAGTTGGAAAAAAAAAAAAAAAAAAAAAAAACTTAAAAATGAAGTTAAAAATATCATTATTATTATTATTGTTTTCCATCTGTTGCAATTGTTTCGATTTCAATGGCAGATGTGAATATATTGACCCTAAATCACCTTGTAATGGTAAATATAAATTATACTGGAATTTAACATGACCTGGCTAAGATTTACTTTATTTTCATATCAAGGTACAATTCCAAAAGATACACAAATTTACTTGAATAGTAGTCAGACACAAGAACAATTGAGTCAATATGCACTCGAATCTTTAAACGGTATCAAATTGACAGCCAATGATGACTGTATAAAAAATGCATCAATAGTAATTTGTTCAATTGTAAGAAAACGATTTTATAACTCTTCAATTCATTTTTTTTAACCATTTAAATATTTTATAGTTTTATAAACCTTGTAATTTATTTAATGAATCTTCTCTTAATGTAACATTTCCATCTTTGCCGTGCCAATCAATTTGTCAAAAAGCAGAGGTTGCTTGTGTAGATTTCCTATCACTATTTCCTATATCATGTAAAGATCAAACCGATGGTGTTCCTGATTTTCCAAATTCAACTACAACCTACCCTCTCACACCAACCTCCACACAAACCATAGACATCACATGTAACAATGCTTATGTATCAAATTCGAGTATGTATAAACAACAAGTCATTAAAAAAAAATCATATTGTTAATAAATCCATTTTTTAGATTATACATTTTGTTTAGAACCATTGATTTATGTTGATGAAGAAATGGAAAAGGATCCACTATACTACACAGTCATTGGAAAGTGTGCTCTTCCATGTCCATTTGAAATATTCTCTGAATCCGCAGAGGATGCAATTTATTATCTCCAAACAGTTTTAGTTTCCTTTAGTTTTGTTGGTTCAGTCTTTCTAATAGTTTTCTATGGAATATTACCTAATGAAATTATTATTAAATTTGAAATTATTCTTTCATTTGCAATTTCAACTATATTTTTAGAAATATCATATTTCTTTGTAGTAAGTAGATCAAACTTTTATTTTAAAATATATCTCTATCTAACTTAATAATAGGATAAAAGAAAAGAAAACTTTTGTGATGGAAACCGATATATTAGATCAAAAGATGCTGTATGTGTATTCAATGGGTTATTCTTTCAATTTGGGGGTCTATCAATGATTTTCTGGTGGACTACTATTTGTTATGATTATTTCCTCTCTATTCGAATGGAAAAATTCAAACATTTCAAATATTTTAGAATTATCATTTGGTCGGTCTCTATATTGTTTACTTTTATCCCACTCATTGGTAAACAATATGCTGCGACACCTGCCACTTCAGGATGTTGGATTAATGGTGATAATTCAGATACCTGGCAATATATCTTTTTCTTTGGTAAGTTAACAATATATTTATTGATATAGCTTCAATTATTAATTGATATTCCTATTTTAGTACCATCATGGATTTGTTTAATTCTTATTTTATTTTTTACTATTTATTCAATTACAAAGATTTACTCTATTTATAAGATTTTACATGATAAAAAAGTTATTATATATACAGTAAGTGGTCTAATTTATCTTTTTATTATTCAAAGTCTAATCAAACTTTATTATAGATTAAACAAATATTTGTAATGGTATGGGTACTTTTCAATTTTAGTTTTGTTACAGCATTCAAGTTTTATATTAGTGCCAAAAAGGATACCTATTTTGATGCAGTTAGGGATTGGGTACAATGTATTGCCAAAGATGGAGATGACAATTGTCGTCTAAAAATTGATGACTATCAGTTTAGATTACTACAGATTATCACAACTTGTGATGCTGGAATCATTGGTTTTATTGCATTTGGTATTGAGCCAAGTAATCTCATTACACTAAGAACCTCAAGAATTGCAAGAAGATTATTTAACATGATCAATGTTTCTTTCAGTTCAGAAGATACCCTTTCCGATCCATCTAGTGCTGCTTCACAAAGAAAAAGTACAATCCAAATGAAAAAGACTTCCGGAAGCAGTATATTCCTTAGCAATAACAGTTCCTCCTCATCCTCGACAACAATAACCACTACCGGCTCAGTTGTTAGCAATGAAACACTCACACCGTCACTCGAATCGGAACCATCCACGACAACGCCACCTCAACAACCATAAAATACAAAAAAAACAACCCACTGATTCATTATTTTGTTACATTGAAATAAAATAAAATATTTATTTATTTAAAATTTTCGTAAATGATATAATTATAATAATATTTTTTTAACTCGCTATTCAATTGATTAAATATGTTAATCAGTTAAAGTATAAATAATAAAATGGAAACAATTGCAATTGATAAAAGTGAAAAACTAAAGTTGGAAAGTTGTCGGCTCGATCCACTCTTGTGTTGTTGACTGGCCATCAGTTTGTCGAGTATTTCGCATGCACCGTTATAAGGATAGCAATTGCTGTGAAGAACACATTTGAATTTGTAGCAAGAGTTGTAGAGACCACATCTTCGGGTGATACATGACTCTAGATTTTCATTGTCCACTCTTGGACAATGTGATTCCCATTTGCAGAGAGAAGCGCGAATAGCCAAATCCTTGCACTCTTTGCTAAAGACAAACTTGGGCTTGCATTGGTTGGTTGAGTTTGAGCTTGGTTGTGGTGTTTTGTATCCGTTGGTCGCCATATTATTGTAACCCTCTCTCAGCTCTGGTTTCACATTGTCCTCGGAACCAATGTCATTCTGTTCTGGATTCACGCCATTGAATGCTCTTGGTCTGGTTGGTCTTGGGCCCCTAGTTTGGTTGAATCTCTGTGTAACATTGAGACTGGGTGTTGGTTCTGGTGGTTGTGACATAATAATGATCTCCCTTTTAACATTGCTATAACTACACACACATTGCTCTATGGACAAATCACAACCGAAAATCAAACAATCTTTGGTCTCATCACTTGGATAGTATTTAGAACAAAGATTGGTTTTACAATAGAGGCCTTCGGAGATATCACATTCATTGTCTGAATTGCAATAGCTTTGATCCTGTTTCGAATGGAGCGGTATACACTTTCCATAGAATGACTTTGGATCTTTCATACCACAGATATAACCATGAGCACAACCAATTTGCAGTTCACAGTCTTCTCCTCTGTCCGGTAGAGGCAAACAAACACCACCCAAAGAGCAATAGTCTTCTCCCTTACATTCATTGTTGCTAATACAATGATCTTGTGATCTCTTTGTACAAACATGTTTCGTACATAACAATGGTTGAGTACATTGAGCAGTTCCATTACATGATTCCCCAATACTATTATAAAGAAATCAAAAAGAATAAATTGAATTAGAAAGTTTTATAAAGATTTGATTAAAATACTATATATACCCTCTATAATGAGCAGTCAAACATATTTTTCTTTGAGCTTGAACACATTGAGAGTTTGGATTCAAACAAGAATCTCTGAATTTACATGGTTCTTGGTCAGCAATCTTCTTTCTACAAATAGAGGCTTGATTATCACAATAGAAACCAACACCACAAGCTTTAACTTCTGTATCATTTGAATCTTTGCTAAAATATAGATAAAATTATGAAATTAGAATATTAATCCAAAAAATAAATAAAAATAGTAAACATTTTTTTTTGTTTAGCTTACTAATTCTTTCCACAGAAATCACCTTCTTCACCACATTCCTTTGCACAGTTTGCAGACGATGCAGTACCGATCAATATTACTATAACAATAAATATTATAATAATAAAAGATGGTAATTTATTTAATCCCATCCTTATATTTTTTTATAATCTATTTTCTATTCAAACTATCTATCTATATATTTTTTTCCTAACTATAGATTAACCTAACAAACTATCAATCTAATTTAACTATTTCACTACTTTATTCATAAATATTGTTCACAAACACTTGAAAATATAATAAAAAGTGATAATGATTAAATGCACGGTTTTGTTTGTTGTTGTCCGAACGAAACACAACATAAATATCTTCTACATTATATTTCTAAGTGTGTGTTGTATGTGTGTATGGAAATATTATATTTAGTTATGAATACCTTTTAAATAATACTATGGATTTTAAACACATACACACACAAAATGATTTAATAAAGAATCCACCAGACGAATATCAAACTCTTCAAAAAATGATAATATGTATGTTCATTTTATTATTTGTCTATATCTCTTTCTCTTTATTAAATAAACAATGAATGATATGTGTGAGTTGTGGAAAAAAAATCACAAGAATATTAAACAAATTTCTCGCTTTCGTTGACACACATACAACTCCACCCACTCTCTTATCCATTTTTGTGTGATTTCCAATGACTTATAATTTATTTGAAATTTTTGTTGTATATATATAAAGATAATTATAATTATAATAATTAAAAAAAAAAAACAAAAGATATTTTTAATTGGTTAAATTTAAACTAAAATCTTTTTATGATATTTAATTTTTTTTTTTAGTTTAGTTTTTCAAAAAAATCATGAATTTTGATTAGAAAAGTTTTGGTTGGCTGATGGGATCAATGAGGCATTAACCAATAACTAAATTTTTTTTCTCTTAAGATTATTTTATAACTATATATTTATTTATATTAAGAAGAGATAAAATATAAATCAATAGATAATAAAATTATAAATATGGGTGTAGTTAGTCAAATTGATGTTGCATCTAAGAAACAATTGATTGGTGTCGGTGTTGCAAGTGCTGTCATCTTGCTGATCGCCATCATTGTTGGTGCCACTGGTCCAAATGTATATGACAGCATTGAACAGTCTGCATATCAATGTACCAATGGATCACATATATGGGATCCAGAGAGTTGTGAAGGTTTCCAACCTGCTTCAACTGTAAGAAAGAATCAATAAATAAATTATTATTATTATTTTAATTCTTGTTGTTAACAACATTATGTTACACATTTATTATATAGCCAAATGCACAATGGACAACAGAGATTTCCAATATTAATCAATTGACTAGATTCTGGGCGATTTCAGTTACACCCTATAGCAATAACCTTCAGAATCAAACAGATTTGTCACTGCAACTGTTTGTACAGGTATATGGTGGTCAAAATAACAAACCACTCTACAATACAACAACTGTCGCCAAGATAATGTGTGACACTGGCTATTCTGAATGCACCTCCTTTACATTGGTCGACGAGGAAGTGTTACTCTACGATCAATACATCGTATCAATAGGATTGCTCAATGGACAAAACATTGTTGGTGACGTTGTATTCACCGTTTGGAGAGCACACGAGAAGTTCTCTTCTTTTGAAATCGCAGTTCATCTCTCTTGGATGATTATTTCATCGGTTGGTATCATCCTTTACCTCTTCTTTATGAGAAAATACGTCTCTACCAAATGGTCACTCGAACAGAAATTCCTATTCATCTTATTATTATCTTTGGTATTATCAAATAGTAAGTAACAGTAAAAAGCTATCAATATTTACCTAAGAGATAATTAACATTGTTTTTTTTCCCATTAGATCCATTCTTTGGTTTCCAATTTATTTCACAAAGTGCATTCTTCCCATTTATCAATTCATTGTTTGCAATCCTTTTCTTGGCAGCATTTTCAATGTATTCATTGGTTATTTTGGATCGTATGAGGTTGGAAAGTGTAGAAAATCACATGGGACCAGGTTATCTACTTAAAGGACTACTTGTACTCTTATTCTCTGTATTAGGTACAACACTATTTACCTGGATCAAGTAAGTAACTATGTTAACATGCTATTAATATTTAATTAAACTAATCATTAATTCATTTATATATTAGTTTACGTGATAGAAAAGATCCAATTTTAGGACCAGCAACAGCAGTGAGTGGAATTCAAATCCTATTTTACTTTGTAACAACATCATTCGTTGCTATTTTACTTTGGATTTCAATGTTGGTCGTTATGACTGCACCAACCATTGCGAACAGAAAATTCTTGATTCCAAAGTTCTTGTTCACAGCAGCACCGATTTCAATCTACGTAATTTCTTTACTAGCTGGTATTTTCGCTGGAACATTCGGTCCATTAAATCCCGATGCTCTCTCAACCATGTATTTTACAACACTCAACAACGTATTCGCCATGATCATAGCCTACTCCTATTGGCCAAGAGAAAGTGGTAACAACACAAATAACAACGCAAACGAAGAAGAACAAAAATTGTAAGTTTAATAACAACAAAATATCAATTCTATTCAAAAAAATAGTAATATTTATTAACAAAAAATAATTATTTTTTTTACTTTAGATTCGGAGATGATGAACAACTTTAAATAAAAAATAAACAAACTATAGATAATATTTTTTTGTATTTATTTATATGATTGTCATTTCATTAAAATTTTGTTTTTTTTTTAATTATTTTTGAACAATGAGACAGATATCTTCACACTCAAAAAAAAAATTATGTGTGTTTGAAATTTTTTAATAAATATTTTATAATTCATAAATTATTTCCATTTTTAGTCTTTGTTTAAGTAAACTTTAATTAAAACCCACTTTGAAATTTAAAAAAATGTATTATAAACAGGTATATCTTGGTGAAGATACTATTTGGATATTTTTTATTAAAAAAATTACTGTTTTAAAAGATTACGTAATATTTAAAAAAAGATAAAACTTCTAAATATATCAATTCGTATTGTGTACACTTTTAAGTATCTCTTTTAATTTTTATTTAGATATAAGTATAAGTAATAAAAATTTTAATTAATTCAACTTTTGAACTATTTTTTATTTATATTTTCAACCTTAAAGTAATTGATATTTTTTTTATATTTTATGTTTAATAATTTTCTAAAAAACTAAAACTAGAATTCCACAACCATGTCTGGAAATAAATTTTTACATAAAGAATGGGTAAATAGAACTTCTATTCCCGCAGCAAGAAGATTCATTGAGGGTCATCATTGTACAGAATGTGGATTAAATGATGTTAACTATGGAGGTAGATGGAAAGGTAAATTATAAATAATAAATATTAAAAAAAATAAAAAATATTCTAAAATTTTTTTTTTCTTTCAAACTTTACATTAGATCATAGAAAAGCATTGATTCATGGTTCGAGAAAAGAAAAGAAGATCGATGCTTTCAGTTCAAATTACAAACCACCCATCTACAACAATGATATGTATGATCAACCGTATATCATGAAGAAGGGTTACCATTGTCGTAAGTTCCTCCTGAGAAACGACCAGATCACCGAGTACTTGGATCCAATCTTGTTTGAAAAACCATACTACATTGACAGAATCAATCAAAACGGTGACATCCATGCCTACTACTTGTCGGACGGTAGCAAACTCATGGGTATTGAGATGGCCAAGAAGTTTGAGAAATCAGACATTGACTACTCGTATGACGAAGAAAAGCAATGGGTTGACTACAGATCGAATGACGAGGCCCATCTCAAGAAGAAGCAGGAATGGGCTACCAAGAGAGCTCTTGAGAAAGAACATGAGAAGTCCGCTCTCCAGAACAAGATTAGAAGAGATGAGGCATTGGAGGCAAAGAGTGAACTTGACAGCAACGTCGCAAAGAGAGAAACAATGAGTCTCAAGAAATCGGGTCAAAGCCAACAGGCCGAGAAGATATTTGTCGGAGAGAGTCAGTCCACCGTTCAAAGAACTTCCACTGGTACACCAATATCCAGCAGTTCATACTCCAAGAGCACCTACTATGGTGCACCAGAGGCATCCAACAACCAACAGTGGATCACTACCGCCACAGAGGGTATGATGACACCAAAATTTGAACGTGGAAGCACTCTTCAAGCCAATGTTACACCAATGATTGTTCGTGACAATATTGTTTATCAACCAGTTGGTGTTGTCAATGATAAATCTGTCAGTATGTATAATTTTTAAATTGCTATCATGTTGGTGAATATATTAACACAAAATTTTCTTTGAGAATTCACAAATGTTTAAAAAGATCAAAGTCGTTCGTTTTTTTTAAAAAAAAATAAAAAATAAAAAAATAAAAACAAAAACTAGTTAGTAAATTAATCTATTTTAATCAATTTTTATTATAACAAATCTTTTATATCCTATACAAAATTTATCTTATCATTTCTTTAAAAAAAATATTAATATTGATTTAGAAATGAAAATAAGTTCAATTGTACCATCCGATAAATTATTATTGGTTACAACACCATTTGTTATTACAACTGCTCTTGCTACCTATTTCTATTGTATGTAATTACTTATCTTTAAAGAAAAGTAAACAAAAAAAAAAACTAATATTTATTTACATTTCTAAATTTAACAATAAGTTCAAATAAAAAATAAATTAGAAACAGCAAAAGAGAAATTGGAAAAAGAAAGACAAGCAAAATTACATGAACAAAAGAAATGCGAGGAACAAAGACTTGGTAGAACTAGAGCTGAGAGAGAATTACGTCGTACTCTAAATGATATCAAAGAGGACAGAGATAACAAGTCAGAGAGACCACCCGATTACCCACCAATTGGATTCCTCGAGTGTTGTTTCCGTGAGAGAAATGGAACACCAAGACAAGGTTGCTTCGTAACCAAGGGACGTGCTATTCTCCGTTTGCGTACCAATATCAATCCTGCGCATGCTCTTGAGGGTCTCGATCAATACTCTCATTGTTGGTTGATCTTTGTCTTCCACGAGAATACCAACACTCTGAGAGGTGTCCGTCAAGATAGACCTGGTAGCAACGTCAAGGCAAAAGTCAAGCCACCCAAGTTGGACGGTGTCAAAGTCGGTTTGTTCTCAACAAGAACACCTCATAGACCAAATGCAATTGGCTTATCAACCGCCAAGATCGACAAGATCGTTGGAAACGAGTTGCATCTCAGTTGTATCGATTTGATCGACGGAACACCCATTCTCGATGTTAAACCCTATATCAAACACTACGATAGTTTACCAGATGCTGTCAACCCAGCTTGGACATTGACACCTACCGTCCCACCATTGAAAGACGTCATTGTATTGCCAGAGGCATGCGAGCAACTCAAAGTATTGGTGAACCGAAAAGTACTAAAGTTCTATGATAATTTCGATGATATACATTTGGCAATCAAACAAGTTTTAGTTGAAGACATTCGTTCAATTAGAAAGAGAAAGAGTGATAGAATACACGATTCCAAAGAGGATGAGGCAGCCAACGACTTTGAAGAGGAAGATAAAGGACCAGAGAAACATAGATTCTGTATCGACACACTCAACGTTAAATTCACCGTAGAAGATCAAATTGCAACCGTCTTTGAAATAGAATTAGATGTAGTATTGAAAGAAAAAGAAAAGAACATCTATCTTCCATCTTCCATTTATGTTTCCAATGGAGAACAACAAAAAATCACTTCTCAGCAAGATAACAAAAATAATGATAATAATAATGATAATAATTAATAAAATAATTGATTAAACTCTAATCATTATAATAATCTTCTTCTTGTTTGTTGTATTAAATGAATTTGTTTTTATTGTATTAAAAAAAAGGTCAAACTTTGTTTTTTTTTTTTTTTTCAAAAAGGTAATAATACTAGTGAAAGTATCTCATTAATGGTGTTATAATTTATATATAAATAGACGTATTACTATGCTATTGTGATGCTCTTTATTGTTGTTGACATGAAACTCCTTGTGGATGACCTCCCTCTTCGTCGTCGTCGTCGTTATCATATGCCTCGGCTCTGGCGGCACCTCTGGCTCTTTGGTTCTTTTCGTCGAAATCTGACAAGGTGACTTCCTCGTCGATACCGTCGTGGCTGGCTGGCTTTTGAGCTGGCTTTGGCTTTGGAAGAACCTTCTCCAAGAGCTTTGCAGACTCTGGTGCGATTTGTCCGTCGCTTGGGAACTCGACGATAAACTTGATGATGAGTCTTCCCTTTTCGAATGGACTTCTGTACTTTGGCATACCCTCGTTAAAAATACATTTGATGGCGTTTGGAGTGATGACCTTTCCTGGTGGGTTGGTGACGGTGAGAACACGACCGTCGAGGTGTTGAATATAGAAAACGAAACCGGTGAGGGCCTCTAGCAAAGTGATCTTGTGCTCCATGAAGAGGTCGTCGCCATCACGGGTGAAGACGGCGTGCTCCTTTTGTTGTAAAATAACGATGACATCACCTGGTACGATATCTGGTGATTCGTAGTCACCCTCTTCAGCAAATACAATCTTTTGTTGGTTCTTCATACCCTTGTCAATGTTAACCTTGAGTGTCTTTTCCTCTTGGATCGACTTGTTACCCTTGCACTTTTGACAACGATCCTTCTCACGGATGACTTGACCCTCTCCCTTACAGGTGTTACAATGTGTTTTAATTTGTTGAACCATACCTGGTCCAATTTGTCTAAGTTGAATCTTGATACCATTACCGTTACAGTCGTCGCACTTCTTGACGGCATCGTGTGTCTTGGCACCCCTACCATCGCACTCTGGACACTTTGAATTCTTTTGAAGGGCGAGTTTCGAGACCTTACCCTTGTAGAGATCCTCGAGACTGACCTTGAGAACGTGTTGGAGTGACTCTCCCTTTCTTGGACCACGTCTTCCACCTCCACCACCACGACCACCACCACCAAAGAATCCACCACCAAAGAACTGCGAGAAGATATCCTCTCCAAATCCACCGGGTCCACCTTCCTTGAGTCCCTCTTCTCCATATTTATCGTAGATATCTCTCTTTTCCTTATCACTCAAAACCTCATAGGCTACTGTGATCTCTTTGAACTTTTCGACTGCTCCTGGATCTTGATTCTTATCTGGATGGTATTTAATAGCCAACTATTGTATTTTAAAGAAAAAATTTTAATTTGTTAAGTTTTGATTGATTCATATACAACGATCATTGCAATCAATATTAATGATTGATTTTCGATACACTGTCATGTTGATTATTTCAAACTTTTTAAAAAAAAAACAAACTAATTTTTAATGTTTGAAGTAACAACAACAAAATGGTATGTGTGGGAAATAGTAATAACAAGACCTACCTTTCTATAAGCTTTTTTGATCTCGGTTTCGTTGGCATCACGTGATACACCGAGAAGATCGTAAAATTTATTGTCAGGCATCTCTCTCTCTTCTCTCTTATATATCTATTTATAAAAAAGTATGATTATATAGAATGATATTGACAAAAAAAAATAATAAAAAAAAAAGAAAAACAAGAACGTTTCTCTCTCGACTTTAAATAAATAAAAAAAATTGTTGAAAAAAAAATGAAAATAAAAAAAAATATTGCAAAAATAAGTCGGTTTGAATATTTTCACTGAGATTTCGCTATTTTTCACATGAGTTGCTAATAAACGGTTTAACTGTTCGCAAAAAAAAAACTATTATTATTTATATTAAATAATTAATTAAAAAAACTTAATTTTTTAAAACTTTTTGGTTTTTTTATACAATATTTATTTTAATGTTAATAATTTAATTGTTTAAGTAGTAGTTGTTATTGTTGTTTGTTTATCTATAAATAAGGTGGCTGGTTGTTAGATTGATTAAATTTGTTGGTGTTAACTTTTATTTGATGTTAACTGTTCAACTCTAATTCTAAATCCAAATTTAAACTATTTCTTTTACTATTGTTGGTACTGTTGTTTGTGGAACTACTGTTACTGTTATTGTTACTACTAAGATTACTAGAGGGTGACTTGAAGTTTAGTTGAATATCATCGACGTCGTAGATATCGTCATCGTCGTCAGTGATCAAGTTGTGTCTATCGTTTTTCTTTTTACCATTGAGGTGATGATGATGATGATTGGTCAGTTGGTCGTCCAACAACTGATTGTCATCAAACTCTAATAGATCATCACCAATCATTGTCTGATCAACAGAGTCCTCTATCCAATTGAAATCTTCATTGCTATTCTGTCTACGTAGTGTACTTCCACCACCACCACGCAATGCAAGTTCACCAATACTGCTACTTCTACTTAAATTCTTTTGTCTTGTATTGGTGTTGTCATTGTCATTGTTATCATCATCATCGTCATCGTTGTCATCCAATTCCAAGTCTTCTAATTTCAATTCATTGTTTGGATCATCGTCAATGAGTGATAATCCACGTTTGGCATCACGAATGTTTGTTGCCAGGGCATCGGATATCTCATTGAATTGTGAATCCTGGAGTGAGTCTATCTCCATATCGATCTTGGCAAGTGATTCGACAATGGTGTTACTATACTTGATGAGATCGTCGACATCGCCAATATCTTGAACATCTCGATCCAATATACTCTCTGCTTCTTTTAGGAGGTGTTCATCGATCTCCTTTGATGCTCGTTTGGCTACAGAGGTAGTCGGTTTGCTTGCTGAGGTGGAAGTGGACAATGCCTTCATTTTCTCATTGAGTCTTGCTACTGTTGGTGATGATGATGTGGTTGTTGAAGTGACAGAGGTAACCGGTGTTTTAGTTGGTGTGGATGAAGTGGATGGTAATGATGTTGATCCTATTGTACTCTTTGATAATGATGCTGTTGATGTTGTTGTAGATGGTCGAATTGATTTAGTGAGTGAATTTGAAGTGGTAGTTGGATTTACAGTTGATTTCGATAGTGATGATGCTGAGGTTGTTTTTGTTGTTGATGAAGGTGATGTTGTTCTCTTTGAAATAGTTGATGATGATGTTGTTGTTGTTGATGACGATGGAGTGGAAGTTGATGATGTACCACCAAGTGAAGTACTACTCTTTGATTTTGTAAGTGAAGCTGGTTGTTGTTGTTGTTTCTGTTGTAAGTTGGTGATAGCTGCCAACTTTGTCTGTGAGCTCTTGAGTGTCTGTGCAAGTGTTGGCTTACCGGTGGTAGGCTGTGAGATTCTACTACCAATGCTACTGTATCGACCAGAGAGATTCGATGACGATACGTTTGGACTGGCAGAAGATGCTCTCGAACTTGTCGAACTGACAGGAGTAGTCGTTGTTTTTGTCATTCCAAGACTGCTCTTACTTCTCACCGTAGATGAAGTAGATGCACCTCTCAATGATGATCCACTTGCAGTCGATGATGATGGCTTAGATGATGTCGAAGACGATAAACCTGTTGGTGTTGTTGTAGTAGTAGTAGTTGTTGTACTAATCTTTCCTTTCAAACCAGACTGTCTACCTGTTGGTATACTTGATCCACCAGTCGGTGTCTTGGCGCGCGATGTTGGTATCGAACTAGAGGTTGTAGTTGTTGTTGTTGTTGACTGATCTTTTTTAAAGTCATTCATGTCAAAATCCAAATCTGTTGATTCTGTCATTAGTTGTTGATCTTGATCTTCTTCGAGCAACGCCTGTTGGATTTTGAGCGCCAATTGGTGTTGTGATGGTGGTAGTGTGTTGATCATTGAAAAGAGGTTCTTTTGTGTGGTGGGTGTGTATTCGTAGAGCATTGCCAATGCTCTCTCCTCACTCAACTCGAGATATGCCCAAAAACAAAGTCGGGTGTTGGCGCGAATGTCGGAACCACCATCGACAAGCAGACGCGATATAGCAGCCTCCACTGCTGCGACCGACGACATGAGCACCATATCGGGCTCATCGATAGCACGACCCAAAATAATGAGTAAATACTCTGAAGCGCGACGTCTTAGCGCTTCATTGTGCTGGTCTCCAGACGCGATCAGTATGTTCGCCAGCAGTGTTTTAGTCTGCACGGAATTGAGTATAGACTTTATTGCATTGTGTGCTGCTTCAGCTATGATTGTAACTTTTACAACTACAACCTTTAGAAGCGCATTCATATAGAGGAGAGCGAGTGGTTCGAATCGACTCCTGAGTCGTGTGGCGACTTGTGAGACAACTGCACAAGCTTCTTTGACAATAGTAGATCGCAACTCTGTGACCTGCTCTACCAAACCCGGACTCATCTGACGTAGTAAAACCACAAAGTTTTTCATCTCCACTGCATTACCTGCAACTACTCTCTGTAGTTGAATGAGTGCCTTGTATCGAAACGACCAATCTCTAGATTCTTTCAATTTAAACTCTGCTGATATCTCTTCCATTTGCTTCTGTAAATCTTTTTCTGAATCAAACTATAGTTTTATCAATTATGAATTATTAGAATGTATTGCTATTATTTTAATGCAAATAATAAATATCATACATCAATAGGTGACATATCATGTTTTACAGGTTGATTCAACCTTGAAGTCGATGACAGACTGCTTGTACTTGTAGAGCTTGCTCCACCACCACCACCACCACCACTAACAGACATTCTTGATTTCATATTTGATGTCATTCTTTAAAAAATGTATCTATCTATCAATATCTAAACCTTAAACAACAGTCACCTATTGTCTGTTTTCTTTTCTTTCTTTTTTTATAATTTATAATATTATATTGCCTCTTGTTTATTGTTACTATATCTATTCACTTTTACTTAGTGCAAATGTTAACTAAAATTAATAATACAAAAAAAAATAAAAAATACATTTAAATCAAAAAAAAAAAAATAATTTTTTGAACTTAATATTTTCAAATATTTATTGATTCATACACTGATTAAATTTTCTTTGATTCTATTTTTATTACCATTTTAAAAAAAGAAAGATTTGATTATCCAATTTATGTTGTTTTTTCTGTTATATTTAGTTATCTGATATAAAAAATATGGGTTTGTAGACCATTTGGTCAGAAAATCTCATAAAATAAATTCAATGAAATTATAAATATCTAAAAAAAACTTTTAAAAATAATTTAAAAAAAAAATAAAGAGTTCTGGATGTTGATTGTAATTGAAATCAACCTTTGAATTTAAATCTTTAATCAATTTAGATAGATAAATATTAGTAGTATAAAATAATGGGATTCACACCTGCAAAACCAGCCAACTTTAAAGATAATCAAGGAAGATTGTTGGTTTTTAAGCAATCAGATACAGGTAACTGTTTACTCTGAAGATGCCAGCAAAGTGATCAATGAAGTCAGTCCAGACAATATCTATTTTCTCAACAAAGCTAGTCCAAATCAAGCTGGAAGTCTTGGTTCAAAGAGGTTACCACACGACTTTAAAAAGACAATTGTCAAACTCATTCACAACAACAATGAAGACAAACCCGGTGAAACCGATTACATTGTCATTGAAAATGGTGAAGAAAAATTAATTGACGATCAAAAGTATTTCACTGTCAATAAAATAACTATTCACTTATAAATTAATATTAAATAAATAATTATTCCACATTAATGGAACATGGATTTACAAAACAAAAAAAAAAAATATATAAAAACCCAAAAATAAAAAAAAAATGATAATAATTTGGATATTGAAAAAAGAGAAACCTGGTTTTTGATCCTGGGTATCACACAAAAAAATTGAAAAAGAATTGTTCGACGATTTTTTCATTTTTTTTTCAAATTTTTATTTTTATATTTTTTCACTTTTTTTTTTTTAAAAAAGTAAGACGTTTGGCATATTCCTGACATACGCACTAGCTTTACTAACTACAATATATATCTCTTTTTTATTTTATTTATTATATCATTCATTTTTTATTCTAAAGATAAAATAAATAAATAATTAAGATAGTATCCTACTTTTTTTTTATAATATTTAGGTATAGTATTAAGTTATTTTTAGACTTGTTATTACTTTAGTAAAACATCATTATTATCACTTAAAAATGATCATTATCACTATCATAGTCACTTAAAACACAATATGATAATATCACGTTATGAACTTGAAATAAAGACTATGTTCATCATTTTATTTGACACACTCAGTGCAGCAATTGTTATAATCAAATGTCGAGATTTAGAAACAAAAAAAAAAAAATGCGTAAAAAAATAGATTTATAGATAGATGATAACAGATTGTAGATAGAAAAAATTCCAAAGATTGATGGCAATATTTTATATTAAATTGAATAATATCCAGCAGCAGTGATCACAATCATAAATATTTTGATAACCAACAACCAATCAAACAAACAATAATCTAATTCAATTAAATATACAACAATTAATCATATGTTTTATAAGAATAATGTTATATGATGTTTTACAAAGATATATTCATAAATCTAAGAATATTTTTAGATTTCAAAAAAAAAATACAAAATCTGACTTTTTTTTTTTTTTTCATTTTATTTTAATTTTTTTTTAAAAAGTTATTTATTTTTTAGTTAATTATAAGTTATAGTGTAGAATTACAAAATAATGGATTTTATTAGAACTCCATTATGGAGATCTGCACCAATGCAGATGGTTCAACTGTTTGTTCAAATTGAAGCAGCACACGACACTGTCGATGAACTCGGTAAACTTGGATTGATTCAATTCAAGGATCACAACGAACACGTTAACATCTTCCAACGTTACTTTGTTAACGAAGTCAAGCGTTGCGATGAGATGGACAGAAAGCTAAAGTACTTTGAAGAGCAAATCAACAAGGACACCAAGCTCGCTCGTATCCTGGACAACTCTGTCACTGACAGCGTCACCGAAGACCAACTCCAAATGGACGAGTTGGAATCACGTTTCGACGAACTCGAAGCCGAGTTGAGACAAGTCAACACCAACCAAGAGACACTCCAAAGAAACTACAACGAGTTGATCGAACTCCGTCATGTATTGACCAAGGATGCCGTCTTTTTCCAAGAGAATCCAAACTTGAGCGAGGGAATGAACGACAGCACTGCTCGTAGTCCATTGCTCAGCGACGATGCCGTTGCCGATGTCGGTAAGCAAGGTGTCAAGCTCGGTTTCATCACTGGTGTCATGAACACCGATAAGATGCCACAATTCCAACGTTCATTGTGGAGAACCACCCGTGGTAACAACTTTGTCCGTGATGCTCGTATCGAAGAGGAGATCATCGATCCACAAACCGGTGAGGATACCTCCAAGACTGTATTTATTGTCTTTTTCCAGGGTGACCGTCTTCAACAAAAGATTAAGAAGATCTGTGAGTCGTTCGGTGCCAACGTCTACGACTGTCCAGACACCTCATTCGAGCGTGCCAACCTCCTCCAAAAGGTATCGATCCGTATCTCTGACTTACAAGACGTCTTGAACCGTTCCAAGGAGCACAAGAAGCAAGTTTTGTTGAATATTGTCTCCAAGTTGGTCACCTGGAGAACTAAGGTTCTCAAGGAAAAGGCTATCTACCACACTATGAATCTTTTCGATTACGATGTCGGTAGAAAGTGTTTGATTGCCAAGGGTTGGTGCCCAAAGACCGCCATCGAGGAGATCCAAACTGCTTTGCGTACTGCCACCACTCGTTCCGGTGCTTTAGTACCATCGGTACTCTCCATCATCAAGCCCGAAGATGAGCCACCCACCTACTTTGAGACCAACAAATACACCAACTCTTTCCAACAGATCGTCAATGCCTATGGTGTTGCCAAGTATCGTGAAGTCAATCCAGCTGTTTTGACCATCATTACTTTCCCATTCTTGTTTGGTGTTATGTTTGGTGACGTCGGTCACGGTGTCATGATGTTGGCTGCCTCTGGTGCTCTCATTGCCCTCGAGAAGAAGTTGGGTGCCAAAAAGTTGAATGAAATCATTCAAATGCCATTCGACGGTCGTTATGTATTGTTCTTGATGTCTCTCTTCTCTATCTACATTGGTTTCATCTACAACGAGTGCTTCTCCATCCCAATGGATCTCTTTGGATCTGCCTGGCGTCAACCAGTCGGAAACGAAACTGAAATGGTCTTCCTCAACAGAACCTACCCATTCGGTGTCGATCCAGTCTGGAAGGGATCACCCAACGAGTTGGACTACTACAATTCCTTCAAGATGAAGTTGTCTGTATTGCTCGGTGTCGTTCAAATGACTGTCGGTATCATCTTTTCACTTCTCAACTACTTGAACATGAAGGGTCCAATGAAATGGGTCAACATTTTCACCCAATTCATTCCACAAGTCATATTTTTGTGGTCGATCTTTGGTTACATGTGCTTCTTGATTCTCTTGAAGTGGGCTTACCCATACCGTGCTCATTTTGTTGATCCACCATTCATCTTGCCAACCATCATTGCTATGTTCTTGACACCAACTGCTGCCATCCCAGCCGATCAACTCTACTTTGAAGGTCAAACAACATGTCAAATCGTCTTGGTTTTGGCTGCACTCATCTCTGTCCCAGTCATGTTGATTCCAAAGCCATTCATCATGAAGAAGATGTATCAAAACGAACAAGCCCTCAAGGCCCACGGTCACCACCACGAGCATGAATTCGACGACGAAGCTTTGGATGCCGGTGGTCACCATGGTGAGGAATTCGAGTTTGGTGAAGTTTTCATCCATCAAGTCATTCACACTATTGAGTTTGTACTCGGTGCCATTTCCAACACTGCCTCTTACCTCCGTCTTTGGGCCTTGTCATTGGCTCACTCTGAGTTGTCCACTGTATTCTGGGAGCGTATTCTCATCGGTCAAATCGAAGGTGGTAACCCATTCTTGGCCTTTATCGGTTTCGGTGCCTGGTTAGGTGGTACCGTTGCTGTATTGCTTATGATGGAGTCACTCTCTGCTTTCCTTCATGCACTTCGGTAAGTATTAATTGGGTTTTTTTAATGAATTTTTGATAGATTAAGTAGGTTACTAATCGTTTTTAATCGATATACTAGTTTACATTGGGTTGAGTTCCAAAATAAGGTGAGTAATTAGCATAAGATTATCATGATTAGCATTATAGTATCAACAAGTTATTTATAGTTACTTAACTTTTTTTATTTACTTTTTTTTTTTATCTATAGTTCTATGCAGGTTCTGGTGTTCTCTTCAAACCATTCTCATACAACAATGTTATGACTGGTGAGGATGAAGAATAAACAATATCAAGTTTATTCAATATCGTTAAATGTATTAATCATTACAAAGAAAATAAATAAAAATTATAATGTATTGTTCAAACAATACTCATTGAATTAAGTCATCCAAATTTAATTTCTATTTAAATAATTCTATTTCTAAATTATTTTTTAAAAGTAGTAAATAACTAAATAATACTTTTAAAAAATAACTTTGTTATGTAATTTAGATTAATGTACAAAATTAATTTATTCAAAAGAACTCTTCCTTTACAACTAAACCATTGTTGTTCCATTTTTGGATAGCCCATTGAGTTTTCTTGACATTGTGACCACCATAAGTAAAATCCATATACATTTCATAGGTAGTGTTGTTGCCATCAACCCAAACTTTGAGAACTAAAGAATTTTGAATACTAATACTAATCTGTTTAAATCTTTTTATTTAAAAAATATAAAACAACTTACCTTTAGCTTCATGGATGGTAGCATTATTGACAAAAGCTTCTTCAGCTTTTCTGTTTTGATCTTTTCCAACTCTGTTTGTGGAATCACCTTTCTCACATCACAACATAGTACTTTCGAAAATCTCCAAGATCTTATTTTCTTGGATACCTTTGATGATGGCATTAATGATTTCTCTGATATTGGTAGACATTTCTTTTGATTTTGTTTTATAATAATATAATATATAGTTTAGATATTTATAATTAAAACTAGATGAAATGATAGACTATAAGAAGATAAGTCTTTTGGTATTATTTAAAACAAAGATAGATAATGAATAGATGAGTCTATTATCAAATCTATCAAAAAAATAATATTTTATTTTAAAATATTTTTTAATTATATATTTTTGAATAAATAAAGATTAAAAGTAGAACGACAATTTGAAATCAACACCACAAGTAGCAAAAATAAAGATAAAATGCTAGATGAGTTATCACATTTATCAAAAAATAATACAGATCTATTTATATATAAATTGTAAATAAATATCTTTCTTTCCGTTTGGATGAAGGTCTTAAAGAATTTTGGTCTTCCGATTGAGTTTATTAATTTTAAGATAATCTATGGTGCAAGGTGAGTAGTTTCAATTTGTATTTGTTTGAATATTCAAAAAATATAACAAACTTTTAGAGTATCGAGCAATCATCGAAAAGGAGCAAAAACATGCCTACAAAGCATTAGAAATAAACAATCAAATAAAAATACAACAGAGTTGAAAATGATCGAATCTACTGATAAGATTAAAAATAATAGTGTAAAATAAATATTTAAATGATAATAATAAAATGATAAGTTAATCAAATGAATATGCAAATTTGCGCGTTGATTAATGACTGCAACTAAGGAAGAGAAGTTTCTTGTTTTTTAAAAAATAAATTTTTATTTTTAATTTGGCTGTGTGGCACCCCTCAAATTTCTAATACCTTTTTTCTAAACAATGAAACATTTAAATATTTTTTTTTCAAAAAATCTGGGCTTTTCATTTTTTTTTTTGTTATTTTCAAAAAAACTTTGTTGTATATTACTGAATTATTTACAAACTACCATATATCTTTTAATATATCTACTCATAACAGCGACAAGTTCACTTGTTTTAGTAGTAGTAGTAGAATCAAGCTTATTTCTATTGGTATTTGGTCTTTTTTTCAAACAAAACAGGCACATTATATAAACAAACAATGGAGAAAATGAATACAGTACTCAATAATATGAGTAACAGTAGATACTTTAATGATACTTCTACCAATGTAAAATTGACTGAAATCAAGAAACAATTGGATGGTCCCTCTGATAAAGATAAATTGGAATGTATGAAAAAGTTAATTGCTGTAAGTTTAATAATAATAATAATAAAAAAGAAACAAACAAACAATTTTAACATTTAAATATATTATTATTATTATTATTATTATTATTATTAGATGATTTCAAAAGGTAGAGATGTTTCAGAGGTATTCCCACAGGTAGTAAAGAATGTTATTGCAAAGAATTTGGAGTTGAAAAAGTTGGTCTATATGTACTTGGTTCACTATGCAGAGTCGGAGCACGAGAGTGCACTGCTGGCGATCAACACCTTCCAAAAGTCACTGGTTGACAAGAGTCAAGTGATTCGTGCGAGTGCATTGCGTGTGATGTCGTCGATTCGTGTAGTCGATATCATTCAGGTGATTGTGCTTGCCATTGAGAAGTGTATCAAGGACAGCTCGCCCTACGTAAGAAAGGCCGCTGCCTTTGCCATCACCAAGGTGTACAAGCTCGACTCTGACAAGCAAGAAGAGCTGGCAGTGCTTGTTGAACAGCTACTCAACGACAACAGCACAATGGTACTCGGTGCTGCCATGATGGCATTCGTCGAAGTCTGTCCAGACCGTTACGATATTCTCCACCAACACTACCGTAAGATCTGCCAACTTCTCGCCGACTTTGACGAGTGGTCACAAACCGTAACCATCGGTGTATTAACCAAATATGCAAGAACTCAATTCAAATGTCCTGATTCAACAATTGTAAGTTACTTTTTTTTTTTTTATTATTTATTTGTTATTTAGTATAGTTAAATTAATCTAATATTTAATTATATATATATATATTTGTTTGTTTCTATAGAATGATAAGAATGTTAAACAATACAAGAAAAAGACATCATTTTATTCTGATGAAGAAGATGACGATAGTAATGAGAATCAATTGCAGTCACCAAAGTCAAAGTTGTACGACTCTATGGATGCAGAGGAAATCGATATCGACCACAGATTACTTTTGAAATCCTGTCTTCCATTACTTCAGAGTAGAAGCAATGCTGTCGTAATGGCAGTATCTTCACTCTACTATTACATTGCACCTGTAATTGAAGCACAGAAAGTAGGAAAGTCACTTGTCCGTTTACTTCGTTCTTCCCCAGAGGTTCAATACATCACACTCACCAACATCTCTACCATGGTAACAATGAGACCAGTAAGTTAATTGAAATTTAATATCTAGAATTTATTTCAAAACTGTTAAACTAACAATATCTAAACAAATATTCTAAAAATTATGATAGAATATGTTTGAACCATATTTATCTGAATTCTTTATACACTCTACAGATCCAGAGTATAGTATCAAGTTAAAGTTGGAGATTCTTACACGTTTGGCAACTGGAGAGAATATCAGTAGAATTCTCAAGGAGTTCAAAGAGTATGTGAGAAATGAGGACAAAAAGTTTGCTGCTGAGACTATTCAAGCTATCGGACGTTGTGCTGCCACTATTCCCGATGTGACAGAGTCTTGTACCTATGGTTTGATGTCGTTGCTCTCCAACTCATCGCAGGTGGTAGTTGCCGAAGCCGTCATTGTTTTGAAACGTTTGTTGCAGTTGAATGCCGACAATTCAAACTCGTCGATCAAGCACGAGAATGTTATTATGCATCTCGCCAAGCTGTTGGAGACTCTCGAGGTGCCATCGGCACGTGCCTCCATCATCTGGGTCATCGGTGAATACTCTCACAAGATCCCAATGGTAGCACCCGATGTACTCAGAAAGCTCGCCAAGTCATTCGCCGACGAAGACGAAAGCGTCAAACTCCAGATCCTCAACCTCGGTGCCAAGCTTCACTTCCACAACCCCGAGCAAACCAAGCTACTCTTCCAATATATTATCAACCAAGCCAAGTTTGACATGAACTATGACATCAGAGACAGTGCCAGAATGATGAAACTACTCTTGATCAGCACCGAAAAGAATCCATCACTCTCTGGACATGCCAAATCTATATTTATTAATCAAAAACCATTCCCAACTGAAATTAGTATCTCTGAAGGTAAAAAATATATATTAATTTTGTAACAATTAATATGTTTACTAATTGTATTCTCTTTCATAATAATACTAATAATAATATAGATCGTAAAAGATTTATTTTAGGTAGTTTTTCACATATTGTAAATCATTCAGTATCAGGTTATCAACCATTATCAGATTTCCCAGAGGTTCCACCTGATCCCACCGTTAGACAACCAAAACAATGGGTACCAGAAGTTAAAAATAATATATTTTTGCGTGAGGAAAGCTTTTACAGTGACGAAGAGGAAGAAGATGAAGATGAAGACGAAGAGTTTGATGGTGCTTCTGAAGAAGAAGATGATGATGATGAAGACTCTCAAGATGAATTGGAGAAATTCTTTAGTGACTCGTCAGATAGCTCAACTCCAAAGTAAGTAAATTCAAACCTAAATCATTTTTCCAATATATTAATATATATTTATAACTTTAAATTAAATAATTATAGGAAAGCAAATGGTAAATCTAATAAGAAATCAAAGAAATCAAAGAAACAAGTAAAACAACAAGAGGATAATGAATTCGATGAAGATATGGACGATATGGATGAATTGTTTGGTGTCGCTGAAGAGATGGAAAAGTTGGAGATTAGCTCGCCAACAACTACCTCTGTAAAGAAAGTGTTGCTCAAGGCAAACGTCAGCCAAGGTCTGCTCATTGAATATTGCTTCCTTCGTCAACTTCCAGAGGGCATTGAAAATGAATCACCGTCCTCTGTTTGCATTCAACTCCTTCTCAAGAACCAATCAACCGAACAGACTTTTGAAAATATCAAGATTGGAAACAAGACGTTGATTGACGGTGCCGATATCAAGGATTTCGATGAAATTGCATCGTTGGAGCCAGGTGCAACCACAGAAGCACTCTTATTTGTAACATTTAACTCTCTCTCCCAAGCTTGTAAATTTGAGATTAGGTATGTTAAAATTAACAACTGTTTTTTTTTTTTTTTATCAAATCAATTTGCTATCGTTTTAATTATTTCATTGCATTTAGTTTATTGACTAATCAATGAAAATACATCCATCTCATATTCACTGCCAATCAAATCACCAATGCCACCCACCATCACACATTTTACAATAAATAATCCAATATTGTATAAATTATTTTGTTGCCTACACCATTCAATCAACATCAATTAATTGACATAAGCACACAAAAAAAAAACAATCGATATCTATGATAGTAGAGATCATCCCAATCAAACAACATATCATCACAATCATTATACTTGTATGATATTCAGTAAAACTCAATGATTTATCAATAACAAAACAACTCATTCACTTCAGATTTTAAAAATTGTTATTCGAATAATGATTTTCATGAAAATGACACATATGTTGATCTATAGATTCCTTTTTTTTTTTTTTTTGGTCTATGGACAATGTGATTAACTTGTGTGGTTGTTCAAAAAATTATGTGTGTGGTTGTAGTTTGGTAAATATATTTTTCTTTTTGTTTGTGTGGTAGACTTTTTATCAGATCGCATAATTACGCCAGTTTTTTTTTCTCCCTGCCATTAGTGATTGTTAAACTTTGTAGTTTTGGGCAAAAACCACATCAGATCATAAAAAAAAAAAACGAAAGCATGTTAACTTTTTGTTTGTTCATTAAAGAGATTATTTCCACCTGCATCAACACTTTGTTTCGAACCATAACACACCAAAAAAAAATAATAATAATAATCAAATCGCATTAAAACTTTATTTTGTTTTAAAAGAAAAAATCCAAAAACGGTAAAAATAACAAAATGATGTCTTTTGTTGTTGATGTTTGTTATTAGTTTTGTCACACTGGTGCCCATTTATAATTTTTGATAAGTTGCAACATCACGTTTCACCTATAAACAGGTCAATTTTTTTTTATATTGACAAGTTTGATTTTTTTTTTTTTTTTTTTTCGATTAACAAATATCAATATAACCACACAACTAAAATACGAGTAGTTGGTGGTACTTGCCCCAATGCAAAGGATAAAAAAAAATCGACAAAAAAAAATCAAAACAAAAAAAATCAAACATCAAACCATTATCACCCCCCCTCTTTAATAATTTTTTTTGCAACTTTTTTTTTTTAAAAAAACCCCCATTTATTCACTAAATTTCATTGTGGTTGTTAACATTTCTTTTTAAATTAACCTTTACTATAGTACCTCTATTGGAAACTTCCCGGTTGCTCTGACACCAATTATAGGTGAAATGGTTTCACCTTTGGAAGTGGACGTTGAAGAGTGGAAGGGATGCTTCAATGCGCTAGAATCAAAATCTGTGAGTGATCATGTTGAAATTGGTGAGAAACTGTTGGGCGGTGGTCAGCAACAACTTGGCAATGCAGTTTTAATGCTCTTATTAGAAAATATCAACCTCCAAGCAACAAGCGCTAACCAAAATAAGACCAAAATTCAATTTGCAGCAAAAACAATCATTAAATCTGCTGATCTTTTTATCAACATTGAGCTTGTTGAGAGCAACCAAGTTGTTGTTACCATTAGATCTTCGGATACGTTGACCGCCACTTTACTATTGAAAAAACAATTGGAATTATTGACCAGATAATAGCTCCCACACCAACACACTCACACTCACACCACCCACCATCAATTAGGAATAATCATATCATATCGTATCAACACCCCACAACTTTATCAATATTAATAATAATAAATGATGATAATCAAAAAACGAAAAAATAAAAAAATTGAATTTAAAAAAAAAAAAAACAATTTAACCCACCTCTTGATTTTGTTACCCCCCAAAAAAAACTTTAATTAACTTAACCCCACTCATACAATAAAATATCAATGCAAATCAAACAATCATTTCATTTTTTTTAGAAATGAAACAAAAAAATTTCCACAATTGTTTTTGAAACTTGCTAAATTTTGGTGGTGAATATTTTTATTCTCTTTTTTGTAACCCATTCGAATATTAGTTTTGCAAAGTTATTGTGAATAGCAAATTTCTATCAACACAACCCCATCCTCCATCTGATTTGGGGATTGGTTCTCATGTTTTTGTATTTTTTTTTGATATTTTCAATTTGATAACGCGTTATTTTGTGACTTCAGTGAGATGACAAAAAACAAAACGCATAATCTAAATATTGAGTTTGTGTTTGGAAAAAAAAAGTGTTGCACATTAAAATTAAATTAACAAAAAAAAACAAAATTAAAAAATTCAAACCATACCACCACGAACACTCTAATAAAAAACTGAGTGTGGAATGCAGATGAATTAACACTAATAAAATATATCAACAATCTCACAGGTTTTCAATTTTTTTTTCACATATATACCTTCCCCCTTTCTGTTTATTTTTCACCCTCCAACAACAATAAAAATAATAATAACAATACCTTTATTATTACATTTTTGTGTGTATGTTGTTTTTTTGGATAAATAGTAAAAGTAAATAATAATAATAATAAAAAAATAAAAAATAAAAAAAAAACAATTTTGTTACACCTATTACATTTTTTATATATAAAAAAAAACATACATTACATTTTTCTAAACCTTCACTCGATCATAATAACTCACACTACCCACCTCACTCACACACATTCCACTCACTTGGTAAAATAGGATAAAAGTGTTGAACACTCATTCCAACCTTTTTTTTTTTTTTTTAATTACCACTTCTCTATCAAAATCATCAAATATCAAAAAAATTTCCACTTCAGATTTCAAGCAATTAGGAATTAATTTAATACATGAACAAAAAAGTAGGTAGACAGATAGATAAATAAATACATACTCACACTCACATAGAAACACACATATACACCCACCAACACAAAAATAAATAAACATTAATCCAATAATAAAAATTTAAATAAATAATATTCGTGTCCTGTAAATTTATGATATAACCACCCACCTCTTGATAGCAACCTAAATTTCACCACACCATCCAATTGGACCACCATCCAGTTGAATTACTATTCTCATTCTCTCTCATGAAAAAAGTTTGATAATATTATTTTTGCATATTAAGTAAATCCATTATCACAAATACCGCCAATCCCCCCACATTACATCTAATGAATGGAATGATAATAATAACAACACCGCCAATATCTGCATTCAGTCACACGCCAGTTGACTTGGCAGCAGGTAAATAATAAAATAGTTCTATTTTAATTTTTTAATTTTTTTTTATTGTTATTCAATTTAAAGTAAAAAATAGCATAAATAAGCACAAATAACAAAGCGATTGAAAATATAGAGTCAATACAATAACAAAGATAACAATAAACAATAATTAAATTTAAATTCAATCTATCATCTTCCACCACCCTTTATTTAATTAAAGAAAGAAACTCACCAAATACTTTCCAAAAAATCAAAAATAAAAATTTAATTTTTTAATTAGTCAGTCAGAAGTAGATAGATCTTATCTTGAAAGGTGTGTTTATTCATTTGTATTCATTTAACATTCACACACACACACTGCAATTATTGGCAAAACAACCATCACTCACACATTTTCTGTTACTACTAATTTCTTTACTCATTCCCAATAATTGATAACAATAACAAAAAAAAAAAAATAAATATAAAATACAATACAGTTTAAATTATCATATTAGCATGTCTGTTTGTATTATAAACATCTCATTTGAGAGTGGCTGTATTAATTTATATATATATATATATATACAACATTCCATTCTCTTCTATTCTACTTTGTTATTTATTTATATCATCATCATCATCACATACCAACTAAATCAACCTGCACAATAAATAACAACATTCATCAAAAAATACAACACCAGAAGCTTATAATTAGTAGTAGTAAGTAATATACCATACATCATAAATTATATAAATGTAATCATTTACATAGAGATTTATCAAAATATAAACACATACATAATCACCATTCATTCTTTCTTTTCATTCAAACAAAATAAAATAATTTATTGAAATATTCCACTCTGGTTTCAATCTCATACATTTGTTATTCTGTTTGGTTAATGCTGTATTGCAAACATAATCTAACAAAACAAAGGGTACTATTTATTCATCTATCAAAGCTCACACAACCATACTACTCACCTGCATCATCAAACCAAACCAAACTCATTCAAAATTAAACTACCCTTAATTACTCTCCACCACCACCACCAACCATCACCATAACCACCATTACATAATCAAAACAGTAAATTTATGACATTATATATATATATATATATATAGCTCTGCATCTATATTCTCTACTACTAAAGAAGCATTGTTATTGTCATTCCTCACTAAACACACATTCACGTACCAGACTCAAATGAAAAACCTTAATTCACTCGCTCAGAATTTATTTACCACGAGTTTTCTCATCACATTTAAAACAGCACTACACCAAGTGCTTACTTACAGCCACATATAACCACCGCTCACACATTGTATTTCTATAAACAAACAGACATATACTCAACAACCCACGTACATTCAAATTCTCTTGTTCTACACACACCACCACATACACTCACCAACTATCGACCAGACACACCACAAGTACACTTACACAATCCAAGCGTCAAACACACACACCAACATTGCAAATATTGATATTGCCACTATATCAATTTTATAAATATACCTAAGCACGCCAACAACACCGCACATCACACACACTTACCACACATCACACACAACACACCACGCCACTGGAAAATGACAATGTATTTGCAAATCTTACCTCCATTTTTTTTATTATCATCTTCTTACTTTCTTTCCTTTCCTTTCCTTCCCAATTCCTTTCACTATTACTGCTTTATAAATGTCTCATTACCCTGCTATTCACCAATAAGCAGAACAACAACACAACAAAGCATCTGCCAGATGTTTTTAACCAAAAACACAAAAAATTAGAAAAATAGAAATAAGCAAAAAACTAATATAGATCTCCATCCATTAATTTACTACTATTGAATTAATAATTCAATTGTTATAGTTTTATTATTGAAAAAATAAGACCCACGGATCAAAAGAATAGCAACAACAACAGTGGATATCACCAATATAATATATCAGATTCAAATTATTGTGTCATATTATTTTTATAACCAATAGTAATATACATTACCAACAACAACAACAGCAACATCCAACTAAACTAAACCAAATCAATCCATAACAACAACAAATAGACAATCACAACAACAACAAAAAAAAAAATAAAAAAAAATAATAATAATAACAAACAACTAAACTATCTAAATATATAGATAATAATAATAACAATAATAATATTATAATTTTAAATATATTATAATATAAGCTCATACACTCAATACAATTGTTTAAATAGTAATAATATAATAATTGCTACTATTACAATTGCCTTTTTATCTATCACCTACTCACCAACCCAACTCACCACCAACAATACAATTTTAAAATATCATTTTTTTTATTGCCATAACAACAATAATAATATATAAATAACAACATTGAAACTGTTTGGTTACAGAGCGAGAATACAAACTCTTATCCTTTGACTCTCCAATCATAAGCACACCACCGACACCCACAAAATCCAACAATTTCTTTAGAGATATATACCCTTTTATATTTTATTTATAAAACCAGGTAATATTCTCTTCTTTTTTTTTTTTTTTTTAACATTCTCTTTACTCTCACCTTTTCAAATTTCATTATCATTTCAACCTTTAATTTAAATATAAATCATTCAATTCATTCATTATTTATATCAAACCTTGTTATAACAACATCAGTCCATCCATCATTCGGTCACTCAACTTTACATTTATTCAATTTTTTTAGAAATCTAAAATTAATCATAACTAATAATCAAAAAAAAAAAAAACAATCAGTAACTAGTTTATAATATATATAATTATATATTCTAAATCATTTAAAACTGCAATCATATACATACCATTTTTTATATATATAAATATATATTTCAATAACATTGGTTGATTCTTTTCTATCATCATGGACGATTACCATATCATAGAGAAGTGTGGTGAAGGCACCTATGGAAGTGTCTACAAAGCGATCGATAAAAGAACCAATCAAATTGTTGCTCTTAAAAAGGTTTCCAATGTTGCCAAAGAAGATGGAGTATGTATTAAGATCATTTTTTATCTATAGTTATATATTATTCTAACATTGTTTTAGAAACCAGTTGAAATTAAATATTTAGAGATCCTGAAAGATTCAAACAGTGTTGTCAATTTACTCAATTATTTTTATCTTTCTCAAAATGAATTGTTCATTGTGATGGAGTTTTTAGAGGGTGATCTTTGGAAGATCATGTCCAATCCATCATGTGCACTTTCGTTGGAGATCATACAAAAGTTATATTAGACAAATATTGAAAGCTGTTTATCAATGTCATTCAAAGGGTATAATGCATAGAGATATTAAGCGTATGTAAATAATAATAATAAATAATAATTGAATAACCAACAACTAATATTTATATTTATATTTTAAATTCAATATTCAGCTGCAAATCTATTGATAAACAAAGATGGTGAATTAAAATTAACAGATTTTGGATTATCGACATCATTCCAAATGTTTAGCGACGAAAAGTTTTCAAATAATGTAGTTTCATTGTATTATAGACCACCAGAGCTATTGTTGGGTTCTGATAAATATGGTCCTGAGATTGATATTTGGAGTGTTGGTTGTGTATTGATGGAGATGTTGACAAACAAGTACCTATTTGCCGGAAAGAATGAAAGCGAACAACTCGACTTGATTTTCAAAAAGTTTGGTACACCCAACGAACGCAACTGGCCAGGTGTCAGCGCCTACCCAATGTGGAACTATAGCTGTGAGAGCTACCCAATCAAATCATTGGCTGAATGCTTCCCACATCTCAGCTCTTCACTACCAACTCTTTTCGATTTAGCCACCAAGATGTTAGCTTTAGATCCAAAGAAGAGAATCACCAGCTATCAAGCACTGAACCATCCGTTCTTCACATCATCCGATGTCAACGACCAACTGATTCCAAGTTCCGCCTCATTCATACAGGATCTATATTACCATCACTATCAACAACAGCAACAACAACAACAACATTACCATCAACATTGTATTCCATCCAACAACAACAATTATATTCAATCTCAATCATTACCAATTGAGATTCCACAACTACCATCCATCAAAAACAACTTGGCATCCTACAAATTTAATAGCAACAACAATAATAATAATAATAACAACACAATCAATAGTTTTGCATATCCATCAACCTCTGAACCAAACAACAAGGTTTCAGATTATCTTTTATCTCATCATCTCTCACACCATTCTTTTAACGATCAACCTTCATCATATTATCGACTTCAAAATACCCCTCCTCAGGAAGGTTATTATTATTATCAACCTGCAGCTGCCGCTGAAGTGACCTCGGCCGCACCTAATCACTACCAGCAACAGCAACAACAAGAATATATTCAACAACAACAACAGCAACAAAAATACCAACAATTCGACTCTTTTAATGTCTATTCAAACTATAACAACAATAATAGTAAATCCAATTATATAACCGCCCAAGATAAACTTTATAAACAAACACAACAACAACAACAACAGCCTCAACAAATCACCCAACACCAATTATATACAGATTATAGTTTTTCAGCTTACAATAATCACAACCACTATCAACAACAAACCCAACAGTCTCAACAACAGCAGCAATATGTTGACTATTCCAATCAGGGATACCAAAGACAATTGCAACAACAACAACAACAACAGCAACAACAACACACCTATCATCAACAACAAACTTTACAGCAAATTCAACAACAAAATTTGACAACACAATATTTTCATTTACCGATACCAATGAACCAACAACATCAAAATTTTCAAAATCATATCTTCGAACACTACACTGTAGAAGATGACTGCCAAGAGAACTCTGATGACTACTGTCTAGATGACAACGGTTGGGGAGAAGCCGATCCAAACAACTATAATGGCTACTCCAGTCAACAAGCATCCAACATTCCCTACACTTACTACCCCTCTGGAAGCAATCATGCTCAAGTTCAATATATGACCATCGAGAATTTTTTTGGCCGTCCAGTAAAGTGCCACCCTTCCTATAGTATCGGTTCTCCAGGCAACTCATCTAATCCCATAGTTATTTCTTAATTCCTTTTTTTTTTTTATTTATTTAATTTTTCCCCCAAACACCAACTTGCCACCATTTATATATTTTTATATATATCTTCACTCCAACTCTTTTTTTTTTCTATTACCTTTTTTTTTTTTTTTTTTTTTTTTTTCCCAAATCAAACCAAACCAGTCCGAGATTCAAACTAGATTGTAAGACCACAACCAAAAACACAACGTTTTTTTTTAAAGAGAAAAACAAATAATAAAAACCAATTATATTTTTATTATATCTATTGTAAATTGTTTGCTTTTAATTAATCATCCAATTATAATAGATAGCCAAAGAAACTAAAAAAAAAATATATATATGAGATAAATTTCTTTCTTATTTTTAAATTTTGTAAAACTATGTTTAAAATACTGATAATTTGATTACTATTATTTGCAAAATTTAAATAATTCTAGTATTATCAAAATAGAATAGATCTCTTTTAATCTATTCTATGATATTATATTTAAGATAGATCAACCCAAAACCAAATGTTAATTAAATAAAAGAATTAATCAACAAAAGAATAACAAAGTTTGTTATTTTCATTTCTTAAAAAAAAATATTAAGTAAAATAATCCACTGCAAAAAATCAATAAACAAGAACTCACACTATTTTATTATCTTAATATATATCTAATATAAATGTCTCTTTACAGGAAATCTAGATCCTGAAACACTCAAAAAATAAAATGCAGATTTGATCTTTCAAACTCACCAACTTCATGGAAGATATCAATCCCGCCTTTTTTTTTTTTACACCGCCAAATTTTTTCTTTTTTTTTTTTTTTTTTTCAAATTTGAACTCGTTGAATATTACTGTAAAAAAAGCAACACTCTTGATATTAATAATAATATTTCACATTGATTATATAATATATAATTGTTTATTTATTAGATTTCAAACAATAGTTAGTTAAACATTTATTTTAATTTAATAGTTAGAACGGATTAAATTAAATAATTATTTGTAAATGTAAGAAATAAAATAATAATGATAATTTAATATTTCTAATAAATCTAAATCAATCAAATAATGATTTAAAAATATATATTTATAAATGATTTCCAATAAATTATCAAAACAAATATGTTTTAATTCGGGAATATCTTTTTTGTTTTTTTTAAAAGATTCATATGAATGTGTGTTTAAATTATTGGAAATCACGAACCATGATCACATGGTTTTCTACCTAATCATTATGTTTACTATTAATATCGTAAACACACATAACAATGACAATTTAACTAATTACAAAAACTCTTTTTATTGTTATAGATAAATCATTTTCAACTTGCTTTTTTGTAATATTTAAATAATTATTGTAGTCGTACATATATAAATAATAAATAATAAGAGAAAAACAATGCAAACAATTATAGAGGAACCAATTTTGAAAGAGAACAAAGATAGATTTGTTTTGTTCCCCATTAAATATGCAGATATCTGGCAAATGTATAAGAAGGCAGAGGCATCGTTCTGGACAGCAGAGGAGATCGACTTGGCCGGTGACATTGGTGACTGGGAGAATAAATTGAATGATAACGAGCGTCACTTTATTACCAATGTTTTGGCATTCTTTGCTGCCTCTGACGGTATCGTCAATGAGAACTTGGCCACCAAGTTCATGTCTGAAGTCCAAATTCCAGAGGCACGTTGCTTCTACGGATTCCAAATCGCCATCGAGAATATCCATTCTGAGACCTACAGTTTGCTGATCGACACCTACATCAAAGACTCTGAAACCAAGCGTAATATCTTCCACGCTATCGACACCATACCGGCCGTCAAGAAAAAGGCAGACTGGGCACTCCGTTGGATTTCCAACTCGAAATCGTTTGCTGAGCGTCTCGTTGCCTTTGCCGCCGTAGAAGGAATCTTTTTCAGTGGATCTTTCTGCTCGATCTTTTGGCTCAAGAAACGTGGTCTAATGCACGGACTCACCTTCTCCAACGAGTTGATCAGCAGAGACGAGGGTCTCCACTGCGACTTTGCCTGTCTGCTCTACCAGAAGCTCCAGAACAAGCTGGACAACAACACCATTGAGACTATCATCCGTGATGCCGTCGCTTGCGAGAAAGAGTTTATCACAGAGTCATTGCCAGTCGATCTGATCGGAATGAACAGCAGATCGATGTCACAGTACATTGAGTTTTGTGCCGATCGTCTACTACTCTCTTTGGGCTACAAGAAGATTTACAACTCATCAAACCCATTCGATTGGATGGAAATGATCTCACTGCAGAGAAAGACCAACTTCTTCGAAGGTAAAGTTTCTGAATATCAAAAATCTGGTGTCGCCAAACAAGGTCAACCAAGTACTTCAGCAAACCCAAACCAACAACGTAAATTCGTTTTGGATGAAGATTTCTAAAAAAAAAAACAAACAAAATATGTATTCAAATAATAATAATAACAATAAAAAAAAAATCTTTTCTAAACAACATTTTTTATGTATTCCATTTATCATTCAATTTAAGTTCTTAATGTTAATCTTTTCTTAAGAAAATATCGATATGTGAATATTATTGGGAAAAAAAAAAACAAAATATTAAATATTATTGAATTTTATCTTTTTTTTAAGAATGACAACTCTGGATTGTAGTCGTGTCTACGACAATGATACTCTGGAGTTTGTTAGTGTGGCTCTATCACACGTTAGCAAAATAAAATTTCAAGGCGATTTTTATCATTCCAAAAATAAATTTAACTTTTTGGAAGTAATCTATGGTTTCGGGTAACTTTATTTAACACATCTTCTGATTTATAGTTATTAATGTTGACAGATTTTAAAAATTCCCGAAAAAAATATTTTGTCAATTTTTTATGTGTAAAATCAGTTCAAAAAAAAAAAATTGTTCTAGAGTTTAATTTAAAGAATTTTTTTTTTTTTGATTTATTTCATATTCTGGTGGTGTGAAATGTTTGGATGAAAATGAATGTGGTCTGAGAGGGGTTAAATAAATATTGAACTTGAATTTATTTTATCCAATATCACACACTCAGTCAAACTAATAAATTTTTGTTATAATATAACTATTTATATTTTTTTATTCAGATATTTAATTAATATATATATTTTAATTATTTGTATAAACAAATCTCAATTCAATTCAATATTTTTTAAATTAACTTTTTCTTTTTTTTTTTTTTGTAAATTTAAAATATATATAACAATGAGTCAATTAAATTTACCAGCATTGGAGAGAGCTGCCTCTGAATCAAGAGGTTTATCTATGGATGCCGTCGCCAAGGCTGCTTCTGGTCATCTCGGTCTGCCTTTGGGTGCTACCGAAATTGGTGCTGTTCTCTTTGGACAAGCTCTCAACTACAATCCAGATGATGTAAGTAACTAGTTAAAAATGAATAAGATGATATTCGAATATATATCTAATGAATGACTATTTACAAATATCTATGTTTATAGACTCATTGGTTGAATAGAGATATTTTCGTTTTATCGGCTGGTCATGGATCTATGTTTTTATACAGTTGGTTGCATTTGGCTGGTTACGATATCTCGCTTGAGGATGTCAAGAATTTCAGACAGTTAAACTCAAAGACTCCAGGTCATCCAGAGTTCCACGATACTCCGGGTGTTGAGGCTACCACCGGTCCATTGGGTCAAGGTATTGGTAATGCCGTTGGTTATGCCTCGTCTGCCAAGATGGCCGCCGCTAGATTCAACACTGAGCAACACAAGATTTTCGATAACCACGTTGTTGTACTTGCTGGTGACGGTTGTCTCCAAGAAGGTATTGCCCAAGAGGCACTCTCGTTTGCTGGTCATCACCGTCTTGACAACTTGATCCTCTTCTACGACTCTAACGATGTCACCTTGGATGCCATGGCCATCGAAACACAATCGGAAGATGCCGTCAAGAGATTCGAGTCACTCGGTTTCGATGCTCAGGTAGTGGTCAACGGTAACTCGATCACAGATCTCTACCAAGCATTCTTGAACGCCAAGAACTCCAAGACCAACAAACCACAAGCAATCATATGTAAGACTTTGATTGCCAAGTCAATCCCAGAGGTTGCCGGTACCAACAAGGGTCACGGTGAGGCTGGTGTCAAGTTTGTCGATGCCGCCAGAAAGGCACTCGGTTTGCCAGAGGAGAAGTTCTTTGTCTCGCAAGAGACTCGTCACTACTTTGCCGATCACAAGAAGACTCTATTGGAGAAGTACAATCAATGGACTCAGACCTACGCTCAATGGAAGTCTGCCAACCCACAATTGGCTCAATTGTTAGAGTCAAGAAATGTTGAGCACAACCCAAGCGAAGTATTCGCCAAGATTCCAGAGTTCAATCCAAAGGAATCGATTGCCACCCGTAAGGCCGGTAGCGAAGTTCTTCAGCCAATCGCCCAAGCTCTCCCATTGGTTGTTTCGGGTAGTGCTGATCTCCACGGTTCCACCTTGAACTACATCAAGGAAGGACGTGACTTTACACCAAGCTGTCCAGGTGGTCGTAACATCAAGTTTGGTATTCGTGAACACGCTATGGGTGCCATGTTGAATGGTTTCGCCTACCACGGAATCTTCAGAGCATCCGGTGCCACTTTCTTGGTGTTCTCTGACTATTGTCGTCCATCGATTCGTTTGGCAGCTCTCTCACATCTTCCGGTGACCTACATCTTCACTCACGACTCTATCGGTGTCGGTGAAGACGGTCCAACTCATCAACCTGTAGAGACTGTCAGTGGTCTCCGTATGATTCCAAATCTCGACGTCATTCGTCCAGCCGATCCAGAGGAAACCGCCGGTGCCTTTGCCTCTGCTTTCACCAGAATGTCAGGTCCAACCTTATTGGCATTGACCCGTCAAAACCTTCCAAACTTGACCATGGTCGATGTCAAAGTTCGTCGTGAGGGTGTTTTGAAGGGTGCATACATTTTGATCAAAGAAACCGGTGCACTCAAGCAAATTCTCATTGCTACCGGTTCCGAAGTTCAACACGCCGTCGAAGCTGCCAAGCAACTCGGTGACGGTGTCCGTGTCGTCTCGATGCCATGCACTGAGATTTTCGATCGTCAATCAAGCGAATACAAAGAACAAGTTTTACCATCATCATGCAGAAACAGAGTTGCTATTGAAGCTGGTGTCACCTCTTTCTGGTGGAAGTACGTCGGTCTTGACGGTAAGGTAATTGGTATCGACAGATTCGGTATGTCTGCCCCAGGTAGCACTGTCATGAAGCAACTTGGAATGTGTCCAGAATCAGTTATCAAGGCTGCCAATGAGTTGAATCAATTAAAAAAAAAAAAAAAAGTATTGATGATCTGGAAACTCAAATCACACACCTTATTTAAATAAAATACTAATAAAATAATAAAACCAAACTAAATGCGCCAACAATTAAATATCAGGAGGTAATGATTTAATACTAATATTATTCTTTATTAAATTGATCGATCAATTCATTTAGGTTGGAATAGATGTTAAATGTACTGGAGTGTTGATTGGTTTGAGTGAAGATTCTTTCTTTTTTCTTTTTTTTTTTTTTTTTTGTGTTGTTGTTGCTAATATGATGATGATGATTATTATTAATTAAATAAATTGATAATTATTGATCCAATAAACCAAAAGGTGAGTTGTTACCTTTCATACTCTTCTTCTTCTTCTTTTTGTTATTTGTTATTTATGATTAAATACCGATTGTCATGGAACAACACTAATTAAATAGTACTATTATTATTTACAAGAAAAATTGATTATAAAATAAAAACATAAACTAAACAAACAATGGTTATCTCTTTTGTTTTTCCTATTACTAACTAGATTGATTGTTATGATGCTCAACTACAACAAACAGATGAATTCTGTACTGGTTTTGGACTTGGTTCTGCTTGACTATTCGATTGGTGGTGTTTCTGCAGTAGTTTCTTGGCGATTTCTAAAAACATTTGATCTATACCTTCGTTGTTCTTTGCCGATGTCTCAAAATAAACTGCTCCTATTTCGCCTGCATATTGTAGTGCTATCTCTCGAGATACCTGTCGCTTTTCCACCAAATCAATTTTATTACCACAAACTATCAAAACTATAGAATATCGGAGATGAATCACTGTAAGTAACATACATCCTATGCAAAATATTACTGATATGGTTGTCTGTACTTACTTATTTCCTCTTGAATATTTGTTTTCAATTCTTCAACCCAGAGCTTAACTTTTTCAAACGACAGAGGTACAGTCACATCATAAACTAAAACAGCTACACAAGCACCTCTGTAATACATGGGTGCCAGTGATCTAAATCTATCTTGTCCTGCTGTATCCCATATTTGAAATTTGATTCTGCTGTTATCTACATATCTATTGTTGATTTATAAAATCGATCGAGATTTACTAATATTAGTCGATCGATCGATCGATCAATTATGCATCAGCATCCGATGTATGTGTTTGTGTATTACATACATATTTTTTGTTAAAAAAGAAGCACCTACTGTCGACAGTGGTCTTGTTGGAAATACACCCTCAGAGTATCTTATAGCTATTGCTGTTTTACCAACATCTATTGTTTTTGTTTTTTATAAAATGATGATTATGTTAAATATTTGATACTATTTATATCCAACAAGATATATGCATTTGAGGTGATTGGTTACCTGTATTACCAAGTAAGACTACTTTTTTCTCTAGCAGAATTGAATTTTCCATGAACAATGTTGTTTTCTGTGTTTGTGAAAAATAAAAATAAAACTAATGCTAAGATATCTTGTTTACTGTTTAATTATATTTGTAGTGTTGATTGGTTTTTATGGATGAATGAAAAATAATCTTTTCAAAAAAATTGTTTTTTTTTCTGACCTTTGCTTAATGAACCGAATGTGAATGAATGTTTGCTTCTCTATGATATCATAGACTTGTTGTTTACTATATAGTAATAATGAATAACTTTATATTGATGATAATTTACAATACATAAATAAATAAAACCAGGATGCTAATTAATTAGAGAGGGTTTAATCTAAACAAATAACAAATTGGTTAAAAACATGATCAGCATGCTGTATAATAATTAAATTAAATGAAAAAAAAAAATAAAATTAAAAATTAATGAATTGAATAAATAAGTTTTAAATGTGTTGATGTTATATATCTGTTGTTACTAGTGGGTTTTTTTTTAATGTTGTTGTTTTTTTTTTTTTTTTTTCAACCCAATGAAGTTAATAGTCAATTGATTCTCTTTAAAATACTAAGACAACAATGATCAACAAATTCAAACTAATATTTATCGAATATAGAGAAGTATATTAATTTTAATTTTTTTTGTACAGATATTCAATTCATAGCATAACCAGAATCGTCGAATTTTGTTTATAAACTCGATTGTCCCCTTGATCATATATAAACTCAATGGCTCTATCGAATTACACCGAACAGCAAGGGACTTTGTTGACCAAATATTATTTTGTGATTAACAAACTTTGTAAATTTGTTTAAACACACAGTTTTAAATTATATGTATTAATCAAAATGCTTCATATCAACAAACCCTACCTATTTTACAATTATTAGTTATTAGTGGGATGATCATAAAACAAGATGATTATTATAGTAGTTGCAATTTTTTATTAAAAGAAAAATATATTTCAAATTAATTAAAAGGAATTGATAAACAATTGTTTTAATCACTATCATTGCAAATAAAAGTATGAAATGGTTTAATAATCCCATGAGGTTATTTATCGAAAACAAACCAGGTTATAACTTTTTTTTTTGAAGTTCATACAAAAAATCTTTCAATCCAAAGATTTAAACCACACAAATTTTCACATTTTTTTTACTTTATGTGAAAATTTGTGCAAAAAAAAAACATGTTGAACACCAATTTTATTCAAATTTAGAAATTAATAAAAAATTTGTAGACTTTAATTTTTTTTAAAAAAAACAAACCAAACACATAATAATTTAAATTATTTTATTTTTTTTAATATATATATTAATATCAGCTTGCTTCGTTTAGTCATTGTTTAAATTTATTTCTCAAAAAGCACACTACCCAAATACATTAACATACCTTACACATAATAAAACAACTCACAAACAAAACAATATATTTGCAACAACAAACATATTAATTATTATTAATTTTAAATTTAATTAAATTTTTTTTTTATTATTCATTTTTTGTACATATATTATAAATAAACAAATAATTATTGAAAAATAGAATGTATAATCCACCACCACCAACATCAGGAGTAGGAAAAGCTAATAATTATTATAGACAACCAACTTCAACACCAGGAATAGGAGCACCAGGAAACCCAACAGTTCCAAACTTTGCAGTACCACAACCATCAATGTCGAAATATCCACCAGCACCATCGCCACAAGGCCAATATCCACCACCTCCACCACCAGGCGGAGCCGGACAATATCCACCACCTCCACCTCCATCGGCACCAGGAGCCGGTCAGTATCCACCACCTCCATCGGCACCAGGTCAGTATGGAGCACCAGCACCAGGACAGTACGGTGCACCATCAGGTCCACCAGCTTCCGGTCCAGGTATCTCATTGCAGAAAGATCAAACCATCTCACTGAGTAAAGAGGATCCACATTTGAGACGTGTATTCGTCGGTCTCGGTTGGGATGTCAACCAAATACCGGGTTACCCATTCGATCTCGATGCCGTGGTCTTTATGCTCTCACCAAACGGTATGGTTAGATCGAGCCAAGACTTTATCTTTTACAACAACAAGACTTCAAGAGATTCTTCTGTCACTCATCAAGGTGATAATCTTACTGGGTATGTAATTTATAACCTTAATACTAACTCATTATTATTTATCATTCGATATTAATATATTAACTAAACTCTAATAGTTATGGTGAGGGAGATGACGAAACAGTTTCAGTTAATCTTCAAGCAGTATCACCGGATGTAACAAGATTGGTGTTTGCAGTATCAATTCACGAAGCAGATCAAAGAAGACAGAATTTCAGTATGGTACAGCGTGCATTCATTCGTGTCGCCAACCATGAGACTGGCAGAAATATTTGTAGATACGACCTCTCCAACGAAGGTGGTTACAACACCGCAATGATCGTCGGTGAAGTATATCGTGAAGGTCCAGAGTGGAAATTCATTGCCATTGGAAAGAGTTTCCCAGGTGGTCTCAGATATCTTTGTCAAATGTTTGGTGTAAATTTAGGATAATTTTAAAAATAAAGAATAAGAAAAAAAAACAAAAAACTAACATTCATTAATATATTTAAAGACAAACTAAAATAAAATAAAATTGTATATCATCAAACAATAATAGTTTTTTTTTTTCTTTATTTCTTTATTGACATGGTAAACCAATATTTCCTTTGTTTGTCTTGCTTTTAATTGTATTTGTATTTGATTTTGATTCCAATAAAGATTGAATTTCATTTGTAAGTAGATCAATGGCATCGAACAGAAGATCCATATTCTTTTCTTTTGCAATACCAACAACTAAATATCTTTGTGTAATACCAATCATTAGACCACTTTCATATTCTGTTTGAGTTGATTTTGCTTGGATATGTCTAGAGTTAGACTGTACAAGATAGTATTTAACACCTGAAATTGAAATCGAAATATAATTCTCTATATTGTCCAATTCATTACACATCTTTAACAAATCATTAATATCTTGTTGTGACATCTCCAGATTCTCAGATGCTACAACCCTACCAAATTCTTTTCTATCAATAACAGCAGCTTTCTCAACACCATTGTTTAACTTTAAAAGTTGTTTAACTTTTTCCTATTTTTCATTTCTAAAAGTATAAGTTTTAAATTTATAAGTTTACCTAATATAAATAAATACTTACATTCCAATTCATTTCCAAATATTTCTATTTCTTATAAAAGTATTAGCATTAATTAATCCAGGATTATCAAGTTTGTTTCTAAAGAAAAAAAAAAAAAAAGTTCAATATTATCTCTAAATCGATTATTGAAGAAAAATTTATGTACATTTTTGGAAATTTCTTTAAAAGTAAATAAATAAAAATTATTAAATATTTATTTAACTCTATACTCTACAAACATAATTCTTTGATTCAGTGATATATCTATTGTATACAGGTACAGATCCACCCAATACTCTTAGAAATTTAACTTGAATATTCGAGCAGTTGAATAGTGGAATATCAAATTCAAGATTGATAGGTCCAATCTCCCTGCGAACACTGCTATCAGAGGATGAATCGAATTGAATTTTTGCTCGCAGTGCAATCTCAATGCCACCTCTCATCTTTTGAATATTCCAATTAATAGTTTGATTGTTTGTCTCTACAGATTGTCCAGATCCTCCAAAATCTAAACTTGTAACACAACTAAAGATAGATATTCGTAAGCATAACGCTTAGTTTAGTAATAATATAGATATTGAATAAGACTTACTTGTAAGTTGATTTAGGTAATGGTATTGTAACATCGATGGGATTGGAGATAACATGTGGTGAGAAGTTTGATCTTAGTTTAACTACCAATTCCAATTTACCATTATCGGTCATCTCCACATTTGAGTTTACCAAGAACGGTGAGTATGTACTATTCGATATTCTATAGTTAAACAAAGTGAATTCACCTTGGGGTGGATGAAAATTGATAACGCTATTGTTTGTTAAACCATTTGGTGCACATTCATGGAAATTACAATCATCTATCAATAGTTTATCAGGTCCATTTGTTTGATTATCATTATTATTATTATTATTATTATTATTTCTAGAATTAACTATTATATCTTGATCGAAACCAATTGATACTGTTGGATTATTCTTTAAATAACTCTTTATAACAACTCTTCCATTAATTTCATTTCTAATTACATTTCCCTAATTGTTATCAAGTAGATATACATTAGTAAATAACAAACATATAGTTGTAATCTATTATAATTTTAATTACATTTGGTGCCAATAAAACAGTTAAATGTTCCCAAAGATCAACATATATACTATCTGTATTAAAATCAATTTGTGAAGGTTGATGTATTGGTCTATTTGCTGTACCAGGTGAAATCGATTTCTTTGTTGCTGTATTCTATTATAGATTTTAATATATTTAATATTTGATATAATCTAAGTAATGATAATAATAATAATAATAATTACAATAAAAGTGTCAATGATTGATTCTGATTTTTCGATTTGTATTTCTGTGGGTGGTGTGAATACGAATGCTTTGAGTGTTTGCGTTGATGTCGCCTGTGGATAACCAAAGTCCATCAGTTCGTCTAAGAGTTCGTAGATCAGTGTAAAGTTCAAACGTATCGATTCTTCGCTGAGATATCCTGTGTAGTCTTGAATGATCTGTGACGTACGATTCAGTAGTTCGAATGCCAACGACGGTGATATCAACGGTTGCAAACTAGTCAGTACGAAATACATCTCTTTCTTCTTTATAAATATATAGTGTATTGATTCTAGATGAAAGCACGGAGTAACATCTGACTTTAAAGAGTTCATTATATTTCTAAAAAATAACTCTGGTGTATTTCTACTTATATCATGTCTATCTATATATATTTATATTTATATTTATATTAAATAAATCAGTCAATCAATCAATTAATCAATAAACTCAACAGAGTCGGATGAAATCAAATCAATCATTAAAATCAACAATTTGTTTGTTTAACATACATTCTTTAAATATAATAGGATCACCTTTATAATTTAAAATAAATAATTGACTAAACATTCTTACAAAAACAGAATAACTAAAAAATATCTACAAGATTATAATTAAATATACAATCATATGATACATTAATAGATACAGTTTATGTTGGTAATGATAAAATTAAAAAAAATCGAATTTAATTTAAAAAAAAACAAAAAAAAAAACTGTTTATCTTTATCTTTGTTCAAATCAGATCACTAATCTAATTATAATAAATAATAATGGATCAAAGTAAGAAAGAAGAGGGTAGCATCGAAGAACCATTAGATCTCATCAGATTGAGTCTTGATGAAAGAATCTTTGTAAAGATGAGACAAGATAGAGAACTTAGAGGTAAATTACATGTACGTATCAATCAATCAATCAATCAATCATTTAATTATGTTTATTTGTTTAGTTAATTAATATAAAATTGTATTTTTACTATAATATGTTACTTATCTTAATAATATTAGGCATATGATCAACATTTAAATATGATTCTATCAAATGTTGAAGAAACAATCAAAGTTGTTGAAAAAGACGAAGAAACAGATGAAGAGATCGTAAAGGTATGATTATACAACACTTATTAATTATTATGCAATTTATAAACTGACAAACTATTGTCTTTTACATCATTTAGAATATCAAAAGAAATATAGATATGCTTTTTGTTCGTGGAGATGGTGTAATTTTAATCTCACCACCACTTAGAACTTCATAAGAATACATTATATAATAAAAGATCAAAACAATTGTAAAAGAAGAAAAAGAAGAAGAAAAGGACGAAGCGCTTCAAAAAAGACCAATCATAATTTTATTAACAGATTAATGAGCTACACATTTACATCATTCAATCGATAAACAAAAGCAATAGATTACAAGACAACACATACACATATTCATCATATACAGATATAATCAATATCACCGTTTGGTTATTATTAAACAAACAAAAAAAAAAAAAAAAAAAAGAGGGTAACTTTTTTTGGAAAATAATTATTATTTGTATGTGATGTTGTAAGTAATAATTAATTACTGTTATATTATTTATTTTACTAATTTTGTTTTTTTATTTCTTTTAATGTGAACAAACAACACTTCATACCACTGTTGTATATCACTAGTGAATGAAAACATATAAATTTTATTATTGATGGTGCATGCACTTGAGCTCAAGTGTGGTGGTGATTATTGGTTTTTTAGTGTGATCATTTATCACTTCACTGTGAGTAATAGTAATGAATTTTAGAAATGCATGTTCGTATGGGTATGATTAGTGGTAAAAACAAAAAAAAAAAATTACATATTGAACCATTACATTCTTACAATGATAATGTTTATTGAATATGAATATGTAGTAATAACTTGTATATATGTTTTTTACACATAATACTAACAAGCTGGCAAGACTAAACAAAAAAAAAAAAACAAAAAACAAAAACAAATAATAATAATATTCAAAAATAATGAGATACTCTCACAATAATAATAGGAGCTCAAAAGGTAAATCAGCATATTACTGAGTAATTCATTCAATCAAATCAATCATTAAAATTATATTTATTAATATCTTTAATAATAATATTGCCATTATATTTATTAATTATCACATCCAACAACATATTATTGAGAGTTGGTTTACTTTATTAATTTTTTTTCCTCTTTTTTTAATAATTAATAATAATAGTAGTTTAATTAAAATTATATAATATAGAAATACTATTTAGATTTAGTATTAGATAATCAGAATTATAAAGTTATTATTAAAATATTAATTACTGGACATTGATCCAGTTACACAAAATAATCACTAAATAAAAAAAGTCATGAGGAAAATAATTTTTATATCAGTACTTTCAATATTAATATTACAGATTGTTGCAGCGGAATCAGGTAAATATAGAAAACAATAACAAAAAAAAAGTTTGAGAATATTATAATATTAATATTAATAATCATTATTTATATATATTTATAAACTTATATATATTATAGATTTTGCAACACCAACCACAACACCATCAACATGTGAAAATTTCAGATGTTTTCAAGGATTGACTTGTGTAATGTTGAATGGAGTAGCTACATGTGTTCAACAACAACAACAGGGATCTTGTAATAACTATCAATGCCAACAAGGTTTCCAATGCCAATTGGTCAATGGTAATCCAACATGTATTCAACAACAACAGGGATCTTGTAATAACTATCAATGCCAACAAGGTTTCCAATGCCAATTGATCAATGGTAATCCAACATGTGTTCCAAATCAACCACCAAAAGACTTGTGTAGTCTGGTGATCTGTCAACCGGGATCGCAATGTATCATGACCAATGGCAGACCACAATGTATTCTCTCACAGCCACCACAAGACTTGTGCAGCCTAGTGCAATGTCAAGAGGGTGCCAAGTGTGTACTTACCAACGGTAGACCATCGTGTGTATTCGTGAGAAACAGTTGCGACGGTGTGCGTTGTGAGGAAGGATCTCGCTGTGTGCTTATCAATGGTGCTGTTCAATGCATTAAGGAGGATCATCCAAAATCGTGTTCCGAATTGAAATGCTCTGGAAAAACACCAAAGTGTATCCTGCTCAATGGTGTACCAACCTGTATCGCTATCTCACCGACACCTGATCCAACCACTTGCACATTGCCATGTCCACTCGGAAAGAAATGTGTCATCGTTCGTGGAAAACAAACATGCATTGAGAAGGAACCACCTCCCCATCCACCCTTGACTTGTGACAGAATCAACTGTCCACCAGGTTTGATCTGTCAAGTCATTGCCAATTACAGTATTACCTGTGTTCCAGAATTCAACACTGCAGTTACCACTAGTGGTCTCGGTTCAATCACTCCAACCTGTGATCAAATCACATGTACCAAGGGTGCATGTGTCATGGTTAACTACCAACCACAATGTATTTTGAACTTGCCAACTTGTGATACTGTCATCTGTCAGAGAGGTCACACTTGTTTCGTATCCAAGAGTGGTGCCACCTGTATCGCAACAATGAAACCACCCAATCCACCACCAGCATGCTGTAAGGCAACCTGTTGTCCAGAGGATATGTTCTGTATCGAGCTGAATGATCAACCAAAGTGTATATACGCCAATCCACCACCAAGACCAGGAGGAAGTGGTCCGTGCCGTTCAGTCAAATGTCCACCTGGAATGGCATGCGCCAACGTCCAAGGAGAGCCAATGTGTACCTACGTCACCGACAGAACCATTTGCAAGGATGTCGAGTGTCCATCTGGAATGCAATGTGTCTCAGTCAACTACGAACCAATGTGTACCTATGTTATCACCGGTGGTACCGGAACCATCAGTGGATCGCCAACAGGAGCATCTGGACATTTCGGATGCAAGTCTGATGCTCAATGCCCAACCCACCAGAAATGTGTTAACGTCAATGGTTTACTTCAATGTGTCGCTCTACCAAGCAAACAAATTTGTGGTAACGTCATGTGTATGGAACCACAATTCTGTAGCAATGTCAATGGTGCCCCAGTTTGTGTAACCGAATCATCCACTGCGCTCTGCAGAGACATGAATTGTCCAGATCCAAGTGTATGTGCTGTCAAGGACAACGTTGCCAAATGTGTATTCTTATCCGATTACCATGAGAACCAAGGTGGAGGTCTATGCGCCGCAGTATTGTGTAATGCTCCAGCAGTTTGTGTCGAGTTCAACAATATGGCAATGTGTCGTTACCCAGCCGCCGGTTTCAGAAAAGGTGTTCAACAAATTGCCGACGGTTACATCCTCGAACTTCCATCCCAGAGAAATAAGATTCCCATGACCATTTACTCCAAGCCATCGGAATGCGACAGTGTTGCATGTGAACTGTGGAATGCCACTTGTATTATGCTCGACGGAACTGCCTACTGTGCACGTGGTGGAGAGGGTCAGTTCTCCGATCCAAACTCACCACATTGTCCACTGATCAGCTGTCCATCTGACACCACTTGCAGAGAGCACAACGGTATCCCATACTGTGTCAAAGTCAATCCATGCAAGACCTTCAGATGTCCAAACGACCAGAGCTGTCGTGTCAACGAAGACAATGAACCATACTGTGCCTCACAGAATGCCAGTGGTTGTACCGGTATCACTTGTTCCAAAGGCTACCAGTGTCATGACGGTAAATGCTACCGTGACTGCAGTACATTTGATTGTCCAAGCCGATTCCATAAATGTATAATGGTTAATGGAGCAAAGAAGTGTGTATAAATCATAGGTGAAAAAATATTTTTTTTTTTTTTCTAGATAACAAATCAACAACAATTGAAATCAATACCAAACATACAAAAAATGGAAAACTATTATAAAACCTAAAAAATTAAATAAACTTTATAATTTTAATCAAATTTTTTGTATTATTTATTTATTGACTTTGAAACTTTGGATAAACCCTTGGGATTCCAAGCTATATCTTATTTTGTGCTTTTATGGATACAATAATCAATGTCTTTATAGCTTAATTTTTCTTTGTATACAGTTGTCGTGCCCATGAGTTCAATGGGAAAACCAAATAATATTAAGAAAATCTTAAGAATTTAGAATAATTTAGGTGATATTTTACTTCCAAGACATATTGATTAAACTCACTTTTATAAATATATAAGTTATTTGAATGATTTCTTTTTTAAAAAATCAAATATTTTTTCAATTTTCTATCTTTTAAAATTTATATATATTAAATAAAAAAATAAATAAAATGATCAAATTGTTATTTGATCTGATTATTTGTGATTATGTAAAACTTTCACCCCAACACGTTTAGATACATCTGAAAAGTTTTTTGATCAACTACCACAAAAAAAATAATGATAGTATTAAAAATAAGGGGTGAAATGGGGTTGATTGTTTATAGAATTGTATTTTAATGACCATCATATCATACAAAAACTTGGAGGTGGTCTCAATCTTTAAAATAAAAACATTGTAGTTAAAAACAATATGATCTAAAGCTTGATTAATTTAGTGAAGATTGAACAAACAGATTAAAATTCCAAAAATAACAATCAACTATTTTTAATAACTTTTTTATTAATAACTAGCTATTTTTCTAATATCGGTTCTCATAATAAGAGAAAAAATATTTTTTCATTGATTGATTTTTAGGAGTCATTGTCAATTCTCAATCCATTTTGTATAGATTCAAATTTGTAGAAATATTATTTGTATAATTATTAAAGAAAATGAAAGAAATCTGTATTTTTATATTTATAAACTTTTTATCTTGTATATTAGCCAACAACTATCCGTCATATGCAGGTAAATATTAAATATTGATTTAATGGAAAAAAAAACAATCTTTATACTTATTATTAATTTTTTTATTAAATTTAGGACCACCTTATTTATACAACAGTGGAGGTGAAGCAACTGGAACACATTACGATTATCCACAAAATGGAAACTGTGGATATGGAAATCTATTTGGTCGACTAGGTCCACATACAAACAATATTGTTGCTGTGAACACTCATCTTTTTAATAGTACACTCCAGTGTGGTCAATGCTACGATCTATTCATTAATAATAAAACGTTGACCGTAATTGTAACCGATCAGTGCCCAGATCCAGGTTGGTGCGACAGCCATCACACTCATTTTGATTTGTATAAACCTGCATTCGAATTGCTACAAGATCCAAACATACTTGGAACCATGTCAAATATTACATTCAAAAAAGTTCCATGTCCTATCCAAGGAAATATTCACGTCTATCTAAAACCTGGTTATTCGCAATACTATCAATCTATTTTAATTTTTAATCATACTAGTAAGTTTTTCATTATTATTATAAGAGCTACTGGTTAATGATTTAAAAAATAACTAATTATTTCTTATATTATTTTATAATTATATAACAAATAGTTGGTATCGAATCAGTTGATATATTAAAAGAGAATACTACTCAATACACACCGATGAGACGTACTTTCGATAACCATTGGGAACCGGTTGTCTGGGGAAATCCAGGAAATTCTTACAAACTTAGAATTAATTCTGTTTTGGGTGAATCTGTAGTTGCAATTATTGACCAGCCATGCTCAGATAAACTATATGATTCTGGTGCACAATTTTCTCGAATACCTGGTCCCACTGATGGAATCAATCCATTTTACTCTATGGATACTACTTCATCTGCCAACACTCAACCTACCTATTCTATCACTCATATTGTATTACTATTCCTTTTATTTGTAATATTAAATATTAACTTTAGTCTATATTAACTATTATAGTTATATTTTTAAAAAATATATAAATAAACAAATAACTGATTATGCTAGACTAACTTTCCACTTTGATCAAATTGATCATTAAAAAAAAAAATGAAAAAAAATTTTTTTTTTTTTTTTTTTTTTTTTTGGGTTTTGTGCATAATCGATTACCTAACGTTTTTTAAGAGTATCAGTGTTTGTTTGTTGTTGTTTGTTTAATATACATTAGAAAATAAAATGAATATTGATAAGATATTTAAATTAGCTAAGGGATTCTATGGAAGATCAAAGAATTGTAAATCATTGGCAAGAGAAAGAGTAGAGAAGAGTTTAGAGTACAACTACGTCTCAAGACGTCTCGTCAAGAGAGATATGAGATCAATGTGGATTCAACGTATCAATGCCGGTGCAAGACAACACGATTTAACTTATAACGCATTCACCAGAGGAATGGTTGCCTCAAATATTCAAATAAATAGAAAGGTAAACATAAATAATCATCATGTCAATCAATTATCATGATTTCAAACAAATTTACAATAGAAATAATAATATCAATAACAACGGTGCATCAAAGAATGAATCAATATTAATGTTGATTTAGGATATACTATATTATGACAACAAAATAGCACACACATTAAACTTTTTATATAAATATAAATTTTGTATATTAATACTATTATTATGATCGGCTTTGACCAAAATAAAAATGTTATAGATTCTATCAGAGTTGGCAATCACAGAACCATATAGTTTTAAAGCATTAACAGATTACGCTAAAGTTACACTCTCTAAATTACATGGAACATCTTATATCCCAAAACAATAAATATAGTAATAATATATAAATAAACAAATACAAATTAATCATAATAGTTAAGACAATGACAAAATTAGTTCTATTGTTAAACAGCAGTAATATTACAGCGGAATCAAAAAAAAAAAAAAAAAAAAAAAAAAGAAGAAAATAATAATTATGATATACGATATCGTATTTTGGTTTATTATATAATGTAGGGTTTTTTTGTTATAACTTTATAATATAAAGTTATTTAATGCGTTTATATATATGTATATGACTCGAATGAATATATTAAAAAAAATTACTAATTTTTTTTTTTATGGTGAATTTGAACCGATTTGTTTCATTTTCATTTCTTGTCGATATTTCCTGTTGGCTATTGATTTACGTATACCAATGACCGATGCAACGATGATGGCGCAACCACCGATAACACATACAACGATGATAGTTATATTACGCCAGCGATTGTCCTTACCGGAGCAGCTCTGTGTGTCTTTGGTGTTGATCAACGTTCTGAACGATGGATCGACTACACAACGGTGCTCGAATGCCGGTGACACGACTGCTGTCATCTGAGTGAATAGAGATTGGTTGCCTTTGTTGGCTGCTTGCATCAGTGGATCGCTCATATCCAGTGGGGTTACGGTGGCAACTTGAACACGATTGTCTACGATGAGACCGTTGGCAAACTTTGCCTGGAGTACAGAGTCACCTGCAATCACCTGGAATTCATTGTATCCATTGGTTGCGGTAGAATCTTGAGTGCTACATCCTACCTCTGTTGATTTTGGCGCGGTGGCACTGAATATAATCTGTAGGGAATTGAGCGGACTGGCAAATGTCCAGTTTCGCATGGCAACGACATATTTGAGTGTATTGGCGGGAATATCAATGGTTTGACCGGCAAATTCAATGGTTGTAGATTGCAAGTAGAGCGTAACATTTACAGAGATAACGGATTTTGATACATTTCCAAATGTACCTTCTAGTTGTTGATGTGTCTTGTTAGATGTTTCCAAGAGTGTCCAGTTGGCAACAACCATTGGAAGGGTTGTTTCGATCAATGGCACACTCTTGTCGTCAATCTCACGAATATGAGTGATGGCCGAGGTGAAATTGAATCCCTTGCCGTTGAGGCTACCGGTACCGTTGGTTCCAGGAGTTGGGGGACCACCGGTATCTCCTTGCGACGAGCAGTTGTTGTAAAGCTCCCAGCCCTTATCGCATTTACACTGACCTTTGATGCAAACTCCATGATTGGAACAATTGTTTGGACACTCTGGGAAATCGTATCTAAAGACGTTGGCTCCTCCCGTCAATCCATTGACTGTGACATTTACGAAAAGACCATCTGGACTGTTGAATCCATCGACAGTTCCAGTGAAATTACAAACAATTTGTTCGCCGACCACATCGGATACCGGGTTGAGACAAGATTGGTTGTGAATCTTTACGGAGAGATAATAGTTACCAAAGTAAGATCCAGTAATAGTTACAAATCCACCCTTGAGATACTTTACTGTTGTGGCATTGGTAACAACTGGTGCAGAGTAACCAAAGTTGTATGGTGTTTGAGCACTATTGTTGGTGGCTGCATCAAGTGAGATACTTGCAACATCAGTTATGTTTCCAGGTGCCATTACACATGTGAATTGCTTGTGTTGAACACTCATTGAAACACCAGTGCATTGGTTGGGACCGACTTTGAGTGTAATTATAGTGTCATTAATATAGAAATTGGTACCAGTGACTGTTACTAAACCACCTGCTGCGCCGATTGGTGTCATCGATGTAATTACTGGTCTTTCATAATCAAGAATATAATTGATCGATTGTTTTAAACCGATGGTGATTCTGGAATTTCTGGAACCAAAAGAAACTGGAGCATCACAACGAATTTGATAGTAATCTTGCAAGACTTGGCAACTAGTACATTGGAACCAATCGCTACCGATTTGTACCTCCATCTTGATATTTTGAATTTTGTCGGTAAAGTTGGTTCCCGATACTACTAATCCAAGACCATCGGTTGCCAATGGGCTGGTATTTAAAATATTCGGCGAGAAATAATCTATGGTTAAAGATGATCCAGTATTATTCAATCCATATTGGTTGATTGTTGCATCGAATGGTCCATTAATACCTGGTGGAATATTGAATCCAATGGTTTGGGTGTCATAGTCAATGTAGGTATTTGGATAACTATTTCCATCACTCAACATCATCTTGATATTACTGAAAGTGGTACCAAGATTCTGAACTGTCAATTGTACAAACTGACCTGTGGTGGAAACTAAAATAATTGTTGGTTGAGTAATATTAACTTGTTGACCTATATTTATAAAGAGAATATTAGCCAAGTTTTTATTTTAATAGAACATATATCTAATACTTACTAACTGCTTTAAATGATGTGAATGCTGAACCAGAGGTTATGTCTGGAGAAATAATTTCGCTAGCAACTCCACTTCTAAGACTGAATTGTACACCTGAAGCATTATAATATGAAGTCAGAGGAGAAGAAGTCCAGAATGAAGTTTCTTTTCCATAGTTTGGTCCGTGAATGGTATAGTATTTGTTGGTTGTTTCATTAAAGATGGCATTCATCCATAAATCGCCTAAAGGTTGAACTACTGCATTTTCAATAATGTATCCACATCCACTCTTTAGGAAATTATATTGGGCTGAAGAAGATACAATACCAAGAACTCCAGGCATTCCTTCAACTTTTTGTGAATTTATATACTCAACGGTTTGACTAATACTTGTTTTCGAATAAAAACAAGTATAAAATGAACTGTCACTATTATAAACTATTAAAACAATGTTAATAAATATCAGATTTTTTTTTCTATCTACTAGTATGGGATACATACAAAATGGTGCTTTTGTGTAAGCAGCTCCAAAACTATTTACACTAATGGAAACCGGGAAAAGTCCTTGGGTGACATCTTTGGTAAGTGTACATTGAAAAGCGGTTCCTTCCTTCAAAATTTGAATTTTGTTACAAGCAACATTTGGAGGTAAGGAGACTTGAATCTTGGCTGGATTATTTCCAAATCCATTTCCAGTGATCGTTAAATTTGAGTTTTGTGTGAATCCTTTGGGATACAAAGTGGCAACGTATGGTGGAAGGTACTGGTATAGAGATGCTCCATTGTATTCTCCATCGACGAAAACAACATTATAGAGACTACTCTCTCCAGGTGGCATAATGCAAGTGATTCTATTGGGATTTGTAAGGTAGGTTGGATTAGCACACTCAAATGTTGGACCTCCGGATACTTTGGAAAGTGTAATAGTTAAGTTGCTAGGTTCATATCCTATAGGGAATTGATCGTTGACCAAAACCGTTGTTAAACCTCCAGAAATTGGACTAGGTTGCAAGAATGGCTCGTACTGATTATAATTCTTCTCGCATATATATTGAATTCTTCTGGTGTCTGTACCGACATTATTGAAACAAGTTCCTTCGCTGAAATATTCGATGGCTGGTTCTCCTCCTCCAACACCTGGTTCTCCAGTACACCAATTAATGTATCCAAAGGTCTTATCTCCGGCTACTGTGTACATTTGTGCGTCTTTCTCTGGTCCAGTTGAATAAATCCAATTTCCAATTGGTTTTTCTTGTCCTATTTATTATTTATAGAAATTAATTCTATGTCCCTCATCAAAAATTAAAAATTAACGAATATTTACCTGAAACCCACATTCTATTTGAAACAACTCCTGGGAAATTGTCATACAAGAATTTATACTCGGCCAAACTAGTAATAGTAACTAAATATCTGGTTTATCATTATAAGTATAATGGAAAAATTTTAGATCAATTTATTCTATTAAAAAAATACATACCCTTGAGCTGAAGCACAATTTTGAACTGCTACACTATAAATGACAGTACTATCATAATATATATATGTATGTTTATTTTGTGCCCAAGTTTTTGTTACTGTTTGGCAAAAAGAAACTGATATGATTAAGAAAAAGAAATACAATGTGATAAAGTATTTCATTTTTACAATATTTTTAATATTATACAATGTAAACTTGTGAAATGTTTTTTTGAAAAAATAAAAGGTATTCAACTTCAAATGAAGTTGATGACTAAATTATTAATTATCTATAAATATTATATGATTGTAAAAGTGTAAAAAAAACTATTATTTGTTAGATCTCAAAAGTTCGAAATAAAAAAATGATTAAGGAATAGGTAAAAAAAAATGGCATTGTTGTAATTTACAATTGTGACTCTGATGAAATCAAAAAGACATCCTATCCTATAGGATGTGTGGGAGATTTGAGTGTCGCCAACAATTGGATCAAAGATGATCTCTCAAAGTGTTGGTATGGGTACTTTAATTTAAAAAAGTTAAATGCTTATCTTTTAGTAATACAAGAAATTATTATAGAAACCATTTTTAATTCCTTTTTCAATCTCGATGTACATGTTCCAATTTCCAAAAAAATTCGCCATTAATATGGAGGGCGCCCCTCGGAAATGAGGTGCGGGAGTGTGTTTGTTGAAAGAAAAAAAAAGCTTTTGATAAAAAGCCTAAAAAAAAAAAAAGTTTCCAGATATTTTTAAATATTAAGTTTTTTTCGTTTGATTTTAGCCCAAAAATATATAAAAATTCCCATTACTTTGTTGCGGTTTGCGATGGATTGAATTTTGTTTTGAATCAAACAACTTGTAGAACCACCGTTTTTACGGTACAAAGGCATTTTGATTAATCACAACAATGAAAAGCTTGCGGGTGTCATCTGTGGAACTGGTTTTTGGTTTTTGTTTTTTTTTTTTGTTTTATTTTTGAACTTTTTAAAAAAATTAACCAAATGCCGTTCAAATCTTGATCTTTGAAGGTTTTTAATTTTCTGTGACACAGTATCATTCTCATTAACGTCATCACTCAATTCTTCATTGTTGCAACAAAAAAATACATTCTTGAAAATCGTATTACTATAAAAATACAACTAAATTTGTCAACAACACTTCCGAGAATAATAAAATTGGTGAAGGAACATGTTGTTCAAAAGGCCTCATCACCATTTATTAGATTCCATCTATTTCGCCTCTACCAATTTGATGACGTCTATGAAATCCTGGTTGTAAAAAAAAACATTACCGCAAGTTGTAAATATAACTTAAGATAGACAATCATATATCTTTACTTTTTGAGCATGCATGTACCAAAGATATATAATTCCGACATAATTTCTTTCGAAATCCCACAATACAAATAAAATATTAAACAAAAACACAAAAATTTAATTCCAATGGGACACCACCTGTTTCACTATGATCTATGATGATCATCAACAATAATATTTATTTATCAAAAAAAAAACAAAAAAAATCACTGATTCTAATTTTTTAGATTGTTGTGATTTGTTTTTGTAAATAATATTCTTCTTCTTTTTCTTTGTATTTTTATTTTATCCAATCATAAATTTTAAACATATTAAGATTAAGTTTGTTCTTTTCAGCTGAAAAGAAAGAAACCTTACTTTTTTTTTTCTATTTTTTATTAAAAGGGAACTTCGAAATTCTATAGTATAAAACTGGCTACTCTTACTTTTTTTAAAAAACAATTTTTTCTTTGTACAGATAAACATAATGAAAGTAAAGTAATAGTTGTTATAGTTTTTTTAAATGTTGTTGATCACCTATTTATGATTGAAATATAATTCAGCAAGATACTTTGTTTATAAAATCAACAACTAACAAACTAGTTCTTATTATTAAAAAGAACAACAATGATTATTATAATAAAAAAAGGGTTTCCAAAGCAAAAAGATTTTGCGGAGGATAATTTTTCATTTTTTTTTTTTTTAAAATTAAAACTAAAATTGGTTTTTGGATGCCTATCATCGCCCTTGGTATCGACTGATTATTAAATAATCAATTTTATGTTAACCAAACAGTATTTTTTTTAGTTTTTCTTTTTTTTTATTTTTTTTTTTTAATTTTTAAAATATTATATTATTTAATTATTATTTTTGACAAATAATTAATTTGATCATTTTATTTACATCTCTGTAATATATAACTTTATAATCACCCTATAGATTTAATTGGTGATCAACATTTTATTTTTCACCCACCTTTTTAAAGCCACAAACACAACACATATCAACACCGCCACATCAAAATCAAACAAACCAAACATAGTAACGCAAAATTTTATTTTAAGCAATAGAGATAGAATAGCGAATTGTTAAATTATATATAGAGTTTTTGTTGTTGTAATAGTAATATATAAAAAAGATTTTTTTTAAGAAAAGATAAAGATGTCAAATGAATTTTCATCAGATCAATCATTTGGTATGTAAAAAGAAAGAAAAGAAAGGAAGGAAGGAAAGAGTTGAAAGGAAAATAGATAACTAAGCAAGATCAAGAAGAATACTTATACTTTTTAATCTATATAATATGATAATGATATATTAGCTCAACATCTTTTGGAGCAACTATCAGAGAATATCAGTCAGCTGATATTGATGGTTGTGATGCTGCAAGAGAGAAATGCAAATTTACCAGTCGAAGAAGTTGTAGGTGTCATTAGGAGAAGTGTAGATCGGATCATCATTGAGTAGTAACTAACATTTATTAACTATAGTCTGCAGTCGCAAATGCATCTGCTTCAGTTGCAGAGATATCGGCAGCATTAGCAAATGAAGAGTATCAAGATTATCCAGATATAAAGAATGAGATATTAGAAGCCTCAACAAGTATGTTTTTAAACACATAATAATTATAATAATCATAATCACAATATAGATATAAATCAATCGAAAGAACCAAAACGTTGAGTATTGGAATGCAGAGATAGATAGTAAACATATGTTCAATTCCATTCATTTCGAAATTGAAAAGACACTCAATCAACCACTATTCCATTTTTAATGATTTTCGGATTAAACTTGATTGATGTGATGTAAATTTTAAAATATATTAGATAAATAGATTTAAATAGCGCATGATGTATTTTTTTAAAAGCTTGGAATTAAATTAATAATGAATGGATGAAAGAAATAATACATATGTTTATCGATATATTGTTATGCTTTAAAAATAATAGCAAAGTATTCAATTTAATGACCAAAACTATATATTAATAACTATTACAATTGAAATCATAACAATAGGAATGGAAGTAACAAAAAAGAAAGCATTAGATTCAATTCAACAATTTTCCAGTCAAACCGATAAGAAGAAAGCATGGACCAGTGTATCAGAGAGTTGTCGCTCCATTGGAAATGAAACCATTAAAATTTTACATATTGTATATGGAGCTGAAATTAAAAGGTAATTAATCTATATATTTGGCTTTTAAATTTCTTTTTAATTTATTAATTTATTATAAATATATTTAATTAGATTGTTAAAAAATGCAGAGATTGCAAGATTGGCAGTGGAATCTATTAAAATACAACATCTTCAAGAGAATCCACAGGATTTCGCTGATAACGTATCAAACTCTGTATCAAAGATATTTCAATTTGCATCGTATCTAAAGTTGAGAGCGAATGATGAGATTGCTCCATCGGTCAAGTCAGAGCTCATTAGAAAAGCAGACAAATTGGTGGAGATTGGAAATAACCTTATTGGTGCGACCAACGATTACTTGGGTTCCGAACAAGCAGAGACAGGAGTAGTCGATCCATCGACTGAACGTCTTCTCAATCAATACTTGGCGGACATGCATACCGTCATCAAGAGCAGTGAACAAGATATCAATGAAATTGCATCAAAGAATATAATGAATTTAATTACAACTACTTCATCGCCATCAAACAACAACAGCAATAATAACAATAATCAAATTATTTCAAATGCAATTAAAGAAAGAGATGCAATTTTAGATGAAATATTTAAGGCTACTTCTAAAGCTGTTACGGAATTGTTGGCGGCTGGATATAAGGGTGACAGTTCAAGTGTCCGTGTTATATCTTCGTCGTTGGACACTTTGGCTGGAATCTTGTCGTCGAAACTCAAGACTTTGCCAGCTGAGCAGCAACAAGCATTCGCTCAAATTCTGGAGAGACTTTTGCCAGCCACTGCCAAGTATATATCAGTAATCGGAGACATCGTCGACAACCCAGGAAATACACAGATGCTAACCAAAGTGAATGAACCATTGGACGACCTACAGGACATTCTCCATCAGTTGGTAGGTGCCATCGGCAGCAGGGAGCAACAGCTCCTCAATATAATCCGTTCGAAACAAGATTGTTTGGCTATTCTGGCGGGTGCCAACGATCCAAGTGTTATTGTTGGAACTCTCAAGGCACTGACCAGAAATCACAATAAAATGGAGCAACTCGTCACCGCTTCCGATCCCCAAGAGATTAGCAATGCCGTCAAGCAACTCGCTGTGCTCCTACCACAACAAATTCAAGTGGCCAAGGTGTATCTTCGTGATCTCGGAAACAATGAAGTCCGTCAACAACTCCGTGATATAAACAGTGACATGTGTACTCCTCTTGCTCATATCGTTTCTCTGATGGATCCGACCATTGACAATGAAGCACGTGAAGCATACACCAAGGAGCATTGTTCCAGTGCCAAGATTATCGAGGCTGCCAAACGTGGAGATGCTCGTGCAGTCGATGCCTTGGTTCGGGAGCTCGAACAGGTCGTTTCCAACCTGGTGTCGATCTCAACTTCCGAGACAACATTTGACCCAACCGCCAACAGCGCAGTGAGCGAAGTTTCGGAACAACTGATTTCGCATCTCGCCAAGCGTCGTGGTGTCGCTGCTCAACTCTGTAAGAATCCAAATAATCAACAGATTCAAATGGAGTTGGAACTTTTAAACGACAAAATCGGACAGTTGACACTTGCCGTGTCAGAGTCGGTGTCGTCGGACATTGGCGTCTTGCTCCACAAGCTGTACGACGCCAGTCGCGATGGACAACTTGCAAAAGTTGAAGCATTCATGAAAGAGATTAGCAATAAGACATCGATTCCAATCCACACTGTAAATACACAAGAATCCATCAAGAAGGATTTGCATCTCTACAAGATGTTCAACGGACTTGCAAGCGACCTGACAAGTTTCGTCGGACTACTCTCCAAAGAAACAAAAGGACTACAGCCAAACAAGGTGAATGAAACCGATAGACTAGAGTATTTAGGTGGACAAATTAAGGGTAGATTCAATGAGTTGACGCAACAATTGAAACAACACCAAAACGAGCAACAACTGAAGCGTCTCTCGAGTATCTCTAGCAACAGCAACGAATCAACTACTTCCTCCTATGAAGACGATACGCTAACCGAGGAGGAGCCAACAGAGAAGAAGATTCTCCAGTTGTTTGGCGAGTTGATGCAACACATCAGAAAGTCAGAGGCAAACAAGTCAGTATCAACTCTCAAGGCGATGATCAGCGAGCAGGAGAAACTCATTAGTAAAGCCAACGACTTGATGCTCAAGACCATGAGTCCACACTTTAAAGCACAGATTGAATCGAGTATCTCATTGTTTAAGAATTCCATTTCTCTGGCAATCTCAACTGCTGGTAAAGTTGCCAAATCCTCTTCACCCGTACCTTTCAATGCCACTGCATCTTCTTCCGAGGACATCCTCAACAAATGTATTAGAACAGTGAAGCGATCGATTGTTGAACTCGGTCATCTGTTGAAATTCAATTCTCACATCGAGGTGGTTGCCGCCTATCTCTTCTTGACTGGCGCCAGCAGTGTTTCCGATCCAAATGTACAGCGTGCACTCCGACACTTTAAGGAGTTTGCCATCCACTTTAAGAGCACACCCAAAGTAACCGATCTTCTCAGTAAGATTGACCACTTTACACTCTCACCAACTTCGCTCGATGCCATGTTTGAAATCCTCTTGCTATGCCAATCTATTGTGCAAGGTGCATCCGCACACCAAACCAATTCTCGTTACCACATCCTCACTGCTTTTGAAATGGAGAAGTTTGATTCCATCTCTGGTTCCATTCACAATATCGTTGAGCATCAGACCGATCTTATCAAACAGGCATCCGATTACTTGGCAACCATCCAGCCTACCAAGTTGGATGATGCAACACGTCGTTTGTTGGCTGCAAGTTTGCGAACCGTCCAAGAATCACTATCGCAGCAAGTGGAAGCAACAATAATGGTTGTAGATCGTCAGCCAAATGCACTGGACAAGTTGATCACTGTTCACGATGTCATTCGTGAATCCGTAGAGAATGCTGCCAGTGCCATATTCAACGCTTATCAACCACAAATTGAAGTGGAAGGTTTGATTAGTCAATCGATATCCGGATTCATTCCAACCCTATCACTCAACACCTCAAAGGCAATCTCAACCGGTAACAACGCCAACAGCATCCAACAGAAACAACTCGATCAACTAGTTTCTACCATTGTCGAACCTCTCGAACAACTGGAAGTAAGCAGATCTGCTCAACAACGCAATCAAGATGCGACACAAGAAAGAATTCCAGCTTTGGTGAGAGAGGAGAAGGATTTGATTAACAAACTACTGTCGTATCTCGTTGACACTGACACTCAGGGAATTGTAGATACTTCTAGAGCACTTGTAAAGTGTCATCACGAGTTACTTTCAGTTGCAGAGAGTTCCGCTAAAGACGATGTCAAGGAAGCAATCAAAGAGACATGTCACGAACTCACACAACTCATTCCACAACAACTCTCAACTATTAAGCAAGCATTGCAATCAAACAACGACCAGATTGAATCACAACTCCAGCATAAATCCAATCACATTGCCAACCAAATCAAACGTAATATCAACCTGCTACAAGAGTTGACTGTACCTTCATTCGGTGCCAAGTTGGCCAGTGGAAATTTCCGTGCATTTGGCTCCAAACCGCTTGGTGTTGGCGAACAAATGAAACAACAGACCGTCCAGTTGAGATCGACAGGTCAATCGGCAATCGATTGTGCATCGCGAGATTTACCAATGATCATCGATCCAGAGCGTCAACAACGTATCAGAGATGCAATCAAAGACTTGGAGAATCGTCTAAAGAACAAAGCCAACGGACAATGTCTGGATGCATCGATCAGTAGCTTGTTGAATCAGCCAAACGATAAGGATGCTCTTGCCCAATATGAAAGTTCCAAACAGTCCGTACAGGAATCCATTGATAATCTAATGAACGAACTATCCTCTACATCACAACAGCTACTGGTTACTCAACAACAGAATATCCATTCACTCTCGATTCATGCAGTTCGTGGTAGTTTCAACAAGTTGATCGAATCCTCAAAAGCAATTCTCAATCACCAACAGAAATTGAAACAACAGATTCAGAAGGATCTACAACAGATTCAAGACCCAACCAAGAAACACCATATCTTTGTGTCGCTAGGTGAGATTGATTTGTTGATTCCAGAGATTATCAAGGCATCGAAGGATCTTACATTCAACCCAACCGATCATAAAAAGAGAGAGACACTCGAGATGCTACAGACCAAGATGGAGTCACCCATTTCCACTATCCTCTACGAGTTGAACTCATCGAGAGCCAATCTCTTTGACCAACTGGTAAAGAGTCATCAGTCCACCCTCGTAAAGTTGGATGACGCCATCAAGAGCAACAAACGTGACGACGCTGACACTCATCTCAAATCGTTGGAGGTCATTGAAGGAAAGCTTGTTACTCAACTCGAAAAGGATCAATCCTCTCAAATTGAATCGGTTCTACAAGAGCAACTTAAAGAGGTAACCAGAGTATCAAAGGAATGTCTTCAGCAACAACAACAGCAACCAAATGCAGCATTGGAAGTTGAGAAAGACTATCGTATCTTCAACTTGATGTTGACTGTAAGCAGTCTTGTTCTCAGTCAATCGATTGCCAGCAACGCTATCCCAGCCAATACACTCGGTGATTCGAACGACCAAATCAAGAACATCCTAAACTCTGTAAAATCCAACAACGTTCTCAATCTCACCAAGAATCCAGAGAAAGTTCAAAAATATGTTTCCATTCAGAATGGCGGTGTTGCTCAGCCACTTCCAATGTCACCAAGAACCGGAAGTGTCTCTTCGTCCAGACCACAGAGCATGCAAATCAATCAAATTTCCAAAACTAAACAACCACTTAAACTTTCAGGATCAAATAATAATAATATAAGTAGTAATAATAATAATAATAATAGTGGAAGATTAGAAGATTCAGTTATAAATGTTGCAAATAAGATTGGTGTTAATGGAATGGAACAAATGAAAAAGATTTCCAAAGAACTATCGCAATATGCAGCTCATATCAAGGCAAACGAGAGACCACAGATGATTCAAAGTGGTAGAACTATTGCAACACTGTTGAATGAACTCTGCACAGAGATCACCAACATTGCCAAGACCTGTAACGTCCCACATCTACAAACCAAACTCTATCAGAGCGTCAATGCACTAAAGACTATTGGTTGCCAAATAAAGATTCTCTCTGGTGTCAAAGCTGCATCCGACGGACAAGATCCAGACTCTGACTCTCAACTCTCCTCATTGATATCTGCACTAGGAAATAATCTACAAGATATCAATAATTGTATAAACACAACAAATACTATAAATCATAATAGTAATAATGGAAGATTAAAATAAATAAACAAATAATATATATAAAACATTACTAGAATAAATTATATAGTTTATTAAAAATTAAATATTATTATTATTGTGTTTGTTTGTTGTTTGTGTTTTTTTCACTTTTTTATTTTTATTTTATACATGAGATGCTAAACAATGATTTAATTCTTTTTCAATACGATCTTTGTTTGCCCAATAACTGGCACTTGTTCGACTTCCCAATGCTTCATAGTCTGGTTTGTAGTTTCTCATTACAACTTCGAGTTCTTTCTTGCAATATTTCTTTGCGTCCAAAAGTTTTTGGTGACCGAATTTTGTCTCCCAATAGAGGTGGCTCAATCCTTCATACTCTGTCATTGTGCTCGGTTTGTTTGGTCTGTTCATAACTTTATTCTTGGTGTCAAACGGTATCAATGACTCTGTTATCTTGTGTCCCTTGACATCATTGATTCCCTTCTGTTGGATCCAAGAGAGCATCGATGAATCCATATGATTGAAAGCTGATAACACTATCAACGATAACAACACAGCCAAGACAGCTGGAAACAATGTTCTAAATGTTTCATTGAATGTTATTGTTTGTTGTTGTTGTATTGATCTCTTTGGGTAAATACCCGGACGAGATTTATCATAAACATGATGAGTTGTATGAGTTGTAGATGACATATTTTTACTTAAATAAATTTGGACTAATTATAAATATTTTAAAAAATATACACTACTAATTATTACTAAATAATAAATAAATTTAAATAAATAAAAAAAAAGATTTAGTTTATTTTTTTTAATAACTTTTGTTAACTAATATTTATAGATTTAAATGATATGGTATATGTTTTGGATAGACACCAAAATAATCTCTTAAAGCAACTATAGTTTGTTTGTTTTTGTGTTTTTTCTTGTGAACAACAACAAAAAAGAGTACAACTTAAACTACTAAAATTACTATTCAGTTAATTAAAATAATTTCCTTTTTTTTTAGTAGATGATATTTTTACAAGTTCAATATAATAGTTTTTAATTTTGAAAATGTTTTAATATTAAAACTTTCCTTTTTAGTAAAAAATTAAAAAAATTAAAAACCAACCAAAAACTTTTTTAGGGAATTTTTTTTTTTAACTTTGATAAAAACTAGATTTTATTCGTTTCAATTACATTAATCACATCAAAATTGCTTTTTGTTTAAACAAATAATAGTTTTATTATTCTTTTTGTAAAAGTAAATTTTTGAGAAATATAAATTAATTGTAAACAAAATAAATGGTTTATTCACTTGAAAACAGAAAAAAAATTATTAAACTGTCCTTTTTGATTTCAAAAAAAAAAAAAAAGTTCTTTACTTACTGCGTAAACCCACAAACCAAATTTGCCCGAAGTCTTTCATAGAAAATTTATCAGTCGTCCATTTTGTTTACGATTAATTTATATTTTCTCATAAAATTTACTTTTACAAAAAGTGAAATAAAACTATTATTTGTTATAGTCATTCGAGAAGATGCCTCTAAGAAAACCAAGAATGTTGAGATCCCTCCAAGATTTGTGATTGAATTGTGAATCATTTGAATATAATCCATATCTTGATTTTCTTTGTAACCTGGAGTATCAATAACATTCAAAAATAAGATCACAATTTTCAAAAGTGTAGACTTTACATTCTGATTCATGAAATATAGTATTTTCATTGAGATTTCCAACCTTTTTTTGGTATTAACCATTGAAGATGAAGTATATTTCTTTGAAGTAATTGTTTAATAAATTAATAAAAGAAGACTTTCCAGTTCCCTAAATATTTATTATGAGTAAATTAAAAATTAGAATAAAATCAAATCAAAAATAAACTATAATAATAAATACTTCTAATCCAATCTCTATAATATTTATAATTGGTTTTTTAGACATTCTAAAACTACAAATATTATTCTATAATAAGTATATTCTATAAAAATATGAAAATAGCTAAAAACAATGAAATTGATCAGTATTTATACTGTTTAAGTTAATTAAAATTTTAATTTTTATTATTAAAAATTATAGGTTTGAATAGTAAACATTCTAATTATATATATTAGATTTTAAATTTATATGGAGTCAATGATAAAATACTATTGGAAGTAATTATTTAGAACCTAGAATTTTGAACTCATTCTTCTTCTTTCGACCAACATTGGATTGTTACAGTCAGTCTGACGTTGATATCTACCATTGGTAGCAAACCATTATCCTACTTTCGTGGAACAACACAAATTACATAAAAGTATTACTATGGCCAACCATGATACAGTTATATTCTTGTTAAGAAACAATAGAAATTATTGACAACTCTAAACGAATACAACAATCTTGTAGGGAAAAAAAAGAAATCAAAAAAAAATTAAAATTAAAATTAAAAAAAAATAAGACATGTTGTTACACCCTTTTTTATTATTTTCGATCCTTACTTGCAGACTATCGATTTCCTGGAAATTCATATGGAACCACTATGATGGTGTTTGTTTATTACTGTAGATGATTTATCACTTCAACAACCAAATCAATCTTATTATTATCAATTCGAATAGATACATTTTTTTTTTTTTAATACATAAAATTTAAATAATATGATTCAAAACAATGATGAAGATGATCTTCTAGGAATAGAATGGGAACAGCATGAGGGAGAAGATGAATATCAAAATGATGAAAATCAAGGTAAATAGTAAAATAGCTAATCTTTTGCAAAACTATCAAGTTATTAATTTTATATATTGATATATTATATATAGAGCATAATAATGATATAGATTTTGAAATAGAATATGACAATGAAGATACTTCAGTGTCTTCATCATCTTTACCACTCTCTGGTATAAGTACACCCAGCAATAGTTTTGATAGTGGTTTATTCGATTCAAATAACAATAACAATAATAATAATAATAATAATAATAATAATAATAATAATAATAATAATAACAATGAGGATGATAAATCAATTGATATGTATGTTATATTATCATATAGCTTTGACCAATATATTTAAAATAATATTAATATTAATAATTTATTAGATTTATAGAAGTACCAGGTAAGAAAAAGAAGAAGAAATCAGTACCACAAGATCCACAGATAAAGCTTGCAAAATTAAAAGCTTTAAATTTACATAAATCAGTATTGTTATCTTATTTACTCAGTTTCAAATGTTGTGTAAATAGTTTAAAAGATATTAAACTTGAATCAATAGTTCTATCAACCATACCATCTCATTTCCTCAATTTATTCAAACAACAGAACAACAACAACAATAATAATAATAATAATGATAATGAATATGACAATACACAATTTATCAATAATATAAATGAACTATTGAATTGGTATCATTCAAATTTGAAATTAGATTTCAATCAAAAGATACCTTTACCTTCTATTTTGAAACAAATCGATACAAATAATAATAATTATAATATCATTGATGTTGATTCTTTTGTAAGTTTTATCTATTATTTAAATGAATTTATTAATTATTTTTTAAAAATAAGATTATTAATAATCTTTTAATATTAATTATTATATATATTAGGTATTTAAGAATAATAATAATAACAATATAAATAAGAGGAAACAATCAAAGACTGTTGGATTAACAAGATATCTCGTGGAACAGTTTAAAACAGGAGTGTTGTCACCTCACAACTTTTTACATTTGTTTTATGTTGTATGTAGATCACTTGGAATCAGAGTTAGATTGGTTTCAGTATTAAAGACACCTTTAGCTACACCCGTTACAGCTGCCAAACAGAAAAAGTTAGAGAGTTCAATTTGTCCAACAAAGAGATCTTCATCTCTACCCAACATATCAACTAATAGTAGTAGCAGTAGCAGCAACAGTAGTAATGGTAAAGATGGTAATGGTAATAGCAGTAATAGTAGTGGTAAATCAACACCTACAAAGTCACCAAAAAGAAAGAGAAATAATAGTAAGAAGGTAGAGACTAGTGATAGTGAAGGAGACACTGAAACTGACAGTGATAGTGGTGATACTGATAGTGACAGCGACAGCGATTTCAAATCTACGAAAGTTATACCTGTAACAAAGAGACAACAAGCATTAGCTCTTAAGAGATCATCAACAGAGCCAATTAGCAAAAAGAATAACAAGAACAGCTTGAATAATAATAGTGAAGATGAGAGTGAAGATGAAAGTGATAGCGATAGTGATAACAAAAAGAAGAAGAATAAGAATGATAAGAAGAAAACAAAAACAACATCAACAACCAAGAAGAAACAACAATCAAAAAAGAATAATAATAGTAAGAGTAATAGTAAAGTAAAGAATGAGAAGAAGAAAGAAGAAGTCATTGAGAAAGAGAAGGATAAAGAGGAAGAGGAGTCATCACCGAAAAAGAAGCTAAAAGTAGTCGATGTTAAAAAGCAGGAGGAACTGGTCATTAAATTAGATGAAACAGATCATAATGTTGAAATTTGGTGTGAAGTAATGGATAGTAATAGTAACGAGTGGATCACTGTCGATGTACTAAATAAAAGAGTGAACAAACCCGGAGTTTTGGAGCCTTTTAATCAACCGTTTGCATATGTTATTGGCTACAACGATGAACATATCAAAGACTTGACAAACAAGTATACCAACAATATCATTGCATCGGTTCTTAGGAGGTTGCCAGCTGGTCCACCAACACAGTGGTGGTTGAACATCCTCGAACCGTTGAATACCGACATCGATGACCTCGCCAACAAGAACGAAGACAACAAGATCATTGAAATGGAATCGAAAATTCAGAAACCACAAAGTCTATCGTCATTCAAATCACATCCTCTATTCATGCTCGACAAGGATATACCGAAATACAGCTCATTGGAACCCGGTGCCAAACCCATTGGAAAGTTTAAAGAACATAGTATTTATCATAAAGCACATGTTAAGACTGTATGTATTATCATATCATCTAATATTTATTCATTTCATTAGATCTAACTTTTATAATATTATTAATTAGTTACATGTAATGGATAAATGGATACAAAATGGAAGAATGGTGAAGCATGGAGAACAACCAGTTAAAGTTGTCAAAGCAAAGAAGACTTCTTCACCTACATCTCATTTATTTGGAGAGTGGCAAACTAAACCTTATGAACCTGCTATTATTGTGGATGGCATCGTTCCTATGAATACGTTTGGAAATGTCTATATGTTCAAGCCCGATATGATACCGTTTGGCGGTGTACATCTGAAGGATAAGGGTTTGATGAGAGTCGCCAGGAAGCTACATATATCGGTTGGTCCTGCTATTATTGGTTGGGAGGTGACTGGTTGTCATCGTCCACACCCTATCATCCAGGGTGTAGTAGTTGCCAAGGAGAATTCAAAGCTGTTGATCGAAGCTTGGATAGAGGATCACCGCAATCGTGTAAAAGAGAATGCCAAGAAGATTCACAATGAAACACTCGCTCGTTGGAAGAACTTTTACAAAGCATTGCTAATTAGAGAGTATATTCAGTCGACCTACGGTGGCAAAGAGGAGATCGAGACAAACACCAACAAACTTGTACAGGCATCCGAAGAGGTTGAAGAAAAAGATGTGGAGAAGGCAAAGGTGAATGAGAAAGAGAAGAAGAAGGCCGATCGTAATAAGGAGAGTGAAACAAAGTTATTGATGCTGGCAAAGACACTTTTCCAAAAGGATGGAAATACTAGTTATAATATCAATAAAGATTTGGATGAAGAAGAAGAAGAGGAGGAGGAAGACGGTGAAGGAACAAAGGTTAATACTACTCCAAAGAAGAAAGGTGTAAAGAGACAAGCTAAATCTACAACTACTTCACCAAAGTCGCTAAAGAAAAAGAGTACACCAGTTAAATCGAAAAAGACAACTCCAAGAAAGACACCACCAAAGAAGAAGGCGAAGCAACCAAGTGAATCTGAAGATGAGTCATTGGAAGAACAGGAAGAAGAAGTGATACCATCAGATGACGACTTTAAACCCATTGTAAGACCAAAGAGAATCATAAAGAAATCAATTGATCTTGATTTTAAAGATGCTGATTCCGATGAAGACATCGAATCTGAAGAGGAAAAAGTGGAATCATCAGATGACGACTATGTTCCAACAAAGAGTAAAAGAAAACAATCACCAAAAAAGAAACAAAAGAAATAAATTTAATTATTATTTTTAATTTAGTTCACAATCATAATAATAGTATTAATTTAAATGTTATTTTAATTGATTTTTCAAATAGATAGATTAATATAGTTTTAATTTTATTAAAATATTGCGATATATCACTATATAGGGATATTTAAAAGAATGGAAAAAAGAACAAATCTAATTGTAATTTAAGCAGTGGTTGGTGCAGTTGTTGGGGTGGATGATTGACAAGCACATTGTGGTTGCATGTAGTAGATTGAGTTTGGCTTGTCGCAGTATGAAGTGAACCAAGCATCAGTCAAAGATTGTAAGACACCACCGATTAAACGTGGAGCTCTGTTTCTCAAACCATAGTAACGACCCATGATGTAACTGGAGTCAATTGGGATGTTAGACATACAGGTTTGACAGTAGAGACGCTTGTTGGCAGTACCATATACAACGGTCTTGAAATCAGCCCAGAGCAAAGCAGAGGCACACATGGCGCATGGCTCACCGGTGGTATAGAGAGTCATATTGGTGAAAACGGTGGTGTTGTAGAGGGCAGAACAGTTGTTAATGGCAACGATTTCACCGTGAGAAATCATGTTTGGCTTTCCAGTGTTGACACCAGAACACATGAGATTGTTATTGGCATCATAGATGGTAGCAACAAACTTTCTATTCATTGACTTTGAGAGATTCAAAGTGTAGTTCATATTGGCTTCATGGATTGCCAACTCTGAAGCTGACAAGTCAGATGGTGTAAGAACTGGTAACTAATATTATTATTATAATTATTAATAATTGGAAAAAAAAACAAATTTATATCTTCTTTTTTTGAATTATTTTTTTGTTCTTTACTTACATTATCAGTGATACGGTAGTTTGTGATGTCATTGGCTTGACAGTTTCCAATTGTAACATCATTTGGGTTATATGGGTCCACACAAGCAAAGACAGATCCAGCCAAAAATACTAAGAAAACAGATAAAATTAAAGACTTTGACATTGTTGTATTTGATATATTTATTTATAATTAATAGAGTTGATTAACTATTTGATTAGAGGTCCTTGATCCTTTGCTCCACTTTTATACTTTTCTAAATCTATGGTTTACCAAGGTAGGAAAGTCTAGTTAAATTCATTAAATAAATAAAATTTAATGAAATTTTACCAAATAACATGGTAGTTTGGAAGCAGAGACATATTTTTAAAAAGGGATTCTCTCCACAGCAAACATTGTTTTTGTGAAAATACAAATTAAAGTTCGTCTTAACCATACCCCAAAAACAATTAAACCAAAAACCGAACCACCAAATCTGACTGTGTTTGTCTCTACTAAAAAAAAAATAAAAAAATAAATTGGATATTATAATATACACCCCACAACTTTTAAATATAAAAATAACAACAAACAAAAAATAAATATCATATCTTAAAAACATTTATGAAATAGTTAATTAAAGGGTAAGGGTGAGTGGTAGTTTAAACAATGAATGGTATGGTTTTTTTTGTTTAGAGAAAATAATTTTGTAATACAATATTGCAAAGATACCCTCAACTTACAACTCTGGTGGCCACACTGATTTCAATTGGGTGGGTGATCAACCAAAACTATGGTTGAAATATTACTACCATGAGTGAAATTATTGAAACTGCCAATAACTAATTTTAGTCAAGAACAGTGTCTTTTTGATGTTGTTTGAGGAAACTGTGGTTTTCGATCGAGACCTGCCAATATTGAAAGTGAATATGCCCGAAAAAGAAAATATTCACCAATCATTACAACATCCAAAGCATCGTTATTTTAATAAATATATGGCACATTATGATATCCTTCATGTCGAATGGAGGAAGTTTAAAAAAAAAAACAAGCAAATTTAAGAAAAAAACGAGTTCATATTTAATTAATTAAAATTTTTTTTTTAGAATATTTGATGCACCCCAACATTGGCTTGGCACCAATCTGAAATAAAAAACTATCAAAAAAGGAGGGAATTTTTTTCAAAAGAAGTTTGGTCCAAATTGGGATTAACCTTAAAGATAACCCCTTTGATGTGCATGCACAGATGATCAGCCTAGAAACTAATTAAAGATTAAATTCTATGAATACAATACACTATCTAAACCAGAATTTTTAAAACATGATGTTGATATGATGATGATAATGATTTTTTGTTATCTAGCAACGGTCAGTTGTGATGATGCAAGATTCAAATCTGCTAATAATTAAAAGGATATTTGTTTGTGTTTCATTATCTATAGATCTGGTAAGATATGATATCTTGTTAGAATTAAGAATGATTTCTCCTCTAAAGATATTTAAAAAATGCTAAAAAACAAGAACGAGTTAATTTTTGTTTTTTTTTTCTGATTAATGAATAAAACGAAAGTTGATATTAAATTTGATCAATTCAAAGTGCAAAGAAAACTAAAATCAAATGATCTACTTTTAGATTAACTTATTTTTGAGCTCTATTCAAATATTCAATTCTATTTATTGTTTGTAAAACTCTACACAAATATTTTAGTGTAATCCCACTTGGTTATTTAGAGAGTGTATGTCTATACATATTCAATTAGACTTTATTATAATATTTAAGTGGAATTTTTCTTTACTCTGAAGTAAGAATATATTTTATTTATTTAAAACAATATGAATTATCTTATAAGTTTACCATTTTATTTTTCAAATTGAATAGTGTTAATTTCTTCATTAGATAGTTTCATATGATTGATGTAAGTTTCAATGAAATATCGTTTATGTAAAATGGCAGTGATCAATCCACACTGGTGTAGTCTACCAAAGATGAGGTAGTATTCATTGTCCAACTTTCTAATTTGACATTTCGATAGTTTATGTAAGCTTTTCTTGTCTGATTGGTATCCATTTGGTTCATGATGTTTATAGCGGTACTGGGAAGCAGAGAGTAAACACCGTCACCAATAAAGTTGACTTTAAAATTTCTAACGATCGGTGGAATCGATAGTTTCTTCTTATAGGCAGACAATGTATAGTCATCATATTGTTTGATACAAACAGTTTCCACGTGCTCACTCATGTTCCATCAACATTAAAAGTATTGTTGAAAGATTTCTTTGGTGGTTGATGGTAATTTCGAACAATCGTACTTATCGGTATTATTGAATCCTAGATCCAACGATACGATTTCGTTCTCCGGTCTGACACTTTCAAAACGGAGAGGAGAATTCTTCATACCAAACGAAGGACTTTTACATTTGATATTTCTTAGTGAATCATTCAGAAGATTTGATCTACTTAAATACAGATGTTGCAACTCTAATGCCTCACTTGGTTCCAAGTCGTCGTTGTCGTGGGTGTGTGAGAAGTTTTTGTCGATCTTCAAGTATTTCACTGATTGCGGTATATCAGAATGTCTGATTGGATAATGGGTAGACAATTCCAATTTGACCACTGTTTTGGGAATCAGATTTTCGTGCACAAACGAACCATTGTTGCGGAAAGTTCCAGAGACAAAGGTTATGTTTAGATTCCTGAGTTTAGGAAGTTAGTTGATATGCTCGAGCCAAGTGTAATCTACATACAACCCAAGCTTCAGAGTCTCGAGAGAGGGTGGCAGTGTCCCTGGAGATATACTCTTTTCAAAGCGATCGGAAAACTCTAGAAATCGAAGATTCGCTGGAAGTATGCCTGGCAAGATTGGCTGATTGAATTCGCTACCAAACTTGAGGTGTTTCAACGTAGACGGAACACAATAGGTTGATTAGAACCATTGCTAAACACAATCTTTTCTATACCTTCAGGGAAATATCCTGGCGACAAAGGTAGATTAAAACTCTGGTTGTATCGAATTGTTTTAATTTTCGGAGGTATAACCACATTATATAGCATATCCGCATTCCAAATGATCATTTCCTCAATATTGGAGTTCGATATTCCATCGTACAATCCTTCAAAAGAAAGATTATTGTAATAATCAAATGAAATAGATCTAATATTCTTTGGTAACCAAGTAACTTTTTTACCTAGATATATATTAATATTAATATTAATATACTACACTGTTAAATCAATGTATATAGATATCCTACATACCAAAAATTTTCTTATCATGAAGAATGAAATAATCGAAATTCATTGCTTCAAGCTGAAGTTTGCTTACATTTTCTACATTTCTGACAACCAACAATCTGCAGTTACTCTTTGATTGAATCGATTGATAGAATAATGATTTATAAGATCGAAGATGGAAGTTTCGATATTCATCGTCCAACTGAAGTGTAATCTGTTCATAGTTGAATGACATGTATTATCTCTATCGTTGAACCATCGCTTGCATACCAAACTCATGCAAATCTTATCAATATTATCATCTAAAAAGTTTGAGATATTCTTTAACAATATATGTGGAATGTCTTTAAATAAAATATTATCATTCATTTTATATTATTTTCATCAACCGTTAATGATGAAAACATATGATAAGATGATCATGATCACTCACCATTATTTTTGTTTTTTTAAAAAAAATTGCATGGATCATTAATGAGGTAATTGCTGTATAATACATTTTATTGTTTGTTTGTTTGTTTGTTTATTTATTAAAATCTAATAGATAGTGTGTGTTTTATACCGATCGTGTAGAGATGTGAAATCGAATTACACTACTCATCAACAAACAGCAGTATCTCCAACTTTCCCTTCATTTCTTTTTATTGTTAGTTAACATTCAAAATCAGAACTTAATAATAACCAGTTTTGTTTGTTTTTACACCACAACTGACTGACCAACTGAACAACAAGCAGTTACTTATTATATAGCATAATATAGCAAACATTGTCTGCAGTTTATAGATCTTGAATGATATTTCTCCAAATGGAGCATTATTCTCGGTGCTACTATTGGTTCTTCATTTTTAACATCTTCAAACCTAACAACATCTATATAGAACAAGATTATATTATTAACAACCATCTACATTTAGTTAATTAGCAAAGATGTAGGTAGAAAAGTGTTATCATTGGCATATTGAATGAATATCACAAATATATTGTTTGAACTTGTAGACCCCACTAACAACAAAGTAATTCTAAAGAAATAACCTCATTTATACATTTGTTGATACACGCAAATAAAAAGTAAATTCAACAAGCATTAAAAGATAGATAGTTATATTATCAAATAATGGTTCCACAATTGTGAAAATACCACAATCGAGTCAACATTAGAGTGTTTTTAGTTTACCACCACACAGATATTTAAATATTATTGATGAGTGGGAGTGTGAATGTGTTGTTGTGTTTTGTGGTATCTTTTATTGTTGTTATTGTTATTGTTTTAATAGTTTTTAATCATCATTATCACTGTCGATAGAATAAAACACAACAGACGTATCTAAATTAGAAATAAAATACCTTACAATTAAACTTTTTTATCTCTATTTGAGTATTTTTTTTTAATTGGTGAAACAGCATCATCATTCTACTCAATAATACACAAAAATCATATATCACCCTTAAACTAAATATTAAGAATTCGATTGGCAGGTGTAAGGTATCGGTATGCATCACATGAATGCAATTTATTTCTCCACCCAATCGTCACCACTAAAGAAATATTTTAAAAATCAAAATACCAACAGTCAGAAGGTTTATACCAACACAATTCACAATTCCCCATCATTCCTGATATTTTTTTTTTTCTTTCAAACCAAATAAAGTTTGTCAATAAATTCTATTCAAGTTGGGTATCAAAATGATTTAAAAGGGGGGGTTATATGGAGTTTGGTATTGCACCAAGTATGTTGTTCAGTAATTTTTAGTCGGGTCTACACCATTCCTGACCCGCGAGTTTCAACTAACAACAACAACAACAACCTATAAACTATTTATACTTTTCAATATATTTTAGTCTGACAAAAACCTTAAAATTTATTTATAATTTTGTTTATTGGAAATTGATTATCAGACTTGGTATACGACCGTCAACTATTAATAATTTTTAATAAAATAATATAATAAACAACAATTAAAATATTTTATTATTAATATAATCGATTTATAATTTATTGTCGTCAAATTTCATTATTTTTATCAAATTATAATTATTATTTATTTTTTGTATAATAAAAATGTATCATTTAAAATGTAAAATCGAATGATAAAAATAAATAATAAAAATATCTTCATATTTTAAAAGGTTATCCAAATTACTAATAATTCTCTCCACCTAATATTCAAAATTTTTTAGTATTATTTATTTTATTTATTTTTTTATCAGTTTCCAAATCACAACAATGTCCGATTAGTCCGAATTGGAGAGACCCTGATCCGTCACCGAATCCACCACCTTCTCCTCCATTGATGACAGTTGTACCATCAAAGACATCTTCGTTCTGCAATGTAAATCAATGGAGTGTATGGAGTCCATATGGCGCACCGGGTACACTATCCGATGCCAGTGGATTTTCGAATGGTGTAGACGTTTCCGGAAGCATATTATTTGCACAGAAAAATTGGTATCCAAACAATGAATATTTAGTCTTGAATCAACCAATACCTTTGTTGAAAGCAGGTGTATCACATACCTTTAAGTTTCAATTCCTTTTGCGTGAGGTCCAACAGTTTGGAAATACAATTTCCAATATCACACTGAATTTCTTGCCATACTTTCAAACTGCGGTTGCCGACCCAGAGTCACAGGCATTGGGACCCGTAACCAACTCTAAATACTCTTACACTTGGAAAGGCTATTTCAACCTTACCAAAAATTGGATGAATCTAACCCATACATTCACACCGACCACCAATATCATCAACTCTGTCATGGTAGTACAATTCAATTTGAATTCAAAAACACAGGTATTAGGATATTATTTCAAAGGTTCGTCGCTAATGGTCTCTCAATATCCAGTTGTAATACCACCAAATCTACCAAGTTACAGTGAGCTGGTAAAGATTCCGAGACCGACCAACCAAATTGTACCTCAAAATATTTCAAATTGTCCTCATCACAGAGGCGATTTGGTACATTGGCATAATCCAGCAACCTGGCCTGGCAACATAGTTCCATCACCCAGTACCAATATTACCTTACCGGAAAATAGCCGAGTTTTGATTTCCTCATGTTCTTTACAACCAAATGCCATTTACACGAAAATAGAAGTACCACAATCATCGGAATTGATATTTAGTGATGGTTTCTATGAGGTTCATGTCAGAGATATTATGGTCATGGGTAAACTTTGGATTGGTAGCAAAGATTGTCGTTTGAATGGAAATGTCACTATTGTTTTCCATGGTGCTAAATCCAATCTCGATACAATACACGATAAGGCAGGAACCAAGGGTATGGGGATTTCTCGAATGGGATTCGTTAGTATGCACGGTAAAAAGTATTTCAATACCTGGACACGTTTGGCAGCTACAGCATATCCCGGTGATTTCATTATTAGCCTTCAAGATCCAGTCAATTGGGAAGTCGGTCAGGCGGTATTCATTACAACCTCTCAAATCGAAGATGAGTTTACTCATCAAAATGAATTGCTAACGATTGCTGCCATCAGTCAGAGTGGAACACTCATTCAATTCACTACGCCATTATGTTACTATCACTATGCAGGTCCAGAGTATCAATCCGAAGTTGGTATGTTGACTCGTAGAATTACTTTGATGGGTGCAATGGATAGTGAAGATGAGAATTTCGGTGGTCATTTCATGTCGATGGGTGAAGGACAGATTGCAGGAGTCGCTACCAACAGAATGGGTCAGTTGAATATGATGGGTCGTTATCCATTCCATTTCCATATGGCAGGTACACTAAAGAATTCCTACATAACCGATTGTAGTGTTTTAAATGCATATTTTAGATGCTACACCATTCATGGAACAAACAATGTTACAGTCTCTGAGAATGTCGCATTCAATAGTTTAGGACATTGCTTCTACCTGGAGGATGGTGTCGAAGAGAACAACACATTGAGTTACAATCTGGCAGCCTATGTCCATATCATTGGTGAGCCTGCATCTGGTTCTAGTCAAGGTGGTGATTATATAGAAGGAACAGAAAATAGAATTCAACCAGCTGATTCAACTGCATCTGGATTTTATATTTCGTATGTAACATATTTAATTAATTATATTGTTTAAAATATATTAACATTTTTTTTGTTGTTATTAGTAATGCGTTTAATAGATTTATTGGAAATGCAGCATCTGGTGGATGGGCAGGATTTAATCTTCCAAATCAATATAAACCAATGGCTTTAAATAGAAATGTTAGTATGAATCCAAGTGAAAGACCGTTCATTCAATGGGAAGGTAATACCGCCCACTCCAGTGGTTATTTCTGGGATTTCGGAACAACCGTTTATGTTGGTGGTTTGTTTTGGGAGGATTACGATCCAAACACAAATACATATATTGCCAAATATATTTCTGGAAGAAAAGAAAGAGATACCTTTGAATATGGAACAACCAAACTCACCGCATTAAGATTTCAATAATACAAAGACATTCCTTTCCACTGGTCAATGTATTTCGCATTGGGGTACCGAGGTTGAAGTGGTCGGATACGAGTCACACGATTGTGGAAGAGCAGGTTCACTCTTTGGAAAAGCATGGTTAAGCAATGCAATTGTAAATGGACAATCTGGAAACCCATTGTCCTATGATCCTCAGAACTACCATAGACAAGGATTTATGATGTACGACACACTGGTTCAAACGATATTGACAAATATCAACTTTAGAAATTTCATTCACAATCCAAACAATCCACCAATTGATGAAGACAATGTTGTCTTTATGTCTCTCACCTATTCGGATCTCTATAAACCACAAGGAATCTCTGGAGTCTCCAATATCACCTACACCAATGTCTCTCCAAATCAAATTCTTGGTCACCTAGCAATTGATACTGGATCATCGAGATATTTCAACTATATAGATTGGGATGGTAGTTCTACACTTAAATATCCTAATAAAACCTTGGTTGGTTCCCACGTTGATTGGTGGAATCACGACAATAACTGTAAGTGGAATCCAAATAACATGGGTGTATGGGTTTGTTCGCCAAAGAGACCAGAGATTGAAATTGCCAACTTGGAAATCATCATCCCAGGCATAATTTATTACTCTGGTGATTATGGTTTTCCTGCCGAATCAGTAGTAGGTACCTTCTCTTTGTTTGGCAATGGAATCACCGACCGTCGTCAGCTCCAAGTGACAAAGAACCCCCAAGTTACAGGTGTCTCCAATATGGGATGGTATTTAAATCTCGATCAAGGTTCACCAGTAAATCATACCGTACATGTTTTCCAAGTTCCATACGGACACTGGGTTATCTATTCTTTATCTTATCCAGCAGGAACCACATTCAATATCTCCACCAATCACCATAGAAATTCATCGTTTAATCAACCGGTCACTCAAGTAAACTCATTATCAGCTCTCAGATTAGGAAATGGTTTGAAATATTTCTTTGACCAAAAGAATTTGTTCATCAAGATTGTAGATATTTCATTGACAGGAGCAGCCACAGAATACTATGAAAGAGGTGGTGTCAGAGTGTACAATTCCAATCTTCCAGGTGAATATTTCCTTGGATTGGAATACAATATTGTTGCCAATTGTCCACCATCAACTGTTGCACCACTCCCCGAAGGAGGTTCAGTTTGTACTGCTACCAATCAATTACCATACTATTAATAAATAAAACAATAAATCTATTATATTTTAATATATCAATTTTATTTTGTTGTTACATCATATCCCATATGAATATTATTTAATTATTATTTAAATTTTGTATGAATATTTATGTCATTATTATTATTATTATTGTTGTTGTTATTGTTTATGAAAGATGAGAAATAATTAGTTGTTTTGTGGCATTGGAAATAACTGCTGATTGTGAACGGATAGTGAGACGGCACATGTTGGCCTGTGGATTCGATTCGATTCTAAGCAAAACAAACATTGGGTTCTGTGCATATGGGAACTGTGCTGATGCAACCAAATTGTTTGGATTTGGATCGACACCCTTGTTGACGGTGAGATTTAATCCTTCGCTCAATACCTTATTGAAATGTGCCATATCGATTGGCTTACTGGTTTTAAATACTTCTTGAATTTCAACTGGTTTACCTGGTAGAATCTTCCACTTGGCAAAGTAGTCGCCACTGTTCAATTGCAATGGATCAAAGAATTTGGAAATTACAATGGGCAGCTTGAGATGGATGGTAATTGGTTTACCGGGTGTCAAGAAATTGATGGCGGCAGTTGGCGATTCCGAGAATTCACCGGTGCAACTAAAGGTGATTGGCTGTTGAATTTGAGCCTTTGGCTGGATGTTTGGAGCGGTCGATTGTGGTTGGAGTTGGAGGGTGCTCGATGCACTCTCAAAGGTGGTGTTGAAGCTGGTAAGAGGGAACGACGAGTTATTACCATAGTAGAGTACGATACGACCTTGAGCACCGTTGTACTCTGATTTCAAACCGATTTGGATGATCGAATCTTCATATAATACACCGTCGTTGACCAAGCATAAACGTTTGTAGGCATTGACAATCTTGATTGCTAGAGGATCCAATGGTGAACCGGTGGAACCAGTATTTGGTGATCCTGAGCTCGCAGTTGGCGACAACAAATTATTATGTTGACCGGATCCAAAGGGTGAACCAACTTCTTGTTGATAGTTTTCTGGTTGGAGTTGTTGTTGTGGTGAGAAGAATTGTTGTGGTTGAGCAATCGGTTGTTGGTACTGTGGTGGTTGTTGTTGATATTGTTGTTGTTGTGATGGACTGGAAACACCAAGACCGAATGGGTCGAGCAAATCGAGTTGACTAGTATTACCACCGATATGACTGTTATTTCCTGAGCTAAATGTGTTGGATGGTGGAGTTGAAATTTCGTTTCCGATACCAGCACTTCCACTGCTGTTGCTGTTGATGAGATCCTTATTCTCAGAGAATGCAGGAATGACATCGAGAACTGTCTGCATCAGATCTTCGTTCAAACTGGTGAGATTAAGATACTCACAGGCACGTTGTTGAATTTCGGCATCGATGTAGCTGCTGTGTTGACGGAATACCTCTTGGGTCTGTTGGGTAAGCTCTGGGAAGAGATTGACAAACTTGGCGTAGGTAGACAATAGCAATGCCTTGGTTTGCAATCCACAGGTGGCAAACTTTCCGTGAAGTGTTTGGAATTGGATGAGTGGCGAACTCGCTGGATTGTCGGCGATCAGATGACCAAACTCACCGAGGATATAACCTCCGACCTTTACGAGTGTTTCATGTGCATTTCTGTTTTGGAGAGCGACAAACACAGTGCTGGCAGCATAGGTCTGGATATCCTCGTGGTTGGTAACAATCTTGACAACACGGAACCAGATATCGTCACTCACGAAATCACCTGCAGTAGTAATCAACTGAAGGATGACGTCGACGTACCAAGAGTAGTTACTGGCAAACTTCTCTGCCAAATTGGCAATCTTGATGACCAACTCCTCACGAATATTATAATCGGCAGTCTGGAGATAACTCAATAGCTCTGCAACGATAGTCTTACAAGTTACCTTATCACACATTCCATATAATAAATCCAATGCTCTTCTTCTAATACTGATATCAGCATCCTTTAATGATACTAAATAATCTATTAGTAACCAACGTAGCCTTTTTATTTCATGTTCTCCATTCAATTCATTTAACTTACATAGAACAGTATCTTGATATTTCTTTATCATTACAGAAGTCTCATTGGAGAGTGAAGCGAAATGGGACATTGCTTCCAAACCCAAATATCTAATATTTGTTTCTTTGGCAGTGATGAAACGACCCAAAAGAATTGATGTTTGTTTTAAAAGTGCTGGATCACTATAAAACATTGTATTAGTTTAATGTTTTTAATGAATGCTCTTACTTTTTTGTTTTTATATACTTACTTGTCATGATGAATGATAAGATTGATTGCTTCGAATAGTACGGCATTCAATGCATTCTTATGGTTGATGGTACCTGCTTTTGCAGATTCCGAAATGGCAAAGATTGCATTGAGAATCTCTGTAAGACGTCTACCAGTAGCATCTTCCAATGGTGGGAAATATCTTAGGAATCTCAATAATTTAACTTGTAACCATGGACATGGAATATGATAGTAAATATATTCCTTTGGATTCTCTTTTTGAATAATGATCTATATTTTAATAATAATAATAATAGATTATGTATTAGTACTAATAATAATATAATAATAATAATAATAATAGTTATTATTTTTTACTACTTACCTTATAAAGAAGATGAATTACTTTGGGAACAGCAGGTTCCCAACCTTCAGCTTTCTCCGAGACCAAATCAATGAGTAAACTCATCAATGAATTCAAAACACCGAAATCTTGTTCATCCAATACCGAGATTAAACGTTCGACCCAAGAGTCTGGTGTAACCAATCCCGGATGATTACGATTCATTCTCAAAATAGCTAATGCTGCTCTCTTTTTAACTAATGGTGCTGATGTACTTTATAATTATTATTGTTAGTTATAATGAATAATAATAATCAATATCAATATCTTTAATACATACTTGGCAATCAATAACTTTTGAATGAGTGGTGCAAGAAACTCGGCGGTCTCTTTACCACCGATGTTACAAACGGCAGCCAATGCCAGTGCTTGGAAGTAATCGCTACGTGCCAATAGATCCTCTTTGAATGAATTGATAATCAATGGTAACATCTCATGTGATTCATTCAATAGAATACCTAATGATATATAACCCTAAATAATAATCAAATAAAAAAGATATTATTAATAAAATCAATAATTATATAATAGTTGGTTATTATTATTATTACATACAATTTGTTTCTCAGTGAATTTACTTGAGGATAATAAAGTGACAGCTTCCATATGTCCGAAATCAAGTTCATAGCCCAACATGTACATATAGATAAGCTTACAGACATACTTTCTACGTTGGTATCCATCGATATTCTTATTCTCTTTGAACTCCTTACGAATGTGTGCCATCTCTTTAGTTACTCTTTTCTCTTCATTCTCTTTGTTTGGTGCTAATATATATTCAAATCTATCAATATAAAATATCCTAACCTATCTATCAATATCAGATTATATATATATATTACCATTTCTAAGATCTGATATGAAATTTGTCAATCCTCTCATTGCACCCTTTGATAAATTTGGATTAGCTGCCATCTTTTATCTGTCTATCCTATCTTATTCCTATCTAAATATTATTATTATCTAGATCACTACTACCACTACTACTACTATATCTGATGAAAATCTCTTATGTAAAATATCTATCTATTATAATTTATTTTATTATTTTGTTGATGATCGTATTTATTTTTTCAATGATTATTAATTTTTAATTAATTATACAAATAATGATCATCAATAGTTAAAAACTAATTATCATAATTTTTTTTATTGCTTTATTCAACTCCAACCCATTAAAAAATTAATTTTAATTTTTTTTTTTTTTTGTATTTTTTTAAAAAAAAATTTTTTCTCTGGTCAGAAATCATAGTTATATAACTCTAACTCTAATGCCAAAATCACATTTATATTACATCTTCAAAACTTTTTTGCATTTATTTTCAAGAATCTGATTGAAATAGTCTAATTTTTGTTAAGTTATTATTAATTATTTTATTATTTACAAATATTTAAATCTTAATATATGTTGCACCAACACTACCAATATTTTTGAAAAATTCCTAAACAAATAAAAATAGAAATTGTTAGCATAAATATTCTATTCGATTTATATAAAATAATAATAATAATAATAATAATAGAAATAGTGATAACTTACTATACCATATAAAAATATTGGATGTTGATAGTCTTGAATGTCTTTGATGATTGTGTTGATTATTGGTAGGATATCAAGTACAATACTTCTTCCATATGATCCAAAGTAGAATAGATTCAACAGTAGCTTGAATAGCTGTTTGATTATCGGTTTCTTATTATTGTTATTGGTTGATAGTGGTTTCATTAACATTAAATTATTTCTTAAAATCAAATGATTTAAATCGATTGGTTTGAAGTGATTTATATCATCACTCTGTTGCTGTTGATCGATCAACAATAGTTTATCTAGATGTAGTGTTATGCTCTCTGTAAAGGCTGCGCTGTGAACCATCCACGAATGTTTGAATCTCGTTTGTTGCTCGAGATTGTTGGTTTCACCATTTATAGAGAGTATGAAAACAATGCTGTCGACCAACATCGGAATGAATCGATCGAATATCACCGTCATCAGTTGAGTAGGTATCGGACTGGTTAGTTTCAGTTCCATTTCCTTTTCATTTTGGCGTTTCTCGTTGTTACCACAACGAACCAAAGGATAGTACATCAACAACCTCTCAATAAACAACCGGAATATCTTTAGCAATCGAACGTAATCAACGGTGCTAACTATCGATTTGTAATAACCAAGTAGTTTCGGTAGCAACAGTGCATACTCCTTAATAAAGTATTGCGCTTTACTATTGCTATTATCATTGTTATTGTTGTTATCGCGTGGAAACTGCTTCATCACACGGTAGATAAGCTGTATTCCACAACCTTTGAGGTCTGCCGACACATGACTGATCATAGGAAGACAGTAACTCCTTAGGAAATGATGTCGGTGTGATGCGTGCAATTGCTTTCCAATCGAGGAGAGCAAGTTGTCCAATGACTCACAATTGACATCTACCTTTACAAAGTTGGTCAGACGTGATGTAATAGAGTACACTATTGTTGCTTGTGGTATAAGATCGTAGAGGAATAGATAAGTCTCTTTGGTAGCACCATCACCACTACCAGCACTGTACATATAACATCCAGTTATCATCTTTTGTAGATCGATATTCAATTGATTAAAATTGTTCTTACAACTCCACAGCAAACCTAGTATCTCTACCCTTAAACCATCTAATTTCTTTGAATTATAAATAAACAATAACAATATATCTATAACATAAGCATATTAATATTAATTGTTGTTATTATTATTATTGTTGAATCTAACATACCATTCAATATTTCATTATCTATTTGTTGTAAAGATTTAAATAGGTTGATATAATCGATGGTGTGGAGTAACATTGATTTGAATTTAACTGGTTCCTCTATGATGTTCAATAAGAAGGTATTTAACATTGAATATCTATCATTCTTTGATAGTGGAACTAAAACAAAATAGATAATAATAATAATATTGTTAATATATTGATTTAGTAGAAGGTATGTGATTAATTCAAAACAAAATATACCTATTGATGATTGTTTGGCAAATACTTTTTCTTTATTTAATAGATTCATAATCGTCTCTATTAAACTACGATGCACACTACCATATTCATTATCTAATAATATAAATGGTAACAATGTCATATAATCAAATTTATATTTCTAAATGAATATTTAATTTAAGCTATTAGTAAATATATAATTTGTTTACTTTATCATTTAATCTAAATACATACATTTATAAATTGATTAATATTTCTTAATCTATTGTAATAATATAGGTATAGTTTAAGTTTCATGTAATATTGTTTTGGTTGATCTTGTTGCTGTAGTAGTTGTTGTTGTTGTTGCTGTTTTTGATTTGAAGTAGTAGTTGTTATCAATGGTATTGGTAGATTAGTAAGAGTTGTTGCTAATGTTGGCCAATATAAATATTGTATATATAAACAATCAACTGTAAGATTAAATATAATACTTTCGATATCATTATTATTATTAATTATATTTTGATACTGTCTATCTTTATCTATTATTATTTTCTTAAAACATGGTAGTATCTCTTTTATAATAATATTGAATCTATTTATATATTGTTGATGATATTGTTGATTAGGTTGTATTTGATTATATTTTAACATCGATGATATTAATATTGATAGATAATCTAACAAAGGTTGACAATCCTCTTGTTGTTGGAGTATGATACTATAGTCATTCGATGGTACAAGTTGATCCAATTGATATTGACTATTGAACAAAAGTGTAATGATACGATTTTCATTGTTTATACTATTACTATTATCATCTTCATCTTCATCTAAAGATGTATTAGATATACTATTAAAATAACTACACCATTTACTTATTATATAATTATATTGTTGTTGTTGTTTGAATGTTGACATGATATCTTTGATTCTTGGTAACGCTTTTGTGAATGTTCGATCGAATCTATCGATATTAGGTAGTAGACTGAATAGAGCATCGATTAGAAATTCATTATCTTGTTGACTAGTACTAGTGATCTTGGAGAGATCTAGTAGTTTAGATAGTTTGATAACGGAATTAGCCATTTCATCTTTGAGTGCGTTGGTATTATAGGTTGTCGTAGTTGTAGTTGTTGTTAGTCTATCGATTTGACCACTTAGATGACGAACTGTTATCTTTAAGGAATTGACATATAACTTCAAGACAACACTAGGAACAACAGTGTTGAGTCGTTTCGCATGCACATACAAATGTCTGTAGTCATTGACAATCGATACACCCATCAATTCATCCTGTGCAAACTGATGTCTCTCAGGTAGTGATTCAATGGAAAGTGATTCTTTCATTCTATTCCTAATATTAGTCGCAATAGATTTACTTATACTTAAATGATTACCAATATTATTACTGTCATCTTGATTATTATTATTATTATTTACTATTGATATACTATTTAAGAATATATCTAGTATTTCTATCCATCTATCTACTCTATCGATTGATATGAATGCAAGATCATATATTATTGTAAATAATTTGTTGAATAACTCTAGATTATTGTTGTTGTTGGTACTATTATAATTATCAGTATTGTTGTTGTTATTCCTATCATTATCATCGTCATCAAGATAGAATTTGATAGATGGCATTGAACTACCACTCCATCTCTCAGCCATATCCAACAATAGATTAAGTAATCTATCAACATGAAATTTGCCTTGTTCCACTAGTTTCAATCTTTCTTTGAGATTATCACCATTACTATTGATCCAATCAATATACTTTGTTATCAAATTGAATACACCTTGCCAATGACTACTATTATTAGAGCGATCGTGATCATCTTTCAACAAAACATCTTGATTCTTCACCACCAAATAAGTTGATATACAATTTAAACTCTTTATATAAAGATATTGATATTCTAAATAAATAAATTAATCTTTATAAGTAAACAACAAACATTTGGTATTTATAAATAGCATAATAATAATACACTTACCTTGAAATAATATATTTTGATTATATAATTCGTTATAGAAAACAATATCAAATAGATTCCAAAGATTAACATGTTTTGAATTCAATTTGATTGTTGTATTGAATTGTGAAATGAATCTCTTGATTATCTCTACATTGACTAGTTTGAATGTCTCTCCAGAATAGAGTGTAATCGCTATTAAATCTTTCATAAACCTTGTTAAAATGTCATTGATTATACCATTCATTGAATCATCTAATAATAAAATTAGTTAAAGTATATTTATGTTATCTTATTATAAATATATACTTACTGTTTGTAACTAATTTATATGATTTTATATTGTATAGTAATCTATTGATGGAAGTACTGAATTGTAGCCAAAATGATAATTGATTCTTTGTATTTAATAGTTTTAATGATGAATATAATGTTGTTGTTGTAGATGATAATGTAGTTGCAGTTGATATATCAGTATCAAATAAAGTATTTATATATTGATAGATATTATCGATGGCAATTAATAGTTGTTCTAACAATGCAGATCTAAATGTAGTGTTAATGTTACTCTCGAAGTCATTACGAATGAAATGAGATAGTCGATCTATAAAATCAATGGTATGATATTGATATTGTTGGATATCGGTGAGTGTCAGTGCTTGAAAAGTAGTTCCCATATCATCGGCAATCGATTCACCTTGAAAACACAATGTCAGCTTAGAGAGTAGATCACCTTTACTCTTTGATATATTTTCAAATACCTAAAAGAAATAAATTATCATTAATATATAAATCAAACTCTTAAATATAAGTTTATAAAGTGTATTTACATCATCATTTGAAATAGGTATCGTGAATGTTAATGAATTATTTTCATTCCTTATAACACCGTTATTGACCACACCATTGTAATGACTTGATTGCACTTTGACTGAAAAACTTTCAATCATTCTATGACATCAGACTGATTAATAATCTGGCTTCAATTACATCGATCGAAATAATGATTTTCAAAGTAATTTAATCAAAGTTTAATTCTTGGAATAATTTTAATATATATTATTAGACTATTGATTTTCAGGTTAACCTAATCTGACAGCCTTCTCAAGATATCAATACTTTATGCTCCAATTTTAATTTATAAAAAAAATGTTAAGAATCATTATTATATTAATAAATTTATTATGGATTATCAATCATCATCATCTCCCCTTTGGTCTAGTGGTGAGGATTTTCGCCTGTCACGCGAAAGGCCCGGGTTCAATTCCCGGAAGGGGAGTAAATTTTTTATGGATCTGAGAAATTTCATGTCCGCCTGCGGTAAGAGAAATTTCCCCCAAGATAATATTGTATCTTCACCTATATTTCGCTCATCAAACACCAGCGTGGACGAAACACTGTCTTCCGGTTCTTCTCTCGTTCACTTCCTGGATTAGCTTACAACAAAAACAAAGAATGTGAACTGTGCTTCACATACAGCAAAAATCTATGAAACCGGACAGAGGTATCAAAATATCAAACAGTAATACATTTATTTGTTATAGAAACTAATAAATATATTCTAAGATAGATCTTTGTTAAAGATTAATTATTAGAAAAAAATTGAAATATTTACCATTTTAAAAAAAAATAAAAAAAATAAAAAACTAAAATTAACTGTGCAATATTTCTGAAGTGATAAAATATTTTTTATTTATATACTTTTAAATTGATTTAAAAGAAAACAATTAATAGGATGTCTAATAACCTTGGTTGAGGATTACTTGATTCAATCTGTTTGGAATTGATTCATATAGTGATTGGCAGTACTTCAGTGTCATTTCATATCAACACTATTAACATTATTTAAGAGTTCTATTGAGTTTAGAATGAATGGCATCTAGTATATATATTTATCTCAAGAATACCCAAGAATTTTAAAAAACATTCAGGTCCTGACTGGTTTGTTTATATATCAAATTTAGTTAAGAATGCATTTTAAGTAAAAAATATTATGAGTTTTAGAATATTGATGACAAGTGAGATGTCTTGTACAGTTGTGGAATATACTAAAATTAGTTAAACAATATTATTTATTCGTCGATATATATCATACTCTAAAATTTCTAAAAAATCTGGGAATCTAGAGCTTAAGATAGATTGTCTAAGTATCCAGTTCCATATTAAATTAATGAGAGAAAAGATTGAATTTGAATCTACCACTTTCAACTTAATGATAGAATATTAGTTGTTCTATAATCGGGAACTCCTTTAAAGAATAAACTTTCTTTATACTATACTCTCCTTGTTTTATTTTCGTTTCATCTGTTAAATTACTTTTCTAAAAAAACAATATCCTTGTTTATGTAAAATCAGTTAAAAACCTTTACATTTTGAATATGAAGAAGAGTCTAAAAGGTTTTTTTTTGATTTATTTCTGAAAGTAATTCCTTAATCCTTTATTATTCTTCTAATAATGTTATTGATTTATCTTTTTAAAAATGTATTGTTATCCTTTGTTTTTTTAATGATATAATTGATTTTTAAAAAAAATTTTAAATTTTATTTTAAATATAATTGTAATCTTTTAAATATTTATTCTTTTTATACATATAGTATTTGTGTTCAGTGATGAGTTTGTTTTTGCTTAGTTTTTCTTTAGTCTTGAAACTGTTGAAAATTAGAATTGTATTTTAAACCAATAACTTCTTGTGCCGTTCAGTAATCCAAATCAAGTATTCCACAAATCTTTTATCTTTCTGTTAACATTTTACTTGGTATCATTCTTATATATAATATAATTAAATATTTCAAAATAAATTTAAAAGTACTATAATAAAAAATATTTTATTACTTCAGAAATATTGCACAAATTAATTTTATCTTTTATTTTTTTTATTTTTTTTTAAAATGATAAATGATTCAATTTCTTTTTAATTATTAATCATTTACAAAGATCTATCTTAGAATATATTTATTTGTTTCTATAACAAATAAATGTATTACTGTTTGATATTTTGATACCTCTGTCCGGTTTCATAGATTTTTGCTGTACTGCTCTGACCCATATTTCCATACATTCTTTAATTGTCGAGCAGTTATGCACAGATTCAACCTTAACACCATTCTTGACTCCTTACAGCTTTCAGGTGGTCAACGATTCGATTGGACTATGGAAGACGCGTATCAGTTGGTTAGAAGAAAGGACAACATCACTACTCTCGTTTCACTTGTCTTTCATCAAATCTGGAAATTCTATTGTAAATCCTATTTTGGCGGTACTCCTCTCCACGATAACAACCTACTATCTAATGAATCTATCATTAATGAATATATACAGCACTTATCAGTAATGAAATTAATTAAAAATAACAGTATCAGTAACTTACAATCCAAACTTAAATAACCAATAACCAATCAAATGTCAACCAACTATTATTTCCTCTTCTTCATTTCTTCATTTTCAAATTAACCAATTCAATCATCAGTATTCTCATCAGCTTAACAATCTATTAATATCAATAACTAAAATAATTATAATAATAATCAAAATAGCAATCAATTGCAGAATTATGAAAAAGTAAAAACTGTAAAAAAAAAAGAAAAATTCGATGGTTTACACCATCCCAATATATTACTTAATAAATCAATTTTTACTTCTTAAAAAAAAAAAAAAAAAAAAAAAGGTAAGAGAAATTTCATGTCCGCCTGCTGTAAATAACTCCATCGTTTAATTAAGAAAAATTAAAAACTATAATAATAAGACAATTAAAAACGATTAAATAATTCGAATGATAATAATATACTTTTTTTGAAATTTTAAAAAAAAAAATCTTTTATTTATTTCGAATTCAAGTAAGTAAGTAAATCAATAATGGTCTTTCTTTATTGAATGTATTTGTTAAAAAAAGTTGATTTTAACCAGTATCTTTTAAATGGTAAGAGAAGAAAAAATTATATAGACCAGATTATTATGAATGATATTTTAAAACAGAGTATATTTTTCCAAGTGTGAAATCAAATTTTATATTTACTAAATTTGGGCATGTTTTCTTCAAAGACCATCTCCTCAATGTTCCAATCGTTGTTCCTCTCTGAGCAATGGTACATCTCCAGGTATTTCTGGAATCGTGATGTCTTTTATTGTCCAAGACCAAAATTTATTATTTACTATCTTTTCTGTGTCACCTTCGACAATTCCAAAATCTTCGTTATAGAAACGGGATAAAAGAACAATGTTATCCATTTCTAAGCGACTAAATCAGACAGTTAAGTTAAAATTAATTAGATAATCAAATTATGATATCACCTACATTCTATTGTTTGGAAAGTTGGGTGGGAATGTACCCAATTTTGCGGCTATGACTCCAACCGCCTCATTAGTGTACCATCGATAGTTTCCAACGCCAGGAACTGATTTTAGAATTGGCAGATAGTTCATCATTTGGACCGATATGAGAGTATTGTGAGCTCGACGATCTCTGTTCGAGATTTTTACAAGTGATGTTGGTATTAAATTCACTATTGGCATAACTTGGTCAAGTTTGTTGATCAAAAGATTGACGTTGTTGTTAGTTGTGTTTGTAATATTAATTAACTCATGTAATTGAACTGTAATATTATTGATGTTGTTGTTCATTATGTTGAAGTCAGGTACAATTACGTGCTCATTATCTTTAACAACTTGTAAATACAACAAACATATTTTAAATAAGCAAAGAGTAATCGATATCATAACTGGTAGTGTACTTACTATTTGTTAAAATCTTGTGTCTCTTCACCATAGATCTTTGAATATCTACATTGGGTACATTTTCATTTGTGAGATCAAGGTTGCTGCATTCTATTGATTTGTTATTATAAAAAGAAGATTATACATAGATTTTATTAAAAGTTATCTTACCTTTTTTGCGCTTAAGGCAAAATAATTCCTTCGTTGCTTTCTCAAGATTTTCAGTTTGTTCTTGGGTGATTTGAATGTTTTCGTTTACAGGTGGAATAACGAAATTAACATTCATAGTGAAACTTTGTGTGTTTAACTATTGGGTTCGAATTAAATAACATGTTTGTTGTTGAGTTGTAAAATATAAATATGTATTGAATTAAAAGATTGTAAAAAATTTGAAAAAAATAATAGATTAATTAAATTTTAAATAATAAAATAATTTATTTAATCAGTTCAATATTGAATAATTTGGATTGAAATTTTATTGAAGATGAGTGTAAATATATAGCTATCCAAAGTAAAACATAATTATTTTTAAATATTTATATTTTATTAAAAAAAAGTAATAGTAGAAAATATTAAAGGTTATCTTCCAACTCTATAATATTTCATCATTTGAACTAACATTACTAAAACAGGTGGTACATCACCCTCACATATCCATTCACCACCGGATGCAGAAACCAAAAAGTGACGTGACCAAGTCCATGTGAATTGCTGTCGCATCGGATAGCTATCCACTATGTAGTTGCGCTGTGACGGCTGATACAGATACTTCAGATAGGTCTCCTTAGATGACTCACCGTACCATGTCAACCAGACACCATTCCACCGGCCATGACCAAGCGACAGTTGACTGTGTTTCGATGGAGTCAGCTTGCAGCCGTCCCACTGGTACTCGAGTAGGTCAGCCCAACTCTGGTTAGTCAGCTTACCGTCATGATAGTGCCACTCCTCGTCACCGAATCGAAATATTCCACCTTTGTAACCGCTCTTAAAGGTTGATAGCAGCTGCTCTTTCACTTGCAAGTCCATCACCGATTTGAAATTGGAGTGTGTGACACCGTCGATTGCCAACACCCATTGAATTAAACTCTCATTGCTCTCCACACTGAACACCAAGTTATTCCTTGAGGATTTCGATGATGACGACAACGATGATGATCTTGAAGATCCACTACTACTGGAACTGGTTCGAATGTTGTTTGAAATTACCCAATCCTCCTGGGCATCGCCACCACTGCTAGCACCGTCAGTCTCTACAAAACTCAAAGTAAAACAATTTGGATGACCTTCTTTTATCTGTGGAGTAATTGTAATACTTGTCATATCACTAATTGATTTTCTACCCAACAATTGATCCTCCTATTGGTTTTTGTTTTGTAATAAGAAATAAAAGTTAGATTAACTAATCAATTGAATAAACTATAAACATATTATAATATTACTTACTTTTTCAGAAGAATAAATTAATAATTCAGAGTGTTTTAAAACTATCCATTTGTTTGAAAATTTAGATCCCAAAGATCGATTCTTTTTCTTTTGCAACTGTCCTTTCTTATAGATTGTAGATCCAAGATATTGCTGAACACCAGAACCTTGTCCCATTGTAATAGTCATTTCCAATGGAATTGATGGTACTTCTGATGGACATATATTTGTTTTTAAAAACTAAATAATAATTAAATAAGTTAGTCATTATTTGTTAAAAAATATTACTATTATTATTATTATTATACCTTTGAAATACATTGTATTATTGTATTTAAAACATGAACTCTCTTTATGCTTGACGCCTTATTGATTTCCAATTTTAAATTCATTGTTTTTCTTGCCAACAAGAATGTCTTTCGTTCGATTTCGTCACCACCTGTGAGAGAGTCAAATTCAGAATCTACATCGGTCGATTCGATTCCAAAGTTAAATTGTTTCAAGATCTCTGCCATCACAGCCACTTTGTGTTTGATTTTACACTTTTTGTCAAAGATGTCCATCTCGTTCATCGAAAAATTAGTCTTGGTCTTCTCACCGAGTGTCTTTTGGCACTCACTTAGCATCACCAGAATATACTCAATGTCGGACAATGCCTGTTGTTTGATCGACTCGATGGTCAGTCCCTGTGGAACCTCCCAGGAGTATTCGGTGGTCGGTATGCTGGAAATCAGTGTGACTCCATTGTGATTGTCTTTTTCTTGTTGTTGGTTGTGGTGGTGGTGAGTGGACTGCTCCTTTGATGATTTACCATTGCTGCTATTCATTGAGTGACTCAATCGATTAACTGAACTGATAAAGAGTTCCGCCGATTCACTCAGTGGTGAATCGCTACTGTCGTCACTTAGCGACGAAGCTGAAGACGATCTACTATGATTGGATGAGAAATAAGATGATGAACTGGATGATGAAGAACCTCCTCCACTTGTTGAACTACTATTGGTAATACTATTGCTATTGCTATTGCTATTGGAGGAACGAGATGACGATCCACTTCCTCCCTTTTTGTTGCCACTACTGCCGGGTGTTGCCACTTTGACGGAAAGTGATGTGGTTGATGATTCTTGAACCAATTTTGAAATCGATCCATTTGATGTTGAGTTTGTCAATTGTTGATTCGTATTTCCATTATTATTGTTATTGTTGTTGCTATTGTTATTGTTGTTGTTATTATTTATACAATTTGATAGACTACCAGCACTGCTGGAATTCGTAATGATTGGAATGGATTGATAACTAGTGTTTGTCGATGTAAAACTCTGACTATTAGAGATATTACTCGAACTACAGTGTAGATTCGATTCAGAACCACTGAATTTCTTTCTAAGAAAGTTTGGAACCATTCCAGATTTCTTTTTCTTATTTCCATTCAACGCATCTGGTGATTGATCTGATCCATCATGACTTTGAATAAAAGCTAATGAATGAGAACTATTTTCTTTTCTCTGTGATATATCTGATATTGATGATGATTTCATTCAAATTTACTAATTCAAAATAATATTAAATTTAAAAACCTAAGTCTAAGATCTACCTGTTAATTTTGGAAATTAATATTTATAGATAAAATTTAGTGAGGGAGAGAAATATAGTAACTTTATTTTATAATGTTATGTTATGTTCTCATTCACTTAGAAAAAAAAACAAATGAAAAAAATGAATGAATTAATGAATGAATGTATTTAATTTGTGGAGTGGAGCATAAATGAAAGTTAATTAATCAAACTGGCTAGTAATCAAATTTGTGTTTATGTTTTTGTTTTTTTTTGTTTGGAAATACATCATTCAATTTTTAATAAATCAAAAAGAGAGAGAGAATGAGAATGAATGAATGAATGACAACAGTTACAATCATCACAATAGATAAGCACATTTTTATATAGAATAAACTATTTCTTTATTTGGCATAATAGATGGAAACAATAGAAAGTGAGCAGCTGCTGTGTATCAATTAATTAATGTTAAAATATTTGTTTTGTGGTATACCACAAATTGATGGCGCCGACTTGATGGGAATTGCAGATGCATAAAGATGTTGTTTTTTGTTTTTGATACATTGGTGATGAGTGACTAAGCGATAAGTTATTAGTAGTGATGAGTGTTGAGTGTTGAGTGATGAGTTTTGAGTGTTTAGTGAAAAGTGAGAAAAGTGGTCGTAGAAAAGAAACTGAGAGTGTACTGTCGGGGTGGATTGGATTGGATTGGTGGGTGTGAGGTGTTATTGATAAATGAAACACAAAAATCTATTAATTAAATATATATTTATTATTTTTAATTGTTTATATATTATTTCATTTTTGTTGATTTTTTTTTATTTAATATTTGTGTGTTTTGATTGGTTAATTAATGGATGGACTTTATTTGATTTTATTTTATTTTTTGGTGTGGTAATAACTAAATAAATAATATTGGTAATTATAATAATAATAAACACAATCCAAATAAAAACAAAAAAAATTCTTAACTTACTGTATAATTTAATATGATTGATTGTGCTATTATTTCTTTTTTTTTTTTTGAATTTAAAAAAATAGTGATATGGTGGATGGACTGGACTGATTTGATTAATTTGATTGATATAGATTATATTTTAATCTATTTAAATAAATATTATTACGAGGTAAACTACTAATAAAATCTATGGAATACTATCTATAAATTGAATTTTATTTATTAAATATATATGTACACATAAGTTTGTTGGGTAATTGGTTTTTGTTTAAATTTATTTAATATTGGAAAAACAAAAGTGATTCGATTACTATTACTTGATAAAATAAAAAATAAAGTGATACTGTAAAAAAAAACTTGGGAATTAAAAGATTATTATTATAATCACTTGATTGTATATTTAGGAATTATTTGTACTTAATTTAAAAAATTAATTTTTGTATTAAAAACAAAAAAAGGAAAGAAAAGAAACAAAAGAAACAAACAAATGGATATATAATGTAATTTATAAAGTAGCTTCATATGGTTAGTAATTTAACTTATATATAAATAAAAATGGTAGAGCTGGTGTGGTGATTGAGTATGCAGAAAGGAATAATATTTTAATCATGATGTTAAGGGGGTTATGAATGAATATAGTGTATGGTAGTGGTGGTACCTGCTATTGATTGTGTGTGTGTCTGAGTTTATGTGTTATAGTGGGTTAGGGTGTGTTTTTAACATGCATGTTGAAATTGAATACTATTGGTTGGTAAGTGCTATGTAGAATTTATTAAGTTAGATATTCGAGTCGATTAAACTCAAACTAATATCAATTGATAATGAACAATAAATAATGAAGAACATAAAAAAAAGAAGAAGAAGAAGAACAACAACAACATTTTGATAGAAACAATCAAATCAATCAAACAAACAAACAATCAAATCAATCAATCGCTGAATTCCACCTCCCAAATCAGTACTAAGATCTTGATTGTTAGTTAATATATTTATTTATATAAATAATATATATAAAGTGAAAAGCAAAAAAAAAATATATTAATGTGAAAGTGTGTATTGTTCAAACATATTTGTGTATGAGTGTGTGGTTTGATTTTGGTTTATTATTATTACTATTGTTATTATTGCTGTGCTGTTTGATTGCTAATGATTGCTATATTATCTGACCAACCGATTATCAACAACACAACATATATATTGCATAACTCTAAAAAAATAAATATTATTTAAAACAACTCTTTTTCCTCTTATTTTATAATGATTTTATGGATTAAAACTTCAACAACAAGAACTCTACTAATCACATATATAGACATCCTATTTGAATCGTTGTTATATTTAATTAAATATGATGAGAGATCTTTAAAAATTATACAAATTTTGAAGTCGATGATCAAAAAAAAAAAAAGTAAATATTTGATAATGCTTTTATGATGCTATCATACCAAATTTATAAATATATATTAGTTATTATGCGAAATTAAACAGTAAACTGTTCATTGGGATTCGATTTGGTATAGGAAGCTGGGAACTTCCCTTAAGATAATCAGCTCAGTGGTTTCTTTGATGTATTGCTGTAGTCTGTATTTCTCTACTATGAACAAAAACACCTCTGTTTGATATCGTTGAAGTACGACAAAGAGTAACAAGCAATTATCAAGTATCTCCTAACTATATGTCCGATTCCACAGGTTGATGTTGTGTAATAGCTACTTGCTGCAAAGAAGATTCGGCAAGCAATCAATATCGCTCAATCAAGTACAGAGTTTATTCTTGAATAAAACGCCCTATATAACCATCCCTCAAACAAACAAGTAGATCTCCTCTTAAAATCCCTTAGAGTATTCCCTTGATAAAACAAATAGAACTCGAGTACATTGTTATATATATTCAAATTACTTGACCTACATCTATATAAAGTCTAAATAATTCTCTCTTTCTTCAGTCCAGTATTCATTTAAATTAATTGGTGGTTTTTAAAAATTGTAGATCGCTACAAAGCTTTGCTAAAACAAAAGGTTTTTTTTTTTTTTTTTTTTTTGTTAATCTTAATCTTAATCACCCCACCAGTCCTTTTCAGATTTTCTTGGTCGAAAGTATCTTTTGGAATCATGATTCGGATACTTTGATTTTTTTATTTTTTGCTAAAATTGCCGACGATTAATAACGATCTTGGGAATTACAGGTATGATTTTTTTGGTTTTGGAAGAATAGTTGGTTGTCATTTATTTGGTGATATGACATCGATAATATCTATTGATATTAAACTTTGGGAATACTTTAACATTTATAAATTAAAATGTACAACTATAAATATAAAAAACTCGATAAAGAATAAATCATTTAAGTAAAATATACAAATATAAAAGATAATAATAAATAAATAAATAAATATTTAAAGAAAAAAAATGAAAGTTATCTCTTTAGTTTTAGTAATTTTCATCAATATAATATCAATTGGAGCAACTGATATTATGTGTTTTGTTGATTATACAACTGGAGGACCATGTACTCCAACTTCAACATTCCAAGCGTAAGTTTATCTGTTTTTATTTATAGTTGTTGATTTGTAAACTAACTAATGAATGTATTTATTATAGAACTTGCTCAAAAATTTCAGATTGTAATACTTGGGCCTATAATACTGTAAATACCTATCTGAGTGTTGAGAATACCTATATTTATATTCAAAATACTGGCTCATCAGGATATAATAGAGATTGTCCTGAATTGACATATCTACCAGCGTCAAATTCTATTACATTCCAAGTTTTGGATGGATATACCGTTATTGATTGTCAAGGAAACAGATTCTTATCTCTAACAATGACCAATTATACATATATCACATTTTCAAATATTGGATTCACCAATTCAAATGCTACAGGAAATCAATATGGTTTGTTTGATATTACCTATCCAACTTCCGAAGCCAGTCCAACTATTAGTTTTATTAATGCCAATGTCAGTAATATTAAGAGTGTAAACAGTGGTGGATTCCTAAGAGTCTCCGATTTGAATGTCAATATAGTTGGCTCAAACTTTACAAATTGCTACAGTGCTATGGAAGGTGGAGTTATCAAGTCAGACGAACTAAGTTTCAACAACAGTGTTTACATCCAGGACTCAACATTCACATCTAACGGTGCCTATCAATTTGGTGGTGCAATTTCAGCTCCAAATGTTTATGTACTCAACTCACAATTCACTAAAAACTCTGTTATCAGCTTTGGTGGTGCAGTCTACTCTACCAATTCATTCGTATCTTCATATTCCACATACATTTCGAATCATGCTGCTAATGGAGGTAGTGTTTACGCACAGATTTCCTTAATTGACAACTCAGTGTTTAATTACTCATCTGTTTCATATGACGGTGGTGCCTTGTATTCTTTTAATTCGACTATTAACAACAGCACATTCTTTGGAAACTACGCAAAGAATAGCGGTGGATCTATTGTGTCTTTCTACAGCATCGGTATGGAGAGCACCAGTGTTTTGAATTCAAGTGCTGGAGTGTCAGGAGGTGGATTACTCGCTAATGGTGTAGTCAATATTATCCATTGTGATTTCGATTACAACATCGGTGGTTATGGTGGTGCCATCTATTTAAACAACGGAAATACACTTTCCACCATCCTCAACGCCAGATTCAGAGGAAATACTGGTGACTCTGGTGGTGCAATTGTAAGTGGTCATACTGAATACAATATTTTCATAATGATAAATATTAATAACAATACAAATGTTATTATACAATGTTATATTTTTAGTATGCAGTTGGATATTATTATTATTTTATGTTAACTGAATTCAATAATAACGTTGCTCATTTCAGTGCTGGTGCAATCTTCTTTTATCTTACACCATATGAATTCTATGGTGGATACTATATCAACTCAACAAGTAATAGTAACCCTACTGTCGATCAAACATTCAATAGTGAAGCTTTACCTTCTAGTTCACTCCCACATGTTTTTGTCGAAAAGATTCTCCTTACAAATGGAATCGAATATTATACACCATTAGTACAAGATAGAAGTAGTCAATATGTATGTGTTAACATTACTAAAATATCAAACTTTTTAATTACTTTTTTTTTACTAACTATTTTTTAAATGTAATAAATATTATAGGTGAAAGCATATGGAACTACAGGTAACTGTGTAAATGGTATTGCTGAGATTAATGTAGAAGGTGATGTTATAAATTGTAAATGTTTCAAAGGATACAAAGGTCCTGCATGTGGTCAGCATTCTCTCTTCAAACTATCATTAGATAACTAACTAACTAAAATAAACATAAACATTTAAAATAATTAAACCTATATTTTGATTGATTCATCTCTTCACCTCTCTAATTAAGTTCACCTTTCAAATAAAGAGAGAGATTAGATGGGTGGTAGTGTGAATATGAGGAGTGAAAACAATTTACTTCTTTTTTTTTTTTTTTTAATCTGAGTATTTGACTTCTACTACTCAAAATTTAATTTAAAACAGAGAAAAAATAAATAATCATTAATCTTAATCTTATTGTAACTTTTCTAGGACTTTTCGTATTCATCTATTTAAATGAGTAACACTTAAATCTTTTAAATCGCTGGGTTTTTCATCTTTTTTTCACTCATTATGCCGATATTCTTTGTAAATATCTTGGTATCTTTCGATGTTTTTTTATTTTTTTTCAAAAAATATTATTTTTTTTGAAGAAAATTTTACAAATTAAGAAAGTGCAAAATATCTACTGATTTTTTGATGATATCACCAAACAAATGACAACCATGACCTGTGGTGGAATTTAGTGGAACACCCGTTTTAGCTTCTATTAAAAAAAATATCTATCACCCACACAGACAGGTCGAATATTAAACAACTATGTAGGGTCATTTATTATGATTTTTACAAAAAGGAATGTTTTCAAAAATAACTATAAATATAAATAAAATGTAATAAAAAAAAATAAAATCATTTTAATAAATTATACAAATATAAAGAGATATAATAAATAATAAATATATAAAAGAAAAAAAATGAAAGTTATTTGTTTAGTTTTATTAATTTTCATCAATATAATATCAATTGGAGCAATTGATATTATGTGTTTTGTTGATTATTCGACAGGAGGACCATGTACTCCAACTTCAACATTCCAAGCGTATGTTTATCTGTTTTTATTTTTTCAATAATTATTAATTTGTAAACTAACTAATGAATGTCATTTTTTATAGAACTTGCTCAAAAATTTCAGATTGTAATACTTGGGCCTATAATACTGTACATTCCAATCCAAGTGTTGATAATACCTATATTTATATTCAAAATACTGGCTCATCAGGATATAATAGAGATTGTTCTGAATTGACATATCTACCAGCATCAAATTCTATTACATTCCAAGTTTTGAATGGATATACCGTTATTGATTGTCAAGGAAACAAATTCTTATCTCTATCAATGAACAATTATACCGATATCACATTTTCAAATATTGGATTCGCCAATTCAAATGCTAGAGGACAAGCCAATCAATATGGTTTGTTTGAGTTGAGCCATCCCAAAGCCGAAGCCAGTCCAACTATTAGTTTTATTAATGCCAATGTCAGTAATATTAAGAGTGTAAACAGTGGTGGATTCCTCAGAGTCTCCAATCTGGATGTCAATATAGTTGGTTCAAACTTTACAAATTGCTACAGTGCTATGGATGGTGGAGTTGTCAAGTCAAACGAGTTCTCTGACAACAGTGTGTACATTCAAAACTCAATATTCACATCGAACGGTGCCTATCAATTTGGTGGTTCAGTTGCCGCTCCAAATGTCTATGTTACAAACTCACAATTCACTAAAAACTCTGTTATCAGCTTTGGTGGTGCAATTTATACTACCAATATGTTTGAATCTTCATATTCCTCATACATCTCTAATCAAGCTGCTAATGGAGGTAGTGTTTACGCACAGATTTCCGTAATTGACAATTCAGTGTTTAATTACTCATCTGTATCAAACGATGGTGGTGCCCTATATACTTTCAACTCGACCATTACCAACAGTATATTCTCTGGAAACTACGCAAAGAATGGTGGTGGATCTATTTTGGCTTACTACAATATCAGTATGGAGAGTACCACTGTTTTGAACTCAACCGCTGGAATATCAGGAGGTGCTTTAATGGCTAACAGTGGAATCAATATTGTCTATTGTGATTTCGATTATAACACCGGAGGTTATGGTGGTGCCATCTATGTAGTCAATGCTTATACAGATGCCAACATTCTTAATGCCAGATTTAGAGGAAATACCGGTGACTATGGAGGTGCAATAGTAAGTAGCATACATCGACAATATTTTCATGATAATAATAATAACAATACTAATTTTAATGCAAAAATGATTTATATTTTTAGTATGGAGTTGGATATTCATTCTCTTTTATGTTAACTGAATTCAATAATAACATTGCTCACTACAGTGCTGGTGCAGTTTACTTTTACTTTACACCAGCCAATTTTGACGGTGGATACTATATCAATTCAACATCTGCCGCTAACTCTACTGTTGACCAAACATTCAATGATGAAATTCTAGCTGGTAACCATGTCTATGTACCAAACAATATATTTACAAATGGAATCGAATATTATACACCATTAGTACAAGATAGAAGTAGTAAATATGTATGTGTTAACATTACTAAAATATTTAATCTTTAATTATACCTTACTAACTATTGTAAATATTATATTATAGGCTATGGCATATGGAATCACTGGTCAATGTGTAAATGGTATTGCCGAGATTAATGTAGCTGGTGTTGTTGCACAATGCCAATGTTTCAAAGGATACAAAGGTCCTGCTTGCAATCAACGTTCTAGCTTCAAACTATCATTAGATAACTAACTAATTAAAATAAATATTTAAAAAATCAAACAATATTAAGTTTCAACCAAATTTACAAATTTTTGTTTTTTATAACTACTTTAGAAAAAATCTAAATATACTATTAGCTCATTGAATGAAAAGCATATAAAAAGATGTATAATCACTAGACGAATCTAATGATATCAAAATTATCAAAAAATAATGAGAATCTATATTTAATTCTATTTTTCTAAAAAATAGTTTGATATCTTTTTGAAACAAAGATATAAATAAATAAAATAAATATTTATTTATAGACAATCACTAGACGAGTCTATTAATATCGAAATTGAAGATTAAAAATAACACTATCGATGTAATCATAAGATTTTATTATTCTTAGCTCCAACGACAATAATTTTTCTAGACTTTTGTTTCAAACATATTTGTATATATGAGTGTGGTTTGATTTAGTTTATTGTTATTGTTGTTGATCGTTAATGATTTATATTGCTATTAATTCGACCAATGATTAAAACAACTCTTTCCTCTTATAAATATTATTATTATTTAAATTCATCCATAAAAACTGAACATCAACAAGATCTTGTCTAAATTAATAAAAAGTGATAATATGAAAAGTTGTTATTCTGAATATGGTTAGATCTTAAAATAAAACAAACCTTTTTGTTCATTTTCATTAAAACTAAATAAAATCATCATTTTTTTTAAAAAAAAAAAGTAAAATTAATTTGGTGTGATCGATTAGTTGGTTGATTCTCTCTGATTTAGATCGTCAATAAATATATATCAATATCTGTTTTATGTTGTTATCATATCAAATCTATAAATATATATTAGAGTTATTATGGAATGATTATGCGAAATTGAAAAGTAAAAATTGGAAGTGTTTTCTGTCATTCGATTTAGTATGTTGGAACTTTCATAAGATAATCAGTTCGCTAAACAGAACCTTGAATATCGTTGAAGGGAAATCATTTGATAGATTCCTAGATCATTACAATGGAAGATGCGCACCACTTTTTCAAATACATACACTACACATCCCCAAAAACAAAGATGATAAATACAAATTCGAGAAGGAATCGATACCACTAGAGAATCTAAGACATTTAACACAGTCGTTGGAGACTCTACATGCTCCTTTGAGTTCATTGATGTTTACCAATCATATACCAACACTAAAACAACTAAATATCATTCATTGTGTCGAGGGAAAGGAATCATTGAAATTGGATAAACGATTGAAATCTGCACTCTACCCAAAAGATAAACAACAACAACAACAAAATTGTCAATCCCAACAACAACTACAAAATATAAAACATTTATCTTTACATTTCGATTATTATTCAGAATTCAAGATATCAAAGTCATCGATAAAGAAATGGATAGAGAATATATTTCTATCGGATGCGCTTGGAGGTGTGCCATCGATTGAGGTGTCAGACCGCTACTTTGGTGTGATACTTAACTTTCCGGAATACTTTTTTGGTGCATTGAAGAAAAGAAAACAGCAGTTGTTACATCTCTCGATCACTCATCCCAATCTACTGCAAGACAATCGTTTCTTTGATGAATTGCTCCGATATCTCTCTGCTATGACCACCAAAGACGGCAACTGCTGCTGCTTGACATCGTTCAAGTACAACAAAGAGTTACTCACCGATTCGATTGTCCAGTATCTCCTGACTGAATGTCCGATTCCACAGGTCGATGTTATTATACCCGCCAAAATGATTATGTACCCACTGCAGCGGAGATTCGACAAGCTAACACTCTCGCTCAGTCTCTATCGATTCCAAATACCGTACGAACCACCGCTGAACATCGACAACAGCGACATCTTCCAATCGTTGAACCAAGTCAACCGTCTCTACGTGGTGATCGATCGCTACGGCTACGAATACAACTCAAAGATCAATACGATTCTCGCCAGCCTATTCGAGAGTAACACCCAATCGAGCTTGATAAACACAGAGTTATTCTTAGATGAAGCACCACTCTACGATCATCTCTTTGACCGACTACTCAAAGCGATCGAGAGTAACCATCACCTCAAACAAGTAGAACTCCTGATAAAATCCGTTAGCATTCCTATGCACCATTCACTGCCGAAACTATCTAGACTGATCTCATGTATAAACAATCATCCAACAATAACAAACAAGAGTCAATCAATAAAGATAATACCAGGTAATTACTAAACTACATATGTGATCAAAATAACAACATAGCAATCCAAATTAAATAGATCTGTATACTAGTCAAACAAACAAGAAATAAAGAAAAGAAGTACTACTACTGTATATTGTTTTTTATGTAATATTTTGTTTAAAAGCCCATCGATAATGATTTATTGTCTAACTAACATTTACTTGGAACCCTTCTTTTCCTTTTGTTGCTTCTTGTAGACGAGCTTGGCAGTCTTTTGTTCTTCAATCAAGAAAGCACGGATGATTCTGTTATTATTGAAATGGTAGTTAAGATTGATATGTTAACAAACCTATTCTTCAACCAAATTTCGTTTGTTTGTTTTTGTTAATAGTTTGATACATACCTGGTACGGACGCACTTGTGGCACTTTGAGGAACCATAGGCTCTAGCGGTGGTTCTTTGGCATCTTGGGGCATTCTTCAATTCGATTGGTCTCATAGCTTTGATCTAAATTATGAGAAAATGAATATGATAAGTCAAATTTGAACGAAAACATAGATAAAGTAACTATTTGACGATATTTACACCAGCGATTTCAACACCACATTCACCACACTTTGGGATTTGACCTCTCTTACCAACATATTGGTAAACCAACTTTCCACCTAAATAATAATAATAATAATAATGAAAAACAAGTATCAGCACTAATCTATTCTATATCACTTTCAATCTTTTCTAATCTGTTAAAGTATTTACCTGGGGTCTTGACACTATAAAGTAGTAAAAAGAAAGATAGATTAGTTTCAACAACTTCTTTACCTCCTAAACGCTAAATTCTAACTAATAGTAGAGATATATAGAGAGTAGAGTATAGGTGGTGTAGTTTAGTTGATACATACATTCTGACCTTGTTGGATTCAGTACGGTATGAGAGTCTTCTTCTGTATGTAAGACGTTGAGCCATTATCGTTGTTATGAAATAGGATGGGCAAGAACAAACGGATTCACTAATATCAAAAACCCTTCACTATAGGTTTCTCGTTCACGCATTCCACTGTCCAGCAAGCAGCTCCCACACTCACCAGAACCCACTCAAAAAAAAAATTCGAAATTAAATTAAATAAAATTTCATTTTTTTAACACAAAAACTTTTTTCATTCCAAAACAAAATAAATGCCCTGTGGTCCACAGACCAAACACTTAATACTAAAACAAGATCTATCAACATCATTATATTCATATGACAATAATAATGATATGTTTAAATTATGAAGTAAAAATAGAGATAAAACAATGATTAATTTGAAGGTTTAGTTTTTTTTTTTTTTTAAAGATAAATAATCAAGAACAGTCTTAAGAAAACAAGAGATAAATAAAAAAGTACAAGTTAATTTGATTGATGGTTGAATCGAGTATATTAAAGTTTAATCTAATTCTACCTAAATAAATGATTTCATTTTTTATATATTTTCGATTCATTTTTTTGTTGGATAAAATAGTGTTGTGTAAAATGGTTGGTGGTGTAGTTCGAACTGTTATATATATATTATATGTTGCTGTTATTGAATATTTTCTGTATCTTTTGAAATTTGAAGTTGTTGATCTGTATCAATTTGATTGTCAACTGCTAAATAATCTGTTGTTGTAAGTGGTTCTATTGGAATTGATTCGATTGTGTTGCTGGATTTCTTCGATCTGGGTCTAAGTTTCAGTCTAAAGTACGAGGTTTCCTTACAACATAGCGGTATGATTACTTTGATCTTTATGATATCGTACACACCAAACATAAACAACACGATATAAAGCATTGAGATAATGAAGATAACCAGTACGGCAATGTCATTGACAACGAAAAACTCGTCGGCAAATACATAGTCCTTGATGATCTGTGGCATGCTATCGATGCTGCCCGACGTGGCAAGCGATGCCGACGAAGGTTGGTAATTCGAGTGCTTCGCATTGATACGCTCCTGTCTGACACGGTCGCAAACACGACACTCTGCGAGAAATACACAGTTATTGTAATGACGTTCGAAGCTGCGTTTCAACGGTGCTTCCTTCCACTTAAAGTAGCTGTTATACAATGTCTCGTTGGCCGCCACCAACTTTAGGTAATCCGCCAGTAGTTTCGGCGACTTGAAATCGTTAACATTGATCAACGACTTACTTCCAGGTGTCCAATCTTCCACATTATCGGCACCCATATAGACTGGAAGTGATCCACTCAAATAAGTATGTGGAAGTTTCTCACTACATCAATATTCATATTAGATATATTGGTTGATTGTTGTGCACATCATAATATATATATATAGTAATGTAGATACATACGTAACATAATCGGTAACATTATTATTCTCAAATGCCAGAACGAATTTATACTTCTTAAAGAGATCCATCTTGGCTTGGAATCTGTCTCTGGCGGTGTTACGATTCAGTGCTTCTTTGTCTTGATTCTGCAGACACAGTCCGTAGGAATCGACTTTGATGTGTTTCATGAGTTCGCGTACATACTCGGCACGCTTGTCAGCGCCACCCGCCTTGCAGTTACTGGCGACGAAAGCAATGAGGTTCGGTCGCTCTTTGAATCCCGGTTGTCGGTCTTGGTATGCCGCTATACCATTGGAGTGTCCCCAGCTACACACGAAGCTGACCTGCACTGTAGAGTCGGCATTGTAACTCAGCTTCCAATCCATGTGCGAGAGATACTGCTTGTTCTTCTGTATGGGAAAGTAGGTATCGGTCTCGTAGGTGAACATCATATACTTCTGACCGCAGATCTTCTCGTCCGGATACTTGCTGCCACGCTTACCGAATGGCTGTGGTTCAAAGATGACGACGTCGGCCGACTTGTACAGTGCTTGATCTCCCGTAAACATACAGTTTGCCCGACACTTCAGTGCATCGGGATCGAGATAGCCCGCCCAGTAAATCTCACCAACTCTGCCCCATCCCGTCCAATGATTCAGTGATTCCCATGTCAAAACAAGTACATTGTCATCTGGTGAACTGTTATCATATTATATCAATATGTTAATCAATATTATAAATCTAAAGTAATAATGCTCACTAAATAAACACATAACATACCTATCTACTAATATATTATTACTATATGTACAGTGATTCTTCTTTACATTGAAATAAGTACTAATCGAAATGGTAGTGATATACGCAATCAACATAGTAAGGAAGAAGTATTTATGTTGTGCTTTCACCATTCTTTTTTGTTTTTTATTTACTTTATTTTATTATATACAGATTTGTTATTTGTTTGTTTTTAAATTAAATAAGAATATTAATATTTTGATTATATATCTAAAAATATATATCTATATATATATAAGCAATAATAAGATATTACAACAGCATTACTATTTATTGTTATTGTATATGTAACTAGATATTTATGTTCTTATGAATATAACGCTAAAATAATCATTGGAATTTTAAAAGGAAATGTAAAAAAACTTTTAAACTTTTTAGTTTTTTTAAACGAGTTCATGGGGAACAACAATTTAAATTTTAAGAAAAAAAAATCTGGCTTGTATTCTATTTTCTCTGAACTAGAACAAACTAACTTTCACCTTCATCCGATGAAATAAATTAATTAATTACTTTAGTTTGACATTAATAAGGAATAAAAAAGACGAAAAATAAGAAAAAAGGAAAAAAAAGTAAAAAGATTGTTTTGGTAAAGAAAAATAAATAAATAATAGATTTGATTATCTCATTTCTATTATTGTTTTTATATATATATATATATTAATGTTTATTATAGATTAATATGGTTCCAGTGGTATCGGTGGAAATTAAATATTTTCCAATGTTGTTTTCGATTATGGATGGCGCAAATATGGTAGAGGTGAGTGGTTTGTTGAGAGCAGTAAGGAATTCACAGCACTCGATGGTCAGTTTGCTTGGCTTCGCTTCTTCATTGTAAGAGGGATGCTCGGTAATGTTGTTCCAGATGTAGATATGAGAATCTTCACTGCCAATGATGATATACTTGCGGTCTGGTGAGATCACAGGTTTCACTTGATAGTTCTCCAAGTGCATACCTTTATACTTGCATATTCTTTTGAAATCTTTCAATGAATATTGTCTAATACAAGAGTCATTCGAACTAATTAAAAGCTATTTAATTTAAAAATAATAAAGATAAAAGATAAAGATTAGTAATCTTTTTTGTTGATGAATTCTTGTTTTTAAAATAAACTTACACAATCTTCATGGATAGGACTCGTAATAAGAGTAACACCAGTAATTTTGGGACCTTTTCCTTTTTTGCCAGTGTGATTCTCACTGACGTTGAATCTGTGAATCATTTCGAGGTTGGCTGGACTGTAGATCAAGATATTGCCGAGATGCGAGGTGACGATGAGATAGTGGGGTGTAATAGATAGAGAAATGGTTGTTATAAATTCACCGACTTCAGTTTGAACGATAGGTTGATCATCATTATTATTGATTGACCATTTTCTAATGAATCCATCCAAAGTTGATGAGTAAAACATTGATTGTGACTATAATAACAAAGAGGGAAGCAATCATGTTAATGAATGAAATTTACTGATGTAATTGATAACTTGTTAACTTACAATGTCTAGACTTATTGAAACTACAATATCATTGTGCTCGAAAGTCCTAATACATTCGTTTGATTTTACATCCCAGAGTTTGACGTTGGTGTCGATCGATGCTGTCAGGAGTCTTGTGTCACTCATCCATTTGATATCCAGAATATGTCCGGTGTGTCCAGTGAATTGGGCAATCGGCTCGCTTTTGAAGTAGTCGTGTTCATTCAGGTCCGGTGAGACTTGGTTGATCACTTTCCATACACGTACAACACCATCGGAGCCACCGGTTGCCATTAGAGTGCCGCTGAGGTTAAAGTCGACAGCCCATATCGATCCATTGTGTCCTTTCACAGTTTGAACCAGACTAAAATCGGTACACAAGTCTTTTGATTTCTTTTTCAAATTGTTTGGAACACTATTGCTATTGCTATTGTTGCTGTGATGATGGTGAAGGTTTTTCAACCATCTTGAAACTCTTCTCTCTTTTTCATTATTATTACTATTACTGTTGTTGTTATTATTATTTATATTATTTGGACTATTATTATTATTCATTTGTATATTTGGCATACCATTACTTGTATTTAACATGTTTGGTTCACAAACATTATTCTCAGCTTGTGAATATCGTTTAATTAATTTTCTTAATCTACCGCCACTTTCTTGTGGAGGTGGTTGAGTTAATAAAGATGGAGTTGAATGATGATGTGGGACATGTGATGCTTGATGATCTTTGTAGTCAATTGAAGATTCAGATTGAGTCAATTCTGCTCTATCTTTGTTGTGACTGCTGCTATTATTGCTGCTACTAAACAAGTTGTGTAATTCCTCACGTTTTGTCTTGATGATATTTAATACTTTAGAGTTTCTCTTTGATTTAACAGTGTTATTGTTGCTATTGTTATTTGCTTGTTGTGATGCTGCTGAGGAAGAAGTGCTTGAATGTGAGGATGATGGGTGGTAGTGTAGTGCACTCATCGAAGGAGAGGAAGACGGTGAAATATTTGGTGAAGTGGAAGGGGAAGAACTGGTGGATTGTGTTGGAGAATCTTTGGACAATGTAGACAATGCAGATTGTGGTGAGATTGACATTGTTTTATTTGTACTGTTGTTTGTGGATGTTGTCGATATTGATGATGAAGTGGAAGTAGAAGACATTATTGTTGTAGTTGTTGATAGTAATGATGATGACGATGTTGATGTTATTGTAGCAGTTGTTGTGGTGTGTAACAATGAAGGTGCGGATTGAATGGGCGACGGCAGTGGTGTGGTTGATGGTGGAAGTGGAGAGAGTTTCTCGACTCCGATTGCAGCACCACTGCTTCTGAGCATGTTGTTGTAGCTATGGAAACCAGCACCTCGAGGTGTCAAATTACTTGGAGTCAGCGATGAAGTCCATGAAGGATTGGTTTCCAAGCAGTCGTAGAACATGTCGTCGTCATCTTCATTGTCGTCCTTTGAATAGAGACTGCCTGTACTATGATTATCGGTGTTTTTGTAGAAGCTAGAATGTAGATGCTGTACCAACGTATCACGTGATCCACTTGTATTCAAAGTTGTCGTCGGTACACCACCACTTGAGAATGATAGTGTGGTGGCAGTTGCCATCATCATAGTTTTTTGATTTTTATCCGATTATTATTATTTAGAAAGAAAAAAAGAGAAAGTAAACTTTGTTGTTTTTGTTGTTGCTGTTACTGTTGTTTATGTATATAAATAAATAAATACAAATTCGAATTATTATTTGGTTGTTATTATTATTATTTGATAACTATTTGGTTTGTGAATATAATATGTTTTCTAACTACTATTTATATAATCTAGATTTTGTTTTAAATGAAATTCATTTAGATATGTTAATACAATGGTAATGCAATGAGATAAATAGCTATTGTTGTTGATTGATTGACTGACTTATTAAAATAGATGAAAGAAAACTAAAGATTTAGAAATATATATATATAAATACACTGTTTAATTTATTTAAATTAAGCAAACAAAATGAAGTTTAGGAAACAGACAATATACAATAGAGAGCTTGTTATTATATTTGTTTAATAAATGTAATTTAATAAAGTAACATGGGTGTGTTGTAAGTGTATGCCAATTGTTTAAACAATCCTGGTTGAAGCGGTGGCATTTTTAATTAATATAATAATGCTATGTGTTTTATGTATATACTCTATTCTATTAGTAGTGTTTGGTTTAGATTTGTTTGGATTTGCAACAATTAATATAATCAACAACAACAACAAGAGTGTTAACACTTTGTCGATTGATTAGTAATGTGTTCATTGAATTGGTTACTATTGTCAATGATTGTTTAAGTGATGTTTATCATAATATAAATGATGACAATGACGATGGGGAATGAGTATTAATTTTAGTGGAAGAGAGTGCAGGTGTATTGTTGTAAGTAGGAGTGAGTTAGTGAGTGAATGAGTGAGTGAATGAGTGAATGAGTGAGAGTTGTATCTTTATCTGTATCTGTGTGTTAAACTAGTTTATTTATATATACATATTATATGTGTATGAGTGTATTTAGTGTGTATTTAGTGTGTAGTGTTTATTGTTTATTGTTATTAATTTTATTGATTACTCAATTTTTCACACAAACACACACACTATTAAACACCATACTAAAATATTTTAAAAAGAAAAACATTAAAAATAGATCGTTTTTGTTTTGTTTACCTTAATTAATTAGTTTATGCAATGATGTGCAATGCAATAACAATGACATAGTATTTTAATAAATTTTATTATTTATTTAATTATTTATTCCTCCTTTTCTTTCAAAGGTTAGAATAAACAAAAAAATAAACAATAAAATAAATTAATTTATTAAAAAAAAAAAAAGGAAGAAAAAGTTATAAATAAAAATTGATAAATTTATATATATAATTATGTTTGTTTCAATGAAAGAAATACTAAAAGATTTAAGCAAATTCTTTTTCTCTCTCTAGTACTTCTTTTGGAATAAAAAAATAATGATAAACAAATAAAAAAAAATCAAATTAATCCATTGTTTTTTTTTTTAGATGTGACTTCAATGTTTTTCCACCCAGGTACATTAATTTGCAAACAACAATAAAATCTAAAAACTTTCAAAAAAACACACCATGCATGATGTTATACAATGCGACATGGTGTGATAATGAGTTAAACAAAAAATAAAAAACACACATTATCTCTTAAAAGTAATTTAAATTTGCAAGATATTTTATTTTGTTGAAAAGAATAAACATAAACATATAATTAAAGAAATAAACAGTGTTTCTACTCACCAATTTTAAATTCAAAGTATAACTTTTTTGTAAGATGCTCGTGTAATATTTGCAAAGTAGTACTTTACTATTTTAAGAAACTTTTTTATATTTATTAAACTTTATAAATATATATATATATATGGATAATTATTATGAAATTACAATATTATAAATTATAGGTGTAGTAGTAGTAGTAGTAGTCTACAATTTTTTTTATTATTAATTAAATCTAATTATAATCTTTATATGAAATAAATATTGAACTTTTGTTTTTTTAAAAAAATAAGAAAATAAATAGTTTTAATTATTTATTTGATCTTGCAATTTTATTTGTAAACAATAGATGTTTTTTTTTTTATGTTTACTTTTTAATTTAGTTATTTTTATTTTATTGTTTAATAATAAATAATACGAAAATGTGCCTCATTTTGATTGATTAACTATTAATATAATTTAAATATAAAATTAAAATTAGATTTTAATCTTTTTTATATTGGTAATGGTGTGTAATGTTGTTGCAAGGTTTTTGTATCAAACCCCCAATTTACGCAATCATTTCTCGCTTTTTCAAAACATCATGATGCTTTGGTTATTGGCATTCGCACACAAAAACCTTATAATTTTGTTTAATTTTTATTTTTTTATATAACGATCTGCACTAATTTAGTATATTTTTTTTTTTACATGACACCAAGTGATCAACTATGATGTTTTATTTTGTTTTCTTTAGTTTTGTCATCTAGATACTGTATATAGACACATTCGTTGAAAGATATCTTTGGCAAACAAACATTAGATCAAATTTACTAGCACTAATGACCAATCGTTAATATTATATTAAAGTCAATCGATTGACCAATATAATATTAACGATTGGTCAACCAATCATTCAATTAAATTGAGTATAATCAAATCATAGATATTCAAAAATAGAATTTCAATTTGATATTAAATAATATATATTATAATGATAATTAAAAAATAATAAAAATGATATTTAATTATTTTTTGGGTGTGTGTGTGGTTGGAATGAAACAAATAATGGAGAAATTTCTATCTATAAATAAAGACATAATAACACAATCGCAAATTGAAGCAATGAAATTAAAAAAAAAGGATATTTATTAATAATATAAATATGTATTGATTATTATTATTATTATTATTTTTATTTAATAAACAATTCAGATGATATCTTCATACTCTATCTTCATTGCTTTTTTTTTAATACTTTTAGTCAATCAGAATAAAATAAAATTAGTAAATGCTCAATGTATATATTGTTTGAAAATAGGTGATCAATGTGATCTCGGTAGTTCCTCTAGAGATCTTCCAATGGGTTCTGTTCAGTTGGCATGTCCATCAAACGCAAGGTAATCAATAAAAAAGTATAGTTGATTATTTATATTTCTAAATACCTACGAAACAATATCAATTTTTAGATGCTATCAAGATCCAACACTACTTAAACCACCAACTTGTGTTAGAGCACTTAATGAAGGTGATCAATGTACTGGTAACGTTTGTGGACAATTCTTAAAGTGCTTCAATGGTACATGCAAATCATATGGTTATAAAGGGTAAGAGCTTGTTAAGAATATCTTTTAGCTTTTCTTTTATTCTTTTTAAAATTGTTAACGAATGAATATTAATAATCATTTTCTTCAAGGATTGGAGAGAGTTGTCAAGGTAATTTTGAATGTATGTCTAGTCAGTTGGTTTGTGGTGGTAAAGGTACATGTATCAATCCGAGATACCCAATTTGCGATACAACTACTGGTTGTTTGAATGGCGAGCGTTGTGTAGATGGTCTGTGTAAAAAGGTTGTCGATAATTGGCAACCTTGTAACGCCTCTACACAATGTAGATATCTCAGTGTTTGTCAAACACCTCGAAATCTCTTACCAACCTCTGAATTCGATATCTACCAAACTCAAAAAGTATGCCTGCCACCGTTCAGCCTGGAGGAAGGTGATCCATGTGACGTAACCGAAGCATCCGGTTGTAATATAGATAATGATTTAACTGTAACTATTATCATTACCTTAACTTATACAAGTGAAGTAATATTAACCAATCGATCGATCGTCAATAACAAAGTGTTATAATATGAGATGTGCAAAGACACATCATGGAGAATCAAAGAATTGTAATAACGCCAGGAGTCCAATGGACAAGTGTACTGTGAACAATGTTTGTAGGTGTATGCAAAAGTTGGTGATTTCTGATGAACCAAACTATGGGTTGTGTAGACAGTTGCTACCGAATGCCACTTCGATACCTGCCATTGCATTAGCATTTCAGGACTGTTTCTACTCGAGTGGATGTCCGAGTGCATTTCCACCGAAAAACAAATCGTGTGTCACCCAGAAGTGTGGAGTTTCTACCGTTCACTATCTGATAAGCTCGAGTAATCCACCTTGTGGTCCGGATAACCATACTCCCATCGATCAAACAACAACAACTCCCACAGAGACAGCACCACTACTCACTTTTACACCCATCCCAAATATTACCATACCCAATGATTCCGCATCGATCGATCAACCGATTATCATCTATCGACTTGCTCTAATAATTATCATTGCACTGTTAACATGATCACCTAATAAGTTAACATTGCTTTATTTATTGTTGCCGTTGTTGTTGTTGTTTTCACAGATTTTTCTATTCGGTAGATCTTCAATTACAAGTTCTCTTTGTTCTGGAGTCATCATTCCCCAACCACCAATCTCTTTTCTTGTTCTTGAGCATCCCCAACACAAATCTGTAGTTGCATCCATCTTACATATATCGATGCATGGCGTTCTAATACCATTTCTAATTATAATAAGTTAATATTGCAAAATATCTGCTATATATATATATATATATATTTATCAACAATAATCATATTTATTAATAAATATATATGTATTGATATTTACCTTTCTCTAATATGTACTTTTGAAATATCAATTACTTCACCTTTTTTATTTTGCATTATTATACTTATTGGTTGTTTCTTTGATGTTGTATTTGTAGAGTAATATCTAACTCTACCTGTGAATAATGTGTCTAATAACTTTATCTTTAAATATTTATTTATAACATTCATATGAAATCAAACAAAAAAACAGTTTTATTAAAATTTGTTAAATCTTTACGTTTTTTTTTTTTTTTTGTGCGCCTCCATTGCTTAAGCTAGAGATCATCATTTGACTTTCTCTTCTTGGTGACAATATCACAACTTTAATTTTTTGTTTTAAATGTTAGATGGTTTAAGTTAAAAAAAAAAAAGTTCTACTGGACCAACTACTGTTGTATCAGTCAAAGAAACTAAAACTTGTCAATATACAATCACAATAAACAGTACATTTGCAACTCTATACTCTATCTCTTTTAGCAGATGTAGATTGGTTTTGGTCGTTGTATTTGTGTTTGTTTCTTTACATTATTTTTCACTCAAAACAAGTGCTGTACGATCTAGAAAGATCGTACTTTAGGTGAAATGGGTCGATACTCTAAAGAAACTATAGAAAGCGATGTTACTAATTCACTACAATAAACGCTATGAAATAAATCAACCATAACAAAAATATCAGCATTAGTACTTAACATACAACATAGAATCACTACCTCATTTGATTTATGTACCAAAGTAAAGAAAGTTGTGATCTTCCTTGGTTGCCACCAATCTGTTTCTTTATTATATTTAGTGACACTAGATGATCAACAAACAACAATCACAATTCAATAAGGTGAAGTTTATAGTTTACAATCATTCTTTTCAAAGAGAGTATACCATCGTTCGTTCGGCTTGGATATTTAAAATCAGCACAACAACTAGAAAGCAATAGGTTGACAATCACATCCAAAGATTATTCCAAATCATATTTTTGGTAAACAATAAAAAACTTGAAAATAATTTTAAATTTTATTTTTAAAAAGTTTAGATTTTGTTTTAATAACCTATTGCAATACCATCGGATCTGTTATCTGATCCAGCAATTAAAACTGTTTGATTCTGATTGTTTTTTTTGACAACAATTATCTGACCCCAGCCAAAGTGAATTCTTGCTTCTAAGATCGATCCTATATTATGACCTCTCTCTTTCATAGATTTAAATGTATTTTCAAAATCCGATTCATAATCAATCAAGCCATATCTTGGAGAATTTTCAATTCTGAATCTTGGGAAATTTAAAATAGTTTGTGGATCCATCTTATGATCAATTAGATTAACAATTGCTTGTACATTGGCAACAGGTTGAATTATACCTCCAATTATTCCTATCGATGCATAGAATTCACCGTCTTTATCGAGAATCATTGTTGGCATCACAGTGTGATAAGGACGTTTTCCAGGTTGTAAACAATTTGGATGGTTCCGATCCAAATTGAACCAACAACCTCTATTTTGAAGAGCAAATCCACATCCTTTTGGAATAATACCACTACCAAATTCCTTAATAAAAGTAAGTTTTGTATTTAATTCAATATTTTTACAATTATTAATAGTATTTTACTTACCATGAATATAGAGTTAAATAAACAACAAACATTTCCATCTTTATCAACGACTGATGCACAAACAGTGTTGCTGCTGTTGAGAGGGTATCCATTTTGAATGTTATCATTTGCTTTGTATTCATTGATTAATGATCTTCTTGAAGCAGCATAGTCTTTCGAAAGTAATTCATCAATTGGAATTGTTGCAAATTCAGGATCCGATACAAAAGAAAATGCATCTGCATAGCTTAATCTCATTGATTCAATCAAAAGATGAGTATGTTGATCCGATATTGGTTCATATTTATTCATTTCAAATCCTTCTAAAATCTAAATTGTTGAATTAATATAATTGTGTCTAAATTATATGATTATATTAAAACATACATTCAGTGCCATGAGGGAGGTTATACCTTGACTAGTTGGTGGTAATTCATAGATTTGATATCCACGATAGTTTATAGAGATTGGTTTATCATATGTTGATTTATGACTCTCAAGATCAGCGTGTGTCATTAATCCACCATGATCTTGAATGGCTTTAATGATTGAATCAGCAACTTCTCCTTTATAGAATCCATCTTTTCCATGTTTTGCAATTAACTTTAGACAATTTGATAATGGAACATTCGTCAGAGTATCACCAATCTCTGGTTTTTTACCATCACACAATAATTCATTTGCATTATCTGGTTTTAATCTAGATGAACTATACATATTTCTCTTCTATTAGCAAATATTTATTTTCTATTTTTTTTGTTTTTTTTAGTATAATAATACTTACTATTTCCAATTGTAAGAAGTTTTAACTTGTATTGGAACACCTTGTTCACAATAATCGATTGTAGGCTGAAATATTTGAGATAATGTTAGATCTCCACTCCCATATTGCTTGATTGTGTCACACCATGCAGCGGCAGCACCAGGCACTGTAACAGCATGAACACTCTTTGTATGAAATTGATCACCGAATTTATCTTTACTTTCCAAACTATCAATGGTAAGATTCATTGGTGATCTTCCACTATTGTTTTTAATAAATTAATATTATTTGTAAATATAAAAAAATCTATTTTTATTTTTATTCTTCTTCCTACTTACATTCCATTGATTGAAGATATCTCTTTTGTTTTGTTATTCCAAAACATTACGACACAATCACCTCCCAAACCTGTTGAACTAGTTTAAATAAAATAAATAATCAATTAAATATATATTTTTCACTTCTTTAGACTTACAATGGTTCAGTTAAACTCAAAGTTGCAGCCATTGCAATAGCAGCGTCAGCAGCATTTCCACCTGATTTAAGAATATCAATTCCAACTTGTGATGCCAATGGTTGACTTGTTGCACATATTCCTAATTTAAAAAAGTAAAGTAGATGATTAAAAATAATTTGTAAATTAATTTAATTAAATAAATTTAGTAATTATAGAAAGAGAAGAATAAGAATTACCATTTATCGCTACAATTGGTGATCTTTGATCATAGTCTCTAAGAATATTCATTTTCGTTAACAAAATAAAATAAAAAGAATAATGTGTAACTTTCTAATGCCATTTTTTAAAACATACAAATATGTTAACTTAAAAATTAATTAATAGTTTAATTCCATGGAAGAACAGAAGAAAATTAAAAAAAATTGAGTGGTTGACCTAAATTTTAATATTTTTCCACCTGTCATTTAAATGGAATTCAACAATTAATATTTACTAGCAAACATTAACAATTGTTATAAACTATCTGATTGTTTTTAAACACATAACAACAAACTGTTCGTAATTGTTAAAAAAATACTAAATGTGAATTGAAATAACACAAATCTGTTGTTTTTAACATGTTACCCACTTAAAATAAAATGTTCTTAGAAATAAAATAAATTAGTAGTTGAACATTCAAAAAAATAGATGATAAATGTTACTTTATTATTATTATTATTTTTTAAAAAGAAATAATTTAATTAGGTGTTTAAAGTTATAGATTATCTAATTTTTTTGATTTTACAAACTAAATATAGATTGTCAGATAGAGATCAAAAGATAAGAGTATAACTAAAACAATATCGTGGTACCTCAAGAAGATTAAAAAGTGTATTAATTGATCTGTAGTGACAAAATTTATGATTAAATACGTTTTCTTAGAAGAGAAAAGAGTAAGATATTTACGAATATTGCAACCCCAATTGGTTTAGAGAGACAGCAAGCTGAGATCAACCAAATAAAAATATAAGTTAAAAAGAACATATACTTAAACAACAAAGAGTGATCTATACTGAATTGGAATATGTTGTCATCAGAGTTTGGTAGAGGTGATTTAACAGATTTTTCTATAAATAAATTTATTAACAACAAATATTGTTTTAGATGTTAAAGACAATTGTCTAATTAAAGATATGAGTTAAATTAAAAAAATTAAAAATGGATACATATTGAAAAACAAAGATTATAAATTATCCTGATGTTGAAACAATTTTTATTTAGTAACCTATTACAATCCCATCAGATCTGTTATCTGATCCAGCAATTAAAACTGTTTGATTCTGATTGTTTTTCTTTGCCACAAATATCTGACCCAAGCCAAAGGTATATCTTGTTTCTACGTTTTTATCTCCTACATTCTGACCTCTTTCTTTCATAGATTTAAATGTATTTTCTAAAGCTGGTTCATAAATAATAACACCGTTTTTTTCAATTCTGAATCTTGGGAAATTTAAAACAGTTTGTGGATCCATCTTATGATCTATTAAATTGACGATTGCTTGAACATTGGCAACAGGTTGGACCACACCTCCGATTATTCCTATCGATGCATAAAAATTCACCGTCTTTATCGAGAATCATTGTTGGCATCACAGTGTGATAAGGACGTTTTCCAGGTTGTAAACAATTTGGATGGTTCCGATCCAGATTGAACCAGCAACCTCTATTTTGAAGAGCAAATCCACATCCTTTTGGAATAATACCACTACCAAATTCCTTAATTAAAAGTTAGTTTCTTCTTTGTTTGAATAACATACTAATTATTACATACACTAAATACAGAGTTGAATAAACAGCATACATTTCCATCTTTATCAACGACTGATGCACAAACAGTGTTGCTGCTGTTGAGAGGGTATCCATTTTGAATGTTATCATTTGCTTTGTATTCATTGATTAATGATCTTCTTGAAGCAGCATAGTCTTTCGAAAGTAATTCATCAATTGGAATTGTTGAGAATTCAGTATCCGATACAAAAGAAAATGCATCTGCAAAACTTAATCTCATTGATTCAATTAAAAGATGAGTATATTGATCCGATATTGGTTCATATTTATTCATTTCAAATCCTTCTAAAATCTAAATTGTTGAATTAATATAATTGTGTCTAAATTATATGATTATATTAAAACATACATTCAGTGCCATGAGGGAGGTTATGCCTTGACTAGTTGGTGGTAATTCATAGATTTGATATCCACGATAGTTTATAGAGATTGGTTTATCATATGTTGATTTATGACTCTCAAGATCAGCGTGTGTCATTAATCCACCATGATCTTGAATGGCTTTAATGATTGAATCAGCAACTTCTCCTTTATAGAATCCATCTTTTCCATGTTTTGCAATTAACTTTAGACAATTTGATAATGGAACATTCGTCAGAGTATCACCAATCTCTGGTTTTTTACCATCACACAATAATTCATTTGCATTATCTGGTTTTAATCTAGATGAACTATATTTATATTTCTTTTTTATTAGCAAAATGTATAAACTATCATTTTTTGTTTGTAATTACTTAAAATTTTGGTAATACTTACAATCTCCACAAGAAAGATGTTTTAACTTGTATTGGAACACCTTGTTCACAATAATCGATTGTAGGTTGAAATATTTGAGATAATTTCAAATTTCCACTGCCATATTGCTTGATTGTGTCACACCATGCAGCGGCAGCACCAGGCACTGTAACAGCATGAACACTCCTCGTATGAAATTGATCACCGCATCTATCTTTACTTTCCAAACTATCAAGAGTTAGATTCATTGGTGATCTTCCACTAGAGTTGGTTTTTATGAATATTTTTATAATTTGTAAAGAATTACCCATATACTTTTGAAAAGAATTCACTAATTTCTACTTACATTCCATTGATTGAAGATATCTCTTTTGTTTTGTTATTCCAAAACATTACGACACAATCACCTCCCAAACCTGTTGAACTTGTTTTATTTAAATAAAGTTCAATAAGCAATCGATCAACCGATTTATATTCTTATACACTATATTGTCTTCAAAGATACTTACTATGGTTCAGTTAAACTCAAAGTTGCAGCCATTGCAATAGCAGCGTCAGCAGCATTTCCACCTGATTTAAGAATATCAATTCCTACTTGTGATGCCAATGGTTGACTTGTTGCACATATTCCTAAATCAAAGAAAAATATCATAATTAGTAAATTAATAAGCTTGAATTAGAAGAATAAGAATTACCATTTATCGCTACAATTGGTGATCTTTGATCATAGTCTCTAAGAATATTCATTTTCGTTAACAAAATAAAATAAAAAGAATAATATGTTACTTTCTGATGCCATTTTATAGTAAATGTTTAATTAATGAACAAATAAAAAAAAGTAAAATAATGAATTTGAACAAATGACATAAAAAATTCATTATCTATTCATATATATTCGTTCGTAATAAATGATTAATTAGACATCTATCTACATAAAATATCAAGTTGTTGTTTATTGGAATAATAGGGTTATAGTTATAAAAATATTATCTAACAGCTAATAACTATAGTCATATCAGTCAATGAGATCATTCGGTAAGAATATACCTAAAACAATAACAGGTTATAATGAAAATAAGATTCAATAATGTACTTGTGGTTATTTAGAGTGGAAAGTGCATTCAAAGTGTACAAAAAAGGTAGCACTTCCTGATTTAGATAAGTAATTAAGAATAGTAATATTTAAATATATAATTCAATATCTTTTCAGTCGGTTCAAAACAATTCAATATGTTGCACGGATATAAATATTTGAAGTTCAAATAAACGTATTTAAATAGTTAAGTTAACAAGAAAATTTTACTTTACTAATAACCTTTAAAACATCTATTGTTGATTTTAGTTTAGTTTTGGTAAAAATATGTATGTATTGCAATTATAAGGAAAAAAAAAAGATGATTCTATTTAAATAATTAGAAATTAAATTTATAGAATAAACATACAATTTTAATTGGTATTTGTTTTTTGTTTTAATACTTTCTGATTGCAGTGGCGAATGCAACAATAAATGATACAATAGAAACTACACCAATTACTGTAGCGGTAATAATGAATGCAGCTGTGTGGTGAGTACAAAGCTAAAGAAAAAAACTGTGCCTCATAATTTCTTTAAATCTTTCTCTATTCGATATATTAAACATTTATTTATTCATAGATTAAATAGATAAAGTTAAGAATAGTGAATATAACAAGGAAATAAAAAGATGATTCTATTTAAATAATTAGAAATTAAATAAAGAGAATAAATTTACAATTTTAATTAGTTTTTGATTTTTAATCGTATCTGATTCCATTAGCGATGGCAATAATAAATGATACAATAGAAACTACACCAATTACTGAGGCAGTAATAATGAATGCAGTTGTATGGTGACGATCATTATGATTGTCATCACTGCTGTAGTTTGGAGCTGGATAATAGTCGATTGACATGCAAGTTGTTGATCCACTATTTTGTTCGATAGTTTGGTAGCTGGAATCACATTCATAACCATTATAATCATAATAGTTGGCCATATCCAAGACATATTTTGGGAATCCTGGGTATTGCGAATATGAACTGTTATTTATAAAGTTAAAATTAATAATTAATAATTATTTGTTTACAAATTATTATTACTTACTATGGGTTTGAAGATGTTGAATTGATAAAGGTACCACCAACTAAAGTGAGTCTTTGTTTGTAGAAATAGATATCAGCTGCACCATATGCAACATTGTTTTGGAAAATCGATCCAGTTAGGTAATGATATCCTTGAGTTGAAAGATACTAAAAGATTGTTTATGTTTGTTTAATTAGTATTTTTAAATTTCAATCCTATTTAAAAATAAATCGATATTTACCAATGTGCCAGTATCTGAGGCAACGTTGTTTGTAAAGTTATTGTTGGTGAAAAAATAGCTGTAGTATGAGTAAGAGTTTGAAGTAGAATACTTTAAAAAAAGAAGTCAAAAATGTTAATAAGTTTAAAAGATTCTGTTTTTTTTTGTTATCTAACTTACAATAGCAGATCCATATTGACCGATATTGTTATCAAAAACATTGGAATCAAAGTTAATAGAATAAGAATTAACATTAAAACAACTTCCATATTTAGCAATGTTGTTTGTGAATTTGCTTGATTGGACAATAACTGAGCCACCACTAGCAGATGCATAGATGAAATTTGATTCAGCTATGTTTCCATCAAAGAGAGAGTTGTAGATATTGAAATTGGTTCCACTAAAACTGATACCATAATTACCAGTAGAACTATTTGAATAGGTAATGGTTGAGTTATTAATTGATAGACTGGTGGAATAGATTTTCATTACGGAAGCTTTATAATGGAGTGAGATTGAATAAAAAATTAATAATTACAATTCAATAGGTTTAACTTATTAAATTAAATAATACCTACCGGAAGAGTAATATCCAGTTGATTTGGAGTTGGTAATGGTACAACCGTTCATTACTAAATTGATAGAATTAAGGGTGATTGAACCGGCTTCATATGCTCCATATTTTGGAATTGAATGAGCATTGTTGATCAGAACATTGTTCAAAGTTAATAGGTTGTTATTTGGGTATGAATAGGATGTCGTTTGAATATAAATTAAACTTCCACGATTCTCAGCGGTTTCAGTGGCTTCAATGACAATATTTGAAATATTAATTGTGAAAACGAATGAAGTTTGCAATCTCAAGAATGATGTTCGACCCTAAAATAATAGATCATAGAAAAAAAATCAATATTTTTTTTAATACATTTTTCGTTAAGAGAATAAATAATTATTTGATTTTAAATATTTTTAAACTTACTGGACAGAAAAATGTTGGAGTTGATGATTGACCTTCTGGCTGAATATCGATATGTAAATTGAAATTAAGTGTATGAGTTTCAGTTTGATTGCAATAGTAATCACCATCTGGGACAGTAATGACGATATTGGCATAATATTTCGCATACTCTTGGATACAATCGACAATCGATGGACAAGCACCGTTTTGACATTGTGTTAAACTGCTTGATAATGAACAAGTTGTTGTACTTGCGGGGTTTCTTGCACTCGATAGTACTACTACCAACGCTAAGATTGATAGAATCAATCTAATATTAAACATTGCTATTATTATTTATTTATTTATTTTATCTTTTAAATTCGGAGTTTCTTTAATTAAATATTATTGATGGACCAACAAAATTAATATTTGCTTTTTTGATCAAAAAAAAACAAAACACGTAGTCAAATTTAATTTTTATTTAATTTTTTAAACTATCTTTAAGATCGAGGAATTGTAATCTTAAATTTTTTTGGCTCACACCAGGTTTTTTTTGTTGCAATAAATCAATTTAATGATTCTAGAACATTTTGATCAATATTAGAACTAAACTTTAAAAAATTTTGCTTGAGTGATCTGTATGGAATTCTGTAAAGTCTACATGTAATTGTAAGATGTAATTGTTAAATAAAAAGATGATTCTAAAAAGTTTTATAGATATTTGTCTCTAATGTGTGTGTGTGTTGATCAATTAAGTTATCATGATTGAACAGACAGGAATTGTGAATAAAAAAATCATGAGGGTTATTTATAGTTTATTTTTAGTTGTGGTGCTAATAATTGTAAGAGGTGTTGGTACTGTTGGTTTGATATCGGTACTCTATTGCAATGACAAGCTATAGTGATTGTAATATCCTAATCAATGTAGATTTGGGAGGTTGCCGAGGAAATCATTGATATCTATCAGTTATGTCATAGCTGCATCAAAAAAAGTTTACTGTGGAGGCTCTCTTCTTCACGTGATCATGCTCTCTTACAGACAGATTCAACTCGTTCTAGAGTTTTGTAGGGTGCATAGTACTAACCACCAATTCTATTGAATGCAGCTGGCTCACTCACCATACTTTAGTACAAGAGATGTATCAACGATTCGTTGTTCTGAGGCTAGCTCGTGGTATAACTCCAACTTTGAAACTAAAAGAAGGTTCTTTCTTTATGCTTAATCTTACTGAACTACATTGTACAATGTACTTGGAGACTATCTCTATATTTATAAAAAGGATAGATTAGTCTACCAATTACTAATTAATTAGTAATAGATCTATTGTTACTGACCTTCTTCTTTGTATTGAATACAGCTTTATCTAGATCGATCGGTCTAAGTGGGTTTCTCGCCCTTTTGATTTTATTATCCATTTGTCGTTTGCAGCCCTCACATAAGATTTCGTCTATTTTTAAAGTCATGTTCATTCCCCAACAGTGATGATTAGTTTTGAGATGCTTGGCATAGTTTGACGTAGCCACTTTCACTTTACATCCAATATGACAACACTGCTTCAAATTTGGATCTGCATTCTCTTGTTGTTGTTGTTGTTGTTGATCGTAACGTGACTTGTTGGTTTGATGCTTTTCTTTCATGTGCCTCTTGAGTTTGGTCAATTCATCATAAGAATATGCGCAAAACTCACACCTGAATGCAACAATATCTCTATGGTATGAATTTATTATTGAAAGTAAACTACTATTACTCTTACTCTTGTTATTACTATTACTTGCACTATTACTACTTTTGCTACTACTACTACTACTACTCCTATTATTTTCATTCTCAATCACTTTAGACAATATATCTAAGTGATTTTTAACGGAAACTTGACTTTCATCTATAATTACTTCAATTTCCTCATCGCGTACCACTGCTCTACATTTGTTTCTATAAGTTTCTTTGGGAGTTTCCTTTGACTCTGATCGATTTACCTTAAACTTAAACATACAGTTTTGCATCATAGTTGTTTGTTATGTGTTTGTATTAGTACGAAAATATCCTTTTTATAATTAGTATGCTCAGGATAATAATACAACGACAAACAATTCTATGAATTTAAAAAAAAAAAAATTCCTTTTTTGTTTATGTAGATTTGTCCAAATTTAGGTTTTTGAGCTAAGTCATCATAGCTACAACAACAATACTCTTAGGTTATGTTTTTTAAATAATTGTTATTGATTTCATGATCCTAAGAGTTGAATTCGTATCTCAAATAGTAGTACTTTTTAAAAAATAAAAAAATAAGAATTTCAGTTGGATAGGTCGACATACAAAAATTGTAGGTTCTTGTAACCATGTCAGAAAAAATTGGTAAAATTAATAAAACCTCTATAGTGTTTTTTTGAGGAAATTTTTGGTATCAATGGACTCATCTGATGATTGTCTATTAATATATCTTTGATTTATTTATTTATATATTCATTTAAAAATTATAAGTCTGGTCATTAACTTTAAAACTAGTCGCTTTTGTTCAAAAAAAACAAATTTTGGAAAAAAACCAAATCCTTAATTAGAAATAATATTTAAATGAACAAAAAATATGAAAGGATTCTTTATTATTTTGCTTTGGTAAAGTTCAAAAATAAAATAAAATAAAGTCAAAGTTTTATCAAATTAATCTTGATACTATAAAAAATTAAGTTTAGTTAGGTGGATATACGTATTATATAACGATCGTAAGGAATAAAAAAGATGATTCTATTTAAATAATTAGAAATTAAATAAAGAGAATAAATACAATTTTAATTAGTTTTTTGTTTTTGATTTTTTTAATCCTTTCTGATTGCAATAGCGATGGCAACAATAAATGATACAATAGAAACTACACCAATTACTGAGGCAGTAATAATGAATGCAACTGTGTGGTGACGATCATAATGATTGTCATCACTGCTGTAGTTTGGAGCTGGATAATAGTCGATTGACATGCAAGTTGTTGATCCACTATTTTGTTCGATAGTTGGGTAGCTGGAATCACATTCATAACCATTATAATCATAATAGTTGGCCATATCCAAGACATATTTTGGGAATCCTGGGTATTGCGAATATGAACTATAATTTATAAAGTTAAAATTAATAATTAATAATTATTTTTTTTACAAATTATTATTACTTACTATGGGTTTGAAGATGTTGAATTGATAAAGGTACCACCAACTAAAGTGAGTCTTTGTTTGTAGAAATAGATATCAGCTGCACCATATGCAACATTGTTTTGGAAAATCGATCCAGTTAGGTAATGATATCCTTGAGTTGAAAGATACTAAAAGATTGTTTATGTTTGTTTAATTAGTATTTTTAAATTTCAATCCTATTTAAAAATTAATCGATATTTACCAATGTACCAGTATCTGAGGCAACGTTGTTTGTAAAGTTATTGTTGGTGAAAAAATAGCTGTAGTAGGAGTTATAGCTTGAAGTAGAATACTTTAAAAAAGAAGTCAAAAATGTTAATAAGTTTAAAAGATTCTGTTTTTTTTTTTTGTTATCTAACTTACAATAGCAGATCCATATTGACCGATATTGTTATCAAAAACATTGGAATCAAAGTTAATAGAATAAGAATTAACATTAAAACAACTTCCATATTTAGCAATGTTGTTTGTGAATTTGCTTGATTGGACAATAACTGAGCCACTACTAGCAGATGCATAGATGAAATTTGATTCAGCTATGTTTCCATCAAAGAGAGAGTTGTAGATATTGAAATTGGTTCCACTAAAACTGATACCATAATTACCAGTAGAACTATTTGAATAGGTAATGGTTGAGTTATTAATTGATAGACTGGTGGAATAGATTCTCATTACAGAAGCTTTATAATGGAGTGAGATTGAATAAAAAATTAATAATTACAATTCAATAGGTTTAACTTATTAAAATTAAATAATACCTACCGGAAGAGTAATATCCAGTTGATTTGGAGTTGGTAATGGTACAACCGTTCAATATTAAACTGATAGAATTAAGGGTGATTGAACCGGCTTCATATGCTCCATATTTTGGAATTGAATGAGCATTGTTGATCAGAACATTGTTCAAAGTTAATAGGTTGTTATTTGGGTATGAATAGGATGTCGTTTGAATATAAATTAAACTTCCACGATTCTCAGCGGTTTCAGTGGCTTCAATGACAATATTTGAAATATTAATTGTGAAAACGAATGAAGTTTGCAATCTCAAGAATGATGTTCGACCCTAAAATAATAGATCATAGAAAAAAATCAATATTTTTTTTTTAATACATTTTTCGTTAAGAGAATAAATAATTATTTGATTTTAAATATTTTTAAACTTACTGGACAGAAAAATGTTGGAGTTGATGATTGACCTTCTGGCTGAATATCGATATGTAAATTGAAATTAAGTGTATGAGTTTCAGTTTGATTGCAATAGTGATCACCATCTGGGACAGTAATGACGATATTGGCATATGATTTCGCATACTCTTGGATACAAGCGACAATCGATGGACAAGCACCGTTTTGACATTGTGTTAAACTGTTTGATAATGAACAAGTTGTTGTACTTGCGGGGTTTCTTGCACTCGATAGTACTACAACCAATGCCAAGATTGATAGAATCAATCTAATATTTAACATTATTATTTTTCTTTAAAATCTGAGTTTTTAATTAATTATTTTTTTTTCTGTTTGCTTCTGATCAGTTTTATTTAATTCCCAATTTTTTTTCTTCCCAACTAATTACAAAAAAAATTAAATTAAAATTAAATTGTTTTCAAAAAAACTCGATCAAATTAAATTTATTTTGTTTGCAAGTCTCAAACTTCAGGGAACCTGATCTTTGATCTTTGAGAGTGCAAGGTATCACTCTTGTCAAAACAAAAAAAAAAAATTCAAAAAGTCATTGTTTTGGAGAAAGCACAACAAAAAGAAAAAAAAAAGCCAGCAACGCAGTTTGCTCTAAAATAAGCTTTAGAATTATGCGTGTAACCTTTAATTTTCAAGAGTTTTTTTGAAACAATTACACAAATGCTGCAAAGAATATAATCAAATTAAATGATTACTTGTGGTTAACTGTAAGTTCAATTTGGTTGTTTAAATCCATTAAATTGTAATAATTGAATCTTACATATTATATGAATTGTAATGGAAACTCTTTAAATTTGGAGTAATATATTTGAATATTTATTTTATTTTATTTTTTGTTGATGATCTTTTGAACTTTTTATTTTTGTGGATGGTAGTTCAAGAAATAAAGGTTACCATTGCTATCACCAGTGCAGATTCTATGTTCTCTGCAATCCATTGAGATGATTGGTGAGTTGTGAATGAATTCATTCTCGACGAATCCAGATTCCGATTTTGAAACATTCCAAACAATGAGACTACGATCCTTTGAGGCACTGACCAAGTGGTTGTTGTCGATGTATTTGAGTCCGGTGATGGCACCGGTCTGCTTGGTGAAAACCGATGTGAAGAGTTGACTCTTCATGTCGAGCAACTGAATGTCACCACTGAAACAACCGATTGCCAGTGTATTGAAGTCGGGTGAGAAGGCGAGCGAAGTGACATATTTGACGTCGAAGGGAATTGGCAAAACGGTTGTGAATGAGCTGGTCTTTGAGGTTGCTGCCATCTTTTGATCGATGAGGTAGATGCTGTTTTGACGACCGGCAACCACGACGAAATCAGGTGACAAAGCGATACACTCGATCCAATCGTTGACTTGGGTGAGAGTGGCACCGGCTCCCTTGTACCAAGCGTAGACACGACGATCCCATCCGACCGAGAAGAACATGTCGTCTACCTCGAGAGCAACCAACGCGGTGATTTGAGATTGATGAACGTAGTCGACAACGGTTGCATTCGCTTCAGCGGCGGCACTGCTAATGTTTTCGTAGATGACAACTCCACCGGTTTGATTACCGACAACCAACTTACCGGTGTTTGTGAATACAACAGCAGTTGGGATTTCCGCCAATTGGATGGTCTTGGTGTTGACACCGGATCTGACATCCCAGATCTTGAGAGTTTTATCCTCAGAGATGGTGGCGAGCAACTTACCGTCTTGAGAGTAGGCACACGAGGAGATCGATGTTTGATGTGCACTCGAGAGTGAGGTTTGATCGCTAAACTCCCAGATCTTGACGGTGGCGTCATCTGAGGTGGAGGCAATTGTCTTTTTGAAGGCGGTAGAGGATGACGATGATGAGAACGATCCAAATCCAGAGGTTTCAGCTTGTGGCATGAATTGAGCTTGTTTGACACTACTTGAATGTCCGGTAAGTGTTGCCACACATTGTCCGGCAATTGGATTCCAACATTTGATTTCACCGTCGTCGGAGCATGAGAAGATCGATTGTTTGCCATTGCTAATGACATCGCTGATACGCGATTGATGAGAGAGCGATGTGATTTCCGAACCAACCTCTGGATCCCAAACTTTAATTGTACCGTCGAATGAACAAGTTATAATATAACGAGAGTCTGGGGTGAAGAAACCTCTTTCCACTGAACCGGTGTGACCTTTCAGTGTACGAAGTTCTTTCTTGCTGTTCATCGACCAAATCTTGACGTTGAAATCCCAACCACCAGAGATAAGACGTTTCGAATCCGGTGAGAAAGTGACAAAGTTGATCCAATCAGTGTGTCCTGTCATCTTGCAAATCATTTTGTATCCAGAGGTGTAGTAGATGGTTATGGAGCAATCACGAGATACCGTTGCAATGTAAGCACCGTTCGGTGAGAATACCGCTTGCTTGACAGTGTTGGTGTTGTTCGAGAGAGTGGCAACCAGCTTGCCGAAGCTCCAAACCTTGCATGAAAAGTCGTCGGATGCTGTGATCAACAAGCCCGGGGTGGTTGGCGAGAACTGAACGGAATTGATCGTTTCGATGTGTGCATTCGGGATTTCGTATTCCAACTTGCCAGTGTCGATGTTGGCGACACGCACAGTACGATCCTCGGAAGTCGAAGCTACAAACTTGCCGTCGTTGGAGAAGGAGACACTGAGAATAGCTCTGGTATGTCCGGCTATTTCACGGAGCAGTTTGATACCAGTGGATTTTCCACTCGGTGGTGAAACCGAGTAGATTCTAACGACACAATCCGAACAACCTGCAGCCATAGTATCGGCGTTTGGCGAGTATGCCAAGCAATTGGCCCAACCCTCTTGGAATTTCAAGCTGTCCAATTGAGCACCTAGAGTCGGTGTCCAAATCTTCATTGTAGAGTCATCGGATGAAGTGACAAAGTGCGATCCATCCTGTGAGAACGAACAGTAGTTGACGGATTTGTTGTGTTTTCCGATGATGGAAACGAGTTTGCTTGCTTGGATATCAAAGAGGAGAACAGAGGAATCCATAGCGGTGGCAATGATTTGTTTGGAGTTTGGTGAGAACTCACAGCACTTGAGCGATCCACGAACTGTTGCAGAGACATCGATCGTTTGGAGTAGACGTTTGTTGTAGAGAGAGTCTGATGGATTCCAAACACGCACTGTTCCGTCCCATGAGCAAGAAACGAGTTGTCCACCTTCCTTTGACCAGGCGATATGGTTCACTGGCTTGGTGTGTCCTCTGAGAGTACGGAAGATAGAACGATCATGTACATTCCAAACGATGATAGTTGAATCCCAACCTGCTGTAGCAATGTATTGTGAGTCGGTTGAGAAACGAGCACAGTTAACAGCACGACTGTGTCCGTTGAAACGATGGACAACGGCACCAATCACCACATCCCAGAGAATGACACTGTTGTCCCAGGAGGTCGATACCAAGAGTTTACTGTCACCAGAGAAGGACAGTGAGGAAACCCAGTTGGTGTGAGACTCGAGTGTGCAGAGTTCTGCCATGTTGGTGGTGTTGTAGATGTGGATGATGCAGTCACGTGCAGCCACGGCCATGAGCGCGCCATTTGGCGAATAGGCAACTGCGGTTGTACCCTCTGGATAGCCTGCCAGCGTTTGCTTGCAGCTGTCTCTTGTCTCTGGTTTGTTGGTCCATTCAATCCAAGACTGACGGTAGCCAGCTGCCAGTTGTCTGGCGACCTTCGATGGATAGGAGTTCGACGGTTGATTGGCAGCCTGCTGATAGATCAAGTGTGGAGATCTCGAAAGGATATGCGAACAACTGGAGATCAAACGATAGAAATCACGAAGATTATCATTGATTTGCTTGGCTTTCTGTTTGGCAGAGGAGAGCGAAGATGTCACTGTCTTTTCTTGAAGATCATCTCCGAGAGCATCGATGTAATCGCCAATCAAATGGTATGTCAATCCCAATTCACATTTACGCTTGATAAACTCGAGATTACAAAGAACGTTTTCCAATTGATTGAAATTCTTTGCCTTGGCGAGATGATATGGCAACTCGGTGATCGACTTGGCGTCACCTTGGTATGTGTTGGACTTGTCTGGATCGGCACGAATCAAGTAGTGATTTGCCAACATCGTATGGACACGAGAGTTGGCATCGGAGAGAGTCAAGTAACGCTTCTGAACGGCAAGTGTCATTTGGTGGTGGAAAAAGTCGAAAGTTCCATCTGGATTCTGGAGCAAGAATGGCAAGATTCCACGGAGTACACGTGACCAAATACCGATTGGGAGTTGCTGTTCGTTCAACTCCTTACGTGCGAGCAGAGTGATAAGATCGTCTTCCGACAGACCAACTCGCGAACAAGCGATTGCACCCAGTGCATTTTGTACCAAGATCTTACCGTGGTCGGTTTCTAGACGGTTGAGAATATCGTCAAACAATCTTGGAAGAGTTGGCGAGAGTTGTCTGATCTTCTCGTTCAACTCCTCAAAGTTACCGAATACACGTAGTTCCTCGCAGGCAAGAACCAAGTATAGTGGATGGACTGCATCGGTCTTGGAAAGCAATGTTCGCAGCTGGTTGTTGGCTGGCGAATCGTCGAGACGCTTACGATAGTCGGCGAGCTTGGTTTGCACAAGGGTGGAGCTATCGCGTTGATCCATTGGGTCGAGAAGAACCTCGAGTGGTTGTGGCTTACGACGACGAAGCACAGAGAGAGTGTGATCTCCCTCCATTGTACTCAAGACGATCTTTACTGGCGAGCTCAATGGAAGCCAGTCCAAACTGAGTGCAGAGTTCTTGGCGGCCAACTGGTCGATTCCATCGATGAACAGGAAAATCTTGGCACGAAGTGAAGCCTTCTTTAGGAGCACTGGGAAGTACATCTTCAACTGCTTGTAATCAGTTGGAATCGTTTCATTGATGTTCAGTTTGTGCACGATTTGATAGCAGATACGATGGATCAGCGCAGAGATGTCAGTGGACGAGGTTGTGGCACCGACAAAGTGACTGAGAATCAGTGCTGGCAATGCATTCTTGAATTTCTGGTGATTGTCTTTACGGTGCTGGTTGTATTGCTGAATGAAATTGGCGAGCAACGCTGACTTACCGGAACCTGCACGACCACTGACAACCAAGATATTCGACTTGTTGGCCGAGACTGCCAGCTTGGAGACTTTGTTGGAGTTACCGAATGGTCTGAGGACATCGGCAAACTTGAAGAGACAATTGATGTCGTCCTTACGTCCAACGAAACGAGCAGCCTTCATCTCACTGTAGACTTCGTGTTCATGGTTCTCTGTTGCCATGATATCGATGGATTCGTCGGTTTCCATGTCGGCTGGATACTCTGCCTGGATGCTATGCCAGAGATCCTCCAGGATTCGCTGGTGGAGAGCATCCAAATTGGTAGCGGATGGACGTCCATCTACCAAACCACCATAGTTTGCAGAGTAAGTGTAGAACTGGCAATTGGTACGAATCTGTTGTTTGAGTTGTTCGAGTCGGTGAGCGGACTCCTTGTCTTCCGATTCGAATTGCGAACGATACTCCTTTGGCACCTCTGCGATAAGCGATGGCTCACGAATATAGAACAGCGATTTGCCAGAGGATTGCGAGTTGTTCATGGCGTGAACCATTTCCAGCTCGGTGATCGAACGATTCTTTGGATAGGTTTTCAACCAGTCGAACTTTGGCTCGTCGCTAGTCTTGTAGTGGGGTGGAATCCAACCGTAACGCTGTCCGAGCAGACCTACAAAGAATGGACTGCAACGATCTACCTCGCCAAGACACAGCTCGACGGAACGGTTCTTTAAGCTCTCCTCTTCGGTGATACCCCAACGCAGGTCGACTTCGGTGACATGGATCTTTCGCTTGGCGCAACGCTCCCTCAACTCTGGGAATACGTATTTCACGAGCATATCACGCTCACCATGCATATCCAAGAACGTGGATGAGATGAAAATTCTTACGTTCTTCCATGGACGTGCTTGAGTTCTTCCCAAGATTTTCTGGAGTTCTTGGTTCTGTGCCTTGAGATTGGCAGCAGCGGCCTGAGCGGAAGTGGCAGCTTGGGTAGTGGCGACAGAAGATGACACTGCTTGCTTCAAGAGTGGCAGCTTCTTGATCTGGTCGATCTTCTCGATGTATTGGAGTTGTTGGTCGGCTCCACCACGCTCAGCAATGAACTTCAAGATGGAATCACTGAAACCGGCAATGTGGACATTGTTTGGATGTTCGGCGTTGTTGTCGTGGACGGCACCACCACCCGACAAGTTGATATTGACGTACAACAAGTCTGGATTGATCTCCTGACGATACTTGGTGAGGATGTTACGCTTGTAGAGATCCATTTCCATGGAGACGGTGGTGTGATTCAACAAGACGACATTGTCAACTCTCTTCTTATCGAGAATCATCTTGACAAAGTAGTCGGTTGGGAAGTACTTGTAGGTTTCCTCGACGTTGAAATGAGTGTCCACCAAACTCTTTACCGACTGCATGTTGTCGAGGATCGAATCGGAAGCGACCGATTCCACCTTGTGGAGAACGAGACTGCTCGACTTGGAACCGACGAGAACCAACTCGCACTCCTCAGAGACAAACTTGCACATCAGTCCCAGAAGGATGGCCGACTCCAGTAGTGAATACTTTCCTGCTGTGTTGGACTTGCAGGTGTTGCTGCTGCCCTCACCGACGTAGATGAAAACGTAGGTGGTTCCTCTGATTGGCTTGACGTTGTGAGTGGTAGCCAACTTGACAGAGGTGTCGAGCGCATCACGATACTGCTCGAACAAGTCCTTCGATGGATGATAGCCAATCTTTATAGATTTCTCAGCGGCCCACAGCTTCATCTGTTCGATATCCTTTGGGATCGAGTCGAACGCAGCGAGGAAACGCAGTGGGAATTGCTTGGAGTGAGCAATGGTTTGTTCGTTGGTCAGCTTCTTGATGATCCATTGGTGATAGGTCGGTTGGACACCACAGATAATCATGTTACGAAGATTACGCAACATTGCCATGAACGGCAGTTTGTTGTGGTCGATCAACTCCTCCCAGGTGGCGGCACGATTACCCTTTTCAGAGAGGAGCGTCTCCCATGTTTCTGGAACCGGCAACTTCATACGTTTGTTGGCACGTTCCGGTTCGAATTCACCTGGCAGATTCAACTTTTTGAACTCCTCATAGGTAGCTGGATACTTCTTACCCAAGATCGACATAACATGATTGTTTGGCTTGGAAATATGTAGAGCACGGATCAACTGTTTCAAAGAAGTTGTTTGATTGTCTTTGAATTCCTTTTCCAATCTCTCCTTTTCTTCTGGATTCTTCTTGATCAATTTCTAGAAAATATTATTAATATTTAATTAGTAAACAAATACAAATCAATAAGTTATCTGTTTTTCTGAAAACATTGTACATACCTTTAACTTCTTTCTCTTTCTCTTGATCTTACTTTCAGTATTATATTTACCGAGTTGATAGGCATCGAAACTTGGGAACTTTTCAACCATTACATTTCTTAATGATTTTGGAATGGATGTTGAACTAGAAATTATGATGTTTACAAAACAAGTTTGTTTTTTGGTTAATATTTTGAGTATGGATTTTTAAAAGATTGATTTTATAACTTACTCTGTTAATTTTGAAACAATGTTTGGTAATTCTAACCAATCGGATGGAATCTTGATGGATTCGTTAAAGTAACGCTTCAAGTAGGGTTGACACGATGGAATGACCGATGCCAAACAGAGTAGATAGTTGGAGACGGTACGGATTCCAAGTTCGTCACGAGCATACAAACCGAGTTTCAGAATGAATTCTGGATCGTACTGGGAGATCTCGTAGACCGAGGTGATGATTGCCTCGAGTGTCGGTGTCATCTGGTTGATACGCGGCTCCTTGATGAGCGACGCCGAGATGATGTTGACCAGCTTCAACTTGAGCTGTACCAAGTCGTTTGGATCCAACGGTTTCATTGGCATCGATTGTAGATCCTTAAAGAATTCCGATTGTTTCTTGGTGATAAACGATGATGATTCATTGTTGTCATATGTTTTTCTTTGGAAATTGTTACCGATACGATTTGCTGCGGAGCCACTTGAGGATTGCGAGTTGTTAGCCATACGAGCACCACGACCGCCACGCGATCCACCACGAACGCCACCACGACTCATACTTGTTGGTTGACGTTCACCTTGTGCTGCGGTGGGAGCAGCAAAACCGCCACGAGCACCACCACGACTAAAACCTCCTCTGCCTCTAACAATAGCACCACGAACCATATTGTTTTACTTTACAAAAAAAAAAACTAGACAAACACTTGATAATAATAAATTACACTGTTGAAAAAATAAAAAAAAAACTAAACTAAATCTTTAATTTAGTCTTTTTCTATCTATCTATTCGATTTTATTGATTTAATTAAAGATTTTGATTAATTAAACAAATAAATAAAATAATAATAATCAAATATGTTATCTTATAAATAAAATACAAATATTAAAAATGGAAAGTCAAGGATCGATCTTTAACTTTTTTTAAATTGTTGAAGTTTGGTGGAAAAAAAAAAAAAAAGTTAATTAAAAATTTTTTTGTTAAAAAGTGGGTTTCAATGAAAAAACTGAGAATCACAAATAGAAAATATCTAGAATTATTTTTGATTGACGAAGTTTTGATCCAAATTTTCTAAATTTATAAAAAATTATTATTTATTTTCTTCAACTAGTTGGAATAAAGTTTTTTTTTTTAATTAAAATTTCAACAAATTTGGTTTTTTCGGATGAATATAGATATATTTTAGATATATATATATATATATTATAATTTATTTTCAAATTAGGTAGTTTTTTTTTTGTTTTGTTGTTTTTTTTTTCTTTAAATCCGATGCATATGGGTCATAGATTGGAACATATGGAGCACCACAGACCAAAGTAGTAGAAGTAGTTACCGAGGTAATTGGGCTTTTTCTTAGATTATTCCAAAGTCCAATGGTCATGAGCTTTTGACCGTCGACATTTGGATGGAAACAATCGATTGGTGACAAAGCAGTTGGTGGGAATACGGTATTAGTCAAAAATGGAAGATAGTTCAATCCAATGGTTGATGTCGATGGATCGGAATCAAAACTCCAATTGATAATGGAATTTCTAATACCAGTATTGGCAGCACTGATAACTTGATCTAGAACGGATGTGCTCTGGCTCCATAAACATGGACAAGTGTATTGTAATTGGTTATAGGTTGAACATGTAGATGGAGTTGTTGATTTAACTAGTATTTAATAAAAGAGTTGAGTGAAAGTATTAATGAGGAATTATGTTAGTTCACCATCCATTATTTACTAAATATTATTAGCGTTATGTTTTCCAATTTTCTGGAAAAAAACTTTACTTACATTGTGAAATTTTAGGCAATCCAACGAAATTAATAATGGTCTTTGAAGGGAACTTCTCCAATACATTATTTAAAATGTCAGTGAATAATGAAGCCCAATAAACGGAGTTGGTTTGTACACCAAAGTCTACAGTTCGGCAGATGGTACATGCTTTGAACAATCCAAGGTAGACGGTAACCATCTTCCATTCATTATCGAAATAGGTTTGTCCATGCTTTCCGACTGCTTGGCTTACGACAAAGTTTAATGGTGAGGTAATTGGATTACCGGTGGTGTTGGTAGCTCCGTTGAATCCGTCGTACAATGGATAGAAGGTGTTGACTGGACGAATTCCATTGAGTAAATTGGCAGATCCACCAGAGATAGAAGGGGCAGTTTGGGCTAAAAAGTTATTGAGTGTCCAGGCATCAGTTTCATTACCTGTAACAAAAGAAAATCCTCTATATTCATTTACAGAGCTTGAAGACAAGTCATTTGCCAAGAAACCAGCAGAAATAGTGTCACCAATAGAAAAAATCATTTTCATATCCTAAACGTTGGTATTTATTTGTTAATATCTACTTATTAAATTATATTTGATTGGAAATTAAAACTTACACTTAAATATGCATTTTCTGCTAGTGCTGGATCATTAATAGAGGAACCTGATGAACAAGAGGGAAGAACTGCATTGGTAACAACCAATAAGAGTGAATTAATAAATATCACAATAATAAATTTAGAGATATTCATTTTATAGAATATGTGTGAACAATAGAGATATTTAAAGATATTTAAAAAATAAATATACTTGTGGGTATTTATAAATATGAAGAGTTTGTTGAGAATTTGAAAATTGAAGGAGTATTTATATTTTCGTCAGGAAACATAATAAATGAGGAGAATGATTATTATCCTCAAAATTTTGTAGATTAAAGATCACATGATTCATAGAAGTAGTACAAATCATTGCTGTTTTAATAATTATGATTATTGGGTAAGTACATTCCCAATATTTCCAAATCTCAATAAACAGATTTAATTATTTATTTGAAAGAACAACATAAAAAGAATTTTTGGCCTACAACTTTCTATTTTTATTGTTAAAATTGATAGGTATATTGATATTTAATATCGGTTGGTATTTCCACGAGAATGATTGGAGAAAGTTGGTAGTTGTAGGATCTTAAACCTGAAAGATCAATATTTTAAGTATATTATAGTAAAATTAAAATTTGATGATTTTGATTTGGTTGAGAATCGATCTTTAGTATAGTATTTGAAATTTTTTATTATTTCACGTATGCTTTTTTTCAAGCAAATCTACTTTTTTTCAATACAATATCAAGTTGTTAATAATATCCAGGTACCTATTCAACTATGATAGAAAGAAATTAACTACTACGTAGTCAAGTAATTCAAAGTTCAAGTCTTGCAAAGGGGTATCGATTTTAAAGTTAAAAATAATGACTACGTGTATATCTCCATTTTCTGATAATATAATATTAAAAGTTGTCTCCCTCAACTTAAAAGCCATCAAATTGGAGTAAATCATTTCGATCATGGATGTTGATATTTCAATTTTTTAAAAAAGTTTAAGGTGATGTATTAATGGGTTGTTTTTGTTGTCTTCTAGATTCACTAGGCTCGATTATGTTTTTACAACCAGTGGGTATCATATTCATACCCAAAACATCAAATCCAAAATTGAAAAAAAAAAATTAAAACAGTTTGAAGTGCCCAATAATATTTTTGTGATCAGTCTTGACTTGATTGAAAAAAAAATAGATATTTATTCGATCGAACTAACTAATAACTACCACTTTCCTATTTTGAAATGGTCTCTGATGAGGCAAAATAAACACACTCCACCTTTTCTGAACTTTGTGTTAAAAAATGTATATATATATTTATATTACTTTTTGTAAGGAATATTGTTTTTATCCAATTTTGTAATTGGATATTGCACTCCAATTTTATTTTATTTTTAAAAAAAAAAGAAGATATTGATTTCCTCAAAAAAATGAGACATCTAAAATATAATGGAAGACAAGAAACAGAGAAATTCATGAAAAACAATTAATACAAATTTTTGAAAAAATTGTTTATTTTTAACGAATCTAAAAAGTTTTTAGTGTTTGATGTTGGATATGCATGTTTTTTGTTCAAGATATAGATTAGATTAGATTGATTAGATTTTATATATATATATATATAGAAAAGAAATGGGAAATGTAGATATTGAAATGAAAGATGATAAATCACCAACAGAAACAACAACAACAGAGACATCTACAACCAATAATAATAATAATAATAATTTAGACGAAGAAATGAATGTTACTGAAACAACAGAAACAGAAACACCGACATCGACATCACCAACAACATCATCACCACCAACCTCTAGTAGCAATACACATACACCATCGATTGGTGGTGGTAGTGGTGGTGGTATTACAAACGAAGAGGATGATGAAGAAGAAGATTATATTGTAACGGAGGTACCTGTCTATCTCTCACAGACACTGGCAGACAACTTGTTCCTCTTTCAATATCCACTGCGACAACCTTGGAGACCTTACGATATGAATCGACTCGAAGAACTTAGAATCAAGCCGAAACAACAGAAGGTAGAGATCGATCTTTCAATCGATATTGAATCCGACAATTTCAACGATCAATCAGATATCAAAACTGAAAAGAATACACTATCATCTACATCCGTTGCACACAGAACAAACTATGCCGTTGGTATACTTAGAAATGGTAATATATATATAAGCAAATAATTAAACTATAATCTTAATCAAACTAAATTAACAACAAATCTATATATATAGATGAATTTCATTTAACACCTTTACAATCGATTATACAGTTAAGACCACATTTCAATGTTGTCGACGAGAAATATGAAGAGGAAAAGAAAGAGAAGAAAAGAGAGATCTTGGAGAGTGGTGAAGTTGACGAAGATGAAGATGATAAACCTCAACAAGTTGTATGTATATATTAGTTATAACTATAAACAACATTCTATTTTATAATGTAATGTAAAACTAACATGTTTGATATGATAGTCATATAGAAAACCAAATGCAAAACAGGTGGCAGCGAATCAGCCGTTGAATGCGATCAAGAAGATGGAGGATGAAGAGAAGTGGATCAAACTGACGTTGGTTGACGATCGGCTGGATATCAATCTCGATGAACAATTCAATAAGTTGATAGCACCCGTACAGGATAATATACATTTCGATTTGAATCCGATGCAGTATCTCGATTTGCTGTGTCCAAAGATACCCGAGGAATGGGTACCGAAGGAATCGCATGCACAAGAAACAACATCGCTCGAGGCAATCCATCAGATGCCATGGCAAAAGCAAATCCGACACATTCTCATGAACGGAAACGTTCTACCATTCTCAAAGATCTACCAGCTGCTCTCTGACCACTCCATACCCGACTACGAAGTAGCTGCTGAACTTGAAAACATTGCATATCTACTTAAAGGTAGATGGGTAATTAAAAGGTAACTAATTAGTTATATAGAATATATACACAACAAATATATATACATTATAATGTTTAACGTTACTAACAAACTAACTAATTAATCTGTTAATATATATATATAAATTGTGTTTACAGTGATATTGTATATAAAGAATCGAGTCATATTATTGCAAGAGATTATTTGTTACAGTTGTATCTGGATAATGATTCGGTTTGTAGAAAAGAGTTTGCAGAGAAAACGCTACTGAGTTCGGATTTCGCAAGAGATATGCTGGCAAAGATTGCCAATGTCGACTTGGTATCGAGAAGATGGTATCTGAAGCAACACGAAGACGAAGAATTCCTAACGAGATTCCCAATATTGGCAGAGAAACAAACTAAACTATTGAGAGATCAATATGATAGGTAAGTTTGCTAAGCTATTAATTGATTGATTGATTGATTCGTTGTCAACCAACCAACCAACTAACAACTAATTCTTTTCTTTAATTGGTTATTATTAGTGTTATACAATCATTGGAGAATCTATCGGATCCATCTTCGAATCCAATATTCGATATTATATCGAGAGGTATCGGTAAGGAACAACTTGGTCAACCATCAAAGACGGTTACTGCCACCGGTGGTAAAGACAAACAACAAGCCGGTGAAGCAAACGCTGCACCACAACAAGTCATTCCAGAGGATTTCACAGTGGGAACAACCATCGAACAACAATTACTATTCTTTATTATCAATCTATTGAAAAATCATGGTGTTTGTTCAAATCTTTTCATCAAACAAAGTATTTCACAACAATCTGATAATCGTAAGTTTTAACTTTTACATATATAATATCATACCTATTATTATTATAAACTAATTATTATACTACAATTAATTAGAAATGGCAAACAATCTATTGAGAGATCTTACAGATGATACTTTGGTAACTAGTACTTTGAATCTTGTTTGTGATAGAGCACATCATGCATATGTATTAAAGTCATCCGGTAATCCCAGTATGGATAAAGTAAGTAAACAAAACAAAACATAAAAAACAAATGATTATCATCATCATCATCATCAAACTAAAAACGTAATCAATCAATAACTAATCATCAAATTATAACAGTATCGTAGAGTTGTTATAGATCTATTTAAAAAGAAGATGATTCTTAAAAAGTCGGATGTTACCGATGCTTGTTTGAAGATTCTTGGTGAAGACATTCCAGCAGGTATGAAAACAACGATCATGCATGAATTTGCATATCAAAAAGGAACGGCATGGGTATTTAAAGCTGGTAAATAAATAATGAATGAATAATTTCAAAATATTATTGCAATTCTCGAGTATTATAATGATCAAAAATACTACTACACACTTTATACATTTATTTTATTTTATATTTAAATACTAAACATCTTATAATTCTACCTAAATCTTTTCCTTGACACTTCAATTCGAAACCATTGGATTCCATTATCTTTATGATATCATTCTCTTGGTTCATACCTATTTCAAAAACAACAAGACCATTGTCTCTATCCAATATATCTTTATCTACGATTGACTTGGCAATGATCTCATAATCTTTTAATCCATTGTTATCTGCAACCAATGCTGTCTTTGGTTCGAATCTATTAAAATAGCATATTTGTTAACAAATTATATAATCAATCATACATTTTAAATATAACAAACTTAACGTTAGTTATTATTTACTTACAATTTAACAGTTGGATTTAAATTTATATAATCACTATGTGAAATATATGGTGGATTTGAAATGATAAGTTGATATTTCTTGTTATTAGATAATGAAGATAACCAATTTGATTGTATAAATTCGACTCTATTATTAATTATATTATTACTACTATTGTTATCACTACTATTCTGTTTATCAATTGATATACTATTATATTTTGCAATTTCAAGTGCATCCAATGATTGATCTACACCTACACCAGTTGCATTGGGGAATTCATTGAGTAACGATAATAGTAGACAACCGGTGCCAGTACCCAAATCCAATATGTTGGTGGGTGAGAAGTTCTCATATTCTCTGAGCATCACGATTTGATCGATCAGTGTTTCACTATCGGGTCTAGGTATCAAAGTGGATCGATCACATCTAAATTGATGTTTCCAAAAGTATCTATAACCAACTATATATGCAATAGGTTCATCTTTGAATCTTCTACTTATTAATCTATTAGGTAGTAATGTAAAGTAAATTAATTAATTATTTGAAAATAAAATAAAAGTACAAGATATTTTCTACTACTACCACTACTCACTCTGAGAATTGTTGGTATTGTGAATCTGTTAGGTTTAATGTCGGTGGAATACGAGCGTTTGGTTTGAGTTGTAGTACATGTTCAATGAGTATTCGAGAATCTAGTATTGCACTCTCTTTGATATCATTGTTGGTCGACGACTTTAGAAACTTTCTTGAACTATCTAATAATTGCTTAGCATTAAAGTTATTACTATTATTATTATTATTATTAATGAATTTAGTAAATAATGACGAATTGTCGGCAGCAGCTGAGATACTACTTGTTGTTGTTGTTGTTGTTATTCCATTATCGTTATTATTGGAGTTGTTATTGGTATTTTCATTGTTACCAAAACTTTTCTTTGTGCTACAATAACAATTCTTTCTATAAAAATAGTTATTAATGATGCTAATGTTATAGTTGTTGTTTGAATTGATGTTATTATTGATGCTAATGTTAATGTTGTTGCTATTGTTGATTTTTGGCAATGATAATAATCTACTATTTCCAAGGAAGTATTTATATCGATGATGAGACGACAATAATGATGGTGTCAAGTCATGTTGAAGTTGAACTAACACCAATAAATGTTTATTCATTGTAGTGTGTGTTGTTTGCTAATGAAAAACAAAAAAACCGTTTAGTGTTGTTGTTTTTAGTAATGCCAATGACACAAAACTGTTTTAGTGATTCACCAACATATCTGGAGATTTTGATTTTACACTTTTTTTCTGATTTCTCAGTAAGTAAATCAAACAAAATATCAATTTGAAATTTCATTTGCAAATTAATTAATTCTAAACGAGGAAAGGGCAATGATAATAAACTATTAGTAATCAGAATCGCAGCATTTTTGGGAAATCCGACACATTTTTGTATTTCAATTTATTTGTTAAAAAAAAAGGTTAGGTTTACAGTACAGTTCTTCAATCCATGGTATCGGCTCTTTTCAAAAACATGCATGAATCATTATTTTTTTTTTATTGATTTTTTTTTTTGTATCACTTTTTATTGTTTTTATTGTTTTTATTGTAACACAATAATTTGGGAACTCTGAGTTGTTTTAGTTGTCAGACAACAAACAATTTTTTTTTCAAAAAAAAAAAACAAAAAACTAGCCCATGATGATGTAAGATAGCGTTACAACAATCTTAAATTTTAAAATAAAAAAAATAAATTGTTGTTTTATTGACTTTTGAATGACTGAATGTTACCTGATTGATTTTTTTTTGGTTTCTATTTTTTGATTATTTAATATATATATATTTTTCTCATTAATTTTAGTAGTTATAATTTAATCACAATCAATCAAACAATCATTCATAATCAGTTAATTTAAATATTGAATCGTGTTTAATATTCCTCAAAAAATTTAAACATTATAATTTCGTATTTTATTGTTTTGTGTGTGTGTTTGTGGTTATTCATATTAATATTAATTAATAGTGTTTGTTTATTTTGTGGTTAATATTATTTAATTAAATAATAATAATAATTTGCAACATCAACAACAACAACAACACTCTTCTACTCACTATTTCTCTTCACTAAAGTCAAATAAACAATAATAATAACAACTAATAATAATAATAATAATCTATTACGAATCACACAATAATAAAAAAAATATTTGAAATTGACTTTAGACTACACACATATAAAAATAAATACTAGTAAAATAAATATATTTATTATTTTTAATTATTACAAGAAGTGTCGTGTTTATCCATATGTGTGAAAGAGAAAATAAATAATATCAAAATTATTTTATTTTATTATAATTAAAAATAAATATAAATATATATCATTGTTATTTGAATTGATATTGATATTTGATTGATAATATTTAAATTAATATCAATCAAATCAAATCAATTTAATCTTTATCTCTATCCATTTATTTTTATCATTATATCTTTTAGATTTAATTTTATTTATTATAATTCCTACTGCTACTTTTTCAATTAACAGCTTTAAGTATTTAGTATTAGTATAAGTATAAGTATTGGTGTGGTGTTTAGTCTAAAAGTGAAATAATATTATAATACTGCAGTAAATGTCATCATTTGGATTTTGTGTGAATGGAAGTTCACCGGATACCTCTACGGAATACAATGATATATTGGTGCATATGAATGGATTGAGTATAGCACTGGGAGTGGGATTAATCATAGGTGGTGTCATATCAACATTACCACAACACTACAAGATCTTGAAATCTAAATCTGCATCCGGTCTAAGTTATTTATGGCTGTTCCTTGGAAATGTCAATCAATTTTCTGCATGTGTAAATGCATGTATGTAATTATTCAATCGTTCATTCACAAACATAACATTCATACTCTAAATCCAAATTTAAAACTAATACTCTGTTAAATTAATTACTCAATTTTAGTTATGCTTAAATATCCACAAATAGATGCATGTACAAAATTAGGATTTATGAAATGTGGACCATCTATGTTAGCACTCATTCAATTAGTTGCACTTTGGATGTTTACTTTTCCAATGTAATTAATATATACTTTGATAGATATAGATATAGAATGGAATTGTGTTTTACTAATATATTAAATCTTTAGATATATTTTGTATATAATTTTCACACCGAATGATTTAAAGAGGATAAATGCAACAGGTGGAGATATAGTTTGGGCAAGAAGAGAATATAGATTTGGTAAAATATTTTTCGGATTGTTGATAATATTCTTAATGGTGATACCTGCAACGATGGCGGGTCTGTTGTATCAATACGGTCCATGTAAACATCCATCCTACATCTTTGGCTATACAATGGGTATCGTCTCAACCATAGTTACATTCATTCAATGGTCACCACAAATCTATAAAACATGGAGACAAAAGGTAAATAATTAACACTTATTATTATTATTATATTCTTTTACTTTTAATTTTACTTACTTTACTTTACTTTACTTTACTTTACACACTTGTTTATTGGTATTGGTATTAGTCTGGTGGTACATTATCTATTACTATGTTATGGATTCAAGGTCCTGGTACTGTTATCACTATCTACTTTTTGGTGTTTGTTTCACAGGAGAGCGTGTCGACATGGTTGTCCTATGTCAGTGCAGCACTACAGATTTTCATTCTATTGATCATGTTGATTTACTACAAGCACAAGAACAGAGATAATCAAGAGATCGTTACAATCGTCAACGAACCCAACGATCTTATCGACGAAGACCCATCTGCTTCAAGTGCTTCATTCACCAACTACATAGCTGCTCACGAAGATTCACAACCTCTATTAAAGAAGAAACAAGTTACATATGGTTAAATGCACTCTCTTTTCAACCTTATATAACTATATAAAATATATAATTTAGATAATAGATATACATAGATACATAAATAGATATACATATATATTAAAAAAAACAAACAAAACGCATTATATATAACAAAGGCAATAGCAATAGCAACTAACAATAGCAACAACAACAATAATAATAATAATAACAATATATATAATAGAAGGAAAGAGAAATGTATAGACAAAATAGAAATATCCGATTTTTTTAAATAGTAGCATTTAAATATCAATTATTACAACTTAACACAATCAAATCAATCAAATCATCTCGAAACACATGCTTGCTAGCATCCAATTAACTAATCTTGTACAAACAAAATATCAATTTTTTTTTTTCTTTATTATTATCAAAAAAAAATATCATTAAAATTATTTTTTTTATAATAATTAGAAAAGTATTATTCAAAACACAACAATGATTAGAAGTAGATTTCAAGACAATCTAACTTCTTTTTATAATTATCCGAATCTTATTTTTTAATAAAACTTACTTTAAATGTCAAACCAAATTATTGTAATTTTAAATTATTATGTTTTTTGACAATGATTTTGAAGATCGCATTCCGAAAAATAATTGTTAAACCCCAAAATATATTAAACCGTATTCTGAAATGATTTATCATTATTAACAACAATAATAATAAAAATAATAATAATAATAATAATCAAATAAGATATAATATTCAAAGTAAATATATTAAACTATGAGATTAGTAGGATTAATTAGCGGTGGTAAAGATTCCATCTATAATCTATTGGAATGCGTTAGAAATGGACATACTATAGTTGCTTTAGCTCATTTAGTTCCTCCTGTATCTGATCATGGTAAGTAAATATTGCTATAACTATTATTAATATATGTGTATTAATAGTTAATGAATCTACTACTATTATAATACATAAAAATAAATAATTATACTATACAGAGGAAATAGATAGTTATATGTATCAAACAGTTGGTTTCAATGTAATTGAAGCTATTGCCGATGCATTGCAATTGCCATTGACACAAAGAACTATTGTTGGTAAACCAAAGTCACAAGATGAAATCTATAGAATTACAGATAACGACGAGGTAGAGGATCTCTACCAATTGTTGGCCGACGTAAAATCTAAACATCCAGATGTTCAAGGTGTTGCAAGTGGTGCTATTCTATCGACCTATCAAAGAATTAGAGTTGAAAATGTGTAAGTTAAAACAATAACAATAACAATATTGTTGATACTAATACAGTAAAAACTAATCTCAAACATTAATGTTTACTATAATGCAGTTCATCTAGATTAGGATTAACAAGTTATTGTTATCTCTGGAAGAGAGATCAAGATGAGCTACTTGGTGATATGATAGAGAGTAAGATGAATGCAATTCTAATCAAGGTTGCATCGATGGGACTCGAGCCAAAGAAACATCTATTGAAAACGATCGAAGAGTTGTATCCCGCTCTGAGGAAATTGAATCAACTCTACGGTGTCAATATCTGTGGTGAAGGTGGTGAATATGAGTCATTGGTATTGGATTGTCCACTATTTAAAAAGAGAATACAATTGTAATTATCTATATATATATCTTGTGCAATTAATAATAATCATATTAATTTCGTTATTATTATTATTATTATTATTGTTATACATAAATTTAGAGATGAAACCAATATGAAAATACATGCAGACGATGCATTTGCACAGGTTGCTTTCATTTCAATCGTAAAGTTTTCATTGGTGGAAAAGTCACCGGAGGAGTTGGAGGAGCAGAAACAATATCTACTTCCATTGAACGATGCTACTTCATTGAGAAACAGATGGTCATATTTATTCGCTGAAATCGATACAACTTCAACAAAAGATCTATTACCATATGTACCAAGTTCTGCAACCTGTAAATTGCAAGAAGATTCAAATACAACGGCTGGCAGCGGTTCTTCAGAGAATGTTTATAACACATTACAGCTAATTGAATCGAAATCAACTGGATTCTTTGTGATTCCTTCTTATTCGCCAGTCAGTAGTTCCGAGCTACCAAAGTCACCATCCGTATGTTTGGATATCATGTTACACCAACTCACCACATTGTTGGCACAGAACAGCTTGGATATGGAGAGTTTGCTCTATGTTAATCTGCATGTCAGTGACCTGGCCAATGAATTTGGAAATATCAACAAAGTGTACTACAAGTATTTCAAAGAGAATCCAGCTGCTCGTGCTTGTTTGCAAACCACTCTACCAAAAGGTCAATCAGTGATGTTTGATATCATCGGTTGTAGACAGCCAAAGAAAAACCTACATGTCCAATCGATCTCGAATTGGGCACCTGCTTGTATCGGTCCGTATTCACAGGCAACGTTTGTCAATGGTTTGGTTTTCATGGCTGGTCAAATCGGTTTGATTCCAGGTACTTTGACTATGGTTCCCAGTGGTGTAGAGTCGGAACTCCAACAGATCCTAGTTAATCTCGTTAGTGTTTTCGATTCGGTTCCATCATCGCTGGAAAACACTCTACATGTAACCATCTTCCTCAAGGATATCAAACATTCCAACTTGGTAAGCCACTATCTAAAACAAGTGTTCAAACGCAACAAAGTCATGCCATTGTTTTTAATGGTGGAAGCCGAAGCAATGCCAAGAGATGCACATATCGAGTTGTTGTTACTCAATGAAATGAAACCTGGTGATGATGATGAAGAAGAACAACAACAGAATCAATTGAATCATTTCACAACTGACAAACACTTCCACGATACACAAAGAGGAATATTGACAGGCTATAACTCCTTGGTTACAACAAGCGTTGGACATTCGACATTATTAAACTTCTTCCTCTCACTTGAAGATCTCAATCATCAAGACAACTTGTTTACACCACAGTTCCTTGCTGACTACTATTGTTCTTCTCTATCGGATGTTTTAATCTCAACCATCTCAAAAATGAGACCATCCAATATTATCTATCTAAAGATCTATCATATCAGTTCACTTTCTTCAATTCAAAAAGGTAAGTAGTAATAATAATTATAAAATTCGAAAATTGGTTATGAAAAGAAAAACGACTAATTATTATAATTTTATTATTTTTAGATATTAAAGATAAATTATGTAAATCACTTGGAAATATTCCAATTAGTTTTGTAATGGTTAATCGTTTATATGTTGAAGAGAATCCACATAATATCATTATAAACACAGAGATTATGGTATCAAATAAATAATAAAATGTGGAAGAAAGTTAACTATTTTATAGATATATATTGATTTTATTTATAATGTTAATATATGAATTATAATAAAATGAATGATAAGACTGAAATCAACAAGATTGTCAATTTCATGAATGGTGTGGTAATCGATGAGAATGATCCTGAATCAGAACCTGAACCGGTTGTAGAGGTGGTAGTGTTTGGACCTGTTGTGGTACTGGTGGTTGGATCTGGGAAACAAGTTGGAGCAGCATTGTTGGTGTTTGGATTGAATTTGGTTGCTGGAATATTACCGTTCTCTCTTAGACCAATGACACAGGTTGCCATGATAGAACCATCGTAGGTTGGGCTGGTAGTGTATGGCTTCGATCTAATGACGATGGAACGACCAAGAAGGTTTGGAATACTGTCAAAGTATCCGATGTATGGTGTTGTCCAGTTGTAATAGGCAACATCGTTGTAATAAACACAGATGTTTCCGAGATCACCATAAAGACGAGTATTATTGGTTGGAAGACCGTGAGTCTGATTGGAAAGTCCCCAAACTCCACCAGTTGAGCTTCCATCGGCAGTCAAACTGTCACCGAATTGGTTGATCGAAATACCTATTTGACCATCGGTTCCATTTACCATGGCAATGATATTAAGTCCCATTGGTTGGTTCGATCCAATAATGATATTCTTGATTTCAGTGATGAGAACGGTACCGTTTACCAATGGATAGGCAGCAGTTGGTTGGAGGTAACAAACAGCACCATTTTGGATACCATTGTTTGGGATTTCACTGATGGCAGCATAGTTGGTTGATTCATTCAACGAAGCCATTGGGGAAGTTGAAGGAATGAATTGTGGATTACCAATTCCCAAAACACATTGTGCAATAATATAGTTGCTATCGAATGGAGATGTCGAAAGGGAAAATATTCTACCGACAACAGATTTTAATCCTGGACTCAAATTAAACATTGGAGTGGTGAAGGTTTGAGTCCAATTCATAGAGGTGGTTGTAAAAGTGGTTGAGCCAAGACATCCTGGAACTGTGCAATTATATTCATCATTGGGATTGTAACCGAAAACTGGGTTATTGGTATTCAACAAATTACCATATTGTCTGACTGTGGCATAAACGGTAGAAGAAACATTTTGGAATCCAGATGCAACAACTTGAACAGTATATTTTTCAGAAGAAGCTCCTGACTATAATTTAATAATAAGATATAAATTAAAATTTAAGCAGAATTTTACTATTGGTTTTTTAATACTTACATAATTTGAGATTAAAACATATCCATTAATATTGTTAGAACCAACCGATTGAAGTTGACAGGAGGAATATTCAATTGGCTGTTGACATTGTCCCAGATTGACAAAAATAATATTGATAACAATGAATAGTAAGAGTGAAGATGAAATAATTTTCATTTTTTGATTTTTGTTTTGGTTTCTGATTTGAAATGATGAATATCACAAGCAAATTCAAGTGTATTTATAGGTTTTAGTAAAGATAACTTTTTTTTTAAAAAAATCAGAAAGTGATTTAAAAAAAAAAAAAAAAGATTTTTAATCTTTGGTTGGTATTCAAAAAAATCTGGCCTTGACCCCAGAATATTTAGTTTAATTTTTAAATTCGTGAGACATAACGAAACTGCTAAATTAAAAACAATAGTTTTTTTTTTTTTTGATGTCTTGTCTTTCTGAAAAACTAAAAAATATAAATTTTATTATTAAATATCAAAAGGGTTATATATTGAATCTCTTTTTGGTCTTTTTCATTATTTGATTTCAAGTCTTTGGCTAATTTAGCTATAATTTGCGATATAGAAATAACAATTGTTACCAAGATAAAAATAACAAAAAATTTGAGTTTAAAAAAAAAAATCTTCATCTTCAGGTGGATACAAGATTCTTTTATATGATTATTTTAACAAAATAAACTCGAAAAAAAAAAATATAACTAGAGCAAATATCACTTTTTTGATTTTGTTAAAAAATAATCTTTAATGGGTTTTATCCTTTTTTTTTGGGGAGGAGATACTTTGAAATAATCCTGGTAATCAAAAAAAACTAATAAAAATAAAATAAATAATAAAAAATAAAAATAATTAAAAATGTGTTATTTCATTTTATAGGTTTGTTTATTTATGCAATATTTTTGCAAAATGAACATAAAAGCGATGCAAAATTTTTTCATTTTTTGGGGGGAGGGATAAAATGAAACACAAATATTAGAATAAAATAATAGATAAAACCGAAAGAATAACAGTTATCTTGATTATTGGAGTTGTGATTGATGAGAATGATCCTGAGTCATGACTAGAGGTAGAGTTGTTGTCACCACTTGATGTTGTATTGGTATCTGGAGTTGGTAAGCAAGTTGGTGGAGCATTGTAAATGTTTACTTGTAAGTTGGTTGAAGGAATGGCTGTACCTTCTCTCAATCCAATGATACAAGTTGCCATGATGGATCCAGAGTAGGTTGGATTGGCAGTGTATAGTTGTGATCTGACGACGATCGAACGACCAAGAAGATTTGGAATAGTGTCAAAGTAACCGATGTATGGTGTTGTCCAATTGTAAGTTGCGACATCGTTGTAGTACATACAGATATTTCCAATGTCACCGTAGAGACGAGTGTTATTAGAGGCAAGACCGTGAGTTTGGTTGGCAAGTCCCCAAATATCACCACAAGAACTTCCGTCGTCGGTCATTGCATCACCGAATTGGTTGATTGAAATTCCTAGAGCTGGTTTAGTATTTGGTGCTCCATTTACCCATGCAATGATATTGATTCCATTTCCTCTTTTCGATCCTTCTTTGGCACTCTTGACTTCAGTGATGAGAATACTTCCATTAACAGTTGGGAAGTCTTTGGTTGGTTGGAGGTAACAGACTGCACCATTCTCAATAGCATTTCCTTCGATGTCACTGATGGCAGCTTGGTTAGTGGCATCCTTTACCGCAATCAAAGGGGAGTCAGCTGGAATGAATTTTGGATTACCAATTCCCAAAACACATTGAGCAATAATGTCTTTAGGATCGGATTCCGAAGTGGAAATAGCGAAGGTTCTTCCAATGATTGACTTTAAACCTGGGCTCAAATTGAAGAGACCATTGGTAAAGTCGGCAGTCCAATCGATTTCAGAGGCTTTAACATCAGCAGAACCAATACAACCTGGTGCGGTGGCACAATCGTATGGATTTTTACCGTCAAAACCGAAAACTGGATTCGCAGTGTTTTGTAGATCACCATACTGTCTAACGGTAGCAAATACACTAGTGGCCTGAGCATCCAATCCAGATGCAACCAAATAAACATTGTATAGCTTTGTAGAAGTTCCAGACTAAAGACAGAAAATAAATTAATATTATTATTTATTCTTTATTGTTGTTTATTTATTTTTTATTTTTATTTTAATAATAATACTTACATAGTCTGAGAATAAAACATAACCATTAATTTTGTTTGTACCGATTGATTGGAGTTGACATGATGCATACTCAATTTTATCAGGTACTTGACCTTGTACAATACCAAGTATAATAAGGTTGATTAAAAAGATAAGAGATAAAATATGTGTGATATTCATTGTTTGTTTGAATTAAAAATGAATAATAGGAACTATCCTTATTCATTTATATAGTGGTAAATAATGTGGTCATTGAATTATTATAATATATTAAAAATTAAATAAAATAAAAAAACTAGACTAAAAGTGTCAACATTATTTATATATTTAATATAAGATTTGATGTGATTGAAAACCGAAATCAGAAACAGATCTGTAAAAAAATCGAAAAATCGGAAAAACTTTAATTTAAAATTTGGTTTGATCTCAGTTTTAATATAAATACCGTTGAAAAAAATGCTAAAACCTTGCGGGTTATTCAAATCCAGTTTTTCGTTTTCAAGGTAGATCCCAATGGAAATCTTATTTAGACGGTCCACATAATTTTATAATAACTATATACCAAAATTGGTAATCTTGTGATTGTGAGAAATATTTTGATTTTCGAAATCCCAAACTATTATTATTAATAATATTTTCCCCATTTTTTTTTGAAATCATGATTTCAAAGGCAAATCAATACTAAATAGACTAAACCTGTTTCATTATATTTAAATAATCTTTATAATAAAATAAATATAAATATTGAAATGAATTATAAATATTTGAAAAAATAAATAATAAAATAAAAATTAAAAATAAAAATATTTAAATCCCAAACATACCTTTGATTTTCGAGCTTACAAGTTTCCACAGTTTTAAAATATTATTAAAAATAAAATATTTTTTTTAATTTAAAAATCTTGGTTCTGAATTTTTTAATTATTTTATTAACTTAATAATAAAATGTCGTAAAAAATCTAGATGATCTGGATTTTTTATTTTTGTTTGCTATTTTTTTGTGGTTTTTGCAGAGATGAGGTGTGCGCATTATTAAAAATTAATAAAATTTATTAAAGACTCAATAATTTGATTTAATAAAAAGTATCTTTAAAACACACACTAACCAACAACAACTTGTCGATTTAGATTAATGTGTTTTCAGATACGAAAATATCATCTACCCAACCATCAACCATCCATCAATCAACCAACCATCAACACTATAGTTGCGGTTGCTGCTGCAGTTGTTGTTTGTTGTTGAAGTTGTGTTGACTCGTTAAAGTAATAAACTAATAACTATAATTATAATTATAACTTTATTATATATATATATAAATTTTATATTTTGTTTTTCAATTAAATTTTTTATTATTTTTTAATATTATAATATAAATCTTATCATGAGTTCATTAGATGTCATTGATATAGATTACGATCAAGACAACTCATTGATTGCACTCAATCTACTACATACAATCAAATCACATAATCAGAGCAACTACAACAACAACAACACCAGCAATAACATTGTACATAATAATCATAGTGGTGAAGATGAAGATAAAAGTTATTTAACTATTTTCCTATCGAAAAGAAAATGTAAACAATCAAAAGATATCTCTGGTTTAATTACAATATTAAAGGTAATAATAAAAACAATAACGTTAACAATGATAATCTCAAATGACTAATAATAATAATAATTAAAAAAAATAGAATCAATTGGTTGAGACTGTTGAAGAATTAAACAAATTCCTTGATACTCATGAAAACGATTCACAACAACTACAGGCCAAACATTACCAACAATGGGTTGATATTCACGATAAAATATCAAAAGATCAATTGTCAAATTCTATTTATTTGACAATACCAAATTTATTGAACAACAACCACAATAAAACTAATAACAACAACAATAATAATAATAACCACACTAAGACAACTAATAGCAATAGCAATAGTAAAATCAACAATCCTATTCATGTAAATATTAAAATAGAACAAAAAGAACAAACAATACTTCATCAAAAACAAGAAAAAGAAGAAGAAGAAGAACAAGAACAGCAACAACAAAAAGTAGAGGAACAACAGCAGAAAGAAGAAAAAGAGAATAATCATTATATAAAAGAAAATAGTAATGAGAATAATAAAGATAATAATAATAATGTAAATGATATTAAAACAACATGTATATCACCTGATATTTCAAATAGCGATAATAGTAGTAGTAATCTAAAGGAAAAAGAGAAAGAGAAAGAGATACTGGAGTCAAAAGATTCAATTAAATATCAATTACAACAGCAACAACAACAACAACAATTACAAAGGAAAGATCAAACAAAATCAGCTATTTGGACATCAACTAAACCTGTAGATAAGAAATCATCTGTATTCTTTAGAAATAATAGATACAGTGAATCTGTAAATCCAAAATTGATACCAACAAATAACAATAACAATAGCAACAACAACCATAATAATAATAATATTATTAGTGGTAGTTTAATAGTTGGATCATTATCAATGAATCATGATAAAGTAAATTTGAACGCAAATTCAATTTCAAATTCTTATACTCCAAAAACAATTGGATCACCCATTACCAAGAGAAAAGTATTGAAATCGTTCATCTACAACAAGTTGGACTACGATCATTGCGAATCGAAATACGATGATTCTTCGGAGGAATCAGAGATACCCTATATGGAAACGAACTGGGATACATCGGTGGTTGTTCTGCTGCCTTGTAGACATTCAATCAAAGTGCCATCCTCCGCCAACTCGACGATAGAGTCGATACTGCGACTGACCTACGCCAGTGCCAAGATGCAAGGTCATCGCATCATCTCTGACTTTGATGCGTACATCTTTCAGCTGGACAACCAATACGAATTGATTCTCGATAAGGATACACAGTTGCGCTCACTTGTGCAATCGCAGCGACTGACACAGGTGCGTCTCGAGCTCATAGAGAAGGATCACCAGTGTAAGGAGCGGCTGGTCGATTTGGATCCGACGGCAATCTCGATCAACGGACGTCCTACGCTGTGGAAATCACACATCGAGGAAGTACTCCGTTTCAACACGAAACTGAGGAAGCTCGCCAAACTCTGTGGCGACGCCAACTCTACTTCGGCGGTGGCGGACTGCGCGCGTCTCACTCCATATCCACCACCTCAAACTATACCGGAGAACTTTATCATTAAGGTACACCTTCCCAATCAAACAAAGACACTCCGCTGCAGTAGGAATCACACTGCTCAGACGCTAATGTCGATAGTCTCTGAGAAGGTAAAGACTGCCGCTATCAATCCTCAACGCTGGCGTTTCCTTCTCACTGGAATCAACCAGTATATTAGTCCAGACGTGCCGTTGTTGTCGGTGGAGTACGTCGTGGAGCGAATCAAGAGAACCGGTGAGATTGAACTGACGATGAAAGAGATTGAGACTGCCAACATTAGGAAATCCGATATCTTTAGACGCAACAACTATCACGATAAACCATCGCAGATCCTCTCGGTCATTTTGAAACCAAACAAATGCCAACCCGCTAAAATAAGAAGGATTACCAATGTCGGATCCTCTCCGACAGGCGTCAATCATCCGAGTGCCAGAATCGCCGATAATCTGATGTTGTCGGATTGCGAATCCGACTCTGACACTGTCTCTGCCTACGATGTCAAGGAGCACTTTAAGGTGAGGATTCTCCATGCGCACGACATTGACCCGTCGATTGCGAAATCACACTTTGGAACCGACCAGAACATTCAGGTGTACATTGAAGTCGGAATCTACTTTGGCGGTGAGTTGATCGCACCGCTTGGAACATCGAGTGGCGTCAACTACCAGGAGACAGTGGTCTGGAACGATTGGATCACCATCCCCATCCCAATATCGTCGATTCCAAAGGGATCGCGTGTTTGCTTCGGTCTGAACACACGATACAAAGACAGTCATTTCAACATTGGTTGGGTCGGTCATCGACTCTACGATTCACTGGACATCTTCAACACCTCGACGCCCTACTCGCTGCTGATGTGGCCTGGAAAAGTCAATCCAATCGGAACGTGCGTCGATAATATCCAATCAAAGAAACAGACAATCATTCTTGCATTCGAATTCCACGACTATGTTTCACCGCTGAACATTCACTATCCCGATATTCTCACCAATCTCAAAACGAAAGACGACGATGCCATTCTCTCGATAACCATTGACGACCAAGAAAAAGTAAACTATATCAACAAACAAGATCCGCTCTATACTCTGTCGGACGAGGAGAAAGCGCTGGTTTGGCGGTGTCGATACTACTGCCAGACCGTGCCAACCACGCTGCCAAAGCTGTTACAATCACTCCAATGGACCAATCCCGAGCATCTCAGTGAGATGTTTAGATTCCTCAAGAACTGGCCAATCATCGAACCGATCGAATCGCTGGAGCTGCTCGATCCAAAGTTTGCCGACTGCGTAGAGATTCGTGAGTACGTAGTGAAGTGTCTGGATGCCATGACAGACTATGAACTTGAACTCTATATGCTCCAACTGGTACAGGCTCTCAAGCACGATATATTTCACGGATCGGTACTCAGTCTCTTCCTGCTCGGTAGAGTCTTCCAGAATCCTGCGGTATTGGCCCACCCATTCTTTTGGCATCTCCGCGCAGACATTGACAACCAAGAGGTGAGCGAAAAATTCCGACTGCTCATTGTTGCACTCCTCAGATTCAACACTCACCTCGCTGAAACATTCTCCAAGGAAATACAATCACTCAAGGTATTGGAGAATCTTTCCAGGCTGATAAAAGATATTCCATTTGAGAAACGTAGAACATTTATTGAAGAACATCTACGTGATATTAAAGGAGCAAATAACTTTAGAATTCCATTTGACCCAAGGTATGAATATACTACAACTATTTTCTTTGAAAATTATTGATTGATTTTCAGAAAAACAATTAACTAACTAGTTATTTTATCCATTGTTGTTTAAACAGTATTTATGTAACAGACATAATTCCAGAGAAATGTAAAGCAATGGATTCAGCAAAAGCACCACTTTGGATTGTATATAAGAATAGAGATTTGAATGCCAATCATTTCCAAATGATAGTAAAGACGGGAGATGATCTAAGACAAGATATTTTAACACTTCAACTGTTAAAGCTGATGGATCACATGTGGAAGTCTGAAGGTTTAGATCTCCACATGACTATATACCGTTGTCTAGCAACTGGACTTGGTACAGGATTAATTGAAGTTGTAAACAATTCAGAAACAGCTGCAAGAATTCAATCTGTAAATATTATAATATCAACATGTTAACAACACAACTCTATTTTATAAACTCATTCATTAATATTATTTATTATACCTTTTTTTTTTTTTTCTAGGCTGCTGGTGGTATGACAGGAGTATTCAAACAAACACCGATTGCAAATTGGTTGAAGAATCAAAACATTACAGAGAATACATATCGAGCTGCTGTCACTAAATTTACACTGTCATGTGCTGGCTACTGTGTTGCCACCTATGTTTTGGGTATTGGTGATAGACACAACGATAACATAATGATTGATAAATTTGGACATCTCTTCCATATTGACTTTGGTCATTTCCTTGGAAATTTCAAGACGTTTGCAGGATTCCAACGTGAGAAAGCACCATTTGTTCTTACACCCGACTTTGTCTTTGTCATTGGTAAAGATTCTCCTAACTTTGATTTCTTTGTAGAGACATGTTGTAAAGCTTACAATATCCTCAGAAAGAATTCACATATTTTCTTTAATATGTTTGAATTGGTAAGTTTTGGTGCTGCTTTTTCTATTCATTAATATTTATAGATCGATATTAATTATTAATTATTATTATATCTGTATTATTTATAGATGTTATCAACAGGTATTCCAGAATTAAGAAGTGAAAGTGATATTCTTTATTTAAGAGATAAGTTTAGAACGGATTTAACGGATGAAGAAGCATCGGAAAGATTCATAAAACTCATTCACGAGAGTATCAACACTCTGACGACACAAATCAATTTTGCAATACATATAATGGCACATAGAAAAGCAATAGCGATCGATAAGAAAACCGGTGACTCATCAAGAGAATAAATCATACTCTTCTAGATGAAACATCAGGGTTCATACAGCTAACTACTCAACTCCCACTCCCAACGATAAACTTGTTCAAAAAGGATCAATGTAAATATGATCATTACTGATTGATTTTAATAAACTATCAATCATACCTAGATTGATAATATTTTATTTATTATTTATTCACCATGAACGAACTTTTGCATTCCAGTAAAGAATTGTTCTTTTCCTGCCTCTGGATTTACATGAATTGATTTAAGATCTAAATTTAATTTATAATAAATATTATTATATGAATGTAATTAATAAATATATTTTTTGATATACAAATTAAAATATTGTAAATAATACATACTTGGATCTTGTTGTTGTTGCTGTTGTTGTTTGTTCTTCTTGTTCTTCTTTTTATTCTTCTTCTTTCCTTCATTATTTTTATTCTCAAGATTATCTTCTTTCATGTCCAACTCCTCTTTTTCTTTTAACATTTCATCCTTCAAGATACAATCATCCTTTGACTCCATCTTTTGATCATTGTCTTTCTCTAAATCCACCTTTGTGTTCTTGCAATCCTTCAAGTCCTTACAATCCTTTTGATTCACAACTTTTCCATCTTTGAAAACATAGGTAGTAGTCTCCTCCGATGAAAATGTATAAACATCTACTCCATTCTCACAAGAACGTTGTTGAGGTTTCAATAACTTTGTTTCATTTGAACTCATTGTTGTTTCTAAAAAAATAATAAAAACATAAAAATATTTAATATAATTAATATTAATATCTTTTAATAATTAAATAATAATTAAATGTTTAGTAAACTTACTTTGTAAATTAATTTTTCAAAAATATAAATAAAAATAAATAATTGTTGTTTTTTTTTTTTGTTTAAAGATAATAATTACTAATATTATTTGTTATTACTATTCTATTTGGTCTGAAAAAAATAAAGTCTTTATAAAAAATATTCTTTAAACTATAAAACACCAATATATTATTATTTTAATTTTTGTAGATCTAAAAAAGAGTATTTGGACATTAATGATTACCACTTTTAGTAAATATTAATTTTTCATATACTTTTTAAAGAAAAAATTACCACACTTTTTTTAAAAATGTTTACTTTTTTTTAAAATATAAAATATAATAATAAATAATAAATTCATTTAATTAAAAAAATATTAATTTTAACTTATTTATTCTCAAACCTTATTTAAATAAGCTAAGAGATGGTCTGTGAAAGTACGAGCATGTTGAACATGAGCAAAATGACCACCAGGAATTAATTCTACAAGATGTTTTGGAAAGTAATTCGAAATGGTAGTATTGTGTGGTTCTTTTAGGTAGTGGCTATCTTGACCACCTATAAACAATACATCTTTCTCAAATTTGGGTGTTGTTGGTAGTAGCATCGATGTTGCCATTCCAGCTACATCAACACCACCACCACAATGCTCATCTAACAATAAATTATAATTATATTTCTCTGCAATCTTTTTATCTGTTGGGAATCCTAACATTTCATCTTGATTCTCGTATAATGTCTAGATTTTGATATAGTTGAATTAGTTAGTTAGATAGATCTATCTAAATATATATATTGTTGTCCACAATTATAAACAACTTACTTTTAAATTAACTCTCCACTTAAATTTGCTGTTTTCTGGTTCTTTATTCTCTATTAAATTATTTAATAGATATAATCTGTTACCTTTATCCAAGTTGTATGACTCCAATACTTGTTCGATCTTTGATTTTGTTGTGTCGCTTTTGTTGAATATCTCGGTTGCTTGGAGCATCGCCTCAAACTTTGAATTGTGATTGTGTATTCCAACGTAGGAAGTGGGTGCAACGTCTACACAAACCAAACCATCGACATCGTTCTTGTGTCTCAGACTGTAGAGCATAGAAACCTTACCACCGAGCGAATGACCAACCAACACCAACGATGCATTCTCATTGTATTTTCTCTTCAATATATCGTTCTCCCGAAGAAAAACTGTTAGATCATCAACTAAATCGTCTAACTTCATCGTAGACGCATGCATAGAGTTTCCATGATTTCTTAAATCTAATGAATATAACTTTGTTGTAATAAAATAATAATAATAATAATAGTTAGAACTGATTTTGTCTTTTTATTATCAAGAAGAATAAAACCTATATATACATACCTCTAAGTTATTATATTTCGATTCTTTTGCACGTGACTCTAATAAACGATTTGATATCCTCCAATTCTCGTTTGAACCAAACAGACCGTGTAGAAATAAAACTATTTGTGTATTTGATGCATTGCTTCTAGAATTGTTACCATAAGGACTTGCACTAATAAAACTACTATTTGTTTGAATAGATCTCCTAACAAAGTTCATCATATTAAAGCTATAACAACAAGTAATATATTACATAAAGTAAATCAAATGATTGCAATTTTGAAAAAACTCATTACAAAAAAAAAAAATAATAATAATAATTTAAAAAAATGTTTATTAATAGATTGTCATATGACTAATTATAAAATTATAATAAAATATAATTAATATCAAAAACTTAATAAAAGTAACAATTAAAAGTGTTTAAGAATATTAAAGTAAAAAAAAATAAAACAAAATAAAATAACCTCATATGATCTTTCAGTTTTAAACAAAATAAGTTATTTCTATTTTCTTAAAATAAATAAAAGAATTCAATTGTGATTGTCTATCAAATCATTAATAACTTTTTTTAAAAAAATATCATTTATAATTTAATTTAATACATTCAGAAGATTTTATTTTTTTATTATACTATTTAATAAGAATTTTCTTACTCCGAAACTCCTATGAAAAATATTATGGCACGAGATTTGACCAGAAACGAGAAAATTAAAAATAAAATATTTAAAAAAATATAAAATCTCTGGTTACAGGGTGAGATAGAAATGCTTAGACGGAAAATTCGTGTACGCAATGTTATAACATTTTCAAGATATTTAATACCAGTTATAAAAAGTGTGGTGCAGATGTGGTTTTTTTATTATCATAAATAGTGTTGGTACAAATTTAATATCCTATAGTAATGTTTACAAAAATTAATTTAATAATAATAGTAATTTTGTAAAATTTTAGTTGATTGTAAAAAATAGATGGTGGTCTTATTGTTCGACATTAATTTCCTTTTTAGTTGATTTTTCGGGAAGCAATTTTTAGTTTTGATGAACTGATAATAATGAAATAAAATAGAATTGCCAAACTTTGTTTGTAAAGTTCATTCCCTCATCAATAATAAAAAATACTATTAACTATTCTATCATGATATTACCTAAATAAGGAGGAGAACCAATTATTACATTCTTCAAGTATTTATCTTATTCGAAGCGTTTTGTTAAAGATGAATGGACCAATTAATAATTGATTTTGATGAAATATCGATGTGAGGAGCGAATCTCTGTCTGTAAGCTTGTTTTGCCCAATAATGGTCTTGCTGATATCATCAACAAAATGCCTGAAAACACAACATTTAGTGGTGATCCCCTCACAGTTTTGCTATTGTGAAATTGAAAAAAAATACAAATTGTTTTCATTGATGAGCTTCACCCACTTTGCAGCACCCCAAAAATTCGAGATATTATACTTGAAAGAAAGATCAAAACACTAAATTTGCTTCATTCCATCCTGCCAAGCCATTGAAAAACAAAAACAAAAAAAAAACACAAAAAAACAAAAAAAAACAATCTTTTTTTTTTTGACAATTCATATTAATTTTTTCATTTTTTCTCATATTTCACACTCTGTTGTCGAATTGGTTTGGATTTGTTTACGGTTGATGGTGAGGGAGGGTTAATAGGAAAACAAAAAAAAAAATTATCAAAATTTTTATTAAAAAAATAAAAAAATGTTTATAAAAACAAACACAATTTCTCATATTTCTATTTATTTTGTTTTTCATTCTTATCAAATAATAATAGTTAGTTTTATTATATCTTTATATAGTAATAATAAATAATAATAGTAGTAATAGTAATAAAATTGTGTTAACAATTTAAAATAAAATATCAGATATTTATTTTTTTTTGCAAAAAATCTTATTTTTTATTTTATTTTTAGATTCTTATTTTTTTCATTCTTTTTCTTGTATTATCAAGTCTTAACTAGATTTTATTGTTTTATTAGAGATTCTTTCTTTTTAAATATTAGTTGATTGAGTGGAGTAGTAGCTTTGTGCGTGGAAATGAGAATTCAATTAACTTTATTGTTGGTGTCACTCGTTTTGACAGCCGTTCATTCATATACCGACAATGATCCTGTATTCTGTCAGCAGGCTCATTATCGTGAGGATTGTCCAACCAATCCAGGACCATTCGATCCAGTAAACGAAGGTAAATAACAATATCATAATCACATCATCATCATCATCAATTTATACTGATTTTTATGTTAACATAAATCATATCAAATCTATTCCTTTTATTACGACAGACGATATTATCGATGTTTATTACATGCAAGCACCAATCTTTGAGAGTGTTTATGGAGATATTTTCGGAAAGTTAGGAGGTTATCACTCTGCTTTGGGATTCTTCAATTTGAATACCAAGATCAACTACACTGCAGAGTATGATGCTTTCTTTGAGGTTGCCAACGGAACATTCCCAAATGTCGTTGACAATAACAACGGTACCAAGGATTTGGTATGGTGTAACGCAGGTATCACCTGTGCATTCCCAGCCATCAACACCACCTATTGGGATCCAAAGTTCTTCTCTACCGCTTCGATGACCTTTATGACTTCAATCAATGGTTCTGTATTCAACAAATTCAGTCCATGGATGTTGAGTTATAATAATACCAACCCAAGTATGTAATTATAACTATTATCATTATTATCATTAATTAAAAGCATCCCTACTAATTATACATCTTTTTCTATTTCTACTTTTCGTCATTCATCATAGTTTACCAAACCTGGGATGTCTGGAACCAATTTGGTGATAATTTGTTCATTCAATCAAATACATGTGATGACTTTGTTATCAATGGTTTGAATTTCCTTGCTTGTAAGTTATTAGTTATAATATATATATATATATATATTTGTGATTCTTGTTTTGATCAATTTATTAATATAAATTTCAATTTTAATTTTATTTTAATAATATAGCTCAAGGTGCTTATTTCGATTGTGACACCCAAATTTTGAAGAGAGATTATGTAAATATCTACTCAGAGAAGCCAGTTCCAGTCGACTATGAAACTGAAAAGGAAGACATTGTTAAATATTACTCTGCATTCTCTATCCATAAGGGTGAATCAATCTTGGATATCATTAAGAATATCTTCTCTGTCATTGGTTTGAAGAAATACATCTACATTGAGCAAAACTACTACAGATTAGAATTGAACTTCCCGTAAGTAAACAGGATCATCCAATCAATCAATCAATCAATTTTGTTAATATATTTATATTTTATTTTCTAGATTCGTTGATCTTAGATACGATTATGATGCCTTGCCAGGTTGCCCAATCCCAAAGAGACCATTGACCGATGACGTCAAGGTCATTCAAATGGGAATCACACTTTAAAACAATATTAAGATATTAATAATAGCTTTGGTTTTTTCAACTCTTTCCTTTAAACGAAAAGACGATAAGAAACCAATCAATACCGAATGATACCTATCTCTATTTTATTATTATCAATATTATATATATTTTTCAGATTTAGTTATTATCGATTTTCGATGTAGTGCGATGGTTTAGCCAATACAAAATACAAAAACTTTCGACAAAGGTAAAAACCATCAACTCTCACTAATTGGATAATAAACACATTGTACTCAATATAATACGACTTTTTCTTACCTGTACAGTAACAAACAAACCAAACAAACCAAATTCCTCCTCTCCGATTTTCTTTTTTTTTTATTAATTGTTATCACAATTTTATAACTACCAATAAGATGAAGGTCTTTGTTTTTGGAAAAAAAAAAAAAAAAAAGTGGTTGTGCAAAAAAAAAAAAATTGATTTTGATTGGTCTTCATTGGTTTTATGTGAAAGTTGAAAAAAATGAAGATATTTGTTATTACAAATATCACCCACACCCGAAATTAATTTATAGTGCTAAAGAAAATTCATTATCTTCTTTTTTAAATATCAACAACTGTAGTTTTGTTTAGTTAGTTTTTTTTTTTTTTTATATATCAAAAGATAAATGGATAATATAAGTAAAAGTGTAGCAATTATAGGTGCAGGACCTTCAGGACTGGTCAGTTGTAAATCAGCGTTGGAGTGTGGTTTGTTACCAACTGTCTTTGAGAAGAATAGCGATGTTGGAGGAATTTGGTCGGTATCAAGTGGTAAAGTTTGGGATTCACTCCACACCAACCTCTCTGTGCACACTATGATGTTTTCAGATTTCCCATGGGAGAGCGAATGGTATTCCAAAGATTTCCCACCACACACAGAAGTTATCGCATACCTCGATCGATATGCCCGTCATTTCAAACTGTACCCACATATCCGTTTGAATTCCACTGTAATCTCTGTCTATAGCGATGGAAAGAAATGGATAGTTGAATCGATAACAACAACTGCTGCCGATGGTAGCAAATCAGAAGTAAAGAACAAAGAATCGTTCGATTCCATTATTATTGCAAGTGGAATGCTTGAATACCAGAGACCATTGAATATTGTTGACATTGAGAAGTTCACCGGTACGATTTCTCATGGTCGAGACTATAAGAATGCTGGACAGTTTACTGGCGACTCGTTTTTGGTGATTGGTGACAGCTATAGTGGTTGTGAAATCGCAGCGGAACTCACTATGAAATCAGCGGATGTTTCTGTCACTCAATTGATGAAGCGACCCTCCTGGATATTGGAAAAATACTTGCCAAGTCCACCTACCAAACCAGATGATCCGCCCAAACTCTTACCTCTGGATTTTCTATTCTTCTCAAGAGTTGGAATAGATTTTTTTGCAACAAATTTCAAAACATTACCAGAGGCATTCAAAGTTCGACATGAAATGTTGTCACAGATGTGCGCCAAACAACAGTCAGTTAAACATCTACAACATGAGCTGCCAAAACAAGATTGTCCATCTATTTGTATCTCTGATAACTATACCGACATTGTAAAGAGTGGTAAAATTGATATCCATCCACAGATAACCGGTATCGAAGGAAAAACAGTACACTTTTCCAGTGGAGAATCAAAAGAAATCGATCATATCATTTTAGCATGTGGTTTTTCCTATGAGCTACCGTTTTTAGACCACAGTGTTCTGAAGGACATTGATTATGACCCAAATGAAAGGGTGGTACCGATCATTCTTCACAAGACAGTGTTCCATCCTACAATGGCTAATATTGGTTTCGTAGGTTGGTATGTCGCTGCATTGTTTCCAATCATTGAATTGCAAGCGAGATGGCTAACCTTGGTTTTATCAGAGCAAGTGGATGCACCAACCAAAGAGCAGATCGAGGCAGGTATGAATGCTGAGCGAGCAATCCGTGATAGTCCAATCAAATTGCGAATTCCACATATGGAAATGCCAGTGATTGGCGATGATTTGGCAGCGCAATTCGGAGCACTTCCAGATTTACAAAAAATCAAAGACGAAGATCCTCATTTATATCATTTGATTTACAACAACTTTGCATCACCTGCATCCTATAGATTAACAGGTCCTTATGCCAACGCTGAACTGGCCACAAAGATATTGAACGACATTAATAATAAATATTATATAAATTCAAAATAGTCAGTTTTGGTATTTGAAAGATTTCACTCTATGTAATGGAATGGCACCAAATTCAAACTCCAGATAAGGTACTTCCTTTAAACCAATAAATCTATCATCATATAAAATTGAGAAATCTTCAATATTTACTTTGATTGTGTCAACTCCACTATAAATTATTAAAAAAGAGTTAGATTTTTTCTAATTGAAATATATTAATAAGGAATTTCATTTATACAAACTTTAATTCGATTATAAATCTCTTCTGATGATGGTAATCTTGATTTTTTATCTTCTACTGAAGGTTCATCCTCTAACTTTGGACTTTTAATTCTTTTCGATTTCTCTTTTATAATCTTTTCATCAAAGATCTGTGCCTCTGATTCAAAGTACTCTATCTTCTTTTGATACTCTTCATTTTCCAACATGTCCTATGGAAATGATTCTTATTTCTTTCTATTATTTATTTTAAAAGGTTGATATTATTACGTTTAATAAAAAGTTTTAGAATAATTATTGTTTTTCTGCTGGTGTTGTATTTTTCTAAAATTAATAGATGTAACATACTTTGGCACACCAATTTGATCAATATCCATCTGAGAGTTCTTTTGTCACCTACTTCCATTGTGTTCAAATTCCTCTTGATCGATCGAGAAAATACTTTGATAGTTAGAAAACAGCCAATCTAGAATATGTACGTGACCGAATCTAGCAGCTGTTTGAATGACCCCATGAATGCATTCTGGAACATCATCCTCAGGTGCTGCTTTCTTGAGCCACCATTGGACAACTTCCAACTTTCCAGTCATCATACATTTCAATATTGTCGCCTGGCTATTTCGCAGTGTCGTATTGTCGTTTAGCCAACTTATCACATCGACCGATCCATTATTAGCAGCGCTATCCATAGACTCTTGTAAAGTAGATTTTAAACTATTGTTATCATTTTCAAATAGCCATTTTAACAATTCCAATCTTCCATTTCTAAGATTCATTACCGCCTCTGTAACTCCAAAGGTTGTTATGCGTAGTAGCATTTTCATTAGCTCCACACTACCATTGTAAGCATACTCAAGTGACTTGTAAGAGAATCCTTCCGATCTATTGGTAATTAACCAATTTACAATGTCTAGTAGCTCAATTTTAATGGCAGAGTCAAACGCGTGATTGGTACAACCTTCACTCCTATTTTGATGTAGAAATACCATCGTTCTCTTTTTTGTCATTCTTACCGCCACCACCACCACCACCACCTTTTTTAGCACGTGAATCAATGCAGACTACATTACCATTGTACTGATTGATGGCTGACACACGTGTAAAATAGGTTCTTACTGATGATGATGTTGTTGTTGTCAATCTTAAACTATTTGAACATAACTTTGATTGATTCGTAATACAAGTGCCAATAATATTGATATTGTTGAATCTTCTTAACAATATAATATTTAATCTTTGTTTCAAAAAACATGAGATTAAATATTGATAGTGCTGATTTCCAATAAAAATGATCAAAAAAAAAAAAACTTTGATTGGGATTTTTTATGTTTTTTATTTTTTTTATTTTTCTTTTTAACAATATGGTTTCCCTATTTGGAATTAAATGTATACTCCAATATTCTCACTCAATCCAGCATTACATGTGCTATCATCTGGCTGCTCACATTGAAGTCTATTGTCACTGTAATATAAACCATCTGGACTTTAAATCTCTGTTTATTAATAATTCCCAAAAACTAAAACTAGAGTAAAAAATAAAAAGATTAGAATTAACTTGGGTGTCATTTTATAAAGAATAGAAAACTAATTTTTAATCTAATTTAAAATGTTTTTATTAAAAGAATCAATTTTAAATACTTTATTTTGTTTTAAAAAGTTTTGATTGTTTTTATAAATATTATTTTGTTTTAAAATGTATGTTTTCGAACCACTTTTTTCCTATTTACAAATTTTGACCCTACAATGCTAATACGAGTATTGGTGATAACTAAAATATTTACAAAATATCCTTTAAGATTATTGATTATAAGTTTATTAAATGAAAATTCTATTAAAAAAATATATGATAAAAGTAAAGTTTTTTATATATACCTAAATAACCACTTTTATCGTTTATTTAACTGTATTCCCCCCAATTCTCTTTTGGTAAAATTAAAAACAATCAATTTTTGAAATTTAAGATATCTTTTTTTTAATCTCCTTTGTATCTTGCTTAGCATTGGTAAAAATTATCTAAAAGTAAATAGAATTCCAGGTTTAAAGATATAATTTAAGCTAATGGGATTAAATATTATTTTTATATTAAAATAAAGTATAAATGTGTGGAATGTTTAAAAAACAAGATATCTTTGACTTCATTCTCAATTTTTTATGAAGCTACTCTATTTTTTTTTTTATTAACAAAAGTATTAAAGATCTACACCTAAATTTACATCCAAAGGTAACGGATGACATGTACTATTTACTGGGTTTTCACAACGTAGTCCATCATCATTCCATTGTAAACCATCTGGACATGGTTGTTCAGAAAACACACCTGCATCAGTACATTGAATATAATTATTACAATCATCTGGATTCGGTTTCATACAGAAACGAGGACCGGGGCAACCTTTTGCTACTTCGTCACAATCACAACGAGGATCACATTCCCCAGAATTTACTAAAAGTTGAATTATTTAATTATTTAATTTTAAATTTTGGTTCATTAAAATGGTTAACTTTAAAAGTTGATTTCAATTTCAATATTTACCAAAAATAACAATTGTAAAAAATAAAAATAATAAAACTAGCTTTGCTGTCATTTTTAAAAAGAAATATTCTTTAGTAATCTAATTGATACTATTAAAGTGAAATAGTTTAAAATGATTTAATCCTGAATGAATTATATATTTATATATATTTTTAAATATGAAGAGATCTAAATCGGTTGTAAATCAAAATATATAAAACTTTTTGTAGGAAAAGTCATTTTTTTATGCCAAATTACAAAATGGTAACCCTTCAAATCAGAAATCCAAACATAAATAAATATATATATTTATTTATATCTTTTTGAATTGTAAAGTGAGTTTTTACCACTTTTATTACAATTTACAAAAAGTAGCCCTTCAAATCGAATAAGACAATTTTAATTAAATCTAAATATACTTTTTTAATTTGAAAAAATAAATTTATCACTTTTCATCTTTTCTATTTCTTCTAATTTTGTGTAATCATTTTAAATCAAAACAAAAAGAAGTTTGATCTTTAATTTGAAAAACAAAAAATAGAAATTTTGTATTGGGGTAGGGAACTTTTACAATTCTTAATTTTTATTTTATTACTAGTAAAATATCATTTTTTTTTTTAAATAATAAAATATTTGTGCTAGCAAAAACAAAATCGCACCCTTTATTAAAATCTAACTTATAATTAGCAAAAATAGAAATATGTTTATGAATATGAATCTTGGTGCAGAGGGTCACGAGAATGATGATTATATTAATAGAGATCCTGACATTAGAGACCCTGACGAAGAAGAAGAATAGATAGTGATGATAGTGATGATAGTAATAATAATCACAACAATGCATTACTTCCTCCAAATAATGATAATAATTACAATAATAATCACAATGTAATAATAGTTCAACCAGAAAATGGATATAATGCAATTAGGAATGATAGAAATATAATCAACAACAATAATAATGATGATGTTGGTTTAGTTAACTTGGATAAAGCTGGTGACTTAAAATACTTTCATTATAGACATAAAAAAAAAGCTATGGTTTTTATTGGTTTTGGTAAGTATTATTTTTATGAAAATGAAACTATTAATCAGTCAATGAATGAATGAATGATTTAACTAAAATTTTTATTTCTTTATTACTGATTGATTCCAGCTTATAATATGTTTAGTGATTTGTTTGATAATACTAAAGATGACGCTATCAATTCAATCACTTGGCGAAATTATAGAAGCTCATGTGATAGTTCGTAACCATCCGAGTTTCAACTCGAACTACTATACGGTCAATCGTTTAGGTACTCAGAAGATATCAGATATGGTGGCAATTATGACGAAAAACTTCACAGATCCCGATCAAGGTTTGCGAAGATTGTGTATTAACAGAGAGTTACTTCCAACCACTCGGTAACAAGAAAGGATATACATTGCCAAAAGGCTATGGTATCAGTGTAAAATATGAAAACTCTACATACTACTTTACAGATTTCACTACCAATTTTCAGAATGGAACTTCGATAGATGACATGGGTTTCATATCTGCTGCAATAGTAAAAGACTATCGGTATGGGTGGTACAAAGTTATCAGTAAATTTGGTGCAGTCTATATCGAAGGTTTGTTTAAATACAAATTGTAATATTAACAGAGGTCCTCAATGGAATGGAATGGGTAAAGATCTGTATCAAAATGAACCTGTATTTAAAGCAAGCATGGACAAATGTGATCAAATATTCAAACAGTGTTTTGGTTATTCAATAATAGTTCGATTAAATCAATACCATCTGATGATCCAAATGATTTAATTAATCAACCAATTGTTGCACAGCCATCAATCTTTATGCAAATAGCATTGTTTGAATTATTAAATCATTGGGGTATCACACCATCGATCATGGTTGGTCATAGGTATTTTATAGCTCTATTTCTAAATTAATATCTTTAAATTATGTTTTAATTTTGGAGAAATGTCCGCATGATTAATTAGAAATTTAGCTATTTAATAAACAGCCATAACCTAAATCAGGTTAGCTCAGCTGGCAGAGCGTAGGTCTCATAATCCTAAGGTCGTGAGTTCAATCCTCACACTTGATATTTATTAAATCTTAAAAATCTACATGCGCGCATTACCCCTATGTATTTTTTTTTTTTTTTTTTTTTTTTTTTGAATTAATTCAAAAAAAAAAAAAAAAAAAAAAAAAAAATTGATTCATCTGTTAGATGCTTCTGGAACACTAACTAGCAGGTTAATGTTAATACCTGAAATTTGTTGGCTTATCATGAGTCAAAAAAATCTTTTTTTGCAAAAAAAAAAAAAAAAGTTAAACTTCCTTTGGAAAAGGGAAAACCCATTGGTTACAAAATTTCTTAGATCATTGAACTCTATAGTTTTGGTGGTGATTTACTATTGAAATGATGTGATAGTAATAATATATTGGCTTAAAAAAATAACATCTACCTAGTAAGTTTTGTTTTTAATCTAAAATTTTTTCTTAATCTAAAAGATACTAAAATATCATCTCCATTAAAAGAACTTTAGATATTATAATCAATATTTTCTGTACAATAGAAAGACAACAAAATTAAGAATTAAATATATCTATATTATGTAAATTATTTTCTTTAAAAGTTTTATCTATTTATATTTAAGATCATCAATTTATAGCATACATTTAAAAATTAATTAGAAAAAAAATATTAGTTTGTTTTTTTTTTTGTTTGTTTTTTTTTATTAAATTAAGTTAAATATATTTGGTGAACATCACTTTCGGAAAATGGTCTCTTGCAGCTGGGGCATCTTCTTTTTCTGGTATCGATATTTGAATATATACATTCCTTACAAAACACATGGAAACATTTGGCGATTACATGATTCTTTTGTCTATCATTACAAATAGTACATCTTAATTTTTGCTGTGAAATGATGAAAAAAAAAAAAGTTAGACACAGATTGCATTTCAAATAATAGAAAAGATGTATTATCTTCAACTTACATTTACTAATCTTAACTCTTCTTCTGCTGTCGATGTTGATGAAGTGGTATTTTGTGCTGCTTTTTCTAATTTCTTTTTAAGTATTTGTTTTTCCTCCTGTTTAATAAATAACAAAAAAATAGGAATAATTAATATCAATAAAAATTATAATTATTATAATTTGATTGAAACTTACATCTAATCTCTTGGCTTTATCAATCTCTCTCTCCAAAGCAAATATTGAATCATCTGCTTTCTTCTTTAGTTCTGCGTTCATTGCACCGAGATGATCCCACTGGGTCTTTAGCTCAGTGGAGTGTGCAGAGGTCTCTCTGACAAAACGTTTGTGCTTCTCCAACTCAAAGTTACAGGTGTGTAGCTCCTCGGTGACCTTTGAGAGCTGCTTCTGTAGTACCTGACATTTGTCCTCGATCTTTGCCATGATTTCCGCTTGATTCTTTAGTTTCTCATCGGAACGCGCCACCTTCTCCTCCATTGAAACCGTTGCCTCCTTGGTCAGACGTATCGTTTGCTGTGATTTGATGTTCTCTGCCATCAGATGTGCATGAGTGTCCTCCTTGTCAGAGATCTGCTTTAGTAGTCGTGTGTTTTGCTCTTGCATCTGCTCGTACGCTTTACCCATGCTGTCGATCTCCATCATCAGGGCATCGAGTTCCTGCTTCTGGCTCTCCTGTGCCGATTTACTGAGCGCCAAATTCACCTCCAACTCTTTAATAGCCAATCTATGTTTTTCTTGTAGTTGATCGACTTGCTCTTGATGTTGTTGCTTCAACTGGTCCACCGTTACCAAACTCTTTTTCAACTCCTCCACTTGTTCCTTTAGTTTCTTCTCGGAGATCTGTAATTCTACAACATCTGCTTTCTCTGATGAACTCGATTTCAATATTTCCAATTCTTTTTCCTTTTCAATTAATTTCCTTTATTTAGAGAATAATAACAAATTAGTATTATAATTCTTTTTTTTAACTTTTCAACTAAAACTGTACATGTACAGTTAAAATTTTACTTACTTTTCAGAATGTTTCAATTCTTCATTTGCTTTTGTAATTTCCTGTAGTTTCTCTGTGAAACCTTTGATCTCTTGGTTCTTTGACTCAATTTCTTTTTGAGCTTTGTTCTCGATTTGGGCGATTGCCTCCTTACCATCACGATAAGTTTCAACGGTTTGTTTAAGTTGTTCAATCTCTTTTTTCAACTTTTGAATGTCAGTGTCCTTGGTCTCGAGCATCATTCGCGACTCTGAGAGATACTCTTGCGATGGAATACCCGGTAGTTTCTGGTCGATAATGTTGATGAGCTTCTCCTTCTCTGACTTGAGCTCGGTGGCATCGCTCTCCAGCTGCTGGACACGACGCTCCAGATTCTGGCGACGCTGCAACTCGAATGCCTCGTAGCTCTCGCGATCCACACGACGTGCGATCGTGAGTTGCTGGAGTTCGTGTTGGAGTTTCGCAAAGAGATTGGTCTTGATGTCGAGTTCGTCCGACACCACCTGTAGACGTTGACGCAAGATCTGGTATGGCATCGAATTGATGATACGATCCTCCGGGATGTTACGGATGTCGATCTGAATCTGCTGTAGCTCCTTCATGAGATTGGCTTTCTCCTCGCGTAGCTTGCGCGCTTCGTTGAGACGCGACTCTGACTGGCGCTGCAACTCTTGATACTCCTCGGTGTTGGTGATCATACCGGCAGCAGCACCGCCGCCGCCACCGCTGTTCAAACCCCCGTTCTCACCGGTGACTCCACCGAGCTTCGGTGTGGGTGGACCGTTGGTGGTGGTCGTGGTGGTAGTCGAGGAACTCAGTGATGGCGACGACAGACGAATCGAAGGAATCTTGGGAATGTCATCCTGCATCTTTATCAATCGCTTTCTCTCTATATTTAGGTCATCGAGTGATCGCTCCAACTCTAACTTTAGCGCCTTGATACTGATCTGATAGACACCGGACTGGTCGGCCAGATACGAAGTCTGATCTGTCAGATGCTTACACTGCTGCAACAATCGATCATAAGAACACTGTAATATTTGATTCTGCTGTGACAGTTTATCGTTTTCCTCTTTCAACAGTTTTTCGAAATCGTTACTATTCATATCTATAATGACAATAATAATAATATATAAAAATAGAAATATTTGTTAATCGATTCATTTCCTTCTTCTTTTTTTTCATTTTCATTTCACTCATTTTGTTTTTTCAATTTTTGATTGATTGATTTTGGTTGTTGATTATTCATACCTCTTGATGACTTTAATAAACGAAACAATGAAGTTGATGTAAAATGCTCTCTCTCTACGCTATCAGCAATCTTTGAGAATGCTACCTGTGTCTTTTTAATACGATTCTGTAGTAGTTGCTCCATTATATAGTTTTCATCGAGTGTCTGTGGTTCGGTAATATAGGATGTTAAGAAATTATATGATTCGACAAAATGATTACAATCATTATTATTATTATTATTTTCATTACTATTATCATTGTTATTATTATTATTATTACTATTACTATTATTATTATTATTATTATTATTATTATTATTATTTTCATCGGAATCAGGTAGTTCACCTATTAACGTTAATTAATTTAATAAAAGATAAACCAAAGAATTCTGTTGTTAATAACTAACTAACAAACTAACTGAACTAACTAACTAAAACTTGATAACCTAATCGAATTAATCAAGAATTCTATTTACCTGATGTACAAGATAATCCTATGCCATTTGGTAATAAATTATCTAGAGTTGGTTCTAAATCTAATCTACCTGATAATACATTTAAACCGCTATTCAACTGTTTTTATAGATTATAATAATATGAATAAATATGTTTTTAAGAACTATCATAACTTCTACTACTTTATATGTATTTAACATACCTGATCCCAAACACGACATAGACAACTGATAATCTCTTCGAAGCTCTGAACTTTGGTAGTGAGTGATTTTATCTTGTATTCTTTATCATTTATCTCTTGTTTTTGCTCTTCAACACGTATCTTCATTGCTCTATTCTGAAAGATCAATACATTTTGATCCTATCAATATTGTTATTGTCGTTTGTTATGATGATGATGATAATGATGATGATCGAAAATGTGATTAATTAACAAAAAGTTAGTAAACAGTCAGCTCAAGTATTCATGAATAATCTTAATTCGCGCATGCGATTAATTACCTTTATATCACCACCGATCAAACCGGAACTACTTGCACTCATGTTGGTACTGACTGCGAGCGGTGTGTTACCACCACTGCTGTTTGCGACGGCGTTGTTGTTGGAACTGCTCTCTGATAGTGCAGCTCTCTTGTTCGGTCTACCACCGCCACTACTCTCCTCTAGAGACGATGATTCTCGACGCTTCTTATCATCGCTAGTTTGATCCATTAATAACTAACTAAACTATGTCTATGAGTTCTTCTATCTATCTTTGTGTGTATGTGTTAGAACTTTAGTTGTTTTTATTGGTTTTTTTACTTTTTCTATTTGTTTTTTTTTTATAATTATTTCACACTAACAAAATGAATGAATGAATGAATGAATGACTAACAAAACTAATATATATTGTATTTGATTACTACTCTACTTCTTCTAACTACTACTAATACTAAATGTTAGAAAAACAAAGATACATAATCAAAACTATTGACAATTAAACAACTAATGAAATGAATGAGCGGATGAATGCTAATTGATTATAAATAAAAAAAGGTTGTGTTGTTGTTACTACTACTAATGTTTGATATTGATATTGTTGTTTTTATGACTATGATGATGATGAATAAACACAACTTTAGCAACCAACTTTAAAGTTAACTCAGTCTTTTGAAATGAGACCAATTTGACTTTGCTAATTAGGTGGTGTAGTCTCTAACAAGTCGTTTTAAAAATTTTTCAAATTTTCAAATTTTTTGTTTTATCAAAGCAGTCACACTTTCAAAAAAAAAAAAAATTCAAAATTAAAAAAATAAACGTTACACTTTTTTTTTTTAACTTGTAACATTTCGAAAGCTCACTTTCAAAAAAAAAATTAAATAAATAGAGAATTAATAATAATAATAGAAACTGTTTAATTGTAGAAAAACTATTTTTTATTATCCATTCGCCATTTGTACTGATATTATTATTATTTATTTTAATAATAGAGTAAAGACTGTTGTTGTTGTTGTTGTTGCTACTGCTGCTACTACGATTATTATTATGAGTATATTGCATCGTCTATTTGAAGGCTGAGATTTTTTGTTTTTTTTTTGTTTTTTTTGTTTTTCGTTATTAAGATGAGTGAAGTGATGTGTTTTGGTGAAGTTATTTGAATATATATATACAATTCTATATTGTTATTGTTTTTATAATATTATTTATGATATTATATTGATTTATATTTTGATTGGTTTGTTGGAATATTTTGATTTAATGGTTGTTGGTCTAGTAGGGTAGGTCACACTATTAAATTTGAGCAATTGATTGGATGATTGATTGATTGAATGAATAAAAGGAAAAAGGTTTGGTTGTTGATTCGATATGAGTTGGTATGGGAGAGTTGTTGGATGTTAAGAGGTTCTTTATGTTTGTTTAGAAACCGTGGATCTTAACATTGTTCTTTGGAACGATTTTCTCATCAATCAAGAATTGAGCTGCTTCTTTTCTGTGGTCACCTTGGAGTTGAATAACATTACCAATGAGTTCGTTTTCATTGAGAATACTACCGTTGCAACAGTATGTCTTTTTGAAATATTTCAAAATCTTCTTGAAATCAATGTTCTTTGGAAGATTTTCGATAGTAGTCAAAGCCTTACGACCGCTTCTTTGGAAAATACGTATGTGAATATATTGTACACTTGAATCTCCTCCTAAACCGGAATCTTCAGCAAAGGGATCTGTTTGTTTACAAATTAAATAAATTAGATATATTAATAAATGACGACAACTTTATCAACTATAAATATTATACTATTGAATAATACATACCAGCAGAGCTAAGATTTTGAATTGAGCTCATACGTAAACGATTAGTAATTATAAACAACGGGTGGGTTGTGAGGTATAGAAAGCTTGGAAAGAAAAAAACCTTTGTTTGTTGTTGAAAAATAAATAAACTATAAATTTAATTAAATAATGAAGATCTTATTGTTAGTAAATGAAATACTAGTATTTTTTTTTTGATTGAATATCTAATATAAATAAATAGACAACTAACACTAAAGAATGATTAATGATTGATTATTGACAATAATAACACTTTATATTTTTCATTCTTTTTTTTTTCCTTTTAACAAATTAGTTGTTTTTATCAAGTAGTAAAGTGAGAAATCTAAAAGATATCATATCTATGTGTTTGATTTGAAACCAGAAAGTTCATGACTTCACCACAAAAGATAAGGAATCTAATACTAATTCACATATTGAATTGTCTCTTGCTTTAACAAACACTTTTACTAGCTATCTAAAACAACATATTATTTTTTTATTATTTTAACTAAATAACTAACTAATTACTTTATGATTATTATTATTGTTGTCGTTGTTGTTACTATTGTTATTATTTTAGGTGAGATGAGCTGTTTCTATTTATATTGTCTATTTATTTTTATTTTATTTTTAATGGAGTCACTTTACCTTTGTTTGAAAAATGAAAAAAATAAAATAAAATTAACTCATTTTAATACCTGTTTGAAAAATTGAAAAATGGAAAAAAAAAAACCAAATAAAATTAAATAAAATGAAAACTTCTCAACCTCCACCAATATTGAAAAACGTTACCCTAAATTTATCAATCTGTTTCATTTCAGTTCATCTTAAAAGTTTTGATTGGCAAAATTAAAAGATTAAAAGATTCACAGATAATTAAGACAGAGAGGAACACAACCTGTTTAAACTAGTTTATTTAAATTTTAATCAATATAAATGGAATCAATAACAAATATAAGTTATTCAATAACTTTTTTTTTTTTTTTTTTTTCTTTTAATAATAATACTAAACAAATACAAAATAAACTTAAAAAATTAACTTTTCTAATTCCTTTTAAAATAATTAAAAGAACTTAATTATATTATTAATATAAATTCAATTTTACTATTTTAAGAAATTCTAAAAAAAAAAAAAACAAATTTGTAGATCTATACTTTTGATATTATATTTAGAGTTTTCAAAAAAAATGAATCTAAAAGAACAGTTATGGAAACGATACATTTCAAGAGTTAATGGTATAAATTGAATCAAGTTAAAACTAAATCATTGCTATATATCAATATTTTAACAAATAATTAACTAAATTATGAGAAACGCAACAAGAAATATGGTTTTTAAAACCAAAAAGACAATGCACAAAATCCATGTAAAGATAATGGGAACAAGGATTTATAAAAGAATAAAGTTTGGAAAAGAATAAGCCAACCAATATTAATATTAGGTAGGTAATATTGTTATGTTTTTGTTTGATTTTAAAACCTTTTATTAATAAACTTTTTATCTAAAATCTAACCATGGTTTTTAGAACTTTAAATATGTACATACTTTATTAAATCTTTCTAAAACAATATTTATTTAAATAAATCTAAATTATCTGTAATTCTTTTTGTTATTATTAAAATTAGAATAGACAAAAGGTTAACAAAAAAAAAAAAGTAATTTATTATTATTATTAAAATTTTAATAATAAGAGATATTAATGTAATGCATTGTTGTTTTGTTACAAAAGATATTTAAATATCTTTTTTTTTTAATAGTTAATTAAAGAGTTCATTCGATTGGTTGGTATTCTAGATTATTGTTGTTGTAGTTGTTGTTGGAATACATTCGAATTGTTGTTGTATCTGGTACATATTATTATATATTTAAATAAATAATTTGAATCAAAACTATGTGTATGGTTGGTGACTTATTAAGTTGTTATTGTTGTTGTTATTATTATTATTATTATTATTATTATTAATTTATGGAGTTATTGATAAGAACTTTTCTTTTGTTGCCCAATAGCGATCGAAACGTGCTTTACCATACTCGAGATAGTCGAAATCGATCTCTGAGTTCATAGCCTGTACGATCGACCAGAATCCCCAGAACAAATGAGAGGAAAGTGAAAATTGGTTGGATTCTACAAAGAGTTGGTGAACTTGATCGTCGGATGGCTTCTCGCCTTTGTTGAGCACAGTCAGATACTCCTGGATGAAGATGTTCTGTTGTTCCTCGGTGGGATAAAGCGAGTAGTCCGGACCGAAACCGGCATACTCATTAAAGTGGTTGCCAAGCTCGAAGCCTCTAAAGTTGTAGTTTGCATATTCGAAATCGATGAACGATGCTTTCTCTTCGCCATCGACAATGATGTTACGCGAGAGTAGATCGTTGTGACAAAAGACGATCGGTGAGTTCAGCTTGGCCAGTGTTTCCTCCAGCTGCTTAAACTCTTGTTTCATCTCTGGCACTCTCAGTGTCTTGTAATAGTCTTGACGTTTGGCATCTGGATATACTTCCGGTGCCAACGCTGCCCACTTCTTGATGGTGCTCCACACCGATGGTTGCTTACGAGTTGGCATCTCCAATGAATGCCATTCTCCGACTTCTCTTGCAATTAATCTTTGTAATTTCGGTTCACTTAGATCTACAAAAGAAAGATTAGATTATAACAAAGTTAACTTCAATTCATCACTCTCAGAGTGTTGTTGATTAACATATATTAAGTCTTACCTTGATGTTCCAATGGTCTGCCTGGAATGAAACCATAAATACAGCCATTATCGAATAGCCCATAGAATTTGGCACCCAAACCATTCAAATCTGCTTCGGTCTGTACAACCAATTCATTCTTTCTGTCAATGATATCCTCTGATTTATATCCATAAAGTCTAATTACAACTGGCAAATCCTTTGCCTTTGGTTCAATCGATTTATCTTCAACTAAATATACTGTGTATAGTAGTAGTAGTAGTAGTAGTTTATTGATTAATATGACTATATACCTAGGAAATAAATAAAAAAAGATTCAAATATTGGTAATTCACTTACAAATATTGGTAATTCCACCATTTAATCTTGTGATTGATAGTTGATCGTCTGAAGAATCATGATATTCAGGTACGAAATGACGAGCAATATCTCTCAATCCTTGATCTATATTATCCTTTTGTACAGTGTAATGGAATACATCATAGGTTGTCTTTGTCTTGATCATTTTTGTTTTTATTTTATAAATGAATGTCTTAAATTGATTATATTAAAAAAAAAAGGTATTAGCAAACACTATTTTTTTTTAGTTTTTATTATTTAATAAGTAAACAAAACAAATAATAAATATATATTACTTTTACAGAAATAATATTATTTGTAATATTTTTTGTAGTTATTTTATATATTTATGCAAACACAAATTATGAATTAGTTTGTTTTTATTTCGGGTGGTGTTATATGTGTATGTGGGGGTAACTTGTCAAATCTATTATCAAAACAAAAATAAAATAAAAAGAAATAAATAAATAATTATATTACAGTTGATATATTATATATATTTATTGATGGCTTTTTGTTATAAGGAAAATAATATCTAACTTTTCCTTTGGTTAATCAGGAGTTTTATTGTTTTAATATTTTTAGAAATCGATTGAAATGGAAAATGGATAAATATTAAAACACAGTGTATGAAAAATAATAATTTAAAGATAGTTTTTTCTTTTTGTTTTATGAATGTATTTCCATTTCTATTCTATTCTTTCTTTTTCTATTTCTTTCTTTCTTTCTTTCTTTATTTTTAAAGATATAATATATTATGTAGTTGGTAGTAGTGATTGACAACGGTTGCTACTGTTTTTGTTATTTTAATTTTTGATGTGTCGACGTATATATAGTGTGTATTTGGGAAATATATAATGTTTATGTGGGTGTGTTGTGTGTGGGAATATTATTATTAATAATATTGTTATTGTTGTTTATCACTTTGCGCTTGCTGCTGTTTTACTTTTTCTTTACTCTTTTCTTTACCTTTGTTTATTTAATTTAATTTATTATTTAATTTAAAAAAATTAATGTATTTATATAGTATTATTTGTAACTAACTTTTGTAATATTATAAAAAAATAATAATAATAATAGTAATTGTTATATTATATCTCTTTGTTATTGTTTTGGATGTTTTTTTTTAAAATTTTTATTTTTAAATAATATTATTCAAAAAAATTGCAAAAAAAGTTTCGTTTGAAAGTTTTTTCAGGCAGCAACTTCTTTGTTTGGGGTTTTGAACTGAAAAAAAAAAATCTAATTTCAACCACACCACAATTGTGAGTGGGGCATTTGGAATTTCTATTTTCCCAGTCTGACAAGCAGTTTTTCAAAATATGTAATTAGTTTTATTTTTCTCATTTGCATAGGTGTTTAAGGTGAAACCCCTTTCTTTTCATTAAAAATCGATTTTTCTTTCAATATTTGCAAGAGGCAAGGGTTTTGCACTGGTCTTACCAGTAATGGTGATATGTGATGATTAAATATAAATAAATATATCTTAAAAATTCACAAAATCTAAATTATTGATTTATTGATTTTTATTAATAATAAATTGAAAAAGTCATTTTAAAAATCAAATTAAATTAGAGTAATCATGCAATAAATCAAAAATAAAAAAACATTAATTGTTTTCGGATTTAGATAAATTAGATAGATTGATTGATTTTACAAATTTACAACGAAATTTCCTTCAACATTTAATTAAGATTTTTATTTATTTATTTTCTTCTATTAATTCTAATTGTATTTTTAGAATGACAACAAACAACATTTTTTAAGTTAATTATTTTAGAAACTGTGTAGACAAGATTTTCTTCAATGCTTTTATAAATTTGTGATTCTATTACAACTTTCTCACCTTTCTCAATTTGGCATGGAAAACTCAAAGACATGATAATACAAAATCCAGGAATATAGTTATCAATATAATATTATCATTAAGTGTTACTCCTACTACACTACAGATATCTAGAAAAATTTAATTAAAGAGGATTATTATTATTTTTTTTTAAAATAAATACCAATTAAAGTTGTAACCATGCCAGCACTTAACTGATAGAAATTATTGCAAAAGGAATCAGGAATTATCACTATGATTCTAAAAATAAGATTTTCGAAATCCAAATCATATTTTTCCTTAAAAGATAGAATATGTAAATCGAAACTTGGAAGAGAACTCCATTCTTCTACATTCTCATAGATTGTTTTTATTTTCTTAATTTAATAAATTTTTTTTTTTTTTAAAGTTATTTATATTCTATCTTTTAAGGAAAAAAAAAGTATTGTTATTCAAATAAAATTTATTTTTGTTTTCTTTCTCTGTTGTTGTTTCAATTTATTATTTAGTTAATTTGTCACAACCTGTTTCAATAGTATTTTTTTGAAAAAAAGTCTATGGCCGAGATGATCTGGAAAACAATAAAAATATTAAAAAAGAATAATTATAACTTTAATTATTTTGTTTAAAAAAAATCTCTAAAAAAGATGTAATTAATAAATAAATAATGTTGTTTTTTTTTCTTTGGTTTATTATAAAATATAAAATAAGATAGAAATACACTCTCTTTTTGTTTTCATATGATTACTACTCTTTTCTATTTTCCCAGATAGAGGTTAGTTGTTTGACAGAGTCATGGTTGCGTGTTACTACACCATCGCTCATGAGCAGTGCACTCTGACCATGCAGATGAGAAAGTGTCGATGGAAGATAGTGATTATTTGATAAAGATTGTTTAGATGTTGTTGTTGTTGTCGATGATGATGATGACATTACAGTTGGTTTAATTGTTGTTTTCAATGAGGATGACGATGAAGATGATGTTGTTGTTGTTGTTTTATGATGATGTGATGTGAATTGTGGAAGTGATGGTGATGTTACAGATCTCGATGATATATTCAAGGTCGGTCGCTTAAGGTAGGTAGGTGATTTCGATCTTGGTTCACCACCACCACCACCTGTATAGCTAGTCAAGTTCTTTGATGATGTCGATATTGGTGTATTACTCTGTGGCATTGAGAAGTTCTTTGTATTATGATAGGTAACCTTGCTTTTACTACTATTATGATTGCTGTTACCACTTCCACTCCCACTTCCACTGTTGATAGTACCAGTTCCGTGTTTACTCTTTATTGAATTCAATGTTGATCTTACACTTGGATTACTACTGTTATCAACGATATTAACAGGTTTTTCTTTCTTTTGTTGTAGTTGTTGTTGACTAATATTACATAATGATTCTGTTGTTGATGTTGTTGTTACAGTATCTTGTTGTTGTTGTTGTTGTTCTTCAATCTTTGTATTTAAATCTAAAATAACTTTAAGTTCTTCTTCTTCAGCTTCTTCAATGGTGATCAACTCGGTTGTACCTTCTTTTGAGATCGATAGTGTTACATCTGCTTGTTCTGCTACTGTCTCTAAGAGTAGTTGTTCATGTTCTTGTTTCTGTTGATCTTTCAATGCTTTAAATATGCTAAGTATCGAAGGAACATCAGATTGCTTATAGATATCACTAGCATTATCATTCGATAGACATCTCTGATTTCTAGTTAGATTGTTATTGTTATTATTATCACTATTATTATCATTGTTGTTATTTGTTGTCACACTATTATCATTATCATTATCACTATCATCGGTTGAGTAATCTTCATCTACATCGCTACCAGTATGTCTAGAATGCCAAGAGATAGGTCTACTCTCCAACGATATCGATTTACTATTCTTTCTTGGGGCGACACCTTCTGACCTTGGTTTTTGCTGCTCGAACAACACCGACAATCTCACCATTCTCGTATTCGATCTTCTTCTTCTTCTACTGGCAGTTCCACTTATTGACTTTACCAGTGGAATACCAACACTACCAGAAGTACTACTACTTGTACCAATAGTTTGTTGTTGTTGTTGTCGTTCATTGATGTTCTCTTCAGTTTCATCAACATTCTCAACAACAACAGCATCAGTAGTAGTTGTATTAGTAGCAGCGGCAGCAGCAGGTACATCTACACCAAATATAATCTCATAGTCATCGATTAACTTGGTTACGACATCGATACATGAACAATCGAAAGAATGTATTAGCGATGGTGCAAAGCATACTGCGAGATTGTAGGAACCCATCTTATTGAACTCCTCATTCAGCGACACAGCATGTAGCAACTCGAATAGATATCTTAATATCAGATATTGTCCTTTACTAAGTTCTATCTTTAACAAATCCTTTAGTTGTCCACTTATCTCTTGTTGATTATCTAGATTTGATTCTAATTAGTTTTAAACTAATATGTTAGTTTCTGTCTGTTCGACAACAACAATGAAATCAAAGTGCAAATAATATAATAAGTAATCTTACCATATAACTCAGATATATGTTTATGTAGATTATATGGGAAGATAGGTGATGATCTCTCCCTTAGATACTGTTTTAGCAATCCACCGACGTTGTGTGGTTCTTTGTAGTCTGAAAGATCAACTTCATCGGTCGATGCCATCGCATGTTTCAAACGCTGTAACTCCATTGTATTGGCAGACTCTCTAAACAAACCTGGTACTTTCAATGCCTTCTCAAAGAGATATTCAATCGATAGTTTAATTGTTTTTGGAATATCCGTATAATCTTCAGTTGACTATATATATATATATATATTATAATTAATAACAATTTAATTAATTAAGTAAGTAATATAATAAAAAAATGTTAAAACTTAACTTACGGATTCAATTGTTTCAATGAATCTTGATTTTCTTTGTGAACCATATAGATTATTATTATTATTGTTGTTATTATTATTGTTGTTATTGTTTAATAGGTTATTCAAGTTTGATGAACTTGTTGATGATGATGTTTGTGTACCTAGGAGTGTTGGTTGTGTTATTTCGTTGAATGGTATCTTTTGTAGTTGTGTTGTGTATTGTTGGGTGAGTCCCGATTTCAGAGACATCTCTGCAATCTCTTTCTTTAGTTTATTGTTTACTTTTACACGACGGATGGCAGCTGCGAATCTCGATGGTTTCTTGTTGTTCTTAGAGTTACCACCGTTCTGCTGTTGTAAGTTGTTGTTGTTTGGTGATGAATCAGCACTCTTTGACAATGGAATATCTGCACCGTCCGACTCATCGTTGGATCTCGGTGAATTCGGTGGTGATCTCGCCGGCGAACCAGAGTAATCACTTCCATAGCTATTATTTAAACTTGGTGATGATGATATTAATTCCTTTCTATTATTAAAACTGTTATTAATATTATTACTATTGTTATTGTTATTTCCTGAAATATTATTATTTTCTTCTTTTGATTTTGGTGAGTTTTGTTGCTGCTGTTGTTGCTGATATAGTAATTTTAAATTGGGGGTACTATTTGAGTGAAGATGAAAAATATTGAATTTCTTTTTCGATTGTGCGCGCTGATATTGTGGTGGTGTTGTATTTCCATTTTCATTTCCATTTCCACTAACACCACTTCCGGATCCAGTGGAAGAAGATAAATTATCAATCATCTCTTAAAATTAATTATTGTTACAATTTCAATTCAATTCCAGTTCCAAGTATGACACTCTGACTAACTAAATAATAAATAAATAGATATAAAGTAAATATTACAAGATCTTGTTTGATTTTAAAGTCTACATTGAAATAAAAGGAAAAAAAAAGATTAAAGAGGAGAAAGAGACAGATGATTAGATATTTCAATTCCTTGTATGTATGTTTGTTTAGTAATATGTATTTGAAGATTGATTTAATTAAAGTTTAAGTTTAAAACAATTGATTTGATTTGATTTTCATTTGTTTTGATTGGAGAGAGTGAAATCAGAAGGGGTAATTTGTGGGTTGCGCGAAATTTATTGATTTGTGAAGGTGGTACTCCTTTACTGGTGCTCTCTATTCATGATGAGGCTTTGTGGGTCTTGTGTGAAAAGAGGGTCCACAACACACAATCAATAAAAAAAAAAATTCAAACTTGTGGAAATTTTATTAAAAATGGAAAAGATTGGGTTCTTCATAAATAAAAAGTTTGTTTTTTTTGACTGTGATTTTCAAATAATCTTAGTTTTTGCAGGTCAAGCAAATTGAAATCTGTTCCATCTATGTCGTGTCTCAAGACAAGAATAATTTCATTGAAACAATTTAATTGATTGAAATGTCTTTTGAAAAATTAAAAAAATAAGAAAATAAAACAGTAAAAACTAAACTATTTATAATATATTACATATGATTTTAAAAACTTACAAATTAATTGTTTATATGTATATTTTTTAGTTGTTGTTAATGACAATTAAACAAATGTTACCTATTCTACTAGAAATCTTTCTTTTTAATAATTTGCTTTTAAATATTAAAAAATACCAATAACAATTCAAAAACAAATAAATGATAAAATAGTTCTATTGTTCCTGTTGTTGATTTTTCATATGAATCGAATCGAATGAATAAGAATTCTTAAAGTGTAAACCAGTTTACTGCTGATTCGAATTGATTTGATTTGATTTGGTTTGATTGATTTATAAATAAATGTATCAATAATTTTAATTTACACAAATTTAAATAACTATTGAAAAATATATATTTTTTATATATTTTAAAAATTATTGATTGATAGTTTGATATTAATATCATGGAAGTATTTGTTTACTATTATAGTATATATTAAAAAAATATTATAACACACAAACAAACAAACACACAATACAAAAAAGCTACAAACCCCCTCTTCAGTCAAACCAAATCAAAACCAAAAAAAAAAATAATAACAACAAAATCAATCATACAGTCTATTTATCGAATCAATCAAAAAAAAAAAAATGAATAACACATCCATCTTCTATATATCTCTCTCTTTTACCCATTGATTGTATACAATATAATTGGTAGAAAAAAAAAAAAAACATTCCACAATCAATCACATGATTGATATGAATGTACAACATTTTTGTATATAATATAGATATTAGATTAGGTCAGGTTGTTTTGTCCTCATACATTAATCCATCAATCAAACACAAACACAAACAATAAAAACAATCATATCATTAAAAAAGAAGAGTTTGTGGAAATTGTGGTTAATTTAACATGCTGTCAAAGAAATCAACAATAAACAGAGAGACACCACAACACGACAATAATAATAACAATAATAGTCTACACTTTTGATTTATCGAAAATAATGTTTTATTAGCAATAATCAACGTCAATTTACAAAGAATAGTACAAAAACTGTCAATGACATTAGTTAGTTAGTTCAATAAGTATTGTCGTTGTCGCTGTAGTTGTTGTTGTTGTTGTTGTTGTTGTTGTTGTTGTTGTTTGTTTAATTATTTTTTTTGTCAATGATAAAGTTATAATAAATAGATAGGGTTGTTGAGGTGTTGTCAACTGATGTGTTATTTAAAATTTTAATCAAAATCGAATCAAACTAAAATGTATATTTAATAATAATTAACAAAGTTCGTTAAAAGAGAAATTAAATAAAAGTAAAAAGTAACTTTACTTTTACACTCATTCACTTCACAATTATATCAGTATTGATTGATCTTATAGCTATTTTTAGAACAATACATTTATTGATTGCCGACCTGTTGTTGGTTATATATATATACTTATATTATAACCAAAAATAACTATTCATTATATCACAACAACAACAGTGATGATGATGATATTCTCATTTCGAAAATAAATAAATAATGACTGTTGCCATAGTCATGTTTATATTTATTTATATACGTCTATATTTTAAAAATAGGAGGTAATAACATATTTGATGATCGGTTTGTGATTTTAGTTACTTTGTAAAATGAAATATAAAGAAGAAAGGGATTGTTAAGTTAACATATACATATGTATATTGTTATATATTATTATTATCTACAATGATGATCTTATCGGATCAAGATGTTTTATGAGTGGTTGGGAAAATAGGCATGAGTGCAGTATCTCGAGGTGGTGGATTCTCTTTGAAATAGGGGTGTTCCAATGCTTCCGCTGCTGTTATTCTCTTCTCTGGATCATACGTCAACAGTCTCGACAATAGATCATAGGTCTGGTCGGTTATATGTGGGAATTTATTCTTCAAATTATTATAACTAAATAAATATGATATAAATCAATGTTAACATTGAGTTTGTTGAGTTAATAAAGTAAATATTAAAGTTGATTGGTTCTTCTTTAGAAAAACTTACGGTTGTGGTATTAAGTTTAGATTCTTAACCAATGGAAGTTTGTTGAATCCGTCCCAGATTTGTTCGTTGGGTGTGCCGAGAAGCTTGAAGATGCGGTCGAGTTGGTCGATTTCCGATGTGCCTGGCAGGAGTACTTCACGTGAGATAATCTCGGCAAAGATGCAGCCGACCGACCAAATATCGATGGGCGTCGAGTAGATCTGGGTTCCGAGGAGTAGCTCTGGCGCGCGGTACCACAGCGTGACGACACCCTCGGAGAGCGGGCGCAGCGGACTGCCGTACTCACGCGCCAAACCGAGATCGGCGATTTTCAACTCACCGCAGTTCGTGTACAACAGGTTCGCTGTCTTTAGATCACGGTGAACCACCCAACTCTGATGGAGAAACTTGACACCGGACAACAGCTGGTAGATCAGTGTTTTGATCTCCGATTGCATCAGTGGTTTCTTGATGGCTTCGAGTAGACCGCGCAAATCGTGATCGATATACTCCATCACCATGAAAATACTCTTCTCCGAGGTGACGATCTCCTTTACATTGACGAGATGCGGGTGCTTCAGCTCCATCAACACACGTATCTCACGCACTGAAGTCAGTGGGAATCCTTCTTTTTCGTGTTCTGTCTTTATCTTTTTCAGTGCCACAATTTCATTGGTTTCTTTATCCATTGCTTTATCTAATTATATATATATAGATGTTATAGATCGTTAGATAGTTAGATAGATAGAAAGATACAAAAACAAAGATCTTTGTCAACACAATGATGATGATCCTGTGTTATTAACAATAAACTTTCTCATTACTTACAAACAACACCAAATGCACCTTCATTGATTGTATTTAACTTTTTATAACAATCAACGCTTCTACATGGTGAAAACGGTTTAAATTCTCTTTTTAAAACTACATTGTTGTTCTCTCTTTTATTATTATTATCGATAATCGACATTTGTTTTATTTTAGAAATCTATGTTTCAAGATTTTGTTTCAAAATGCATTCTAAAAAAAAATATTTTAATGAAGCATGAACATGTTTAAAAAAAAGATTTAAAATTTTTTGGTATCTCATTAGTTTTAACAAATAATTGTATGATAGTTATTCCTCAATTACAATTTATATTAATCTTCTAAATTGATAAATCACGAATCGAAATTTTTTTTTGGTATAAACTAAAAAGTCTATACCAAAGAATAGGTTATATCATTTGTTTTTTTCTGTTCAAATTTGAAAACCTTATTATATGTCAAAAAGATAATATTTACATAAATATGATATCTTGAAGTATTATTTTTTTTCCAATTTAAAGATTTTATGAAACTTATATGTTTATTTCATGGTTTTACAAGAGACTTTTTCTTGATCCTTTGGGATTCTGCAGAACTGTTTGTTTTATCTTTAAGAATTGAAAGTATTAAGATTAATTTAAACCACCTATTCAATCAATATCATTTTTAAATTATTAGGTTAAACAGAATCTTTATACAGTATAAGAAAAATAAGCGAATACTTTCAAAAAATAATTAATAAATATTTCAGATTTGATTAATATATAGTTAAAAGGGAGCATTGTTTCAGTTTTTCGTACCCTGGTTGTCCAAAGTGCCAAATTAAAAAAAAAAGGGCCTATCTCATTACAATTTAGATTTTTTGTTGCCGTCATCTGAAAAAAAAACTCCAAATACGGAAATGTAAAAAAACAACAACTCAAATGATTCGGTTGATGAGGGAAACAATTCTGAATACTAAATTGTAATACTTAAAACGATATTCATTTTAATTCATCAATATTTTTTATTAGTTTTACTTTATTTTTTTTTTTATCTTTTCTTTTCTTTATATATCTCTATAATTATAACTATTTATTAATTTATTACTATTTTTAAAAAGAAATAAAATAAAGAAAAAAAATATAAAAAAAATGAATATTAAATTAAATAGAAAAAAGAAAATATATTTAATAACTTTTTTTATTATATGTGCCATCGTTCTTATTGTAACACCATCGGCCTATTATGGTGTGAGAAATAAGAGGGATTCCCACGATCGATCTAATCAACCGGAAGATATAACTCCAAATACAACAGATACACCATCGCCATCACCATCACCATCACCATCACCATCGCCAACACCAAAACCATATCCAGCACGACCAATGATTGTTCCTTGGCCAGATTATATCACTTACCAAATGAATAGCTTGGTGATTTCCAACCAATTCCAGCTGCGTATTGTCAACTCGAAATCCGACATTTTGGCACAAGCTGTTCAGAGATATCAAGAACTGTTGCCACTCGACTATGTTGCCTGGACAATCAACCCAGAGTTACCGCTGTTAAATGCTTGTACAGTCAGTGTTGGATCCGACAATGAAAATCTTTTTCTCGGTGTCGACGAATCGTATCATTTGGAAATCACTGTCGATCAAGTATGCAGCCTCTATTCCCCAACTGTTTTCGGTGCACTCCGTGGTCTTGAAACCATTTCACAGCTGTTCGTTCTGAATGGAACAACCGGTAGTTTGGTTTTCAACTACTATCCAGTGTTGATCAAAGACAAACCTCGATTCCCACATCGTGGAGTGATGTTGGATACCTCCCGTCACTTCTATCCGGTTCCAACTATCAAGCAATTCATTGACACCCTGTCCTACGCCAAAATGAATGTTTTCCATTGGCATTTGGTTGATGCCAACTCCTTCCCGATGGAGAGTAAAGTCTATCCAAATATGACAATGGGTGCATTCAATGGCTTTGAAATCTACCGTCAATCTGAGATCCTAGATGTCATTGAATACGCCAAGTATCGTGGAATCCGTGTGATGCCAGAGATAGATGTACCGGGTCATGCAACTTCCTGGGGATTCGCTTTTCCTGAGGTGCTTCCGGATGACTTTAAATCGATGGACAACTGTCATTCCGATAGATACACATGGGACAATGTTCCACTGGATCCAACCAAGCCAAAATCACTGGAAGTCGCCACTGCACTCATTAAAGAAACAATGAATTTATTTAATGATGAATTCATTCATATCGGTGGTGATGAAGTCGATAGAAATTGCTGGCAGAGCAAACAAATCCAACAATGGATGAATGACAATGGATTCAAAGGATTCGACGATTTGGAGCGTTGGTTCGACAGCAAGATTCAAAACACAGTGATCGACAACAAGAAAAGTCCAGTCGTCTGGGAAGATTCTTTCTTTTTATTCGGTAAACATTTAGGTAACAATTCAGTGGTGGATGTTAAGTTACCCAAAGAAACAATTATCCATCTCTATCACAACTTGTCGTTGTCCTCCGATATTGTATCGCAAGGCTATCGTGTCATCGTATCGAATGCATGGTCATGGTACTTGGATCTCAGACAGCCATGGCAAGTCTATTACGCCAATGAGATATCTCAGTGGATCGACAATGACGATGCCAAACAAGTGTCGTTGCTACTCGGTGGTGAGACATGCCTGTGGAGTGAGAACGCCGACGTCACCACCCTCTACAAGAAAGTCTGGCCAAAGAGCGGAGCGGCAGCCGAGCGACTCTGGTCCAAGGCGTCACTCAACGACACCGAAGAATTCGAACCACGACTAAAGTCATTCAATTGTCATCTCTACTACCGTGGTTTCGGTGTAACTCAAACCGATATCTTACCAGGATCTTGTTTCGAGTCCAATTTCGTAAACACCTACCAAATGGCTCATCAATAATCAAATCAATGTACTACTACAACTATAATATTAATAATAGATATAAAAACATATATATATCTCATCCACACAAGTATAATTTAATTTTATACAAAGAATGAACAAACCTTAAAAATAAATCTATTTATTTATATATTTTCCTATTCCTAATATGTAATACGTGAATTCTAGAAAGAAATCAAAAGATCTTTTAACAAAAAAAAAAAATAATATCTAAAAAACTTCTAATAAGATAAACCATGAATGAATGATGTTTTTTTTTAAAGATGATTAAAATAGTGATTGATCAATGATGACACCACCTTTTTACACATTGTTTCGACTACATTTTTTTACCAGAGAGAATTTTTGGACACCCTTTTTTTTTAAGATGTTTTTCTAAAATGGTGTTTATATGTTATCATTGGGTTAAACACCACTTGAACATCTTATTGATTTGTTTTTATTTTAATTTTTTTTATGAATTAATTGAAAAAAACAAATGAAATTTAATTAATCACATGTTCAAATTTTTCAATTTTTACAAAAATCAAACATATATTATTGATTAAACTAACATATACAAATACATACATATACATACATATAAATACTACTTATACTTATATAATTATTTTTTTTATTATTTTTTACAAAAAGTAACAAATATTAATTTAATTACTAATATAATAGTTCTTTAATTCTTCAAAAAAATTTAATTTTTTTTGTTTTTAAAACAAAAAAGAAAGATAAAGAATAAAACAAAAATAGAAAAAGAAATAAAATAAAAATTATTTAATTACATTTACAAAAAACAAACAAAAAAACAAAAAACAAAACAAAAACAAAAACAAATATTATTTTAATTAATATTAATTTTTTTTTTAATCATATAATCAATTTATCAATTTATCGATTATTACCACTTTTATATATTTATTATATATTTTATAGTCTAAGCAATATAGACTAACAAGTCATAAATAAACAAAAAGTTAATGGTAACCTTTTATTATCCATTGATTCTTCACAGTCGATTATTTACTACATACAACATCGCTTTTCGTAAGCTTCAAATTAATCTTAGATTATAAACAATCATCATAATCATTTTCACGAAATAAAACAAACATCATCATACACTCCAACCTAATAATCAATCATAACAATAAATACACACATATATATATATATAGATACTTTAATTACAAAATTTAGTTTAAAATATATCATAATTAATAGAGTAGTAATTTTAAAAGTATAATAAATCAATCAAATTAAATGGCTTCTTCTCCAAAGTATGTAACATAACTCTAACTAAAACTTATTAAAAATCAAAAAAATTGTTAACATTCATTTTGTTTAATTAAATAATTAATTTATGTTTTTTTTTTTCTTTACAGTGATGATGTCATTATAATTGAACAAGATATAAATGAATATGTGTTTATAGATCTTTGGGAATCGTATGATTCCAGTTTAATGGAGAAGTTCTGGCGTGAATTAGTTGTCAGTACTTTTCATACATCGGACATACAGCCATTGAATGAGTGGACAAAGGCGCTATCAAGCGAAGCCCACGACAATGACGATATTCCTGATCTACATGTGCTGTTGGCGTTCAACGCAGGCGACATCACTAGTTTCTCACCGAAAGAAGGTGATCAAAATGAAATACCCTACAAACACTCACAAATCACCGCTGCAGTCATCTTTGAATACTATTCAAATATAAACTGTGGACTATTCTTACATATGATAATTCATAAGAAATATAGAAATATGGTAAAGTAACACATAGCTGTGATGATGATAGAGTAGTGATATGATAAGTTAGCTAACTAACTAACTTGGTTTGTAATCTTCATTCTCAGGGACTAGATAGAATGTTGGTAAAGAAAGCAATTGAGATTCTCGATAAGAACGCTCATTCTCATGGACATTTGGCGGGATGTAATGCAATCTTTTTCGAGACGAAATCGGCATCCAACAACAATACTCCGCAGGAACAAGTGGATCCGAGACAACAGCATTCGATCTTGTTCAACATTGGCTTTAGAATGGTGGATTTCGATTATACAAAGCTGCCGCTGAAACGACTGGGAAAGTCGAATAACTTGTTGTTGACGGTGTACCTGAGTGCGCACATTCCTTCGATTCCAACGTTGGACGGCGACAAGTTCTACCTGCCAAGCGTGCTGCTAAAGAATTTCATTTACGATCTCTGGGAGACGTCGTATCTCACCGAGAAGTTGGATACTAAGCCCGACGAAGATCCAGAGTACAGTCGGGTGTTGGAGCAGATCGAGTTGCGTGAGAAGATTCCACTGCTCGATTTGCCTTGGGGTGCGGGTAAGCCGTGGACACTGGTCGATCTCTGGGAGGACTACGACGAGGAGCTACTGGAGCGTTGCTATCGTGAGTTGATGGTGCCCAGCGTCAAACACAGCGAGGTTTCCTCGCTCGCCAATGTGTTGCGTGCAATGTCGCCAGAGGGTAACGACTCTGACTTCTTGCCGGACGTCCACGTTCTCATAGCGGTGCGTTGGCCACAAGAGTCAAAGACGCAACCAATGCATCCTATTATCGATGGACTCTGTGTGTTTGAGTATCATGCCGAACAAAACTGTGCTGTTCTAACACATTTAATACTACAAAAGAAGAATCGTGTCGACGGACTCGACAATCTGCTGGTCGAGTCGACCGTAGATATCCTCGATGCCAACGCAAGAGAGCGTGGCAATCTAGCGGGTTGCAACGCTGTGTTTGTGCACATCAAAAACCCCTCCTCCAATCACAGCTCTGACATCATCGATATCTGTCAGCATCATATCACCCTCAACAAGATGGGATTCCGACTGTTGGATTTCGATTACTACTTGTCGCCACTCGATCCTAGCTCGGCACCAAAGAAATCGATGCTTGGATTGTACGTGACAGAGTTGATTCCAATTGCCAGCGACAAACCCTATATTCCTTTCAACTTGTTAAAGTCATTCGTTGAATTGCAATGGTCGAACGCATTTGGCAGTGAACAAATCAAACTATCACCAAACACCTACGCAGAGTACCAGAGAATGATTGAACAGATCGAACTTCGTGAGCGTATTCCACTGCTAGATTTACCTTGGGATCTAGGTAAACCATGGACATTAGTTGATCTCTGGGAAGACTATGATCGTGATCTATTAGAGCGTTTCTACAAGGAAATAATGATACCAAATTTTCCAAACAAAACAGGTAATAACAAATAATTATAACAATATAAATATTGAAAAAAATTAATTAACTAATCTAAACTACCTAATTAACAAACTTTAGAATTGGAACCATTGGAAAATTGGTTATTATCATTCTCATCGGAAGCAAGAGATGATCCAAATATTTCGGATTTACATATTTTGTTGGCGCTTAGATGGCCACATGAATCACATTCTACACAGCCAGTTATTGAGGGTGCAATAATATTTGAATATTTCTCAGCGAATAACTGTGGATTGCTGACATACTTGATCGTTCAGAAGACATTTAAAGGAAAAGGATTGGATAGGATTTTGGTGGAAACTGCGCTGGAGATTCTCGATCAGAATGCTAAATCACAGGGATTCCTTCCCGGTTGTAATGCAATCTTTCTCGAGGTGTACAGCGGTGAGAAAGTCACTATAAAGCAAGATGTGGTCGATCCTCGTATGCGTCATGCAATCTATCATCAAATTGGATTCCGTTTGATCGATTTCGAATATGTAGCACCACCACTCGCTATGGGTTACCCGAAACTCAAGCACTTCCTCCTCACCGTCTATCTGACGGAACACATTCCCAAGATGCCGCTCGAAGAAGGAAAATACTACTTGCCTGCATCGGTACTCAAGAATTTCATAACGGTGTTGTGGAGGAATGCTTTTGCCACCAAGAAAATGAAAGATCCCGCAGCAAGCGACGGCGACTTCCAGCGAATCGTTGAGCAGATTGAATATCGTGAGAAGATTCCGCTGTTGGATTTGCCGTGGGGACAGAGCAAGCCGTGGACACTCGTCGATCTCTGGGACGACTACGATGAGGAGCTACTGATTCGTTTCTACAACGACCTGATGATTCCGAATTTCCCGATCAAGAACGAACTCGAGCCGATCTCCAACTTTATCAATGCACTCTCTGAAGAACGACGTGCCAATTACAATCCGCATCTCTCGGAGCTTCATGTTTTGCTTGCACTGAAATGGCCGACCGACTCGTCAGAGTTGCAGCCAATCATTGGTGCCGGTATCATCTTTGAGTACTTCCCGCTGACCAATTGTGGTTTGCTTTCGTACCTGGTGGTACATCGTGTCTCTCGAGGTCAGGGTCTAGCCGGAGTTCTGGTGGAACGAGCTGTTGCGCTGCTCGATAAGCATGCCAAGCAACGTGGACAACTTGCCGGTTGCAATTGTATCTTCTTGGAGACAAACTCTGCCGAGAAGGTTACACTCCAACAGGATGTAATGGATCCGCGTATGAGACACACTATCTATCACAAAATGGGTTTCCGTCTCATTAATTTCGAGTATATTATGCCGCCACTCTGTCCGGGCTATGAGAAACTCAAAGGTGTACTGCTACTCACTGTCTATCTGACTCCACACATCCCTTACCAGGATTTCAATAACAATCGTCAGTACTATCTACCGAATATATTGCTAAAGAACTTTATTCATGCACAGTGGGAGAATGCCTATCGAAATGGACGTCTCAGTGTGCTACCCAACCAGGACATGGATTTCACTCAATCGGTGGAGCAACTGGAGTTGCGTGAAAAGATTCCACTGCTCGATTTGCCATGGGGAGACGGCAAAGACTGGATGGTTGTTGACCTCTGGGAAGACTATGACGAGGATCTACTCGATGCTTTCTACAACAAATACATGATAACACAGTTTGGAACATCGGACGAGTTGGAACCCATTGAGAATTGGCACAAGGCAATGTCGGACGAAGGTCGTGACGACCCGAACATCTGTGATCTTCATGTACTGCTCGCACTCGGACTGCCTGGAGAACACAAAGGCAAAGGTCATAAGTATATTATTGGTGGTCTGGTGTTTGAGTACTATCCAGAGACAAACAACGCTCTGGTGACCTACTTGGTGGTCAACCAGAAATGGTCGGGCAAAGGTATCGGTACCGATTTGATTCTGCGTACGCTGACGATTCTCGACCAGAACGCCAAGCAAAAAGGTCACATTGCGGGATGCAATGCGATCTTCTTGGAGGTGATGTTCTCGCCACACTCTGATATCACAGGTGCACCAGACTCCTCGCTATCACATGTCTTTTTGTTTAACAAGGGTTTCCGTTTGTTGGATTTCGAGTACTATCAACCACCGACCTCTTTGAAAAATCCGAAATCCAATAATGTTTGCTTAACTGTTTTGTTGACCCCGCGTATCCCTAAGCATGGCGAAGGCAGTGAGATTCGCCCGTTTGTTCCTTCGTCGCTGCTTCGCTCGTTCATCACCACGCTCTGGGAGGACGAATGTGGACTGATTGGCTACAACTTTGAGCGAGATCCATGCTACCTCAGAATGATGGACCAGCTCGACCAGAACGAGTACTTCCACTGTCTGGATCTGCCGTGGTTGAAATCGAGAATCGAGCGTCATCCCTCGATGGAGCACCTCCAGATTGGACAGGACGAAAACGGCGACGACCTAGATTCCGGCTCCGACCTGAGGAAATCGATCAACCAACACGCAATCTACCGACCAAACATCAGTGTCAGCGATAACACAGGATCGCCTGTACTCTCACCGCAATCAATCAACTCATTCGGACTGGGATCATCGCTGGGCGTCGCTCCACTCTCGCCGGCACTCGGTTCCGTCCTACACAACAGTCAACTCATACCAAAGAACAACACACTTGGACAGTCACTCGATCCAAATTTACTCTCAACATCAAAAGGTGATAAATAATAGCAATGAATAGTAATTTAATCATAAAAAAAAAAAAAACAACAAACAACAAACAAAAAAGAAACAAAAAAACTATGATAATTCATTGTTAAATGCAGCTAACCCACTAAAAGTTCTATATTGGCAAAGGAGCCACCTCATCTGAAAAAATTTATGAAAAAAAAATAAAACAAAAAAAATGAAAAATTAAAAAAAACCTTTGAAATTTCAAATTAAAACAAAAAAAATAAAAAAAAATCAATCTTATTTTAAAATAAATAATATAAATAAAAAAAATTAAATTGTTTTTAAAAAAAATGATCATTTTTTTTAAAAACAATTTAATTTTTTTTATTTATATTATTATATTTATTTCTTGTCTATCTTTATAAAGTGAAAATTAATTAGCGATCAAGTATTTTAGTTTGTTCAATCACCAAAACAAAAAACAAAAAAAAATTGTACGATACTAGTAATTAAAAAAAATTAAAAAAATATTGCAAATTTTAGAAAATGAATTAATTTTTTAAAATATTAATGGTTATTTAATTTAAATTTGAAGTGTAATAATCAATCATTATCTGATATTAATAGAACAGAAGAGAAGAGAAAAGAAAAGAAAAAGAATATTTAGATATCTTGATACTATCATTGTATAACAATAGTTAACAATAATAACAACAACAAATAAATAATACCACAACCAGCTTTTTTGTTTTGTCTAAACAAAACATAAGCAAAAAGAAAAAAAGTATTAGAAATAGGAATTACCATTAAAGCTCACAACAAACACAATAATTCGAATCATCATCAAACTATTATTATTTTATTTGTTTTAGTTTATTAACAAAGTTATAAACATTAATCTTATAAGACTACTACTACTACTACTTTTAACTGATTACGATCTAAACTTCAGAAGTTGAAGAACCCTTAACAAACAAAATAGATAAATAGATAGGATTGTTGAAAAACAACAACAAAAATAATAATTTAATTAAAATTAAAAACAAATAAAAATAAAATCAATCTAATTTATATTTCACCCTTTACAAACAAAACACACCTGCAATAAAAAAACACAACAACAACAACAGTAGCAACACTAGACACAACACATATTAATTATCATTATATCATATCATATCAATAACAAAAATAACAATAATAATAATATATTAAACTAAAACCAGCAAACAAACCAAATATACTTGCTTTTCTTTGCTTTGCTTACCTTTACCTTTTATATAAATATATTTATTAATAATAATAATAATAATAACATACATCCATATTTTGATAATAATAATAATATTTAAAAAAATTATAATTGTTAACCAAGAATAGTAATTACAACAACAAAAGACAGAGAACTAACTTGAATTCAATTTGAACTTAATATAAAATTAGAGTTGTAGGGAAGTTAGAAAAGTGGATAAGTAGTCGAACAACAACGAAGAAGAAGAAGAAGATAAGTTTAATTTAGATTTACACAGTTTAAGTCGGTAGTAGCAAAAGACAAAAAAAAGTGAGCAGGGGTGTAGAACGGATATTGATAACAATCATCACACACGAAGAGCGATTGAGCTAAGCTTTTAGCACAACCAAGTTAGTTTGTCGATTACTCGTAGTAATTACATTGATAACATCAATATATTGTTATGAAAATGTCAGCTACTACTGGAGGTACTTTATCAACGACTACACCAAATATCAGTAACAGTAGTAGCACCGGTGGTGGTGGACATCATAGAACACACTCGAGAAACATCAGCATCGGTGGAATAGGAAAGAATGTCGCAAAGATCAATGACTATTCATTCAGTTATCTAACACCAACTACAAAACAACAGCACCAACAACAATCAACACAATCGAGTTCGACAACAACTACTACTTCTACTACCAATATAAACATCGATAAAAAGTCTAGTAACAACAATCATCATCGTGGTGTATGTATAATTTACATTCTGTAATATTGTTTGATAGACTACAATACATATACTTACATTGTAATGTTTAATGTTATCTTTTTTTAAATAGCCAATCATTAAAACAACAAAAGATCTGTTGGAGTTTTATAAACGTTGCAATCCTGATTTCAGTTATGTATCGTCGCTCAATCCAAGAAGAGTTTTAACACATCCTTCCGAAGGTGTTTTAAACGAAGGTTTCGACAATGTCAACTCTGATTATATTATATATGTCAATGATATTATTGGTTCAGATTTTAATCAACGGTAATGATCGCATTACATTTGTGTTTATATTATTATTATTATTAACATTGTTATTTTTATTCCTGATCTCACTCATAGTTATAAAGTATTGGATACACTTGGACAAGGAACATTTGGACAGGTTGTTAAATGTCAGAATTGCGATACCAATGAACTCGTGGCAGTGAAGATACTAAAGAATAAGAGTGCTTATTTTCAACAGGGAAGATTGGAGATTGAAATTTTAAGAAAGGTAAATATAGTTGATCCAGATACAGAGATGATTGGTGTGATCATTGTAAATGTTGATAATTTAATTAACCTTTTTATATACGTTATTATTATTGTTGTTATAGTTAAATATTACATATGATCCAGATAACAAAGCAAATATATTAAGATTGTTGGATTCATTTGTTTTCAAAAAGCATCTTTGTATTGTTTTCGAATTGCTAAGTGTCAATCTATTCGAGTTGATTAAGCAGAATTCATTCAGAGGATTGTCAACCAACCTGATAAAGGTATTTCTCATTCAGATACTTGATGCACTCATAGTTCTATCGAAAGCAAATATGATACATTGTGATTTGAAGCCAGAGAATATTTTATTACAAAGGTATGATCATACTTATACTCTTATACTATAATAAGATATATGAAAGCAGTTGAACTAACAATATTGTCTATCAATAATAATAACATTAGTGTCAATTCACCAAATATAAAGTTAATAGATTTTGGATCGGCTTGTTATGAAAATCAGACTATTTATACTTATATTCAATCGAGACACTATCGATCACCAGAGGTGCTGGTCGGTTTGCAATACACTAGTTCCATTGATATGTGGTCACTGGGTTGCATATCGGCAGAGTTGTTTTTAGGATTACCATTGTTTCCAGGTACATCAGAGTACAACCAAATCTGCAGGATCATCGACATGCGTGGAATGTTCTCAAACGAAATGATAGAGAAGGGCAAGAACAGCGCAAACTATTTCAAACAAACCATTGAAAATGGAAAAGTTATCTATAAATTGAAATCAGAGGAAGAATATCAAAGAGTAACTATCTATTTCAAAACTGCAGTAAATTTCATTCACCATAACTAACTAACTAACTAACTAAACATTTTTGGAATACACACAGGAAACAAACAAAGTTTTAGAACCACAAAAGAAATATTTTAACTATAAATTATTACCAGAAATCATTCAGAACTATGGATTTAAAAAGACTCTTACTCCACAGGAAATAGAAAAAGGTAAAAACAACAAACCAAGTTACAAACTACTGGTAATCGACCTAACAAAAACTAACTTTTGTATTTTGTTATCTTTCTGATCAGAAAAACATAATAGAATTGTATTTACAGATTTTGTTTCAGGTCTTTTAAATTTGGATCCAATCGATAGATGGTCACCTATGCAAGCTAGAGAACATCCTTTTATTACAGGTTCACCGTATACCGGTCCGTTTGTTCCCGATCCTCTAAAGAAGAATCCATTCACCTCCAGTGGCTCCACTTCCACTGCTGCCAAGCCAATCATGCTAAACACCGCCGCCGCCGCTGCCGCTGCGCAGAATCACTCGTTCAACGGCAGCAACAGCAGCTTTGGAAAACGTGTTCCCATACTCCCGCCATTCAAACACTCGTTGGGTGGCGAACCGGCCTACTTCCCAGAGTCGTATTCACCTCGTTCACTTTATGGCTCGTTTTCAAACAACAACAACGGTATCAATTCACATCAATCATCTTCACAACTGGCACTTGGACAGAGTCCATCGATGTTTGGAACACCTTCGAATATGTTTCCACCGGTTCCGTTCAGTCCACACTATGGAAGCACTCCCTACTATGGTTCATGGGGCGGATCCGACGGATTACCACCTCCACCCCTCAATTCTTCGATTTATCAACAACAACAGCAACAGCAACAACAACAGAACTCTAGACGTGGAAGATCAAAGAGCGATGCTCCTAATTCCAATGGTAACAACAATAACAACAACGATCTTTTACCACCAAGTATGCATAATATCAATGGTGGTAACAACAACAATAACAATGGCAATGGTATGATGAACATGATGCTCGATGATCAATATAGTTTAGACGCAGAGAAACCACCAATGTATCCACTGAATTCACCACAGAGAAAGAGATCTCAGTCTGGATTGGTGCCGATGGACAATCCATATCATCAATTCATCCCGAGAATACATTTGGATCATTGGAGCTCGTCGAATCGCTTTCGATCACATAGCTATGGTGAACAACACAACCAACATCCATCGAATAAACAGCAACAACAACAGCAGCAACAGCAACAACAACAGTTACAACAATCACCATTACAACACTCTGCTCCACAGATTTTCGATTACAACAGACAGCTACAGCAACAGCAACAACAATCGCAAAGGCAATATCATCATAACCCTCAATATTCACCACCCATTCCAAATTCACCTCAAATCAATCTACCACTTACACCTCAGTTGATTTCACAAGATCCAATCAGTCCTTTGATGGGCTCTGACTCTGGAATGATCAATTGGAATCCATCGCCATCCGAGGAGATGTTGTTCCCAATCGAACAACTGCTACCTTCACAACAACAAACACCACAATTAACTTCACAGCAGCAGCAGCAATCAGCCAACCCACTAAGTAAGAGTACATCGAGTCCAGTGGGATCACGATTCATTCCGCAACAACTACAGCAACCACAACAACAACAGGGCTGGAAGATGGAGGACATGAATAGCAACTTCAACACGATGCAGATCAACGGTGGCGAGAGTGGCAGTTGGCAACCACCTTCATCGCCATGGGGTATTCCACAATTTTCGATTCAAAACGAATCACCCTATGACAATGGTGGTGGCGATTCACAGCACAACAACATGATCTCCTACAGTCCCTATGGTATGAACACAATGATGTTCCAGTCGCCACCCACCTCGAATTTCAATAACTACGCCATCAAACAGTCGCCACCCACCAGAACATTCTACAACGATATGCAGAGTAATAGTCATGGTGCCTACAACAGCAACAACAACTATGGTGTCGGTGGTGGATCTAATCATCCACACTCTTATAGTGCACCCTCGAAATATCAGCAGATCAATAACAATCTTCAACAACAACAACAGCAACAACAGCAATTGAATCAACAGTCACCTCCTTCCTCTAATTTTAACAACATCAACAACAATGGACATCAGGTAGGTGGTAACAAACCCATTAAAAATCGACCAAGAAACGATGCATTTTCAAGAACATCGCCACCTTCTTCACGAGCCCACCCACAACAACAGCAGCAGCAACAACAACATCAACAATCACCAACCAAACCAATTTCACTTTCTCAATCATTTTCACAGCAACAGCAACAACAGCCATATCAATCTCCATCAACCCCGTTGTCTCCCAACACTCCACCATTCATACCACAACAATATTTAAATCATCCACCACTTCCAACAATAGTACAACTACCAACAAAACAACAATCAAATTACAATAATCAACAACAACAACAACATAATAATAATAATAATCAATATAATCAACATCATCATCAACAACATAATAAGCAAAATAATCAACTCTCACATTCAAAAGAATTGAATAACGAAAATGAGGAATCTAAACAACAACAACAAACTACTATTCACAACCAAGAAATCAATACCAATAATAACAATGGACAAAGCGTAAATAGGAAACTTTTAATTGGATCTTATCGTGATCCTATCGCATCATCTCCTCCTCCATGATTATAACTAGTTAATAAAATATAATCTCTCGCTTTATTATTACACATAATTTTATCATTCTAATTAGTATTACTATGAATCATTATTTTGTGTCGACATTGTTTTAAAGTTTATTAATTTTTATTTTTCCAAACAAGAATCAAATCAATCAATTTTTATTTTAAATTTATTTGTTTACCATTGTTGTTTATCATTATCATTAATCTAACTTTTATTATTTAGATTAAAGTTGTCGTTTAATTCGGAATATGAGTTCATCTGGTGGTGGAAGTTCGAGAAGAGATAGAGATAGAGACAGAGACAGGGATAGAGATAGAAGAGGTGGTGGCGATAGAAGAGACAGAAGAGATAGAGACAGAGACAGGGATAGAGATGTAATATTGATATAACTTTAAATATAAATATAAACATAACATATCTAATTACTTACATATCAATAATAAATAAAAATAGGATTTGACACCTACCAAATCAATCTTGACAAAGTCAAGAGTTTCAAATTCACCAATAAAGATTGAACAGCAAATAAATATTAAAAAAAGAGAGGAACCAACTTCACCTTCAGTAATTGTTACATCTTCATCAACAGCAACAACTGATCCACAATATTCGATAAATCAGAACCAATCTACAACAACTACAACTACAACATCATCACAACACCAAAGACAAACAGAGACAGCAAAACAAAATCAACAGCAGCAGCAGCAACAACAACAACAACAACAATCGGCACATTCACAACAACTATCACCTTCATTTCTACATAAACCAGTTAATTCATCTGATAACAACAATAATAATAGCAACAACAAAATAGAAGAAATATCACCTACACTTAGAAGTAGTTTAATTCAACCTATTATCTATACACCAATTAAAATACTATCGAAATTTAAATTAAATATTGATTCTGCACTTAAAGTATGTGTGTCAATGTTATGTTTATAATACTATTGCTTACTTTTCATTTAACTAATCACTGTATGTTGTTGGTATATCTGTTTATAGCTATTGACAAAAGATGAAAATTTTATGGTTGTTGGCGTTTTAGGTGGTCAGTCAACAGGTAAATCAACTATACTATCATCGCTGATCACTCAAGATCCACTGCAATACCCATTCGAAGTACAAACAGAAGCTAATTTTTGTCTTGGTAATCACCAGACCAGAGGAATAGATATATACGTTACACCCGATCGTTTCATATTTTTAGATACACAAGTAACTATCAAACAAATCAAGTATACTAGAGAATATGCTGTCTGTGTATAATTGAAAACAATATTTAAAACAACCTATTACCTACTATATAATTATAGCCACTGCAGAGTATTTCTATTGTATGCGAACTGATAGAGAAGAATACACACTATCCAAATCAATATAGCTCTCATGAACACTATCATCATGTACAGTGTTTGAAGATGATCGTTTTCATTATCAGTGTCTGCAATGTCGTATTGATAGTCCAAGAAAGTAAATCAATTGATATTCCTATTTGTAATTTAATTCGTACCGCTCTTATGTTAAAGGTAAAACAACTATCACCAAATTATTTTGATTACCAATTAACAATATAACTTACTTTTTTTTCACTCATTTATAGAATAGAGTACCAGATATCACCAATCCAATTCCAAACAATGATATTGAATCGAATGAATTCATTGCGAAAATGGGTAAGCTTAAAATTAATCAATCAATGAATTGATAGTGATAAATCGTTCACCTACTTATTACTAATATCGCTCTAATTCTAACTCTCAAAATAGTATTTGTATTTAATAAACTATCAGAATTGGATTTCAATATTGAAGAACTGGAAAAACCATTAACCTTTTTAATGGGATCAAAAATGAATGATTATGCAATTGATCGTATGTATTAATTTTGGTTATTTATATCATCTTGGTATCATTTATATATTTACAAATTACTTAAATATTTATAGTTAAACCAATTCCAGATAAATATATATTTACTCAACAATCTCAACCAACACAAACATTTGCATCGATTCCCAAATATCATGAAACAATTGAACAGTTGAAAAAACGGTTACTTCTCATGAAGGCACAAACCAAGTTTTCAAAGCCAATGACAGAGAAAGAATGGTTGGTCAACGCTGCAAAACTACATGAATTCATTCAAGACTATGAATATATTGATAATTATAACAAGGTTTTACAATCAAAAAAGTATAGAAACTAATTCATTGTTATAATAAACAAAAATTTAAAAGTATAATCAAATCTCATAATTACTTTATGAATAAAAATAATTTTAAATTCTCTTTATCATCTTTGGTGTGATCTTCCTTAAAAAGAATAAGCAGACAAGACAGTGTAGTTTACATAAAGAAAAAAAAATCATTTTAAAACATTATTGTTATTTTGTAATTTGTTATATACACTATGATTGATTCCAGATCAATCATAGAACATTTGTATTGTTTTTGATTTTTTATTAAATATTTACAGATTTAGTTAATTTACATATACATATCAAATATGATGTTAAAGAACTTGAGATGTTTTGTTGGTATATTATATACATGAGTAAGTGCGTGTGTGTGTAGATATCTGACTATATACAAGAGTGTTTGTTTGCGATCCAGATTCTTCCACAGAATGGACCATTGGTTTAAATTCCTCGATCTCCTCACACAAAAAAAAGTAATTAATAAAATACTTTTTTTTTTTTTTTTTTTTTTTTTGGTATTCTTATTAACTATTGGTTAGAGTGATCCGACCTCAACGACTTGAACCATACGATACCAAGAAGACTCTCTATTTTGTTGATTGTTTGGTGGAATAGCGATTGATGGACTACGAGTAACAAAATTGTCTGATGAAGTATCCAATGAGGGTTTGTTGTCAACTTTTGTGTTATTTATCTTTGTATCGATCTTTGTATCGATAGTTGGTGGTGCACTACTCTTTGACTCAAAACTTCCAGAAAATAATTCCAATGATCTTCCTATTTATATTATAAAAGTTAAAATATTAATTATCTTTTGCCTCGGTACAATCTTTAGCTTCATTTGTTTTGGGTAACAACTTACTTAAGAACGACATTTTAAATGTAATATAGTATAAAAATTATAAAAATAATTTGGTTGTTTTGTTTTGTTGTTTTTCGAAACTGTTATTTGTTTAAAGAGTTTTTATAAACAAAGATTTATCTTGCTTGCTTGTTTTTATTGAGTAAGTAAGTAAATGGTAATTAAAAACAAAATGAATGGTGATATTGGTGTTGTTAACTTTGATTCTTTTGTAAAAAAAATAACAATAATAAATGTTAAATACACAAACAAATAATAATTTATTGGAGAATATGTGTGTGTGAGTGTGTGTTTGTTTGTGTGTGGGGAAGTAATAATTGGAGCGTTTTAATTAATAAAAAAAAAAGTTTGTTATTTTCTTTTTGGTGCTATATTGCAAAGAATTATATTAATTATATTTAATTTAAAAAAAAATGTTATTTTTTAGAGTAATAGTGCCATGAACCAAAAAAAAATAAATAAAAAAAATCAATATCCTATTAATGGAAATTAATGTTTTTTTTCTTTTTCGAAACAGATTTTTTTTTAAATTCATTACAATACCACACTTTTTCTTGAATAGCGTGGGTGTGAGTGTGTTGTATTTTTTTTTACAACAAAAAAATGAAAATTTATTATAAAAAAAAAGATTTCCAAATTAAATGAAAAAAAAAGTAATATATTTGGTGATTGTGCCAATGTTTTTTTTTTTTGATATATTTATTCATAGTTTTCTCTCCCCTACCACTCACCTCACATTATATCACCATTGATTTCATCATCAAAAATGAGAGAATGATAATATGTTGGTATTAACTATTTTGATGTAGTCAACAACATAATACAATTCTATCAGTTCGAGGGGTTTTTGAATTTATTACCAATAACAAAATAACACAACAACTGTCATTTTTTTTTTTTTCGCTTACCTTTTTCATGAGAGGTGCGAGATACCTACCAATCAAACTGAACTGCCAACAAACTGTCATAATCACTCATTATCATTATCATTATCATTATAAAAGTAATTAATGAACGAATGTTCTGTTCTTGATAATATTGTGAATGGTTTTTTTTTTGTTTTCAACTTCTGCAATAGGAAGTGGTCAAGTAAGATCGATGTCTTTTCTTATTTGCCACCAAGCAAATTAATCCAAATAAGCAATCCGATAAAAATTATATTCTTATTTTTTTTTATTATCATTGCCTTATATATTATGTTAATTAATCAATTGAAAATCAAACTTTATGAAGTTTCATTGTTAGCTGTAACACATTGTGTGGAGTATACTACTATGTCAAAATAAATAAAAATACTGGCAAAAAATGAATTTGTTTAAGTTGGAATAACCAATAATAATCCAATATTTTAATTCGAATCGTCGATTTGCAAATCGAACTTTGATAAACAAACATAATATTAAAAAACATTAAATTTTAAACGATATTTGTTTCAAAATTTATATATCTTTTTATTATTCTTTTTGTTTATTGATTATCTTTGCTCTATTAATACAATTAAATTAAAATACTGCAAAACTTGCTTTCTCCTTAGAAAAATAAAAATGATTATTTTTTGATTTTTTTGAAAAATTAAGAAATTTTTTAATGATTAATAATATTTTTTAAAAAGTTAAATTAATTTGAATGTTTAACCCCATTATCATATACACACACGCACACATTGTTTACTTGTTGATAACATAATAATACGTTATCAAAAAAATAAAAAGCACATTCAAATTTAATTTATATATATTTATGTTTGTATATACACATTTTGAATAGATAGAAAGATAGAGTTGTTAAGGAAGGTTGTGAAGAAGAAGAAGATAAATAAATATTGCTATATAATTTGATGTAAAGATGGATCAGAAACATCTGTATAGTACTGGTGTCGGTGTTGGTGGTGGTGGTGGTGTTTCATATCAATCACCAAAGATACAAAGATATCAGTCTGGCCAGAATGGTAATGGCAATGGCAATGCTCTTCTTGATACCATTGCTATAAGCAGCAACAGCAACAACAACAATATGAGCAGTGGTGGTGGCAGCAACAAGAGTTCCATTAGATATAGTAACGATAGTAGCGATCATTATCAACATCAACATCATCATAATAACAACAACGACGAATCAATAGGTGATGAAGATAGTTATGATTTCGAAGATGATGATAGTAATAGTAACGATCATCATAATCATCATCATCATCATAGTAACGACGACGACAATCAACAACATCAACAACATATTATAGATTTTCAACAACTAAAAAACAGTTCCTATTCACCACAAGACAAACAATATTGGAGAACAAGATTGAATTCAGGTCTTTTTGCAATAGTGTTCCTCGAATGTTTATTTATTTTCACATATGTACCTTATTTCTATTATTTCACAGCACAATCGAAATCCATAGTTGCATCTGCACTCATTCTATTGATCTATCATGCAATCATGTTTTTAGTTCAATTCTCATTGTTTAGAACTACATTTACCGATCCCGGTGGTATACCCAATGGTTTCCCACAATCTGTATGTTAATAATGAATTAATTATAAAAAAAACATTGTTTCTCATTTACTAATGTAACTTTTATAATTATTTTTTTTAATATTTAATAGATTTTCTCCGAACATGAAAAGTTTGTTAATCTTATTTTTAGTTATTATTTCAATGTTATCTTTCATATTTATTAACTAATTTATTTTTGATCATTTTATAGTTTATTATATGAAACAAACAGTCAAGGACAAAAAAGAAAATGTTCAAAGTGTCTTAAGATGAAACCAGATAGGACTCATCATTGTTCAAAATGTAAAAGATGTGTATTGAAAATGGATCATCATTGGTATGTTATTATCGATAGTAAAATGTTATAAACAGAGTTTATAGTTTAGATTTACTAACTTGTTTGTTAAAACTATCTCTAAATTATTAATTTTTACAATAGCCCATTTGTAAACAATTGTGTAGGATATTTTAATTACAAATATTTTGTATTATTTTTGTTTTGGACTACCATCCTCTGTTTCTTTGTGATTGGTACAACATTCCAAAACTTTTTTAATATTATTAATAGAGTAAATATCATCTGAAGATAAATATATTGTAATTAATCATATTTCTAACTAATTACTTATTTTCTTCTATTTTCCTTTTAGAACGATGAAAATATATTTGTTGGTGTTGTATTTGTGATTGCTCTTATTTTTGGATTAGGTTTGTCAGTTTTCACGATGACTCACTTTAGTTATGTTTTCAAGAATGTCACTACTATTGAACACATGGAGAAGAAACTTCGATTCAGTAAGCAATCCACCACAAACAACTCACTGTTTGATGTGGGACATTATCATAATTGGTGTCAGGTTTTTGGTTACACTGCCAGTAAATGGTTCCTACCTGTACCACCTTCCTATGCTCTTTCATCTGGAATGATATTCCCTGTGAATTGCTCAGAGGATTCACCCTTGATGGGGTTTTAATGGATAGCAACGACGACTATATAAGTTTAGTTTCAAAACAAAGTTAACAAAAACATCCAACAACCTTTTTTATTTTTTTCAAATCCCTCCTCCAACTCCCGACTTAAATTCAAATTGAATAGTAGTTATTTAAAAAATTTCAATTTCAATTTGTTTATTATAAAAACAAATAAAAACATTAATTTAATCAAATTTTATCAAACAATTTTATCTATCTATTTATTATTATTTATTTGGTATTACTATTGTTTCCATTGGTACACTGACGGGCTTGAAATTTTGAGATGAGTTTATATCGCTAGACATTTCTCGCTTTCTGTAGAAAATGTAGGCAACGGCAGCTCCTATTACGGCAGCTCCACCAATTCCAACACCAAGTCCAATCGCTAGATTCCTGTTTTTTCTTGCTTGTGCTGATCCTGGACAACGATCCATTTGCATCGTCACTTGATATCCACAGCTGATGTTTGAAACAAAGTAAACAATATATCTTCCACTGGTCAGTGGTAACTGAATGTACTCGTCGACCAACGACGAGTTGAAAACGGTTGACTCTGCTTCGATATTGTAGATTCCTAGTTTGAATGGGAAGTTGGCTGTCGCTTTAAGTACTTCACAATCTGGGAAATCGAGTGACGGTTGGAAATCCATTGTCTTTATCTCGAGACTTCGTGGTTTGAGATTACGTTGACATATTCTGTCGTTGATTACTCCTCGCACTTCGTAGAGATCGGCTTTGAGATCGGTGAATCCTGTGCTTGAATATTGGTAGTCTTGAGTAGGTACCACTCTAAGCGAGAAATTGAGGAATATGAAGTTTCCGTTCAGCACCGGTGTAATATAACCGTTGCCAGCTCTTGGACACACATAGGTTGAGTAGTCCCATTGCAACTCTGGTTCGGTTGAAACAATTTCAATGGTGGCATACTCGTAGCAGAATGGATTGGTGAGTCGAGTGAGCGTGTAGTTTCCGGTGGTCAGTGAGTAGAATCGGGTGTGAGTACCATTGACATGAGTTTGAATGAGTGAGTTACTTCCTTTCTCCAATAAACGATAGGATTCTCCAGTTGGAGAATTTGGTATCACAATGCTACCATCATAACTTCCAAGACATGATTCATGATGAACAACGACATTGGAGGTGTCTAAAGTAGTACCAGTATATCCATTATCCACATATATTGCTGATGAAGAACAGGATGTTGCTCTATGTTCATAGTTGATAGTCAGTGGACCAGCCGGTACATTACTAAGTTGTCCATTGTCCTTCAAAATATAGCTACTCATTTGATCTAAAGAAAATACAAAATCATTATAATTTGTGAAAATATATGAATTTGCTAGGTTGGAACAAGTTGCTTGTTTTGTTTCCAATTTTGGTTGTACAGGAAGAGCTATGAGAATTATGAAAGAATATTAGAAAATTATTATTGTTTAGAAAAGAAATGATAAGGTTGTAACATACGAGTTGAAAAAACAGAGATATAAAAGTTGTCATTACAACCACCATTCCATGAGTATAGAATTCTTGCATTCATGGGGATCGATGGTGCAGATATTTGAATTATGATATAGGATGATGATACTGGAATAACGGTGGATGCACTGGTGATAAGTTCAACTTTGGCAGAATCCAGGTTGATTCCTTCGTATGCTGATTTTAAGTGAATGGTTGCGTACTGAACCAAACAAGTTGGTTGCTCCACAGTGTAGGTTACAATTGGTCCAGTGTACATAGGAATGTTTATCGATGTCCGATATTGACACTTTCCATAGTTGACGATTACAAAGTTATCAGGATATAGACCGGTGACAAAGTTGTTGGTGACGTTATAACGAACGATTGCACCATTCGAGTAGATATCTGTTATTGGAGGTGATGTACCATTGTCGAATTTCAACGATACCAGCGCAATTGAATCTACCAGCGCAAGATTATTGTTAATACAGGATCCATCGCGGACTTTAACGAGATTGGCTGTTGCTGGTGGAACATCGAAATAGACAATGGCAGAGTTGATACAAGCCGAGTTGTTTCGTTTGTAATCTATTTTCTTGGAGGAAGCATCCAAACCTGTGAAACTACCGTTGACTGCATTTGCACTTCCCAGCTTGATGTAGGAGTAGTTCTGATAGTTCTTTACATTGATTGAACCGGTCGTGGCAAAACATGGTGGTGTAACCATAGTGTACTGGAAGTCAGGATCCACCTTTAAAACTGGAACTTGAATCCTACCAGTGAATGTACAATAACTTGAATAGTCATCGGTATAAACAATCTTGAGATCCAGAGCATCGTCACTTCTCACCACAATAGTATTATTATTGACACCAACCTGTATAATTCCAGATTCAACTTTCTTTATTTTCAAGGCGGTTGTCATCTGAACTTTTGTCAATAAATCATAACAACCTGTTTGACTAGCAGAGAAACTAAAACTTGGTTTATACATTGGCGCTGTAAATAAAAATTAGTAAATCACATTATGCTTATTATTAATTAAATTCTATTCTTACGTATTGGTGTTGGGTATTTAACTGAAGGAATTGTACAACCAAAAATATTGTTGGGTGATTTGAATTGGAATTCCAATAGATCTCCTGCTCTATATTCAATTGATGGTGTAATATAGGTGGTTTGCAATGGATTGTAGTAAAATTCGGCATGTGCACTACCGTTTTGTGCACATGATGCTGGTCGTTCAATGACGTGCTTTACCAAAAAGTCAAAGGGATTCAAAGGGAAGTTGTCGAATGTGAAATTCTTTCTTCTCAAATAGTTGTAGTTTTGACAATCACTGTTCTGATACAATACGTATCCATCGACACCTCTTGGCATCCTCGAGATGAGTCCATAGTTTGACAATGAGTATTCGGTGTAGGAAGGATTGGTGGGATCACGGATATTCACGAAAACACGCAGTACTTTGAAGTGCAAAAAGTTTGGAATAAATAAAGAGGTATTGTACATACAGTTGAGGTAAGGCAAGTCTTCAAAGATCAACTTTGGCTCTTCACCAGAGATATTTAGACTACCGATCTGTTCTGACAGACCATAGTTCATTGTCATTAATTTGTCTGCCTGAATTTGGTAAACATTGTTTGGATATTTAGTGGTTTGGCCATACACATAGTTAAGTGGGATCGAAGGTTTGTTGACACCCTGACTTATAGTGATATTAAAAACTTTATCTACACATATATCTGTATTTGGATTTGTAAATTCATAGCTAATTGGTGTATAGTCAAAGTCTAAAAAACAATTTATAGGTTAGAAAATTACACAATTAGTTAATCAAAATACAACTATCAGCTACTTACTTGCAACAGGTAATTTTAATGATTGAGAAAATGTAAGATTTTCACTTTGATACTTTGCTGTTAATTGATTTACATTGATTGCTGGTAAATTTGGAAATAGAAGACTGCTACCATTCACAGTGAATGATAGTGTTGGGTTTACCAGGTTGGTGTTGAGTATCGTTGCATTGGTTACGTTCATATAACCATCGAGAGTGGTAGCTACCGCTTCGAATGCAATCGTTGGATACTGTCGGTCGATCGTTTGAAGTTCAAATGGAATACGCTCGATACCACATACCGCTGAAACCAACTCCAGAGTGTATTGGCCGGGTAGCAAGTTATTCGCTCTGTATTGAGTGGATGCGCTGATATTGTATTCAGGATGTCCAACCAGCACGATCGATTGATACTGATCACCGTTTCTCACGACAATGGAAGCATCTTCATTGGTGTAAGTGTATGGTGTTATATGATACGCTGGAATATTCGAGGAGATAGGTGTCATTTGGAATACTTTTTCGCATTTACCAATCGCCAGTGTATTCCAACCGACATTGCTGACTTGCACCGGTCCATTATTATTATCGAGTAGTACGCCATTCAAATAGAATTTATCGTTGGAATTTTTCAGTCCGAGAACACTGACCGATCCCACGGAATATCTACAGAGTGGTTGTGTCAAATTCAGCTGGACTGAGGTGTAGAGGAATTGGGTGGAGTTGGTGCAATTGTTTGAATCTGTATATTGAATTGTGTACTGAAGATTGTCTTGGAGTTGGTAGACAACGGTGCTTACGACACCGTCGTATACTTGCGCCGCCACCGGTGTAACACTCCAATCGAGAAGATTCGTAATATTAATAGTATAGAGCGAATAGTCAGCTCCTGTCGTCGGACAATATCCACTGACAATATTTGCCACCAGACTCAAACAACCAGCACCATTGGCAACAATATCTATTTGGCTGATCGATCCAACCAAAAAAAATATTAACGCCAACAACGATAATTGATTCATCCTCAAATCTCTTTATGGATGGATTATATATTATATTTATTTATTGATTTATAGAAATAAATATTTATATTTATATTTATATTTTATTTATTTTAAAAAAAGTAAAAATTAATAATATTATTGTTGTTTGTTTCGATTTACACACACTGCCAAAATAATCAAAAGGTTTTGTTAACAACCAAACCAAAACAAGAGCTTGCGATTAATTCTCATAAAAATCACTTCAAAAAAGAAGTTTGTGGTCATTTCATCTTTCTTCTTCATTTAAATTTGATTGGATTTATTAATGTTTTTAAAACTGTTAAATATTTTTGGTTTTTTTTTGTAAATTATTTAAACTCAAAAAAAAGATTTTTTTTTTGTTTATTATTTTAAAAAGGTTCGTTGAATTCTGAAAAAATATCTAAAAATATTGGTAAAAAACTATTTATTTTAAATTTTGATTTTTTTTTTAAGAATCTTTAAATTTATCGCATTGAAAAAAATAATGCGATAAATTATATAACATTAAAGTAGTATTTATTGATATTTGTTTATCATCTCATCAAGACTTTTTTTCATTGTGCATAAAATCAAGTTTTAACTTAGATTTATTATAAACACTGCTGCACAATAATCCAATGGTGTCATCTTGATGGTTTTTTTTTTACTGTTTTGCAATAAATGGATGATTCAACATTATTGTTGTCCATTTAAAATTAACATTGACGAACGAAAAAAAAAAAAAATCAAAACTCTGCAAAGGGATTTCGAATCAAAAATAACTACTAATTTAAAAAAATTGGGATGGAACAAATGCATTAAAGCCGATGCATCTCCATTGAATTTAATAATTTTTTTTGTTTTTCTCACTTTCATGTGATAGTATGCCATCCCGACGACAAATAAATTAAAACATAATGAATACATTGAATATGGACATCCATTTTTTTTTTTTTTGTTTAAAAATGTATTTTTTTTAAATTTCTTTAATTTCATTTTTGGAAAATTCATTTGATTCGTTTGACACTCTTTTTTGTTTTTTAAACAGGTGAACTAACTGACTTAGTAGAGATCTTAATCTGAAAAATAATTATTAATAATAATAATAAGAAAGAATGAATAGTAATAACCATTTCTTTAGTAGTAATAATAATAACTTGGCTAAATCAGCTGAGATACCTGTTTCTGATTATTCATTCAATCAGATTCACGAAAATGATGAAGCAAACATTGTCATTGTAAGTTGATTTATTATACCTCAAAACAAAAATGAAGATATATATATTGACAATTGTATCAATCTATCAATATTATTTGTTTAGTTAAATGAACCTTCACTTGCACAATGGATGGGATCTATTCATCCAAATGGTTCGCTATACGAAGAACCACTCGATCTTTCAAAGGCACAAGAGGAACACAGAAAATTCAGAAAGTTGCTCGAAGACGAAGGATGTACTGTTAAGACTGTTAGAGAGATTCTTACTTCTGTAAGTAATTTGTGATAGATGAGATAGATGAGATGATAGATGTTTTTCATTAAGTAGTATTGACAAGTATATTTTTAAACTTTTTTTTTTTAGGAAACAGGTGACATTGCAAAAAGAGTAAGATTAGAAGAGTTTGCTTTCAAATGTATCAAATACGAGTTGGATACCAATCAAAAGAAAGAGGAATTGGGTGCAAAAGATCAATTGTTACTCTCTGACGACTACAAACGTAAATGTATTGACTCTATGAGTGTTGAGCAATTGGTAGAGGTAATCCTTACAAGACCAACCATTAAATTAAGAAAATCCGAAAGAGATACAGAGCTATTGGCAACTGAATATTCATTGTATGTAGCGGATAGCTATTTTTAATATTTGACATATGTTTAATTTAATTGACTCTATTTTCTTTTCAATAATAGCCATCCATTGGTAAATTTAGTTTTCCAAAGAGATCAACAAATTACTACGGCAAAGGGAATTGTTATGGCGAGTTTGAGTTCACCTATTCGTGCACCAGAGGTAGAGTTGATGCGTTTGTGCTTTGATATTCTGGGATTGCCGGTGGTCGGTGAGATTCCAGCGCCTGGAAAGTTGGAGGGTGGTGATTTCTATCCATCGGGATCGGATCTTTGTTTTATTGGTGTTGGATTGCGTTCGAATTTCGCAGCGGTCGACTATCTCATGCGAAACGACTTGTTTGGAACGAACCGTGTCGCCGTCGTCAAAGACTACTTTGATTTGCATCAGCAGCGTATGCATTTGGATACCGTTTGCAACATTATCAATGAGCGAACCATGTTGATTCTCGAAGATATCTGTGGAGAGGAGTCACCGATTCGTCGTTTGGTCGACGAGTATCGTCGCGATCCCGCAACCGGTCGCTACGAGTTGGTGCGTCACGACATTGAGTTCTCAAAGTATCTCGTTGAGCAGGGTTACGAGCTGCTGAAAGTGACCAACCAGAATCAAATGGACTATGGTTGCAACGGTCTCAATATCGGCAAGGGAAAGTTCATTGTCGTCGACCAGGCAACTGCCAAGACCATCGCACGAAAGATGAAATCCACTGTCAAACTGTTGTTTGTTGACTTTAGAACTGTTACTAAAATGTATGGATCAGTTCACTGTTGTTCACAAGTCGTCAGTAGGCGCACTTCCCATGTGACCAATGCACAACATGGAGCATCGCCAACTCTTGTGCCATCAACTGACAGCAGTTGTACCAAACCAAACAACAACATCAACAACAACAAAGTATGTAGTCAGAGCTCGAATAAAGTGCTTATGGTTTCTCCTACCTACTTTGTAAAAGCTAGAATCGGTAGTGAGTTGGTGAATGCGTCGGTTATCCGTGAGACAAGAACCAAAGTGTTGCACGACTACTCTGCATTGCACCGTGAGCTGAGGAAGCACAATGTCGATGTACATCTGTTCTGTCACGAACCACATCACAACACCGATCAAGCTGTGTTTGTATCGGAGTGGTTCTCTACTCACTCGGCTGAGGAGGTCGGCGAGAAGACACTCGTACTCTACCCAATGGCGGATCCATCGCGTCGTGACGAGAGAAGAACCGATATTCTCTCGAATGGATTCTCTGGATACACAAGAGTGGTCGATTTCACAGGAATGGAGAACGGTGCTTCCACTTATCGACTTACCACCATTGCCGAGTTGGTAGGTGATTCCAACAATGACACGCAGCTGAAGTCGCCAACCTTGGGATTGTCAATCAGTCAAGCCGCTAGAGAAGGACAGTACTTGGATTTCGCAGGATTGGTATTGGATCGTGTCAACAAGGTTGTCTATTGCGCCGTCGATGAGGAGCGCTATCATAGCAACGTCATTGAGCAGTGGGCAAAGGTGATGAAATACACACTCGTCAAGGTCAAGTCACAAGGTTACTCTGCGAGTATGTTCCTTTTCATTGGATCGTCGATTGTCTTGTTTTGTCGTGATGCGCTATCTGCCGAAGATGCTGCACTCGTCGAGAAACAACTCGGTAACAGCAGACCGATTCTCTATCTCACCAAACAACAAATGGAAAACAGTTGTTCCAAGGTAATTGAGATCGGTGGATGCGACAAACCCGCACTTATCATCAGTCAAGCATGCTTCAATCAACTCGATACCAAACAGATCGAGCTATTGAACAACACCTATGAAATCAATCAAATCGATATGTCATCGATTGAATCTCTAGGTGGTACAGGTATTCATGGTATGGTTGGTGGTTTATTCTAAAACACAAACAACATCAACAAAACAACAACAACAACAATAACAAAGACGACAACAACAACAACAACTTCTTAATCTTCTTAAAATAAAGTATAATTATTAATTTTAGTTATTTACAAATAAGTTAACATAACATATCTTTTGTGTGTTAACTACTTTTTATTTATTATGTTTAAGTATATATTGTTTTAATTGATTTATATCTAATGACATTTCAAAACGATTTAGATTGTTTGAAGATTGTTGTTCTAGCAGTTTTCTTGTTGGTTCAAATTGTTGTTCAACCGATTGTTTACTGTTGATTGCTCGATCAACTGTTTCACTGAATTTAGCTGGGTGTGCTGTTGACAGACAGATCAAAACGTGATCGTTACTGTTTTGATTGTAGTGAGAGTAGTTTGTTAGTCCATGGTGTTTGGCAGCTGCCAATCCTATTGCTGTATGTGGATCGAGTGTGTAGTTTAGTGTTTGATGGTAACTGGCGATGGTCTCTACGATCTCTTGTTGACCGACATGTGCAGAGAGGAATCGATCGGCTTTAGTTTGATCGAGTTGCTCTTGATTGATAGTCGCTGTGCCTTGTGAGTTGAATTCATTCATAAACTTGACGAGTCTATCGGAATCCTCGTTAAAGAGGTAGTAGAGATATCGCTCAAAGTTGCTGGCTACGTTGATATCCATTGCCGGCGCAACGGTAGGAACTACGGACGCTGGCTTTACATATCTACCTTCCCTAAAGAATCGATCGAGAATATCGTTGTCGTTGGTCGACACAATGAGATTGTCGACTGGCAATCCCATCTTACTCGCATAGAAACCCGCCAAGATATCGCCAAAGTTGCCGGTTGGCACAGAGAAGGTGACGCTCTTTGCACCCGATTGGAAGTAAGCGTGGAAATAGTAAACCATTTGAGCGAGAATACGTGCCCAATTGATGGAATTCACTACACCCAGCCGCTGTGAGTGTTTAAACGCTTGGTCGTTCATCAGCGTCTTTACAAGCGATTGACAATCGTCAAAGTTGGAATTGGTCACCGCGATAGGATGAATGTTATCATCGTTGACAGTTACCATCTGTAGCTCTTGAACAGCGGAGATTCTTCCCTTTGGATAGAGCACAAACAGCGAGAGGTTTTGACGCGCGCGCAAACCGGCAATCGCTGCGCTTCCGGTGTCGCCAGAGGTGGCGGCGACGACGGTCATCGGCTCGCTCAGTACATACTCAAAGAGATTGCCTAACAGCTGTAGAGCGACGTCTTTAAAGCTAAAGGTAGGACCGTGAAATAGCTCTAGGACCAGAGTGTTTCCCGACGGTGACAGTCGGTGTAGCGGAGTTATCTTGGTGTCGGAGAATGTCGAGTAGGCGCGCTCGATGAGAGCTTTGAGATCGGCAGCTGGTATATCGGAACGATCGATATACAGCGACAGTATCTCAAACGATAGCTCTTGGAATGACTTGTTTCTCCAACTCTCGAGAGTCTCTGACGATAGCTTTGGAATGCTCTGAGGAATCAGCAGACCACCGTCATCTGCCAGACCCATCTTAACAGCATCTACAAATGTTAAACCATTTATCTTTCCTCTTGTACTTTTATATTTCATTTTATTTTATTTTATTTTTATTACTTTTATTTATTTTAATTTTAATTAAACGCATTGGCGATGAAAAAAAATATTTTTTTTAAAATTCATATCATGATTATTTTTTTTAACAAACAACACATAAAAAAGTAGTAAAAGTGTTTGAATATACATTGGTCATCAAACAATCAATTTTGAATTAAAAAATTGCACTACACACGGTTTTTTCAATTTAAAATTATATTTAAAAATAATTATTTTATTTCTGTACTTTTACTTTTTATGTAAGAATATGTTATAGTTTTAAAACAAATTATCAAATCTGAAGAATAAAATTTAACACATTTTTGGAAAACCAACTTTGATATCTTATTTTTATGATGTTCTTTTTTTCCACCTGTCATTGAATGGAATTAAACATAAATTTATGTTTAGAGTTACACGCAGAGTTTTGATTGCATTTTTTTATCTAGATTTTTTAAAGTTTTATAAAAATCTTTGGTCCAAAAATAGTTCTTTTACAAAAAATTTCCAAAACAGCAGTTTTCTTCGAAAGCTAAATTTTTTTTTTCTTTTTCATGAATGGTCAAACCTTCTCATTTTCTTATCCAAACTACCAATTCTAAATATTTCTTTATAACACAATAATTATAAATGAGTGTAGATTTAAACAAAGTTATAAATACAATCAAAGAAAGAGAATTAGATAAAGTAATAGAGTTGTACAAAGATAGAAATGAATTGATTAATGATCTATTCAGTGTTTTAAATTCAAATTTCACTCAAAAAAATGTATGTATCTCATCTTTATGTTAAGGTATAATCTTTCTGTTATTTAATATATTTTTAAAATAACAGATTGTTGAGGATTGTTTCTTCATTTTGAATGAAATGATATCAAACACGATTTGGAATGATCTAACATTGACAACAAAGATTGAATTACAATCAAAATCATTGGATCTTCTTGAATTGGAATGTAATCATCTCAACACAATCACAATTGAATTCATTAACTACCTTTATCACAATCATAATCATGAAATCAGTAAATATATAAATAATAAATACTCTATTGTTGCAATGAATAATATGCAGCAATACTCGAAATGCTAATATTAACTAAACTAATCAACAAATACCTTATTATTTATTATTTATAATAGATGAATATCAAAGTATATTACAATCAATATCAAAAAGATATATCAAACATAACAATACTGAATTTAGATTCACATGTTTGGAATTGATTTGTTTGATTTTAAAATCAAAAGTATCAACTGAAGAAATCAATGAATTCGAATCATCACTTTCAAATTTGATCACAATCAGCTTTGAACAACCCAATGACAATACATTGTATTTTATCAAACATTTCGAAATAATCAAACCAAATTTTCCTGATTTACGTATAGAAAATGAAACAATTACGACCTATCTTAACAATGTAAGTTTTTAAACCTTGAAAATAGATATCTAGATAAATATTAAAAGCTCGACAATTATTGTACAAATCTATAGAGATTTGATGATTATATCATGAGTGAATCATACAACACAACAGTTTTCTCGAATTTCTTTGAAGAAATATTTGAATTATCAGATTCAAATAAATTGGATGATCGTAAGTTTATCTTAGTCTTATTCCTTTCAAAAGATAATTAATATACTAATAACTTACTTTCCTTATTATTTTACAATATAATTGAATAGGTATCGCTCTTGTTTTATTGAGTAATCTAATATCTGCTACCGAAGACGAAGATGTTCAAATTGAAGAAGAATTCAAAGATAAATACTTGCATTTCATTTTCAAACAATTTTTTAAAATAGATGATACACAAGTTCAAAGATGGGATGATCAAGTAAGTATAAAAATTTTTGTTAAATATAATTTTGTATTATTTAACTTTTAATATTATTTAATATTTTAGAAACAAGTGTGTAGTTCCTCAGGCTTTCCAATTCTATGTTTAAATTCAATAGCTTTTACATACGACAAGCTTTTATATCAAAGATTCAAGGAGTTAAAAGATCAAGTCATTCAAACTGGAGATTGGAAACAGTTATGTGGATTATCAACTATAGCTAGCGTGACACTTAAAGATTATATCGATGAATATACTTATATTGGGTAAAGTGATATATTTTTGGAAAAAGAAATACTCTCTTACTAATTAATTAAAAAAATTTCAAGTGTTTATAAATGGATTTCTGAATACTTTGTTCATCCAGAACCATATGTAAGAGCAAACTATATCGAATTAGCTGTAGCTTTGATCGAACAATGTGAACCAACAGTTGAAGAAACCATTACTTTATTGGATAATGTGTTGAGTTTGAATGATAGTCATCCACCTGTCCAAAGAGGAATATTTAAATTAATCAACACAATGATTGCATTGGAAAATTCAAAATTCAAAGAAAAGATCGATCGAGTTTTAGAGTACTGCTCGAAATATATGAATATCGAACAACCAAATGATATTATAGAAGGTGTTGTTGGTTTAATAGGTGGCATCTGTGGCTCCATGTTTGAAAGTATTTCAAAATATGCCAATAGTTATCTTTCATTCATGATGTCAATCATAAAGAGTGATAGATTCAATCCACACAGTCACATGTTTGGTATAGTTCTTGAAGCAATAAGTGTTATCATTTTAGAATCTCACGGCTCGGTCGATGTTGGTTTCAAACATTCATTTGAAACCATTGAGATTATCAAGAGAAACATGCCACCTCATACCGATGAGACATCGGGTAACTACGCCAGATCTTTGGTTCGATTTGTCCAAGCATTGAAAGCGAAATTCCAACCACATTATGAATTCCTCATTCACTACCTTATCAATACTCTCGATTTCCAATGGGATGAAATCAAGCAAATCTCGCAGGATGAACTAGATTCTCGTCATGAGACCATTGGGTTGACAATTGCATTGATTCCCCTGCTTACATCCGAACAACAACCATCAATCCAACCATACATCGGACAACTTATAACCCAGCTTTACAAAATGATCGACTTTGGATCAGTAATAATCAAAGAAGATTCAGTTCGTTTACTTTCACTTTTATTTGAAACTACAATTACACACTATCAACTCACTAATCTCAATAACAAATCCAACACAAACAACAAACATATCGAAACACTTCGTCAATCGATCATAAGTAGACTCCAACAATCGATTGATATGGAAGAGGACGAAGATGTTTTAGAAATCAAAGAAGAGGAACTTGAAAATATTAGTAAACTATTAATTAAAAATTAAATCAAATTAGGTAACTAAATTATGAAAAAAAAAACAGAAACATTGCTAAAAACAAACTTTTCGACCAATAAAATAACAAATATTTAAACATATAATTTTTATTTAATTTCTTTTTGAGAATAATATTTTTAATTTTGTTCTTTAAAGATTTGAGTCAAAGGGGATGTTTAATATATCCTTAGCAATTATCATCAAAATCTATATATTCAATTCCTAATTTAATTTGGATCAGATTATAATACCGAGAGCAAATTTCCTACATGTTTTTATCAAAGCAGTAAAGAATTTAATATTATTTATCTTTTTGTAAAATTTAAGAAGAAACATGCCACTCATAACAACCCAGCTATGAATAACTACTCAAGATCTTTAGTTCAATTTGTTCAATCACTTAAATCGCAATTCACTCTCTTATCAATTTTCTCGATTTCCAATCATATGAAATCAAGAAAATCTCAGTAGATTCAGTAGGTTGTCCACATGGTGAGGCAGTTCATTAGGTATTTTCATTAATTTCAATACTCTCCAGCGAAGAACATCCATCGACCTATCCTTATATCGGTCAATTCATACCTCAACTTTTCAAACTACTCGACTGTGATTCCGCAGTAATCAAACAGGAATCAGCTCTTTTACTTTAACTTCTATTTTCAAAGAAAATGGAATTTAATCAAACATATTCTTAAATGAAAATACACATGTTTTAGATTCATAAAAAATTAAAAATAGAAACAATAAGCTTACGACCTATGTCCATTGTATTGTTATTATTATACTATAATGTTTGTTAGTTTGGTTTAATTTGTTGGTATGACTGTATAGTGATCTTCAACAACTTTAATTAATTGGCAATAATTAATTCAAAACGAGACCTTTTGTATAAAAATTTAAGTTGTAAACCAAACTATATAGTTTTGTTTTTATTGATTGTGCTTATTATGACCTAAAATTCTTTACAATGATTAAACAAATTTTTAGTTACTCTAAACATATAATGAATCTAAACGAGCACTTTTTCAATCAAAAAAAGTGGGATAAAGAGCTGGTTCTTTTTCCTTTTAAAAAAATTGTTGATCAAAATTAATGATATGATAAAATAATAAAAAAAGATTTACCCAGTACATATAAGAGAAAAACTGATATGTGGATATTTAGTTTACTCCTTTGAATCAATTAACAATACCCCACCACATTTTCAAATACAAGTATAACTCAGTACTTTGAATTCTATTTTAATGATAAATTTGTATTTTAGAACGAGCATTGATTGCTTGTGAACAACTATGAAAATCGAGTTTATATATAATTGGTGTCACAGGAGATGTAAAACAAACAAAAAATGTTTAAATAAGCGTTAATATTATAATAATGAAAGATTATACTCTATTAGATTGATCAAAAACATAATAATTAGGATATTAAAAATTATTAACAATTAACATTTAATCAATTATTTACTTAAAGTGAAATAATATTGTTTTTTGATATTATTTTATTATATTTGGTTTTGCAACATGAATATTTAAATATCATTGCCGTAAAGTGTGTAAAGTTCGCCAGATGCAACAACGGCATATAATCTGACACCGTTTGGAATGATACGGGTGACTTGTGAAGTTGATGAGTAGACATACCACCAATTTCCAGTTGCTTCTTGATTTCTAAAGATATCAACACCGTTTGAACCGATACCATAGAGGGCGTTCTTTGTCACACCGAAAGCATCACCCGGTCCACCAACTACAAAGAAAGCAGGTGTTGTGCCAGTCCAGATATCTCCATTCGCTACAATGACATAACCTCTGTTTCTGCCAGAGAGTACGTCTTGACCGTTGAATACATTGGTATTGGTGAGAACACCGTTGCTATACATTTGCAATAGACCGCCTGGTAGCAGAGCAAAGAGGAAGTCACCAGATGCACTGAATTTGGTTGCTGGAGGGAAGTAGAAAACTGTTGTCCAATTGTTGCTGGTGGTTAGCATCTGGACTGTGGTGTCTGTACTGTAATAGTAGAGTGTATTACCACCTCCAATTAGGAACTGAGCACTGACTCCACCGGGTCCTGTCACTACCCAATTGGAAATGGCAGGATCATACTTGTAGATCATTCCCCAAAGAAGAACATAGGCATAGCTACTTGTACAACCTAAACTTTGACCGCTACTACCAATCTCTAACCAGGAAGAAGCCAATTGATTACGTCTGTACGACTTGTTTGGTGTATTGTCAATCTTATAGACATCGTCGGTTGAGCTAACAACACAGAAATCAGTTGCAGCATCACTGAATTTCGACCATTGTAGAGTTGTTGGAATTCCTGTAGTAGTGGTAGTTGTAGCTGATCCAGTAGTTGCTGAACCTGTTGTAGTGGTAGCCGATCCTGTTGTTGCCGACCCTGTTGTGGTAGTGGTAGTTGGACTACCAGTGGTAGAGGTTATTGTAGTAACTGAAGATGTACATCCTGAACTGAATGTTCTTTGGTTGGTATATTGCAACATCCAAGCGTAGATATCATAGTTTGAATCGGTTCTCTCATATAATGGAGTCCAACAATCATGAGTAAAACTTGGATTCCAACCTGCAGCGAAAATAGTTTTCTTTGCTCTTGGACAAATACCTTTTGATCATGATTATAGTCGAATAAAATTAGTTTATTAAATTAACAATATGTTTATAAATATAAATATTTACCTTGGTTATTTAAATAATCAACATTTTCAATTGTTCCCCACCAAACAACATTGTCATTTGCATTCCAAAATCCCCATACCGGTAGACTTGAATCATAGATACCAGTTCCAGATGTAACTTGAGCAGTTGCCATGGTTAAAGCAGCAGCGAATAAATCGGAATTCGCTTTGGAGATTTTGAGCATTTCAAAGACTGCGGTAGCACCACCGGATAAACCTGTAAGGTAAACTCTTGAGGTGTCTGCACCAGGATAGAGTGTCGACAATGATTGAGTGAAGCTCAGAATCTTATCGGCATTCCAACCGTTTCCATTGATTTGTGGCGAGAGAACTACAAATGGAAGAGTTGTATCCCATCGGTTGTTTTGAATTAACATTGGTGGAGCACCCGGAGCATTTCTCAATAAATTCAGATCTGTTGGCCAATTGCTATTCCATGCGATTTCACCATTACCATGACAGAAAATAATAACTAAAAGAGTTTTATTAATTAAATATTCTTTTTATCTATTTTGAATGAAGATGGTTGATTTTTACCTGGTGATTTATTTACTCCTGTTGGATCGTAGTTTGATGGAAGATATTCTAAATACCATAGTTTATCGGTGGTTGTATATTGATATGATCTATCGGTTTGTGTTAAACCGTTTACACAAACAATTGCTGTTACTAATAATATTACAAATAATTTCATTTTTTGTTGTTGTTGTTGTTGTTGGTTGACAAAAAGAAAATAAAGAAGGTTCAATGAAAGGTTTCATTCTACTAATTAAAACATTACTATCTATGTTTATTTCCGTTTCTGTGTAAACCACAAGAGAAAAAGAATATCTATTTTGTTGAAATTAATAAAAAAATCAGAATGAATGACCCGATAATGATATGATCTGGCAACGAGTACCATATCATTTTTTGTTTTATTTGAAAAAACTCACCACATTTTGATTGACTTTGTTGTTTTCAAAATGTTACTCCACTAGAGATACTTTGGCAGTCATTGAATGAAATGAATCTTTAGTACTTTAGATAGATCTATAGAAGATAGATAGTTAACCTAGGATAGTTAGTGTAGTGTGGTGCGATGAACAACAAGTAAAATCATTGTGTTTGATCTATTTTTCATTTTGTTTTTTTTTTTTAGTTTTTCATCAAACTTGACCTTTTTTTTTATCATCACCAAAAATTATTTGAATTTTAATTTAAATTAATTTTAATTTTAATTTTAATTTTAATTTTTTTTATCTAAAAGCATGGGTCAATTAGTATCCTGAAAACCAAAAACAAATCTAATCAAATTAATATTCTTTTTTTTATATTTTTAAATATCAAGAATGACGAAAAAACTATAATTGGAACTAGACATTATTAACATATCTTTTCCACTTGATCAAAAAATTTTGTCGGTATTTTTGACCTTTTTTGTACCACCCTTTTTTGTTAGAAAAGGCAATACTTAAGAAAATAGTTGAAAAAATCCAAAAAATAAAAATTTCAAGTTTTTCTTTTGGAACTAAAAAATTTTAGTTCATCTAAAACATGATATAAAATGATCAGAATAACAACAATAATGAAATGTTATAATCATATTTATTATCTATTTATATAGTACGGAGATAGAGATATGGACTATTTGAATGTCTATGGAAATGGTGGCGCGGGAAAGAGTACAATTTGCAATACTTTAGTCAGAGAAGTACATTTCCCAAGTGGTGTTGCTGTTGGATCTGGTTTAACAAGAGAGTTTAAAACGAAAACCTTTGGTAATTTAACGGTTTCAGACTCTCCAGGATTGTTAGATCCAATTATTATGCAGTTGGCAATCCAAGAGATAGAAAAGTCATTGAAAGTAAACCCTGTTTGTAAGATAGTATTTGTAATCGCTTTGGATGCTGGTAGAGTAAAGGCTCAAGATATCGATTGTATCAATCAGATCTTGAGAGCGATCCACAACAGTGCTCCTATTTCGTATGGTTTGATCATCAATAAAGTAACTAGTGCTCTTGCCAACACGTTAAGATCGTCACCAACAGCATTGGATGCTTCGCTTGCCAGTCTCATCAGGAAACCTTCACATCAATTGATTTTGGAGAAAGAAGAATCAATTGAAGATGAAGATAATAGGATGATGAGCACCGCTGCCAGAGATAGCCTATTAAACTTCATAAGTCAACTTACAAACAATTATATCATAGCCAATAACATTCGTATTGAAAGAGAGAGAGAAAGACAAGAAAGAGAAAGAAGAGACAGAGAAGAAATAGAAAGACAAATAAGAATCGCACAGGCAGAGGCAGAGCGTCAGAGGCAAATAGCTGAAGAGAATCATAGAAGGATACAACAAATTGAAGCAGAACGAATTCGATTGGCACAAGAACAACAAAGACAGAGAGCTGAAGAAGAAAGAGTCCGTCTAGAGGACTTAGAGCGACAAAGAGTTATACAACAACAAATCGAAGAGGAACGACGTCGTCAAATTCGAGCACAATGTCCTCGAGGTCATCACGGTCACGGTCATCATCATGGTCACGGTCATGGACATGGTCATCACGGTCATCACGGTCACGGACATCATGGAGGAAGAGGAGGTCATGGTCATGGACACTGTCATCGCAATCGTGGAGAAGGACATGGAGGTGGTTAATCCGTTAAAGAACAAAAAAAATAAAAATAAAAAAAGTGTAATATTATTAACAATAATACTCATAGGATTATTAGATCCACTTATTATTATTATGTTATGATTTTGATAGAATTAGAATTAGTTTTTTTTGTGATGATCAAAAATAAAAGAGGATATTAGGCACCATGAAATTATGGTTAAGAATCAAAAACCCACAAATATATTTGACCTTAAAAACACTTATAGGATTAGTAGATATAATTATTTCATTATTAAGTTATAATATCTACTGTTAAAGCAATTACTCAACTCTTTATTTGAAAAGAAATCAAACAATATTTTAATTTTCATTGTGTAATTTAATATAAAAAATAAAATAAATTGAAATTACCCTAATTGCCCAATAAGTTTTCTTTATACTACTTTGATATTTAAATTGAAAACTATTTATTTCTTATTAAATTCCTACTGAAACTTGACCTGTATTTGGATTGTTTTTACTCACAGAAAAAACAGCCACCTTGGGAACCAGTTTCTTTTTAGAATTAAAAAATTTTGAAATCAAGTTTATAAATATATATTCGAATAATAAAAGAAAAGAAAACATTAATAAGAATAGTACATCTATAAATATTCAAGTTTAATAGAATACAAAATTTAAAAAAAATCTATTTTAAATTTTTTTTTTTTTGAAACAACAAAATGGAACTGGTCCGTAAAATTATCTTTAATTTTTAGAAGCCGGATGGTAATAGTTTCAAACTTAAAAATGTACAAACAAGATAAAAATAACATTTTTAAGTTTGAAAATATTCAATTTAGATGTTTTTAATTAATTTGATATAAAAAGAGCAGAATAACAACAATAATGAAATATTAAATCTATTTATTTAGTTTACTGTGATAAAGATATGGAGTATTTGAAAATCTATGGAAATGGTGGTGTAGGAAAGAGTACAATTTGCAATACTCTAGTCAGAGAAGTGTATTTCCCGAGTGGTATTGCTGTTGGATCTGGTTTAACAAGAGAGTTTAAAACCAAAACCTACGCTAACTTGACAGTTTCAGACGGTCCAGGATTATTAGATCCAATTATTATGCAGTTGGCAATCCAAGAGATAGAAAAGTCATTGAAAGCAAATCCTGTTTGTAAGATAGTATTTGTAATCGCTTTGGATGCTGGTAGAGTAAGGGTTCAAGATATCGATTGTATCAATCAGATCTTGAGAGCGATCCACAAAAACAGTGCTCCTATATCGTATGGTTTAATCATCAACAAAGTATCTAGTGCTATTGCTAACACGTTAAGATTGTCTCCAACAGCATTGGATGCTTCTCTATACAGCCTCATCAGGAAACCTTCACATCAATTGATTTTGGAGAAAGAAGAATCAATTGAAGATGAAGAGAATAGGATGATGAGCACCGCTGCCAGAGACAGTCTATTAAACTTCATAAGTAAACTTGAAAACAATTACATCATAGCTAAAAATATTCACATCGAAAGAGAGAGAGAAAGACAAGAGAGAGAAAGAGAAATACAAATAAGAATCGCACAGGCAGAGGCAGAGGCAGAGCGTCAGAAACGAATAGCTGAAGAGATCAACAGAAGGATACAACAAATTGAAGCTGAGATAATTCGATTGACACAAAAACAACAAAGACAAAGAGAAGAAGAAGAGAGAGTGCGTCAAGTGTACTTACACCAACAAAGAGTTCTACAACAACAAATCGAAGATGAAAAAAATCGTAACTTTACTAGATCCCTTGCTATAGCTTGATTCTTTAATCACTAAACTCTAACTTCTCTCTATATAACATCGAATTAAACTCAATGTTTATCCCAATAATAAAGCTTGTCGGCTGTTTAACTCTAACTATTACTTTCATATTTATGCTAAAAGATTTATAAATATAATTATTTTTAGAAGTGAACTATTATTTATTAAAATCTTTATCTTTTTTTATTTTATATTGTCCCAGATTGTTTTAAATAGTATGCAGTAGTGTGTAAAGGATCTTGCAATCAATTCGCCTATTTTTTCATTGTTGTTATGGGTTTGATGAAATTAAGTATATGTTCGGATGGGAGTCTGGTCTAGTCCCACATTTCAAATTAAATTTATTTCAATAAGGTGATTTTGGTTATTAAAAAAAACACAATTCAACATGTGAGCACTTTGCTATATTATTTTAGAATAGCACTTTCAACTTGAATTCTTTATCTGGAGTGTTTGAATGATGTAAAAATATTTTATGTTGTTTTCTATAAGTAAAATATCATAACCATTATTGATTCCTGGTTTGATTATATTTTATGAATAAAACAAATAAAATATTACTTTAAATTCAATTTATTTACTTCTTTCAACAATGAGTATTAATATTCATCTCAAAAAAGTAGAAATCGACCTAATATACCCTGTAAAGTCTCTAACCATATTAATAATTTATTATAATTAAAGATTAATAAAAAAACAAATTTAAAATTTTTAATTTTTAAGTTTTCAAAAGTGGGTTGGAATTAAACATTCAAGTTTAATACCTGCTGATAAAAAAATGATCAGAATAACAACAACAACCACAACAATGAAAGATTATAATCATTTCTAGTTTTTACATAGAATTTAGTGATAAAGATATGGAGTATTTGAAAGTCTTTGGAAATGGTGGTGCAGGAAAGAGTACAATTTGCAATACTTTAGTCAGAGAAGTGTATTTCCCAAGTGGTGTTGCTGTTGGATCTGGTTTAACAAGAGAGTTTAAAACGAAAACCTTTGGTAATTTAACGGTTTCAGATTCTCCAGGATTATTAGATCCAATTATTATGCAGTTGGCCATCCAAGAGATAGAAAAGTCATTGAAAGCAAACCCTGTTTGTAAAATAGTATTTGTGATCGCTTTGGAAGCTGGTAGAGTCAAAGATCAAGATATCGATTGTATCAATCAGATCTTGAGAGCAATCATCAACAATACACCTATATCATATGGTTTGATCATCAATAAAGTGACACCACCAATTGCCAAGTTGTTAAAATCTACACCAACTACATTGGATGCCGCTCTTCACCGATTGATAAAGAAACCTTCACATCAATTGATCTTAGAGAAAGAGGAATCGATTGAAGATCAAGATAATATGATGATGAATACCGTCGTCAGAGCAGGTCTATTAAACTTCATCGGTAAACTACCAAAAAACGATATCATAGCGAAAAACATTCGTATTGAAAGAGAGAGAGAAAGACAAGAGAGAGAAACAAAAGAAAGAGAAGAGAGACTAAGAAAAATAAAAATGGCACAAGAAGAGGCAGCACGTCAGAAGCGAATAGCCGAAGAGAACAACCGAAGGATACAACAAATAGAAGTTCAACAAGTTAGATTACACAAACATCAACAGTGGCAAAGAACAAAAGAAGCTAAGCTAAGTCAATTGTATTTACAACAACAAAGAGAAATGCAACAACAGATCGACGCAGAACGACTTCGCTACAGCCAATATCGATAAATTATAAACCTATTTTAGAAAATAAAATATTATTGTATTCATAACATGTTAAAATATCTATCTACTCTATGTTTTTATTTATATAAGTCAACAACGCAAGTGAAAAAAAAATGAAATTAAATTTGGTGAAGTTTCATTCATTTTTTGATAAAGACTGCAGTTTAGTTAATATCAAAAAAAAATGACATCCAATCTGATAGATATAGATAGTTTAATTGGTGATGATAACAATAATAATAATAGTAATAGTAATATAAATAACAATAATAGTTTAGATTTATTTAAACAAAATACATTTAGAAGATTTGGTATTGAAGTTTATTGTAAAAACAACAACAACAATAGTAATAGAAAAGATACTTTAATAGATACTAAAGGATATAGATTATCGGTATTACCGTTTTTCTTTAAGAATAGAGTGAATTTCCTACCTAGGTCACAACAGCAACAGAGTAGTAGTCCAATTAGAACGACCAATCATATACCGGTACCACCTTCTTACAATGCATCTGAAGACGCTGGAATACCTACACAGTTGAATCAACCGATATTCGACATCCTCTCGAAATCGAAATACATATCCACACAGACACATGAGAATCTCTGTGAATTCATAGCTGCTGAACCTTCACAAAAACATCATGGTAAACTACTATTAATTATAATTATAACTACTATTCAACTTTAAACATCATATTATTAACTAATATACATTTAAATGGTATCAACTCAATAGATCAAATATTAGTTATATCTGAAGATTATGATCTTTCTTTATCTAGTATGATGAAAGATGGTCCGCTGACATCAGAGCAAATCGGATCTTTTTCATATCAAATATTGAAAGGATTGGTTCATCTTCATCAAAATCGTATCACTCATAGAAATCTATCAACAGAGAATATAAAGTTAGATTCAAATGTATGTTGCCAAACACACCTAATCTTAAAAACCATTATCATATTTATTAACTTTGTTTTTCATATATCTTAATAGAGAAATATTAAGTTATCGAATTATTCACTATATTATCTATCGAATCAAGGTGAGAATGTAGCATTTCCAATTGGTAATCTTTGTAATTTGTCACCGGAATCGATATTGAGTGATCGTGATCTGAAAGGCTCGAGCAATCCAAAGTGTGATGTCTGGTCGTTGGGTTGTATCATCTTGGAGATGGCATTCGGACATTGTCTATGGTACGATAAAGATCCATCGGTTGTACTCAATCGTCTTTTATATCTCTCGAATCTACCATCCAACCAAACATACAATATAAAGACACAACAATTTGAATTGATAAATAATGGTACTGTAGTAGCTGATAACACTAAGAGTAATAGTACGATTTCAAAGATTCTAGAGAATCAAAGTAATATGAAGAGATTCCTTAGGAATGCACCATCACCAGGTTTGGATTGTTTGCCCGATTTACTGGTGCAGTTTATCAATTGCTGTTTGACTGTCAACTCTGAGACACGTCCGTCCTCTGCAGAGCTGCTGGAACATCCTTATTTCGATGCGATACGCAAGGTCGATCGGTATGCGCCGGTCTATGTGGAGCGACCAGCAGTAAAGTCACTGGAGTTGCCCGATGACTTGGAGGCGAATGCCGAATCGATTCTCAATGATACCGGCAGTCAAGATAGAGATATATTCTCGGGTGCTGAGATATACTATCTCTGGAGGTTGGCAGGTGGTGATATCGAGCGAGAGTTGGTGGCACAAGGGCTAGCTAATCCTTCGCCATCCGTCCACAAACTTCCGCTTTTCGTACCGCTTGTCAAGTCTGGAACAACAACAGCTTCTTCTTCACCAACCATGTCGAATTCACTTGGTGACTTGCTAACAGTGGCGTCGACGCCAAAGGAATCATCTTCACAACAACCAAACAACAACAAGACAACTAAATTTGGAGATTATAAAGCTGTACTTTATAATTCTAAAACATGTGTTTTGTCAATCGATAGAATTGTCGAGAGAATCAGACAGGCCTATGGAATTAGAAATGAATTGTTGGAAGCTGATAATATCGGTGGAGATGGCTATCTATTTGGCAGTGGAACAAGTAGTAAGCAGAGTGGAGTCGCCGGTAGTTCTCAGAGAACACCGGATCAAGAGTTGGAATATCAGATTGCAAGACTGGCTGCTTTCCACGACGCTCTCTACAAGTATGCTTTCGAGGATGCAATGCAAGCGCAGCCACAGATTATTCGACTGGCCAAGCACGGCATTCCAAAGATACTGAGAGGCGACATCTGGGCATCGATCCTCGGTGTTGTGCAACAAGAGGCAACAGCTACCTACCGCTCTATCAATCTCGATACTCGCGGTCCCAACGACAAGCAATTCGAACTAGACATTCCTCGTTGTCATCAATATCATCCGCTGCTATCTTCGCCGAGCGGACACACTCAACTGTTCCGTATCCTCAAAGCTTGGTCACTCTTGAATATCGACAAGGGCTGCTATTGGCAAGGTTTGGACAGTGTCGCCGCACCGTTCGTTGTCCACTGTTTCTACGACGAACCGAAAGCTTTCGCCTGTCTGAAATCATTCGTTGACAAGTATCTCTCGATTCTCTATGTGCCAAACAACTATGCTGCTCTCAGTGAAATCATGTTGACCTACACCCAGCTTCTCTCTTACCACGACCCGGAGCTGTCGATCCATCTCTACGACGTGCAGCTCGAACCGAATCTCTATGCCATTCCATGGTTTATCACTATTTTCGCACATCTTTTGCCGATTGACAAGATTGATATTCTCTGGGATACCATTCTTCTCGGTCCAAGTTCACTCCCCTATTTCTTTGCCGTCTCGATTATGAGTCAGTTCCGATCATCAATGCTAAAGTCATCGCTAGAGAATTGTATTAAAACTATCTCCAAGATTCCGTCGGTCGACATCAACCAGTGTGTTAGCGATGCTCTCGAGAAATTCAACATCACTCCACTGAGTACCACCATTTCGAAATCGGTCAGTAACATCGACGATGAGCTGTGGTGGATGAAAGAAGTACCAATGGAAAAGAAGAAACAAGAACTGTTCCCGCGAATGGGTATACACGATTTGATCAACAATCCAAACTCAAAGATTCTCGATATTCGACCATCGAAACAATTCCAACAGTGTCACTATCCAAACTCTGTAAATATCAATTATATACACACTGCCACACCAGCCAACCAACAACAGAATCCACATCAAATGCATCTCGGTACACTTCAACAAGCAAGCTCAGTTGCACAGCAGCAAGTGGCAACAACCACTCAACAGAAACCACCCAAACCTTTTAACCCAGCAATACTCGAACAATATCGTGGACATCCAATCGTCGTAATAGCAGGTCGTGGTGACGAAGGAGTAGACTTTTGTAACCAATTGGTTCGTTGGAAATTCCCATTCGTAGCACTACTCAATGGTGGAATGGATGCACTCGAGCATGGTGCACAAACACTTTTAATAACCAATGAATCATAAAAATATAATAATAATAATAATAAATAATAAATATAATAATCAATAATAAATAATTATTCCTTTAAAAGGAATATTTATTTGATCATCTTTTTAATTAACTAATTTTAGAAATCATATGATTATTTTTTTTTTTTTTATCCCCGATCCGATGAACATTGATTTGAAATTTAGTTAAATTAATGATCTTTTTTCTTTCATTCATTGATTATTATTATTATTATTATTTATTACAAAGAAGATATGTCAAATCAAGTTGGTATAGAAGTTTGTGTAGATAGTTTACAATCATGTTTAGAGGCTGTTAAAGGTGGTGCCATTAGACTTGAACTTTGTTCAGCATTGTTTCTAGGTGGTCTTACTCCAAGTTACGGATTGATGAAGATAGTCAAACAAAAACTACCAGACTTTCAAATAAACGTAATGATTAGACCAAGAGACGGAGATTTCCTTTACTCAGACGAAGAAATAGAAATTATGAAACATGAAATTGATATTGCAAAGAGTTTGAATTTCAATGGTGTTGTATTTGGTGTATTGAACGCGAATGGTACAATCAATAAAGAAACAACAAAGATGTTGATAGAATATTCAAATCCATTATCAGTTACATTTCACAGAGCAATAGGTAAAGTAAACAAAAAGCAAACAACCAACTACCTTCTATTTATATAATTAGAAAAGATAATCAAAAAAACTAATACTAATTGCCAACTGTCGTTACTTATCTATTAGATATGTGTAGAGATTATAAAGAAGCAATGAATGATTTAATTAGTGTTGGTGGAATTGATAGAGTTTTAACAAGTGGATTGGAATCTTCGGTGATGGAGGGTATCGATACCATTATTGAAATGATTAAGATGGTTAATAACGCCGGATCAAAGATGATTATAATGCCAGGTGGGGGTGTAACAGAGAGAAACATCAATAAGATTGTAAAGACTCTTAACATTAAAGAGATTCACCTGTCCGGTAGAATCAAACTAGATTCCTCAATGCAATTTAGAAACACAAGAGTATTCATGGGTGGTGAACTAAGACAATCAGAATATCAATTGGCATACGTCGATCAAAATAAGATAAAATCATTTCAATCTGCTGCTAATCAATAAATAAACATTTATTTTAATTGTGTAATTAAGATTCTCTTATTCTATAAATTATTTATTGTTTCTGTTGTTGTTGTTGTGGTTGTTGTGGTTGTTGTTTATAGTTTGGTCTTCTTGAACCACCACCACCACCACCTCTTCCACCACGGAAACCTTGTGTACCATCTGGTCCAAGTGGTTGTCTACCTGTACTATTGTTACTATTATTATTATTATTGCTGTTGTTAATATTGTTATTACTATTTCCACTTGATTTATTACTTTTAAATGATCCGGGTGAATATGTTCTTTCCGATGGTTTCGGACTGCTAATGGGTGGTGAATTTGAGTTTGGTGAAGGTAAATATTGCGGTGAAGAGGATGATACCATCGATGGAGATGATACTTTTGTACTGTTGTTATTATTATTATCTTTATCTTTATCCTTATCCTTTTCATCAGCAAACAAAGCAGCTCTTGCTCTTTCATAGTCTGCCAATTTCTCTTCGAGAGTCTTTATTGGTTTTGCTGGTGCATTATCAACGACTACATTATCTTTCTTTCTTGGTAATATCTCTAATAATAATATTATTGTTTTGTTTAGTTAATATATCAAATATATTCTACCTCTTCTAAGAAATGACTTACTGAATGTAGGTTTCGATTCATAGAAAGCATGATAGTTTTGTAAAGAGAATGCTTGATGAGTTGGTGCATTCTCTATGATATCATTACTGGATGGCAATGAGATGGGTGGTTGTTGCGGTTGTTGCGGTTGTTTATTTTGTACTTTTTTCGATCCCAATGGAGGATAATCATCTATATCTTCCCATGATGTAGATGAGGATGATGTATTATCATTTACATTATTACTATTCATATTATTAGAATTTTAAACAGTTTGATCTTATTATTTCTTAATAATATAAACTTAAACTATCTAATAACAAAAATATAACAAAATATAACAAATAACTAAGAAGAACAATAAAACAATATAAATAATTTAAATATTAATCATTCAAAACTTCTTTTCTTTTTTTACGTTTTTTTTCTACTATATATTATTCTATTGTATATATATATATATAAAATACTTATAATATTAATATTATATTATTATTTATTTATTTAAAGAAAAGATAAAGATAAAGTTATTTATATATTAACATCATAAAACACAATAACTTCTTAAACTCGAGGAAAATGAAATTATAAACAAACTGTTTTTTTTTTTTTTTTTTAATTTAATTTCTTTTTAAAAAGTTTTATTTTAATTTTTTGTTAACTTATAGATTGATTGATAGATAGAAAGATATAACAATTCAATGTCTTCTAAATTGATAAATAGTAATAACAATAGTAATATGATTAATATTTATAATAATAATAATCATCATGATAATCAAGATAGTTTTGAATTGAATAGTAGTCAAAGAGAGAGAATCGAAACACTTTTTCTTTATCAAAAGTTTGATAATGTAATAGTTGAATGTTTAAAGATACTATTAGCAAATCAAACATCTTTAAATAATAATAATAATAATAATAATAATAATAATAATAATAGTAATATAGATAGTAATAGTAATGATAATAATGAATCATCGGAAGAAGAGAATAAGAATGTAAATCAATTATTATCTGACATTAGTTTAGTTAAACATAAATGTCATGTCAATGATAGATTTCAATTTCAAAGCCAATGCCGATGCCAATGGCCAATGGAACTACTGATCCAATCACTCTATGAAGTCGGTAAATCGTCGGATGCTCTAAAACTAGTCAATAAATACTATGAGAATGGTTTATTATATTCACCTTTCAGTGTATTAATATTATGGTATGTTGATTATTAAATCTATTATTATTAATTAAGACTAAAACTAAAACACTAACTAACTATACAACTTTGGTTTATATAATAGTATTCATTTACTAGTTTATATGAAGAGTTATCATGAAGCGAAGCAGTTAATATTGAATTACTTGGATATTAGCAGCAGCAGCAGTAGTGGTAGTAGTGGTAGTAGTGGTAGTAGCAGTAGTGAAAGTGTAGATAAAGATCCTTCACAAAAACAAATGGAACATGACCAATTGGTGGAACTGTTAATCTTTCACATCATGTTTAGAATACCATCGATAGACGAAGCTAGATCGTTCCTAAAGAATAACAGTCATCTCTCTGATTGGAAGAGAGATGGATTCATCAAGTCACTCGAGGAAATGATACAAATCAAAGAGATAGAAGAGAAGAACAATCGTGATCAACTATTATTAAAACAGCAACAACAGCAACAGAAAGATCAGCAACAACAACAACATCAGCAACAACAACAACAACAAGAGAATAATATTAGTAGTAATAGTGATGGTTATGATATAACATCCTCAACCAACCAAATCAATTATAATAATAATCAAACAAATAGCAGCAGCAATTCAAGTTTTATAAAGAGGATAATATTACTGTTGCGACAATTCAGTGTAAAAAGAATGGTTTTGACGCTGAAGAAATATATCGTATCGATTGGTAATATTGTGAAATCAAGTAGTTTCCTCGCATGGATAAAGTCACATATACCTCTGATCGTTTGGAGCACCGTAATATTATTGAGCATACGACATCTTTTAGCTCAAAGAAGAATTGCTAATAATAATAACATAAATAATATATCATCACATCAACATCATCAACAACAACAACCATTTTCAAATCATCATCATCATCATCATAATCAACAACAGCAAAGAAGGATAACATCAAATATAAATGCAAATAATAATAATACAACAATTTCAAATCAAAGAAAAAGATTAGGATCAAATAATAATAATAATAATAATTATAACAACAATATTAATAACAATAATAACAACAATAATGGTTTATTGAAATCAATGAGCGATTTGCTTAATAACGCATTCAGCTTTAGATTTAGATAATTTATTTAAAAACAATTTTTATTAAATAAAAAGTTTGATTACAACAAAAATCACACCAACTACAAAAAATGAAAAAAACCCAAAAATAACAAAACAACGATCTTGTATTTTTTTGGACCACCATAGTTCAAAAGTCACATTTTTTTTGGAATGAGATCTCAATATTTTTTATAATTTATTTAGGGAGTGCTTTTTGATATTTAGGATTTTTCGGGTTACATCAAAGATTAGGATATTTAATGATTCGAAATATCTGAGCATTTTTAAAAAACAAACTGAAATCGTCAACTACCATTTTGAAGAAACAAAAGGTTCTCACTTGATCATTATTATTATCGATTTTATCTCATCAATAGAAATCAAATAAAATAAAATGAATTTATTATTAATTCTCTTATTATTTATTTCTTTTATTTTCTCTGGTGTCATTTGTAAGATTGGATTTTAGATCATACTTTTATTTAATTTATATATAGAATATTGATTGTTTATTTTTTCCAATTTATTTTTATTTTATTGTAAAATATAACAAGGTCAACAAGAAATTTTTGAATTCAAATATATAGAGGATAATTTCAATTTAACTGGATCAACACAGAGAGTTTCATTCTTAATAAAAGTATTAGATCCCACTGCAAACTATAGTATCGAAGATCCTAATTTCCAATGCTCCAATCTGAAAAAGCAAGAACAAAACAGATATCTACATACTTGTTTTGGTTTAGTATTTTTAGAGTATAATGCAGGAACCCAAAATATAGAATTTATATTTAATAATGGTTCAAACATTCAAAATAGTCTTACTTTAAGATTTAATATTGATTGTATGTAATTCAATTAATTAGTTTCAAGAATCTTCTTCCTCTTTGAATATTTTTTTATTTATCAATTACTACATTTTATATATATTATATATTTTATTATTATTTTTTTAGTTCCACCTGATTTACAAATTGGAGTAGCCAAATTTATAAGATACCCCAATTCCAATCATTTGACTATTTATGCTCAGACCAATTATACAACCAAAGCTTATCCTGTAAGATTGGATCTTGTTAATATGCCTGGTTGCTATTACGCATTGACAATGATGACAAGATTGCCAGGTAACGATGGAGTCTATTTTGCCGATATATCACCTACAGGTTCTGGAGCCTGTACTATTTTAAGTTCAGGTACCCTAAGAGTTAGACTATCTGGTTTTAATTCTTCTGGTTCAGTAGATATTGATATTCCTGCCTCATACTTTCCAAGTAAGTTTAAAAAAATTAATTAATTATAATATTCATTATATTAATTTCTTTATTATTATTAAAATAGGTGCTGGTGTTGCTATGGGAACCCACACCATTTATCCATCTAGAAGAGATGTGTATGACAATGATTATATATATTGGTTTGGATCTCTAACAAATTTGAATGCACGATCAGCATTGTCATATCAACCAGCTATTAGTTTATCCCAATTATCCAATTCTAAAGTAGTAACTGGAAATTATCTCCAAAGTGCAAAGGTTTTGGGTATTTACAACCCAGATACAGTAAAAGTTCCTAAAAATGTTTCAATGGCATTTTTTGACGTATCAGATAATAAAACTATTTATGCAACTAATTATTACACCATTCAAACAAGTAAATATTAAATTTTTTTAATTAAACAATAATTTATAACTAATTTTAATTTGTTTATAGGTGGAAATAATGTTCCAATTTTAGGTAAAATTAGAAATATAAGAGAATCAATAGCTTGTTTTTAAAATATTAATATATTTTTATTTGTTTAGATATTTATCCAACTTTGATAGAATTTATTCAATTTGAAAAAGTAAATTCCTATTCATTTTTAATTCAAATGAAAGTTATAGATCCAGATGGATGTGTTTCAATAGAGTTTTCAAATGGAGTATCAATTGGATATCGTGATATGATAGAAGGTGATTATAAAAATGGTGTTTATGAGAAGGTTTTAAACTATACTTCAATCACAGATACTGTCTATGTATTAAGTATTAAAGATATCCTTGGTAATATTGTACAATGGAGAAGTGAAATTGATTTTTCAACAAATCAACAATTATTACCAAAATATCCATCCATATGTAAGTTATAAATATAAAATTAACAAATATTTAAAAGCTAATTTTTTTTAAAAATATTCATAGTTGGTGAAACTAATATGAAAAATATCACAATGTTTACCTTTGATAATCTTTTGGTCAATTCTTCACCACCACCACCAACAACTCCAACACCAACAGAATCACCAGTAGTACCAACACGTCCATCAGCAAATAAATTTGAGAGTCTCCAGGTGCTTGATGATTCGAGTTTTGTCGCTCGTAATATATTAAGATTTAATTTTTCGAATTCAGATCCAAATATAGAACCATTTATCATTGTTGATTTCAGTTACTTTGAATTTGAAAATAGAACACAGATTTTCAAAGGTTTTTGGAACACAACAGGTCTTCATTACCAAGTATCAATTACAATCCCTGAGAACTTGGCATCAAGAGAAATCGTTGTTACATTACCTATGTCATATTATTTCACTTCAAGTCAAATCTCATATTTGGATTACAAGTCATTCTCTGTTCAAACCTTTAATTGTGATCAACTTCCTCCAATGATCTTATCAGTTGAATTATCTCAGGCGAATCCATATTATTTTACTGGTGGCACAAATTTTATTGGTTGGAAGATTACTATTGAAGACTCTCCTAATTACTTTGTAAATGGAACTTTTTTAATTCAAGGCAGTATCGATAAATATCAATACAATCTCTCCGTTAGTAATCCCAATATGGTAGTTGGTTCCAATATATATTATATAAATATCCCAGTAACATTTTCCACCCCATCACAAATGTTTGACATTTTATCTATGGAACTTGTAGATTCATCTGGAAATATAGCTAGCAATATGATTGGATCGAAAACTCCTCTTTTCAATCCATATATGATTAACCAATTGTATAATTCTCGTATAATATTTTTAAATGCTAGTAAGTATTATAAAAAATTATTTAATATATCCGTCGGTATTAACAATATTTATTAAAAATAGATCAAACCAATGGAAATGATTTTAGTATGCCGGAGATTCTGTCTATGAACTTTTCACCAAATGTTATTGATGTTGGAGATCCAAACCCTTTGAAGAGACAGTTGACCGTCAGTGGTTTGTTCAGAAGTAATATTAGTGGAATAAATAGTGAAAAATATCCAATAGTATCATCTACATTCTTGGGAAAAACTTTAAGTTTTCAAATTGATAATGTTCAAGCATATAATTTATCAACAGTAATGTTTACAAAAACAATTGAAATTCCTTATGGATTTACAATTCCATCAACTTGGGATTTATCAATTTCATATGTTTGTTCATTTAATGGAAATTGTTTAAATTCAACATTTGGTTCTCTTCAATTTATTTATTCATACCGTAAGATATTAAAAAATATATTTTAAAAAATAATATTAACATTCGCCTATCACTATAGTTCCAATTCTTGAATCAAATAGTTTTATCGATAGAAATGGTGGAGAAATATTTATTTACGGTCAGAAATTTGGAAATCAATCAGATTTTAAAGGATTTGTTTCATATGAAAACGGTCAATATCAACCATTCCAAGTGAATTTCTTTAGCGATTCGATATTTTCATTCACAATGAATGCTTCAAATGCTGTGAAAATTATTGTTCAAAGTAAATTAGGATACTCAAACGTTCTGGTCATTTTAGGTTCGAATGAACAACAACCTACAATCCCTCCAGAGACCACATGTGGTGATCCAAAGTGTGGTGGAAATGGAAAGTGTGTAGATGCATTATGTCAATGTAATGAAGGATGGTCAGGACCATCTTGCCAATCAAAATTCATTCCTCAACCTCCTCCAAATGTTGATCCAAAATCACCAACCACCACGACCGATAACTCTAACGTTCAATTGATAGGTACCATCAAGATAGAATACATCAATGAATTGAAACCGAGTGGTGAAATTTTCAAACAATACAAGTTGGCTGATTGGAAAGGTGTGAAAGCGATTACATCTGATAGATTCCTACAATACAATTATACTAAATCAATTGGAGAGATTGACACCAATATCACAGTTGTTGTACAATGGTTTGGTGAAACTAGAAATGTTGAATTTGCAGGATTGAACAGTACAATGACACCTGGATCCATCAAATATAGTGTCATTATGGATAGATACATATTTGATTCACCACTTAATATATTGCAAGTGGTCATTGAGGTAGAGGTTGTAGAAATGAACAAAGATGGATGTATCGAGAAACAGACATCACCAAGAAAGAATGATATTCAATGGGTTAAAATCAGAGTTTCCGATCAAAGTTTCTATTGTAGATTCTTGAATAGAGCTTTGGTTGATTCTAGATCAACAGCTATTACAAACACATTATTGGATGGTGGAGGAAATCAAAGTGATATTCTCAACAGTAAAGTTGGAATGATGGTTCCATTTTATGAGAATCAAGTGATCATTGATCCAGATTTCAGTATTATCATTGACACTGAAAGCGATAATTCAAAATGTGGTGTTAAATCAGGAGACAATAATCAATGGAGGAAAATTGTTGGAATTGTAATTGGTTCTGTTTTAGGTGTTGCAATTATTGTATCAGTTTCATTATATCTTTATAAAAGAAATATTGTCTCAAAAGAGAATAAGAGAATGTCAAATAAATTAAAAAGACTCAGTTCTAATGAGGCTTAAAAATTATTTACGCTACATCTTTTAAAGATAAAAAAAAAAAAATAACATCCGAATCAATCAACCCTTATTTTTTTGTTGTTATTTATAATCATTTAAACCACTACACCTAACAAGACATAACAAAAATAGTATAATTTCATTTTATCCCTCCCCCCAAAAATGAAATTTTGCATAGCTTTTGTGTGCAAAAATAATGCTCGAATACAAAAAAAGCTGTGCAAAAAAAACCCAACCTATAAAACGAAATAACACACATCATGAACTACCAATTAAACTCTATTTTCATGGTGTCAAATAAAATTTAATATAATCATCATCATGATCAACAACAAAGTCGAATAACATCAACTACAAATGCAAATAATAAAACATATCAAAAAGGTTCTCAAATAAAATTATTTACAACAAACCACTCAAAAAAACAAAAAAAAAAAAACAAAACCCCCAAAAATAAAATTTTATATTTGATCCCATCAATTGTCATATTTGGAGATCAGATCTCATCACTGATCAAACTTTTTTTTGAAACAACAACATTGATTTTTTTGGATATTTTTCGGATCCGAAAAGATCTAAACACGTTTTTATTAAAATTTACAAACTTAAAATTTTGTCAAACAGTAATCATCTCACTTAAATCAAATAAAAATGAATTATATATTACTCCTATTATTATTTATTACTTCGATTTTCACAGTTGTCAGTTGTAAGATTAGATAATACTACTATTCATTTAAATTACTTTTGAATATTGATTTTTATTTTTATTTTTATTTTATTGAATTTATTTTGTTTTCGATTAAAATTAAACAAACCTAGGTCAACAAGAGATTGTTGAATTTAAATATATAGAAGATAGTTTCGATTTCGCAGGATCAACACAGAGAGTTACAATCTTATTAAGAACACCAGATCCAACAGCAAATTATATTATTACGAATTACAACTTTGTATGCTCCAATTTGCAAAAACAAGAACAAAACAGATATCTACATTCTTGCTTTGGTTTACTACAATTACGATATAACGCTACAGTCCAACCTATTTATTTTTTTATTAAGAATGGTAACTTTACTAATAATTTTCTATTTAATTTCCAAATCGATGGTATGAATTATATGGTTATTTCAATTTAATTAGTTATCTACTTCTTCTTTTTAACACTTACTTATCTATACCTTTATATACGTTTCATTTTAGTTCCACCTGATTTAGAAGTTGGATCACCTAAGTTTATGAGATATCCAAATTCCAATCATTTGACACTCTATGTTCCAACAAAATATAAGACCAAAGCATATCCTGTAAAATGCGATCTTATTACTATGACAGGATGTTATTACTCTTTGACAATGATGACGAGGATACCAGGTGAAGATGGAATCTATTATGTGGATATATCACCTACAACTTCTGGAGGTTGTAATACTTTGAGTACAAGTACTCTTACTGTTAAACTTTCTGGTTATAATTCTTCTGGAACAGTAAATATTGATATACCTGCTTCATACTTTCCAAGTAAGTATAAAAAATAATTATATTTTGAATATCTATTTATTAATTCTTTATAATTAGGTGCTGGTGTTGCTATGGGAGCCTACTCTACATATCCTTCTACCCAAGAGGTATATGACAATGCTTATACATATTGGTTTGGATCTATAACAAATTTGAATCCACTATCAACATTGTCGTATCAACCAACAAATTATATAGAAATATTATCAAATGCAAAAGTGGTAACTGGAAATTATCAACAGAGGGCAAAGGTCTTGGGTATTTACAAACCAAGTATTGTGGCTTCCCCTACAAATGTTTCCTTTGGATTTTTTGATATTTCAGATAGTACTTCAATTTTTAACACCGATTATTATACAATTAAACCAAGTAAATATTATAATTAATATTAAAAACAATAATTTATAACAAATATTAATATTTTTATTAAACTATAGGCGGAAATAATTTTCCAATTTTAGGTAAAATATGAAATATAAGAGAATTTATATATTGTTCAAATATTAATATATTTTTATTTATTTTGTATAGAGACCCATCCAGCATTGGTAGAATTTATTCAATTTAAAAAAGTAAATTCCTATTCTTTTTTAATTCAAATGAAAGTTATTGATCCAGATGGATGTGTTTCTATAGAATTTTCAAATGGAGTATCAATTGGATATCATGATTTGGTACAGGGTGATTCTCAAATTGGTGTTTATGAGAAGGTTTTAAACTATACTTCAATCACAGATACTGTCTATGTATTAAGTATTAAAGATATCCTTGGTAATATTGTACAATGGAGAAGTGAAATTGATTTTTCAACAAATCAACAATTATTACCAAAATATCCATCCATATGTAAGTTAAAAATATAATAAATTTTAAAAATCACTAAATAATATCTAATTTGCTTATCAAATATTTATAGATGGTGAAACTAATATGAAAAATATCACAATGTTTACTTTTGATTATCCTTTGGTCGATACAACATATACACCATCACCAACACCAACACAGACAGTACCAACACCAACGGCACCACAACCAATTAAATTTGATAGTATACAATTGGCTTTTGAGGATTTCGATGTTGTCAGTGGAAATATATTAAGATTTAATTTTTCGAATTCAGATCCAAATATAGAACCATTTATCATTGTTGATTTCAGTTACTTTGAATTTGAAAATAGAACACAGATTTTCAAAGGTTTTTGGAACACAACAGGTCTTCATTACCAAGTACCAATTACAGTACCTGCAAACTTGGCATCAAGAGAAATCGTTGTTACATTACCAATGTCATATTATTTCACATCTAGCCAAATCTCATATTTGGATTACAAGTCATTCTCTGTTCAAACCTTTAATTGTGACCAACTACCTCCAATGATCTTATCAATAGAACTTGCTCAACCAAATCCACATACATTTTTCTCTGGAATTAATTATATTGGTTGGAAAGTTACTATTGAAGACTCTCCTAATTACTTTGTAAATGGAACTTTTATAGTTCAAACCAATGTCAATAATTATCAATTCAATATATCAATTAGTAATACAAACATGTTAGTTGGTTCCAATGTATTCTTAGTAGATTTTCCTGTAACATCATTCACAACAACTCAAAGGTTTGACCTTTTATATATGGAACTTGTTGATTCCTCTGGAAATATAGCTAGCAATATGATTGGATCGAAAACTCCTCTTTTCAATCCGTTAATGATTAATGCAGTGGATAATCCTTCAATAATATTTTTAAATCCACGTAAATATTAAAAAAATTTATATAAAGTATAACAAATATTAACAATATTTAAATATAGATGAATCCACTGATTATAATGTACCAGAAGTTCTATCTTTGAACTTTTCACCAAATGTTATTGATGTTGGAGATCCAAACCCTTTGAAGAGACAGTTGACCGTCAGTGGTTTGTTCAGAAGTAATATTAGTGGAATAGATTATCAAAAGTATCCAATAGTATCATCTTTATTCTTTGGAAAAACTTTAAGTTTTCAAATTGATAATGTTCAAGCTTATAATTTATCAACAGTAATGTTTACAAAAACAATTGAAATTCCTTATGGATATACAATTCCATCGTTTTGGAGTTTAAGAATCTCATCTGTTTGTACAAACAATGGAATGTGTTTCAATTCTACACTTGGTTATCTTCAATTTATTTATTCATTCAGTAAGTAATATTATCTTTTGTTTTTTTTTACAAAATTGTTTTAAAAAAATAATATTAACAAATACAATCAATTTCATTATAGTTCCAATTCTTGAATCAAATAGTTTTATCGATAGAAATGGTGGAGAAATATTTATTTACGGTCAGAAATTTGGAAATCAATCAAATTTTAAAGGATTTGTTTCATATGAAAACGGTCAATATCAACCATTCCAAGTGAATTTCTTTAGCGATTCGATATTTTCATTCACAATGAATGCTTCAAATGCTGTGAAAATTATTGTTCAAAGTAAATTAGGATACTCAAACGTTCTGGTCATTTTAGGTTCGAATGAACAACAACCTACAATCCCTCCAGAGACCACATGTGGTGATCCAAAGTGTGGTGGAAATGGAAAGTGTGTAGATGCATTATGTCAATGTAATGAAGGATGGTCAGGACCATCTTGCCAATCAAAATTCATTCCTCAGCCACCTCCAAATGTTGATCCAAAATCACCAACCACCACCACCAATAACTCCAACGTGCTACTGACAGGTATTATAAAGATAGAAATCATCAATGAATTGAAACCGAGTGGTGAAATTTTCAAACAATACAAGTTGGCTGATTGGAAAGGTATTATATCGATTGCATCAGATAAATTCCTACAATACAATTATACCACACGAGTTGGAGAGATTGACACCAATATCACAGTTGTTGTACAATGGTTTGGTGAAACTAGAAATGTTGAATTTGCAGGATTGAACAGTACAATGACACCTGGATCCATCAAATATAGTGTCATTATGGATAGATACATATTTGATTCACCACTTAATATATTGCAAGTGGTCATTGAGGTAGAGGTTGTAGAAATGAACAAAGATGGATGTATCGAGAAACAGACATCACCAAGAAAGAATGATATTCAATGGGTTAAAATCATAGTTTCCGATCAAAGTTTCTATTGTAGATTCTTGAATAGAGCTTTGGTTGATTCTAGATCAACAGCTATTACAAACACATTATTGGATGGTGGAGGAAATCAAAGTGATATTCTCAACAGTAAAGTTGGAATGATGGTTCCATTTTATGAGAATCAAGTGATCATTGATCCAGATTTCAGTATTATCATTGACACTGAAAGCGATAATTCAAAATGTGGTGTTAAATCAGGAGACAATAATCAATGGAGGAAAATTGTTGGAATTGTAATTGGTTCTGTTTTAGGTGTTGCAATTATTGTATCAGTTTCATTATATCTTTATAAAAGAAATATTTTGACAAAAGAGAAAAAAAGAATGTCAAATAAATTAAAACAAATGAATAAATAGAATATTTTAATACATCTTAATTTTTTTATCTTTTTTATAGTATCAAAATTTTTTATTTTTTAATTTTCTTGAAGAGCCTAGACAACAGCAATGATCTAGAAATAAAAAATAGTTTAGAATAAATAGTAAATATTAATTTGACTATTGAAAAAAACAATAAAAAACATTAAATCATCTTTGTCATATGAAAATAACATATCTAGAAAAAACTAGTTTTTTGAAATATTATACATATTTTTTATTTATTGATCATTGTTGTTGTCTTGGTTCCAACAAAAGAGATTTTTCATACATTTCATCATCATTCAAAATTTGGCGATCCAATATCTTGTTTTGTAAGGTCGATACAGACTTCATTGGATAGCTACTTTGTCGATAAGATTGTAATAGATGTAATATCGATTGAATCTGTCTCATCTTATCAAGGTTGAGTATAGTTACATTGCTATAGCTATTATTGTTATTGTCGTTATAGTTGTTATCTTTAAGTGTGGTGGGAGATGCATCACCAACGGCAAATAGATCCTTTGAATAGATACCAATGTATGGGACTAATGGTGATTTGGCGCTGTGAAGACGTTCACGATAGGCTTTGTGATTGGCATCGGTGGCAAACAGTCGTTGCAACGATTGATAGGAGGACATCGATTTGCGACTGACTTTCTCCCAAGAGAGTGTGAGTCTTCTGATGGCATAGTGTTGCAATCCCATAGTTATTGCATAGCTACCGTGGAAATCGTTGAGTTCCAGCAGGTTAGATGCGATCTCAATGAATCTCTCGAATAGCGCGGCTCTTGCCGATGAACTGGTGGCACCCACCACTTCCGAGCCAACCCAAGAACTCCATCGATTGAAAGATGCCACCATTGCCTGGAAACAAGGTGATTCAGCTGGTTTGGCAAATCTATTGAGCAACAACTCTGATACGTGTAGAGCACTGAACGTCTGCTCGTCCAACAGAGCGATTTGAATGGAAACTTCGGCGGAATCACTGTCGACAACTGTAAACTTTCTGGTTGGCATTGTTCTGGTTGCAGCCAATATAAAGTCGTTCTTTGATTTCTTTGGACTGGCACTCACTGGACTTGTATTTACACTGCTACTAGTTGATGATAGTGTTGGAGTTGATGGTGCTGATGAATTGGGTGTTGTTGTTGTCGATTTATTACTACTGTTGCTATTGCTATTGCTATTAAAGATAATGGTTGAAAAGTCCGTTTGTTGTTTACAATATTCATCGAGTTGAAGTAATTGTTTGTTTTCTTCGTATGAAGAGATTCTGAGTTTGAGATTATCGCTAATCAACTGACGAATCGAGAGTAGAAGTTTGGAACCAACTGGGTCGGTTGCTTGCCAGTAGGATCGCTGTTTTGATTCCATTAGCTTACGAATCAAATAGAGGATACGTTCACGAACTGCCAATCTCCATGGTGAATCAATACACTTTTGCTCGGTCGACTTGTTGTACAGGTCAAAGAGTCGCTCAACATATTCAGTACTACTTATAAAGTAGTCTTCGTGTGTCAGATTGAATGTGTCCAGAAGAGTGTCGTCACGATAATGGACATCTGTCAACTTGATAATCAGTTGATCGATCGGGGCTGACTTTACAATTTGTTTACCTTTCTTGATACCATATTGAACACCATTGATGGAATCACAAATGAAATCCAAATGATTCAATAGAATGAACAGTAGAGTATCGATCGATTTCTTATAGTTGGACGGAGAATTGTTATTGTCTGGAGTGGATGAGTTGGTGCTGGTGCTGTTCAACTCATCGTTTTCAGTACCAATAATCAATGGACCGAAAATGGTTGAGATGTATTCATAGATCTCTTGTTTGGAAAGGTACAATCCAATGTTATTCACTGACGAAGAACTGGATGCCAGTGAGTTGAGATCCGGTGTTAGGATGGAGCTACGATAGCAACTGGAATATTGATCTGCCAACTTTACAAAGTGACAAATCATCATTCTAAATAATGTCCAAGCGGCTTGCTGTTGTGAGTAGATTAGCGAACGAATCATTGAGATTTTGTATTGGTGGTCTTCTACCTCTAGACAAGTGAGAAGTTGCTCTGGCATCAATGGCTGTGGTAATGATCTTAAAAAGTGTTTCAATAGCTCGCCGATCACTCTCGGTGAACTACCCAACTCTTTATAGACATCTTCCTTGCCACGTTTTGTTCTAATTAACAATCTCTCCAACGCCCCGTTTCTATTCTTTAGGGCTGAAGAGCTGGATAGTCCATTAGCAGACTGAGAACAGTTGTTGTTTTCCAACTCCATTTCCATTTGATCTTCAGTTATCTCTTCAACAAAGAGTTGAGTATTTCCATTTCCATTGGGGGTTGCTGCCGATCCAGTTCCATTTGATCCGTTGTTGCTCAGTCTGGTTGGATTTCCGAAAATGTGAGAAAGATAAATTGATTGTATGGTAATGGTGTTAGCTTGGTTGGTCTCGGTGACCAATGATTCCAAGTGATTGAACAGCATCGAGGCAAACAATGGACAACCAGTGTCATCGATTCTCAACTGTTCAATTGGAATACCGATTACATCCTCGTTTAGATAGAGTTGAGCTGCATCGTATTTGCTTCTTCTGGAGATGAGCATTTGACTTAGCTTGTCTTCCGATTCCTTGTTCTTTGTTATCTTCTTACGATTCTTCATAATGTTGAAAATTGAATTGGATCTGTCTCTAAGATCTCTTGGTGGTGAATTGGCTGTTGGTGTCGAACTTTGATTGGAGGTTGAATTAGAAGGAGTTGAAATTTCCTTTTCCTTCTCCTTCTCTTTTGTGATTATTGATCTTTCATCCATTTTAAAGTCTTTGTTTAAATCACAACCAAATGTAATCGACCTGTTCTTTAGTTTCATTCTTTGAATTGGTGGGGAAATTGACTTGGTTTCACCATTGTCAACTGATGATCCAGTAGATTTAATAGTGAGTTGTTCAAGAATATTGTTACTAACAGTATTCTTTGGTGATGTAGAAGATGCTCCATTTTCTTCAAAAACTGGAGAGAAAGAGGAATCGTTTGTTTTTGTAGTTGATGTTGATTTTAAAGTAGAGGTTGTAGTTGTTGTTGTAGTCGAACTAGTATTATTATTATTATTATTATTATTCTCGGTTGAATAACTATTATTATCATCTTTATTAAACTGTTGTTGGAAATCGGGTATGGGTGGAGGTGATTGTCTCTTATTTATAGTTTGTATCAATTGTGAGAAACTCTCTTTGATCTTCTTTCTTTTGGTGGTTGCATAGGATGGCAATGATCCACTTCTGGTTCTCATGAGATTCGACTCCAAAGGGACAACAGCGCCATCCTTTTGAATGGCAGACATAGATGTGAATCTAACTCTTCCTTCATTGTTCTTCTCAGACTCATTGATAATTATTGATTTGGTTTTCCTTGATTTTCCAACAGGAGGAGCATTATTATTTTGATCTTCATTTCCAAAGTCATTACTAATACTAAATATATTATGTAGTGATAGTCTCTTTGTAAGGAATGCAATTGGTTTGACTTCAGACAATGATTGATAATGACTAAACTGTTTCATCAATGCCCAATATGCTGAATCAGTACTATCAAATAATCCAAATACATACTATTTTGTTTTTTTTGGAAAACAACAAATTAATTAGTTAGTTATTAATTAATTTTTTTATGTTAAATTTAAACTTACTTTAAAATCTTTAGTTGAAATCTCGATTGAACTACCTAATATAATTGATGTTACTTTTTTAATATTCTTTATATCTTTAAATGCTTGGTGTTCCTGGAAATTAAATGATTAGAATAAATATATTTAAAATTTGAATAATTTTACTTGTTACTTACTTTAATTTCACTATTAAAAATTAAACTATAAAAACAAAAGTATGAGGTGGTTATATATAATTTTCCAGCTTTCGAAACCTTTTTTCGATAAGCACATGGATGCTCAGATAGAATCACTTCATTCTTGGGCAAATCGAAAATCTTTATAATATCCTCACTAGATATCTTTTTCTCTTTAGTCATTATGTAATAATTGCTATTGATACTATTCGAGATATCACCTGACTGATTATTGGAATCTGAATTATAGTTATTATTATTATTATTACTATTATTATTTGTTGTTGTTGCTATTGACGATGATGTTGTGTTATTTAGATTTGCTGAAGATGAAACAATATAGTCCTATTTAAATTTAAGAAATTTTGTTGTTAAATATTAATAAATTTCCATTTAATAAAAAAATGAATAAAAATGGTAATATAATTTGAAGAAAATAATATTGGTGGCTGTTAGTTAGTTTCCTATTGCTTTACTTTAGTTTTTTGTTTTTGTTTTTGTTTTTTTAGGGTTGAAATCAATCAACTATAATAGATATCGATCAGATTAAAGAGAGCACACTCTATTTAGTCCAAAACACAACATATAAAACAACCACACAATCACTATTCATTAATTGCTTGCTTTTTTTTTTTTAAAGTGGCCACACCACCTCTTCACTATAACTCCACCTTTCACTCAAAACATGAGTGAGTGAGTGAGTTAATGTTGAGTGTCTCTATCTTGCTTAGGTGGTGTTTTTATTGGTGATATTAGGTGTTTAAAAATAGGAAACAAACAGCCACAACCACAATGGTTCTTCAGAATTTTTAATGAAAGTAACCAGTGGGTGATGAAAGCTGGATTAAAGTGAGAGGTGAAATAGAAATTTGAAGAACCAATTTTTGGTGCTATAAATAATAAAATAAAAATAAAAAAAAATTGAATAGAAAAGAATTGTACATACACATACACATACACACTCACTTACACATCAACATACATATATCTATATTTGTTTTGATTATAATATCAACATCACCAATAGCTATTTAACACGAGTGTTAGAGTATGTATTTTCAGTATATGGTTGATCATTTTATTCCAACAGGCAAGTGAATGAATAGCAACAAACTTAAGTTTTTTTTTTTTTTTTGATAAGTGTGTTTGTGTGAGTAAGTGTGTGTGTGAATTAATTAATGAAAGCTTGGTGTTATTTAGATTGTTGTAGTTGATTGTGGTTGTGTGTGTGTGAAGTTATTGTGATTGTATATCTTTTTCAATTAGTTTAAAAATTAACAATAATAACCAACCTATTTAGGTTCACTGTGTGTGCTTTGGATGTATACACAAATAAATAAATATTGGTATCGATATAAAAAGATACATAGATATAATAGATAATAAGTTCAAAAATGATGAAATATTTATATCTATAAATATATATAAATAGAATTATTCTAAATATATATATATCTATTTTGTTGTTTTGTTTGTTTTGTTTGTTGTAAAGCGACATTAAAATTGAAGTGCAATAATTATATTCTCAAACTATTTCCCATTTTTTCTCCATATTAATAATAAAATATAGATATATTTGTATTATTGTTATTTTATATTTTATCTGAAGTTAGTTACAACTTACATTGATATTAGTATTATTATTAATTGGGGTATTAATAAATCCTTTAAATTTTCCAATGAGTGTTTGCTTTCTCGGGCTTGTAGGCGACTGTAGTGGTGATAGTTGGGGTGAATTGTTGTTGCTGTTGCTACTATTTGTAGTTGACGTTTGAGAATGAAGATTTGAGCTTGTCAATGTTGATGTTGGTGATACAGTTGTTGTTAAAGGAATAAGTTGCACATTGGTATTGATACCGTTATTACTATAACTATTGATATTATTGGTCAAAGAAGTCAAAGAGTTTGTTACTGCTAAATTACTGTTATTGCCATAATTATTATTATAGTTATTATTATTATTATTTTGTTGTAGTGGTGATGATGATAAATCATTATTATTAATTTGATGGTGGTTGTTGTTAGTGGTTGTTTGAATTTGGTTATTGAATTTTGATGCTGCCATTTGTGAAAGTATGGAATTCGATGGAAGAGACGATGATTGCTGATGTTGTTGTTGAGTTTGTTTCAGTCTTGAGTGTTGTGGTAGTTCCATGTGAGTATAATTTGGATTATTATTGAGAAATGACTTGATGGGTGTGATAGGTGTTATTGGTAATGGTTTTTGTAGTACCCGTTTAGGAAGTGTCGGTGAAGAGGGCGACGATTTAAGAGAATTTGAAGGTGAAGACGACGACGACGATGATGAGTTTAGAGTTATTATTGGTGATTGATAATGAATAGGTGCAGGTAAGTTGGAAGCAGCTCTAACTCTATTGACTGGTGTATTTGCAAATTTCCAGCCATTTCCACTATTATTATTATGTTTATTGGAGGTATCGCTTTTACCATTGTCTTGTAAAAGACTATTATTATTACTTGAAGTGTCAGGAGATATTTGTAGTGGTTGTGGAGTTGGTGTTGGTGTTGGTGGTAATGTTACATTTGGCTTTCTATACATTTGAAATAATGATTGATTATTGTTATTATTAATAGGCTGTGATGTTTGACCATTATTACTAGAATATTTAATAGGTTGTTTTTCAACTATTATAGTATTAGATATATCTTGTTTAGGAAGTTGTTTTTGTTGTTGTTGTGGTGGTAGTGGTGGTTGCCTCTTTGGTGGTAGTTGAGGTAAAGGTTTATATGGTACAAATTGGGTATTGTTATTATTCATTTTTGAATAATTAATAAATAAATAAATAAATAAATAAAATAAATAATATATATAAAAGTAAAATACAAATGATAAAAGATGTTAAATAACTGTTTTATTTCATTGTGCTATGAAATTAAGTTTAAATAATAATAATAATAGATGATAGCATCGGATAGAAGCCTCTTTGCCCAATTGAACTTGTTTCAAATTTATATTTAAATATCAGCACCATCAAAATAACTGATTAATCATCAACATTACATTGTTCATTTTTTTTCTTACCAATGTTTGCAAAACAATCAGCAAACATCAATATTTTTGTCTACACTGTTTTTATTGATTATGTGACACTAACTAGTAAGTATGATCAAAGATCTTTTCACATTGTTTACTGTTAACTTTTTAATAATAAACTTTGTTTTTTTTTTTTTTTGGGAAGTTATTAGTTCAAGAAGTCAGTTATCATCCCCATTTTTTTATGGCTTTTTTTTATACTTTTGGGTTAAATTGTGGAATTTTGTTTGGCGGGGTGGCAAACATATACTTTAAAAAGGTAAAACAGACACAATCGATGGGTTGAAATGGATTGAACTCAGAGTTACAATGAAATGTTTTAGAATAAAAACAACAACTTTAGATTTCGGACTTTGATTAACTTTTATTTTTATTAGATTTTGATGAGATCCAAAACAAGATTTATAATCAATTCCGAATATTGATGCAGCAGTAGCATCAGCAGCATTACTGTTTTAATTAGAAATAAAAGATAACTAGAATAACAACAAATACTAAATAAATAAAACAGTATTTTTATTTTATCCAATATAAATACAATGTTTTCAGTTTTGAAGGTACTAACTATTATAATACTTTGTAATTCATACGATCGAATTCGATTGTTATGTTGTTGTTATTATTCACAAAACAAAGATTTTGTTGTTTTTGATCGTCGATATGATTGATGGTTTTTTGGTTGTTTGGTTGAAGGGTGGATGTTGAACTTATGATATTTTGTTGTTATGTTACTTTTGTAGTGTAGTAACAATTTTTAAAACTCTGGAATGAAACCTAAATAATTGAATGGTGTAATAACTTTAAGTTCTTGTTTGACTTGATCTGAAACTTGAAGGGTATCGATAAAGTTGTGGATGTCTTGTTGTGAGATTTTCTTGGAACCAGAGACACGTGTGAGTTCCTTGAGTGCTTCGTATGGCTTTGGATAACCTTCACGACGCAAAATGGTTTGAATAGCCTCGGAGATGACTGCCCAGTTTTGATCGAGATCGTGGTGCAGTGGTTGCTCGTTGAGCACCAACTTGCCAAGACCACGTTGCAGCGACTTGAATGCGAGCAACGAGTGTGCCAATGGCACACCGACGGTACGCAACACGGTCGAGTCTGTCAAGTCACGTTGCAAACGCGAGATTGGCAGCTTGGCGGCGAGATGCTCGTACAGTGCATTGGCGACACCCATGTTACCCTCAGCATTCTCGAAATCGATTGGATTGACTTTGTGTGGCATGGTGGAGGAACCGACTTCACCCTTGATAACGCGCTGTCCAAAGTACTCCATGGAGATGTATGTCCAGATGTCACGACACAAGTCGATCAAGATGGTGTTGATACGCTTGAGACCGTCGAATAGCGCAGCCAAGTTGTCGTAGTGTTCGATTTGAGTGGTGAAACGCGAACGCTTCAACTTTGGATGGAGGGAAGCGACGAAACTCTCGCCAAACGCGATCCAGTCGACGTTGGGATAGGCGACGTAGTGCGCGTTCAAGTTACCGGTGGCACCACCAAACTTGGTGGTATGTGGACATTGCTCGAGCAATGCAATCTGGTTCTGAAGACGTTCGAGGAACACCATGAATTCCTTGCCGACGGTGGTTGGAGTGGCGGGCTGACCGTGGGTGTGTGCCAGCATTGGCACGGTGCGGGTCGAGCTGGCCAGTGCTTGGAGTGGCTGGACGGCACAGCTGTTGAGTTGTGGCACGATAACCTCGTCGATTGCCTTTACTATGGACAGAGGAATGGCGGTGTTATTGACGTCTTGCGATGTCAGTCCAAAGTGGATGAACTCGGTGATGGCGTCGGAGTAGTTGAATGGCGCGGCAGTCATCTTCTCCTTGATGAAATACTCTACGGCCTTGATGTCGTGATTGGTAACCTTCTCGATATTCTTAATCTTGATGGCATCGGCTTCGTTGAATTCCTGGTAGATCTTTCGGAGGGCGACATGTTGTTGCTCGGTATTGAGTGCCACCAAAGGCTTGATGTCGGCGACAGTCGTCAACTTTATGAAATATTCAATCTCCACCAAAACTCTATATTTAATTAAACTGTACTCTGAGAAGTAGTCACTCATTGAACTACATTTATCCCAGTATCTACCATCGATTGGTGAAATTGCAGTTAATTGATTAATGATTGACATTATATATATAAATTATTTATTTTCTAGAAATATATCTATTCTATTCTCTCTATTTATATATCTTTTTTTTTTTTTTTTTTTTGAATGATTATGAATATGAAAACTATCTGAAATCAATGACAACAGTAGTGGACTATTTTAAACACGGAATAGAATGATTTCATTATACGTTTTTAAAATTCAATTTAATTTTTTTTTTTAATTTTTCATTTTTTTGTATTTTTTTTTTTTTTATTCTTTGCACGAATCTGGGAATATCCGAAAAAAGGTGTGGTTTTTTTTTACATTTCGGACCTTTTTAGTGACAAATAGAATAATCTCTTTATTGCGTCCAACAACAAAAAACAACATTATCTACAAATATTGATAAATATTTCTAAAAATCTACTTGATTTATTTAATCAATATTTTGAAACTTGATTAACTTTTTTTAGATTTTTAGGCAAAATTATTAATTGAATTATAATCAATTATAGTTTAATTTAGTTATAAAAATTTATTTATTAGATTCTATTATATATTGTATAGGACAGCATCTTAGGTCATGTAGATTGATCTTCAGCGTTTAAGACATTTTTCATTGATGTCCATTTATTGTTGTTCTACGAAATGTTGATTGTTTGCGATTGCATTTAAATAAATAAAAAAAGTTAGTAAAAATTAAACTTTGAATTCAATTCTACACTCTTCAGCTTATTACATACTTATTAATTTTGATTGTAGAAATTTTAAAAACTTTGACATCTACCTTCAAAAAAAATTTAATCGAAAATAATAATAGTTAAAACTCGGCCTTCTATTATTCTAAGTAATATCAATCCTAATCAAATCAAATGTTTCGTCAATAATAGTAATAGACTTAAGATGCTGTCCAATACAACAAATAAATAGTAATAAAGTTTGACTTGAGTGAAGATCTAAAGTGGTGTGTGTGGGTGGTTGGATAATTAATGAAAAAAAAGGTCTCTCAGTTTTTTTTTTTTTTTTTTTCATTTTTATTAATTTATTTATATCATTTATATATTTATTAATCAAAATACTACTTATAATAAGTAAAAGAAACGAAAATAATTAAAGAAATAAAAGAGTATAATGAACATTGAGATTAATAGTAATGAAACATTACATCATATTAATAATGAAAATAATACTGTAAATAGTAATAATAATAGTAGTAATAATAATAACAATAATAATAATAGTAATACACAAACAACAACAACAACAATAACAACCACACCAGCAACGACAATTACACCAACTAAACAACAGCAACAACAAACAAATAAAAAGAATACACAAACAACAACACCAACTTCGACAGCAACAACAACAACAACCAATACAAATTCTAATATAAGCAAACTTACTACACCAACATCAACACCACCATCTTCTATAAATGGAAAATCTAATACGAATAGTAGCAGTTTACAACAGCAACAACAGCAAATGCAATTGTCACAAGCAAATAAAATAATTCTTTTACAGCAAGGACCACCTGTTTTATCACCACCGGCAGTGTTTGGCATTGTCGAACCACAGCTTTATCGTACAAACTCACTATATCCTATCAATTTCCCATTCATCAAACTATTGGGTTTGAAAACCGTTGTACAATTATCACCCGAAGTACCAATTAAAGCTGTTACCACTTTTTTAGAAGAGAATAATATTAATCTGGTAAGCTACAATGATTAACTATTATTGTTATTAATTAATATATATATATATATATATGATTATCGATGTAGACTGACTGACTGACTGACTCTTTGTTTTTTATTACTATTATTAAATATTAGATACATCTTGGTTTGAAAGCATGGAAAGCCGATGCATCTTGGAAACCGGTTACGGAGGAGTTGATCAAGGAGACACTGGAGATCGTGTTGAACTATGATTACTATCCGCTGATGATTACTTGTACCAGTGGTATCAATCAGACCGGTGTACTGGTGGGCTGTCTGCGTCGACTTCAGAATTGGAACTTGACGTCGATCCTGGTGGAGTATCAGAGTTTTACAGGTCAGAACAACACTCGTTATGTTAACGAACAGTTTATAGAGTTATTCGATGTCGACTTGGTAACTCTACCGAACCGACTACCTCAATGGTTCATCGATCAGCAAAAGATGCTCGAGGATGAAGAACGTGAATATCAAGAAGAAGAACAACAACAAAAAGCAAATAATCTATAGCAACAACAACAACAATAACCCTCACATACAAAACAATCAAAAATAAATCATTGTATCCCCAAACTAATTTATTATAACATCAAATATTTGGTAAGTGTCAAAAAAAAAAAAGGTTAGGCGTATTAGATAGGAAATTGTAATTTTTTATTTGTAAAATGGTTTGTGAATGGGAACTGTGAGAGTTGGATTCATGGTATTTAGATTGTTGATTGTTAAACAAAGAAATTGGTTGTATAATTCACATAAATATATCTATTAGAGTGTGAGTTTGTCTATTCTAATAAAAAAAAAAAAAAAAAAAAACAATATATCAAATTACTTGAACAAGATATCATCAAACTATTCACAGACTCTGGGGTTTCTTATCAACATGCAAAAGATATCTCTGTGAATCTTTTGAGAGCTAATTTCAATACAAAAAAACAATTGCATGAAATTCTCTACTCAAATAAAAGAGATAGATTCTTCCCAAAGTTTTTAGTTGGAATGTAGTTCGCTTCAAAAGATCTCTGAAATATCTCCAATTTCAACAACTGGAGCACCAACAACTGGAACTCCGACAACTGGTATGACTACTAGAACACCAACAACTGGAGCTCCAACAACTGGAACTCCAACAACAGGGATTCCAACTGGAACTACAACACTTCCAACAACTGGAATTCCGATAACTAGAACTCCGACCACTGGAACTCCAACAACTGGTACTCCTTCAACCACAACCACTGATATATCTGTACTAGTGACTACAACAACAGCACCATCCAACAACAGCGACAACAGATTTGATGGTGTTGTCGCAACTGAACCAAATAAAGATCAATTTAGTGTACTACTCTTAGATTGTTTTTTTTATCATTTAGACTAGATATTTCTCAGAGTGATTTGTTGTTATATAGCCATTTGACTGTTACTCACTCAATAGTAAAAAAAAATTTTCATATTGCACTATGTTTAACTTTGTATTGATCTCTTTGATTTTAGCATCTGATATTTTATCTTTTGCTGCTTATCATGATAATCCAAATGTTAGTTTGTATATATTTATTAAAAAATGAAACTTAAAAAACTAGAGCTAGTAACAACTAGTTTATAGATAGAACAGTTATTAAGTAAACAAAATTAATAATTGTGTATGTAGTTGAAAGTTTTGATGTGATTATATGATTATTGGATTTTCTGATTAGATGATCTTAAAATCATCATTAATTAAATAACATTATTGTTTTAATCTTTTTTATATTTCTGATTTGATGATGATGAAGATGATGACGATTTTTTGAATTGATTATGATAACATCTAATGAATGATAGTATTAAATTATAAATAATGAATAGAACTAACCATCCACCTGTAACTCCAAACGATATATTAATGAATTTAGTCTGAATGAAAGGACAAATCTTGAAACTGTATTCGAAATTCTCAATATCTGGATTTGGTTTTCTAATTTCAAATAATGCTGAATATCCACCAAACTCTCCCATCATTGATCTAATTGTATATCTAAATATTTAGATAGATAGATAGATAATATTAATATCATAACAATCTAACAATCTAACTAATAGTAACTACTATTACCTACTCTATTGTATGATTATTATGTTTATATATACATCCATCATGATCATGACCATTGAATACATAGATTGGTTTGATTTCATCGAGAATGTATTGTGTTGTTTCTTTGGTGAGCATGCTTTGCTCGCGAATCATCGATTCACCGGTGTGATGTGCAACGTGCTTGATTGCAAATTGCTCGATGCAGAGTGGCGTCGCGTGGTATGGCGCCGGCACGTTGGGCACATAGGTGCGGTTGGTGTGTGCGTCACCGAGGTCTTTGTACAGAGGGATGTGCGTCGCGATGATGATTGGCGTTCCCGTGGAATTGCCTTCTTCGGCGAGCTGCCGGAGGAATCGCCATGCATCGTCGTACAGCGACTGCTCCTTCGACGTTGGATCCAAGTTGATAGAGTTAACCACCGCAACGATATGTCCGGCGATATACCACTTTGAATTGACCTTTCCAAACACCTCTTCGAAGCGTTCCACTCGCCGGGTGTTTGCTTCGTTGCCGTAGCCAATATCGTGATTGCCGGTGATGTTTATCAGTGTGGTGCGCTCTGGCGTCAGCGCGGAAAAGATGTTTTGGTAGCGCGACACACGCAGCGCAAACTCGGTGTCGTCGATGTACTGCGATGAGAAGAGATCGCCCAACACCAAAACATGCGATGGCGACAAATAGTAGTTGATATTCGCGACGATATGCTTGAAGTAGTTGTCGTTGAACCATATATTATATTCACCTTTTCTGCCTTCGCGCCAGATGCGATGTGATCCTTCCATCTGTGGATCTCCCAGCATAACGATCTGCGCACTATATCCATCCATACTCCATTTCCAAGAACAAAAGAACATATAATTATACAAATAGAAATAGAAAACCAATATTCCTATACCAAAACCTATAAATATTTTATTCATGCATTTCATAATTCATTTATTTATCTTTAATCTATCTATCTATCTATAAAAAAACTAAATAAAATAAAAAGAAATAATAAAATATTTATAAATATTTATAAAATAAATATAAAATAAAATAAAAAATAATAAATATACAATAAGTTTATATTAACTAAATACTATACTAAATCCTAAATTAATCAATGCAAATGTAATGACTCATTTTAATTAATTAAAAAAAACAACAACAGAAGTGAAAACAGAGGAATCACAAAAAACTGAAAAAAATCAACGTTACTGTGGGATGGTTGTGTGTGTGTGTGTTTGAACAAAGATTTAAATGAAATTTTGTTTGAAGCGAAAAACGACAAATTTATTTTTTTAAAAAATAAAAATCTAAAAATTGTTATCTTCAAATAAATATTTATAGATAATATATATTTTTATATAAAAGTATATAGATAAGAAAAGATAGATTATAGATATAGAAGTTTGAGATAAGATAATGTCACAACAACAACAAACAAATGAAACGATATTGTTAGAATGTTTGAATGGTTTACTGTCACCGGATCTACACAAGTTGGCAGAACAAAAGTTGACAGAGTTGTCAACTACGATGCCATTCTATGGGTTGATGTTGTGTCAGTTGGCAACCAATAACAATGCCAACATCGATATCAGACAGCTATCTTTGATCGTCTTGAAAAAGTTTATCAAAGAACATTGGCATGAAATGAATTCGCCACAAGAGAAAGAACAAATCAAATCATTGTTGACGCCATCTATATCCGATCCATCCTCAAAGATAAGAACTGCAATTGTAAGTTTGAATAGGTGGGGAATGATAAACAATTCAATACAATACAAACTTTGTTCTGACTAACCAACTCTTTTGTATTATAATTCTGATTCTAACTAGGCAATGTGTATTGGTAGAATAGGTGCTACGGAATGGCCAAATCAATGGCCAACTCTATTGGATGATCTGTTAAAGTGTTTGATACCACCGTTGTCGTCGAATGCCAATTTGTTGTCGGGTGCACTCTCGACTTTGAAGATTCTCTGTGATCCCAGTTATTTGGATCTGTCGCAGACCCGACAGATAATAGTAATGCTATTCCCAGTGCTACAGAACATTCTAAGGAGTTTCGGAAATGAAAGTAGCTATTCTCTAGAGATTCATTGTACTGCTGTGGAAATCTATAAATCGATTCTCAATTACAATACGATGGTTGGCGATTTCTCAAAGTTGTTGGCACCGACCATTGCCACTTGGATTGAGTTGTTTGTCAAGATTCTCTCTTCTTCATCGCCGGACAGCGCCATCAATCCAATAGTAATCGATACAATCACACTCATGCAAAACAGCTTTGGTAAGCATGTCACTGCGAGTTTGCATCTTTTGCTCTCTCCGATCTGGTCGCTGTTTGTCAAGTCACAGGCGATCTACGAGAAGACATTGACCGACCTCGATGTTGAATCGGCGGTATTCGAAAGCGTTGTTATTTCACTGATTGAATTCCTCACGTTGATCGTATCAAAGAAGAACAAAGCAATGTTCCAAGCACAACTACCACAGATCATAAGCATCACTCTGACATTCCTTCAGATGTCGGACGATAGCGCCGACCTCTACCAATCCGATCCCTCACAATTCCTCGAGCAAGACGATGAAACTTCTTATACTCCACGTTCACTTGCATCGGGGCTGTTGGCATCGCTTGGCGATGTCTATAAGGGCGATGTCTTGGGATTGGTTTATCAGGCGTTGCAGTCGTTCAGTTCGAGCTGGCGACAGAGCGAAGCATCGTTGCTCGCCATGTCGGTCCTTTCTTCTCACTACATCAACGCTGGCAACAAAAAGTATTTCGATTTTGCACAGTTCCTCGAGCGTCTCTACAGCTTCTTCAGCGACGCCAACTCGACTGGCGAACATTCCGATATTCTCCAGGGACGTGCACTCCACTGTGCGTGTCTCTACAGCTCCGGTGTCGACAAGTCGATATCGCTGCCGTTCCTCAAACTCTCTGTCAATATTCTTCATCAGGCAAACCAACCATTGCCAAACAAAATCGCCGCTATGAAAGCGGTGGCAGCATTCAATCTCTCCAGTCACTTGGAATTCATACCCACCATCATTCAGGCATCTGTAAATCTACTGCTAAAAGTCACTGAAGATTGTTTGTTGGTAGTATTGGACGCTATTCTTTTGGCACTTCGCGCCGATACTTCGGTGGATCACGCCAACTATGAACCAATCATCGTTCCACCATTGCTTCAGACATGGACACAGTATGCCAACGACCCAATGGCATGCGAAGCAATGAACGACATCTTCCAGATTCTTTGTAAATCGCAAGGCTGTTATCCAGCGATTATCGATCATGTTCTACCAACACTTTGTTTGGTGATTGAGAATTTCGACAAGCCTGCATACCTTGGTGTTGCTGATCGCGCAGTATCACTTTTGAATCTGATTCTCTCCAATTGCAAATCCAACTTTGATGCACCAATCTTTGATAAAATATTGGCACCGCTCATCAATATTCTACTTTCCAACGTGAACACTGCGGAACCAGTCGAAAAGAATCTTATCACTGCAACTCTTACCATTCTACCGATATTTATTGTCAGAGGTCACCAACAACTTGGACAATGGACATACCGTGGTGTGTCGGGGCTGAGCTATATGCTCCAAATCGTAGAGTCAAACATTCGTAACAAAGATGAGTTTATTGCGCTGAATGCTCCTCCCATTGCAACGGCGTTGATCGTTCACATGGCAGCTGCTATTCAGCAGTATCTGATGCTCATTATCGATTTGTCCGTACAGATCTTGATGCAATGTAAAATACCATCGTTCAAGCAATCGCTCATCACCATATTTGCGCGTCTCGTATTGATCTCGCCAGAGGAGGTGGTTGCCCATCTCTCGACTCGCCAGGTTCTCGAGAGTGTCCTCAACGAATGGACAAAGTTCCACGGTGACATTCAGAATCGTTTGGATACCAATATCAGTACGATCGCACTGGGCAAACTCATGTGTTTGAATGACGAGCGTGTCGCCAAGATTCTGGTAGACGGAACACTCATGGTGCCACCACAACTGAAAAAGACACGCTCACAATCGAGAAACTCATTTATGTCGGGTGGCGCTATTCCAGAGAAATGGACAAAGGCACCGTTCTATCAAAAAGCAACCATGGTCATCTTGGAAACCTATGAAATGGAGATTCTGGATCAACAACAAAAGATCAACGATATCGATAAGAAACTACTGTCCAACGATGACGGTGACGAAAACCAAGACGACCAAGAATATGACGATGACGACGGAGAATACGATGATGACGACGATGATTTCGATGTTGATAACTGTGAATTTGAACCGGCCGAAGATTATTTTGATTTAATTGGTGATGACGATGATATAAATCTAGAGGATGACTTTGATCCACTTGCAAAAGAAGATCCATATTATAATATTAATTTAGTTGTAAGTTATAAATAACAAACTAGTTAAAAAAGTTAAGTTTGTACTTTATTCTAATCAATTTTTATTTACTATTTCATTTAGGATTGTATTAAAGATATTTTCAAGACTTTCAATAATTCAAATCCACTATTATTTAAAGAAAGTATATTACCAATTATAAAAAATAAGACTCCACAACTTTTAAATTAAATAAATTTAGCCAATTGTTTAAATTTAATTGATTATAATTAATTATTTATTAATGATCTAATTTATTTGATATTTTGGTAATTGGTAATTGGAATTGAATACAAAACTTGTGGATTACACCTTTTGAGTAATTAGACTTATACTCTCTAGCCACATGTGAAAAATCTCTGAATTTGATTTGAGTAGATTGATTGGTTTTTTTTCCATTTCCAAGAAAATAGATAACTTTCTTGTTGTTATGGAAATAAAGCTTGATATGAGTGAGCAATATATTTGTAATAGCTAATGGTATAATATCTTTTTTTTTTTGGTTTGGTTAAGATGATTGCTCTTCTTCGCTATTGTAGTCGGTGTAGAAATGACTGTTTGGATCTGGAGTATAATTTCTTTCACTATAGATTTTCTCTCGCATTTGATGATCTCTTGTTAAACGACAACCAATACATTGGCTAATATTATTATTGTTATTATTATTATTGGTGTTGGCTGCTCTCGCCACGCATTCCTGATGGTTTTCCAACATGTGTTGTTGCATCTCTTCAAAGAGAGCCTTGGTTTTGCAACCGATGTGCGGACAGGAATTGATGTGATCGTCTCGCTCAATCTCGAAATCAAAGAGATCTTCATCGTCATCATCAAACTCTGTCTCATAGATATATTCATCTTCCATTACAACTGTCGCCGCTGCCACCGCTGTCGCCGTTGAAGTCGTCGATGATGAAACAACAACTACACCGTTGTTTGTTGAAGTGTTTCCACCACCGCCACCACTGAAATCCATATCGACAGGTATACCATTGCTGTCGTCACTGTTTTCATTATTTCCTGAACGACCAGTGCCTCCACCATATTCCAAATTAAAACTATCACTATAATCCATTAATCCTTATTCTATTCTTTTAATATATAACATTGATCGATCAAACAAATAAAAATAGATTGGTTGATTGATAGGCGCGCGACTTTAAAACCATTTGGTTAGGTTATAATTATTTATGTTTTTGATGATATTTTTGGGTTACACCAACGAAGAGATTTTTAGCAAATTATTTTTTATTGAGGCACAAAACAAAAATTCTTTTTTCAATTAAAAATAAAATTAATAAATTAATAAATCAGTTGGTCAATCGACCACAACTCAATAAATAAATTCTTATTTTTATTAATAAATAAAATAAAAACAAATAATTTAAGAATTCTGAATTGAAGTTTGAATTAAATAATAAATATCTTTTTTTATTTTATTTTTTATTTTAGTTTTATCATTAAAAAAATCAGTAAAAACAATTAAAACACTAAATATAGAATGTTAGATTGAAAAAAAGATACAATAAGCAGGTGATTAATATCAATTAAAAATTGATCTAAAAATATTCAGGGAAGATTGTTTTGCTAATAAAAAAAAAAGAAATTTTTTTTATTTTTTTTTTATTTTTTTTTTTGGATTTTTTTTTGTCTACCTACGTCTTTTTTTTTTTTTACAAAAAACACCCTCTATAAAAAGAATTTTTTTGATCAATCTTATAACCAACAAAAAAAAATACTACCATAAACACAAAGAAAAATAATATCAATCTTTGTTTTGTAAAATATCATTATTCACACAAAAATAATAAAATAACAACAAATAATTAGTTAGTTATAATTTCACACACAAACACACACACGTATATATATAATTTTCCTGCAAAGTTAAGATCGAAAAAAACTATATTTTAGAAAATGACTGAATACAAATTGGTAATTGTTGGTGGTGGTGGTGTCGGTAAATCTGCTTTGACCATTCAGTTGATTCAGAATCACTTTATCGATGAGTACGATCCAACCATCGAGGATTCCTACAGAAAGCAAGTTACCATCGACGACGAAACCTGTTTGCTCGATATCTTGGACACTGCCGGTCAGGAGGAGTACTCTGCCATGCGTGATCAATACATGAGAACCGGTCAAGGTTTCCTCTGTGTCTATGCGATCACTTCGCGTTCGTCGTTCGATGAGATCGCCGCTTTCCGTGAACAGATTCTCAGAGTCAAGGATAAGGACAGAGTTCCAATGATCGTCGTCGGTAACAAGTGCGATTTGGAGTCGGAACGTCAAGTGACCACCGGTGAAGGTCAAGATTTGGCCAAGTCATTCGGATGTCCATTCCTCGAGACCTCTGCCAAGATCCGTGTCAACGTAGAAGAAGGTTTCTACACTTTGGTTCGTGAGATCAGAAAAGACTTGAAGGGTGACACCAAGCCAGTCAAGGCAAACAAGAAGAAGTCACTCATGAAGGGATGTTCACTTCTCTAAGCGAAGCGAAACAGTGCAGACGACGACGACGACGACAAGACAGCAAAGACAGCTTCAATTATTAACCACAATCAAAATAACAATTAAGACATTTTATGTAATTTTATTATCTTTCAACAACAATAACGAATTAACAACAACTAGTTTACATGACAACAACAGGAAAAAACAAAATAACAACAACAACAACAAAAGTAGAAACAAGAATGAAGCAATCAATGATAACCAAATAAAAATAAGATAATTAAACATATCAAAAAACGACAACCTACAACTTAACAACAAGAAAATCATTTGTATAAACATATTAAAATAAATATTCTTTTTAGTTGAAAGATAGTTCTTTTAAAACTAAGAAACAAAAATTATCAAAATTACATTCGCTTTTATTTTATTTTTGGTTATAACATTACAGATGCACAATATTCTCTATTTGATTTGTCATCGTTTAGAATTGATATCCAAGTATCGTTTCTGACTGAATAGACATAGTTATTCTCCATTCCTTGAAGTAGATAGATAAGTACACCGTTACTGCCTTCACTGTAGAGCAGTTGGTTGTTTGCACTGACATTGGTTTTGTTACCGGCTAGCTTATTAAATATATTTTGTTTCTCGCGAATGGTACATGCTTGGAGTTTTCTCGTTTGCTTGGTCACCAGATTTACATAGAAGAATTGCAAGTCTGACAACATGTAGAGTCCACCTTTGCCATCGGTGCAGTATGCATGATTCTTTGAGAAGTAGGGAGCGACATTCAACGTGTGTCTCCATACTTGAAAGTTGGTGGTCGGATCGATCGTCATCACCAGCTTCTGATTGGGTATGACCGAGTAGATCAATCCGTTGTAATAAAACGAAAAGTGGTGGAACTGCGTGTTTGGAATCACCGTGCACTTCTCGAATTGCTTGGTGCTGACAGTGTATCGCGTTACCTGAGTGCTATCTCTGAAGCTACCGTCGAGCAAGTAGATATGATCGTGTCCGTCGTAGCAAACCGAGACGTACGAACTGGTCTCGGCGTCGCCCATCGGCTCGTCGAGGTCGAACGATCTGGTCAACAGCGAGAATCGCTGGTAACGGTTGGAACGAACGAATCCACCACCAAAACGATAGACGTAGTCACCGACTCGCACGGCAGAGTTGAACGACCACCAATCTTCCATCTCGACGTCCTTCAGGTATTCAATGGTGTACTGTGTGGTTTGAGCACTGGTGATATCGATCAGCGCAACCCTATTAACATTCTTGGTGTGATCCGTTGAGAATATATATCGTTTGTTTGTTTCGTCCACCGGTCTCTTGACATGCACTTGTAATACCAACGATGACTTTAAAACACTCTTTATACTATCGATCGCTTCTCTTTTTACTCTTAGTGAATATATTTGTATTTCATCTTGTTTATTATTATCATCACTATTATTATTATTACTACTTTTGTCAAATTTGTAATCTTTAAACTTATTACTATGTTGTAGAAATTGATTTAACAATGAACAATCATCATTAAAAGATTGCTTATCGTCTACAAAGAATATTGTATCATTATTTGCAGCAAAGAAATCATCTACTTTTAGAGATTGTTGAATCGATGTAATTAGATGATTAATTTGATATCTATCAGTTGTATCTTTATCATTATCTTTATTTTGATTGTCATTGTTATTGTCATTTTCGTTATCTTTATCACTATCATTATCTTTATCTTTGTTTTTATTATTATTATTATTATTACAAAATGATTTTGTATTCTCTAATAATATATTTAATGATTTCAATTGATCGATGTTTATCTCTATTTGATGCTCTAGAATCTCTTTGTTTTCAATGACCAGTTTCTTTAATCGATGTTCTTCAACCATTAGATATTGATGTAGATCGCTAAAACACGATGAAATGTCGCTCTCTGTTGTAGCCAATGTTTGATACATCTCTGATTTGCTCTTGACCATCTCCCATAGCTCACCGATCATCGTTTTAATATTATTTACATTGTAAAGCCTATCTTTACCACAACCACCACCACCACTATTGTTATTGTTATTCTTATTCTTATCGGTATCGCTCTTGATATCCTTATCGATATTATTGATAACAGATTCAATATTATCTAGAGAATGACCACTATGTTTTGCTACGCATTTCGTACAGAACAGTAGATTACATTCAAAACATATCAACTCTAATTGTTTATCATTATGATAAATACATTTATTATTACTATGATTATTAGACATTGATTTGTATTATCTGAAAATACTAGTGTTGAATATTAACCACAACACAAATCAATCTTATTTTTTGTTTTAACTGGGCAGGCAGATCAGGGAAATAAATTTAAATTTTGTTTTTTTTTAATCTTTGCACAAAATTCTTGCGAAAGTAGACTAGCAACCAGGGAGCTAAAATATTTACAAAATACTGAAAATTTTGTTTTTGAGAGATGTGGTAGATGGTTTGTAACCTACAGAGCGTACTTTTGATATGTAACAAATAAAGATGTCTGCTTTTATAAAATAACAGATCAAGAATACAATCATTGAGATAAGATAAAGAAAACACTTTTAAAAGTTTATTTTATTAAATTTATTTTTTAGATTTTGAGGATGGCGGTGTTGAGGCTGCCGGTTTCTTGGCTGTTTTGGATGGTGTATCTGGTACATCTTTTTTGGGTGTAGATGTACTCTTCGATGATGATGTTGTTGTTGATGATGGAGTACTAGCTTTAGAAGGTGTCGATTTATGTTTCTTCTTTGAGTTACTGTCTGACTCTTCTTGTACTTGCTCCTCTTGATCTTTATCGAAATCGATCTCTTCATCATCATATTCCATCAATCCTTTGCTTGGTTTCTTTCTTTTCTTGCTATGTTGTTCATCATCCTCATCTCTTTTGTCTCTCTTGGACTTTGTTTTCTTTTTTACAACAGATGATTCTTCTTTCTCACTATCATTCTCATCTTCAGGCTCTGACTCTTCTTTTCTAGTACTCTTTTTCTTTTTGTTTTGCTTTTCTTTTTCTCTTTCTCTCTCTTTTTCTCTTTCTCTTTCTTTTTCTCTTTCTTTTTCTCTTTTCTTATCTCTCTTCTCCTTCTCTTTTTCTTTCTCTTTTTGCCTCTCCTTCTCTTTCTCCTTCTCTTTCTCTCTTTTACTCTTTGATCTCTTGTTGTCATCTTCATCACTATCCTCATCCATTTTAGATTTCCTTTTAGTTGAATGCTCTTTCTTCTTGTGACGCTTCGATGTCTCCTCTTCACTCGAATCTATTGAAATATCATCTTCACTGTCACTGCCACTGCCACTGCTACTGCTACTGCTACTCTCACTATCACTGTCATGTTCATGTTCATGTTCACTATCAGAAACTACAGCTGAAATCATCTTGTCTATGCTTTCAGAACTGACAATTACCTTTGGCTTGAGGGTGTTAGGAGGAGCCACAACAGGGAATTTCGAGAAATCATGCTTTGCCTTTAGATTTCTGAATTTATCTTTTAGATTTTCTGCGGTTCTATTATAACTGCCAGTACTGAAACCAGCTTTCTGAATGACAGACCAATTTCCAATACCATGAGTCTTGATGAGATTAATGAAATAATTGACCTCCTCTGCCGACCAAAACCTCTTTTCCACTATTTTACCTTTGACTTTCATAGTAGCAGTAAGGTTCTTTGATTGATCATCATCATTATTATTATTATTATTGTTATTATTTTGAGAATCATCTGCAACATCATCAAAATCACCACCTCCCATATCCATCATATCGTTATTATTATTATTGTTGTTGTTGTTGTCATCATCAGTATTACTATGATGTGATGTTGTTGAGTTGGCGGTATCCTTTGCCAAGAGGTCATCTGGAGTATCAAGCTCAAACTTTAGGAAATCACCTTCCTCCACCTCCTTGTAGAATGGTCGAGCATATCTAGTTGACATACCACTACTTCTATTGATATCCTCTGAAAAAGACAACAACAATGGAACGTTCTCCTTGTCGATGGCTGACTTGATGTCTTTGAAAGTGGACTGAAGGTAACTAGCGGAATAGGTCTTAAGCAGTTCAGTGTCGGCAACACTATTCTCCTTCAAAGCAGCTTCGTAGATCTCCTTACAATAGATATTGGTTGCTTCATCCTCCGATATGTTTCCTTCTACAATACTGGCAATAATCTTATTATCATTCAATTCCTCTCTTGTACTTCTTATCATTGCCTTTTAAATTTACAATAACATAATATTTAGTAACAGAGACAAAAAGATAAGGTATATTGATAAAATATACATACATTAATAATCAATGATCTAATGAATATCTTTAGAATGGGTAGATGACTAAAGGTGATAGCAACTTCGGCGGCAATTGATGCGGCTTCCAAGAAATTCTCATAGCTGTAATCATTGATCTCATCAAGATCGGACAATAGGTTTCCCAATCTTGTCAATGATAATAAAATATTGAATTGTTGTCTGTATTTAGTTTCATTATAATTGAATTTAAAAAGACTTTCAAAATCTAAAAAAAAATCGAGATCAATAAATAATAAAAATAATTAGTGTTTTTTTTTATTTTATTTTAAATTGTTTGTTATTTTTAAAAAATATATTGATATATACTTACTCTTAAGAGGCAAAACAGATCCTATTGAATAAAGATAATGTTGAATCCAAAATGCAATTTGAGGTGAGGCTTTTGAATCCATACTTTTTGAGGAGCTACGACTAGTACTAGTATTATTATTATTCCTACGACCTCTAGAACCTGCGCTTTTTGGGGTGGGAGAAGTTTTATTAAACTGTAATTTGCTATTTAGCATTTTATGAACAAATTAGAAAAATATATTTAATATATTTAAAATTAGAATATATATATATAAAACTATAAACTAATAAATAATTATTCTATTTCTATCTTCCTTTTGTTAACTAACACAATAAAATAATGAAGCTTGTGTTGAGTTCACTTTAATGATAGTAAATCTCAAATTTTTTTGTTTTTCAACAACAAAATATTTTGGTGAGGGTTTGTTAACGAGTAAAGGGGTTAACTTTAGGGTAAACTTTGGATAAGGGTTAGGGTAAGGTGGTGTAAGGGTAAATAATTGCAAAAATAACAAAAACATTAAAGAAGAAGTTAACTTTTTATCTCTTTTGTTTATGTATGTTTTATTTGTCTAAATTACAGTAATAAATGTACATTTGATTTTTATTTAATTGTATGAATGAATATCTTATTAATATTATTCGATTATTGTTTCTTTTTTGAGAAACCAATGAATAAAAGTGAAATATAAGATGCCAATGGAAGTAATGGTAAGAATGCAAAGGTATGAGAGTAACCATTATAATATGTCTTGTATAATGAAATAGATAACACTATAGGTGCTGAAAATAATGAAACTAAACATCCTAGTTGAGCTCTTTCCATTCTCTTTCCTTGATTTGCATCGTTCATCATACAGGTTGCCAATAGTACTGGCATGCCCCAGAAAGGTGATGTCAAAAGAGCAGTTCCCCAAATACCTATTACTATTTTCTCTGCTGTCATATCCTTAAAATAACTAAAGATTAATCTATTCTTTTAATCAATAATGAATGATATTAATTAAAAAAAAAATTTTAAAAAAATTAAAAAAAAATGAAAATTAATCAGAAAATATTTAATCTTAAGTTTTATTAATATGATCGGCTTGGCAAGTGTAAATAATTAGTTGATCAATTTGTTATTACATGTGATTTATATTTTTATTTAATTATTTATTCTTAATAGATTAAATAATAATGTGATAAACATTGATTATTTGATTCGTTTCGTTTCGTTCGTTTCGTTTCGATTTGGTTAGGTTGGAGTTATTGGGATTGGAGTTGGAAATTGTTATATATATATATATTTTGTAATTAATTAAGTTGTCGTTTGTTTGTTTGTTTGTTTCGATTGATTTTCTATTTATCTCCACAACAACATGCTTCACCATAGTAGTGGAGATGATCGTAGATGCTGTATTCCAATGGGTTGACAGAGTCTGAGCAATATGGATCCTCTCCAATGCTCTGGCAGACCTCGTAATTAATGGTGCTGTTAAAGTACCACAGTTCGTTGGTGACATGCTCGTAGAATTCGATACCGACTTGTGGTGGAACGTGTGGCACGAGATCCTTCTGGTTGGTTACTCTCCATGTATTTGGTTGGATTGAATTGAAGTAGTTGGAAAACGCCGAGTTACCGACTCTTGGTGATCCAAAGTTAATCAATTCCGTTGGTACATTTGGGAACAGTTCGATAACATCGGCCATACACAAAGCTATAAAATAATAACAAGCAGCGTAATAATATTAGTATCGTAACTCAAAACAATGTTTTGTAATTAATTAATTAGTAATTGATTACACATACTGGAAATAGCAGCACCCAAAGAATGACCGGTGACCACAATCGATGTGCAAGTTGGACATGACTTGAGAGCAGAGGTCAAGGCGGCTTCGACTTGTGGTTGTACGCTTAGCCATGCTTGGTAGAATCCGATGTGAACCATAGCACCTTTAGCCTTTGGATATGGAGTTTGAAGGAATTTCAAATTGGTGATCCAACTTGCAATATCCATGGAACCTCTGAATGCAACGAAAACTAGTTTGTTTTTTTCGGATAATATTAATATTGGGTGGTTGTCAACTATGATTAATTAATTTGTTTAATTATAATTACCTTGGTTATTGTAAACACCAACGAATGCTTGGGTATCGGTAGTTACTGCATAGATTACTTGGATGTCAGTGATGGCTGGATATACTTGGCTTATACATCTTGAGCAATTCCAGGCGGCAATTTCGTTGGCTGGACAATAGGATGCATACGAAAGCAAGAGGAAATCAAATGATTTCGATGCACTGTATATATCGGATGGTGGTGTATCGCTATGTGCAACATTAATAGTTACACTCAACAATTGTAATAATAAAATAAAAATAATTGATAATTTCATTGTTTTATAACTAACTTGTAATTTACAAGATCGAATGATTTAATGATTGATTGATTAATTAAAGTATATATATATAGTAGTAGTTGTTATTGATAATAATTATAAAGATGAAATTATCGGGGGTGTTACGATGTTGTTGATGATGATGATATATCCTGGTAATATTACACTTATCAATAAAATAAGAAATGAAATGGATATTAATTTAAATATCGGTGATGGGATGGGAAAAGGAAAGGTAGTATGATTATTACAAATTGAAACCAACAAGATAAAGCTATGAATAGGAAGTACTTCAATGAATATTACAAAAAATAGATAAATAATTGATGATACAAATAATGATTATGTAATAGTACTAAAGATTTGCTATTTCCAAAGAGGTCGTAAATAGGATTTCAAAATCTAAAAACAAATAGAAAGAAACTTGAAAAAAGCTGAAAAAAAAGTAAATAATATTCTTACTCCTATTCCGACCAGTCAGTTGTGTAGTGCAGTGATATGATGTGATGTAGTTGATTGAATGATTAATAGATTGATATTAAGATTTTTTTTTTCGTAATATGAAAAATAGATATCTATCGTAAATATCAAATATTTAAAAGAAATGATTTAGAATAATCAAATAACCAATTTATAAAAGAGTAAAAAAACCACTCACTCAGCGTGCACGATGAATAAAAATTAATTGTTTTTTTTTTTAAATTTTTTTTAATTTGGGAAAAGCTTGTATATAACATTGCAGGTCTACCCCCCAATCATTATAAATCATACCGATTAAAAAAATAAAAATAAAAAGAAATTTCAAAAATATTTTTTTTGCTGCGTTTTTGTCAGTTTCTAGATTTGAAATATTGATTAGGTCGCAAATCATATTTTGTGCAAAGATTTTTCAAAAAAGCCAAGATAATAAATTTTGTAAAATATTTGTCAGTTACTTTTTCCTTTCTGATTAGTTCAGGTCAACAAAGAATCAATCCCTTTTTATAAGTTATTTACTTGAATAAAGTGAAAACAGATAAGATGGTCAACATCAGTTCCTACATCTTTATGGATTGCAAATTTAAAGGTTTTTTTTAATTTAAATTTTTTTATTTGACTGTTTTACTAAGTATCTTTTTCTTATTTGATCCAAGTTCGCAAATAAATATTTTATATTTTTTTTCAAAATAAAAGGATAATTATATGTGATTTAAAAATAAAATCGTTTATTTGTAAATAATTATTGACAATAGTAAGCTGAAAATGAAAGTGAAAAGAAGGACTTTTCTTCTACGCATGTGTCCACAATGAGATTTACGATCCAACTTGAATTGACAAACAGAAAGAGGATGCTTAAACGTATAATAGTTTTGTTTATGCTGTTGACATTGGACCGTTCGGTGTCTCTACGGTGATGAGATCAAGAAGTTCAGGTCCGGTTCTTCCACAACGGATATTACCGAATCCTCTACGAAGAAAGTCGACGGTGGCATCGCACGATGACTTCATAGTGTTGAGATCGGCATCCTTCACAGAGTCATAAGCTACATCTTTCTCTTTTTTGTCATTCTTACCGCCACCACCACCACCTTTTTTAGCACATGAATCAATACAGACTACATTACCATTTTACTGATTGATGGCCGACACACGTGTATAATAGGTTCTTACTGATGATGATGATGATGTTGTTGTCAATCTTAAACTATTTGAACATAACTTTGATTGATTCGTAATACAAGTGCCAATAATATTGATATTGTAGAATCTTCTTAACAATATATTATTTAAATCTTTGTTTCAACATGAGTGACAGTGCTGCACTGAACTGTAAATTTTTTATGTTTTTTATTTTTTGGTGCGTTTTAGTGCTGATTTCGGCAATTATGATCAAAAAAAAAAAAAAAACTTTAGATTTGGCGCTGCACTGTGAATTCCTGGGGATTTTTTATTGTTTTTTATTTTTTTTATTTACAATATGGTTTCCCTATTTGGAATTAAGTGTTTACTCCAATATTCGCACTCATTTCAGTGGACATGTGCTATCTTCTAGCTTCTCACATTGAAGTGTAATGTCACTGTAATATAAACCATCTTGACATGTTAATACATATACCAATCCTGCATCATTACATTGAATAAAATTTGCACAACAATCTGGATCCGGTTTCATACAAAATCGAGGACCGGGGCAACCCTGTGCTACTTGGTCACAATCACAACGAGAATCACATTCATTAGAATTTACTAAAAATGAATTATTTAATTATTTAATTTTAAATTTTGGTTCATTAAAATGGTTAACTTTAAAAGTTGATTTCAATTTCAATATTTACCAAAAATAACAATTGTAAAAAATAAAAATAATAAAACTAGCTTTGCTGTCATTTTTAAAAAGATATATTTCTAGTAATCTAATTGATACTATTAAAGTGAAATAGTTTAAAATGATTTAATCTAGAATGAATTATATATATATATTTTTTAAATATGAAATCGGTTGTAAATCAAAATAAATAAATCTTTTTATATTGTAAATAATGTCATTTTTTAAAAACTTTTATGCCAAATTACAAAATAGTAACTAACCCTTCAAATCAGAAATCCAAATATAAATATATCTTTTTGTATTGTTAATAAAGTGAGTTTTTACCACTTTTATTCCAATTTACAAAAAGTAGCCCTTCAAATCGAATAAGACAATTTTAATTAATTAAATCCAAATATACTTTTAATTTGAAAGAATAAAAATTAAATTTATCACTTTTCATCTTTTTTATTTCTTCTAATTTTATGTAATAATATTAAATCAAAACAAAAATAAGGAAATTTATAAACGATAATGTGTGATTTAATATTCTCAAATTTAAAGAGGAATATCAACCTCATACAAGCTCCCTAAACGAACAACTATCGATTGTTTTTTTTAATTAAATATATCGAAAACGTGAGAAGAATAATTCCTGATGTCAACTTTAGATTCTAATATGTACTTTTAGCACTCTATCTTACTGGGTGACAAGGAAAGTCTTTCAGAATCAATCTCTAAGGTACCAAGAATAAAAATGGATCGAGATTTATTGAATTCAAACAAAAATTTGAAAAAACAAAAAATTTTGTGTTGGGGTTCGGGTATAGTCTGATGTCGTAGTTACCTAGCTGTTGAGTTGATGGTATTGAAAATAACTTCATTGTTTTTCGTGCCAAAATGGTTTCAATTATATTCTCCCTTCCTTAGTTATTAAAAGTATGTTGAAACTATATTATTAGATCCCTCAACAAAGATTCCATCTTTGCATTACCACTGTTGTTTCTATACTCTATGATTGGGAAGGAATGAGATCAAATTAGAGGACTCATCAATTATGAACTTTATGATTGGACTTTAATATTAATATTAACAATTTATAATGATTTCATATTAAACTTAATATGACAAATTTTTTTGATCCAGTGTGGTGGTATGACGCCAAAATTTTTTATAAAAAATGTAAAAAATATTTTCATTTTATCCTAATGAAGTAGGAATAATTTGATCATTCATTTAAAGAACATGAGAAACAAACCAAAATAGTTCTTCAAAGTTTCCTCACTTGAATTCATTATATTGCTTATAAGTTCAAATCACTGTCTAGTCGAATCGATCATTATTAATAAATTATAGAGGTAAAGAGATTCTATATATATCTTTATAGATTGTTGTTATGATGGATAAATTAATATTTTCAAAACTATTCAGTAACTGTGTGTTGAATAAATTGATCTTTGACCAAGTGAAATCAATTTCCGCAAGAAATGGCCGAGTTCATTATAAGTGGAAAGAGTTATTGGTAAAACCACATGCATTGGCAGGTCACAACTACTTGGAATTGTTGGAAAACAGTTTGACAGACAAAAAACAGTTCTACCCTTTAAAGTATATCAGGAGTATATTTGAGAAGGCGCTATCCGTTGGTTCAGTGGCGATGTTGGACTACTTGCTACGACGCTTCCAAGTCAAGTATGGCGAGGATGATAGCACCGTCAGGTATTCCTCAGTCGATCCGAAAATAGAGATGTATTCGAATTTGAACAGTGTTCTCAGTGGAGCTGCACAACAAGGAAGATTCGATCTAATCAACTACCTCATTGCGACGTTCAACAGTCACCAATGGAATTACTTTAGAGCGATGACAAAAGCACCACTTTCCGGAGACTTTAAGATTCTAGATTATTTCCTAGAGCGAATAGAATTGGATCCAAAGGCAGCTGGTAGCTATCGTTTAAATGCTTTCAATACAGCTGCTTATTCTGGTCATATCGATATGGTAAAATATCTAGCTTTGAAAAGACCACAGGATTTAGAGAGTAGTACAATGTTTCATTATGCAGTTTTCGGTGGTCACACTCAGATGGTTCAGTATCTACTAGAGGAATATCAAGATCGATTACCAAATGAAAAAGAAATGTTGTTGGACTATGCCGTTCGTCACAATTATTTAGATATTGCCAAAGTTTTACATAAATATGGTTGCAGAGATATCTTTGGCCAGGATACTATGCCGATTGTAGCAAGTCATGGTTATTTAGATACATTGATATGGTTATGTCAAAATACATCAAGTGAATGTACAAGTACCGCCATGGATTATGCAGCACGGTCTGGACACCTGGAAACTGTAAAATGGTTGTATCACAATAGATCTCTGGGGTGTAGTGAGATGGCAATCAATGGAGCTGCTGAAGAAGGGCATCTAAAGGTTATTGCTTGGATTCATGAGAATATGAGTGCATCTTGTACTACCGAAGCTATGGATTATGCATCTGGTTGCGAAAGTCTTGACGTTTTGAAATGGCTACATTCCAATAGAACAGAGGGTTGTACAGCTTTGTCAATGGCAATTGCGGCTCGATCAGGTCATCTAGCTAATGTTAAATGGCTACACGAAAATCGAACAGAAGGAGCGACAGAATATGCTATTGAGGCAGCTGCTACCTATGGATTTCTCGATATTGTTAAATGGCTCAGTGAGAATAGATCGGATGGATCGTCAACAGAAGCAATGGATCAAGCTGCAACCAACTGTCATTTCGAGGTTGTGTGTTGGTTGAATGAGAATCGCACTGAAGGATGTACATTGGCTGCCGTTGAAATGGCTGCATCCAATGGCGATTTGAAGATGGTTAAATATCTTTTAGAGAATACCACTGTCGGCTGTAGTATTGAAACACTTGGACATGCTTTACAAAATGGAGAATTAGATTTGATAGAGTATCTATTGGAAAACACCAAAGAATGTAGATTGGAATCGGTTCCCAATATAACCAACTATTTAAGATCACTAATTCAGAAAAATCAATACCAAACTATTGAATTAATATTACAACATATTGACGTGGGTGTAGAGTTGATTAATCATTATTTACCACAATTTCCATATTCAATAGAATCCATAGAAATTCTTGAAAGATATATAAATTTAAAAAGTAAATCAAATAAATCTTAAACATTTTGGATAATATGTATTGCATTGTTTTAATCAAATAATTATCCAATTAAAATTAGAATACTAAGTAAAAGAGATTAAATTATCAATTATATTGTTAATGATATGGATAATTTCTGATTTTGGTGATGACTTTTAACTTATTATCCAAACAAAATTTATAAAGTTCATCTTTCTTTAACTTTATTAACTCTTCTCTTGTTTTATTATTTACATCTTTATCTATATCATTATTATTAGTTGTAGACATCTTTTAAACATTTTTTAAATAAAAGTGAAATAAAAATAAAATCTTTTTATTGAAAAACAATTAATTATTGAATGATCATGAAGTATGTTAAATGTTAATAAATAAATAAAGAAATATTATTATTAGCTAGTTTATTTTTTATTTTTATTTTATTTTTTTTTGAAAAAAACTTCTTTTGAATACAATAACAAAGCTAGGATGTGATTGCTCGTTCGCACGAACTGTATCGTGTGAAAACTCGAATCCAAGAAATTGCTCGATACCTTTGATAAATATATCTTTTTTGTCTGGATAGAAATAGATGATCAGTGTACAAAATGTAGGCAAATCGATGAATTGTTGAATTTGGGTGATTGCTAATCCATTACTGGTTCTTCTGTGATCGGCGGCGGTTCCATCAGGTGCTCCCAACTTTTTGTGAATAACTAAATCTTCTAGGATCTCAAGACAGCGTAGCTTTGAAATGACTGGAACCCAATCGCTTGTGAAATGTACTTTGAGATGAGTGATTGCCAGTGTATCGATGTCGAACAGTTTGAAGAACGATGGTTGCTGTTTGAAGTAGTAGCGTGCTCTCAGTTTCCTGAGATTCGAGAATTCCAATGGTTTGGCAGGACAGTCTGGCTCTACAGGTCCATGAAAACCTGGGTAATATTCACCACCTACCAAATCACCAATGTACGTAAGTGAATGATGATACTTTGGATTCAACGATTCCGCGAGATCACTGATATACATCTCTCCGGTGATGAGTTTTTTCAGCGGGTGATCGATGGCACCATAGAATTGTTTGAGATCGTCGCGTGTCAATTCACGTTGCTCCGTTATCTCTATCTTTTCCAATGTTTTCATCGTTGCAAGTGGCAACAATTCTGCCGATGTCAGCTTCATATAGTGTAAATGAATCGATTGCAATCCGTTCATCATTGTCAAAGTGTTTTTGAATGCTCGCTTAATAGGAGGTGGGTTTGTTTCGCAACTGGCATGCGCTACCAACTTTTTTATGGATGAACAGATTTTCGATTGCTTCGGTGTCATTTCTTTTGAGAATTGAGTCAATGCGCCATCAAAGAAAACGATCGACTCGACCGACTTTATAGGATTCATAGGATTATCGATAGCGCTTTCCAATGATTGTTTATCGATTTGCTTGATATGAGTGAACCATCTACAAACAATACCATGAAACTGTTTATTAACCAAAGTTAATTGCAATGCTTGTTTGAATCGTAACTTGTGGTCTGATGACTGTAAGCATAGCGCCCAACAAATTCTGAAAATCTCTTTAATTGCTATAACAGGTAGATAGTAATCAACAGTTCCTCTCTCGAATTGATTTAATTGATCATTATTATTATTACTATTATTATTGCTATTATTCTTTAGAGAATTAACAATACTTTGAATTATTTTATCTTTTTTCCATGATTTAACTGCTGATATCATGTTGTCTTGACACATCTGATAGAGTTGATCTTTTGTTAACCTCTCTAAATCAAGCTCATCTGATGTGACTGTAATATGTGAAACATCTTTTTTATTCCTTTTAGATGATGCTTTTGTACTTTTATCTTTTTGAACTTCACTCATATTCAATAATAGATTTGAAGAAATAAACTATATTTTTGACCAAAAAAATAAATATAGAAAGAGACTTTATAAACAACTTTTCGTGTAAAAGAACTTCAGAAAGAAGAAAGAAATTTATTATCCAAAGATATTTATTTTTATTTTTCGATCATTTTCGAGTAAAAGAATCTTTTTTCTTCAAAATATCGCATCACCTATGATCAGTGCGGAGTCAGATAAATATGAAGTTTGTTTTTTTTAATTGCCTACTTATTTCATATATCATAGTGGTTCTAATTTAATACTGTACATCCTCATCAGTTCTTATAATTAAACATTAACGATTTGATCAAATGCCACTTTAACATGAGTTCCAATCTTTACTGTTACCTGCCGATACACCGACAGTGTCAGTGTGACAGTTGTGAAGGATAAAGAATTGTGATGGTAGAAGCAAGAACAATGGAATACCCATATAGAATAAGAATACGCATAACAGTCCACGTGTTGATGTCAATATTGCTGCCACCTCCAAGAATAATAACAAAGAAGTAACTTAATGGACCGTAGAGGAACATTTCGATGACAGAATTAATGGCGAAACCAGCACGCCAAAGATAAAGAAGTTTCTGTATTTGACAAACTTGCTCACTTCTAGTACTGTATACGACAAAACACAGGATACATCATCAAGAGTAAACCAACTGAGATTGGAAGTGAAACACTATCTAGAGTGGATCGAGGGTACATAGTATCCAATGAGGATACCTTATAAACAGTAAAATCCAAACAGGAAGCAATTTATTTATAAGTCAAAGTCCATAAATCATCTTTTTAATAACTATTTATGTGTATGCTATACAACAGTAGATAGAAAATGAATTTTATAAAATTCAATTCAACAATCTAAGAATAATTGTTTTTTGTCATAGTTCCAGGGACAATTCCAAACAAAACTGGCTCCCAACCACTTTCGCCTGAGCAATAATTTAAAAAAAAAAAGTAAAAATTAAAAATTAGTGGGGTTAAAATGATCAGAGTGGTTTTTTTTATTTTGTTCAATTTATGGTTATATGGAAGAGCCAGTTTTGTTTTGTGAATTAATTAAAAAAAAAGTTAACATTTAAAAAAACATATTAAATTTTATTTTCAAGGATTTTAAATAATTTGTCTCTGAATTGGAATCCTATTCCATCAGATTGTTTGAATTTGCTAAAGTTCATGTTTACCAAACAATATCCTATCAATTCATTCACTGAAATATTATAAATTGAATTCCATTTCTTTTCTGATGGGCGTATAGTAAAAGCAAGCATTTCACATATGTAATAAAAAACAAATAGTACACATAGATGTGAATTTTGTGGTTGAGGAGGAGGAAGGGTGCTCATACTGAGAACATCGGTAATTTTAGTTCCTAAATTTACTAGTTTTCCTAATGTTGAAAAGTGAAAATTGCCAGCTGAGTCCATATGAAAGAAACTATTATCTTGGAAGCCAAACATTACTGAGATATGACCAATCCCTTTCCCTTGTGGTTGTGATTCGAGAAGTATTATTTTCAATTTCTTTTCATTTAAAGGTTGATGATGCATTATATTATCTAATAATCTTGTCACTTCGGGATCTAATACTGAAATTGAGATTGGACCATATAACATAGCAACACCTTCCAAGACTGAAATACTCTTTATACTATCGATAAGTACATCTCGAATCACTCCGTGGTCCATGATATTACCAATTATAGACTCTGGAGACGCATCGAACATAATTTGTAGATACTGTTGAAGTGGTGGTTGAGTATGTCTGTTGGGACTCATTATTAACTGGCTGTGATTGTTTTTGGTTTATAAATTGAATCAATTGTTGTTGTTGTTGGTTCATAAATTGAATCAATTGTTGTTGTTGTTGTTCTTGTTTTTGTTGTTGTTGGTTTATAAAATCAATTAAGAGTTTTAATTGTTGTTGTTGTTTTTGTTGTTCTTGTTCTTGTTGTTCTTGTTTTTGTTGTTGTTTTTGTTTTTGTTGTTCTTGTTTTTGTTGTTCTTGTTTTTGTTGTTGTTGTTCTTGTTTTTGCTGTTGTTGGTTTATAAAATCAATCAATATTTTTAGTTGTTGTTGATGCTGTTGCTGTTGCTGTTGCTGTTGTTGTTGTTGTTGGTTCTTGAATTTATGTAGTGTTTGTTTTCTCTTCTTATTTCCATCTAATATCTCTTTTTGAAGTTCGAGTAATCTGGCTATCAATGTCTGAATAATAGACTCATATGTGTTTATTTTTTTTTTCGATAAAAATTCAGCATCTTCCAAACTTAAACCACATCTGACAAGCAAATTAACTGTCTCCTGTTCTGATAAATTCTCCATTTAAAATGATATTATAAAGTATAGAAAATAAATACTCAAGTAATAATTTAAAATTTTGAGAAATAATAATAATAAAGGTATAGTATTTATTTTTAATTCTCAGAGGTATTATTATTTTTCAATAGTTTTAGTAACGATAAAATTGATTACAATATTCCCACTGTCCCAAAAAGGCAACAAAGTCATAAAATTAAGATCCCAATGGATTCTGTAACCATATTCTTCACTATTAATTTTTTAATAAAACTTTTATTGATTCTTTATTCAAAATAAAATAAAATATAAAAAGGATGTATTTTGTATTTTAGTAAGATTATTGTTTATTATTTCATTATATTAAACTGTTTATAGATACACACAATAGAACAATTTAACCAAAAATTGATTATTTTTTTTTTACATTTACATCAAAAGAAGAATAAATTTATAAATCTAGATTTTTTTGATTTAAAATATTTATTGTAAACAACTTAATTAAAAGTTGATAAACTATTTCCATTGATGTCGTTGTCTAATTTCTTGCCAATGATCACACCGTGATGACCTACGTTTGGAAAGGGTGATCGTACAGATGTCTTTTGTCCAAATACTTCGATGACTGTTCTCAGTTCATGTTTTATTCTCAGTAGTCTACTAAAGATGAGACCGGTTATCGGTACGATGTCAGAGAGTGAAAGTTTCTCTCCACTTGCAAGTGGATGTGATGCAGACAGTATTTCATTGCTATAGAATCTCTCCTCTAGATTCTTCATCTCGCGAATATACAGGATATCCTTGATCAAACTACAAACTTCCATAGGTTTATCTTGATGCTGAGGTGGCTGCTTCTTAAACACATCCATAATCGCACGTAAATCCCAATTCTCTCTCTTATCCAATTCCATCTTTTCATCAAATAAATGTTTACTTTTAATTAACTGTATACAGAGAAATGAATAAACAAGTTAGTTATAGTCATATTAATTATTAAAACTTTTAAACTTACAACATCAAGTAATAAATTTTCAGCTAAACAAAGGAATTCATCGATTTGATGATAAATCTTCTTTTTAAGTGGAGCCATAAGATTCTTTAGACGGTCATCGTACTCGGTTTGTGTTGATGGACGAAGTACAAGATTGACAATTCTAAGGTTTTCTTTGACTTTTGATATGCTGGAGGGTGGTTCGTCGATATAGTTAATGGGGACCACTCCTTGATAGAATCCTTTGCTGCACAGGTAGGTGTCGACTGTCGAACTGATAAGTTGTAACCACCATTTGATGAGTTCATTCTTCTTGGTGCCAACGAGAATAGCATTGTAATCGACGGTGATCTTCTCGATTGCCAAGTTGGTCTCCTCGATCAGTGTATGCAGAGAGTCACGTGCTTTCAAACAGTAGGTTCTTCCACTCTCGATGTCGTTGATCAATGTCCTCAGTGTAGGCATGAACGGCTTAAATTTGGTGTATTGCTTCTTGATGAACGTGAATGGCTTGACGTGTGAGTATCCAGTGGCATTGACGTACTCCTCCTCCGAGATGATATCGACAGAGTGATGTAGATCGGATGACGATGGCATTGCTGCGTTGACCGATGCCAACGAAGGTGAAGTCTGTATACTACTATTTATATTCTGGTTGTTCTGGTTGTTGTAGAGATGATTGTATTCATTGACGAGATGCTCAGTGAACTCTGGAGTTTGTTGTCCACTGTCGGTGACTCGATAGTAATAGTTTTGGAAATCACCTTTTGATTCATACATATACACCTTTTTGAGATACTGTGAGAAGAAACGAGTGAATTGCGTAGACATTTGGTCGATTGATGAAAAGAACTCTTCTTTTCCGTTGAGCGAAGCGATCTTGGTCTTTAACTGGTTGAGCTCATCGAGCGAAACAGGTTTTCCTCCACCGAAAAAGCTGCCATAATTTGGTAGGATATCGACATTGAAACCTTGTTTCACCAGGAATTGTTTGGTGGTTTCTTTGACCGCTGTTTGGAGCTCCGTTGAGAATGCATCGAATGGGTTGGTGATGAGACGTTCTAGCTTGGATCTGTCGGGTCCGAGTATCTGTGGAATCAAAACATCGATCATACCCAGCGATACAACACGACTGTGTGGAATACGAATCTTGGTTCGCTCATCTGGATGAATACAGACGAAACAGTTCAATCCAAGTGGATCGGCTTCACCGAGGTAACGAGCGAAAAGGAAAGTTCCTTCGTCAAATTCATGGTGATTCGGATCCATTGTGTTGTGATAGTATCCGATTCCACTGCTCAGCAGACTTGTGCTGAATCCGCTACTGCTGCTTACGCTACTAGGTGTACCGGAATGATGGTGAGAATGAAGATTGCTACTGTTGCTACTGCTATTATTATTGTTATTGTAATCCATCGAGAATAAAGATGACCAGTTCTTTGGTATCTTTATCACAACAATGTCATAGGGTGAAAGTCGTTCTTTGTCTAGATGATTTGCAAACTCTTTTACTGTTTTCAGTATCAACTCTTTGTCGTCCTGTGATGTACCCCAATGCGCAATGTTGTCGACCAGCGATTGACGTGAGATACGCAGATCCCAGTGTCCCTTGAATTTCTGGTAGGATTTAGCATTCTTGTCGACGTCGGGATTGATATAGAAATACTTTTTGATACGACGCTGTATCTCTTTGCTTGGTGTCATGCCAATCAGCACATTCTCAAGGTCGGTACGATGCGTACATAGATGATTGTAAAAATCTAGTGCCAATCGCAAGATAAACTCTGACTCTTCTTCCCAGGCGGCGTGATAGTAGAGCTGGAGGAACAGTTCCATCGTGTGTTTGTACTGGTCGATTTGCGACTGTGTGCGGAAACGACCATACACTATCATCTCGTAGTGAAATATGTGTGAGATGGACTTGAAGCGATTGAGCATCTTGTAGAGGTCGTCGGAGCTGTGTGGACGGTTCGGCAGCGATAGATCGTAGGACGCGTCCATCTTGCCTGACAACCCAATAAAGAAAGACTTTACCTTCTCGACGAATATCAGCTTTTGGTTGATAGTGGACATCGATGGATTGAAGACGATCGTCTCAAACTCACTAAAGTTGTCGATCGCCAGTGATTGGTAGGTGAGAGAGGTACGCACGTGATGGTGATGATGATGCGACAACAAGTTGGTATACGACGCACTGGCACCAGAGCTGTTTGGATCGTGCGATTTCGCCAGGTTGGACGGTCGCATTGCCGGATTATCTAGCGAGTTGGGCAGAGATGGAGGAGTCCAGAGTGTACTGGATTTAGGTGAAAGCGGTGAAAGAAAATTGGTGGAACTGGTCGTAGGTGAAGATGATGAAGATGGTGAAGAACCACCCATCAATCCATTTGTCGATAAAGATGCACTTATATTTATACTGCTACTACTGCTATTACTACTATTGTTGTTGCTATTTTGATTAATATTATTATTTATACAATGATTATTATTATTAAAATTATTACTATTTTGATGATTATTATTATTATTATTATTGTTTGATAAATTATTAAAATGACTACTACTGTTACCACTTCCACCCATACTACTACTTCCACTGCTATTTGATAAATTACTACTACTGGTATTGCTATTTGATAAATTAACACTACTACTTAGACTAAAACTGTTGTTGTTGTTGTTGTTGGTGCTGTTGCTGCTGTTGCTATATATATTACTATTACTACAAAATGATCCGCTCTTGCCTGCAGATGCCAAGCTGTTGGAAGTGAGATTGGTAGATCCTCTGTTTCCAATCATCGAAGTCGGTTGAATCGTACATGATACACTCAGAGCACGAACAGTACCACTGCCTCCCATAGGTGTATTTAAAACTGCTTCAAGACTAGAGTAACTGTTGTTCGCACTGCTATTATTACTGCTGTTGCTGTTTCCACTGTTACTACTGCTACTACTACTGCTTCCATCAAAAGATGATTTTACAATTGAAAATAGTGATTTTGATGATTCGCATTTCGATGTCAGATTCCTACAATTCTTATGTGACTAAAATGATGATGATGACGATGATGATGATGATGTTTACTTGGTTAATAATCAATTGAACCGATAATAATATAAATTTATAGCTCTTACTTTTATAGAACATTTGGTACAATTGTATCCAGATATTTTGTCTGCTGAAAAAATAATATTATTACAACCGGAACACATCGGTGAGTTCTCAAAGAAATCTTTTGACCAATCGTGCTTGATAACACTACAAAACTGTGGAAGAAAATGATAGGATTCATTGCATTCTATATGTGATGCCTTGTGACATGTCGTACAATCTGGAACAACCAAATAAAGTTAGTTCAACCTGTACCTATTTGGTCAGTTGATGATTCATTCTCGTTTACTACTACTTACAATATCCAACTTTGCCAATATCCCAAACCAGTTTATTGCAAATATAACAAAACGGTGGATTTTTAAAGTGTTTCTTGATCCAATTGTGTTGTTTATCTGTTGTACCCATTTATAAATTGAAACAAACTATATCCAAATAATTGATCAATTATAGTTTACTACTAATCTAATGTTATTATTATTATTGTTGATGTTGATTGATTGATTGATTGATTGATTGATTGATTCTTTGCTCAATTGACACTTTTTGATTAATTCTCGTTGATTATGATAATGTTGATATTGTACTTTTAAAAGATTGCTACTGAGATGTCTAGATTACAATACATATTAATATTTGATATTTCTATGATTTACAACAACAGTATGCTTGATAAATAAGAAATGATTAAGATTGATAAAAAGTGCAAGTTTTCTGTTTCTTTCTAATAATAATAATAGTGTGATTGGCAATCAACATACACTACTACTTCTATTTTGCTACTACTATTACTACTACTAATACTACTACTACTACTACGAATTTTTATAACAATACTAATTATGATGATAATATAAACAAACAACTAACTGACCAACAAAAATAAAAATAAAAAAAATAGTTTTATAAATAAATAAAAATAATATATGATGTTGTGTAGTGTATCTATGTGTTTTATTTTGTGTTTAGATTCGATGTTATGTGATGCGTTGTTAGTTATCTTGGATCAATTAAAAAGTGTGTGAGTGGTTTGGTTGTGAGGCAAATAGATAGACAGATAATAGATAATAGATAAGATGGTAATGGTTGACTTAATTGATATTGTTTGAATTGAATTGAATTGAATAAATAAAAAGATAGATAGATAGATTGATTGTTATTATTATTACTTTTTGTTTTGTTTTTTTTTTATTAAATTATTATTATTATTATTTTATATTTGATTTAATATTGTTGTTTTTATTTTATTTTATTTTATGTTACTTTAATTAATGTTATACTATTCTATTCTATTATTAATTATTGTTCTGTTTTTGCTTAAAAGTTGTTGAATGTGCTATTGTTATTGTTATTATTATTAATTTATTTATGAAATGAATGTTAATGTGGTTGAGTTACTGGTGTGCTATTTGTGTGTTTTGTGTGTGTGTGTGAGTGGTGTGTGTGTATTCCTAGGAATAGCAAAGAATATAATTAATATTCTAGAGGTAGGGTTTGAAATGGATCTAACTGGCTGAGTTTTATTAATGAATAGATCCAACAACAAAAAAAGTAATAATTGCACTGTTTTTTTTTTTTTTTGATTTTTTTGATTTTTGCAAGTGTGTAAAAATAATTTTGGGTTTGTTTTTTTATTTATTTTATATGTTTAATAAAGGTGAAGGAGAAGAGACACAACCCACACTTATCAAAAAATTAATTTTAGATTTTTTTATTTTTTGATTTTTTTATAGTGTGTTTTTATATCAATTAAATTAATTTAATTTAAATTTTTATCACTTTAATTTATGTTTTGAGAACTTACTTTTTAAAATAAATAAATAAATAATCATTTATGAAAAATAAAATTAAAACGATAACATTATCATTCAATTTTAAATAAATCATTAATTAAAAACAAGTTTTAAAAAATTTAAATTTAATCAAAACAACATAATTTATCTAAAGATAAAATCAAAAAGATAAGATTGTAAAAAAAAAAATCTGATTTTCAAAAACATCACAAAAAAATATTTCATAATTCACTTGAATGACATCATCTTTTTCTCTTTTTAAATTTGTTCTGCAAGATTTCATGCTCAAAAAAATAGATATTTAATTAATTTAAGAATAATATTAAAAGAACAAAGAAATGTATATTTTAAAAATAGAATTAGATAAAAATAAATAAATAAATAAAACAATATATGTGTTATTTTTGTTTTTAAAAAGATAAATTTAAATTTAAAGATTTTGTGTGTTAAATTTACATTTTTTTTAAATATGTGTTATGAGTGTGTTGTGTGTGTGTGAGTAAGTTCACTTCACAATTCATTTCATTTCATCGATATAATAAGTATGACTGAATCGTCATCAAAATATTTAAAACATCGGTTTTAAATTAGTATCCATTTTAATTTTTTAATTTACTTAGAGGGAAATTCAAGAAAGTGTGTGAACTGCAGTTTTAGCGCTACTTGATATCGAAAATGGTATTGGAGCAAAGAGAGAACATTTTTCTTTATCAATGATGTTGAATAGTATATTGAAAAACTATGCACTATACAGTGAATTTGGAAATATTGCATTGTGAGAGCAACCAAGTTTGGATAACTTTGCTGAATGTGAATTGTCCGTCCATCCTCAAACAACTCTTTGCATTATGAGTAGCAATAATATTATATGTATGTTATATATATTTAAAATAAGTTAATTAATTTAATTTTTAAAAAAGCGAATATATTGTTTTTTAATTATTTTATTTTTTAAGAATTATTTAAATTTAAAAGTAGTCGAATTAGTAGTGGAATAGTAGTAGTATTAGTACCTCCTCCTTTGAATTAAATTTAAAATAATTCATTTTCGAAAGACACCTTTTACAACTAATTATTAATAGAATAGCTTTATCCAATTTAAAATAATAATAATTCAGGTTCAATTTCAATTTCAATTTCAATTTATCAAACTACAGTTAGTTGTTATCTTAATTATTAATAATTCGAAAGTCTTTTCAGTTTTACACTTTTACATTTCACCAAAGATTTAATTTATCTCTATGCTTTAAAGATAATTATAATATTACATGTAAGTAGTTTAAATATATAATTTATAAATAATAATAATAGTTAATAGTAAGAATAATATTACTTTGAAATAATATCTATTATCCATCTTTTATCTATTATCTCTTTTTTTATTAAAAAAAGATATAAAACATTTTTTGTTTTTTTCATTTTATAGATTATCTTCTATCCTTTTAATATATTTTTAAAGTATTTATCTATATAAAAATTAATTTAAAATCATTTTATTAAATAATTATCATCATTTCTTTATTTTATTTATTCTAGACACAAATATCTAAAAACAAAACTACATCACCAACATATATCTAAAACCAATGATAGTTTTAGTTTAAAAGAAAACAAAAAAGAGCTATGACGATGTTATTAAATGGTTTCAATGAATGTTTATTTGCATCCTTATATATAACATTTTGTCTTTTAATATTCTATTTCACCAATCCACCTCCAACTAGCCTCAACCAAAAATATCTTACAATTGACACTACACTACTTTCTTTCATTTCAACCAATCATTGTTCCAATATTAATTATCATCCAATAACAACAACTACAACAATCAACAACAATAATTCACCTGACAACAACAATAATAATTAAATAACAATAATAATAATATCAATATAAAAAAAAACATAAAAAAATAATATATAACTAACTTTATGAAATAGGTATTTCCACTAGCTTTCAATAATTTCAATTTTTTTTCCACTCAACCCAAATTTAATATCACATCGATAATCATCAGATCTTTTTGTAATGGATGCTCTATTTCAAACAGATTCCCCTGTTTCGATTGAAGATGATCTATCAAATGTTCCAGACTCAGATGTAAATATCAAAAAAATTTAAATTTATAATTTTTAAAATCCATATTGTTAGATCAATTCATTAATTTTTATCTTTATTATTATTATTATTTTTCCAATCTTTTCTTTTATTTTTTTATAGAACAATGTGATTCCATATCAACAACAACAGCAGCAGCACCAATATACCAAAGAACCCATGGCTGAGAATGAAGTGTTTGTTGGTGGAGTCAGTAAGAACGTTACTGAAGATGACCTCCAGAGTGTATTCAATTCAGTTGGGTCTGTACGACAGATCAGATTGATGAAGAATAAACTTAATGGTGAAAGCAAGGGTTATGCTTTCATCACATTTGAAGACAAGTCCAGTTGTCAGATGGCCGTAGAGAAGATCTCAAACAAGGAGCTTAAAGGTAAATCTCTTCGTGTCAAATACTCTGAGAATCGTAGAAAACTGTTTTTGGGTAACCTACCAAAAGAGTTTAACAAAGAGCAACTGCTAGAGATTCTAAACAAACATACCGAGGGTATAACTTCAATGGATTTTTTAATGGTAAGATTATTAATAATATTTTTTAATAATATAACTAACTTTTCTAATTGTATTTTATTAATTTTATTCACAAATAGGATCCTGATAATCCAACTAGAAATAGAGGTTTTGCATTTGTTGAATTTTCAGATTATTATTTAGCTGATAAAGCAAGAAAAGGTAAATATATACTCACTTTTGAAAATTTTAATATTATTTTTAAAGTTTTAGTTTAGTACTAACTCTTTTGTTTGTTTCTGTAATATTTTCTTAGAATTTGCATCACCATCATTTAGAATTGGTTCAAGTTGTGTCACTGTAAATTGGGCAGATCCAGTACAAGAACCAGATGAAGATGTCATGAAGAATGTTAGAGTGCTCTATGTGAGAAACCTACCGGAACAGAGAAACAGTGAGGATCTCAAGAAGGTATTCGAGGAGTTTGGCACCATTGAAAAAGTTATCATACCGGTGAATATACCTGGACAGCAGAGAAGAGACTTTGGTTTTGTTCACTTTGAGTCACGAGAAGCCGCTGAGGAAGCGTTGGTTCGCCACAACAATCAACCGATTACCTATCAGGGCCGTGATTTGATCGTCTCATTTGCGAAACCAATGGACAAGAAGCAACGTGCCGAGCTGAGAGTGCGTAAACTCCAGCGAACCGTCAATCGTCAAAACCAGAATGCCGTGAAACAGTTGCACCAGATCGTTCCCACTCTGACTGCCGGTGTGCCCCAGAACATTGCAATCCAACCGGGTATCTCGTTCTTCCAGCTGCAGAGCGCGCCAACCGCCGCCACAGCGGCAACAACCATCGCTGCCGCACCAGCATCGGCACTGCAGTATCCACAGGCCTACAACAGTTTTGGATTCACAGCGGCACCAGCCTCCTATTCATTATATCCCATTCAAACGACCGATTCATATCTCAGCTATAATCCATCAGAAGTGGTTGCAGCCAACCACAGATATAAACCATATTAGTTTTAACAAAATTTGGTCGTCATTCAAATAAACTCATCAAAAATCTTCATCTCTCTTTTTCATTAAAAAAAAAAAAATCAAAATATTTTTTAGATTTTTTCATTTTTTAAATGTGTGTGGTTGTTTGATGATGTCACTCACCATTAATTTTATACTTTACTTTGCTAACAAATTTATATTCACAGATACTACTTATCTTTCTTTTGTTGTTTATTTGAATCTCTTCTCTTTTAATTAAATAACTCTTGTATTCTTAAAAAAAAAATTTCTACTTTTAAAAATATTGATTTACTTTTTTTGTTTTTCGTGGAAAACTTAAGTTATTATTAGTTTTGATTGTCATAGAATATGGAAATTGATTAATTCATTTTGGTGAACTTATAGATAGATACTACTGATTATGTTTAAACAAAGTTATCTTTTTAGGTAATTATGTCAAAAGAAAAATAAAAAAAATTAATTAAATAAAAATAAAAATAAAATTAATTTTTTGAAAAACAGAAATTTTTTTTTTTTTTTTTACTTCGATGGGAACTTTGTCAGCTCCAATTGATTGTGATATTTTTTAATAAAAGACTGACTTGTTTTGAACTAAAAACACCCCACAATCTATCAAAACCCCTCCCTCATTAATATAATTAGTAAAAAAAAAAAAAAATTAAAAAAAAAAAAAAAAAAGTTGATCTCTATAATTAAAAAAAAAATTTTTTATAACTATTTTTCTTTCTTTTCTTTATTATCATTGTTTTTAAAGTTATATGTTTAATCAGTAGTAGTTTAAGTTTTCAAAGAAGTTCATCAAAAAGTTTGACATTTTCGATTATTTCGAATCGAATAAAATAATTATATAGATAGCAAGGTAATGATCGATTTCTTGTTTAAAAATCATTTGTGAAACATAGAATTTGTAGTAAACAAAACAATAGAGCAATCTGGAATATATTGATATTGGAACTACAACATTTACTGTACATTCGAATAACTATGACATGTGTGGCAGTCTCAATCTTGAAAATCATATACATTCTCAATAATCTTGACACATGAGTGTATGGAATCAAGAATCAGTGTGTTGTCCAATTTTACAATTGTCATTGTTAAAACCTGGAATTGAAAGTCCTTTTCTACGACTTTTCTATTTGTTTTTTTGTCTAATGATAATTGTTCGTTTTGATTCGGATTTGGACTTGAGTTCTAATTAGAAGACTTGGATACAGGATTTATTATTATATTAGTATTGGGATTTGAAGGATATTTTGTAATATTGTTTGTTTTAAGAGATAGGACAGACAGACCACTTGTTGCAAGTCATGGTCTCATGTTCAATAATAAGTCACTATTTATAAATTTTTTCGTTTAAACTTTTACCCAACATCAAAAACCCATAACCCCCAAATATTTTACTTGCTCTTCCATCTTACAAGTATTTAATCAAATTGCTATAGATTTACCACACTGTGATACCACCCACACACACACAAAACACCATTCAAACAATCAATCTCACACACCTAGTGTACCACACTCTCAAAACTACACACACTCCACCTATTCAAACCAAATATATTTATGTTTAAATAACCCAAATCAATCATTTTTTAAAGCTTGATTACACATACCGGGTAGCTCGATACTATACCTTTTTCACACAACATACACCCACTCTTATATATATATATATACTAATTAATTGGTATACACTAACAAAAACCAAAACACACCTCCCTTTTACATCTTTTCCTTTTCTTTCCTTTACTTTCCACTATCCATCAATCTAACTATCTATCCACTATCACCAATAACAACGATAACAATAACAACAATACCCTATATTTAATATTTTATTGATTAGTATAAAAACAACCTGATATTATTGTTTATGAATTTATTTTTATTAAAATACCTCCCTTATTTTGATCACCCCTAAAAGGAACATTCATCATCAATTCTTTATTTTTCTTTTTTTTCATCACTAAATCAAAAACACAATTCTCAGCTCAACTCAGTTCATTCTATTCCAAACTCCTTAACATCATCATCAGAATCAAACATAGAGTAAAAACAGGACAACATCAGCAAATATCGATTATTTAGTAAAGATTTGGACTACTTTATAGAATTCATTGGAAGAATAGTCATCTTTAAATATTAAAAGTTCATATCAAGCAAAAAAATAATAGAAAAACTGTTAATCAATCATCAAATCAATATTATCAAACTTTAAAACTTGAAAATTCAAAAAAGAAGTAGTAGTAACCTATAGTTACTTACACTTTAATCTGTTTGTTGGTAATAAAATTTGGAAAATGTACGATTTTGGATTTTTTGGACATCATTAAGTTCACCTTTGAATAGCTATTGGTATCACAGGGTATTTCAAAGGTGGTGGAAGTTAGTGGTTGGAAGTTGGATAGGTTAAACATTTCAAAATCTACAATAAAGATAGAGATGGATTTAGTTATAAAAAAAACTCCAACAGCAATTCATCTTGCAGTGACGCAGTGGATAACATAAAAAAAACACAAAATTTCACACGATGATACATCTAGAGAGAAATCTAAAACTTGGTTTTATTGTTTTTCATTTTAATGTTGTGTTTCTACTCAATCTTTATTAAATTTACAATCTCTACGCGGATATTTGCGATCTGTTAAATATCAATTCATTACGCCAACAAAGTGTTTAAACAACACTGACCTACTTTCTTTTGTTTTATTATTATCTTTTTTTTTTTCCAATAAATTATTTATTTATATCAAAATAATATAAACTAAATTAAAAGTAGAAAGAAAAACAACAAAAAAAAATATAGAATGGAATAGAAACAAATAAACAAAAAAAAAACCACACACTAAACCACTTGAACCAATCCAAACACACACCGAGTCAGTCAGACTTAATTCCTCATCATCTTTAATTTATTTTTATTTTGTTTTATTTTATATTTGCTGTGTATTTATTTTTTTGGTTTTTTTATTTTTTATTTATTCATCGTACCCTCCACTATTATCCACTATTATCCTTTAGTTTGTTTCATTTCATTTCAATTACCACCAAACACCTTTTTTTTTTTGCTACAATTTCTAGTCTTAGTAAATAGCTTATTAATCTAACTAAAAATCACATGATCACAACAACAACAAATAATAATATCCAATTTACCTAGTCCCACTCGATTTACTAACAGTCTTTATATTATGATTCAAGATAGTGTTTAGTAACTAATATTAATTTAGCATATGATCATAGGATTAGATAATAATCAAGAACATGTATGTATAACTACTTTAACAATCATTTTCAATCATAGTTTTGTTTTAAAAATATCGTCGTGTCAGTTTCAATGAAAAAAAAAACCAAAAAACCAAAAACCAAAATTCATTAATATCAAACTGGAATTGGAATATTAATCATTTAAACTACTATTTGTTTATTATTGTGTATCCATCACTCACTTGGATATTATTCTATCAAATTAAAATTTCAAGAGCCTCCAATCAATCTATAATTTATTATTATTTAAAGATTTTTTTTTTTTGATAACCAAATCAAATTCATCAAAAATGTAAAACTATAATATAGTTTGACAAGAGTAATAACTATGTTATAAAAAATTATTATAAAAAAAAAAAATCATTGAGGTTATCTAATTAATTAACCACACATATATTTTTGTAATGCATATCATACATTCGAGATACAAAAAAAAAAAAAAAACAGTACAAATAGTGTTAAACTTTGTTTATAAAAAAATTTCAAGTGTGTGTGATAAAAATGTAATATTAGTCCAGAATATACCAAACATTTTATTTATAGAACAAAATGTCTATCTTCTCAATCATAAAAATTATAATAGTTTGTTCATATGAAATATTTTTACTTTAATTTGTACCCGCCATAAATTTTATTTTTTTATAAACTCATTCTGTCAAGTCGTAAATTTATATATGAATGAAATTGAAGTGTCCCCAAATTGCGGACATTCACTTTTTGGAATTCCAAATCAACATTGTGGCAAGTGTTTAAACACATGTCATTGTTTTACTTTATTATCACTGTAATATATCAAATCCATTTTGGACTCATTATTTAATCTGAACAATCAGGTGATGTTCAACAACAATGACATTTTGACAACTCAAAGAAATATAATTTCATGTATCCAATGATATTTACATATTTTTGCAGATTGATCATTATTTTTGGGCAAAGGTACCAAAAAACTTTTTTTGCTTTTTTTCAACCAATTAAGATCAACTGGTGCGCGCCATATTTATTCAACTGGTCAATTTTGGAGAGTTAGATCTGGCTGAATTTTTTGCAAATTAATTTTTTTTTAAAATTTTTTTTTTTTTTTTATTAATTTGCTTTGCAAAATCACCCCACACGGAGCTTTCATAGACCTTCACAATATACTAAAAAGAATTCTCCCAATAAAATAAAATCACACCAATTCCATTAATTTTTAGATCGATGTTTGCAAAGTGTCGACATTTTCAAAATTATTACTAGCAAATAAAAGGCGGCAGAGGGGTGTGTTTGGATCATGATATTCTTTCCATTCCACAAAAAAAACAATTTTGTTGTTAAAGAAAATAAGACTGCTCCTTCTTTTTACTCTTTTTGTCCAACAAAAAAAGAAATAGTTTTTTTTTTTTTTTTTTTTAATTACAATAAACATAACCTTGTCAGCTTTTTTGGAACCTCTGCTTTATACTTTCAAAAAAAAAAGAAAATAATTTAAATTTAAAATAACAATAACAACAAAAAACAAAACACTAACCCTCAACCACACACACATAACACACCTTCATCAATCAAATTAATAAAATAATCAAACAGATTATACAAATATATATAATTAGTAGTAGTAATAGTAATAATAATAATAATAGATAAAGTCCATATATTCTATTCTTTGTTTTGTTATTTATTTTTCATAACTTTTTGTTTTTTAGTTTTTATTTCTTTTAACTTTTATATTAAAGTTAAATTTTTAGTGGAAATAGATAAAAGTTTGAATTTAGATTTGGTTTATTCACACAATATGCATCAGAATTAATTTCTAATCAATTTCTTTTATTTTTAAAAACCAAAAACAACCAGTTTCCATATTTAGTTTATATATAGATCCCTTCAACAAGGGTGATAATTCATTAGTTTGTCAACTCTTCCAGCAGCAACAACAGCAACAACAACAACAAGTCATAATATAATCATATAATCTTGTAAATAGTAAATAGGAGTTAGTTAGTTAGTTAGTTCTTGATCAGATTCAGATTTGGAAGAGTTCTTCATTGACATCAACAAAAAGTAGCAATAACTTCACTCAACTACTACTAATCCATTAGTAGCTTATTTATATAAATACATACATATTTATTATATATACAACATCAACAACAACATATAATTTTGAAAGCAAAACAGTTTGATTAATAATGACTGCTTCAAAGGTAAAGTATCAATATCATTTTACATGTCAACAACAACAACAACAACAACAACAACAAATAACAACAAAATTCTTTTATTTGAAACAAACAAACAAATAATCATTCAATTAGTCAAAGAAAGAAAGAAAGAATGAGATAGAGAGGAGAGAGTGAGTGAGTGAGTGTGTGTGTTTGTTTGTTTGTGTGTTGTCCTGTGTTTTGTTTGACCCAGAATGAACAAGTTCGAGATGTGTGTTTTTTTTTTTTAATTTAATTTGGTTTTTTTTTTTTTTTTTTTTAAAATGGAATGATCAAATTAACTAATTAATATTAAACAACAAAATCTAATATATTTTTAATATTATTATTATTATTATTATTATTTCTCTAGAAATCCAATACAAAGAGTAAAAAGAAAGAAGTGGTTGAAGTAGAAATCAGTGACAGTGGTGAAGAGATGAGTGATGATCTTCCACCTGTTACCAGAGGCAAGACTGTAAAGTCGACGTCTCCACACTCCTCTTCGCCAATTACATCATCGCCGATACAGAATAATGCACCGATCACTCGAACCCGTTCACAAAGACTACAGGAGCAGCAACTACAACAACTGCAACAACAGCAATCTTCACCGACACAGTCCACCACCATGACAAGAGCAAAGTCAAAGCTACTGGCACAACAACAACAGCAACAACAAAAACAACAGCGACAACAACGACAAACGATAATTTCACAACCATTACCAGCTACATCAAAGAAAAAAGCAGCTGCCAATTCAAAGAACAACAACAACAATAATAATACTAAATCAAATAACACTGCAAGTACTAGTAGTAGCGGTGGCAATAGTAACAAGAATAGTAAGACTATGGTTGTAGAGGAGTCTGACGACGATGAGGATATGACAGATGACGACAAGGAGTCAGATTCAGATATGGAAGCTGATATTCCAACTGTAGATGTAAATGTTGTAGTTAGCAATAATACTACTAAAAATAAAGATAAAGATGAAGATAGAGATAGAGATGAAGAGGAGGATCAAGATGATTCCGATAAATCAGGATCTGACTTTGATATATCTGACTCTGATTCCGACAGTTTTGCAAGTAGGAAAACTAAAGGAAAGAAACCAACAGCATCAACAACAAAAGGAAAAGTAACAACAACTAAATCAAATACAAAGAAATCAGTTTCAAATGGAAAGAAAGAAGTAGGGTCTGACTTTTCAGATTCCGATACAGATTATATACCGCCAACTTCAAAATCTAAAAAGTCAACAACATCGACGACAACAACAACAACCGTTACAAATAACAGCAATAAGAAGCAAACATCATCATCATCATCAGCAGCAAAGAGAAAGAGTACAACTCTGAAACAATCACAACCAAAGCGAAAGACAAAGAAGTCGAGGAAAGAATATTTGTACTCTTCCGAGGAGGAAAACAGTGACGATGAAGAGATAAGCGATAATTCAGCTAACGATGACGATGATGATGAAGTTGCTGTTGCAAAGAAAAAGTCGGTCGTTGGTACTGATGACGAATCGATGAGTGAACTGTCGGCGTCGGATGACAGTGACAGTGACAGTGACAGTGACGAGCGTAGTGAAAAGAGTGACGACGACGAAGAAGACGAAGACGACGACAAAGCGGACATCGACGACCTGGAAACAGTCAATGGTATTGACAATGTAGATAAACTAAAGTACGAGACAGTCGACAAGATTCTGACAACCAAGATGTTCAGAGGAAAGTTTGCTCAGATGCCCTATACACTCTATCAGTATTTGCACGCCGCCGGCGGAAATCAACAGTCTTCATCGACACCCAATGCCAACTCATCCGCTACCTCTTCACCACTCTTGAAATCATCATCGTCGAGCATCACCACCACCACTACAACCACTACAAGCAATACAACAGCAACAGCAGCAGCAGCAGCAGCAGAAGTCAAAGAAGAACAACAAACAGAAGAACAATCAGCAATGAACATCGACCAGAAAGTAGAGGATACAAAGGTGGAGGAACAGCAACAGTCATCCGTTACTACCAAACAAAATGGTGCTTCTACACCTGTTTTGACCAGTACAAGCAGTAATAGTAGTAGTAGTAGTGTATTGGATAGTTCGACCAATGGAAAATCAACAACAGCAACAACAACAACAACAAACTCTGAGAAACCAAATGAAGAAGTTAGATATTTAGTACTTTTGAAGGATCGATCGTTTAGAGCTGTCAGATGGATGACCATTTCAGAGTTGGAGAGCACTCGTAGTGTTACCAATCGTCTGCAGCTGATGATAAAGAAAGCCAATGCCACTACACCCGAACCAATCAAAGATGAATCGGAAGCCAATCCACTGCATTACTTTAACCAGGACAATATTCAGGTGGAAAAGATTCTCACAGAGGTGAAGAAGCAGCTGAGAGGTGGTGGCGGCGCCAACAACAAGAAGGTGGACACTCGCTACTTGGTCAAGTGGAAGGGACTGCCCTACGAGAAGACCACCTGGGAGACAGAGAGTGCACTCTCGTCGCCAGCCGACAAGCAAGCCATTCAGGCGTACTACGAACTGCAGACCACTGGCGGCGGTACAAAGAAACTGGTGAAACGACCGTCCAAGATGCCACCATTCGACAATCAACTGGTACCGAAATTCAATGAATCGCTCAGTCTGAAGCAGTTCCAAGTCGAGGGATTCCTCTGGTTGTCGTACTGCTGGTATCACGAGAGATCGTCGTTGCTCGCCGATGAGATGGGTCTCGGAAAGACCATTCAAACGATAGCGTTCCTCCAGTATATCAGTCAGACCGTTGGAATCAAAGGACCGTTCATGGTTGTCGCACCGCTATCGACCCTCGGTAACTGGCACAAGGAAATCATCAAGTGGACAAACATGCGTGTTTTAGTGTTCTACGGTACACAGGAAGCGCGTTCCACCCTCAAGAAATACGAATGGAAACGACAGGACAAGAGCTACATGTTTGAGATCATGCTGACCACCTACGAAACTGTGATGACCGAACACTCTGACATTGTTAAAGTTCCATGGAGAATAATGGTATTGGATGAAGGTCATCGTATAAAGAATGTCAATTCAAAAGTTTTAACAAAATTGAAATCCATTAGAGTATGTATACAATTTATAAAGAAAGAAAGAAAGAAAAACAATATCAATCAATTACTAATATTAATATAATTTATATAGTCTGAACATACACTTATTCTTACAGGTACACCATTACAGAATGATATGAAAGAACTTTGGACGATGTTAAACTTTTTAGATTCTAGAAAATTCAATAGTTGCACAGAGTTTCTTGCAGAGTTTAGTGATTTGAAAGAAGAGTCACAAGTTCAGAGATTGCATCATCTTCTCTCACCTTATCTATTGCGTAGAATGAAAGAAGATGTCGAACTATCTATTCCAATCAAAGAGGAAACAGTGATTCAAGTCGAACTGTCATCCACTCAAAAGACATATTATCGTGCCATTCTCGAAAAGAACAGAGAGTTCCTTGCAAGAGGTGTCAAGAGTAAATCGAATCTACCTAAATTAACAAATATTATGATTCAAGTAAGTTAACAATCAATCAATAATAATCAATCAATCAATCAATCAATATACTAATCAACACTTTTATAGATTCGAAAAGTTTGTAATCATCCATTCTTAATTCTTGGTGCAGAAGATACTATTATTAGACAGGAGAAGCTAAAGACTGAGGAACAGATTTCAGAACTTTTGATTAGATCGAGTTCCAAGCTGGTTTTGGTCGATAAGCTGTTGCAGAGATTGAAGGCAGAAGGTCACAAGGTGTTGATTTTCAGTCAGATGGTCGAGTCTTTGAATATTCTCGAGGATTACTTGCACTACAGAGAGTATCTTTACGAGCGTCTCGATGGTTCCGTCAAGAGCGAGGTACGTCAAGCCAGTATCGAGCGTTTCATGGATAAGGAATCGGACCGTTTCGTCTTCTTGCTCTCTACGAGATCGGGTGGTGTCGGTATCAATCTTACCAGTGCCGACACTGTAATTCTCTTTGACAGCGATTGGAATCCACAGAGCGATCTACAGGCACAGGCAAGATGTCATCGTATCGGACAGACCTCCAACGTCAAGGTGTACCGACTCATCACCAGAAACACCTATGAGCAATATCTCTTTGAGGTTGCCACCAAGAAGTTGCTGCTCGATCACATCGTTCTCAACAACGCCAAGAACAATCCGATGAAAGAGAATCAAGAGAAAGAGGCACGTGAGAAAGAGGCGCGTGAGAAAGAGGAGAGGGAGAAGGAGAAGGAGAAAGATGGATCGGTCGTCGACGCCAATGTCGAAGGCGGCGAGAGTGCCAGTCCCTCCGACTCGAAAGGCGAGGACGGAGTTTCCACTCCGACATCGGCGGGCGGCAAGGATATCGACCCGGATGCTCCCTCAGAGATCAGTCAGATGCTGAAATATGGTGCCGCCTATCTCTTTGCAGAGAATGCCAATGAAGCTTCGGAACTCGATAACATCATGATCAACGAGGACATCGATAAGATCTTGGAGCGTTCGACAACCATCAGCTTTGACAACAAGAACAAACCGGCCAATCTCTCTGGTTTCTCAAAGGCAACGTTCTGTTCGACAGAGACCGATATGAATGTTGATATCGACGACGAGAACTTCTGGGAGAAGGTGCTCCCCGACTACAAAACTGTGAAGCAACTCGAGGAGAAACTATCGAATGCCAGCGTGTTTGCTAGTGACGAAGCACGTGCCAAATACATTGAGGATATCTGTTCACTGGCACAGGCAAAGCGTGACGAACTCAACGATTCCGTCTCCGTGGAATTCATTGGCGATCTTCTCAAGCTGATAATGCGTGTCGAGTTCAACACAAAGTTCACCACAGAGGAGCGTGACCGTGTGCAAAACATGAGAATGCTACTCGAGAAACCACGTACCAGAAAGCGTATCGTTCCAGAGGTTTTGCAGTCGATGAATCATCACGTCAGCGAGAAGAAGAGCAAGAAGAATCAGACTATCATTGCCATGCCCGACACTGACACATCGAGTGATGACAACCACGGAAGTGACACCGAGTACATTGAGAATGAAAACGACATGGATACCGACGACGATGTTGAAACTGTCGACAGCAAACGCAAAGACAAGAATCGTATGAAACAATCGGGCACTGGAATTGGCATCGGTAGTAACGGACAACCGTTGATGGGTTCGTCTGCCAGTGGCATTCCTACCGGTGGTGTCGGTGGTGCCAATGGTGCACTCGGTCAATTTAGCGTGAGCGCAACTGCCAGTGTCCCAGTGTGGAACAAATCCAACAAGGACAAAGTCAAGGCTATTCTTTTCAAGTACGGATTCCACCGTTGGCGTAAAGTACAAAAGGAACTCGCTGCCTCGGGAATCAACAAGACGCCGTCAGAGATTCAGTCGATCAGTGAATCGTTCTTGGAGGTCGGTCAAAAGTATCAGGCCACCGCAATGAAAGACTTTTTCGATAGTTTCGTCGATGACACTGCCAACTACAATTGGCACAAAATGGGATTCAACATTGAACACAAGATTACAGCAATTCCAAACAACAACACTAACAATAACAATTTGAATTACTACAAGATTAAGGATGTAAACAATAATATTCCATTGATTACAACTCAATCTATTGTTATTGGATGGAGTAAATCAACACCACCTGCACCAACTCCAACTCCTACTACTGCTGTTCCTGCTGCTGCTCTTGCTGCTTCAACTACAACTCCTGCCGAGTCAGCTCCATCTTCTTCTGCAACTACAACCACCGAGAATGTTGATAAAAAGGATGGTTCACAAACACCAACTTCAACTTCAACCAGTGTTAAAACAGAAACTTCTACTGAATCTACTGAATCTAAGGACTCTTTGCCGACAGCTACCTCACCCTCTAACAACAATAACACAACTGTAAATAGTGAATCAACAACATCCACATCAACAACAACAACATCCACTATTAATAACACTGAAAGATCAGAATCCAAAGTGTTGGATGAAACCGAAAATAACAAACAAAACAACAACAACAACAACAACAACAACAACAACAACAACAACAACAACAATAACAATAACACCTCTGACAAAACTCAAAGTAATAATACTAATGCTACTACTACAACTACCTCACCTACAACATCAACACCAGTAGTAACTGATAATAATGGTATTGTACAAAACAATTCAACACAAAATTCACATAGCTCTTCACCAATAGCTTCACCAAAGCAGTTACCAGTACCGATTTCAAACAAATCACCTGCCAAAGAAGCTGGTTACTACTTGGTGTTGTCCAATGAGGAATTCAAAGAGAATCAAATCATCAGAACCTATCCTATAACAGATGGTATCAAGTCTTTGGAGATATTCTTCCCTGGATTCAATGGCACCTATGTTGCCAATATCATCTATGCCAATCCACAGAACAATACCTATCAAGTCTGCAGTAACAACGTTCGCATACAAACGACACCCAATATCATTTGGCAACAATTGGACTTCCCATCGTTCTCCACACGTGTACAAACTATATTGTCGCGTCTCGTACAGATGAGAGCAATCAAACAGCTCGCCATCAAGTATGGCAAACAACTAAAGAATCTAAAGATACCGACACTCGGTCGTGGTCCAACATTCTACTGGAATCAAGAGAATGACAAATCACTGTTGATCGGTGTCTACAAGCATGGCTACGGAAAATACGTTGAGATCTTTGGTGACCCTGCACTGGACCTACAGAGTGCCACCAAGAGCAACAAACCTCCGGGACAGTCGGACGACGCTGCTATCAACGACGACGCTGCACAGGACAAGATCCCATCGTCTGAATCACTGAGACGTCGTATCACCAGAATCACCGAGCTAATCCTTCGTAGTGAACAAAATGATCGTGCATTCAAGAGCTCTGTACTTCTCGCTCCCACAGAACCAGAGTCATCCGACAAGAACATGTTCTCACCCGAGTCCATTGATATCTCTGACGACGATGATAAATTTAGAAATAGTAATGGTGGTTTAAATATTAATAAACAACAACCAATGCATCAACAACAGCTAACACCACAACAAGCACAACTTTATCAACAACAAGCACAACAGCAACAACAACAAGCACAACAGCAACATTTACTTCAACAACAAATTCAACATCATCAACAATCGATGCAATATAAATCTAAATTTACAAATCAACCGCCACCTCAAGCACAGAAACCAATTCCACAATCAATGTCACAATCAAAGCAACAGAAACCAGCTGCTGAGCAACAGAGATATGCTGGTCTTGAACTAAAGTCATCGAGTAACACTCTTGCTTTGATGTTCCATTGGCAAGAGAAACTCTATCCAATGACGATCCCACACTCTATAGCCTTGGACACTATGAAAAAGATATTTATTGTCAAGTACAATCTGTTTGGTGAGGTTGGACATGGCGAGGACAACGACTTTGTCTTGCGATTCTACAACAAAGACGTTCCCATTCCTCCAAATGTTAGACTCTATGAACTCGGTATCAAAGACAACGATATCATCACTGTCGTTTGGGAGAACAAATGGAAGACCATCCAGGTGAAAGGTTTCGAAATGGAGAGTGTTCTCATGAAGGTTCAAGACGATACCATCCTCGAGGATATTGTACGTGCCTATTTCCACAGCTCACAGCCACCCTATGAATTCAAGAATCTGCGAATCGACTTTAACGGCAAGATTCTCGATCTCAAGACCGATATCGGTACCAATAAGATCAAGACCGACTCGTTCCTTGCGATTGTTTCATCGCCTGACATCATCCACGTTCACGTTGTTCCGTCGTGGGGCGGTGAAAAGGAGATCTATGCACTTCACAAAAAGTCGACACTTCTTTCCAAGCTGATCGATTCATTCCTCAAGAAACACGGCTTGCAAGTCAAACAGATCTTGTTTAGCAACTCCTCGACCAACCAACAAGTTGATCCTGCCAAGTCGCCAATAGAACAAGGCATCGATATGGACACTCAGATTGTCGCGTATCTCTTGTTGGTTCGTCTGGATGTGACCTACAACACAACGACAGTGCCATATCTGCTCAGTACCAACACTTCTTTCGATTCGCTGATGCAACGATTCTGTGACCGACTACAACTCCAGAAGGCCAATGCCAACTTTATGCACGATGGCAAACGTCTGATCCCCGAGGAGAATCCAGAGTCTATAAAGATGGGTCCGCACGCAAACATCCAAGTGACCTTGGGAACTCCTCCGATCATCGAAGTTGAAGTCAGACTGGTTGGACAAGACTCTGGTAGCTACATCAAGATGCACACTGCCAACCCATTCCCACTTCAGATTCTCATGGAGAAGTTCTGTCAAGAACATCAACTTCAAAAGAAGAATGTTATTTTCAAACACAGAGGCGCTATTGTACATCCACAAGATACTTTAGTCACAATTGGACTTCAAGATAGTGACGTAATCGAATGTTTTGCACTCCCAAACAAATAGAGTAATTTATTTATACAAAAAAAAAAAAAAAAAAACAAAAACCGATAAAAACAAATAAACAAAAAATATATTAAAATAATAAGATTAATTGATTATGATATAGTGGAATATTACAAAGTTATAAAGATGACAAAAATTTTTTATGAAGATATCTCTCTAAGAAAATTGTTTTTAGATATCAAAAAAATTAATTAGGTCCTAATTAATGTAAAATTCAAATTCTTAAAAACCCAATAATAACAACTGATTTAATTTTTGATTCAACAATAAAGAACAAGATTCACATTATTTATTTACTTTTTCAAGAATCTAAGACCAGTTGACAAATGTCTCATGGTAACGTAGGTTCTTTCATAACATCTTCTACCAGCATCGTCAACATGTTTCAAGTAGAATGATCCCGGGAAGAGAGTAGAGACGGAATCGGATGGGGAATAGTTCTTCAAATTGTGACGTTGTTCACGGAGACTCAACTTGTTGGTGAATTCCTCTGGGGTGACACGTTGTCTTTGATCCAAACGCTTCTTGAGGTCTACCTTCTTTACCATCTCCTCGATCGATTGATTGACTTTGAAAGAGAAGGCAGAGGCAGATAGACCGGAACCGTAAGAGAATGTCAAGACACGCTTACCAACGAGATCGTCGGATTTCTCACAAAACAATGAGAGCAAACCACCGTAGGTACTACCGCAGTATGTATTACCCAATTGCTTGGCCAACAAAGTGGATGGAGCAACCTTTTTGTTGTAATCTTCCTTTGAGAGAGCAACCAAAGCCTTTTCAAGATCGGTATTGAAGTAGGTATCTTCAGCCTTCAAGTCTTTGTAGGCAGCCAACGATTTAAATACTTCAGCATTTGGATTTCTCAAGAAATCATTATACAACTAATATATAGTTATAAATAAACAAAAAAATATTAATAAATATAGTTTTAAAAAAATATTTGTTTTATCAATTGATACTTTACCATACGACCAAATGATTTTTGGACCAACTTGTTGTATGGAGAATGGAAGACGGCATAATCGACCTTGTCCAAACTGAATTGGTCTGGACTGAATTTCTTTTCAAAGACAGAACGGTAACGAGAATAACAATTGTCAATAGCACGAAGATAACAAGAGATTGAGAGTTTACCATCGACTCTTGGATACTCGGAATCCATGTCTGGCTTGTAAAAATCGTAGACATTCTCCATGTGTACACCACGTAGTCCACTTTCAAAAGTGATTGGAGCGTTTGGACCAATCAACATAGCAACAACACCAGCACCACCAGTGGGACGGGCAGGTCCCTTTTCGTAGACTGCAATGTCTCCGGCAACAACAATAGCGTTTCGTCCATCCCAATAGGAGGATTCCATCCATTGGAGGGTGTTGTGGAGTGCAGAGGTACCTCCGTAGCATGCATTGATAGTATCGATACCATCGATTGCGGTATTTCCAGACTTGGCAAAGAGATCCATCAATACGGTCTTGATTGACTTGGCTTTGTCGATGACTGTTTCAGTTCCAACCTCAAGACGACCAATCGAGTGTGGATCGACATCATACTTTTCCATGAGATTGGTGACGGCATTCATGGAAAGAGAGTAGATATCCTCGAGGTCACCACAGAAAGCCATGTTGGTTTGACCGAGACCAACGGTATATTTTCCGGCGGCAACTCCATCAAACTTTTCCAAGTCCTCTTGGGCGACGTAGGTCTTTGGGAAATAAATTTCCATACCAAGGATACCAATATTTTCAGCTCTCTTTGACATTTTATTATTATTTAGTTTTTTAATATTTAAAGGTTATATGAAATACAATGAAATGATATTATATAATGAATGATTTATAGGATGTTTTTTTTTTTTAAACAAAAATATAATTTTTAAAAGATTAAAATTAATTTTTGAATAGACAAGTTTAGTTTAGTTTACAATATTTTTGGAGATGAGTGTGTGTGACAGTTGGAGTCGAGAATGTGGAAAAGAAATAAAGTGTGTGACACAAGTGTAATTTGCCAAGATAAATTAGTAATAATCAACAGTGTTTTTTAGAATTTAAATATATATCAAAAATAATTACAGAGTCGATATAATAGATTTATTATACAATGAACAATGTAATGAATTGAAATTAATATAAAAATTTAGAAAGAGATATTACTAACTAGAGGTAGATACACTTAGTTAAGTTTTTTTTTGTGGTGGTGAGGGGGGGTGGAAGAAAGGTGGCGTGCAAAAGATATAATAGATAATATAATATTTGAAGACTAGCTTTGAAGGACCAAATGTAAAGAAAAAAAAAAAGTCCAAAGGAGTCTATTATATATTTTTCAAAGATCAACCAAAACCAAAAAAAAATTAATAAATTAAAAATAAATTTATAAATAAATATTATTTTTGTACATCAGACTTTGCAAAGTTCATAATAAAACAACCTATTTAAATTGTTTTTTCAATGGGTTTTTTATTAATCTTGTAGGGTTGGGATCTTAATGGGGTATGTTCATTATATGACTTTTGCAAAATAATTAAATAGATACCCCCCACAATCTTCTTTGCTATTAGAAAGTATCGTCTTTTGTGTGGGTTTTGTACAATTGCTGTGTTGAAAAAAAAAAATATCTTTGACAATGATAATATTTGAATTTATTCATGGTAAAAGAAAATCATCGACAGTGCCCCTATTGAAGTCAATAGAATTCCCTCCATTTTATCATTCGTCTGAAAAAAACTAAAAACTACCTGGTCATGGGAATAACACCCCATCTTATCTACCCAATAATAAAAAAATAGAAAAAAAAAAGTGAACTGAAAAACTTTTAAGACCCTTTTTGTTGATCATCAAAAGCCTGATTTGGAGGTAAGATAAAGTGGTTTGGTGTAGGATACCAGTGGTGTGAAGTGTATTTATAATTAAATAATTTATTTTATTTTATTTATGAGCCTAACAATTGTGGTACAATGAAATGATTTGTGGATGTTGATGTTTCACTTGTCTAGTGTTTACAACAATTCTATCTCTCTGCTTTTTTGATAATTACTTATTATCTTCAAAGTTGATTAAATATTATTATTATTTCTTCCTCTTTTTTTTTGTTTTAATTGAGTGCTTTTGAATGAATTGAATTGATTTGACTTGATTATAAGGAAGGATGATTGAATGAAGTCTTTTCTTCTACATTATATTAAAATGTATTGTTGTTGTTGTTGATGTGATGATGATGATGATGATGAGATGATGTTGGAGATCAAAGTAAGACTCGTTCGTTAACTTGTTTTGACTATTTACAATGAAATTAAACTATAATGTAATTGCTGAACCATTAGTGAACTATAGATTTTAGAGGTGCAGCAATGATTTCTTTTAAATTTAGATTTTCGTCCAATTCTTTATCTAATTCACCTATAACAGCACTTTGTATCATTGTTTAGATAGAATATGTTATGTTAGTTGGTAATAATGCACAACTGTTCATTGTTAACAATACCTACACATCGTCACCTTTAATAATATGTACACCTAAATTAAATATTTCAACACCTTCGTCAGTGTAGATTCTTTCATGACAGTGCTCTAGAATAACATTAATCATTTGATCCAATCCTCTTAGTGTACCCTATAAATTATAATAGAAACAACAACAACAACAATAATCATTAATACCAATATCAATATCAAATATCATTATAATATATACAAAACATTTGAACAGTGGTTTCTTTTGTTTTGTATTGTTTTGTTTTGGTTGTTTAAAATGCTTACAACTATATTTCTACCATCTGCAGTCAATACCAACACTCTCTCTAAAAATATATAATTTTATTGTAATAGATGTTTGAATGAATTCATTATTAGTACTTTTAGATTACATTGTATTGTATTGTATTGACAAACAATAATTCAAAAGATGTTACTTTTTACAAACTGTTCTAGCATAGACATGATTTGATTACTTTCTTGAATTAAAAGTTATATAGTTAATTGATCGTTTTTTAAACCAAAACTAAAAGAAAAATGTGCACAACCAAAAAAACTGATCCAATGAACTTCAAAATTTAGCAGTTAACAATTTTTGAAAAAGTTTGATTTTTTTTTATTCAACGGAATCAAAAAAAAAAAAAAAAAAAAAACAATCATCAAAAATTGAGGAATTTCATTTGCAACATAGTTTGACTTTTTTTATTTATTTATTTATTTATTTCAAAGATTAATTATTTATATTATATAAAAGCAAATATTATAAAATTAAAAATAAAAGATCGATCTATAAACTTTAATTTATTATGTAGGTGGGATTTTAATAAATAATAAAAGAATAGAATAAGGAAAAGAAAAAAAAAAAAAGTGAAGTGTTTGCAAAAATAAAAGGAATCTATACTATAAAAACAAAACACATTAATATATATATGTATGTGTTAGTGTGTGTTAGTGTGTGTGTAGAAGATGAAGAGAGTATAAAAAATAAAAAAATGAGGGTTATTATATCGATATCATATAATGAAGATCATTCATTATAATAAATTAATATTATAGCAAAATAAATAAATAAATAATAATTAATTTTAATGACAATAAAAATAATACCATCAATAAGCTAAACAGTACAACAAGACAACAACACCAATAACAAATATTACTACACTTTTTTAATTTAATTTAATTTAATTAATTATTTTGAAAACACAATCATTCTTTCTTTTTTTGTTTTTATCTTCAAATTTGAATAATTATCACGTTACAATTATTATTCATTAGTTTATTATATTTTATTTAATAATAAAGTAAAAAGTAGTACACACACATATATATAGCTTTAATCAATCAAATCAATCATATTATCATTATAACTTTACAATTTGCTTTTATAAACAAATCATTTTTATTTATTTGACTTTTTTTTTTTTTTAAAAAAGAAATTTCTTGTTCAAAGTTGTCTTTTTTTTTTTTAAAAATTTTTTTTTTGATAATATCTTGCATTGAAGTGATAAAATTGGATTGTAAAACCAACAACGGTCAACAACTTCTTCTTATTAACAATCATATATATATTTCTGTAACATTATAGTAGTAACAGTTTAGTAACAATATATATATACAGACACATTTGGATAGACAGATTAAAAAAAAGATAAAATCAAAAGAATGGTACTCACCAATAAACAAAAAGAGGAATTGTAGGTTAATGGATTCAAATTGATTGGATTATTGATGTTTACAAAAAACTAACAAATTAATGATTGATCGATAAATGTTAATAATCAATTAATAGAAATGGTGCGATTTTAGATTATTTCGATTCTTCAGGATATAAATTGACATCGACAGAGTTTACCAAAGAGACAAATATAGAGTTGGACCCAAAACTGAAAGGATTGCTCGAGAAGAAATGGACTTCAGTTATTAGACTGCAAAAGAAGGTTATGGATTTAGAGGCAAAGGTATCGCAGCTGGAAGAGGAGCTCAACAATGGTGGACGTGGACCAGCCCGTCGTGGAAAGGAAGATGCTTTGCCACGTCAGCCCGAGAAGCATGTACTTACAGGTCACAGAAATTGTATTAATGCAGTTAGATTTCACCCGTTGTTCTCGGTGATTGTGTCGGCGTCGGAAGATGCCACCATGAGAATCTGGGATTTCGATAGTGGCGACTTTGAGCGAACACTCAAGGGACACACCAACGCCGTACAGGACATCGACTTTGACAAGAGCGGAAATCTGCTGGCTTCTTGCTCCGCCGACCTGACGATTAAGCTCTGGGACTTCCAGTCATTCGATTGTATAAAGACACTTCATGGACACGACCACAATGTCAGTTGCGTAAGATTCCTTCCGTCGGGTGATCAGTTGGTCAGTTCGTCGCGTGACAAATCAATCAAGGTATGGGAGACTGCCACCGGTTACTGCACAAAGACTCTGACAGGACACGAAGATTGGGTGAGAAAGGTGATCGTCAGTGAGGACGGTACCACTTTGGCGTCGTGTTCAAACGATCAGACTGCACGTGTTTGGAATCTTGCAAAGGGCGAGTGTCTACTGACCTTTAGAGAGCACAGCCACGTCGTAGAGTGTCTCGCATACTCACCTGCCAACATAGTCGAAGTTCCAGGTTCACTTTTATCCACCCCCGAAGGAAAAGCAAAAGCAAAAGCCGGTGCAGGTGGTACTTCATTTGGTCAAGCAGGTTATCTAGCTACTGGTTCAAGAGATAAAACAATTAAAATATGGGAATTGGCAACTGGTCGTTGTTTACAAACCTATGTAAGTGAGAAAAAAAAAAACAAAATCAATCTTACAATCTATATATTAACATTTTCTTCACCACCTTTAGATTGGTCACGATAATTGGGTCAGATCAATTAAATTCCATCCATGTGGAAAATATTTAATTAGTGTTGGAGATGACAAATCGATTAGAGTTTGGGATATTGCACAAGGTAGATGCATCAAGACAATCAACGAAGCTCATTCACATTTCATATCATGTTTAGATTTTTGTAGCCACAACCCACACATTGCAACAGGAGGTGTCGATGATATTATAAAGATATGGAAACTTGGTTAAATATTATTACATATACATATAAAACATTCCGAATTTAACTTTTAAAAACAAACAAAGAATGTTGTATTTTATTTTTATTTTTATCCAATCATTTATTTTGAGTAGCTTTTAAAAAGTGTTTGATGGCACCAATGATCACACATATTTTAACAGGGTATTAAATTAGTCAATTTTTTGGCAAAAAATTTCGTTGAACCAAAAGTTTAACGGTTTTGGGTTGATCAAAAAATCAATCAACAGCTGATCCTATTTTTTTTTGTTAAAAAAGTTGTATTTTTTTTTTTGGTTCGCAGCAAATCGACCTTTTTATAAAGGGGTTTTTTTTAAAAATATAGATCGATTACATAGTTAAATTAAAGATGAATATAACTTTTATTATATTTGTTATATTTTATATTTTAATATTGGGTTGTTCCAATGATAGTAGTCTTGTAGGAGCTACCACTCAACTTAATATTGTAAAGATTATTTCATCACCTATGAATACATTTCCCACACAATCAGTAAACAGTATTTTAGTTTGTCAATTTCAAGCAACCATAATAGTAGAGACTGATTTAGTGATTGATTCGGTGGATGTAAAATCAAATACAACACAAAATACTGCAACACAAGCCTATCTACCTCTAGAGTTCAAAAATACCAATTATACAGCATGGTCATTCACTTTTAGTTCACAGGCACCTACAGTAAATCCTCTAAATATTACATTTACCACAACCACCAATACATTTGTATTTCCGAATGCCATAAATTATGGTTGTTTTTCATGTAAGTAAAAAAAAAATCAACACATAAACATATTTTAAGTTGACTCAATACCTAATTAAATTTCTCTTTAATAGTTTTCCCAAATACTACAATCATATCCAGTCAACCATATATCGATGAATTCTCAAATATCATTGTTTATGCAGAGGTAGAGGATTCACTTGTAGACTACTCATGTAGTCTTCAAGTAATGATTACAAGTAAATGTAGAGTAGATGTTTTATCTAAAAGTGGAGTGTATCCAAAGAGACCTTATAACAGTTTAAAAATAACAATGAGTTTTTCTGCAGCAGATATAACTGCGAATATGCTTTCCAGCACATCAGTGCAAATTGTTGGTTCTACAATTTATAGTATTCCAATTAGCTTTCCAACAAATGGTAAAAGAATATTTGAAATTTCCAAAATCAATTATTATCTTTTCTAATAATTATTCAAAAAACTTTTTTTTTTTTTTTATTAGTTTGTGCTATTAACTCGAGATTAATTAATAAGATGCCAACACAATATTGGGTAGACGGAACCACAGTGTCATTTTATGTTTTGGTTAGTTTTAGTTTCTCAAATTGTACTGATCCAAACTTTTTTGTTACATCTACTGATGGAGTAGTTGTTCAAATAAAGTCGAATGCCACTGAATATCAATATCTATTTTATAAGAATATTACAGCAATTGGATTAGCACAAATTTCAATAAGTATAAATTCCATCCCTTCTACATATACTTATTCATATTCTATAGATCGTATGTATAAACAAAAATAAGAAATAAGAATTTGATATTTTTTAGTATTTGTTTTTAATTTAATTAATTAAAAATAGAAATCAATTATAGTACATCTTCAGTTGGAAATTTACCATCAAATTTAGCATATTATAATTCGACAACCAATGCTATCGTCCCTTATTTCATTAATTTTGCAAAAGGATTTACACCATCGGCATTCACAACATCATATGTAGGATCAACCATAAGGGAGTTGATGATCACACCAGCTATAGCACATCGATTCCCATTTTCTTTTGGATATGGAAATTACACTTCGTACAACAGTTCCATTGGTTTTCTAGTTCCACCTTTTATCGCTGGATTTGCAATCAATTTTTATTATAAAGTTGCATCAATGGAATACAGAACGCAAGCATTTAACAATGTTCCTTCAGCAAGTATGTAATTTGATAGTCAAGTTTTATTTATTTAGAAAATTTAATTAATTCAATTTATTTCCTATCATCATAACAGAACAAGATAATAATGCACCATTATTAAAACAATTCAATTTCACAATGATAACAATCAATACAGTGAATGTAACTATTAAGGTATCTGATGATATATCTGGTATAAAGATGGTATCAATTGCTAATTACAATCTAACAACAATGAATATGACAAACTTTAACAACAATCTTACACAAGTCGAATTCAATATTCAAGTGAAATTGGATCTTTTCAACCCAAATTATGAAATTAAGATTTACGATTGGGCTGGAAATATCAATACACTTGTAATGGGTCAAACTTTAACACCACCGGATTTTGCAACTTTACCAAATTTCTATACAAATAGTAAGATAATTATTAATATTTTTTTGGAATCTAAAATTTAGATAATAATATTCTAATTTTTTTTTTTTTTAGTAACAATCGATTGTATTAAAAGTATTAGCTTTAATCCAACAAGAATAGATGTTTTGATGGGTACAGATTTAGAGATTACATTCCAATTGGACACGACGTTAGTTCCCTATGCTTTGGAACTACCACAGTTTTTGTTGTATAGTCCAATCAGTAATTCAACTGCTATCGTTGTTGGAACTGCAAGTGCCGGTGTTTATACAATCACAACTAAGGTTACCAACTACATAAAACAAGGAGCTCTACAGTTTCAATTGATTAACCGATACATCGATAGCACTGCCATCAATTTGAGGTTTGGCAAGAGAGTGGTTGTCATGAACAATTACTATGATCTAGTTCCAACTAGAATTAATTTCAATCCTATCCAAAATCTTGTCAACTCTGATAGTAATCCAGCAACAATTCACTGGAACATCAGCAAAGAAGACACGACAAAGAGTATTGGTTTGCTCTATATTGAAATATCATCCACCAGGGATCCTACCTTAAAGACAATGTCCTTTGACAATACACAACTACCATTGATCATTGATATTCCAATGTCTCCAAACTGTCAATCTCAAGTCTATTCCATCTCCAAAGTAATATTGACAGATACCCTTGGTAATAACTTTACCTATGACTCTAATGGCACTTCACTACCAATGAGTCCAGTTGCCGGCATGGGTGCTATCGAAGTCGTTTGTACCATTCCAATCAACGATATTATTCCACCAATTCTCACAGATTTCACAATCAAAACAATAATTCCAAACAAGAGATATTTCTTTAACATCACTATAGAAGAAAACCTTTCTGGAATATCTTATTTTAATGTACCTGTTGTTTATCTTACCAATGTCTATGGTAATAGTCTAGAGATGATAACATTTAGATCTGACTCCAACACAGGTGTAAGTAATTCAAATGTTACAATAGACATACCTAATGGATTTGGATATGGTGGATTGCTAGTTTCTGTTTATGGTTTGAAGGATAACTATGGAAATTTCAATGGATACTCTTCAAATCAACTCCAAGAGGCTGGCTTCCAATCGTTCATAGCAACAACATTTTCAAATATACCAACGATAACAAGTGTATCTAGTATATCTGTTAATGGAGGTGATCTCTCTGTTACAGGTATGCAATTTGGTAGCTCAAAGTCAAGTGTTTTTGGATATCTAGATTGCCAGAGTGGAACTACTCCTCAACCAACAGCCATTCAATCACTATTGAGCGACAGTCAATTGGTATTGACCGTTCAGAAATTTAAGGTTTCATCCTGTCTATTGGCTGTATCAGTTAATGGATACTTTTCAAACTGGTTCACAGTAACCCCAACTGGATTCACACCACCCCCACCTCCATGCCCATCGGACTCCTGCAGTTCCCACGGAACATGTTCTGCATATGGTTGTGTCTGCAATTCCGATTGGACCGGTGCAGATTGTTCGTTGAAACCAACACTGGAAGTACCAAAACCACAATTCAATCAAACCTCACCAACTATTACCATTGATACTTCCTCATCCCCATCATCCAATAACAACAATAATAATAATAATAATAATAATAACTTTACAAATATTTTGGATATTGTATCGGTTGATGAATTGAAACCTGATGGAAGTGTATTCATTTCATATACACTCAAAGGCTGGAATGTTTATAATAATACCGACGATAAATCCAGTGATAATCATACCAGTATTTTATATTCAACAGTGCTGAATGGTACTCAAGCAACTGTAAATGTAACTATTGATTGGTATCCCAATGCAATCACCAAGGAGTTTGCCAATCAAACAATTCAACTTTCCAATCACACTCTGAAATACACCATCAGTATTACCAAGTACCAATTCAATGACCGTCTCAACTCGATGAGAGTGATATTCTCCAATGGAATCATTTCTAAACCATCGGATGATGGATGTGTCAAAACCGATCGACAATATGGAATGCTGGATAGCGATACGAAAGAAATCAGTTGGATACAGCTCATCATCAATGATAATATATTATATGCCAGATTCCTCAAACAAGGAATAGTAGATGGTAGAATTACAAGTTTAAATAACTATATATTGGATGAAAATGAAAGTGATAATAGCGAAAACAAAGTCTTGACTAAAATAGCAACTCTAATTCCATATTTTGAAAATCAAGTATTAATAGATCCTGATTTCCAAGTAAGTAAATTTAATAATAATATTATTATTTAATCAATCTTAATTATATAGATTTTAAAACTAACAAATTTTATCTACTTTAAACATTACTATTAGGTTTTGTTGGGAGATGATATTGGTGTGGATAGTTGTAATGATAATGGAGAATCAAAGATTTCCAAGGGTGTAATAATAGGTGTAGTAGTAGGATGTGTAGTAGCAGCCATATTAATAACTGCCGGTATAGTTTATTTCGTAAAATATAAGTGGCTTATTAAATATCAAGTGGAAAAGAGTATAAAACTAAAAAAATAATTAAATAAATAAATAAATAGTTAAAAGAATATTTTAAAATATTGGCGTTCGGAAAAAAAAAAGATTAAAGAGACACAAAGATGTTAAGAGTGAACAGACTTTGAATTCCAAAAGAATGGATTAATCGAAATTGTTGATCAATTCCCAATCTTTTGGAAACTCACTGGTCACTGGGTGAAAACATTGTTTTGTTTGATTTGAAATGATAAGTCAACAACAAACAAAGATTTGATATAAATTTATAGATTTAGATTTCGGTTCGGTTTAAAAAAAAGTAGACTGCTTGATTACTAAAAGATATTCCATCCACATTATAATGTTTTGAAACCAATGAACAACACAACAAAAATAATATCGTGGTGTCTTTCTTTAATTTATTTTATTTCAACCTCTGACATAAAGGAACACCAAATAATAATTAAAGTTGAACGAACTACAAAAGGTAGAATAAAAAAAAAATAGATATTTTTGTTTTTTATCAAAACAAGATATTTTCTTTTTCTATTGTTTTGTTTTGTTGGATGTTTTTTCAATTGATTAATTTTTTTGGCACTCACACTGCTGCTAGATAATTTTTAAGGTTTGGTAATTTTTGCAAAAAAAAATCTATCTTTTTGTAAAGGTTGAGCATACCCAAAAAAACTCAAAAAGTATGTTTTTTTTAAAAAGAAAATATCAAAAAAGAATTTGGCAAAATAATTAATATTTAAAAAATTAAAAAAAAATAGTTTTTTTTTGACAGGCATCCATCTATCTATCATAACACATTTATTATTGTGGTGGCAGGCATACCAGCACCTCATCAAAAATCACATTAACAAAAACACCATTCATTTCATTATTCCAATCAATCAGTAAATCAATCAAACCATTTATAAACAACAACAACAGGTGAGAGCAGAAGCAGAGCAGATGGTGTTAATGAGTTGAGTTGTTTGTGTTTTAGTACTCCTCCTTACTTCCTTTCTTCATAGCCTATAAACAAGACACACTATTAATTATCCAAACCATCAAAAAAAAAACAAAAACAAAACAAAAAAAATCAAAGCTTTGATCCATCTCGAAATAAAACAACACAACCAACAAGCAAACAAACAGAGGTTTATTCATTTCTCACACACACACGACACATCACAACAACCAATAATATATGTATATCTAATAATTCAATTTGATCAAATCTAACAAAGTCGTATATCATCATTACTCTTTGTCAAGATCAATCAAACAGCAAATCAATCAAACTACCTTTTTTTTTTTAATTCATCAAAAAAGTAAATTCGTAAATTAGATTGACAAGATAAGATAATAATAGATAAAAAAAATACAATATATTGGTATAGTTTTGTTGTTCATCTTTATCCATAAAATAAAAATAAAAATAAAAATAAACAAGGTAAAAACAAAACTAAACTATTTTTACTTTTAACATTTAAATAAATAATAAGATTTTTAGTAAATCTATCTTGATCTAAAATAACAACAATTAAAATTAATTACCCAAAATGCAATAATAACAATCATATTAGTAATATTTTTCGATATAAATATTGCTTACTGTCACACATCAAAAAAATATAAGCAAAAGTTGAAACCCCCAACAACAACAAACACAAAAGAACACACATATATAAACATCAACGTAAAATTTTTTTATCAAATTAATTTTATTTTTTTGCAAACAAACCAAAAAATTTTCCCAATACCAACAAAGTATATCTTTTATCAAAAAATCCATTCAATTGAATCTTCTTTTTTTTTTTTTTTTTTTTTGCTATTTTATTAATATACCATCAAATCAATCAACCAACACAATCAAATTGACTTGTTAGTTCAAATTAGTCTATTTGAATATTTTATATATATATATATTAGAAATTCTCTAAAACATATATATTTAGCATTAACATTACTATCATTATTACTATTACTACAAAACAACAACTACAATATTATTTATTTTTATTTATATTTATATTAACTCTTTCTAGTTTTATCAAATACAATATTCTATAGGTGTCAAATAGATAGTTCAATTTAGAATAGAATAAAAGATAAAACATTTAGATACATTGTATTATTATTATTTAAAATCAAAACAAAACAAACAGAATAGAATAGAATAGAACAGAATAGAATAGAATCATATCATATCGATTTAATCAATCACAGATAATTTAGTTTAAAATTGTAGAAACCTATTTATACTTATAGTAATTATATAGTAGTAAAATTATAGTACAATATGTCAGCTCCACCATCTTATGTAAGTTTTAAATATTTTTGATCTCAATCAACATCCCCAAACAAAAAAAAAAAACAAAAAACAAATTTTTACTCATACTTTTTCTTTGTTTTTTTTTTTTTTTACTATCTAACAACAGAATATTGGTGGTGGTTCACCTTTAAATGGCGATGCTTTAATGAAACCAAGTTCATCACCTTCAAGATCAAGTATGTATAAATGTGTGATAGATTTTATTGATTATATATATATCTAATTAATAATGATGAAAATTATTATTATTATTATTATTATAGTGTTATTAAATGATTCAGTTAGTAATAATAGATCATCACCGTCTTTGAATTCAGTGAATGGTCAACATGCCAATAATAATAGTAGCAGTAGTATGAGTAGTAGCGAGATGGGAAAGAAGACGTTGAAGAGTAATGTCGTAAAGAGTTTGTTAAATAGATCGAGTTCTGGATCGAATCTTATGAGTCGACGTCAGTTCTCGGGCTCGACGTCGTCGTTCAACTCGGGCAGTCTTGGCAATAGCGGTTATATAGCGGACGATGCTTCAGAGTCATCGCTCGACTCACCAAAGTCATCGCGTAGACTCCACGGTGGCTCGATGACAGAGAACGACGTCGATAAATCACTCTGGACCATACGTGCACTCAAGGAGAACCCAGAGATCGCCGACATCTACGAGCGTATCAAACCGATCCACCGTTGTATATCACTCGGTCAACACTATGCCTACGAAGAAACACTACTCAAAGACGATCCACTCATCGGTGGCGACACCATGTTACAACTGATCCTTCAACATCTACAATACGAAGGTCTTTTAAGCTCTAGGAAATCATTAGAGAGTGAATCAAATGTTAAATGTAAATATCCATCATCATCATCATTATTATTATAATATATCATCAAAGTTTAGTTTATCTAACTTATAATTCTTTCTTCTTCTTCTTCTTCTTCTTTTTCTTTTTGTTATTTCCAATACTATAGATCCAGACTATGCATTCAATGAAAGTCGTTTAGTAACATTAATTAGAACAGCATTAAAAGATTCTGAAAGAATTTATAGTTTGACTTTGGATGAGAGACAAAAGGATTCTCAACAACTCTTGGAAGAACATTTAGCATTGATGGGTCTACTTTATGAAGGTAACTAACCAACTATAACTAATGATGATTATTTTGTCTTGTTTACTAACAATTATATATTTTATGTATTTTAGAAATAAATGATTCTTCAGAAGATGTAAATATTTATGATGAACCAGAAGACTCTAATATTATTTATTCGGAGGAAAAAGAGACAAAAGGAGATTCAGGTTCGTCAGCAACACAATCCAGTACTTCGACCGGTAGTTTGGCAAACTCGACGGCATCACTCACTAGCGGTGCGAATACATCGAGTTCTTCACTGCCTTCGAGTCCCTCGCTTATGAATAACAATAGTAACAACAGTTTGAGTAGTAGCAGTAATATGAGTAGTGGCGGTGCAGCCGGTATCAATGGAAATAACAGCAGCGGCAACAACAGCGGAAGCGGCAGCAGTAGTAGTAATAGTAGTATGAATTTAAATAGTATAAGCAGCTCCATGATGAGTCTGCCATCGAAGGACCAGTCGGAGCCAATAAAATCGATCAAGGCGGCGTCGCTCAACAAACTGGTGATCCTCCTCACACCCGAGAAGAATCACGATCTCGAGTATGCCAAGACATTCATTCTCACCTACCAGTCATTCACAACGCCAGAGAAACTACTACAGAAATTGATACAGCGTTATCAGGTGCCACAGAAACCAGGTCAGTCCGAAGAGGAGTGGAAAAAGATTGCCATCCCCATTCAGCTGCGTGTAGTCAACGTACTAAAGACATGGATCAACCAATCATTTTCGGAATTCAACGACAAACTCATTCAAAACATCAAATCATTTTTGGAGATACTCAAACACGACAATCCATCTTTAGCCAATCGTATTTTACAAACATTAAACAGCAAGGTAAGAGAGAGATAAAGATAAAGATAAAGATAAATATATATATAGTTTGTTGAATTGATTCAAACTTAAACTTTATTAATACTAATTATTAATGTTCATCTAATATTATTTTTAGATCAAAGGTATTGGTGTCGAAGATGAAGACGACGATAAGAAATCAAAGGTGGTATTTACTACCGCTGCACCAGAGCCAAAGGTACCAAAGAATATTTGGTCACAGAATCTAGATATTTTCGATGTTGAGGAGGAAGAGGTTGCCAGACAATTGACGCTGATTGATTTTGAGATATTTTCATCGATTAAACCATCGGAACTCTTGAATCAGTCGTGGAACAAACCAAAGCTTCGTCACCGTTCACCAAATGTTTTGACACTGATTACGCGTTTCAATGAGATCTCATCGTGGACGGCATCGCTGATCCTCAGCAACGACAAGGTCAAGGATCGTGCCAGAAACATGGCAAAGATCATCAAGATCGCAGAGTATCTCATGCGTCCACTCAACAATTTCAATACATCGATGGCCATTCTCTCTGGTCTGAACGCTGCCTCTGTACACAGACTTCGTTTCACCAAAGAGGAAATGCCAAAGCACATCCAACAGATCTGGGCAGACCTTCAAGCACAACTAAGCAGCAATCAATCCTACAAAGTCTATCGTGATCTACTCTCCAAAGCCAACCCACCTTGTTTACCATATCTAGGTGTTTGTTTAACAGATCTTACTTTTGTAAGTATAATTAATAATAATAATAATAATAATAGAAATGAATGTTGTTTATTAATTCTATTATTTTCTTTTCTTTTTGGATAAATTAGATTGAAGACGGTAATCCCGATCAAATTAAAGGATTTATCAATTTCAGTAAGAGAAAGTTAATTTATAATGCCATCTCAACCGTTCAGAGTTTCCAAAATACAAGATACAATTTGCATCCAGTTTATCAGATCTCTAAACTCTTGAGAAATCTGAAACCAAGATTGGATGAAGATGATTTGTATCGTAGGTCACTTAAGTTTGAACCAAGAAACAAAGAGAGAAATGAAATTCTTTAGACAACTAATAATCAATTATAATTAATTAAATTAACCAATACAATTAATAATAACAAACAACAACAACAACATAATAATAACAAAAGAAAAAAAAAGAAAAAAGAAAAAAGCAAAAAAAAAAAAACATAATAATAATAACTAACCAACCAACCAACCAACCAACTAACACAACTTATTCTTTATCAATCAAATCTATACTTATACCTTGCGATCAGTTCAATTCAACAAATCAATCATCAAATCAATTGAACAAAATTACAACCTTTAATAATAATCAAATCAATCATCAAACCAATAATAATGTCTATATTAATATCAACACTTTTTTTTTTAGAGTTTTTTTAAATACCAATTTTCATTACAACAAACAAAATCCAATCATACTCTTTTACGACATTATTATTTTTTACTGTAATAATAATAAATTATTGTTTAAAAACAAATAACTTTAAAAAAAAACCTTAAACTTATCATCATTTTTTATTTTTTATTTTTGAATCTTAAAAAAATCATGTGAGTCGATTCGTTTACTTTTTATATTAATCATCATAGTGATCATATGAACAATTTTATTTATTGAAAAATGTTATGTTTTAAAAAATTATATCAAAGCAAACAATATTTAAATTCAAATCTAATTAGATCGTTATGTACTAAATCAAATCAATCACAACAACAACAACAACAACAACCACATCAATCATCGATATGGCAACAATTAAAACCGACTGTCAACTTTCAATATATAAAAGATAATCAAGTAGAGTTACAAGAGAATGCTAAAAAGAGAAATACACTTGTAGATATTCAATCGATCGTCGCTAAATACGATGAGTATCGTGTGGTGAAGCGTGAGATCGATGCTGTGCGAAAACAAAAGAATGACGTTGCTGCAGCGGTCAAACAAAAGTCATTGTCAAAAGAGGAGAGACAAGCGTTGATCGATCAAGGAAAGCAAGTTAAAGATAGGTTGGCGGAGATGGAGATCAGTCACGACACACTCTTCAATGAGTTGACATCTGAGGCGCTAAAGATTCCAAACAACACACATCCAGACTCACCGATTGGACCTGAGGATAAAGCTGTCACCGTTTTGAACGTCGGTAAGATACCAGAGTTCAACGACGGTTTCCAACCAAAGGATCACGTGGAACTTGGAGAATCGCTCGGACTTTTGAAACCGGCAAGTCACACCACCGGTCACAAATACTACTATTTCACACGTGATGCCGCAATGCTCGAGATGGCGCTGAGTTACTGGGCGTTCTCAACGATGCAGCTGAAATATGGATTCACTCCTATCATTACACCGGATGTGGTGCATCCTGCACTCGCCGAGGCATGCGGATTTCAACCGCGATCCGAAGCCACTCAACTCTACTGGATGCGCGACCACGAGTTGTGTCTGACGGCGACAGCAGAGATTCCAATGGCCGGAATCCATTCGAATTCCGTGCTCGATCAAGCGGAACTCCCACTAAAGATGGTCGGTTACTCACACTGCTTCCGTGCAGAGACTGGTCGTGGTGTTATCAACAAGGGTATCTACAGAGTGCATCAGTTTAGCAAGGTGGAGATGTTTGTCATCTCGACACCAGAGCAATCGGAATCGATATTGAAAGAGTTGCTCGATATACAGATAGAGATGTTCAGCTCACTGGAACTTCCATTCCGTGTGCTCGATATGCCAACGGAGGATCTCGGTGCACCGGCCTATCGTAAATACGACATTGAAGTTTGGATACCAAGCAGAAATGGCTACGGTGAGATATCGAGTGCTTCGTCTTGCACCGACTATCAAAGTAAAAGATTAAACATAAAATACAAACACAACAACAACAACAACACTGATAATCAAAGTTTTGCACACACCTTAAATGCCACAGCATGCGCAATCCCTAGAATCATTTTAGCAATTTTGGAAAACAATCAACAACCGGATGGATCTGTCATCATACCAAAAATATTAAGACCACTTATGGGTGGTAAAGATAGAATTTTACCTCTTTCAAAAAATAATAATAATAATAATAATAATACCAGTTGTAATTAATTAATTTAATTAAACAAATTTGTAAAACAACAAAAGAGAGACTTTCTTTTATTTTCTTTTTTTTTTTAATTTTTTTTTTTTTTGAACCTTCACCTTGTAAAAAAATCTTTTTTGGTTCCATGCGGTGAGATTTTTTTTTTGGATCTCTGGCTTATGATTTTTTTATAACCGCAAAGAAAAAAAAACAACAGAGACTTTCGACACTCTAAATCATGAATTTATTTTAATTTTTTTTTCAGTGATTAAAAGTCTTTTGGATATTTTTAGGTCAAAACAAATCAGTTTTGTATATTTTTTTTTGTAAGATCTTTTTATAATAAAGTTTGTTTTGAAACGGATTGGCAAAGGTCTTACCTATGATTGTTACCAATCAAATTTAATCACTTCTCTAAATCATCAAATCAAAATTTATTTTTTATAAATATATATCCTATTTTTTTATTTATTATTTTTATTTATATGTTTTTAAATAATAATGATTGTTTTTGAAAATAAAAGCTTATTATTGCTATTTATAATATTATTACTCTCTATAAATAATAATAATTATTTTGTAGCTAGTGAAATAGTTTCATCAGAATATTCAATAAAGGATATCAATATTTTAGGAGGTCAACTGAAAATACTTAGTGGTGAGGTTCAGTTTGACCAAGATATATATAAATTACAAAGCTATACTTGTTCGAATTTCAATTGTTCGGGATACACTCCACCGGCATGTCCACCATGTGACTACACCATTAATAATCCTCTTGGATGTGGTGTCTCGAATTGTGGTTCTTGTCAACCATCGACAAGAGCGTGTGGTCCTATCGATTGGGTGCCACTCTCGGTCAACCAGTGGCAGTCAGGATATCTAAAGACTCTCTCAACAGAGACCAACAATGCATTCTACAATTTCTATGCAGATCCAAACAAGTGCGTTGGCTACAAAGTATCACTTCGTATACACCAGGGATCAGCACTTCTCTATGCTTCGTTTGAAGCGTTTCATCCCGATTTCGATTCTGCTTCCCGATATATATTTTCAGAGATATCCGAGCAGACCATCACTTTTTGTCCAAACGATATGATTATCACAAACCAAGAATATACCAATGTTTTCCCGTATGGAACCATTTTCATTGCAATCCAATCAAGTGTAAATACACAAGTAGATTTAATATTTGATTTAATTATTGAAGAGATTGATAGTAAGTAGAAAAGAATATAATAATAGTTATAAATGATAAACTTTTTTATTAATATATATTTTTACTATTTTAGATATTAAACAAGTTGAAACAATAACAAATCCTTGTAAAGAAGTAGTGAGTGGAGTTGAATGTGTTGAAGATGGTTTGCTATACAATCAGCCCGTAAGTTTCCCTGGTAAAACCTATTCCTACACTTTTGAAGGTTGTAAAAATATAACTATATCAAGTATGGTGGTAGATGTAGACTTTGATTTATATGTCACTATAAATGATCCAAATATATCAACTTCCAATTATTTGTATTCTAGTACAATTGCATGTAAGTATAAATAATAATAATTATCTTTTTAAATTTTAATTATCTAATTTTATTATATCTTTTTTTTTTTTCTTAAAGTTGACGATATAATTACAATAAATGTTTGTACAGAAAAAGGTAAATCAAACACAACTATATTTGTATTTTTAGCATTTTCAGATGCAGGTAATCCCTCTGGTTATACCAATTTCTTTGTTAGTTCATATGGAACCTACAGATTACATTCGATCTCTGATAATCCAACACGATCAGGAACATGGTCATTGGCAGCTACTTCAAGATTAAAGATTGATGACCATTGGCTTGGTTGTTACAATTATGAAGTTGGTTGCGAACTCTTTTTCCCATCGTTTCCTCGTCAATATGGAAATCCACTGAATCCAACACCTGGTATTTTCCTAACGCCAGGTCTCTCGTTGGTACAGTTTAAACATATAGCAGTAAACGAAACAGACAATCCTCCAAAGCCAAACACCTACCAATTTGCATTGATACTATCAACTTTCTTCAATGGCGCAGAGATTGAGTTTAATCCAATTCCAAAGAACATCACCCTCTTCTTTTTGGACACACTACTCTATGCCAACGGTGAAAAGATCAGTGAATCATATACCCTTATCACCAATCAAACTCAACCGGCATGCGATTTTAAGCAATTCAATGTTATCAATATGCAACAAGACAATATTCTAGACACTATTTCCATAACTACAAATCCAAACTCTGTACAATCCTACCGATATCTTTATGATATGTTGGTTTACCGTGACAACTATTATGGATGCAGTTCACTAGCACAACAGCTTATTCATTTTAACACGACCTACAAGATGATCAATAGTACTAGATGTCCATTGGAAGATAAGAAGCAGTTTGGTACCAATCCATGTTGTAGTTTATCAGCAATGTTTGGTAGCGTATGCACACCCACTCTCCAAAACATTTCGTACACCCAATTCATGAATATCGATAACCCAATGGTGGAGAGTCAATGCCAATTACCAGACTGCGCAGAGAGTGTGCTAACTGATTTTGCCAACTCTATTGTACAGAATCAATATAATCCTTGTGTAGCAGATCCCAGAGATGAACACAATGCCATGGATATACTATACCAAACAATTCAGGATTGCCATCGTCTTCACACCGAAGCATTTTACTGCATGGTCGACTCTGATTGTCCAAAAGCCTATGGAAACGGATCGTTTTGTAACCCTCGTAACAACGAATGTCAAATGTCACCAATTGAAATTGACAAACACTTTATCCAATGTGTTCTCGACAATACACCAAAAGAGATTTCATCGATTCTAACTCTTTCGTTAAACTCCACCGATCCACTCTATATCCGTGAACAATTCATGACAGATCAATGTTACTCCCAATTCAATGAAGTAATGTACACAAAGAACAGTGTTACCTACACAACGTTGGATGTCAACTACTCATACAGATGCTATTATCCACCAGCAGGATTTGACTTTTCTGCGCCTGTCTTGTTCGATACTTGCCTTCAAGGTGTTACCAACTATTTCTGGAGATCACTTGTATTGACGCCTGAGAGTTGCACAAGTAATGTAAGATGCGATTGGTTGGGAGATCAAGGTACTCTTGCCACCCAAAATACATCTATGGTCGAACAAGTCTGTGCAGAGAATACACCTACTCATTTCTGTGGAGACTGTATCGACCCTATGATGAATTGCTACAGTAATCTCACAATTACCAATCCCACTACCTGTAACGACACCTTTGTATGCTATCAAAACTATCCAGGTGTGCTCGGTGTAAAGACTAGTAGTTATGTAAATATTCCAAATGAATATTTCCATCAAACCACAGATCCTTCCCATTGCTCAAACTATGGATATTGTAATGGAACGTGTGGAACTCAGTGTCTTGGTCAAACGACATGCAATATCGTACACGAAGGTTTATTTTTATGTCCAAACATTTCTGGTGTGGTGCCTCTTTCTCAATACCTTTCCTATGAGTATGGAAAAACTTATTGTAGTTACAATAGCTCTGTAAGTCAGAGTACATGTTCAGCTCAAGGCGGAACCTATATAGTATGTTCATCACTCACTGAACAGGAATGCAATACATGTTTGGTTGGTTCACCCAATTGTGCTTGCTATGTATCAAAGATTGAATGTCAAAATCAACAGCAATGTGAAGGTCCAGATCAAGGATACTGTTCAGATGAATTTTACTTTTCCATTTCTCCACTTTATTATCCAAGATACGCACCAAAGTGTGTGTATAATTGGACTATCTCTCCAGACTATCAAAACAGTTATCCACAATGTACGTTTGGTTACGAAAATGCATCACCTCTTGGTTGCTTCTCATTCAACTACACAATGTTGAGTGATCCCAATGCCTGTGTTCAGTCTGGTGGTAGTGTTTGGACTCGTTCAAAGACTAAATCTGAATGTCTATCGAAATATGGATGTCTTGGATATGAAATGACCGACAGTTTTGCACCACCAGGCACCAAGAGATTCAACACCAAGAATCAACAAGATTGTTTGGCAGCCGGTGAGGAATGGACCAATCTATTTACTTGGAGTCCTTCGAAATGGTCACCCGCCACACCAGTGCGATTAAAGTGGTTACCTGCATCAAAACAAGTTACCACTTTTACTCACTATGGCTCTACTTTTAATTTCTTGAAGTTTATGCAAGCTCTCATTCAAGCTACCCAACAAAGACTCTCGGAAATTTACAGATCAGAGTTGCTCTGTCTGATTTCCAATACAAAATCGACATTGGAATCTATTTCTTGTACCTGTGCTGGAGGTAGTGGTCAATGTTTCCCAGAGCAAGAGACACCAACTACATCCATTATCAAACCATGTTCAAACTCTACTTTCCCAGTCAACCAAGATGGTTCAATTAGCTTTACCAATCAAAGTATTACCCAAAACCGTTGTGTATCCATTGGTATTGGTACTATTTTCCAAAACCAATTCCTCTCCAAGCAGATTCATGCACTTTCCTCAAACTTTATCTCGGTTCTAAGTCCAGCCGATTTTTCAGTGTTCAATGAGAAATCTGCTGTTATTGGTGTGGTGATCTCTGATGGTGTGACTCTCAATTTCTTTAGTGAAGGTGTTCAATCTTTTGAACTGTGTTTACCAACAACCAAGCACTCATCTTCTAAATACCCATTGATTGACTTTGCACGTTTGGTCGATGATCAAGATGGTATTGTTGAACCATTTGAATGCGATATTCAAATCAATGGAACCAATTTTTGTTGCAATATCGCTAATCCTCCAATAGGATCATCTAGTTATCTACTTATAAGTAGAATGGATGATTGGAGATCAGAAAAGCCAAAATTATTTACGAAATATGGTGAAGGATTGGTTTATACACTTGCAGTTTTCTATTTAATTATATGTGCTTTTTGTTTGATAGAACTTTTCTACTTTGGATACATAAGATTATTCGCAGATGAACCATTCAGAATTGTACATGTATTATTTTTATTCTTATTCTTATTTACAGTTAGTAAGTTATATTTTTTTAAATTTGAAATACAATTTATTAATTTATTTATTAATTTTTTATTTATTTATAGCGAGATCATTATATTTCTTTATTCTTCCAAGTGGAAGACTAACAAGTGGTACAAATGTTGGAGAATATATTTTAGTTGTTTTACCAACATTTTTATATTTTACTTCATTCACCATTGTGCTGGTCATCTGGTATATCTTGGCTAATATTAAAGCATCGTTGGCCAATAATTTGACAACCTTGATCAATCGAATGGTTATTGTAATCAATATTATTTTATATCTATTGTTTGTTATTATAGTATTGGTGTTTAATTTCAACCATCCTTCACGTCCAGATACTTGTGGTGGTAGATTGGCTGGAAAATATGAAAATACCAAAGTACAATCAGGTGTTTCTATACTTTATGCTGTAGTTCAATGTGTACTTTCACTTGCCATCGCAGTTGGATTTATTTACTATGGAAAGAAAGTATATACTGCACTATCAGAAGTTCAATCTAAATCACCAAATAGTGGTAAACAAAAACAAAAAGTAAGTGAAAAACTAGTTAAAGGGAAAGAATAATAGTTTAAAACTAATATTTTATTTATTTATTTATTTTTAGACATTTTTAATGGCAACTATTTGTTCAATAGGATTCCTTATTCATTGTATATTTATTATCATCTTGGTATCAGCCAATCCATCCAATATTATTTTCAGTTTTATTTTATTGTTGGCCACCGAAATTGTACCAGTTGTTACACTTATCATAGCATACAACCAAATTTCTATCAACAAATCTGGTACTCGTTCTCCAGTCCACCTAACAAAATCTACATGGTCAAGCTCCACCCCAACTCATCGTTCAAATTCAACTGCAACTTCTACAAATACAACATTTACTGCTTCTAATAGTAATTAAATTAAAAAAAAAATAACAAATAATTCAAAAATAATAATAATTATCAAAATAATTTTTGAATAGTAAACATAAAGTGTTTTCCAAAAATATTACAATCAAGATTTAATTATTTATTTTTATATTTCAAATTATTTCAAAAAAGATCATATGAAGATCGATCCTTACAAAAAAAAAAAAGAAAATCATTCTCAAAATATTTTTCTCTCGTTTATTAAATTCTTTATTTAGTCCAAAGAGCTGTTGGAGATAAAATGCATTTATAAATGGATGTCGTACGACAATACATACACAAATTTGTTCAACCTAATTAAATTTTTTGAAATCGATCTATTATTTATTTTTTATATTGACAACAATCAAATAACAAATAAGGCAATCTTTAATTATCTCGTTGCATCACATTCGTTATAGATTTAGTATGTTGTTACTGTATACCAGATATTATTTAAATGTTTTCCAATCTATTTAGAAGGTACAATGTTACAACTATACAGCAGAGCAAATATATCAAATATAGTGTTGTTAGTAGATGTTGTCATATGGTGAATGTAATACATATAAAACCAATAATTCCTTTCTACTTTATTAACCATAATCTTATTATTATGATTGCATATGAGTGGTGGTGTTTAATAAAATTTAAATTACATTCAAAAAAAGACTCACTATCAGCTTTTCACCAACCAAAAATAAAATTGAAACGTCAATACAAGTATGTAGTATTGTTTTTTTTGATCAGTTTGTGTGTGATACAGTGGAAGTGCACTTTAATATCTAAAAATGATCATGTTCACTACAGTTGTTCCTCTATTCTTTAATAGACACTCAAAAACACCTTTTTTTTAATCATATGTATTGATCAATACAGTAATCAGTAACTTTACCTGAATCTGGCAAAATAACGTATTTATATAAAAATAGAAATTGTTAACAATATTTATTGATAGAGATATCATTTTTATATATTAAAATGATTTCGTTATTTATTTGAATTCAATAACAATATTTCCATCAACATCAGGCATATCAAGTTCTCTATGTTTTTTCAAACATCCAATAAACTGTCTTTGCCCACTCCAATCACAGTGATTGAATGCTTTATTTCAATTGAATTTGTATATCTATTTTTGATCAAAAAAAATATTGTTTTGGATTGTTGTTGTTGTTTTGTTTTTAATATTTATTTTTTGAAGCCATGTGATGTAATGATGTTGAAACAAAAGACAACATAAATGATTGATAAGAGAGAGAAATATATATTTTCTATTTTTGGAACATTCATTTTTATTTCAAAGGGTGAAATTTTTTGATGATAAAGTAATTTCACACTCACTTTTCAATTGATCATTCAACACTGATGATTGTGAGTAACCACACTGATTTGATTGTCTACTCTAAAGTTGCTTCTTATATAACTATAACATTGGAATAATACAAAAAATCATAAAACTATATGCTACAGGTACTAATTCAACTACAACACCACCACTCGAATAACCTCAAATATCTATTAATATTAAAATTTAAAAAAAGAGAGAAGGAAGAAACATATAAATATACGCTTTAAAATAAGAATCATTAAAATCAAATTGTTTCAACAAAAATCTAAAATTTCAATCTCTTTTCCATATTTATTTATTTTATTTATTATTTTATCCTTTTATTTATTTAATTTTATTAACCAACTTCATATAAATATATTTATTTAAAATTCCAGATTAATTATTTATTTCAAAAAAAACAACATCCTCCATTATTATCCTTATTTATTTTAATATATTTATTTAATTTATTTATGCATTTTTTTAAATCTTTTATTACCTTGATCTAAAAAAATAAACCACTAAAAAATATCCACAAATACTATAGTTAAATACACAAGATTTTATTAAAAGAAAGTTTATTGTTGTTTTTAAATTTATTCCAACAAACCACTTTACCAGTGCATTGGTTTTTTTTATTCATAATATTAAATTATTTATTCTTAATTTATAATCGGACTTTCAACTTACTATTGTCTATCTATTTAACTATTTATCATCAATCAATTCAATTTGATTTGTTAATTGACAAGCTTTACTCTACTATTACAAAGGCCAATCCATTTGTAAAAAATACAAAATTTATAAATTACCCAACTCTAATCTATCAATCATTTGAAAGGACAAATCAACCACTAATAATACTAATAACATTAAAAACAAGACACACACAATAAAATACATTACCACTATTCATCACCACCACCAAAAAACTAATATAAATCAAACTCATCAATATTCATAAATATCTTACTATCTCTTATACTACTACTTTTACTACCACTACCACCATTATTTATATACTATTGATATTACCTTTATTTAATAAATCAATAAATTTGATGGTTTTAGTGATATTTCAAATTTTTTTCTTTAAATATTAAAAAGACGTAATAATATCTAAAATCAAAAATAACAACCATAACAATCAAACAACAATCATCTGACTAAAGGTACACTTTTTTAATTTGATAACGATAATATAACTACTATCGAATTTGTTGGTTGGTGAAATAATCAGTAATTTCCATATAATTTTTTTAATATTTAATTTTTTATTTATTTATTTATTCTATTTATTTATTTATTAATTTTATCTAGAGTAATATCATTTGCTGTAGGATTTTATTTATTTATTTATTTATATTTGGTTTATGTTTGTTATCCACCAGAATATTATTATCGACATCATCATTCAATCAACCACACCTATTAATCAAATAATATTATACCAAATAACAACCATTTAACAATTAATAATAGTCAGACGATATTTTCCTTTTAAAATAATTTTCAATTCTATTTATATTATTTATTTATTTATTTATTAAAAAGAGATTACTTAAAGAGAAAAAAGAAAAAAGAAAAAAAGTTAATATATATAAAATAGTTGTAAAAAAACTTTTTAAAAAGTTAAAAAAAAACATAAAACATGGAAGCCATGATTCAACAAATTCCAGAGATTTCCAAAAATGATTCTTCATGTGGTTTCAAGGAAACTCAATGGATGAAAATTGATAAATCAGAGGCTCCAAATAAATATATTGAATATGTAGATGAAATAACAAAACAAGATCAGGTAAATAATAAATAATAAAGAGAAAAAATATTTATTTATCATTTATTAACATTTTTTTAATACTATTTCTAGATTATCGCTCATACTAGATATTCAACAAGACAACTAAGATTACAACCAGGTAATAAAGTTATTGACGTTGGATGTGGTGCAGGAAAGGATCTTTCTAGATTGGAATCAATGGTAGAAAGCAATGGACAAGTATGTGGAATTGATTTATCAAGAGAGATGGTTGAATGTGCAAAAAGTAGAATGAATCATCTTCCAAATGTAACTGTATTTTGTGCTAATGCCAGTATGATTCCAATTGAATCAAATTATTTCGATGCGTAAGTAAAATAGTTATTAATATAATATTCTATATAAATTTTTAAATTAATAAAATAAATATATAGGAGTAGATGTGAAAGATTATTACAACATATTCCAGAGCCAGCAGAGGTTGTATCGGAAATGGTTAGAATTACTAGAAGTGGAGGTAGAATTGTTATTACCGATGTTGATTGGTGGTCTTCAACGATCTCTGTGCCAAGATCAGTTGATAGAATCAACAGTATCATTATAAAGGATGTAGTGTTTAATCAACATCCATCGATTGGACTCAACCTTCGTGGTCTTATGTCAAAGAATACCAACATTGAAGAGATTGAAATATTCGCTCAGTGTATGTACACTGATAGTCTAACCGTTGCCGATGACTTGTTATGGCTTGGCGAAAGAGGTAAAATGGCCGTTCAACAGGGTTTGATCACCGAAGAAGAATACAACCAATGGAGAGAGACTATAGAAGAGATGGAAGAGAATGGTTCATTTGTTTTTACAATTAATATATTTACCGTTAGTGGTACTATTAATAAGAAACAATAACCTATCTTTTTTAACTGTTTTAACAAACAAACAACAAATATATATATTAAATATATTATAATATCTTTTTATAATATATATAGAATCAAATAATTAAACCAAGATTGAAAAAAAAAAACATAATATCTTGGTATATAAATCATAAAAAAAAAAAAAAAAAAAAAAAAAAAACTAGACTTAACTAAAATCTTAAAACATTAAAATGGATCGATTAAAATAAAAAAAAAATTGTAAATATAATTATTTTTAATAATAAAACAAAACTTTTAAAGTTTTAATTATTACTTTATAATCATTGAATATTTGTTATAATAGATTTAATACATGCATAATGATTTGATGATTACTTTATATATTTTAATGATCTTTTCTTTTATTCGTTTTTAATTTAATTATCTTCATCTGGTTCATCTCTTTCTCTGTGTCTATTTCTACCATTCTATAAATATTGTTATTAATAAAAAATGAATGAATGAATGATTAGAATATATAACTATAATTATTTTTAACTATAAATGATATATACCTTGTATCTCCTTGATTCTTCATCATTTTCATCATCATTATCATCGTCACGAGCTCTCTTTCCTACGTGTTGATCCGATGCATATTCACCACCACCAGAGCTACCAGTTTCCATTTCAATTAACTTTTGTTTACCATAACCACCACGACCTGGATCGTAATCAGTTCTATATTCATCACGTACTTGACCACCGGATACACCTCTACCATATTGTCTACCTTCTTTAAAACCATAATCCCAATCGCAACGAATCAATCTTTCATCAAGCTTTGTACCATTGATATATTTTATACAATCTGATGCATCTTCTTTTGAATAATATCTAAAAACAACATATATTTATATATAAAAGTAAATGTTTAGTTTAACTATCTTATTAATGATTGATTGATTGATCTATTTAATTTAAACATACTCTACAAAACAGAAACCACAAGGTGTCTTATGAATTCTATCTAAACCCATGATAATCTTTTTAATCTCACCACATTTTGAGAACAACTCGTACAACTGTTCCTCTGTTGTATAAAAAGAAAGAAAACCGACATATACTGTTGTAGATCTCTCGATTGCCAACTTGAATTCCTCCAATGTAAATCCTGACTTTTTATCAAAGTATAATGGTTGTTGAATTGTATATAGATCTGACATTTTAATATTAATTAAAATATAAATAAAATTAAATAAAAATCAGCAACAATTAAAAAAGTAATAACAATTTTTATAAATAAGTTTTTTTTTTTTTTTTTGTTTTTTTTTTTAAAATTGAAAAAAAAAATTGTTAAAATAAGATGATCAGTTCACTTTCAATACAATCATTTTATAGGTTTAAACTTGTTCATTATATATGACGGTATTTAATAGTTTGAATTAAAATTTTATAAAGTTATAAAAAAATTTTAAATGTCAAACATTGATTTTGTACCAAAATTTTTTTAGAAAGATAGAATTTTGATAATGGTATTGTTAACTCTTTAATTGTTGTTTATTTGATCAATATACGAAATAAAAATTGAATGTCAATTATTTTTTGACTTTTCTACATTTATCAATGCTGTATCTCTCTTTTTTGATTTGATTTGATTTCAGTTTTTACCACCAAAAATGAATTAGAGCATGCACAAAGTAAATAAAAACTGTAACACAATAATATAAAATCTTAAATTAAAATGCCAAACAGTTTTTAATTTAAATATCATGATTTTTATTTTATTTTATTTCTTTTGATTTGATCCAATTTCCAAAAAAAAAAGTAGATTTATTATTTCGTACCACTAAAAAGATTTATTATTAGTTGTTTCCGAAATGTGTAATTCTGCAAAAGAAAATCAAGGATTATTTTTTGAATCGGATATTGGAAATTTTGATCAAAAGAATTAAAGTAAAAGTTTTTGTAAAAATCATTAGCCTTTTCTTTTTCTGTTTTGATTCGATTTCCTATAATTTCTGTCAACTAAAATCATTTATCTAAATTATTTCTAATGATATGCTCGCATTTATCCTTGATTTATAATGATATTAGAGATCTTTAACACGTTCAACATTGATACATGGTATCAAATTTAGAAAATGTGTTTAATTTGAGGTTACACTAAACAGATAGGTATGAGTAATATTATAAAAACTATTCCAAACATGTTTTTAGAATAAAAGAAAAAGATTAGGATTGTTCCAATGGATGATGTCACTACAAAAAAAACATAAAAAATCTAGATATTTTGATTTACAAAATCATTCTGCCATGAATTGTTGTTTTTGAATCATGTCACAAAAAAAACCCATTTTCTCGTTCACATGTATGATTGGGATTTCGGAGGAATGAGTAAAAAAAAATAATAAAAAAAGAACTGTTTGAAAATCACTTGTTTATGCGGGAAGTGTTTCAATGGTGTTTCTAAATAGTAAAAATCGTACGATTTGGATAAAATAAAAAAATGAAACAACAAAATTAATTTTTTTTTTATAAATTTTAATTTTTTTTAATTCTTTTCCTTGTTTTCGAAAATTCAATTGAAGATTTTATTTTTGCACCTACTGTCACCAATGAAACAAGTGGCACTTGAAAGGTTGTAGGGTGTGTGTTTTCTAATTTTTTGCCAATTTTCTTTTGAATATATTTATTTTTTTATAGATTTTTGCTTTTCGAACATATCCTCTCACCAATATCCAATTGAAATAAATACTGGACCTCAGAGGCAATTGCTAATCATTTTATTTATTTACAACACATATATACAGCTATTCAAGATGAGAATTATTTTTGCCTTGGTCTTATTGATCAGCTTGGCCTCTGCTAGCCAAGTCTTTACCCAGGTCCAATACCAATCGGCCTTCACCCAATGGATGATCCACCACGATCGTCAATACACCGCCCAAGAATTCGGTACCCGTTTCAACATCTTCAAGAAGAATATGGACTTTGTCCACAAGTGGAACGCCAAGGGATCAAGCACCGTCCTCGGATTGAACTCGATGGCCGATATTTCCAACGAAGAGTACCAACGTGTCTACTTGGGTACCCACATTGATGCCTCCCAATTCAGACAACAAGCTGCCTCCCACAAGCTCGGTCGTACTTTCAAGGTCCAAGCTGCCAACGTCGATTGGCGTGCCAAGGGTGCCGTCACCCCAATCAAGAACCAAGGTCAATGCGGTTCATGTTGGTCATTCTCTACTACTGGTTCCACTGAAGGTGCTCACTTTATCAAGACTGGTAATTTGGTCTCCCTTTCCGAGCAAAACTTGATGGATTGTTCCAAGCCAGAAGGTAACCAAGGTTGCAACGGTGGTCTCATGACTGCTGCTTTCGAGTACATCATCAAGAACAATGGTATCGATACTGAATCCTCATACCCATACAAGGCTGAAGACGGTAAGAAGTGTCTCTACAACCCAGCCAACTCTGCTGCTACTCTCTCCTCATACGTCAACGTCACCACTGGTTCCGAATCCGATTTGGCCGTTAAGTCTGGCCTCGGTCCAGTCTCTGTTGCCATCGATGCCTCCCACAACTCTTTCCAATTGTACTCCTCTGGTGTCTACTATGAACCAAAGTGCTCCCAAACCCAACTCGACCACGGTGTCTTGGTTGTTGGTTATGGTTCTGATGCTTTGCCATCTGCCGGTGTCTCTGCTGGATCTGGTGACTGGTGGATCGTTAAGAATTCCTGGGGTACCACCTGGGGTGTTGAAGGTTACATCTACATGTCAAGAAACAGAAATAACAATTGCGGTATTGCAACTATGGCTTCATTGCCCTCTGCCTAAATCAATAATTGATTTATTCAAATCTTTCTTGTAATAAAAAGAAACAAAATAAAAAATACATGTATTTTTCTATGTAAAATTAATTTTATATTTTTTTGCTGAGAAAAAATAACTTATACATTTTTGCAAAATTATGAATATCAATATTTAATTCAATTGTTTTAGATCAATTATTTAATTATTATCAAACTAAATAGTTTGAATAAGTATAACAAAAACAAAATGAACATCTAATCTCTTTGACTTTTGGCATGCCACACTACAGGTGGTACATTCAAGTGATATTGCTATGGGACTAATATGGTGATAAATACTATTATTTTGAAACTTGATTCCCTCCTATTATTACACCTAATTCTGTTCATCTTGCACTTTACTAGATATTTCCATATCTTGTAGAATTTGAATCAACTATACTCTGAAACTAATATGATAATCTGGGAAAGTAGATTAAAATTCTACAAGCAAATACCTAGGCGAGTGCAGGTGTAATGATAGGAGGGAATCAGAATCAAGTTTCAAACAATAGTATTTATCACCATATAAGTCTCATTACAACATCACTAGTATGTACAACTGTGTTAGATGCCATTATCTAGTTCGAAAAAAAGAAATGCAGATTTGTTGGTCATCCAATTTTCTATAGTACCATCTCTGGTGTCTTCTTACCTAAGTAAGATATATGTTTTAGGCTTGAAACCACTCATGGTCTATTATCGATTAGACGATCCCAGCATCATTAAAATTTAATAAAGATCAAATAGTAGATTCAAATATCTTTATATATTTTTCATACTATCTATGCATAATGATATCATACTCTGACATCTTTTTATATTGCATTAAGTTAATAATAACATTAAACATCTATAAAAAGATGTTTAATTAAAAAATCATAATGATTGTTATTAATTATTACTTATTGATTAGAATGAATTAATGGTTTGAAGTTGAGTCGATTGCACCACCATAGAGATAGACTTGGTTGTTGATGATCGATGCCGATGTCATGTCTCTTAGTTTCGGATCTTCGGAGTTGTCGAGATACTGTAGTTTGTGTCAACGCATTGCAAAAGGTATCGTGTAAGTTGTGTTGGTTTTGTGACAGCCACTGCCAAGCAACATGAGATAGCGGCCATACATAAACGACGAGTAGAAAGTAGGTACTTTAAAAACATTATTTAATTGAATATGTTCTAATCATCGATTTGATAGAGGGTCTCGATATCGAAAGCTTATGAATAAAGGACCGACGGAAGCTACTGCGAAATGGTCATCAAAAGATACAAAGTTCGCCAAATCAGTAAAAGATCGAGATAATGCTTTAGATATTTTAACCAAGAAATTTGGTATAAAACAGATTAAGAACAAGTAAGCATAATTTAAATATTATTAATAGATTCTAATTAAATTTATATTCATAAAATAAAAATAAAAATAAAAATAAATATAGACTTGGGCCTTTACGTAAGAGTCGAAATATTAACCTACGAATGATAAAATCGATCTGATCTTCTGTACATCGTTTAAGAATCTCGAATTTAAATAAATTATTTTAAGCATAAAACATTCATTTCGTCCTCACCAAGTAAATCCATGAATTCTTTGATATTGGATTCAATATTTAGAATCTCAGAAAGGTGAGTATTATTTAATTATTTTAATTTAGAAAATATTTTTCAACTTTCGCAGATTGACAAAAAATAAGAATAAACAGTAGTGTAATATGTGATTTAAAAGTTTATTGTAAAAAAAAAATCATGAAAAATAAAGCCCGGGCTGAAATTTTCATTTTTGCAATTTTGAAGAAGGCTTCACACTCTCATCCAAAAGAAAAAAAAAATAAGGTATTTTTAATCTTTTTTGATAAAATGAGTTTTGTTTGAAATAAAAGAAATAATAAAATTGATAATCAAAAGAATGATAATAGAAAGATATAAAGTAGTACTACTGTTTTTATCTGATTTTAGTGGTACCAAAAAAAACACGCTCACTTCAAATCAATGATCAATGAAAAACAAATTTTTTGAAAAAATAAAAAAAAAAATTGAAAAAAAATTACTTTCATCAGAAGTATTATATCTTTTGTTTTGAGTAGTACAATATTGTTGAACAACAACATAATAATTATATTATTATCAGTTCTTGAAAATCAATAATCAAAAAGTTAGGAGTCGATTCGATCGTTAATTTAGTTTCAAAAACTCTAAAACTAAACAACAACAGACATCAGATCGATTGTACACTATAGAGATTGATCAGAAGAAGAAGAAGAAGATTTATTCAGATCAACATTTAAAATAGATAGATCGATTTAAATCAGATAGACATATACATATATATAGAAAGATTACAGGAAACAATGTTTGTAGTAAAGAGAACATCACCATTGTTCAGCGAACTTATCAACTGTGGTGCTTCTGCATCAAGAAGATTCTACACTCCATCATCACCACTCAACTCTGTATACGATTCAATCAGAAGAAAGAGAGAAAGAAAGGGTTTAGTAAGTATAATAAAACATAATCAAACAAATTACAAATGCATACATACATTCAATCATAAAACAAACAAACAAAGAAATAAATAAAGAAATACAAAAAAAAAAAGAAAAAGAACAAAACAAGTAGTTTAATCAAACTAAAAATGGTCATCTTCATACAAATCGATTCGAATCACTTTTAAAACAACACTTTTAACCACAACAAACAAATTTCTATGAAAAAAAAAAAACAAAAAAAAGAGATAATCAATTGTTAACACTTTTTTATTATTATTATTATTATTAATAATAATAATTACATTATTTATTTTTTATAGGTAAATATTGAAAAGGAAAATGAATCAGATACTATGGTTTTCCCAAATGAAAGAATTGGATTGGACTATGCTTTGAATTGGACATTGAATTCATATGCAATCACACCGACTCAGAATGCATTCCGTAATCCATCGGCAAAGTTGTTGTTCCAATACGCCGAGGGAACCAAGGAGAAGTCTGGTGCTCTCTCGTGTCAGGTCACCGACAACAAACCGGTCAACTACTATCTCGACCAACAGGTTGCAACTCTGAATCAATCGGCATCGAATGTCATCACGATCGCGCAATACAAGCAGTTGCTCGCAGAGGTCAAGAACCACATTAGCGAAGCCGACAACATCTACGTGCAGGATGCCGCCGTCGGATCGCACCGTGCCTGCGAGGGAATGGTGCGTGTCATGACCAACTGTCCACAGACCGCACTCTTCTTGAAACATCTCCTGCCAAACACTCCACTCCCCGAGGTTCGTGAGTTCAAACATCAGATCACCCTCTACGTTGCACCCAACTTTAAGCCAGCGGATGCCGCCAAGCTAGGATTGAAAGACAGTGCTGCCGCCGCCGGTTCATTCAATGTTATCGATGTCAAGAGAGGTATTGCCGTGATCGCTGGTAAGCAATCGAGTGAGAGCATCCGTCGTACTCTTACCGCAATCTCCTCGCCATATCTCCACAACGAGCGTCAAGGTGTTGCCATGTCAGCCGCCGACATCTTCCAGACCAAAGACGACAAGAACATCTTGGTGTTCTCCGCCGACAACTATCTCCTCAACAAGAGATTCGAATCCGGTAGAGTCATCTCGCAAGGTTCACTCTGGAACAAAGAAGGTTTATTCCGTCTTTACGATTCCATCTCCTATCCATTGGAATCAGCTGCCAAACAACCACTGTAAAGTATTTGCAAAATCATGATTAGATTTGGTTTTTTTTACTAACTAAAATATTTTTATAATTATTATTTTAGTGATTTGATTGAGAAATTCACAAATCCAAAGAGAGTACTCTCAACAGTTCCAATCAAGAGCAGTGCCAACATATATGCTAGTCCATCATCGATTGTATTCTTGGTTAGAGATTCCAAGGGAATCATCCCAGCATTTGCAGAGTTGACTCCAGAGCAAGCAGAGAAATACTTTACATCTGGTTTCAATGGTGAATCATTCCAACCATACTTTACCCCTGAATCAATAACTGTATCACCACAAGGAAAGGCCGAATTATTTAAGAGTAAATATAATAATAGATCTATATTCTATTATCATATATCTAAAATATTAATATTAATATTTTCTAAATTATTATAGATTTAATTCAACAAAACAGAACCAATGTATATATAATCAATCCTCTTTCATTCCAAAAAGATGCTGATGTTGATAAATTAATTTCCGTTATCTCTAGTGGAAAAGTTGTAAGTATAATGATAATGAAATTTAAAATATTAAAGAATAGATTTATTAATTATACATTTTACTGTTTAATAATATTATTAGAACAAATCAACAAAATCTGATATTTATAAGTCATTATCACCAATCAATCTCTCAGAGACTAAAGTTAGTGAAGTCGATAAGAATAAGGTCAAGGAGTTTGAAACTCACTTTGAAAACTTCCATTCCAAGCTTTTTAATAATAATAATCAATAATTTACTTTACTTTTAGCTAATAGGAAGTGAGATTGATAATATATATATATGGCTGGAATCGATCAATCAAATCAAATCAATCAATCAATCAATAATAAGAAAACAAAAAGAAAAACAAAAAAAAACAACTAAAAATACATTCAATAACCCAATGACATCATAATCATCATCATCATCAATAGTTAAATTAAATAATAATTATTATGAACAAAGAAAAAAAAAAAACAAAAAAAAACAATAATTAAACTTTAACCAATCTACAACATAAATAAAAGATATTATTCATGATAAAATCAGTACTGATTTATAAATCGATCTTTATTATTAATTAGAATTTATCTATATCCCAATAGATGGTTGATTCCAATGGGAATAGATTCGCAAGAGATGTTTGTTCATTACTGATACTTTTATCACTAACAAACCTTGCCATCATTGATTTATCTACTCTATGTTGTATTGTACTATTTAAAGGATTAAAAATCACATTGGTTTGCTTGTTATTATTGTTGAAAAGATTAGAAAATAAAGTTGTTGGATATTGAATTGATAGTATTTCTTCTTCTGGTGTTGATTGTTGTTGTTGCTGTTTAAGACTATCAAAAGCTAGTTGTATTAATTTAATGATTATAGCTTCTCTTTCTACTGTATTATCATCTCTCCATTTCTCGTTGATTGCAATATCTTTTACCACCATCATTATCGTTGGTTTCTTATCATTTGTTTCATAGATCTTAAATATACCAGTAATAATAAATCCGACAATCAAACCATTACAACTTAGCAACCATCCTTTATTACTATTTAATGATGGTGAAATATTCGATGCAATCCAATCTCTCCAATAACTGATATCTCTAACTACATTTGAATTATATTGTTTTGTATGTAATAATGATTCTATTATACTGTGATGATGATGATGATCATCTTCTTTTAAAGTATTTGAATATAATTGTTCAAATTTTAAATTATTATTATCAAAACTATTATTGTAATTATTAATATTATTATTATCTTTATCGTTATTATTATTATTAATGTTGTGAAATGTCTCAATAGTGAATGATCTATCAATATAAGACCAACCTTTAGAGTGATACATAGGTGCAAACTTTGAACTGAATAGCAATCCTAATTTGATATTATTTTCATTCATATACTCTAGAGCCATATCGAGTAACTTTATCGAAAGAGATCTACCTCTATAATTAACATTGGTGCTTACTTCTCCAATACCACCAAAACAAGTGATACTAGAACCAATCAGTAAGATATCTCGAATAAATAACTTTACAGTAGAGACAATCTTTTCATTATCTAAACAAACAAATATAACTATATTGTACAATCAATGAATCAAATAGACTATATATTAATATTACTAATAGTATTAATAATTATTAACTAATCATCTCAAAAAGAGACTTACTGTTCTTTTGTTTGTAAGGGTCAGAATAATGATGTTCCTTAAAGTATTGGTAAGGTGTATCAACGAAAACAGTAATCAAGTGGTTAAGCCAATCATTGATAAATGACTCTGTTTGTTCGTCATAATTTATTATTTTATAAATTAAATTATTGTTGTTGTTGTTATTGTTGTTACTATTATTTTGGTTGTTCAATGTTGACGCACTATCTGATAATATATTCATTTCCAATAAAATTTAAGATATATTGTCATAAATGAATCATATGACTACAAAAATAGTGATTTTTTAATATGTTGTCAAATAAAGTAAAATCCACAAACCACTTGGAATCTCAAAGATTCAATGACAACAACACACATCTTTTCAATAGAATTTGGGAAAACTGTTTTACACTGAAAATTCTTTAGTTCCATGGGTTTTTTTTTTGAAATTTAAAATTAATTTTTTTAACTTTTATTTAAGATCATTAATTTGGTTTAATTTTTTTAATCAGATCAATAAAAAAAAAAAAATTAAAGTTAACTTCAACTTTTTTAATTTATTACTAAAAACAAACATATATTTAAGAAAATGACTATTCAAGTAGGAGGTATGTATTATATTCATTCTTTATAAATTTTTATTTTCAGTATTAGCATCAAAAATCATATTCTAATCATTTTCAACAAATATTTTAGATAAAGTACCATTTGATGTTACCTTGTGGAAGGCTGCTGTCATCAAGGAAGATGGTAAGTTCAGTTCAATTATTATATTACTTAGAGAGTTTATTCACTTACAATTATAAACAACAATTCACAGGAACATGTCCAATTCCACAAAAGACAACATCTAAAGATTTGTTTGAGAATAAGAAAGTAGTCTTGTTCGCTTTGCCAGGTGCTTGTATGTATACTTTATAAATTGTAGTTAATTTCTCTTTATAAAATCACTAAACATTTTCATTTTTTCATCTTTTATATACTTTTTAAACAATTGGAAATCATTAGTCACTCCAGTAAGTTAATTAATTGTACTATAGAGTTTGTACTTTTTAAATATTTAAACTAATTTCTATATTATTATTATTTATTATCATTATTTTTAATAGACTTGCAGTGGAAATCATTTACCAGGATATGTTGAACATGCTGGTGAAATCAAATCAAAGGGTATCGATAGTATCATCTGTCTTTCAACCAACGACAGTTTTGTCATGAGCTACTGGGCAAAGGACCGTAATGTTGGTGATGCTGTCCAATTGATTGCCGATGGTAACAGTGAGTTCACACAAAAAGTTGGACTCATCATGGACGGTTCTGCTTTCGGTATGGGTGCTCTCCGTTCAAAGCGTTACGCTGCCATCATTGACAACGGTGTCGTCAAATACATTGGAGTCGAAGAGCCAGGTAAATTTGAATTGTCAGCTGCCGATAACATTTTGAAGCAACTTTAAAACAATATCAAATCTCTAAATTTGATTTGAATAAATAAATTATTGTATACTTAAATTAATTAAAAAAAACAATTATCATTTATTTTTCAACATATAAACTATAACCATTATATTTTTTTTCAATTTTATAATTATTTTCTGGAAAACTTGATTAATTAAAAAAAAAGAAATTATCTTTAGATTTTGAAATAGGATTTATTTATTTTAATAATAAAAATAAATAAATAAATTAATAAATAATAAATAAATAAATATTTTTTATGTTTATGTATTTTTTCGTTTTTTTCAATAAATATTAGAAATACACTATGATTAAAGATTATCATTATTGTTTATCAATTGGAACTGAACGAGCAGTAATTGATTGATGCTTTGATCTTCTCCACTTGAAGATATCGATACCTCTTGATTGACGTTTCATTTGAACTTCTTCCTTTGGTGATGTTTCAACCTCGGCTGATGCAGATCTACGTGATCTGACAACGGCAACGGTTGCACCAGCAACAATAGCAACGGCAGCAGCACTACCAACAGCAATACCAACAATTGCTCCAGTTGAAAGTCCAGCAGCGGCGGCAGCTTCAGGTGCCAATGATGCATCAACACCAGTGTAAACTGCTGAGAATTGTTCAAATGATAAATCACTGAATTGATTTAATTCCACTAAAAATAGAGAGAGAGAGAGAAAATTAATTATTTATTCTTGTTTTTAAAAAAAAAAATATTTAATAATTATATTTACTTACTCATTGGGTAACTTTCAGATGGGAATGAAATGATTGGGTCTACAGCAGAAAGAACTCTCATATTGGAACTATCTGGAACTTCGATATGGACATTTGATCCTGACCAGTTGTCATTTGCCTTTTGGATCTTAACAAGATTCTCCTTGAATGCATCGAATGCCGCTTGATAATCTGAACTTAAATATTGTTTTCCATAGGCTTCCACATAGTTTTTGAAAGCAGTTTCAAAGTCATACTCAGTACCTTGTGAGTTTGCAATTGCCAATAAAGTTGTTAAACAACAAATAAATAATAAGACTTTCATTCTTTAAGTAAATAGTAAATAAAATTATGAATAAAAATAAATTGAATTGATTGGAAAAGTATATCTATATATATATGTTGTTTTAGAAAAGTTTATCTGTATATATATGTTGTTTTAGAAAATAAACCCAATAGTTATCTATTATTAGAGTTTCTGTTTAATATAATTAAATGCCTGGTTAAAAGTAGTTAAAAAATATGGTTCTGGAAGGGATTTAATCTTTTGTTTTGGTCCTATCACTATTTACTATTTGGTTTTTTTTTGTTCACTATTTTCATAGATTATTATTTGTAATGGCTCAACGGAGGGTTTTTTAAGTTTGTTTGTTTAATTGTGACCGTTTTAATTCGATTGACGATATCAAAGCCAATCGAAACGGCAGCCAAATAAAAGAACCAAAATTACAATGGTGGCTTGGTAAAAATTAAACTATCCACACACTCCCCATCTTCCATCACGCACAACAAGTTTAAAAGGATATATTATTTAGATATAATTGTAGTCATAGTAGCCCAATAAACTATAAAAAAAAAGTCAAAAAGTTGTTGCTAGCACTTCTATCTTAAAGATAAAGATAAAAAAAAACAACAAAAATTTCAACAAATAAACTTAAATTTGGTTTTTTTGTTATGATCAACTTTTTTTTACAACCCATTTCCAATTTTCTTTATGCCATTTTTTTTTTTGCCACACACCCCCTACTTTGACAATTCTGGTGTATTTTAACGATTAACTTATGATCACCACAACTCACACCAAAAAGATTTTTTTTTTTTTACGATCCATTTTCAATTAAAGAGAAAAGTTACCATATAAACTAGTATCGTTTTAATTAAAGTGCAATATTTTTCTTTGCAAAGATGAAGAGAAAAAATTTAATATCCCCCTTTATTTTATTCAAAATGCCATAACAAATGGCTTGCTTGGCTTTTAAAAACACTCCTGAAAGTCAATTATTATTATGCGATTTTGAGAGTAGAAAGAAAGTTGGATCAATGAATTTAAAACTCTTGTAAAAAATCCATACCCAATTACTATAAAATCTATTTTTAAAACTTTAACAAATTAGTTAAATTAATTTTTTCAATAGTATTTAAGTTTTCAATTTTATATTTATTAAGTATTTAAAAAAAAATTAAATTTGTTGTAATATTATTTATTTATTTATTTTATTTTATTTTTTGTAAAAAAATGAAATTCCTTATTATATTGGTTGTTTTGTTAACAATAACAGGCAGAACCCAAGCTGCTCTAACAGCTGCAGAGAAAACCTTAATTCTCAATACTTTTAACGGATGGAGAGATAATGCTTTACCAATTCCAACCACTGATCTTTCTACTTTGACTTGGAATACCGCTTATGAAACCAATTTGCAGAACTATGTGAACACTTGTGCCACCAGTTTTTCACCATTCTCAAAGAGTGCCAAAGTAGCTGAATTCGTTGTAACTTTCTCTGGAACTTGGAACCTCCAAGTAATCTTGGACTACATTGGAGGTACTGCCGCCAATTATAATTTCGACACAAAATCATGTGCCTCTGGAAAATCTTGCTTACACGAATACACTGTCGTTGCCAAAGGTAAGACAGCTGCATGTGCTGTCAACAAGTGTGGTACAACCTACCGTTTCTACTGTGACTTTGATCCAGTCGGACCATACAGGGGAGTAAATCCATACCCAACTCCAACTCCAAACCCATCTCCAACTCCAACTCAAACACAAACCACCAAACCAACTTCAACCCCAACCCAAACTCAAACAACAAAACCAACACCAACACCAACACAAACCCAAACCACTTCTCCAACATCAAAGACCATCAATTGGCAATCGAAATCAACACCAGTCAGAGATCAAGGTCAATGTGGAAGTTGTTACATCTTTGCTGCCATTGCCAACTCTGAAGCTAGATATGTTATCAAGACTGGTGCCAACCCTGCAACAGTCGATTTCTCTGAGCAAGAAGGTTTGAACTGTATCTCTGGTGGTTGTAACGGTGGTTGGCCAACTACAGTGTACAATACCTTCAAGACCACTGGATATGGACCAGAGTCTGCCAACAAATACACTGGTGTTCAAACAACTTGTACTCAGACTGCCACTCCACGTGTATCCTTTACTGGTTTCACTCAAACTGCCAAAACCAAAGATGCTTTAATCGCTGCCTTACAGACTGGACCAATTGCAATCGCACTCCAAGCTGATGATGGTTTCCAAAGTTACAGCAGTGGTATCTATAATTGTCCAACCAAATATACCTCTGTCAACCATGCAGTAACATTAACCGGTTATGATGAAGCAACTGATTCCTGGTTAATTAAGAACTCCTGGGATACTTGGTGGGGTATAAGTGGCTATATAAAATTAACGGCAGCCAACGATAACTGTAACATTTTAGGTTACGCATCTAGTTATATTAATTATTAAAAACACCAAAATTGTATAACTATATTTATTCATATCTTTATTGTTATTATTTTAATATAATACAATCACCAAAAATAAAATAAAATTATTTATTTAATTAAAAATCATAAGCGGGGTATATTTATTTGAGAATTCAATCAAAACAGTAGATTTGTATTTTATAATTACAAATCAATGTTCCAATCAACTACTGTCTTCCGCAACTGTCTTCTCAAACACCAAGCTATTTAAGATTAGAAAATCTAATAAACAATCCATTCATTATTTACTGATTGAAAGTATTGAAGGCAAAGAGGGGTTTGACAATCGAACAGTAATTAAAAGTATGAAGTTCGATTAAAAATTTTTTAAATTTTTTAAATTTTTTTTTTTTATTATTTAGAGGGGATTAGACTAAGTCGAGTCAGACCAGTCGTAGGACCATACCTCATCGATCGTATAGAGGTTGGTTTGAATGGTGATCATACAGAATATGACAGGCGATTGGTTGTACAGTAAGTTACAGTTCTATTCAAATGAACAACTTAGCTCGTTGGCTGCATTCAACGTTTAATCTAGACATTAACACCTTCATTACTCCACAGATCAGTCTAGCACCTAATCAAGATCCTTACATTATCTCATTTCCATTGACACTGTCACTTCTGCGTCATATCAATCCTCAAACGATAGACAAGGACGTACTGATCAGTGTGTATACAAGAGCCAATCCAATCAAGCCACTCGATGGCACAGGTAATGATGGAAAGTTGATCTTGAGAGCGATCCGACTAAGACTTACATCAAAGAAGAATGACATTCTAGAAGCAGCACACAGAGAGCTATTAAGGAAGCATCCATTGAAGATCCCTTACATGAATGTACAGTCTATCACTTGGTCAGGAAGATTGACACATGGAGTCATGACAGAGATACCTATTCAAGTGGATGCACTCTGCACGATGATGTGTATCTTTATCAGACATGACAAGTCACCAGCAGGTATGGATGCATTCTCACCGTTGTCAGTGAATGAGAACAAGTGTCTAATCAATGTCGTTGACAACAACAAGACAACACTTCTGAGAAGCAATGGATTGAGTGGTGCGTTCCTAAGATGAGTACATCAAGCATTGAATACAGCTGGAGACATGACTACGATAGTACCTATCTACTGGCTTTACCTTGCAGAGCATCCATTGCAAGTCGTCAAGGATTGTATCAACAGTGGCTTCTTTGCATTCTCATCTAACCAGTTCCTTCAGATCACTCCTGGACCTGGTATAGTCTCAGATATGACCTACACAGTAGACGTCATGTTCATCACTTATAACGCGCTGATGCAAGAGAATGGATCATATAGAAAGGTAATGTAAACCATTCATCCTTACTTTTAACTATCCACTTAACCCTCCTCATCTTAGGTCTCCAATGACATGGGCATCGATGGATAGTTTGGATAGTTTGGATAGTTTGGAGGGTTTTGAATGGTAGATCAATATTATGTATTACAATATGTAAAGCAGTCATGGACCCTATATCACTAACGCTGTTGGTATCAACTCTCATCAGTACCTTAACATTGCACTTTAGATTCAAGAGCAAATGTACATCTGGATCAAAGACTACAAAGATTGAGATCAACTCTGACAGTATCGCTCCTCAACCTGCAACAGCAACAGTGGACAGTCCAACCAACCAACTAGAAGTACGCGTCATCACTGAGATATATTTAATATACACTGATTCTAAAATGACACCAAAGAAGATCATTCTCAATGCGCAAGAACTCAGATCAAGAGATCCAAGACAGTATGGAGTTGTTGGATCAACACCTGGAGATAATGGATATGTAAAGAATGGATGGAAGAAGGCAGTTTCAGATTCAGCAAACAAGTATAGACGCGATACTGGTAAAGCAAGAACTATCAGGTCAATGAAGAAGCAGAACATGGCACCAGAAGTCAAGAAGGAGTACAGAAGATACATCCACGAGTTGAGAGACTTGAAACGCGAGTACTCACCCAAGACCAATGGCTTCGTTAGAGCACCAAAGGTACATGTCAACAGCAAGAAGGCACCTCCAATCAATCACATACAATTACGTTCTTACAACAAGTAGGATCAAGCGTATTGGCATCTTATACATCACAACCAATTAGAGACATCCTAAAGATAGTTTAGATTAGAGTTGTATTGTTTACTTATTGAGTGTCAATATTCAAAATATTAGATTGTATTAAAGATAGCCAGAGTTGAGAGATTAATTAAAAAAAAAGAAATTATCTTTAGATTTTGAAATAGGATTTATTTATTTTAATAATAAAAATAAATAAATAAATTAATGAATAATAAATAAATATTTTTTATGTTTATGAATTTTTTTCGTTTTGTTTTTCAATAAATATTAGAAATACATTCTGATTAATGAATATCATTAATTAAATTATTGTTTATCAATTGGAACTGAACGAGCAGTAATTGATTGATGCTTTGATCTTCTCCACTTGAAGATATCGATACCTCTTGATTGATGTTTCATTTGAACTTCTTCCTTTGGTGATGTTTCGATCTCGGCTGATGCAGATCTACGTGATCTGACAACGGCAACGGTTGCACCAGCAACAATAGCAACGGCAGCAGCACTACCAACAGCAATACCAACAATTGCTCCAGTTGAAAGTCCAGCAGCGGCGGCAGCTTCAGGTGCCAATGATGCATCAACACCAGTGTAAACTGCTGAGAATTGTTCAAATGATAAATCACTGAATTGATTTAATTCCACTACAAATAGAGAGAAAATTAATTATTTATTCTTGTTTTTAAAAAATAAATATATAATAATTATGTTTACTTACTCATTGGGTAACTTTCAGATGGGAATGAAATGATTGGGTCTACAGCAGAAAGAAATCTCATATTGGAACTATCTGGAACTTCGATATGGACATTTGATCCTGACCAGTTGTCATTTGCCTTTTGGATCTTAACAAGATTCTCCTTGAATGCATCGAATGCCGCTTGATAATCTGAACTTAAATATTGTTTTCCATAGGCTTCCACATAGTTTTTGAAAGCAGTTTCAAAGTCATACTCGGTACCTTGTGAGTTTGCAATTGCCAATAAAGTTGTTAAGCAACAAATAAATAAATAAGACTTTCATTCTTTAAGTATATAGTAAATAAAATTATGAATAAAATAAATTGAATTGATTGGAAAAGTATATCTGTATATATATGTTGTTTTAGAAAATAAACCCAATAGTTATCTATTATTAGAGTTTTTGTTTAATATAATTAAATGCCTGGTTAAAAGTAGTTAAAAAATATGGAACCATCTGGAAGGGATTTAATCTTTTATTTTGGTCCTATCACTATTTACTATTTGGTTTTTTTGTTCACGATTTTCATAGATTATTTGTAATGGCTCAACGGAGGGTTTTTTAAGTTTGTTTGTTTAATTGTGACCGTTTTAATTCGATTGACGATATCAAAGCGAATCAGAATGGCAGCCAATTTAAAGACCAAACGCACAATGGTGGTTTGGTAAAAATGAAACTATCCCCATCACACACAACAAGTTTAACCGGATATATTATTTATTGTAGTCACAGTAGCCCAATAAACTATAAAAAAAAGTCAAAAAGTTGTTGTTGCTAGCACTTCTATCTTAAAGATAAAAAAAACAAAAATTTCAACAAATAAACTTAAATTTGGTTTGTTTTTTGATCAACGTTTTTTTGCACCCCATTTCCATTTTTATTTTTGCCATTTTTTTTTTTCCACAAACACCCCCTACTTTAACAATTATGGTGTAATTTAATGATAAACTTTTATATGTTCACAACAACTACCAAAAAAAAATATCGAAAGTGCACTTTAATTAAAACGATCTAATATATATTTCGATATTTTTCTTTGCAAAGATGAAGAGAAAAAATTTAATATCCCCATTTTTTATTCAAAATGCCATATCAATTGGCTTACTTGGCTTTTGAAAAACACTCTTGACTAATAGTAGGAAAGTCAATTCACTGATTTTGAGAGTACAAAGAAGTTGGACCAATGAATTTAAACTGTCGTAAAAAATCCATACCCAATTACTATAAAATCTATTTTTAAAACTTTAACAAATTAGTTAAATTAATTTTTTCAAAAGTATTTAAACAAATTTAAGTTTTCAATTTTATATTTATTAAGTATTTAAAAAAAAAGTAAATTTGTTGTAATATTATTATTTATTTATTTTATTTTATTTTTTGTAAAAAAATGAAATTCCTTATTTTATTGGTTGTTTTGTTAACAATAACAGGGAGAACCCAAGCTGCTCTAACAGCTGCAGAGAAAACCTTAATTCTCAATACTTTTAACGGATGGAGAGATAATGGTTTACCAATTCCAACCACTGATCTTTCTACTTTGACTTGGAATACCGCTTATGAAACCAATTTGCAGAACTATGTGAACACTTGTGCCACCAGTTTTTCACCATTCTCAAAGAGAGCCAGAGTAGCTGAATTCGTTGTAACTTTCTCTGGAACTTGGAACCTCCAAGTAATCTTGGACTACATTGGAGGTACTACCGCCAATTATAATTTCAACACAAAATCATGTGCCTCTGGAAAATCTTGCTTACACGAATACACTGTCGTTGCCAAAGGAAAGACAGCTGCATGTGCTGTCAACAAGTGTGGTAGAACCTACCGTTTTCTATGTGACTTTGATCCAGTCGGACCATACAGGGGAGTAAATCCATACCCAACTCCAACTCCAAACCCATCTCCAACTCCAACTCAAACACAAACCACCAAACCAACTCCAACCCCCAACCCAAACACAAACCACCAAACCAACTCCAACCCCAACCCAAACTCAAACAACAAAACCAACTCCAACTCCAACTCAAACACAAACCACTTCTCCAACATCAAAGACCATCAATTGGCAATCGAAATCAACACCAGTCAGAGATCAAGGTCAATGTGGAAGTTGTTACATCTTTGCTGCCATTGCCAACTCTGAAGCTAGATATGTTATCAAGACTGGTGCCAACCCTGCAACAGTCGATTTCTCTGAGCAAGAAGGTTTGAACTGTATCTCTGGTGGTTGTAACGGTGGTTGGCCAACTACAGTGTACAATACCTTCAAGACCACTGGTTTTGGACCAGAGTCTGCCAACAAATACACTGGTGTTCAAACTACTTGTACTCAGACTGCCACTCCACGTGTATCCTTTACTGGTTTCACTCAGACTGCCAAAACCAAAGATGCTTTAATCGCTGCCTTACAGACTGGACCAATTGCAATCTCACTCCAAGCTGATGGTGGTTTCCAAAGTTACAGAAGCGGTATCTATAATTGTCCAACCAAATATACCTCTGTCAACCATGCAGTAACATTAACCGGTTATGATGAAGCAACTGATTCCTGGTTAATTAAGAACTCCTGGAATACTTGGTGGGGTATAAGCGGCTATATAAAATTAACGGCAGCCAACGATAACTGTAACATTTTAGGTTACGCATCTAGTTATATTAATTATTAAAAACACCAAAATTGTATAACTATATTTATTCAAATCTTTATTGTTATTATTTTAATATAATACAATCACCAAAAATAAAATAAAATTATTCTAAATTAAGTAATCAACACTCAGCCGTCAAGCTTCTCAATAATGAATATATTGAGTTTAACGCGACGTTAAAGATTCATTCAATTAAGATTCAATTATTCAATCAGGAAATAAAAGATTTAAATAATAAACAAAGATTAAATAAAAAGTTAAAAAAATAAAAGACATTATTAGAAATATTATTTTATATTATTATTGATTATCAATTAAGTGAGAAATGACAGATCCAACCGATCAATCAACAACAACAACAACCACAACAACTACTGGATCAACAGCATCTATAGATCCAACAACAACAACTACTACGAATGACCTCAGCATGAGTGATCTTGATAGTAACAACAACAACGATCAAATCCCGTCATCTTCCACTTTATTTCCAGACGTTACTCCTACAAGCACTCGCCCAGATCCACTTCCTTCTGATCTGTTCCAATCAACTCTGGCCGCTTCCAAGTCATTGATCTCCTCTGCCATCGCCTCGGGTCAATCGGAGAATAAACAGGGGATGTATATTTTTTGTAAGTTCCATTTTACAATAGATTCAATTTGCCAATTGTTCTAAGAGTGTTGTATTTGAGAATTCAATATAATAATCATTAGCGGTTACATAGCCAACGATAATTGTAATATTTTGGGTTACGACTCAAGTAATATTAATTATTAAAAACACCAAAAATTTTATAATTTTTTATATTTATAAATATTATATATCAACATTCATATCCATAATTCATATTAATAATTGTTAATATCTTTAGATTCATATAGTACCGGCTGGGCTGAAAATGGGTATATTTATTTGAGAATTCAATGATAACTGTAGCTTGTATTTATTAATTTCCAATCAACTACTTGCTTCCGCAACTGTCTTCCCAAACACCAAGCTATTTAAGCTTAGAAAATCTAATAAACAATCCATTCATTATTTACTGATTAAAGGCAAGAGGGGACAGTTGAACAGTAATTAAAAGTATGAAGTTCGATTACACATTTTTACAATTTTTTTTTGTTTTTGAGTACTTGTTGTGTAAAATATATACATTTAATTGCAATTACACTCTGACTATGAAAATCTATTAGTATTGTGTCCGACACCACGAACAAGACTAATTAATTAATTATTATAAAGGGAAAATGAGAAAGAAATAAAGAATATTTTTTAAAACAATAGATAATTAAACTATAAACAAAACCATCACAATTCTCTCATTTATTATCTCATAAGTATCTATCACAATTAATATCAACATTCGATTTTTTATACTACATTTCAATGTTGAAAATAGTTAATCCTTGGTTGTTTCATTAGAAACTATGTATATATAGGTATCTTTGTGTTTTGTGTTAAATTTCTCCAATTATTATTGATGGTGTTGAGTTTGATGTTTCTGATAGATAAACTATAACAAGATACCTGAATTGTATGGTTATAAAATTCACTCAAATTGGGTGTGTTTTTATTTTAATTTTAAAACAAATACATAGATTAAAAAAAAAAAAAAAAAGAACTTTATAAAGTACAACATTTAACTTTCTTTTATTCATATGTTTTAAATGATGTACTCTACAGCATGAACAACCTGATTATATTAATGAGCATGATGATTGTTTGCTTTTGTAAATCAATTAGTGCGACTTGCTTTCAATTTTTCGATTTGAATTAAATGATAACCAATGTTCATAAATAATGCACTAATCCAGATCATCTTCTATACGTGGTGTATTATTATTATTATTATTATTATTATTATTATTATTATTATTATTATTATCATTATTATTATTATTATTATCAACTGGAGTATAATCATAATCAAGATCGTCATTACCCAATAGTCCACTTGATTCAAGATGTGAAATTAAATTTATATCAACTTCACCATTTTCATTCATAGCAGGTCCACTTAGTCCAACTCTTTTACCAAGTTTGTTGATTTCCTCTCTCAAATCTTTAATAAAATCTGTTTCTATTTCTGCAAGCTAAAAAATCGATAGATGATGATGAGTTGTTGGTCTAATATGTTGTTTGTATTATAACAATTCAAAATACATACCATTTTAAACAATCCATCATTGTTTTCATATTCTTCAGGTGTCATAACGTTGGAATGATAGTATTTAAATAATTGATCACCATGTTTGGCCATCAGTTTCTCGGTGGTCAATCTCTGTAGGAAATCTTGACCTGTCATCTTCTTGGGTGCTGCAATTTCTTCGCTGGGTCTATTCTCATCGGTCAATCCAATGTATTTCTTTGAATAAAGTATTTGACTATCCTCTGAATCTCTTGGTAGTGGTGATAGTATATGAATATTACACTAGTGTAATTGATTTTTAAATAGTAAGTATACATATATTAAAATAACATTCGTTTTAAACTTACTTGTTCCAGACTGGCAGTAGCAATTCTCATATCATCAAATGCAGGTACCGCTACCAAATGTACAGGATTATTGTGTGTAGCTATTTTCTTTACTACTTTCGCTGACTCTGTTTCATAGATATAGATAGAGTTATCCTCTGATCCAGTAACAATATGACGATCGTTATTAATGAAACTGGTACCAAGATTATATCCACCACATTTATGTCCAAAATATTCCTTAATGAATCCATCATGTCTGTAACAATTAAAAATAGTTAACCAATGGTTAATAAATTAGAATAATATAACACATCAATATATATTGTTATTGTTTGAATACAAACATTTCAGGTTCATGATCGAAACTAGATGAATAGGTTTGTGTAAAGGTTGGATTACTATAGATGGTTCTAAGATCCCACAGCCGAAGTGAGTTGGTTCTTCCAGAGGTGAGAATACGAGTGTCGTTTTGTGTAAAATTTACATTGTTAAGTTTGTTGTGTGCTTGAAGGTGGAAGATTGGTTTGCTTAGGTCGGTACGCAAATCCCACATACGAACCGATCCAAATCTTGATCCAGATACAAATATATTCCTATCGTGCGATTTGAAGCTGATTGAATTGACAGTGTTCATATTGGTACTGACCTTTGGATGTGAATCGATTATTCTACTCATTACAGTGGCCGTATTCATATCCCAAATGTAAATGCCACTCGATGCACAACCACTCAACATAATCTCATCGTCATATGATAATTCCAATGCTTTCAACCAATCTGTTTAAGAGTGTTAAAAGTAGATAATAATATTGAAAACAACTAATATTAGTAATATAATAGTAGTAGTAACAGCAATTGTTATAATAGATTTACCATTATGTTCAGTAAGAGTAGTTACTAATCTAAAGTTTCTATATACTTTAATAGTGTTGTCGAGTGAACATGTAATGAAAGAGTTGTACGCTGATTTTATAGAGCTATTGTAGTTCAGACTTGATGTATAGATTTTGTCGTGAGCTGGTATTTGAGTGTGAGTTGGAAGCTCGTCGATATCACCGAAAGATGATGGTTTATTAAACCATTTGATCGCTGATATCATCTGTTTGTTGTCTGATAATGAATATAGCAATTTTCCTGTATTAGATTCATAGAAATCTGCAGAATCATCTATTTATTTATTATATGTTTTAACAATAGAATTTATTAATGTTAATATTAATAATATATAATAAACTTTAAAGTTTATATAATATACTCTATGGTGATAACATACTGGTTGCAACAGATATATAAGAAGCATCAGGACTCCATGATAATGCAAATGGACATCCGTCTGGTTTTAGATTCGGAATGATATAATCAAGATTGATTTGTTCGATCATTCTATCTCTAGATTCTTTTCTTGTTTGTCTTCTTCCATTCAGTTCGCTATTGAACAAATCATTTGAAAACGATTGATACATCAATGAACTATCATTTTTATTATTCTTCTTTGTATTTCTATTATTTCTATTTGTATTACTATTTACATTACCTGTATAATGTAAAGTAAACATCTTTAATTAAAACATAGAAATAGATAAATATATATATATTTTAAAAAAAATAAAATAAAATATAAATACAAACAACTGTCTTTTTTAAAAAAAAAAAAAGCTAAAAAAAAACTATATAAAAATCAACAACTATTTATTCGTTGATTAATTTAAACAGTTAGATATCTTTAGAGCTAATGATATAATAAAAGATAAAGAAGTAGTGTTTAAATAAAATATTATATACATTTATTTAGTTATAAATTTAATTGTTATTTAATTATTGTATTGATTTTCTCTTAATGACTTTGAGATTTCATAAGAGTTACCGGTTGGGATGGTTGGATATGGGTAGGTTTGTAAATTCCAAACTTCCTCGACAGCTTCACAGTTGGTTTGGAATAGAGTAGAGTTGAATGGTTGGCTGGAAGTGAGTGAGTATTGGAGTTCTTTTACAAAGAGTGTCCATCTTGCCAGGTAAAAGTCTTCTGTAAGACCACCCCATAGTTTGTAGGCATAATCATGTACATCGGAGTAGGTTGGTCCCCAAAGAGTTATTTGATTACGTGCATTCATTTCATAGAGGTTTGTTGATTCATTGGCTGGTGTCAGTGCTCTTGCTCTCGCCGTCCAATGACCAACGAGCAGCATCTCCTGTGTCGAAGCAATGGTATATACATCTTGGATGATACTCAACAATGCCTCTGAATACTTGTTGAATTCCTCCAAACTATTATTTAGGAATGCAGAATTCAGCTGGAGTTCGTTTGTCATAAACAAGTTAATGAGTGCCTGAGTTGTAATCTCTGTGAGATCGAATGAGAATGTCGAGGTATTGGTAATCGAGGTGTCGTTAATCGAGAGGAAAGGCAGACCATGCCTTGGAAATAACAGTTGGATCATAGTAGAGTGATGCTGTCAAGTTGAGTTGTGGTCTGACACTAATCAATATCACCTCGGCTCCATAGGTTACAATTGGACAATTGAATACGGTTCCAACCAATTCATACCAGGTGTCATGCAAGTACTTCGATATACTTGCCATATCTTCTGGTGACATATTGATCAACCCATTCTTTGAGATCTGGTGGTGTCGATCTCCATGCCATTTCACTCATCAAATCGTAGACAATGACATTCTGTTCGATTGCTTCCGGTGTTAATCCTGTTCCAACCATATTTGGAGACAATGATCTTGCTTCGATTGGATTTGTTGAGATGAATGGAATCTTTCCATACATACCTGAACGACCACCGAAATTGTGAAGCATACACCAAATCCAATTGTGACCATAGTAGTAATTAGTGGAATTCCATGCTGGAATGACATCGGACCAGAGATCGAGAACTATCATCTTACCAATAGGAACACCCGATAGGAATGCTTCGGTTTGTGGTGGTAACCAAAACTCGGGATCATCCACTAAGAACCAACCTTGTAACACCCAAATACCTTGTGGATCGGCAGCAATCAAATTATTAAACATTGATTGAGAACAGTTCTTTAGGTAGGTTAAATCGGATGATGGTGGTTCCAACTCATTGAATGGATCGAAATTATAGAAATGATCGGTTCCATACAATTGATTCTGAGTGATAACGAAAGCTTGGGCAATCTTTGAGAAGAGAGGATCGTCTGGATTCAAATAGTAGGTACCACTGAATGTTCCCCAGCCACCGAGTTGAGTGATATTGGCTTTCGGGTAGTGTGTTTCTAGCGCCTCAGGAACATGACCAGCAAAACCAGGAAGAACAGCTTGCATTCCAAATTGTCTCATTCTGGTTAGGATTTGAATTTGGAGATCTCTTTGATCGGCCATCCAACCGAGTGTCAAATTTCCAGCCCATTCATTGACATTTCCCATTCTATTCCATGGGAGGAATGCAGGTCCAGTGAACCAAGCTTGAATCTCTGATTCAGAGAGTCCAAGATTGGCAAAAACTTGATACCAAACATATTCTTGTCCAACAAAAGCAAGTGGAAGATTATATCCGTTTAGAGCCATCCAATCGATTTCTCTTTCCCAACGAGGCCAATCCCACCAAACAGTACTATATCCAAATGTACAAACATTCATATAATATCTGTATTGCGAAAGCATATCGATACTGACGGGATTATTGACAACCGGTAAGTTTGAAGCAGTTAAATTACATTGATCACCAGTCCAAGTGAATGAACATTGTCCATAATATTTCAAATAGAAATTGATTCCACTTGCAAGATTAACTGGTGTATCTGCCTTGATTGTAATAGTTGTAGTTCTACCTGATGTATCACTAGAAACCTCGAAATACTGTTGACCAGTAGTTGTATTGATCAACACCAAATTGAAATAAGGAATGAATTGTGGACCTAAAATTCTTGAAATCAATCCCTGCACAACTAAAATACCTGGATCTTCATTTACTTCATCATCTATAATTCTAATGTCTGGTGATTTTTCAATAACTTTTATAACATTTAAAGAATTTACTAAATAAACAAATAATAATAATAGAAATAAAAATAATTTAAAACTTTTCATTTTAATTAAATTGTTTTAAAAATATATAAATTTAAAATTTAATATGATTGATTTTATCTCCTATCTTTAACCATCATAATTTATTAAAACAAGTGGTATCGGAATTAAAAAAAATATATTAAAAATTAAATTTCAATTTAAATTTCTAAAAACAAAATCAAAAAAGAACAACACCCCTAATCCACATCAATCAAAATGATACTTTCAAAAGTCACAACACACCCCATTTTTTAATTTGTTACAAATATCTTATTCTCAAAGGTGGTTTCACAAAAAATTCAATTAATTTTTTGTTTATTATTTTATTGGTTAGTTGTTTTGAAAATAGATTGGCTCTTTTTTAAAGATATGTTTTGACACTTCATAGGAGTTGTGTGTGGGTTGTGTAGGATAATGGTAGGTTTGTAAATTCCAATTCTCTTCGATCGCTTCACAATTGGTTAGGAATTGATTGTAGTTGAATGATTGTTTGGTTATTAGCGATTGCTTTAGTTCTTTTACAAAGAGAGTCCATCTTGCCAAGTAAAAGTCTTCGGTGAGACCACCCCATAGTTTGTAGGCATAGTCGTGATCGAATGAATCGGGTGGACCCCAGAGCGTGATTTGATTACGTGCATTCATTTCGTAGAGTTCGGTGGTTTCGTTGGCTGGTGTCAGTGCTCTTGCTCTCGCCGTCCAATTGCCAACGAGTAGCATCTCCTGTGTCGAAACAATGGTATTTATATCTTGGATGATACTCAACAATGCATCCGATAACAAACTAAACTCTTCATAGCTATCATTTAGGAATGCAGCATTCATTTGTAGCTCAGTGGTCATAAACAAGTTACTGAGTGCTTGAGTTGTAATCTCTGTGAGATCGAATGAGAATGTTGAAGTATTTACAACATGTAGATCGTCTATTGAAAGGAAAGCGGACCATGCCTTGGAAATAACTATTGGATCATAGTAGAGCGATGTTGTGAAGTTTAATTGTGGTCTGACGCTAACTAGTATAGTTACAGGTCCTTTGGTTACAATCGAACAGTTGAAAACGGTTCCAACCAATTCATACCAGGTGTCAGCAAGTACTTCGATATACTTGCCATATCTTCTGGTGACATATTGATCCACCCATTCTTTGAGATCTGGTGGTGTCGATCTCCATGCCATTTCACTCATCAAATCATAGACAATGACATTCTGCTCGATTGCTTCTGGTGTTAAACCTGTTCCAACCATATTTGGAGACAATGATCTTGCTTCGATTGGATTTGTTGAGATGAATGGAATCTTTCCATACATACCTGAACGACCACCAAAGTTGTGAAGCATACACCAAATCCAATTGTGACCATAGAAATAGTTGGTTATTTTCCATCCGGCATCTACATCTGCCCAGAGATCTAGAACTATCATCTTACCAATGGGAACACCCGATAGGAATGCTTCAATTTGTGGAGGTTGCCAAAACTCTGTATCATATACAAACAGCCAACCTTGTAACACCCAAATACCTTGTGGATCAACAGCAATCAAATTATTAAACATTGATTGTGAACAGTTCTTTAGATAAGCTGGATCGGATGATGGTGGTTCCAACTCATTGAATGGATCGAAATTATAGAAATGATCGGTTCCATATAGATCTTGTTGAATGGACATGAAAGTATTTGGTGATTGGTGTATATAAACTGTCATCTGGATTTAAATAGTAGGTACCAGGGAATACATTCCAACTTGAAAGTTGAGTGATATTTGCATTTGGATAATGTGATTTCAGCGCTTCAGGAACATGTCCAGCAAAACCAGGAAGAACAGCTTGCATTCCAAATTGTCTCATTCTGGTTAGGATTTGAATTTGGAGATCTCTCTGATCAACCATCCAACCGAGTGTCAAATTTCCAGCCCATTCATTGACATTTCCCATTCTATTCCATGGGAGGAATGCAGGTCCAGTGAACCAAGCTTGAATCTCTGATTCAGAGAGTCCAAGATTGGCGAAAACTTGATACCAAATATATTCTCTGTCCAACAAAAGCAAGTGGAAGATTATATCCGTTTAGAGCCATCCAATCGATTTCTCTTTCCCAACGAGGCCAATCCCACCAAACAGTACTATATCCAAATGTACAAACATTCATATAATACCTGTATTGTGATAATATTTCGATATTGACGGGATTATTGACCACCGGTAAGTTTGAAGCAGTTAAATTACATTGATCACCAGTCCAAGTGAATGAACATTGTCCATAATATTTCAAATAATAATTTATTCCACTTGCAAGATTAACTGGTGTATCTGCACTAATATTTATTATTACATTATTGCTATTTGTTGTACTATAACTACTTGTTATTTCGAAATACTGTGAACCATTTGTTGAATTCTTTAAATTTAGATTGAAATAAGGAATGAATTGTGATCCCAAAATTCTGGAAATCAATCCTTGCACAACTAAAATACCTGGATCTTCTTGAAATCTATTATTTTCTATATCATTTTTTTCAATTTTAATATCAATGATATTGGTGTTTATATTTTTAATGGAGATTGATTCCACTATTGAATAAAAAAAAATAAAAACTATACAAATAGAAACTAATTTATTATTACACTTCATGATGAAATTCGTTAATATTAAATTATTTAATTTATTTGATTGATTAGGTTTAATTTTATTTATTTTCAAAAATTGATTTTATTCACACAAAACCAAAAATAACCACCACTCATTAAAAAAAATGTGAAGTTACAAAAAGAAGTTCATTTAATCAAAAATCATTCAGTTCATTCATTCAAGTGAATTAAATAACCATCATTATTTTTTGTAAAAACCTTAGTATAAATTGAAAATAATATTATAATCTTAAGTAGACTTTAGATTAAAATATTATCTTAGATTTTATTCTTTATACACATCTATTGGGATAATTTAATATTAGATCCAATTTATTTTATTTTTATTTTTTTAAAATAATTTAAATAGAATCTAATTATAGGTACTTATTATTTATCTATACTTTTCACCAAATAAAAACTAAAAGTTGAATAGTATTTGGAGTATAGTTCTGGAGTGACAAATTACTAAAAATCCTAATACAAGTATATAAAGAATAATGGTGCAGGTTCTAACCTTTTACAATCAAAATAGTTGTTCCATTTTTCAATAAAATCTTATTAAACTTTTTTATATCTTAAATAAAAAAGCTTAGTATTATCCAATCAATGAAAATACCTGAGCTTTCTATTAACTAAAGAATCTTTGTGAAATCTTGATTTCTCACTTGACTACCATATTAAAAATAAAAATAAAAAGTATATTTAATTATTAAATTTTATTTATTTTTTTTGTTTTGTTTTAAAAGAATTAATTTAAAGGTTGCACAAATTTGATCAACCTATTATTATAATAAAATTGGTAATAGTTATTAATAGATCAAAAAGAAAAGATAGATTTTTCAATCGGTATTTTAATCAAATCTGTAAATGAACTGTATTATTGATTCCAATTGATTTGAACACTCCATTGTGAAAATCTCTTAGAAAAAATGTTTGTAAATCAATCGATAAATTAAAAATATTAGATAGAATCAGTGTCAAACAACACACCCTAAATTAGGTAAAAAATCAAAAAAGTTTACAGATTGATTTAAAAATTATAGAATGTTTGAAAATTAAATTCACTTTAAAGTCAAACAAAAGTAATCAAAACAACAGATAGACAGATAGATCATAGTTTGTTTGTTGTTTTTTTATTTCTTTAGACAGAAACACTCTATGGAGTCTCTATAACAATAAACCCTATCAATCAATCAATCAATTACAACAAACTCTTGTCATCATCCAAAAGGTGTAAAAAGTTGTTTTAAATAAAAATAAAAACACAAAAAAAAAAAAGGTGTGAGTGGTGAGGAGTGATAAGATTGAAAGAGTATTGAACAAGTAACACTTAAGTGAGTGTGTTGTGTGTGTTTTGTTTTATTTTATTTTATTTTTTTTTGCTTGTTCAAATCACTCTATTTTAGTGTGATATTATCTAATATGTGTTAAAATGGGTGATTTTTCAATAAACTATTTGGGGGTTTGATGATAACAATACATATAGGTATTTAATTTGATTTGCATGAAGAAGTTAACAATAAAATAATGCTTAATTTATTTTTGTTTAGATAGATGAGTGTGATTTGCTTTTTTTTGATACAAGTTGTTTGGGTTTTTTTTTTGATGTTACCTCTACATATGATGTTATTAATTATTGAATGATTTGCACAGGTGATTGAATTGACTCTCACCATTTCAATAAATTGAGAATATTGGATTTGAAATATGGAGAATCAAAAAACAAGAGTAGCAACAAGAGCTTATACATGATATGTAGGGTGGAGAGGGTATTGTTTTGATACATTCAAGTATTGAGCTGTTTTTTTTTTGTTTTTAATTAATTATTTGGGAGGAGAGAATATTGTTATGTTTTTTCTTTGTAGTTGTTTTTTGGGTTGATTTTTATTCAAGTTGATTAGCAAATATTTATTTATATATTTCAGAGATAAACATAAATTAAATTATAGTTATAATTTAAAATTAAAAATACTAGTTTGGAAATAAAGAGAGAAAAAAGAGTCTGATTTTGAAAATAATAATAATCTTAAGTAAAAGTCAAACAAATTCTCATGTTTAGTTATTGTGAAGGATTTAAAGTGGAAGGAAACACCGATGCCAACCCACTTTGGCAATCCACAAAAATGCCAGAGGAATGTGCTCCTCGTGTTTCCAACCAACCTTCTCTATACAGACAACACTTCTATGGCAAACCACACAGCACTTATGTTAGCTACTACTCACCGATAGGTCCATTGGCCATCACCATCACCTTGGACAATGACAATAACTACAAATGTTTGGTATACACTGAGAAAGGTTATGAATTAATACAAGTACCAAGATGGAGTGTCTATAGAAATTGTTGGAGATTCATTTTCTGCCGTAAACCGACATCCTACCATATCATGTGGCATGTGAAACCCGAATTAAAAGATATTAAAATTCCAAAACTGAAAATCAGTAAATTGGAAGATGAACTTTTGAGAATCTACGAACCAGAGTTCTCAAAAGTAATGAAAGTAGGTATATTATATTGCAGAGAAGGTCAAAAAGATGAAGCTGAAATGTTATTCAATGGTATGGAAAATAAATATTTTGTTTGTTCAATAGAGATTATTAATTATTTAATTTCCAAACTCTAGTGGCAAATAACACAAGTAGAGAATATGATGAGTTTTTAAATTGGATTGGTGATAGAGTAGAATTGAAAGGATTTCAAGGATATAATGGTGGATTAGATATTGTCCGTAAGATATCTTTTAATAATTATTTTGTTGTATTTAATAAAATTATTTATTAATATTATTGTTTTGTTTTTTTTTTTAGATGGAAACTCTGGAACACATTCGATTTATGGAAAACACAATGATGTAGAAATAATGTTCCATGTATCTACAATGTTACCATTCTATCCAAACGATCCAAAACAAATTGAAAGAAAAAAGCATCTTGGTAATGATAGAATTATGATTGTATTTAACGATGGACCACAAAGCTATCAACCAAATACAATGAAATCAAAACAAACTCGTATGTTTTATTTAATTAATCTAATATTAGTTGGTTTTACTTATGTGTTCTATTATATATATTAGAAACTGTTATTTTGGTTCAACCAATAAGAAACGATTCTTCTTCGGCATCGATTTCAATCGCCAAACCAGCATCACCAAATAATAACAATTCACTGTTGATGGAGGAAAAGAATGGATTGGATAATATTGAAGATGTAAATAGACAGCAATCTTCAGGTTCAACCAATCAATACATAGTATCGATAGCATCCAAAGAGGAAGTTCCTGACTTTGATCCTCCACTTCCAAATCCTCCTATTTTCAACAGAGATGCAAGATTCAAACAATTCCTCTATGATAAATGTAATTATTATTATTATATCTACTCTTTTAAAACTATATTAATTAATCTACATTGAAATAGTGATAAATGGATCTAGTTCACTAAGACAAGCACCAGTTTTCCAAACGAAAACACAGAGAGAAAAAAACTTTGTATTTTTGAATTTCGTTAATAAACATACTAATCAAAAATAAGACAAACAAACAAAACAATATGAAAAGTAAGAAAGATCTGTTAACTATTTTACCAACCAAAGAAACAAAATAACCTGTAATATTAATCAAACCTTCCAGTAAAAAGAAAAAAACAAAAAAAAAAAAAACAACAATAACATATAATAACATTATACTGCTGCTATTCACAACTATTCACAAACTTGACTATCATTATTATAAATATTATGTGATTACTATTATTATTATTCAATAAAACTTTTAATTTTATTATTATTATTATTAATTCTATACATTATTATTATTCTTTTTTATTATTCTTTACTTTATTATTATTTACTTTATTATTGATGTTGGAATAATGAATAATCTTTGATATGAAGTGTTTTCAAAAGTTCAACGAAAATATTCTCTACTTCTTGTGGGTTGAATGATGGAACTGTTCCACCTACTGCTTTAACACTGCTGCTTTCACTTGACAATGTAAGAGGTGCATTCAATGTTATCAATAAATCTGTTTTTGATCTATTTAATCTAACTATTGCCATATAAACATTTAACTATAATAATTTTGAATTTGAAATAGATAAACAAATAATTAAATAATTAAATAATTAGTTTAAAATGAATATTTAAAAAAAAAAACAAAGATATTTTACAGTATTCTCTGCGGTTTCATTAAATTTCGACATCATTTGCTTTCCGAGTAAAATAAACTTTGGAACTTCGTCTTCAAAGTGTGGCATGTCGGTCTTTGTCAGTGCTCTGTGGTTTAGGATTGTACGTTTGTCTGCTGCGACATCTGCTTCGTCTGCAACGACATTAAAGTGGAATGCTGCACTCTCGTGGTCAGCGACGTGGTCTTGTCTCTCTAGCAGCTCTATAATGATCGACTGATCGGTTCTATCATCTACGAAACACTCTTGATGATCGGGAATGACACGGAACGCTGTAATATCTATGAATCTCGATGGAATAGATATCTCGATAGCACCACCATATAATTGTCTAACTTTAAAATCTGACATATTGTTTTGTTTCTTTTATTTATTTATTTATTTATTTATTTATATAAAATAATGTATTATTACTAAATATTAATGATGTTATGATTGGTTTGGTTGGTTTGTTTATTTGTAATGAAATGGTTTGATGATTTATACTTCAAGTTGAAGTTGTTTATAGATATATATCTTCGTTTTTTTTTGACCACCTCATTTTTTTGTTTTTGGACGTGGCTCTTACTCAGAACACACAAGCAAAAGTTTTCATTTTTTTTTTTTACCAAATTTGTAAAAATAAATTTAATTAAATATATGACCGACCCTTTGCCATACTTTGCTCGCTTTTAAATTTCCTTTTCTTTATTGTTGCTGCTCGACATTTTCATTGCTTTCATCTGCGTTCTCTTCATATTCATCTTCTTCTGCTCCAACTTTCTTTTATAAATGGTATATAGGACAATAAATAAAGAAAACATTACTATGAGGATTATTAAATATAATAAGTCAAAGCTCTTGACTTCTTTATCATCAGTCAAGTGAGATTCTAGTGATTTATCACTATTTTTACCTCTATATATAGTTTACAATCAAGACTGAAGTTAAAATAATGCGGCAGTTATAGTATTTAACAAATAGTAATTACCTATCATTAATGTGTGTAGCATTACTCAATAAAACTACAGTAGAACTAGTAATATTTATATTAAAATTACTGTTACTAATGTTATTTATCATTTTTAATAAAAAAGAATTAAAATTCGAAAAGTTATTTATTATCTGTTCAAATTATTTGTAATGTGAACAAAGTAACGTTCAAAATGAAATGAAAGGTGCGACGTCGCACCTTTTATCAGTTTCGAAAATTTTTTTTTCAAATTCTACACCCATACCAAGATAGGTCATATATATTTTTTTGTTTATAAATAAAAGATTTAAAAGACAATAGGTCTTTTATGTGAATTTATTATATTATTTTCATTTTTAAGGACTATTTACAAATTAATTAAATGTGAGTATTTGAACATGATTGTTTACCAAACTGCCCAAAATGGTCTGTTTGATAATGTTTTAGTAATTTGATTCTCTGTTTGTTGAATCAATCCATTACTATTGTAGTTTGACATTGTAATATTGTTGGTATTGAAATGGGAAGTATTTCTTGAGAAAAAGTTAATGTTCTTTAAATTATCTATTTAAAAATGAATATTAATAAAAAATTCTTTGATTTTTTAATCTTTATAAAAGTATACTTACTGATTAACATTTTAAAAAAACTTCAAAATTAATAATTAATTAAAATAAATAAATAAAATATATTTTACTAAGTTACTTTTAAAGTATGTTTTAAGAATTGATTTTGTTTTGTTTTGATTTGATGATTTTAAAAAAAGAGATTGATTTATGTATTTATAGGTTTTCGAATACAGATTAATTTGATAGGTAGTTTTAACTTTTTATGGAATATCCTGGGTTGGTGTTATATATCATTGAATTTCAATTCACCCAAAACTAATGATGATATAAAAGAAAGTGGGTTGTGGTGGTAGTGTGTGAGGTGTTATATTGATGACAGCAAGTGTTGATGTCTAGACAATTATTCTTTCTAAGCATCTATATATATATTCACCTATGCATTCTATTCTATCAATCATGAATGAATTCAAGAATGATGATATCATGATTAGATTGTACACAAAAATGAATGATCGTCAGTACCAAATTCTTTAAATTTAACACCACTATCTACAATTTCAAATCAGTTAACATATAATATCATCATTATTTATTTAAATAAATGTAAACAATTCAATGACATCATTCTCTTTTTCCTAATTATATATCACATGTGATAAATTAACTTATTAAAAAAAAAAAAAAAATAAACATGAATTATAAAATATTTTAATATTATAGATTTCTATTATTACAGAATTTGAAAATGCTATATATATATGACATTATACATATAACATTATTGGTGTGTTGTTGATGATGAATTGTTGTATTGGGGTTGTTTTGGTGAATAAATAGATTGGTGGCAGAATGATATTATTATTATTCTTATCTTTGTCGCTTTGATTTGTTTTTGATTTGCTTGTTTTTCTTCTCTTTTCTTTGCTTTGTTTTCGCTCTGTTTGTTGATGAAATTTCCTTATTGTAATTTAGAAAGGATTAATTTTGTTGCGTCGTTTGCACTGATGTATCCATCGTTATCTGTATCGCACTCTCTGCATAGATCGCTTGCTTCCTGTGCATTCATGATATCGCCCATTGACATGAGGATCTGCTTCAAGTAGTCGGTAGAGATGAATCCATTGCCCTCTTGATCGAAACAGTTGAATGCACGTCTAAGTTCATCCTCTGGATCTGTAATCTGTAGCTTCTTGACGACGACACCGAGGAATCCGTTCATATCCAAACCAGAGGCAACATCGTTCTCTTGGATATTGACACCAATAGACTTCAAAGCCATAACGGCTTCCTTTGAATTCAATCTACCATCGTTATCTTTATCAAACTGTTGAAAGCAAGTATTGAACTCCTGACGTTGATCATCTGTTAAATTTTCCTGTACAAGTTTAATTAGTATTTTATTTATCAAAACAAAATGATAAATGAATGATTTACCATTTTAAAAGTAATAATAATAAAGATATATAATAAATAAAATATAATACAAAAATCAAAAATATTTTGAAATCATATTAAAAAAAAAAATTAATCAAAACCCATCAATTTACCATTTTTTTGCATGATCATTTTTATTTGAATTTGGGTTCTGATTATTTTTATTTTTATTTTTATTTTTATAATAATAATTTTGTCATTTATCTATCTAAGATAATGATTTAATAAGTTAATTATTATTAATATTTAACTTTCTTTTATTAAAAACTGTTTATTGATCTATAGTATTCTAATTGATAATGTAATAAAGAAGGAACACTCTAGAATCAAGTATAGTTTTTTTTTTTTTTTTTTTTTTTTTTTTAATATAAGGAAGATTGTGGAGATGTCATTTATTTGTTTTAAAAAGTAAGATAACAGTCAATGATGATTAGATCTAAAGTATGATGAAAAACAAAAATATGTTGTCATAGTCGAAGCAAGGTGACAACATACTTTTTATAATAACACATTTTCGATCAGGTGTGAACCCGAAAAAAATAAAATCAACTTTGGTGTGGTTCAATCAAATTGATAGAACAAGGAATCATTTTTGCGAATGAATTTCATTAATTATAAATAATGAAATTTCGAGTCATTGTTAAAATCATCAAAAACAAAATATTAAATATTTAATTAAATATCTAATTTAATCTTCAAACCGCAGCTTTTAATCCAAAAATCTTTTTTTTCATCAGTTCATTTCTATTAAACTTTAACAATAAAACTAAATAAATAATAATGTCTCTACCAATTTTCCATTATGTATGTACAAATAAAATAAAATAATATTTGTTTATTATATAATAATTAATAAACTGTTTTTTTTTAACAATTTTTTTTAGTTTGATGCCAGAGGTCGTGGTGAAGAAATTAGAATCTTATTAAATTATGCCGGTGTAAAATACACTGAAGACAGAATCCACCCATTGACCGATGAGATTCGTGCCAAGTTGACATTCGGACAACTACCATGGTACCAAGAGGGATCTCTCAGTATCACTCAATCGATGGCTATTGAGAGTTACATTGCCAGAAAGCACTCATTGCTCGGTGCCAACGAAGAAGAGAATGCTGAGATCTTCAGTTATGTGCTGTCGGTTGCCGATATGTTGGATTCGTTCATCAAGGCATTCATGGGTGGTCCCGAGCAAAAGAAGAACTTTGAGGAAGTCGTTGCACCAAGAATCATCAAAGCCTGGGAATCAAAGATCAACAGCAACGGTCATCTCTTTGGAGCCAAAACAACCTGGGCCGATCTCGCTGTTTTCAACAGTGTTGATTATTTACTCTGGGCCAAGAACGATAAACTCTTTGCACATGCACCAAAGTGTCTTGAACTTCACAAGAAATTGGCTGAATCCCCACAATTGAAGCCATACTTGGAATCAAGACCAAAAGATATTAAATTCTAAACAATCCAATCAAATCCATTCCCCTTTTATTTTAAATAATCAATTATTTTATTTAATTAAAATGAAATAATCAATTAAAATAAACATAATTTTTCATTAAATAATAATAAGTTATCTTTTTATTTTTTAGATAAATACTTACAAAAAAGAAAGTATAATACTTAGTCAATATCTATATAATATAAAACAAGTATAAATCTATCTTTTTTAAAAATATTATTTTTTAAATTAAAATTTTTCAACTCTCATTTTTAGAACTCTATCAGCATTGCTTGTGGTGGTAGTTGTAGTGGTTGTTATCTGATTTGACTTTCCGCTTATTGTCGTTGTTGTTGTCGACGTTATTGTCGATGTTGCAATCGATGTTGTTGTCGATGTTGTTGTCGATGTTGTATTCATATCATAAATATTGTTGAGCTTAGCTTTACTGTTTGGTTTGAAATGTGAACCAATATCTTGCTCTATACTACATGGACCATCAAATGCTTCAACTTGTGCACAATCTGGATTATGGTTGAAATGTGAACCAATATCTTGCTCCCTACTGCACGGACCATCAAAGGCCTCAATCTGTGTACAATCTGGATAGTCTCCACTATCTTCATATGATATATCATTTTCATAATTATTTATTCTGGATAAAAATGTGCATTAGAAATCAGAAAAATTGAACCAATATGACAAAATAATCTTTTGCTGATCTTACATTCACAGCTCATTGATCAGCTAATTGTGAACTTCAAAATATTCTTTTGTGTTCTCTATATAGCAATTGAACTGCAAGATGCGTGAAAAACAAAATATTCTTTTGTATTCTCTGTTAGCATTTGATCTGCTAACTGTGAACTTCAAAATATCTTTTGCTTACAAAATATTCTTTTGATCGTTTGGTTCATTCTTTAATTTGGAATCTGATACTAATCTTTGAACCACAACAATAAAAGATAATAGAAACAGGAATGTTTGAAAATATTAGTAAGATACTATAGTGTCTTTTAATTACCTATACCTACTTTTAAAGGAAAAGTACCATGGTTTGATTCTTTTTCGAATCTCGTATATATTTGAAAGATCCCATTCCAAAAAATATGGTTTAAGCTTTTAAAAGTGTGTTGAGCTAAAACGACTTCTTGATTTGTTACATGTTTATCTAAATATGGTTGAAAGCCATCTTGTTGTGAAAGTAATTTACAAAAATCTTCGCTAGTGATTAGTTCAGATCTGTTGTTTGTGGCATCTTTAACGAATTCAAAGTTGTTGGCTATCCACTGCAGATTTCGAAAATTGTTATTAATAAAAATTTAATTTAATTTAAATATAAAATAATATTGTATATTACCTCATTAAAAGGACTCCAATATTCTTTGATTCTTTGCTTCTTGCGTTGATCGCAATCTGTAAAAAATTCCTCCCTTTGTGCTCTCTTTTTATTATCCATATAAATAATAACTGTAAATATTACAGATTGCAAAAAAAACAAAACAATCAATGATCGTAAATAAAAATTTAATTAAAAAAAATTAAAATATTTAAAACACAAAGTGGGGTATCTTACGCCAACTTTATTATGTAAAAACCCACAGCTGGCTACCTACGTTATTTGTGGGATAACAGGATAATGCGCAGGCGAAAGGGGTTGGGAGTTAGTTTTGTTTTATATTGTTTTTAGATATCAAATATATATATATATATAATGGAGATTTGCAGTAATCATATAGATAAAATATTCGTTAATCTATCACATTTAATATTAAATAAAATAATAGGTTGTTTAGATGAAAACATTGACAGAATATGTTTTAGTTTAGTTTGTAAGAGATGGTTCAACGATAGAGATAAATATTTAATATTCAACACTGATAATATCAATATTAACTCTAATAATAATAATGATATTACTCAAAATCATAAACAATTCAAGTTACCTTCATATAATAACATCTTTAATAAATCGATTCAATCAAAGACTGATTGTTCACTTTTTATTGGAGCAACCAGATTTTTATTTGGTGAATACGATTTTTATTATGGTAAATATAATACTTTAAACCTCTTTATATTTGATGATCATTTAACATTTAACTAATTAATATTTTTATAAAGATAAAAATACAGACTTGAAAAGTATTCCATCGTATATTTCAATGATCGGCTCAACAGATGAAAGTACAGACCTAGAGTATTTCTATCAAATACTATTGGAATCACAATCAGTAACAACATTGTGTGGATGTCATACACTGAGATATGGATTACCGAAAACAATCAAAAAACTCTCTTTCAGCTATAGATTCAATGAATTGCTTGTTAAAGGATCACTCCCATCATCTTTAGAAGTTCTTAGTTTTCATAGTTCTTTTAAGCAAGCGATTCAAGCAGATGTACTTCCAGAAGGTTTACTCGAATTCAACTTGTACAGCATCGATTACCAATCTGATCTTCAACCAGGAGTGTTCCCATCATCTCTCAAGACCTTAAATCTTTGTTATTATAAGAATCCTATTAAAGCTGGAGTACTTCCAGAGAAACTTGAATGCTTGTATTATTCGGGTGAATGTACACCATTGGAAGATGGAGTATTGCCTAAATCCTTAAAGAAACTTGTGAATGTGCCAATGACATGGTTACAAGCAATATCATCACTTCCAAATCTTGAAATCATTCATTTTTTTCAATTTAAAAAAGGTATATCAACATTCAATCTCGACTTATTACCATCATCTTTAAAGGTTCTCAAATTCAAGCAATTTAAGTTGATAGGAGCAATGCCGACATCAATCAAATCACTATGCATTGTTGAATGTGAATTTCAGTTTGAAGAAATATTCCCAGAAACATTACAATATCACTTTGAATCGCTCCAATATTTAAGCGATAAGATTCTTTCGATTCCGTCCAACGTAAAGATCGATAAGTTGATAATAGAAGGATCCATTGATCAGGAAAATTGTTCACTCTCACCTCCATCTGGAATCACTTCAATCAGATTAGATATGACATTGGACCAAGGAGATGGTTTTTTAAGAATCGATGGAAATGATCAAACAACTCTGAAAGAGCTACGACTTCCATATTTTGATTTCCAACCACGTGCATTCATACCAAACACCATTGAAGAGTTGGATATTGGTGACAATTCACTTATTTATTGTTTAGATTTGATCAAATCAATCGATTCAATCAAAACACTTATGCTTTCGAAATTTCCAAAAATTGAAATCATATCACCAGAATCTTTCAAAACAATCAACAATATCATCTATACTGAAGAAAGCAATAGTAATATTGTTATTTACAGAAAGTTAGACGATAATTATTATTTAATGTATGGTAATCTTTTTGGAAATATAATAGCCAGAATATTCCATCAATCTAATTTGCCAACGAACTTAAACAAAAAATTAAAAAAATATATAAAGTCTATTCCTTTAAAATAAAAATTACTATATGTTTATTAAATATCAAATAAATTTTACAAATGATTATTTACAAATTCTATTTTTTCGAATCGATGTATTCATTCAAAAGGTCATGTAATTCAAAACAATAAGGTAATCTTTTTATCATTTGCTGAAGATAGAGTACCAACTTATCGATAGGTATCGAAATATTTCTGAGAATCCAATCCAATGAACGATACTTGAATTGTGTAAATGCTTCGATTTTTTTGATTATATCAAACTCTATTGACTCGATTGTATTTAGATGACGCCAGGTTAAACTGAAAGAGATCAGTTGGGAGCGGATCTGGGCGAGCATTAACGGGAGTACCTCTGGGAATAGAATAGTAGCAGGTTGATTTTCATTATTGTTATTGCTACTATTGAGATCACTCATTCTTAGCTCATTCGTGATAGTAGCTGGATTTGTAGAAGTTGTTGAATCATTAGTCTTTGTGGTTGTCGTTGTTGAATTTGTTCTTGTTGTATTTGTAGTTCCTGTTGTGTTTGTTGAATCGTTGGTGGAGCTAGTTGATTTAATAATGGTAAAAAGTTTATTATAAAATAATAAAAGTAATTTAAATAATATATAAATATTAGAGAATTACATATTTTAATAATAATATTATGAACTTCGAAAACTAGTTAAAAAAATTGTTTTTTTATTTTTTTTAATTATTTTCGTTTTTGCATTATTATATGAAAAAACAATGCAAATATATTGTTTTTCGATATCAAATTAATAATGGAGAGTAATCAAATAGATAAAATATTCGTTAATCTATCACATTTAATATTAAATAAAATAATTAGTTATTTAGATGAAAACATTGACAGAATATGTTTTAGTTTGGTGTGCAAGAGATGGTTCAATGATAGAGATAAATATTTTAATAATTAAATAAAAAATTTTTTTATTTGTTTCGATTGTTATTTATAAGTATATTTTCTCTTTTTGCATTTTATTTTTTCGATTGATTTTCATTTTTTTATTTTATAGTTTATCACTTGTCGAGGATGAATATGAACTTAATCTTCTTTGTAGTTGTTGTCTAAGAATTCTATGTCTGGCGTACAAGACGATCAGTGCAACAGCAAAGATACCACCGACCACCGAACAAACAATGATGACAATCAACTTCCATTTCTCATCGGAGGAACAGTTACTCTTAGTGGTCGGCGATATTAGAGAACTGAAATTTGGATCAATTATGACAGAGTTACGGAATGGCGACGTTTGAATTGCTGTCATATAGAGGAATTGTTGTTTAGAGTCACTGCTGCTGCTTGTGTTGTTTTGTTGTTGCTCTTGGTAGAGTGGATCGTCTTTGCTTAGCGCTACGACACTGCTCTTTACGATACGACTATCGACAATCATGTTCTGTGCAAACTTGGCAGTGAGCGTCGATCCACCACTCTGAATTTGATACCAGGTGAGCGATCCTCCTTGGTTGGTTCCGCTGTCGGCCATCGTGTTGGTGCTGTCGCAATTGAACTCCGATTGGCCGTCGGTCATCGAGCTGTAGATAATCTGAAGTGTGTTCAGTTGCGATTGGAATGTCCAGTTTGATATCTGTATGACATACTTCATGGAGTTGTCAGCCATTTCAATGATCTCACCGGCAAACTCAACGTTCTGGCGTTGATAATAGATTGTCATGTTCAGACTAACGGTAACAGTCTCACCATCAAACTCTCCGGCGAATAGGTAGCTACTACTAGTGTTCTGACGTTTGTACCATTTGATATTGGTCATCGGTAGAGTTTTAATGCTGGTGAATGTTGGATCTATTTCACGGAGATGAGTAATGGCAATGGTGAAGTTGAGACCGCCACCGACAATGATGGTTCCACCGTTTCCATCGGGAATGGGCGGAGTTGTGTTGTTCTTCTTTGGAGTGAGACAGTCTAGTCCTTCCCACTGAGCAGTACAGACACAGAATCCAGTGGCATTGTTGCAAGTTCCACCGTTACTACACTGATGATTACATGGTTGACTTGTGTTTGTTGAGGTGAGGTATGTGAAGAGATAAGCACCGCCCTCCAATGAATCTACGGTAACGTTAACATAAGCTATTCCATTGTTATTTAAAGCTGCGCCATCACCAAAGTTCTTACAAATCAAATTGGTCGAATTGATATATTGAACAGTTGCACAGTTAATTCCACCGATTCCAACGATCAAATTGGTTGTTGCGAAATTTGAACCTGTGATAGAGACATCACCACCGATTTCCTTGTAGATGGAATTCGCTTCTATTACAGTTGGGTATTGGTAGGAGAAATTATAGACATTCGATGACAAGTTGTCGACAATTGCCGATAGACTTAGATATCCCGTTCCAGCTGGAATTGTATATTCAATTAAATAAGACTGTCCGGTTGCATTTGGTGTTTGAATATATGTAAAACTATTCAGTTGGTTTCCATTCAAATAGAGTTTTGGTGATGTTGATTGGTTATTGGTATCCAATTGAGCAAAGTTCCATCCTTCAATGGTAATAGCTCCACCTGTAACCGGAGGACTGTTTACAAATGTAATAGAAGGAATGAATTGAACTCCAAAGGTGTTTGACAGTTGTCCACCAACTTCAACTGAGTAGTTTCCATTTCTAAAAGCGGGTGGTACTTGGAATTGAATGTGTGTATGGTCAACCGTATTGAAAACAACTGGAATGTGTTCACCTCCTTCAGTAAGAATACGAATTGAACTTGGGAATATTCCAAAATTGGTTCCATATACATCAATAACGGTTGAATTTTTTTCGGTATTACTTATAGTTGGATTTTGATAGGTATACAAGAAAGTAAAGATTTGTGTACCAACGAATAAGTTTGTCCAAACCTTTCCAACACCAACAGGAATGTTGGCAAACATTCTTGTATAAGTACTATTCACAATGGTTAGAGTACTCATTCCAAATTCAAAAGTAAGCTGGGTTTTATCTGGGAAGAAATCGGTTCCATCAAATTGTGTTAGACCACCGGAAGTTGGTTGTTGAAGTGGTGACCAGGAAACAATGATTGGCTTATTATACTGATATCGTAAATCGATATTTCCACTTGTTTTCTTTGTATTCTTAAAAGTTATGGGTACAGCTGAATTTCCTCCTACACCTGCTGGTAAAGTAATGGTTGCAGTGGAATGGAGAATATCAATAGAGTTTGGAAGGACTACACCGTTCGAAGTGATATTGACAGTATCTTGATTGTTAGCTGTACCAATATTATTCAATACAACTTGTATGATGGTGCCTGAAGTTGGTATTAGATATAATTGACTTAAAGGTGTAACAGTGAAAACTAAAATATAATTTAAATTAATTAATTAACTATTTAAACTTTTTTTTAAAATAAAATAAACTAACAGAATACTACTTACTATTTGATTGTCCATACATAATATATATACCAGAATAGTTGTTTGCTTGAATATCATTGTTGCTAGTGTGGATGGCACCAAGATTATCTAAATAGAAACGAGAGTTACCAGTTACACCAGCTGTAGAGAGAGTGTTATTATAAAATACAGTTTGAGGTTTTCCAATGTTTGGTCCAACCAAGTTTTCGAATTCGGATGTTGCCGTTGAATAGTTGACAGATTGCCACATATCGAATTTAACACCAGTGAATGAACTAAAATCCTTGTTGATAGAATTTAGAACTTTTTGGGTTGGAATAACACCTAATTGTCCTTGGAGTCCTTCCATATGGATCATACTTGCAAGATTCTGTGCATCTTCATATGTTACATTTGTTTTAATTACAGAATAAAAGAAAGTATCGGTTCCATTAACTAAAATATTCTTGTTAATATAATGATATAATTTGATGTAGATATTCTTAATGCATACTCATTGGGGTTCTATAGAATTTTGTTGTTACTCCACCAGCAGTTACACTTAAAGGGTAAGCCTTTCCAAGATTTTGAGTTTGAATATTAATAGTACAAGACAAGGTGTATTTTGTTCCACCTTTTGGCCAACAATTTAAGCCTGCTGGGATTGAAGCTAAATTAAATGATAAATCCAATCCAAAATTGGTATCAATATTTATATTTTTTCCAGTCATCAAATATTGGTCAGTTCCTTGGTCAATAGCAATATCAATTGATGTTACCCATGGTGCTATTTTTTAAATAAATTTTAAAAAATATTAGAAATAAAGGTTTTAAAAAAATAAAAATTAATAATACATACGCTCAACCATTGACACAATATTGAAAACTGTACTTCCACTTGTTATTTTAATCGAATATAAACCAGGTCTAAAAGAGGATATCATACAATAGGCACTGGTATTGGTTATTGATACAAAAGAATTACAAGAAAAGTTGATACTTGAATCTGTGTTGCACACAGAGTAGACTTTCATAGATGGAATAATACTTGGTGGTAAGTTGTTGATAATGATTTTGTTTTCTGATCTACTTAATAGAGTGACGTATGGATCATTATCTCCGCCCCATTCGCAAACAAAATTTAAAGCAGTGCTTGGATTTTGAGGGAAATACTTTGGTGTGGTTGATACTTGTACTGACAAACCACTAAGAGTTGGATCGAATATTGGATCCTGCCAGATACAATAGGTAAAACATTGATCGGTTAATACATTATATACATTCAAATTCTTTTCTGGACCATTTGAATAGGACCACAGTGGATGACCTATTTTGGAAGTTCCAAGTTTGGTACCAATCCAATAGCTTTGACCAGATACCATAACACCTTTAGATATTAAATAAGCAAGTTCTTCTTGGAATGTTATTGTAGCTAAATAACTATTATAATTATAAAAATATTAATAAATATTATGAAAATAATATTAAGAAATTAAAATTATTTATACCCTTTAGTTTCATTATAAATTTGATTAGAACAAAATGTTTGAGCATCTTGAAAATTCAAAGCATTCGAAAAAGATTGATAAGAGTGATTATTTAAATTATATTTAATAGGTGTTTGACATTTAACAAATGGAATTAGAATTGAGAATAAAAATACAAATAAAAATCTTCTTTTTTCCATTTTTAAAAAAATTATTTTATATAAATCAATTAAATAAATAAATAAAAATAATTAATTAAACATATATCAATAATTATTTATTATTATTTACAATATTGTTATAATGATTTTTGTTAAAATTATTTAATGAATATGAAAAATAATAATGTAAAATCAATTGTTTAATAGAAGGGTTTTTTTTTTTAAGTTATAATGATTCTGATTTCATTAAATGGGAAATATTGGATATATATAATGGGTAAAACAGCAATGACAAAAAAAAATGTAAACTAAATAGGTATCATTAATTCAAGCGTGTTTTGGTTTCCCCATAGCATTAATTTTTTGGTGGGAATGAAAACAACTATCATAATATGTGAACATAGATTTAAGGGTGTTGGGTCCATGAACAAACAAGGAACATGTTCGATTTGGAATGAAAAAGTTTGAAATGACAATCGGAAGAGAACCTATTTATTAATAAGGAGGTGGTTTTTAAAAGAACTTTGCAAATTAATCACTTCAGAAGGAGATCATCTCATTTAATTCACAATTTTTCATGTAATTTCATTAAAGGGCTAGTTAGAAACGATCAAAAAAACAAAAACAACAAAAAAAACAACCCAAAACACCCCCTTAAAATCATTGCACACTTTGTTTTAAGATTTTTCGCACTTTATATGTGGTACTACAATTGAGAAGTTGGCATTGTTTGAGAACTCTGTTCGCAAGTGCCCACCTCATTAATTTGCCCATTAATCTAAAAATATTTTTTTTTTTTCAAACCCCCTTTGCTTTGGAGCAAATAACTTAAACCCAATACTGAGATATTTGTTTTTGGATGCGATCCTAACAAACCACTGTTTGCATTAAAACAACATCAAGTTTATTTTGATTTAATTATATATAATAATCATCCTCATTTGGATTAAAAGTATTAAGTTTTTGATTGTTATACATATCTACAATCTATTTTGTTTTTGATAATTTAGTTTGTTAGTAATGGTGGATGTTAGTTAAATGATATTTGATATTTAACTTACCTGAGAAGTATTAGTTGCATCTTCAGGGTTCTTATCTTCTCTAATTCTAATGAATCTAGGGAAACGAAGAGCAATACCTTTGACAGGATCAAGAGTACCCGCAGCGGCAGTGTGAATTGGTGAAATCGAAAGATCGGCAGCCAACACTTCCCAAACTTGTTTTGGCGAGAACCATACATCTGGTTTCAATTGTTCCGACACACGATACATATTCTTTGGATTCTGAATGATATGTGGAGTCAATTGTTCTGTAAATTGTTGTAATTGTTCATCACTAAATCCAGTACCAATCTAAAAATAAAATAAAAGAGTAGTTTAAATTAATTAACAAAGATTCCATTATAATTATGTTTTTTTTGATTAATCTTACTTTACAAAGAGTTTGGAAATCTTCGTTGTCTTCATCGTAACACGCCAATAGGTATGCACCGTATACACCAGTTCTCTTTCCTTTTCCGTACCATGCACCGATCGGTACGATATCTACGGAATCGGTCATACCCTTGAGATAGTCTTTTTTGATTTTCAACCAGTTGTATGAACGCTTCGATGGTTCATAGATTGATTTCTCCTTGAATGTCTTTACCATCAGTCCTTCGCAGTTGGCCTTGACAGCCTCCTCAATGTATGCCTGGATCTCGGCGACATCAGAGATATTCGAGTACTGAGCATAGGAGAATACACCCTCCGATTCATTGAAATTCGATTTCAATACTTCACGACGACGAGAGAGTTGTTCGTCAATCAGCGACGTTCCATTGAGATACAACAAATCGAATGCGAAAACACACACTGGAATCTTGATTTGATCGAGGGACACACCCTTTCTTGGACGAGAAGAGAGAATCTGGAATGGAAGAATCTTTTTGTTGGTCGGATCGAAAGCGACTGCCTCGCAATCCAGGATGAAATTCTTGACTTCGCTGCCCATAAACTTTGGAATGTTGGCAATGATATCTGGATACTTTCCAGTGTAATCCTCAAGATTTCTAGTGTAGATCTTTACTTTGCCATCGTCGTGACGGTGAATCTGCACACGCTCACCGTCGTATTTATATTCGCAAGTGAATTCGAGGTCTTGGAAACGATCCAACACCTGGGAGATACCGTTGGTTGGTTGGGCGAGCATCGGCTTCACCGGGATACCGACACGCAGCTTACAGGTCTCCAAGATGGTGTCGACACCGTTCTCTTTGAGCAGCAACGGCACCAAAGTATCGTAGTTTGGTGTTTGACTGTAGGCACGAGTGATAGAAGCAATCGCCTTTTCCACCTTCGCTTGGAACTCCTCTGGCGAGATCGATTTTCTCACATCCAACGTATTATCATTCGGTGTAATAGTAATCGCTCTAGAGAGTGCAGTAATAACCGAACCCTCTGCCAAACCAATTCTCAACTTGCCTTGCAAAGAACGGATAATATACATTGCTTCACAGTCCTTACACGCAACCAACAGTTTCTTGATTAAATCTTTCTTTTTATTTTGTGACTAAAGATGTTGTTGATTAGTAAATTGTTGAGAAATGAAACGGTTATATAGATAGATTATAGGTGATACTTTACAGCATTTCCAGTTAGATTGGCAATATCATCGAATGATTTAAATACACTTTTTATGGTGAGGGGTGGCAGTGGAAACATGGTTTGTTGAGTGGTACGCGACGATTGTGCAACGATTCCGAGATCACCAGCATCTTTCGCCTCCTGTTTAATGGAATCCATCGTTCTACCGGTGGATTCAGAAACGGCTTTCATGAGGATCGACTCACCGATTCCCAGTTCCTTTCCGCTGTAGGATGGACCGATTTTGTTGATCGACAAGTAGATGCAGGTAACCAAGTCGGCTGGCGACAGTACGATGACCGAACGGAATAGATTGGTGAGGTTTTCAATGATGAGAAGACGACGACTGGTTTCTTCGATTCTCTCGAAAGTCTTGGCCAACGCCATATAGGGAACGACCTGCCCTTTCTTCCAAGGTGCATCTTTGATTGGATCGTATTTCGAGAGTGCTTTCAACTCTTGTTCCAGTACTTTGGCAGATCCTTTCACTTTGGACAACACCTTTTTACGCACAAACTTAGTCACCACTTTCTTCTCACCTTCTTCCTCAACTTCCTCTTCCACCTCTTCTTCCTCTTCAATCTCTTCCAATACTTCATCATCGCCATCTTCAACTTCATCAACCTCCTCATTCTCTTTAATATCTTCCTCTTCTTCCTCTTCTTTGTCCTTCATTTCTTGGTCAAATTTCTCTTTCTCTTTCTCTACAACTGATTCTTTTGGTGGTATTTTACTTCCAGTTGATTTGGTAACTGCAAATCTATTACCAATTACCAGATTATTATTATTATTATCGTTGTTATTAAGTGAAGTGGTAACGACTGTTTCCGATTTCGATGTAGCTTGTGTTGTTGATTGTAGTTGTTCTGCTTCTGATTTTGGTGGTATTTTCGTTCCAGTGGATTGAGTTACTGCAGTCTTTGTAAAAATTTGATTATCACTACTACCATTATTACTATCCTTTTTATTTGTACTGGTGAAATGCATATCTAATGATTGTTGCTTCTTAGCCGGTGATGTTGTTGAAGTTGTAGTCTCTCCTTTCTTTTTCTTTTCCTTTGTTGTAGTTGCTCTCTTTTTCTTTTCTTTTGTTGAACTATTACTAACATTATTATTATCTTTCTTTTGCTTTTTCAATGGTACTTCTTCTTCTTCTTCTTCTTCTTCCTCTTCTTCTTCTTCTTCTTCTTGATCAACATAATCATCATCATCATCATTATCTTCGGCAATATCTTCATCGTTATCATCATCATCATCATCTTGGATAACATTCTTATTCCTTCTTAATCTACTCATTTTATTATTACTATTATTATTGTTTGTTCCAAATAATTCATCATCGACATTGTCATCGCCATCGATATTGGTTTTAGTTGATTTATTTTCAGCGCCATCATCAACATTATCATCGTCCTCACTAAAAATATCATCTGAATTAAACTTATTCTCTTTTTCTTTTATTTCTTTCTTTTCTTTGGTAGCTACTTTCTTCTCCTTTTTCTCCTTACTATTCTTATTCTTATTATTTGTTGTCTTTTTGTCAGTGACTTCTGTTGAATCATTCTTTCTCTTTACAGAAGTACTACTAGTTGACTTTGTCTTTGTTGGAGTTGTAGGTTTATTACTAACGTCAACTAATAATAATATTGATGCATTAATACTAATTAATAAACCAAAAGAAAATGTTTTAATCTAAAATAATATACCTTTATCTGTTGATGTTGTTGCAGCAGTATCATTCTTTGGTTTATCAGATTTTGATGTCAAAAATGACAACATTGAACTCTGCATTGTTATTACTAATTAACTAATTATAGATTAAAACTATAGTTATAAATATACACTAAAATAAATCAATTGAATAAAATATAAAGTTGAATAATTTACAAAAAAAGATATATTTTAAAGTTTAATGATAAATGAACCGCCAAAAATTTAAATTCATATTAATCAGAAAATTGTTTTTAAAAAATGAACTACATTTTATTTTTTTTTCAAAACCGTGATTAATCTTATCTTTGCTTAGTTGCAATCATTTTTGATTATTTAATAACTAAGTACTTAAAATAAATATGAACAATAATAGTTATAATAATGATAATAATAATAATAATATAAAAACATTTGATAGTTATTTACAAAAGAGAATATTTATAGAATTATTTAATGATAAACTTTATAGCTTCAAATGGAGGTTATCATTGAATTTAGTTTCAAAACGATGGTTTGATTTCATGAAGAGTGAACTATTTATTTCAAAGATAAAAGTTAGATGTGATTATCCACAAATTATACTAAAGAAGAATACAGTAACTTCGAAATCAAATAATAACAAGACGGATCTACTTCACCTATTAAATAATCAATTTTGTATTCTTAGATATTGTAAATTTTTAAATATAAATGTTGGAGGTTGTTCTTCATCCTTCAGCAAGTATCTCACTATTCTTGATAGAGTATTCAGTGCTGATTTTCTAATAGCTACAGCTACCTCAACAACTACAACTACAACTACAACAACAACTACTTCAACTACAGATAAACAGCAACAACAATTTCAATATGAAATTTGTTTTCAGATTGGTGACACCAATAAAATAAGTAGTGACTCTATGTTTGAGTTGTGTAGATTTATCAATCGACACAATCGATCGATTTCGATTGTCGGTGATTTCAGTTTTCCGCTTTGCCAGACATTTCTAGAGAATATCAATGTTCCATTCAGATCGCTGTCTACTTTTGAAATGGTGGAATCGCTAGCCGACCAACCCACCAGAGAAAAGATATTCATTCCGGGTGTTGAGTCGATCGGTTGTTTCTCAATGGATAAACTGAACCAAGATATTCCCTTGGATTTCGCCAACAGCCTCCGGAGTTTCAAATATTACAACATCGACAGCTCAATTGTTCGAGAGTTACAATTCCTTCAGCAATGTAGTCAGCTCACCAAGCTTTTCATCTACAGAGAAACATCCATTTGCTTGGAGTCGATCTTGCAATTCATCAATGGTTGTCAGACTCTGCGCTCGGTACATCTCCACTTGGAAATAACAGATTCTATTCTGTCGGCGATACTACTGAATCCAAACATCAAGAAGTTAGACGTTGCCAAATCCACTGATGATGATTGGCCCGTGGAAATACATGACCGACTCAATGCCAAATATAGTCAACTGTTTGTCGCCAACTCGACTTTGCGATCACTAAAATTCCGACTGATGCGATACAATTTATTTTCAGAGGTTGAAAGATATAGAATCCTATATGATCCAACCAAGTTTGTTACCAATCTCAGACATCTGCGTATCAATTTAATATTACCAGATCACCAGCTGTGGACTCAATCACTAAATACTGTTGCCAATACAACACTTCAACACATAAAACTTGGTGTTGTTTTTAAAATTGGACCTATCGATTTAAAACCATTGATTCCAATTCTATCGCTGCAATCTCTTCGGAAACTGGAAATATCACCTGAAATCACACATAAAATTAATAAACCCAACCGATTTGTTAAATTGTTGGAATCGAATCAATCTATTCAGCTAGTCAACGCTCAAACAATTGTTGATTCAGATCCACCTACACTCATTGTCGTTCTGAGAAAATCCGAACATTTCAGATTAGATGGAATTGCATCGAAAATTAAAGTGAATCCTATAAATAATAATTTCTTTGGTAATTATAAATTATAAATAATACATGTAATTGATACTAATCTTTTTTTTTATCTTAAAATAGTGAAAATCAATCACGATTCTATACAAAAAGAAAATGTTGAACCAAAGAAAGAAACAAGTTTTAAAAAAGCTATATCTTGGTTTTTTAAATAGCAATTTGTTTATTAATAGTAATAAATTTACAGTCCTATTTCCATAACTTTAATTATTTCTATCTTAAATGGATAAATTTTTGATAAATATTGTGATATATATTTTTTATTCAATCAAATGATTGCTGGAACAGTATCAAGTTCTTTTTAGGAAAATGTATGTGTTAAAACCCAACTCACACTTACATTCAACACACACTTACACTACAACACATTCACTTAAGTCAGCCATCATAAACTCAACTAGTTAGTTATGAACATATATATATCATCAGTACAAACAACACAACTTAACAGCTATCAGACGAATGACATCACCCACTCTAAATAGATTACCAACAATAACATCTGTAGTAACCAGTCAACTATAATATTCATGAAGATGTGATGGTAAACAGTAAAACAATGGTGAGTACCATAGTTCGAAAGGTGAGATAATAGTTATAGAGAACAGATAGAACAATTAAGAATCTTTAAGCTATATGCAAGTTGTATTTTAGAACTTTTTATATGAATGAACTTAAGGATATTTTCATAGTTGCTTTTTATAATCAACGTTGTTGAGAAGATAGAGTTGTCTTCAATCTGTATTTATAAATGGTTGAGCCAAGTTTTTTTTTTTTGTTTTTACATTATCCTAAGGATTAATATCCTTGAATACTGACAGTCATGAGCTTGATATTTCCCTACAATTTATTTATTGTTGGAGCAGTTCAGCCACAGGCCGGCTGAGATGGCTATCATTTTTGAGTAAGGGATCATGTTCCCAGAGTCAAGAGTATTTTTGGATGTGTATTACCACTCTTTACTTACAAAAAAAAAAAAAAAAAAAAAAAAAACCTTTATGCGCGCAAAATGGGACCTTAAAACATAAAATCTTGTATCAAGAATGGGAATCGAACCCATGACCCAAACCGTGTTAAGGTTTTGTGATAACCAACTACACCATCCTGACCTTGATGTTTGTTTTATTTCATTTTAAATTTTTAAATTTTTAAATTTTTGAAAATTTTAAAATTTAAAAAATTGATTTTTTTTTTAATTTCCTTGTGAATTCAATCAGATTGCCAGGCTTTTTACAAATTTAAGTTGTTTTTAGTCTTTAGTTGATGTTGATTCTCCTAAGTCGAACTCTGGTGGCAGTAGTTGGAAGTTCTGTGTTGCACCCAATTGTTGCTGTCGAGGAGCATCTGGGCATAAGAAACTGTCTTGAAACATCTTCGGCTTTAGTCTTGCGTGAGTACACTTGACATGGATCTGGCAGTTAGAGAAAGACAACGACCCGTCTTCTTGGTTCCAACCATATTTATGCATTGGTCCGATTGTTTTTGTGAGTTTATTTTTATTGTTTAATTTTTAAACAATGTAAATTTGTTTTGTTTTTTTCGTTTTTGATTGTAGGAATCTTTTTACTATCAACATTTCCATTCATCCTTCTAACAGCCCGCTGTGACTCCCGTCTGGTCTTAGTGTTAACTTACTTTATTATGTGGATTGATACAGAAATATACTAGAATAAGAAATACCTTGGAATATGGAGACTATCAAGAATAATAACTAATCACAAACACTATAATAATCTTACATGTTTGTAACTAATAAAAGTTGTCGTATTTTATTCATATTAAATAACTGCCGTTGAAGATTATCCGTAAACGTTGTAACGTCCTTGTTTTAGAAGTTAATCTAGATATTTGATGCTAACAAATATCCAAATCATCGTGTTTTACAGTATCCATCATTAAATAATTTTTTTATTTCAAAAGAAAACTTTATATTTAATTTATTTAATGACTCTCTTCGAGGATGAGGGATTTTGAAAGTGCTAGAATATTGATAGAATAAGTGAGTGGCGATGATGACCAGTATGGGAATGGATCGGGATTGTATGATGTCCAGTTGACTGGCACACTGGCGTTCATCCATTTCATTGAGAGCATAGCTTGGTATTGGTCGTGTGGAAGCACACCGTTGATTGCACCGACAATTGCATCAGGATCGGCCAGCGTTGGACTGCATGTCGATCCGTTGACATACTGACAGAAGTTCATAGGGTAGTGATAGGGGAATGAAGTCATTCCCTTCATGGAACCACTAAAGAATGCATTGTAAATCTGTGTTTGACTCTTGAGAATGTTATCGACCACATGAGAGACACCACCGTCGACTGCCGCCAAAACAGCTGCCGGTGTATTCGATCTCCAAATACGCTTGACACTGTCTGGCGATGAAACAGTCCAGGTGTCAATCAACACATTCAGCGCAAGTCCACTACTAAAGAAAAGATCCTCGCCATATTTCTCTTTGACTCCAAAGAAAGTGTCATCATTTCCCAAGAAATCATACCAATAGAAACCTCCTTTTCCATTATCTTGCATTCTCGACAAAATTTGATTTGTACCATTATTCATCATTAACTCACGTAATGATACCAATGTATTATATAACTAATAATAAAAAAACAATATATTAATAATCTAAAGTTATTGGTGATTCAATTCTATTATTATCTTTGGATAACTTACGACTGGTGGTAACGCGTTTGGTGAAATTTGATTTTCAGTTTCAAGTAGATCAACAACACGTGAAATGAACCAACTGAAATCATAGATCGATGGATAGTAGAGTAATGCCAAGTCTGGACGTTTATATACAATTTCACTGTTGACTCCCCATTCGATGAGAGAGGTGATCGAGTTGATCATGCGCTCGACGTCTTGGGTGATGAGTTGTGCTCCATTTTGGATGATCGACGATGCCAATCCAAAGAGAGTGTTGATCGATACCGAAAGATCGACATTGTTGACGTTGAATGGCATCTGAAGATATGGGAAGTAAGCAGCTTGCTGTGGAAGACTCATCAACCAGGTTCCAGGCAGCACCAAATCGTCTTGGTTGTTTCCGAGTGCAGTCCAATCCTCGAGGAACTCATGCAGTACATAGTAGGTACGCGGATCAATCGTAGAGGTTGTAACATCGCTTGAGAACGGTCTATAAGCATATCTCAAAATAGTCTCAATCGTTTTGTTGGCATTGGGATTGGCAGCTTGCCAAGTCTTGGAGATGTATGGATGTGTCGCGGCCATGTTGGCGATAACGTTTCCAAGTGCCAAGTTGCATCCAGTGTCGTCGGAATCCGGTGGAATTCTGAATGCCACTTGCAGTGAATCCAACATCTGTTCGAACGCTTTCAAGTCGGTGACGATCTTGTACTTCTTGAAGAGGTCGGCCAGCCAGATTGCTGGATCCTCAAACTTGTTGTATTCATCGACGAGGTTGATGAGATTCGTTGGGAACTCGGTGTAGGTGCCCAGTGATTGGTTGTAAACCTGTGGCCAGAATGTGTAGACACCGGAATCCGAGTCGGAGTTCTTGTCGTGGTAGGTAAGGATGGCGTCGACCGCCATATCCATCATGGTTTCATTGAGTTTGATGAAACCGATTCGCTCCGATTGCAGCAGAGTGTACACAACAAACGTGGTAACAAACATATTGGAATCGGGGATTGCAAACATTCTTCTCAGTTCGGTAACCATTTCGTTGCCACAGAAATTCAAATGAATCTCTGATGGAAACAATCCTTTTTGTTCTGCCCAAGTATCCATAAACACATATGGTTGTGAATTTCTTTAAAAATTGAAATGTTTCAAAACATATTAATATGTTTTGAATTGATATTACTATTAGAATTCTGTATAGAATCTACCTACTTAATCTGTGAATTTTGAACAAATTCCAACAGCTGTTGGATGGTAAAGTTTACTTTGTCGGCAGGCACTGCATCTACATTATAAAAACTACACAGACATGTCAAAAACAGTATCACTGTTATTGACTTATATATTATATGATTCATTGTCTGTAAAAATATATATATCTTTATGGCTAATCTAAAATCTTTTTTCTTTTCTTTCGACAGATATATTTATTATATTATTATTATTTATATATTTAATTTTAGATTTATATTTAAACAACAAACTTATTTCAAAATTGAAAATGCAAAAATCACTTTCTCTTTAGAGGTGATCGTGAGTGATTCCGCACCACTCAACACACAACACAACACACAACTAACTTTTAATTAAAATGACGAATAAAATAAAAATATAAAATAATAAAATAAAATATAAAAATATAAAATAAGTTTGATTATAATATTATTACTGAAAGTTTGTATTACAACAACTATTAACTAATTAGTCAATGAGCAATATAAAATCGGAGTTTGAAATTTCTTTTAACAAAAGTTTTTTAGCAAAATTTTCAATATTTTTAGTTTTTTTTTTTTGATTTGGGATGTTTCCCAATAATTGACTTATGATCACGTGATGTGATATTTTTAATAGAACTAGAATCACGATTGTTTAATGATTTTTCTTATTAGAACATTCTATTTTGCAAATATTATAATCATATACTCTAGAGTTAGAATATATTATTATCTAATCAATTATTTTATTTGCATTTTGTCAAGTACATTTTATTTGTTTAGTATTTTTATTTTACTTTTTGGATAACAAACAATGATAATATTCATTTAATTGAACAATCTTTTAATTACTAAACAAATGTTGGTGATTTCGAATAAATTGATATGTAGTCTATTTTTAAAAAATTCTATTTCTGTTCTTCGATTTTTCCTTACTTTTTTTTAATTTTATCAACTATATCTAAAAACAAAAAATTAATTATCATAACACTATTTTTTCTACTCAATTATTAAGTTATAATAATAATTAATGTATAGATACCAACTAAAACAATTGAATTCAACAAATAACAAATATCCAAAACAAATTAATTAGCAAATGTCAAATATTGCCGTTGTTGTACCTCCACCCTCTGAGAATGATGTTATCATTAAAGTGGAACAACAACAGCAGGAGCAAGTGAATGTTCAACAACAAAAGTTGGAACAACAACAACAACAGCTGTCAATTGATGATGAATCGACAATCGAAAAGATCTATGCTTTTTGGTTTGGACCGATCAGTCTTTGGTCGAAAAACTGTAATCTCAAGACAAAGTTGTGGTTCCGTCGTAATCTCAACACGGACAGTGTCATCAAGCAGCAATTCGAATCCGTACTTCTCGATGTTGTTTCCTCGCAAGCTTCTGGTTCTCTCTACGACCGTTGGATGCATTCTCTCCGTGGAAAGGTAGCACTCATCGTTCTGCTCGACCAATTCACAAGAAATATGTATCGTGCCACTCCCGACATGTTTAAATACGACCAGCTTGCTCTTGACATCTCGCTATCGATCATTGACGACACAACGACAACTGGTTTCCAAAAGTTTCAAGAGAGTTACTCACTTCCCGAGCGTGTCTTTATCAACTTCCCGTTGGTGCATTCCGAGCAGTTGGAGCATGTAGAGCGTGGATACAAGCTGATGACCGACGTTGCTAATGAATCGCAATATCCAAACCTACGTAAACACTACGTGAAATTTGCTCGATCCGCACAGGATCACGTTGAAATCATTCGTCAATTCGGCAGATATCCACATCGTAACCATCTCTTGGGTCGTACCTCTAGCGAAGCGGAAGTCGAGTTTCTCCAAACCACCAAGTACAACTTTGTGAAATCCGTACAACACGCCAATCCCGACAATCCCTCGAAAAAGGAAGATCTACTCGGTATCACCAAACCCAAGGTCAATATCAAGTCGCTGACAACTGAGCCAATCATTATGGATCCAGTCATCTCATCGAAACCAAAGATGAAACTCCTATTCCTACATGGATACAGACAAAATGGTCCAGTTCTAAAGAGAACAACAAAGAAACTTCAAGGTTTCATTGGTGATTTCGTCACTGTTTACTATGCCAATTCACCGCTATCGATCAACGCCGTAAACAACTCTGAGAACAGCGGCTCGTTGTTGACGGCGATGGCCAGTGACAAGGAATCGCATCAAAGACAATGGTGGTCCCCAAGCAAAGACTTCAAGGTGTATCAACACATCGATGCCTCCATTCACTATTTGACACAGTTGTTCAAAGCGGAGGGTCCTTTCGATGGAATCATTGGTTTCTCGCAGGGTGCAACGTTTGCTGGTATCCTCGCAGCAATGCAGCAACAAAATCAGCTGCCATTCCGCTTCAACTTTGCTATTCTCATCTCTGGTTTCCCGTCGCGTGCAGACGTCCATCAGCATCTCATCGTAAAGAACTCGATCGACTTGCCAACGCTCTCTATCTACGGTACCAAAGATGAGATGGTAGAGAATCAACGTACCAAAGACTTGGCAGATCTCTTTGTCAACCCCGAAATCGATGGCAACGACGGTAGCCACTTCTCACCAAACAAATGGCCAAATCATAAGATTAGAGATTTCCTTTTGAAACAACATCTCGGTGATATTTCAAGCGTAACAACAACATTGGCAACAACAACAATCAAATTGAATCCATTAGATACTTTGAATGGATTCAATGAGATTCTCGATGTATCACTTAAGCAACTCGTTGGTAAGATTGAAAACAACCAGGTACTCCCGCTGTTTGGACTGACAGAGTCAACTCGTCAGTTACTTTCTACTTCTGAACACTTCAAATCGATTCTCAACTATGATAATCCAACATTGGCGAGAGAATTGGTTCCAAATGATTCGCTGGCTCTGCTCATTAGAGGAAACGATAGCGAACCATTGTTGGACGAGATTTTAGCAGTGGCATGGTCAACTCGTTACAACTTCAAAACAGAGGAACCAAGAACCACTCCACTCTTTTTCAAACTATGGTTGCATCTCTATCTCGAGAGACCAAATCAACTACTTTCCAGATTGGATTCATTCATTAAATATGGAAACTATCGTGATCTTTCGACATTGGTTTATTTCAGTGAGAAGATCTTTGATGACATCCAAGAGAGCAACATCAAACATCTCAATACTCTAAAGAAAACAGTTGTAAAGATTTTCGCTGATCAACTTACAAAAGATTATCAACTTGTTTTTGGTAGTGCCGCTCAAAAGGATGAACACTCTGAAAGTCAAGATAATGAGGAGGAAGCTGATGTTTGGAGATGGCCATCAAACTGTGCTTTGGAAGCACCAAAGTTGGGTGGTGGAAGAAAAGGTTACTCATCGCAGTTGGCCAAGGAGATTTCAAGATATCTCTTCCCAATGCCAACACTACCAGAGAATGCAACCGACATTCAAATCAACAGAGGCAAGGGTCTCTGCTATGAAAAGTACAGACAAATGGTTGGTAAGCTCAAGAAACTACTGGATATGACTGCACCAGGCAAGGTTGATTACAATGCTCAGGTCGTCGACAAACTTACATATCATCAAAACGGTGCAATGTCAATGACAGAGGAGGAGAGAGTTGAACTTTTAAACTCTAATCCATCCAGCTACGTTCTCAATCCTGAGCCAGAACCAGTGGTTCCATGTCCACTCGATGAGCTTGATCCACTAATCAACTTTATGAACGGTGGTGGTGCACTATCTGACAATGCACCAATGAGATTCACTCGTGGCACTTGTATGCCAGATGGAAGATTAGATCTTTGTAAACAAGTTGGTAAGTTTTTCAATTAAAACAATTAAGGTTTTTCATTATCATGGTATTAATTTTAATATTTATTTAATTAGTTGGTCCAGAGGGAATTCGTCCTTTGTTGGGTGCTATGAAAAAGAGTACTCAAATTAAAAGATTGTTGCTTGGAAACAATATTGTTGGTAATGGTGGTGGAGAAGCTATCGCTGACTATATCCGATACAATGAAGATTCAAAGATTGATACTTGGTATATTGCTGGTAATAACTTTGATGTCGATGGTATCACCCCGATTGCAGAGGCTCTCGAGAAAGATACAAAGGTTAAAGCACTATGGCTAAAACGTAATCCATTGCTGACCGTTGGTGTAAAACCAATTGCATCGATGTTGGAGAAGAATTGTTACCTACAAACATTGGATCTACTCAATTGTGGTATTTTAGATCAAGGTGTAGAGATTTTGTTCAACTCTCTCAGAAAGAATACCACTTTGAAGAATCTTTATATTGATACCAATGGTTTGACAACTGCCAGTGCCGGATATATTTGTCAGCTACTAGAGAGTGGTGAGAATCACTTGGATTCCCTTTATCTCAGTTGCAATAGAATGGGTGATGAAGGTGCCAAGCTGATTTCACAAGGTCTGCTGGTTGACAAACAACTAAAGAGATTGGGTTTAGGTTCAAATGGTATTGGTCCAATTGGTGCCAAGCATTTAGTCGATGCAATTCTCGTCCATCCATCACTCGTCCAATTGAATCTTGGTTTCACTAGAGCTACATTCCAGTTGGGTGCAATCAATAATGTGTTGGGTGACAGTGGTGCTGCTGAAATTGCCAGACTTATCAAAGCCAATACACATATTCGTAGTATCGACTTGACTCACAATGGTATCTCTCAACAAGGTATTGGCATGCTCAAAGATTCGCTCAAGAATAATCTGATCTTGACTTCACTGGCACTGAATCAATTTGGAATGGAAAACAACGATGCCGCCAGACAAGAAATCAACTACGCTCTCGGTAGAAACAGACTCCAATGGGGAAAAGCAGAGCTCAATGGTGAGAATGAAGATTTATGGATGAAGAAAGGTGACCAACTCGCTGAGGAAATCAACACACCACAACACATCGCTGAAATTCTATCTGTTTATAGAACAAAATAAATTTATTAACACTTTAAATGTAACAGATAAATAAAAGTTTCTACTTCAACCATTTTTATTTTAATTTACATTCAATATTACTTATAATGAATCGAATCGGTTTATGGTTGATTGGTGGTGTTTTCGGAAATGGATGTACTGGCATTCTCTTCTTTGATGTCTTTTGTTTCCAAGGATTTCATATGCTTGTTTTCGATATAAAGCATCAAGACGAATCCAGCAACAATACACAAGAAACCTGGGATTGCTACCAATGGGAAGTGAACATGTTTAACAATGATGTCGAATACCAAAGTTGTTGGGATGGTCATCAATTCTCCGGATCTGACAAACAAAGGTGAGGTTACAGAGAGACCCCAATTAATGAGGTAATTCAACATACATGCTACCAAAGCACTCAATGTTATGAAACCAAATGTTTTGAGATCCGGTGTTACCCATGATTCAAATCCAGTGACACTGAGTATGATTAACATTGGAATACCGAAAAGAGTACTCCACACTGCAATGAAACCAATGTATGTATTTACCAGAGTTCTTGGAACATCACCAACAAACTTGGTGGTAAAAACCTCGTACATTGCCCAGAGAAAAGCTGATACAATCATTAGAATGTCACCCAATACTGCTTTAGGATATGCGGAATCCGATGAACTCTTATCTGCCAAAGTAATTCCAATGACACCAGCAATAAATAAACCAGTTGATATACATTTCAAAAGAGTAGGTCTTTCTTTTAAAATTACAATTGAAAAAATGAATACCCAAACAGTTGCCGATTCTTTATAAATAGAAAATATTAAATTAATAAACTTGAGTTTTTTCTAACTGTATTTTATAAACTTACGATAGAGTGCACTTGATGTACTAACTTCAGTTAATGGTAATCCCAATGACCAAATCCAATTTAAACCAACATATAGAAGACTCATTACAAAGGATACAACCATCATTCTCTTAAATGAGAATTTCGATTTAATAAACTCTTGTTTATATAGATCCATTACACTTGGCTCAGCGTTATCATTATAATCGGAATTAAGATTATTATATTGATTTGATAACATCTTAGCTTTTCTATCTTTAATTTGTTGTCTCTTTAATAAACCAAACTCAATAGGAAAAGCAATAAGTAAGAAAAATGTATTATAATAAACTATTTAAAAGATGAAATCAGTTAATATTTAGATTCTAATTATAAAAAAATAATAATAAAAACTTACCAAGGAAATATGGTTTATTATAACTTCCTGAAAGAATATATTGATTTAACTCGCTGATGGCAGAATATAAAACTGTAATTGAAATTACAATTATTATACCAAGAAGCCTCTTTTGTACTACTTTCTTCTTTTCTACATCATGATTGATCGGTTCCTCGAGAACTGGTATTGGCAAAGGCTCACCAAAAGGTGTTATTTTTTCATCTATTATTGATTTCAATATTAGTTACAAAATGAACTTTAATAAAGATTTTATTCAAAAAACAAAAAAACAAAACAAACCTGTATCATTAATAAAGGTTGTAAGTTGCGGAGATGATTTTGCAGAAGAATCCGATGTTGAAGAGTAATATTCTAAACTCGATGGATTGAACCCATCTGAATCAATCAAGGTTTTTGCTTTCAATTGATCATCTTCTTGACTAAATTTTTCTATTTTAGATAAATCCTCTAATCCAATTTGATTATTTCCAATAGTCATTAATTAATAATTATAGTTATTTAAATATGATATGATTTTAGATATTTGATTATTTTCTATTAAAATGTGATTTTAAATAATGAATTTATGTTTTGTACAAAGTACTTTTTCCAAAATATTAAAGATTATATATAATTTGGTTGGTTATTATTATTATTATTTTTATTAGAGGATTGTAAATAATAATGTATGCTTGACTAATTTTGTGTATGTAAATCATTACGGAAATTTCAAAATTCTTAGGATCTTTATTTTATGATCCGTCCAGTCCAAAAATAACAAATTATATAATAAGATATATTTAACAATTTGTTTACCGTAATATTTATCAGGTAGATATATATAATGATGATTCATAGCATAGGTTGAACAAGGTATCTATAAGATCTATGTGGAATTTCAATTTTTTGCGATAGGCTAAATTTTGTTTCCAGACCGAACTAATAATAATTGTAATATAATTTGTACATGAAAAATAGCTATTATTGTTATTTCTACTTTTTAAAGGATGACAACAAATATAAATAGTAAATTTACATTAATATTTTCAACAAATGAATTAAAATTTTTGAAAAGGTGAATATAAATATCCAATTATCAACGAATAAATGAATAAAAGAATGAAAAGAAATAAATGAATGAATGCTTGTTTTCTTTAAAAATTAAAATGTTATGACTCTAATGTGAATAGAAATAAATGTATTTGATAGAAGGGGTATTAAATATTTGAATACATTCATTATTTCTTATTTTTTTTAAAAGTGTGTTGTACATTAATTGGGTGAGTGGTAATTGTAGACCTTTAAAAGATATAAACTGTACATCTTTTAACAAAAATAAAAACAATAATTTATATATAAGAGAGAAGATGAATAAGAACTAAACAAATAAGTATAACTAACTGTTAAATAAAAGGATAGGATTTCATACATTGATAATTTTTAGATCCATTAAGACTTGTATTGTCTCTATGTGATAGCAATGGTTGATTTTCCATATCTTCAAAAGCTATCAAATACTATCTACTGTTTTTTATATTTCTTTAAATAATTAACTTATCATCTATAAATTGTTATGTTCAAACAACCGCGAATAAATATAACAAGTATATTATAGAATCAGTATTATTAGAAAAAAAAAATTAAAAAAAAACATTGTAAAAATAATCAATCTTAAAATTAAATTGAGATTTTGGTAAAAAAACTTAAAATATCTAATGGGATTTGTTACTTTTTTTACCAGGATACGAAAAATTAATGCATTAATTTTGCAAAACTGGTCAATTGCTTTTTCGTGTAAACAACATTAATTTAATTGAATTTATTTTCAAACTTGGCAAATACCATCTTGAATTGTTCCCAAAACACTAATGTCTATAAAAAAAGGAGATAATAGATATTGTTAGATTAAGCTAATTCTGTTTGTTTATATTTGAATTTTGATTTGATTTGATTACTTACAAATATTGTATGTGGACCTAATCTCAGATAATGAGCTAAAAATCCTTTATATAATGCGAAAAATCCTTCAACTTTGACAGTTTTATAAATACAATCCATTAGACTCTTGTACTTCTCACCATGAGTGTTTCCTTGACCTTGGTAGTAGAGTCTGGTTCTTGCTACATCGAATGGATTCATTCCCACCGTTACAAACAAACCTGCTACCAAACTAGATAACAAATGTGCATAGATATCGTCTTCCATTCCAGTTTTATTGATAATGAATCGTTTCGTCTCGAAATAGGTAGATAGCTGTATCGATGATCCAACTGCTGTTCTCTGTGCAGATGTAGCCATACCCTAGAAATAATAATAATAATAACAAGACAAAGAATTAACCAATTGAAAATAACATTAAAATAATAATCATAATAGTTAACAATCTCATACTCTTGTTAAACCTCTAAAACCTTCGGTTCTTATGATCTGAGCAAACGCTCTGGATGTCGATGTGTAGTTACTGAATTGTGGATCGTTAGGGAACATCCTTGCAGCTTGCATTCTAACTTTTACCAGGTCGAAAGGTGATCCCATCGATGCTCCGAATGCACCGGCCAACGCACCTGCCGCCAAGTTCTTGATAAAGTAATTTTCCTTCTCTGGATCGGCGCCGATCAATCGCTTGATGGCATCGTACGAGCCAAGTCTGCAACCGTTAAGAGTACCCTGTGAAAGATAAGCTGGGAATAGACCACGTTGCATTCCTATCAGTCCTTCGGCCTTCCAAATCTTAATGAAAGCATCACCGATTCCCGTGTAGACTCTGGCCGACATCTTTAGTTCTCCCTGTAGTTGTAATCTTGTTTTCACCAACTCTATAGGATTTGTAACTAAAAAGAACAGATAATCTAAAATCAATCAAATCTGAACCTAAATCGAATCGAATCGAATCGATCGAATCCGATAGCGTTTGCTAAAGACATACATGTTGTAGCAACCATTGATGCCAAACTACCTGAAAGGAAACCAGTGATCACTTGATAATTAGATGGTTCCTTACTATCGATATTACTATTGTTTACGGTTGATGATGATTTTACATTTGTTTTAGTTGAACTACTATTATTGGTATTGATAGGTATTTGTGGTGAAACACTAGACATTTTTACTATGATATTATAATCAAATATTTATTCTATTATAATGATTGATATGATTTTATTGTTGATATGATGATATTATTTTTATAGTTGACTAATAAGTTTATTACTATATAAATAATATTGTCGTTTTGATTAAAAAAAATAAAATAAAAACACACTGACTGTTTTACTTTAATAATCCCAAAAGTGGGGTAAATTTTTAATATAATTTTCAGATTTTTATACAAATTTAATGAAATTTCGTTTTTTTTTTTTTATTATTAATCACCAACAATGGTGATTCTTTTGATAAAACTAAGAAAGTGTCGTCATTTATATTTTAAAAAAATAATAGTTGAATAAAAATATTTTATATATCTCTTAGACCTTTTTATTTAATTTAAATTCTAAATCTATTACAAGTCACACTGAAACCTCTCACTCTTTGTAGAACGTTATAAATCATATTCAACATGAGAAAAATGGTATAAAACCAGTGAAAGACAACTTTTAATAGATTTAGAATTTAACTAATATATAATAAGTTAAAAGTGATACATAAATATTTGAATTGAATTTTACAATTAAATTGATAAATAAATAAAAAATAAGAAGGAACTTTTTTTTTAATTGTTTTTTTTTTTTTGTTCAAAATGATTTTCAAGTGTGAAAACTACCAGCCAATAACCACTTCACCAGTGTCATTTTGTTCTTTATTTTTTGATTGAAAGAGACACCCGATTAAAAAAAAAAAAAAAAAAAAAAACTAAACTTTTTTAAAAAGGACACATTTTTGTTTGTTTTTTTTTTTTTTTTAATTAATTAACAATACATATTTGTTGTTGTTGTTGTCGTTGTGTGTTGTTGTGTTTTTTGAATCGATATTTGTTTTGCAGATTCGATATCTCTCTCTCTTTTTATCTATTTATATAAATATATATATATCTTGCAATAACATTATTATTATAACATTGACAAAAGAAATAAATAGAATGCAATCATCATTATATCATTCTGGTAGACAACTTGTCTCAAAGTCAGCTCAATCATTGGTCAGACGTTCATTCTCAACCAACTCAAAGACATTCATTGTAAGATCATATGATTATAATGATAATGATAATGATGATGATTCAATTCTGTTCGAATCCTCTAATAACAATGCAATTGTAATTGAATTATTAATAGGGAAATAGAGATATTCAAACATCGGATCCAGAGATTTTCGATTTGATAAAGAAGGAGAAAGAACGTCAGTTCAATGGATTGGAGTTGATTGCATCAGAGAACTTCACATCGAATGCAGTGATGCAAGCATTGGGATCGTGTTTCACAAACAAGTACGCAGAGGGATTGCCAGGTGCTCGTTACTACGGTGGTAACGAGGTGGTCGACGTACTGGAAAACCTCACTATAAAGCGTGCTCTCGAGACATTCGGTTTGGATCCAAGCGAATGGGGTGTCAATGTGCAACCCTACTCTGGTTCCACCGCCAACTTTGCAGCGTACACCGGTCTGCTAAAGCCACACGACAGAATCATGGGTCTCGACTTGCCATCGGGTGGTCATCTCACTCACGGTTACCAAACCGACAAGAAGAAGATCAGTGCCACCTCGATCTTTTTCGAATCGATGCCCTACCAAGTCAATGAAACCGGCTACATCGACTACGACCGTATGGAGTACACCGCCAGTTTGTTCCGTCCAAAGCTGATCATCGCCGGTGCCTCTGCCTATCCACGTGAATGGGACTACGAGAGAATGAGAAAGATCGCCGATAAGCACGGTGCATTCTTGTTGTGCGATATGTCGCACATCAGTGGTTTGGTCGCCGGTAAGCAAGCGGTGTCGCCATTCCAGTATTGCGACGTCGTCACCACCACCACACACAAGACCTTGAGAGGACCGAGAGCAGGTCTCATCTTTTTCAGAAAGAGCAAGAGAAAGGATGCCAAGGGCAATTTGATCGATGACGACCTCGAGAATCGTATCAACTTTGCTGTGTTCCCATCGTGCCAAGGTGGTCCACACGAAAACACGATCGCCGGTATTGCCGTCGCTCTCAAAGAAGCTGGTTCCGCCGACTTCCACGACTATATCAAGCAGGTGCGTAAGAACTCTGCTGCCATGGGTGACGCACTCAAACAAAAGGGATACCAATTGGTGACAAGCGGAACTGACAACCATTTGGTACTCTGGGATCTCCGTCCACAGGGAATCACCGGTAGCAAGATCGAGAAGGCATGCGACGAAGCCGCCATCACTGTCAATAAGAACGCTGTCTACGGTGACACCAACGCTATTGCACCGGGTGGTGTACGTCTCGGTTCGCCAGCACTCACCTCACGTGGACTCAAAGAGAAAGACTTCCAACAGATCGTCGAATATTTAGATCGTGTCGTCAAGATTTCCATCGCCATTCAAGATAAAGTAGGAAAGAAGATGCCAGATTTCCAAAAGGCTATTCTCGAAAGTCAGGAACTCAAGGAACTAAAAGAAGAAGTACATAATTTCTCAAAACAATTTAACATGCCAGGATCAGCTGAGCTTTAAAAACAAAAATATATATATTTTAAATAAAATAAAAAAACAAATAATAATAACTAAAAAGTTAGACATGTTATCAATCTCACGATCGTATTTATCTCAAATAATAATAAAAAGATAAAGAAAAGATGTTTTTGTTTTTATATTATAACAATTAATTAGGTTTGTATTTGGTTTTGTTTTATTATATATTTACATGAGGATTCTACCAATTGTGAAAGGTATTGATGCGCTTGCGAACAAAAATGGTTAATAAATATGAGTGGCATGCCCTAATACAAATATAATTTTAGAGTTGATTGTTGTTGTTTGTTGTTTGTTGTGAAGGTTGTTGGTAGTTGATTGATGGTGGTGTTGGAAAAATAATTGAAAAAATAAAATAAAATAAAATAAAACAGATTTACACTTTTGTTTGTTTTTGTTGGTTAAGAGTGATGTTGCTGTTGATGTAGTTGTAGTTGGAAGGAGGTGCTTGGTTGAATCTCTGTTCTTTTTTCTGTTGGTGGCTGATTCTTTCAAACATTGAAAGGAAAAACAACCAAACAGGAAAAAAAGAAACTTTTTATAACTTAAGGTTCGGAAATTGTATAGGTATTATTACTTTGTTAGAAGTGATTTTGAGATAAATAGCAGTAGATTAGAGTAGAGTGAAGATTTAGATAATTTGATTTGTTGTTGTTTGTTGTTTTTTTTTGTTGTTGTTCAGATGATTTTGTTGTTGGTTGTTGTTTTTTTTTTTTTTTTTTTAATTACATCTTTGTTGACTTTCTCTTCTTATTTACTGTCTTTTCGAGCTTGGCTTCTTTCTTCTTTCTCTTTTCAATACACTTGTTGAGCTCTTCGATGGTATTGGTGAGGTAGGAACTGTGTGGAGATAGACTCATTCTGTGACGCTCCCATTTCTCGAGGGAGAGATCGTTCTGGAGCAAACCTTTGACGGCAGATTTTCCAAAGAGATCCATCTTGGAGATGGCGGCCACTCTTGATGCGTTGTTCTTCTCGTCGTCCCATTGTGGCATCCTCAGTGCGTATGGCAATGCCTGGATGACGTATTGGAGCAGTGTGGACCATGCGGATTTCTCTTTGAATTCCTCACCGTTCTCGACGAGTGCTTTCTTAAAGTTGGCGAGACCACTCTTGACGCGATTGTACGAGAGGTTATCGAAAACGAATTTGTTGTTGGGGAAGAGTTTGTTGTACTGCTTCTGGAGAGAGTCGAGCTCCTCCATGATCTCATGTAAATCGGGTGGTGGCATGGCGTTCTCAAACTCTTGTTGGAGGTCTGGATGCATCGATTGGAAAAAGTGGGAGCAGAGCGAGACGAGTTGTTCTTTGGTGAGTGAGTTGAGTGAGCCTTCCAGTGGACTGCAGGCGGCTTTTCCACTCTTGGTGGTCTTTGGTGTGGCGGTCTTGGCGGTCGAGCCTGGGTTTCCACTCTTTTTGGACTTGGTCTTTGGTGAACCGACTTGGGAGCCACTGGATGCGTCGTCTACATGGTGGCCACCACCGTTTGCATGTATTATGGATTGATCGTTCATATCGTATATTGGCGATGGCAGAGAATCTGACGACGATGGCATTTGTGAAATATTTTGTTGCGACAATATAGAGGCAACACTATTTTGGATTTGTTGTTGAGATTGTTGCTGTTGTTGTTGTTGATTCGAATTTTGTGCTTGTTGTTGTTGTACTTGTTGTTGTTGCTGTTGATGAGCTTGTTGTTGTTGGTGAGCTTGTTGTTGACTTGAGATACCAGCGATATTGGCTAGTGTCTGATGGTGGTGTAATTGTTGTTGGTGGTGATGTTGCTGTTGATGATGATGTTGTTGTTGTTGATGGTGTTGTTGTTGTTGGTGGTGATGCTGCTGTTGTTGTTGATGATGATGTTGTTGTAGCGACATCGAGTTTTGCTGGTGCGATGGCAGTGAGAGTGGCGGCAACGAGTTGGAGACGGTGGCGGGCGACGACGAGGGCGATGGAATGGGTGGAGTGACCGGACCGACATGTCCTTGGATCGAGTTGATATCCAAGATATTTGGGAGCGAGTGGTGGTAGAGACCACCGTTGTTCATTTGACTACCATTGAAGTGGTAGCCCATATGCAAGGGGGGAGCCATGCCTGGCAACATGAAATTGGCAGAGTTCAACATGGTATGACTGTTCTGTGGAGGTGGCGGAGTATTGGATGTGGAGTCGGTAATACTGTTATTATTGTTATGAATAATGGATGATATATAAGACATAATTTAATTTTAGTGTAAGGTTTGATCGAACAAAGCAATGGGTCAGTAACTAAAGTTAACTATTTTTAGGATAGTAGTACAACAATGTTGTGAAAGTGCAGGGGGAGAAGAAGGGGTGTGAAAGGTTTTTTTTTTTTTTTTGTCTATATTAAGAAATAAAGAGTGATGTAAGAAAAACAAGATCGACCAATAAATGCTTATTGAAATTGCTTGATTAGCTAACTAATTAATTGATTGCTTAACACGCTAGACACACTCACACACTCACATACACAATGAAAAAGAGCAGCAACAAATTTGCAGGTGAGGTTAACAATTGTTGGGTGTACGAAAAGCGTAATTGTTGTTGTTAAAGAGTTGTATTGTTGTTTATTTGTGGTTGTTGGTTGTTTGATGATGTATTATTATTGAAAGGGGTGATTGTGTGGGTTTAGACTTATAATAGTAATTGATCACTTGACACTCTTGTTTGGTTGGTCAATCAAGAGGGAGGTGGTTGGTTTGTTTGTCTCGTTGAAGTAATCAATCAATTAAACAAACAAGCAAGGAGAGAGATGAGGTGATAAAAATTTTATTTTACTAAAAAAAAAAAAACCCTATTATTGTTTTATTGTTTGTTGTTAAATTTTATTTTGGAAAAGATAGGGGGATATATATTATCGATGGTGATTGTTGCAGTGTAGTACTAAAAAAGAGTAGTATTAAGCTTTTTAACCAAATTTATTATTGTTGTTGTGTTTTTGGTGGATGTGATGATTTATTAAATATTTAGTAGTTTGTTATAGTAGAATTGTGGTGTGCCTGTAAAATTCTAATGTGAGTGGCAGTAGATGATGTGACAGATGGTCTTTTGTTTCATAAAAAAATTTTGTTTTCAAAAAAAAAATTAAAAAAAAAAATAAGAAAAAAAAATTGAAAAAAAAACAAAAAAACAATGAGACAAGTCTCTCTTGTTTCCGTTGTTGTCTTTGTTTTTGAGTTGTGTGTGGTCAATATATTCTCAGTAATAGTGTGTGCGTTGTATGGCGATGATGGTTGGTTGATTGTTATCAATAACAAAATTAATTAAATTTCCAACCTTTTTTTTTTTTTTGTTGTGTTGATTTTTTATTTTTAAATTTTGCTCTTGTCTTTTTGCTTGACTGACACCATAATATTATTTACATGGGTCAACAGTGAGTGCACTTAGCAATTAACAATTTACAAAAAAAAAAAAAAAAAGCAAAAAGCTTGCAAAAAAACAATGCAAAACAAAGTTGATTTCAATTATAATTTTAATATTTTGCGAGTACCTACTGCGTGACGATAAAGAGAGGATAAGGTTTTCAAACAAACAATTTTTGTTTTAAAAGTATGATGGTGTAGGGATATGCAATGAAAGAAATTTGTGAACAAAACAACTTGCGGACATGTCAATATCGAAAAAAAGAGGTGAGGTAGGTAGGGGGTTTTCAAAATTATTATTGGTCACAATAGAGAATATTAAAAAAAAAAAAAAATCAATTTTAAAAAATTATTGTTGTCGATATTGTTATTTCATAATAGGTTTTTTTTCATGTTGTTCTTACATTCAAATACTAATATTTTTTTCTTTTTTTTTATTTTTGTTATTATTATGTTGTTGTTTGTTATTCTTGCTGTTTTTATTTTGTTGTTGTTGTTGTTGATATTTGTGAAACGAAATCTCTGTTGGTGAATGGGGGCTGTTGTATTGGCTTTGTATAGAAGTGCTCTCGAGAAATTTTTGACCAAACAAAAATATTGAAAAAAATTATTATTATTGAAAGTGACTGCCAGTTATTATTAAAATGATTAAAATAATATTATCACAAATTTAATTAATGTTTTTGTTGTTTGTTTTTTTTTTTTTTCACATTTATTTAAATTATTTAATTTCAAAATTTTGTTGTTTGTTGTTTTTCAATTTTGAGTTTTCGATACGATGAATTCACATTGGCGGGGGTGTCAGTAGCATCAGTTTTCAATAAATTAGTTGAAATTTTTAAATAATTTCTTATATACCTGAAATCTAATTCTGTTTTCAAACACACCAAACTGAATGCACGTGGCGGGGTTTTCAAAATTATCGGATACAAAAGGTGTGTGTGTGGTGGTGAGTGGTGGTGGGGGTGTGTTAGTCTCTCATTAACCTAACTACATGAGCAGGTGGTTGTGGTGGTGCAAGTTAAGATGATTTTTTTATTTGCACCAACTGAACAACCACACCTTAATTAATATGTTGAAAACACAACAAATAAATAATACCTGCTCTGTACACACAGATAAATAATAATAAAAGGCAACCAGTAATATAGTTGTACTAACAACACACACACACACACACACCAGAGGTAACAACAACTGCTTGCAGGCGTCAAAACCACCTGCCCATAACCCTCTATTAATACTAATGTTTTTGATTTTAATATAAAAATAAACAAAAAGAGTAGTAGTAGTTGTTGTGTTGTTTGGTTTGTTTCAAAAGTTTCTACTTATTATAAAAAGCCATTATTTACATATATATTATTTTATATAGTATTTTTTTTATTTGTTGTTGTTGTGTGTTGTTATTGTTGTTGTTGTCATTTTTAAATGAGTGGGTATTGTTAATGATCTCTTTATCTAACATTGGAATAGTGTTCACTAATTAGTGGGCATCTAATTATATATCTTAATCAAAAACATTGACTGTGTAGTGTTAATGAACAACATTCATATTATAATATATATATTAAAATAGTTAGTGTCATATTATATTATCATATTTTATATATATGTTGGTATCGATTGTAATTACCACCTACCTATTGGGGGTAAGGATAAAGAGTGTTATTGTCGTTATTAAATTTAATAACAATAATATACACACACCTCCACCACCACCACAGGGTTGGTATATGAAATGAATTTTGTGTGTCTAATGATTGTATTTGCATAGTGAGGGAGAAGTCAATTGGCAAAGAAAACAATACTGCTCTGTAATGACATGGAGGGCAGTAGTTACTAAGATATTTAATGGCGCTCGACGAACGAGCGGACGTCATTACTTGTTTTAGATATATTACTACTATTAGAGTGATATATGTTATATCAGAAGCGACTACCACTACTTTCATCAATCACTTGCACACCTCCATAACAATCATCATTTATTTAATGATGAATCATTGGTTTTTGTTTGTAGCTAGCTGTAGAAACATAACATATTATCATTATCATCATTATTTTTCAAAATGTTGCAAGCTGAGCTTTTTAAACTAATCTAAACAAGCATTCTATTCATAAACAAATAATCAAACATTTGCCAAAGAAAGGAGCAAGTATATTATATTTAATGACCCACTTTAACACACACAACTCACTGTTTATCAAACAAAGCATACTACCACTACCTGACACGGTGCCAGTATTATTATTATTGTTATTGGTTGGTCGGTGTATATATATGAGTGAGAGTGTGTTGTGATGTGTGGTGAGAATACAATACAATACAATACCATATAATTACTGGTATGCAAGTGAACATTCGAATTGTTGCTCAAAGTACTCCAAAGATGCTATTGTAGTATTGGGGAGTCATTCTATACTATTCTTATGCTCTTCTTCTTCTTTTTTTATTCTTCTTTTTTGATGCATCATTTTATATACATAATGTGAAAAGGTGTTGTTTCAATGCCAATGGTATCAATTAATCAATCAATCAATAAATCAAATAAATCAATAATCAATCATCATTATCATCATCAATCAATCTATAAATGTAAGTGTGATGTAATCATCACAATGTAAAGTAAATGTTATTATTAGATAGATAGATTGACTGATTGATTGGTACAGTGTATATAGATTGATAGACAGATAACAGACACTTTCTATAATTAATTCATTCATTTTCAAATTCTGATGATTGATTGGTTGCTTGTGGTCGTTATGGCTTACAACAACAACACTTTTATAATATTGTAAAACAGGTGTAGATTGATTACTGTATTTGATTGTCGTTGTTGATGATTCTTTGCAATTTACTTTAATAATTGAATTCTATAGATGAAATAGTGACAATAGTAATGCAACACACAAAACGAGCATAATTTATATATATGTATACAAACCATTTAATGGTGTAGATTGATAAAATGAGTCTTTTTTTAACTCTCTAATATATTGAGCTTTCTATAGATATGGGTTTCCAACAATACTTTCTATATTGGGCAAGTACTTTAGTACTACTACTACTCATCTCTGCTTTAGATTTATTTTAAAAAGGTTAAATACTGTACTGATTGTCATTTAATGGGTCAGTGGTAATACACACTATTCTATTCTACTTTTTTTTTTTAATTTAAATATTCAACAACAACAATAATAATAATCTTAATATTATAATGGTATTAGTTTTTAATTGTTTGTTTAATACATCATCATTTCTTCTTTTTAATTAAATCATACATCATCAAACACACATGTTGGTGTCAAATTTTCAAAGCATTATATTATAATAATCAATTTGAATTTTATGATTGATATTTAGTATAAAGAAGATATGAAAGTAGTAAATAACAGGATGTTATTGACAACTAGTGGTTTAAATTTAGAGTTATTATAATAATTCTAGATGTTTAAGTATATGTATGGTGTGATAGATTTGGAAGGTTGATCAAATGTTCGATCAACCATCTTTTTTTTTTTTAAAAAATCACTTAATATGTGCAATTATTTCTACAAAAAAAATAACCACCCAAATTTGCTTCTACAGATAATCTATTTTTTTATCTTTATCTTAAACTTTTAATATTATTGGGAGTATATAATATCATTTCGGCAAGTTTAAAGTTATAACTAACTAGCTAACACACATTCAATTAAACTCGTTGAGTAAAATACATCATTAAATAAAAAAATAAATTTAAATATATAAAATATTAATATTATTAAATAAAGAACTTCATAATAAAATTATTATTATTTTGATTCTATTATTTATTATTTATTTATTGCAATGATAATTAAATCATGAAGTTAAATAAATTCAAAGTTTTAGAAAAAAAAAATGATGTCATTTTCTGGGCGATTTCATTTGCAAATAAAAAAAATGCATGTATTTTTCAAAACCAAAAAAATATCACCAGACCAAACAAAAATGGGAAAAATTTTGGTTCCGAAAATGCAATTTCAATCGTTGCAATATCTAAAAAAAAGCAAATTACTTTTTTTTTTTGCAAATTTCAACTTATATTCCCGATGATATCATAATAAAATTATTATTTTTTTTTGGTTTCAATTTTTTTCTTTTCGATATGTTTTAATAGGTTTGAAATAATCTATGTCAAAAGATAAGAAGGGGTACCTTTAAAAACAAAAAAAAAAAAAAAAAAAACAAATTATTTTTGAACACAATATATGTGTGTGGTTTTGAGTAACTTTCTTTCGACATACCATTCCAAATTGAGTGATTCCTTACGAAACTATTCATTTAATATTATTTCACATTGTTGTTTTAATGTTTATTAGGCGCACACCAAATCAGTCAATTTCATTTAAATTCCATTTTATATCTCTGCTCTGTTGCTCTACACAAGTTTGTTATTTTCAGTAGTCAGTCAAGTGTAAAGTTAGTTCAATTTAAGTCTTAAAGAAAAGAGGATTCGAAAACAACAACAACAAACACCATTATAATTCCTCTCCGCTCTTACAATTCATTGGAATTGGTGAATCACCTGAATAAACAACAACAAAAAATCTAATAATCATTTCGAATTACCTAAAGTAGTCATTTATATTACTATTTTTATTAAAAGTTATAACTTACAAATATCAATCATCAAGCACACACACACACTTTTTTTATCACACTGATAAAATTTATATATAATTTTTTTAAAAAACAATCATTTTTTAATCAAATTTCATCAATACATATATATATATATCTTACATTATATTCATATAAAGATAGATAAGGATAAACTATGGATAGTGTAAATAGAAGAATTTCGAATATCGAACAACATTTGTCGGTTAATAGTTGTTCGGATGCTGTACAGACCTCGGGAACATTGGAACCGGTCAGACCGTTCAATCCCGACAAGCTGTTTGAGTATCTGTTTCCACACCACTTGGAGATGCGTCGCCAGTTGATTGCAGAGTTTGAGGCACCAGAGAATGAGTTGATGCAACGTGCACCATTCGGTTTGTCATATACACAGGAGCGTGACCTCACCATGGAGCAAACCAAACGTCTGATAGAGATTGCCAAGCGCTATGTAAAGGTGATCGACTTTGTTCGCGATCCAACTAAAATTGCCGCATGGACACAGTCCTATCGTATGCGTAACATCGCCACAACCACTCTGTTCGGTGTGCACTTCTCGCTGTTTGGAGCAACGATTCTGCAGCTCGGTACCGACGAACAGCGTGAAAAGTACTTGAAACACGTCGAGGACTTCTCAATGCCAGGCTGTTTCGCGCTCACCGAACTCGGCCACGGTTCCAACGTACAGCAAATCGAGACACTCGCCGTCTACGACCACTCCACCGAGGAGTTCATCATCAATTCACCAACCATCACCAGTCAGAAATACTTTATTGGTGGCGCCGCCAAGAATGCGCGTTGGACCGTCGCTTTTGCCCAGTTAAAGGTTGGCGAGAAATATGAGGGAGTGCACGCCTTCCTCATGAGAATCAGAAACGAAGACGGATCTGTCTGCAATGGTGTCAAGATTGCCGATTGTGGTGTCAAGATGGCGTTGAACGGTGTCGACAACGGTCGTCTCATGTTCACCAACTACCGAGTTCCACGTGACCAACTGCTCTCCCGTTTCGGTGGTGTCAACAAAGCCGGTATCTACAGCTCGCCAATCAACCCAGCAATCAAGCGTTTCGCACACAACATCGGAGCACTCGTCATCGGTCGTTATATCATCTCGATTGGATGTATCAGTTTCTCAGCGGTTGGACTTCAGACAGCGATCAACTACGCATTCACAAGACGTCAGTTTGGTGAGGACAACAACGAGCGTCAACTCATTACCTACGCCGTCCACCAACGTCGTCTCCTCCCACACTTGGCATTCAACTACGGTATCCACTTTGCCAACGATTATCTACTGCGTCTGCTCGCAGAGAAAGAGAATAGAAAGGATAAGGAAATCCATGTTTATGCATCGGCGCTAAAGGCATACTCGTCGTGGCACAACAGAAACTGCTTGCAAGATTGTCGTGAGGCGTGCGGTGGACAAGGTTTCTTGGCTGACAACCTGATCGGTCCATTCAAGTCAGAGACCGATATCTATACAACATTCGAAGGTGACAATGTTCTGATGTATCAACAGGTCGCCAAATATATTCTCACAGAGGCACGTCGTAAGCCACCACCCGAATACAACCCACCCTCAGATGCATTCCGCGCCAAGACCGACTCGAAACACTTAAGATCCTTCGATTTCCTCTTACAAGCAATGACAGCACGTCTCAACCAATACGTTGTACTCGTTGCCAACAAGCTGATGGAGGCAGTCGGATCCGGTAAGCCAGTGATGGACGCTTGGAACGACTGTGGTAGTTATATTCTGAATCTCGGTATCGTATTCACCGATAAATTCATTTTGGAGCGTTTCATCGAGGGAGTCAGTAAGTGTCCCGATGACAACCAACGCAAGGCAATGTCATTGCTACTCAGCCTCATGGGATTGTTTATCATCAACAGAGACACATGGTTCATCAAGTATCAATTTATTTCAGTCGATCAATCAGATGCCATCGAAAACGAAATCTCTGATCTTTGTAAAGAAATTGCACCAATCTCTATAGCACTCGCCGAAGGTTTTGGATTCTCAACAAAGACAATGGGTCCAATCGGTAGAGATTGGATTGCTGAAAATAGATATTGAAACATATTATTTCAAAATACTATAAATATATACTTGTTATTATTATTAAAAATAAATTTATAATCCATTTAAATTATATAGAAAATTCTAAACCAAAAAAAAAAAGTAGTTCTCCTTTCATTATTGTGTGTTTTGTTACTTGAAAATATCTGTTAAATGGTTGTGCAAGATCAGAGTGGGCGACCACAAAAAAAAAAAAACAAAAAAGCCTTTTTAGTTCGAAAAATGAAAAACACAAAAAGATTTAATTAATTTAGCAAAACTTGAATGAAACACAACTTCACACACCTTTATCATGACGTTTTTGATCAAAAATTATAATAATGAAAAAAGAATCAGCAAAAAAAAAAGAAAGGTTTCTCAAAAAACTATTTAATGCACTCCTGAGAAATTTTATTGTTTAGTGTTTAGAAATTAGATATCAATAAAGTTAGAAATGGAACCAATCGTTAATGAAAAAGTATGGATTATCACTGGAGCTACTACAGGTTTCGGTTTCATCTTGGTTGAAAAGTTACTCACTCTCGGTCACAAAGTAACTGCCACCACCAGAAACAAAGATAAGCTCAACCAAAAGGTCACCGAACAATTCAAGGAGAAGCCAGAGGTCTTACAAAGATTCTTGGCTTGTCAAGTCGATCTCTCAGATCTCAAGTCAATCGAAGCTTGTATTACCCAAACCGTCGAGAAGTTTGGTCGTCTCGATAATCTCGTCAATAACGCCGGTTACTTCACCTTTGGTTTGGTAGAAGAAATCTCCGACAAGGAGTTCAGAGAGAACTTAGAGGTATATATCTAGAGAGAATTTAATGATCATTAAACACTTTTAAATATTGATTTAATATTAATCTGTATAAACAGGTAAACTTTTTCGGTCCAGTCAATTTCGCCAAGTTGGCTTTGCCACACCTCAGAGAGTCAGCCAAGACCAACACCACTGGTCCAAGAATCCTCAACATTTCTTCTATGTTGGGTATTTGGGGTGAACTTCCAGGTTTTGTTTCCTATGTTTCCAGTAAGTTTGCACTCGATGGTTTCTCTGAAGTCTTACATGGTGAACTCAAACCATTGAACATTCACGTTACCAGTGTCAAGCCAGGTATGTATCATTACTAGCAATTTAAAAAACAACAACAAACATTTAAATTTAAAAACTAATTAATAATATTCAACTAAATAACTAGGTGGTTTCAAGACTGAAATTCTCATGGCTGAACCAAATATTTCTGCTTTCCACCCACATCCAAGTGGTGCCTATCCAAATATCAACGAGGAGTACTGCAGAGGTTTGATGGTTTCATTGCAAAAGGGTGATCCATCGAAGCTCTGTGATATCTTGATCAATCAATGCAATCTTCCAAACCCACCATTACATTTGATGATTGGAGCTGATGCCTATGACATCGCAAACAAGAAGATGAAGAGAGTTGCCGATGAAATGGAGCAATTCCGTGCTGAAGCTACTGCTACCGATCTTGCTTAAATGTATTTCACTCATTTTTTTTACTTTCACAAAACCAATAACTAATTATATGTTTGAATTGATTATTTATAAATACAAATAAAATTTAATTATTTATTTTCTAATTTAACCATATTAATACCTTTACGGAAATGGAAAGAATATTTTCTTTTCAATAATAGCACAACAGCTGTTATTACAATGATACCAAATACAACGGATCCAACGATGATACCAGCTATCTTAGCATTTGATAATCCTGAGTTCGATTGGCCACATTTATCGGGATCCTGATCAACCAACAAACTGAAATCTGGATCTAATAATGCTGAATTCTCATAGTATGGAATATCGATTCCAACCAATGATGTGGTTATTGTTGAAGATTCGCTTGAATTTTGCTGACCTGGATTGATTAATTTGTTGGTTAAAGATTGAATACGATAATCGATGATTCCAAAGTTGATGAATCTGGCAAAGAGAGTCTTTCCATTGATTTGAAGTTTCAAATATTGAATTTCAGATGATTGTGTGTCATCACTGAAATCAGAGGTGATACATGAACTGTCTGAATCGGAAAGTGACAATGTGGCATTGATCACCAATTGAAGTGTATTCAGCTTGTCTTTGAATTGATATGAATCAAATCAAAATTGAATATTTCATTGATGATGGTGACATTGAATATTCTTTGTTTCCAAACGAATAGTTGGATTGTTTCTCGAAGTATTGAAGAGTAACGTTCAATCTTGTTGTTCTATTTGATGCGAGTGTTGTGCTGAATTGATAAAGTGTTGTGTCTGTTGTTGATTTGTTTTCGAATGACCAATTATCATTGAGTCCAAATTCCAAAACAGTATTTCCTTGTGAATCCAATTCTCTGATCGATGAGATTGAAATCAATGAATTCAGCGTGTTGGATTTATCTATCTGTGTGGTTGTTGGTTTGGTTGAATCGACATTGGTTGTCACATCGATAAGTTGGAGTGAACAAGTTGGTCCAGCCCATCCACTGTTGCATACACATCCATTGTCAGTACATTTACCATGTTCTGTGCATAGAGGTGGACATGTAGTTGGGGTAGTTGTTGGTGTCGAAGTCGGAGTTGGAATGATAAGATTTGGAATAATTCTTAGAGTACTGCTCGCTCTACCACTACTGATTTTAAGGTCATAGAAGTTGTTTTGGTCAAATGCTGGAAGGTTCAAAATCATCATTGTAAAAGTACAAAATGTTGGAGCTTGAATAGACATTGAAGGACCATTCGATCTAATGGTTGGAGTAACGTTGGAAGAGTCATTTCCAAATGATTTGCCATAAACTGTCAATAGTCCACCAGCTGTTGAAATTGGTTCGTATGATTCCAAAAGTAAAGTTGGATTGATTAATCTTTTAATTGACAGATTATTGGCAATGGCGTTACCAATGAAAAGCTTTTTAGAAACGGCTCCATGCACAGTCAATACGCAGTCGAGAGTTGCTTCACCTAGACCATAGGGAATAGGTATTCTGGCCTTATATTTAGCGGATGTACTATCATAGGTAGAAAGAGCGAAAACTCTGGTACTTGGGCAATCCAATACTGCCAAGGGGAAATGTCTTATCGAAACACCGTCGGTCGAACCATCAACAGTGAAATTCACATCTAAATATTTATCGCTACCAACATCCAGTGTATCTGTGGATGCAATTATATTTTGAATTGAAGGTGGAGTGTTTCCAAGAGTATTCGGGCAACTTGAAGCAGTTGAGATGAAAAGTTGACTTGCAAGTGGTGTGAAATATATTTTTTCCAATGGATCAAAAGCTGATTGTATATTGCCGTTGTATGACTGAGATGTGATTCCATTTGCGTCAACCAGTAGCACTTGATCTTTGAATGTAAAGTTTTGTTGAACACAGGTTTTGGCATCGATTGAAATTCGAATTGAATAGACACCATTGAATTGATCACCGGAGCTAGCTTGAGAAGGTGTTAAGCTGAATTGGTATGGCAAAAAATCTAGATCCGAAGTAACATTAAAAAATGCCTGAGATAATCCATTTGGTGAATCTTGAATAGTGATATCCCATCCAAATGTCAAAATTTCTTTTCCTGGTGATAAAGAAGGTGAAATAGCACGGAGATCTACTATCATTGGAGGATATAAATCGGAATCTGTATTATACCAAATTAATAAATTAGAAATTGTCAATTTGATTTTCTTTTTTTCTTTATCTTACTTTTAGAAGTAACTTTAAGAATAGCATTACTAAATTTAGATAAGATTAATTGGCTGTAGATAGGAGGATAGGAAACAAGTTCATAGTTAACTACACCTTCGAATAGATTTCTTTGAAGTTGGAAATCGATTTGATACTGGTTGATAAGTGGATTCCAGAATCCAGTGAACGTGGTCATTCTTTTGTTGATTGCCGAGTTGATGATATTCAATTGTGGTGAGTAATCTTTGATTGGAGTTTTTACACTGAAGAATAACGAGTTGTTTGATATTAAATTACTGACATCAAGGATATTATTCTTGAAACTAAATGAAACTATATCTTCGATTGTCCATGCAATGGGTGTAGGAATGGAAGGAATTACATCTAGCGATGCAGTCATATCACCAGTTTTCCATTGGAGATACTTGTTTGCATAGTTTGTAACTCCGAAATTGAGAGTGTTGTCTTTTAAGTTGCTGATGGAAATTCTCTTTTGATAGACACCGTTGAGGTATGTTCCATAGACAAGATCTGCCTGTGTTATTCTGGAGGGTGGATTGATTATATCGACCGCCAAAACGCCGCTGTCATCAGTTATATTCATTGTAAGAAGAACAGAGTCATATGAAACCGGAACAATATCCAATTTCCAAATACTTGTAACACCAGAATAACTCTTGCCGGCTATAAATAGGATTTATATATTAGTACTAATAAACTCACAATTAAATTAAATTAATTTATCTCTTACTTATGGTATAAGCAGTTATCAAAGAGCTGGAATCAAATTGCAAAATGGCATTTCTTGTTGTCGTGTAAGTAGAATCTACCATTAATATGGTAATTGAAAGCGATCTTACTGTACCACTTATACCCATTGGGAAAGGCATGGTAGCCACGAATGATCCTCCTTTGATTCTGTCATTATAAATATTTGATACTGGAATATTGGTAGTCGATATCACGCAGTTACCATTATTGGTTTGAGCCAAAAAACTATTAACTGGAATCACCATAGGATACACTTTTCATAGCAATGAAAACAAATTAATAAATTAGGAAAATAAAAAAAATACTTGTAGTTTATAAATTACATACATGTATAATTAAAAATCTTTGGCATTGTGTTTGAGCTAGCAAGTCCTCCATTCATGATATACAAGTCCGCTTGGGTTAGAATGGATGAGCGAAGTACATATGGCAAATAATAGGTACTCCTCTCGTTATTTCCGAGTACTGGATAGGGTGATCCATACTGGGGTGAAAAGAAATTCGATGAAAGTTGGTTTATATCGAAATAGTAACCATATGAGAGCATAGCAGCATTTTGTTGTGCAACAATAGAGTTATTCGGGGCGATACCTCTAATCGAAATGAATGTTTGTGGTGAATTCAAGGTTGTTAATGCTGGTAGTGTTAGATTTCCAAGTACTTTGAATGATGAATACACTGGAAGATTGACACTGCTGGAGTAAGTACAGCTCTGAGTTCCTTTAAGAGTGACTGTAAATCCATAGTAGGCAGAGGATCTACCGAATGAACCTAAAGAGTCGGGTTGAAAATTGTAGCATTTTGTCAATGTATTTGCATAATCGAGTGTGTAACCAGCATTGGGATCACCTAAAAGTATCAAACTTAATTTGTTCATCGATATATAATCGAAATATTGAACAGTTGGTAGTTTTGGTGTGATAACTATTAATTTGTTTAAAAAAAGTTGGTCAAACTCTTTAATCTAATCAAATCTATCTTATCAAATACCTACGATTACAAATAAATTGAACGTCAGTTGAGTTTTGATCATTGTTTACAGTGTTGGTAAAAGAGAAGGTTGCAGTTATAGGCGAGTTGGAAGCGGTAATAACCACATTAAGATTATATCGATGAGAGTACGTGGAAAGGTCTACCTGTTGACCGTTACCTTGAACCCCTATATTTGGACCATTAACGGTTGGATTCCCAAAAACGAGTTGGTCATGTGAAGTAATACCAAAGTTGACATCTATAGTACATGTTTTCTGTATTAAATTTATGAATGGTGGTGATTGTGTTACTTTATCAATAAAGAAATGTGATTCAACTGTATTTGGATTTATAGATATTAAAAGGAATAGAAAAGCAATTTTGCAAATTAAATTCTTATATATATTCATATCTTAGATAAACAAAGAAATTTTTAAATTCAAAACAATAATGATTTAAAAAACAAAGTTGTTTTTGTTGTTGCAAGAAAATTCAGACTTTTGCAATTGGATTTACCAAAGGTTATCGCTTTTTTTTTTTTCTTCCAAAATAAACCAAAATTCGTGTCCATTATGAGAAAACTTTTGCTAAACCACGGTTTTTGATCTAAGATTTCAGCAAAATTCCAAGTTCTATTGAATCAACACCCGACAATAATGTGGGAGGTCGTAAGAATTGATGAGTTTAGATTTTTTTTTTTGCTGGTCTCAAAAGCTTTCGAGATTTTTTTTATGCAAATTTCTCAAATGTGATCTTTATTTTTTTTTATATTCGAAAATATATATAGTTGTTTTTTGAAGGAAAAGGCTTTAGTCCAAAAAACAAAACATAAGTTGTTATATTAATTATTAATAAAATATAGAAATGAAATTGTCTTTTTATATATATCTATTTGTATTTTTTCTTATTATTGTGAATGGTAGTTATGGTTTGACTTTGTTAAAAAACTCTGTTGTTACCGACACCCAATTCGTTTTGAACGGATACAATAACGCAGAGGGTTGTTACATCACCTATTCGTTTGCTCTCAGTACAAATGATGCTAAAAAAAATATAACGTTTAAGTGGGATCAAAATGGTTGCTTAGACGGAACACAACAATTATTACTATCTGTATCACAATCACAAGTCATAGCTTCGGGAGCTTGCTTTTTCCCAGTGGGTACCAAGGTTTACACACTTTCAGTTTATGACACTGCAGGTTTATCATATGATTATAAATGGCGTTCATTTTGTAACAGTAAGTTATTAAATACTCAAAAAAATTCAAAAAATAATATACTTATTAATTAATCTAACATTTATTTTTCATAGAACCTCAATTTAGTCCAGAATTAAAGTCAACAATGATGAATGCCTACGGAGATATGTTGGTAACTTTGAAGGTTGAGCCTGGAGTAAAGTATAATGTCGGATATATTTTTGGGGGTTCTGGCTTCAATCCAAATTGTTATAGGTTCAGCGATATCGATGGATATGGAAGTTCCATGGCTACATTGACTATATCGTTGAATACCTATTTCTCCTGTCCTTTCACCGTTCCTTTCACAGCCACTCTATTTGTAAACGATTATGCTATTACCAACATTTCAATTCCAGCACCTTTTAGTTTTCCATACACTACCAATTCTATTAAATACTATGGAAATGAATTGAATTTCACCATGAAGACACCTACCTACGATCTTATGAGAACACGTATTCAAGCTAAGAATGTGGATTGTTTTTTCAAGAATTTTGTAAGTCTTCCAAATGATGATTATGTTGCTGCCACCCGAGTTGGAAATGATGAATATTACCTTATCAACTATCTAAATTACACCTCTATTTTTGGCTATAGAGTCGTCACTATTGGTACCAATAGAACACAGAGTCCTGAAATAGTATATAATGCAAAGAGTTAGTAAATTAATATATCTTAAATATTTTCTTTTTTAATATTAATTAATTAATTATTTTTTTCCAGGTTTTTACAACAATGCTGCACTTTCCATCACAAACAATTTCAACGGACAATCAAATACCTATTCATGGTTTCTTATAGCAGCGTCTATTTCACAAATGTCAAAGTATTCAGTGGTAATGAAATATAATTCAAGTGTTTTACCAGATCAAAACCTTCCATACCCAATTGGATTTGGTTCTGGTAATAAGTTATTTGCCCTACTTAAGTTTGTACCGAATTATTCACAGTATTTTTATAGTGTGATTTCAAGTAATAATAAGGATTCCCTACAGAATGGAAAGTTACTTACGTAAGTTGAAAACTATGATAATAGAAGTTAATTGCTAACCACTTTCTTAGTCGAACAGTTATAGATACTACACCACCCTTGTTAAATTCATTTAAATTAATACCTTTTGGATTTCAGACTTTTATTCTTCAGGTCAATATCTCTGATAGTGAATCTGGATTTTTATCGATGACCCAAACCTACCCTTTTGGAATTACAATTACCCATAGAGACTTGATGGATGGATCTATATATTCTGGTCTTTATGAAAAGCAGGTTTTTGTTCCCAACAATAATAAAGTTAACGTTTTCGGTTTTACAGTGAAAGATCTAGCTGGCAATAGTAGAGCATATGGAACCAATAGTTTTTTGACCAACTACAATATACTCCCACAGATTCCTTACAACGTCAATTTCACAATTGACAATATCATATCATTTATGTTCCTCGACAAGAGATTAAATGTTACCGACAGGATGGCCAATTCAACAGCTTATTTCAGATTAGATACACCAAATACTCAGCTTCAACCAAAGATTACCTTTATTTGGGCAAGATTTGGAGATGCAAATTATAATTCCACATTCACTGGATTTTGGAATTCAGTTATCCAATCCTATCAAATAGACTTTGGCATTAGCATGAATTATATTAGTGGAAGTATCGATTACATCATAGAGAGTAACCCACCAGTTTCCAGGGAGATTCTAATTTCAAAGTTTGGAGATGTTGCAAAGTTAATTATTGATTCTGCAAGTAAGTTATTTTAATTTATATATCTTTAAAGAAAATATTAATGTTAAAGTATATTTTTATTTTTTCAAAAAAGAAATTGATTATCAACCACCAGTCATTACCAATATATTGAAATTTCCAACAGGTTGGGATATTACTATATCAGATCCTATCAATGGTCTGAAGATAGCATATTTCAATGTAACTTCTGATCTAGATCCACTTCCCTATCAATATACTTTCACACCATCTGATGCAATCTCTGGAGATCTCAACTCTGGTGTCTACAGAATTAATTTAAATGGTGTAATGTGTGTGAATCAAAATTTTTCATTTATCGATGGAGTAAAGTTGGTAGATAATGGAGGTAACTTTGCTCAATCATTTTACGCAAACCAAGAATCCTACTTTGATCCATTTGAAATGTATCCTGATGTTGACAGTGCAAATCTATTGTACAGCTGTGACTCAAAGCCCGATACAACTCCACCATCCCTTGTAGTTAGGGTAGATGCAAATCAGCCTCAATATATTTCGGTATTTGTCAATGCTTCTGATCCAGATTCAGGAATTTCATCGAGACATAACCCAGTCGTTTATATTACAGGTTTGGGTGATGAATTTATTGTTCCAATGACACACATAGAGGCCTATCAGTTTTATACTATTTATCAAGAGCTCATCAAAGTTCCTTTTAATTTCGGAATTGAAAGAACACAATTTGGTATCGGAGTATATGGTATCTGCAATAATCAATTGAACTATTTTGCATCTGTTTCGATACAGTCTTTTAATTATACTTTTAGCAATTTCGCAGTTCTTCAAGGAGCTAGTCAAATTTCTGAGGAAGGTGGAGCATTGACGATTAGTGGTGCAGGGTTTGGTAACAATAGTTTGTCTATTACTCCATATGTAAGATATTCGCTGGATTCCCATTACGTACCAATTAGTTCACCCAGCTTTTTAACATTTACCAATGCCATTATAAATATTCCTGCGTTTGGATCGAATGGTTATGCCGAATTATATTTCAATTATTCGCAAGGATATGTAACCAACATATTAAGGATAATTCCGAGTGTAGTACAACTACCCACACAAACTCCCAGTGGTACACCGGCTTCTTGTCCTCAATCTTGCTCTGGTCATGGTGATTGCACACCCACTGGATGCTTATGCAACAGTGGATGGGCTGGACCAACTTGTTCACTCCAACTTATCGATGTGACAACCAATGTCGATTCAACCAAACCAACAACCACACAGATAGATAAATCCAACACGCTGAATTCATTGATTTCAATCTCATCGATCAGAGAATTGGATTCACAAGGAAATACTGTTTTGGAATTTGGACTCAATGATAATTGGTCATTCGAAAACAAATCAACAACAGATACAACACTTTATCAATTCAGCACAACACTCGCATCAAATAGAACAACAAGATTGAACGTTACTCTTCAATACTTCGAGAAACAATCCAACTATTCGTTTGGAAACAAAGAATATTCAATGTCACCATCATCAATGAAATATTCAATTTTGATTGATTCATATCAATTCAAAGACAAGCTGAATACACTTCAATTGGTGATCAATGCCACATTGTCACTTTCCGATTCAGACAGTTCATGTATCACCTCTGATTTCAGTGATGACACACAATCATCTGAAATTCAATATTTGAAACTTCAAATCAATGGAAAGACTCTCTTTGCCAGATTCATCAACTTTGGAATCATCGATTATCGTATTCAATCTTTAACCAACAAACTAATCAGTCCAGATCAACAACATTCAGGCGAATCTTCAACAATAACCACATCATTGGTTGGAATCAATATTCCATACTATGAGAGCTCAGTATTATTAGATCCAGATTTCAGTTTGTTGGTTGATCAGGATCCCAATAAATGTGGCCAATCGAACTCAGGATTATCAAATGCTAAGATAGCTGGTATCATCGTTGGATCCGTTGTTTTCGGAGTGATCATAGTGATTGCCGCCGTATTAATATTAAAACGACGTTATGTATTCCGTTTCGATAAAGGTATAAATATGGTTAAAATATCTAAATAAATAATTTAAATTATAAATAAGCGATAGATTATAATCTTTTTTTTTTCAATTTGATTAAGTTTAATCAACTTGATTTCAGGTTGATTCTCTATGTTGTTACATATAAGTCGGATTATTTTTTTATTTATTTTTCTATCAATATGGCAAATGGTAATGTCTCGTATCATTTACCATCTATCCTACTGATCTCTGCCAGAATTTCATATTTCTCTTTCCTGTATTTCTCTTCGACGGCCTCGATTTCCGCGTCTCTAAGTTTATAAATCTGTTTGATAATCTCTACAATCTCTCTATCGTATTCTTTTGTTGAATCCTCGATCTCTGACTTTATATGTCCATCCAAAAGTTTCATAATAGTCTCTACCTCTTCTATTGATAACAAATCTCTCTATATATATAAAGCATTTGTTAGTAAACTAAAGTAAATGCTTAAGTTGTTAATAACCCACCTTCTTATTTAATTCTAAAGAAAAGTTTGGATGACCGAATTTATCTTTTAGCGACAGCATAATTGGTGTTAGTGAGATCGTATTAGAATGTCCGACGTCACGTGTGAACGTCGATGAATAAGACGAACTCTCTGAAGATGTATCGTTTTCGTTGTTTTCTATTTTTAATCTATTTATATCTACATGACCTGATGATGACTAGAAATAATAATAATTATTTAAATAGGTTAATAAACTTTAATAATCTTTGTAACCAATTATTTTTCTTTTCTTTTTCTTTTTTTACCTTTAAAGAGCTACCATTACTATGATTATTATTATTACCATTGTTAACACTTCCTGTTCTCGATTTCAAAAGTTTGTTTAGCGATGTCACCCATTCATCTTTATCAAGTGAATCTGTTGCACATATTCTATAGGTTCTCTCGGTGGTTGTAACTTGAAAACAATTCTTTCTCTTTGACGACAGTCTCTCTTCGCCACTACAACTAATGATTGTCTCTATTGCTATAGATCCTTTCTCTGTAGTCTTTTATTTTTTTTTTATTAAAGATTTTGTTTGTTTGTTTGTTTGTTTTTAATAATTAATTAATCAATTAATCAAGTTAATGTTACATGATATTAGATAAGCAAAAAACATACATGTTGTGTTTTATAATAATGTAAACCTTCTTCGTCAAGTACACACCATCTTTTCTTCCAATTTTTTATTCTTCCACCCTGTTTCGTAACACTTCCTTCTTTGATGATTGGTATTTTCTGGTAAATCACAACAAAAATAAATGAGTAAATCATGAAAAGCTGAATATATTTATAACCGATTGATTCCGATCATCAATATTAGATATTTACATGTTTGATGGGTCTCTCTTTTGATTCTCTTAAATAACCCGACATTCTCTCCTCGCTCTCTCTTTTTTATATTCTATTATTAAGGCTTGTATTCTCGATATTTAAATTATAATAAATAATAGTGATTTGATATTGTTTGTATATATATGTTTTATAAATAATTTGAAAAATGAAACAAAAAGGTAAGGTAAAGTTGATCACACAACACAAATTATTGCTTGCCTGCTCTGCTTGCGTGTTCTGCTTGTTTGACTAATAATCAAATCAATCAGGTTTTGCTTTTATTTAAATGTTGTTGTTGTTGTTATTGTTGTTGTGTTTTAATGATATTGGTGTGTGAGTTGTGATTTATCAGTATAATTATAATGAAAAATGTGGTTGTCAAAAAAATCAAAAACATAACAAATAAATTAAAGGAGTTTAGATTTTTTGGTTAACAAAATTGGTTTTTTTTTTTTTTTTTCAAAAAATTCAAAAAATTTTTAATGCGTTTACATGTTTTATTCATTTTGATTATTTACATCATTATCTTATAAATTCTATCTGTGATAGCATTGGTATTACTTTAAGTAAGTTATATAACAGTCGGATTATAATTCTTATTGTTATTTCTGTAGCAAAATTGATACTCTATAGATTTTTTAAATAATCCAATCAAATTGTTTGGAACAGTATGATTTAGAAAAGTAATAGATTTAGAAATAATACAAAATAGGAAAAAAAAAACATTGTCTTTTTTTTTAAAAAACTTAAAAGTTTTCTCAATTTTTATAATTTTTTCAAAAGTTTTTTTATCGATAATACCATTTTTGGAATGGTGACAATAATTAGTTTTAATATTGAAGTAATATTCCATTGGTATCTGGAAAGATGACATGGATGGGGGTGGGTTTTTTCTTAAAAATATGGTAATTTGGAATCTGTATTGTATGAATCAAATAAATGATTTTCTGCAATCCTGAAGAGTCCTTGGTCCTATCTTCTTTAACCTTATAAAATAGTTTTTTACTCCTCTTTAAGTAAAGTTTTAAGAAATCTGGATCTTTTATCCTACGAATTGAAACCTTCAAACTAAAGCACTTTCAATCAAAGTTTAAGATTTCATTTTTTTAAATATATAATTCTCATATACTTATAAAAAATAATTAAATAATAATTTTAATAATTATATTCTTGGTAAGATATCAAAAAATATTAAAAAGTTTATTTACAGAATATTAATATTTTCTTTTTAAAAAATTAATAAATAGTGAATAAAAAAGAAAACAAAATGAGTACTTTAGTTGCAAGAGAATTTGGTGGTTTTCCAAAGTCAGCACCAGTCGAACCACCTACTCAACTCAAACGTCAAAAGATGAGTGAGGACGATCTTTTGTATTCCTTGAAGGATATGTACAAAAGTGATTTCAAGGAGTATCCAACTCAACTGGAAATCGAACGTCCCAACCGTTACGATCTGTCCGAAGGTGCCAACGAAGAACTTGATCGACTCATGGATGAGGAATTCGAAAAAGCTCACGAGAAGAAGCTGCCAAGCAACGATCCAAAGAGAAAAGAATCAAAGATGAAGAAGAATAAGGACAATAAGAAGGAGAAGAAGCCAAAGGACAAGAAGAAGGAGAAGAAAGACAAGAAGGAGAAGGATAAGGAGAAGAAGAAGGAAAAGAAGGAGAAGAAAGATAAGAAGGACAAGAAGAAGGATAAGAAGTCCAAACTATCAATGTCATCATCTCAAGAGATCGAAAGTGAATTTCCACTGGAAGACACCATCTTTGAGGATCTCGAGCTCCTGGATTTGTGGGATAGCGACGAGTCAGAAGATGGCTCCATAGAGATTCTGGAGATTGTCGAATTTGAAATCGAGTCTGATATCGATGAGGAAGAGGAGATGCCAAAGAAGAAGAAGGAAAAGAAGGACAAGAAAAAGGAAAAGAAAGATAAGAAGGAGAAGAAGCTAGAGGATAAAGATAAGAAGAGAGAAAAGAAGGAGAAGAAAGAGAAGAAGGAGAAGAAGCAACTCTCAGATGATGGCGAGCAATATCTCAACCTCCAGAAGAAGAACCCTCAAAGTTTAAACCAAGAGTTCAAAGCTGACACCTCTGATATTCCATGTTACTCTTGGACCTATGTTGATGGTAAACTCTATTCCAACAACAGAGCATAAATCATTAAATCTTATGTAGAAAAAAAAAAAAAAAACAACTTCTTGAAGTCACAACAAATAAATTGTAAATATTTAAAAAAGTGTTGATATCTCAAATTTTTTTTTTAATATGATAATCATACCCACATCCAATAAGTTAAATTTAATAGAGAAAAATAAAAATAAAAATAAAAATAAAACAAAAATCTAAATTAATGAATTGAAAAAAAGTGAATGTATACCAGTAATAGGACCAATACTTTCATATACCTTTAATTTATTCTGGGGTGTTGAATCAAAAGAAGGTATAACAGAAAATGTACCAAGAAAAAATCGATAAATAAAGGGATGAAATAATAGATATGATGAACGATAAAATTGAAAAGTCTGAAGTTGAAACATGGAAAGCTCTCTGTAAAACTTTCTATGATTATTTCAAATAATTTTTTAAACAGGAAGGTAGCATACGTAGAGTTGGAATAAGTGTCAAAACGTGCTTGATATTGGAAATGCTTGAAGCTGCAAATCGATAGATATCGCAGTCGATTCAGTCTGCCCAATATCGAAACGATCTTACCACGGTTGCAGTCGATCGCCGAGTTAGTACTATTCTCGGATAGATATTATGTAGTTTCAATCGTGTAACATTGGCAAAGTTAGTCGACAGATCGATGGCAATCGTTGGTTTGTCTATAAATCCAAAGTAGTTAAGTTCTAGTTACTCTATTTTATTGAACCAAGATGGCTGTGCTTGATTGAATGGAGTCTGCGCATTGAAATAAATGCCAAGTGAAAGTGATCGAAGTGAATCGATATCACTCTGATCATCGATATTAAATGATTTTGAGTTCCGTTCATCAGTTTGTTCAATGGGAACTTCTCTAGCTTTGGGAATATTGACATTTGGAAGTTGACCACTCCTCGGTAAACTCTTAGCTTTCGAAGTTCACCAGCTACTTTGAGATCGTCTATGCTCTGTTTGATAGGTATATCAATAAAAGTCATAGAATCAACTTTCCAATACTTGTATAGTGTGTCATTATAAGTTTCTATCCAACAGTAGATTCTAGGAGTAATAGGTTCATAAATAATAGTTAACTTTGTTAAAAAGAACTTGTAGTTATTATTATTATTATTATCATTTTTACTCTATCAATTTTGGTATCCAGAATTCTTATCATTGAGAGGAATTCAATGGGGTCACAAGTCTAATTGCCATATTCTCCAAATATTTTATTATAATAAGGGTCGTTTCGACTTATTATTAGTGACTCATCTACTACTTGTAATAGAGAGGACCGTATTTTATTAAATAAATTTATTAAATATAAAACTATTTCTTAATTTCATTTTTTAACTCTTAAAGATCTCATTGTTTAGAATTTATTTAAAAAAGATTATTAAAACAACATTTTATTTAAAATAATTAAAACATAGTGTGGTTATAGTTAAACTATCTTTCTTTGAACTTAAGAATCGAATAAATCAAATAACACATAGACTCTTTGGATATTTATATTTCATATTTTGTCTCAATATATAAGTTATTTCCGATGTGTTGACACTGTCATTGTTGATTTCAATGCACATCAAACGAATGTCCTGAAGGGTTGCGTTCTCTGTTGAAAGCTTGACAAGTTGTTGATGTCTTTCCGCTGAATTCTGATGATTGTCGATCTTTAATGAAATAATTGATTTGTTATTTGTTATTAATGAATCAAGTATACTGTTATCTGTAATTTTGGCTGATAGACGAGTGAGTGTAGTTGATTTCAATATTTGAGTTATCAGTGCTGGATCATCGAGAGGATAGAACCCAAGAGTCAGTCTCTGTAGGTTGCATAGATAGTGGAACGCAGAGAGTAGACCACCGAAAAGTGAACAACATTCACCTTTAAGCTTGAGAGTGTGAAGCTGATGACCTATCGATGCCATGTCCATGAGGAAAACAGTTCTGGTCAAACCGGATTGATAATCAATAAACAATGCCGATTGTCTAAGATTGAAGCCGTCTCTCCAGATCTGTCCATGTCTTGCGTGGTTGGTAATCGATAGGTATCTAAGATGTCTCAGTTCGCTTAATATTGATATTGGCTGGCCGTTGTTCTTGGTCATGGCAGAGTATTGTGCAATTCTATGGTAGGAATGACCAAGTTTCAGTTGTGTAACATTGATAAAGCAAGCCGATAGATCGATACTGATCATCGTATTGAGCGCACTCGTTTCGTTATTCCATTCTACGTTGTGAGCATGATTCAGTTGGAATGATTGGATGCTATGGAACCATGAAGGATCGGCCTTCTCAAAGAGAGCGAATTGATTGAATTGCCCGGTCAGCGACAGCGATAGTAGATTGCACTTTTTCGATAGATCGAAAGAACTCACTGGATATTGATACTTTTGTTTCAGTGCGAATCTCTCAAGCTTAGGGAAACTGGCTCCATCTACTTTGGCTGATGATTCAAGGTAGATTCTCAGCTCTCTAAGTTCACTGGTGATTGAAAGTTGTTCGACTATCTGGTTATAAGGTAGATTAATGATAGTCATTGAATCTACACTCCAATATCTAGACAACGCATCATTGTAGGCTTCTATCCAAAGGTAATGATTTAATTTTACATTATTTTGAGGTAACGAAGATAAAGGTATAAAAGAATCGATTTGGTTTAAATATATTAATGTTAATTTACTTAGATTAAATTTTAAACAATCATCATTTTTATTATTATTATTATTATTATTATTATTATTATTATCGTTATTATTATCGTTATTATTGTTATTATTATTTAATTTTAATAATGATCTTTCATATGAAAGTGGATAGTTTTTAATGAATTCAGTGTTTGATGTCAATGTTGTGATTCTTATATTCACTTTTGCAATGATTTTCACCAACCAATAGTGTGATATCAATGAGAGTGTCAATACATTCCAGTCATGTCGATGATATCTAGACTGTTGATTAGCTAATAACTCTATTATATATCTCCAAATGATATCAGGAAGTATTGTTTGATTACTATTCTCTATTGCTATTACTTTATTGTTATAAATAGATAATATAGATCCCATTTTTATAACTATTTGTTTTATAAAAAATCTAAAATTGCAAAAAAACAAAATATTTATTGTTTTACAAAATTGGATAATAAATTTATCTTTGGAAAGTTTTGGTTTTTTTTTTATTACTTGAATACTTTTAATAAACAATTTAAACAAATCCCCAAATCTCCATTCCAACACATTTGAAGTCTTCTTCGTTTGCAAGTGAATCATTATCAAATGTTTCACTTCGAGATGATGTTCCTTCATTAAATAATTATTCACTGTCTAACCACAAACCATATTTTCCCTTAAATCTAAAATAATTATTGGAAACGTTAATATAAATTTATAGTAAATCGTTTGATTAATCAATATATCTTACCCAGCACCCATTGAAATTCTGTGAGTACGAAACATCTATTCTCTCTTGTCCATTTATATGATTTATAGGTTGGTTTAAATTTCATTAAGAAACACTCACCTGAACCATAGAATGATTTTGAAACTTTGATAGATTCCGAATTAAATCCACCAAAAACATAATATAATAGAAATTTATAAAATGATCCAACAAAATAATATTGATTGATTGATTGATACATACATTATTAAAATCTTTTAATAGAATTATACATGTACCCTACGAATAGGTCTTTGCATACATTGTTTTCATTGAGATACCATCTCTTTCAGTCTTGTACAAAAATACCCAATCTGACAATCTATATAGAACTGGTAGATCAGGAATAACCTAATGTCAAAAAAAAAAAAAAAGAATTGATTAAATTTTAAGTCCATGGAATATTATCAAAAATATATGATGATAAGTTATTTACCTGAAGAGTTTCATCTGGAGTAATAAATGTAGATACACCAAATAGTTTTGGTATGTAAACCTCTTTGTATTCGTCAGACTCTGTTTCTTCGTCTGATTCATATTCTGTACGATTCCAGAGCAGCATCACAACAACTCAAAGACATCACCTATACACACACATGAGGTCCATATTTATATTAAATATTGAAATATCACGTTTATTTACGATATATAGTGTTTATATAACATTTGCAAAAGCTACCTTAAAGTTTAAAGTTGCTGAGTTATTTATGTATTATATATATAGAGCAACGAGTTTTATCCATATACAACGGTTATGTAAGTATAAAAGATATCCGTATGGTATTTCATCCATGTGAGAAATTCAGCATGAATTAGAACGATGCAGTTTTGCGCTTTTGCCCCATATAAATGAAAATATTTTCCACGGAAACAGCGGCCTGGTCTGCTAAAAGGTGTAGCCAATAGTGATCATCAAATGAAGGACCAATATTCAGATATTCTAATCGAATTTTGTTCCAAAAAGTTGGTAGATACACTATCAAAAAAAAGGTGATCTGTCGAAGTTAACATTGACTTGAATCACCTTTTTTGGCACCTCTATGTCTTGTTAAGCCGGGTTGAGGTATTTTCTCTATTCCTTAAACTCTTTGCTTCTTTCATTTCTTTAATTAATATTAAATTAATCTATTTGGTTCATTTGGGAATCACCTGCAACACCAGTTCTTCTTTTAAAGATGTTGCATCAATAAATCTGACCTTGTATTTTGAAGTTGGGTAAGTACTGTTTTTTTTGTTTTCTGAATTTTTTTAGAACGAACGCCACATATTTGTGGGTATCATTTGCTTGGATGATAATCCTTTTCTTTTTTTGAGGAGTTCGTACTTACCCAACTTCAAAATACAAGGTCAGATGTAGTCGGTGAAATGGAAGTATTAAAAGAAAACGTGTATCGTTTTTTGAAAACCACTCATAATAAATAAAAAAAATTCTTCGTTATTTTAATATTAATTTTTAAATTACATAACTGTTACACACATTGGTAAATTGTAGAGTTTGGAGAAAAAAAAAAAAAATTACTATTAAAAGTTGTAAATAGTATTGATTTGGGAGTTGATCTATTTGTCTCAAATATAATAACTATCTGATTCTCAGTACCTAAGAAAAATAAAATCAAGATATCAATTTGTAAAAAAAAAATGAACATCATCAGCAAAAAAAAAACTTTGAGTCAAAATATATATTAACTTTCTAAAATTTGTTCATTAATATTTTATTAATTATGTCGAATAATGATAAATTAAAAAAAGAAAAAAAGGGTGATGGCGGTGGAGATAGTAGTCAATCATCGGTGTTAAAAACAAGTTTGTCAGGTGCATTCTATCTGATTGGATTGCAGATGTCCAGTCGTCTGTTTACTTTTCTCTTGAATACATGGATGGTTACTGCGGTTGACAACGATGTTCTCGGTGTGTTCTCTATCAAATATATGTTGTTGTCATCAATGATTTTGTTTTTGTCGCGTGAGGCGATACGACGTACTTGCATTCGTGTGGCTTTGAACGACTACACCACCCTGCAGCGACTGATAAATCTTTCTTGGATGATCATACCCACCGGATTGTTGCTATCGTTCGGAATGGAACGATTGTTCACTCATTGGAGCACACCCGAAGAGCTGGCACTGGAGAACTATCAGCTTGGCGTGTACCTCTTCACTCTCGCCTCTTTGCTCGAACTCCTAAGTGAACCTGTCTACATTCTCACTCAAAACATGTTGCTATTCAAAGTTAGAACATTCGTCGAGGGTTCTGCATTGTTTTTAAAAGCTGTTTCAACATACTACTATGTTGTTATTAAAGATGTTTGTATCATTAAAATAACTATATATATGTGTATGTTATTAACAATTTAAAATTTATAGGATGGATTAAAAGGATTTGGATATGCACAGATTATATATTCTTTGACATTGGTAATTGGATACTATGGTAATTTCATTATTACAATCTATCAAGATACGAACAAACAAGATGATAAATCAATTCAAATTAGATCTTTAAATCAACTCTTACCAAAACCAATTAAGAACGAGTAGGTAGTTACTTTATATCCATTCAATTAATGAATAGATAACTAATCGGTATTTATCAAACTATAGTTCATTTATTAGTGCAGATTTATATAAATTAACAGGATTATATACATGGCAATCGATTCAAAAACTATTGTTAACAGAAGGTGAGAAGTTTGTATTGTATTTCTCAGAGAATCTCACCAGTCAAGCTATATTCTCGGTGGTTTCCAATCTTGGATCGCTGATTGCCAGATTCTTTTTCCAACCGATTGAAGAGTCTTGCTTCTCAATGTTTCCAAAGCTCTTTGGTGAGTCTACTCGTCGTCAAGATTGGTCGGACGGCTCGAAAGTATTGACAATGTTAATGAAGCTGATGATCATTATCGCACTGATATTCGCTGCATTTGGACCAGCTTATTCTGAACTACTGTTGAACATTCTCTATAAGAACAAATTCGCAGAATCCAATGCTTCCAATGTACTAGGTGTCTATTGTTTGTATGTTGGCTTCATGGCTGTAAACGGTGTCTCAGAAGCATTTGTACATAGCGTTTCAAAAGCAGATCAACTTAAAACACTCAATTGGATTCTAATTGTTATTGGATTCATCTATTTAACCGCAACATTTATCCTATCAAAACTCTACGGAACCATCGGTATTATCTTGGCAAATTGTTTAAGTAAGTAAATAGTAGCTATTATAATTACATTAAGAAAGTTTGTACTAATTATACTATTATAAAATTAATAATATTTAGATATGTTTACAAGAATATTATATAGTATTTATTTTATGAATCAATTCTTTAAGGGTATTAATGAGTTTTCGATTCGATCTATGTTCCCAAAGATGTCTGTTATCATTATCTATCTATTGTCATTCGTAGTGACGAATGTATCGAGAATTTACTTTGGCCAAAATCAAACATCGCTATTTGCAGTTCCAACTCTTATTCACATAGGTATTGGTGCTACTTGTTTCTTAGTTGTCATCATATCATTGTATTTCACAGAGCGATCTACCTTTAGAGATATAAAGAAAGTATTAAGAAACAAACAACAATAAAAAAAACACTATATAAATAAATAATATTGTTATAATAATATAATAATAGATCATTTATTATTTATTTTTTGTTTATTATTATTAAGATACTAATACAGACATATTAGTGTAATCATGTAACATTGGATTGAAATTTGATTTCGTTTGAGTTTTACCAATGTCAGGCTTGGCGTATATCTTTAGAAAGTCTTTTTGTTTGTAGGATTTGACTTGTGAGGCATCAAAGTTGTCTCTTGATTGGTTGGTGCGAATGTACATCGAGTGAAGATCACTCCAGTTGGTGGGGAAGAAGATATCGCAACTTCCGGGCGCTGGTGTTGTGATGTCGTCGTGGTCGATCGATTCATAGCCGCTATTCGGTTGGTTCGGGTGTATCGGCATCTTCTCTTGTACGGTCGGTGCATTCTCGCCTTTCACCAACGACGGAATAAAGTCAAAGTCGGCCAACACCAAATGATGCTTCGGGAAGTAGAGTGAGAGAATCTGGAACATCTTCATGCATACGGTAGGCACGAATATCGAACGATCGCCAGCAAAGAAGTTCTTGAGCGTCTCGTAGATCTGAGTCAATCCCATCGATGTTTGACCGCCCCACTGCTGTTGATCCATCGCGAGATACTCTTTGATAATGGGGTCTTGCAGTCGTTGAAGATCCTCTATGTGCAGATCGGTGGAACCACGCGGAGTCATGACAAACGACTCAAAGATACCGTCGGAGTTTACGACGATTTTGTCGTGTGGAAGATTATCAATGACCTCTGTCATCAAGATGAAACATTCGTCATCTTCGCGCTTGTGTGTCCAATTGAAAATCGATGTGTTGTAGACTTGTACTTTGATGTTTGGATGTTCAACTTTGATACGCTCCAACTGCTTCACCGCTAGCAATCTACTGATTTCAATGATTGTGTATTGCGCTGTTGCATATAAATTGGGATGCTGATCTCTAAGAAAATTAAGTATACACAGAGCATTCGTACCAGAACCTGCACCAACCTCAAAGATCTTCAATGGTTTCTTTTCTTGTTTCATCTTACTATTATTATACTTTTCAATGATATATCTACCAATTGCATTTGAATAATATGGCTAAAAAAAGTATAAATGATTAGCAATTAAAAGTTTACTTGTACAAGAAATGTAGAATGAATGATTTAGTTACCTGAAATATCTCTACAGGAGTAAACCAAGAATGTTGTGAATCTTTATATAGCTCTGAAAGATAAATAAGATAATCTTTTCTGTTTTTCAATGTGTTCAACTCTTTGAATCTTGATTTATCGATTGATGTGATAACTTCTTTGCTTGTAAAGTAACCATATTCTTTATTATAAAGTGAATCTTGTATGAAATCTCTCATCAACTGTTTCTTTGATGTGAAATTGACTTTAACATTCTTGTTATTTTCTGGTATATGTATTTCTTCTTGTTTCTGTAGTCTTGATCTAAGTTTTGGGTTGATATTATATGACGAATTTGATGGTGATGGTGGTTTATTTGATTTATATCTGTAAAATGTTGAAGATGATGATGATGATGTAAACTGTGTATATATACTCTTTGTCGTATTCACTCTACTACTTGTAGATAGTGACGAACTAAAAAGAGAATACATTATAGATAAATATAATATATCAAAGTAAAGGCAGATCACACAAACAACACAATGAAAAATCAATCACTAAGTAATTCTACCCCACAACCCAAAAATGGAAAAATGTGTTAAAAATTATTTTGTTTGAAAAACGAAATTGATCAAGTTGTTTGTATGTCTTTTTAAAACATCAATGAACAAGTAATATCTAAAAATATTTATGATTGTTAATGTAAAACTATATCTTTTTTTTTATTGGGTTGCTAAGATTCATCGGCATCGTCATAGTGAATATTGTCTTCAACTATCTGGTCGTTTTCATCGTCACCACTGATCATTTCAAAGAGATCTCTCTTGATGAATTGATCTTTGTATTGGTTCAATATATTTACAATCTCTAAAAACGATGGACGTTCACTTGGCTCGCCAGCCCAGCATCGAGTGATCAACTTTCGCAGCCAGAGTGGACAGTCGTCGGGCAGCGAAGGTCTGAGGTTCTCGTAGGCCGACTTGGCAGCTGCCGTAACACCTTCCAGGTTTTCAAACGGTACCTTTCCAGTGTAGATCTCGTAGATCACCAAGCCAAACGAGTAGACATCGACTTTCTCACAGTAGTTCTTCATGCCTTTGGTGATTTCGGGTGGTCGCCAACGTGGATTGCATATGCCGGCCAGTGTCATCTCCTCTTCGATCTGCTTGGACAGTCCGAAATCAGAGATCTTTATATTCTGGAATTCGTCCAACAATATGTTTTTGCTGGTCAGATCACGATGTAACATTGGTGGTGACAACGAATGGAGGTGTGACATTCCAATGGCGAGATCACGCATCATCTTGAACATCATAGTCTTGTCCAAATTGCAATGCTTTGAATGTAGAACATCGTACAACGATCCACCACTCATATACTCAGTTATGATACAAGGTGGATTAGTTACAATACCCATAAACATAACAACATTTGGATGATGTGATTTACTAAATAAACAACAACAACAATATAATTTTATGTTAATATCATATCTCCTTCGCAATTGAAAATAAACAATTCTTACATTAAATTTGAAACTTCTCTTAAAAAGAATTTCTCGGTGATATTTGGATTCTTTAACTTTTTGATTGCAACCTTGTAGCCATTCCATTCGCCAAGCCAAACCTTTGCAAAACTGCCTTCACCTATCTTCTCACCGAATTGTAAATCATTAAACTCTACAATGTAATCACGTTTCTGTAGGAACTCCAAGATCTCATCGTATTTCTCTCTTCTTTTTCTTTCTCTTTCAATCTCTTGATCTTGATCTAATGTCTATTAAAAATAAACGGGAAATAAGAAATAAAATATAATGAAATAAAGTTAATAAAACTATTATTATTTGACGAGTTAAGAAGGAGAGGTTTGAAAATTCTACAAACATAACGTACCCAGAGAGAACCTCTTGCTAATGCCGAAAAGAATATCTTGCCATCCAAATGGTAGAAGATTCTCAATATCTCTGTAAAGTCTGGTCTTGACTCGGAATTGGGTGACCAACAGCGATTGATCAATTTACGAATGATCAGTGGACATCTCATTGGAATCTTTGGTCTCAAATTCTCAAATGATACTTTAACAGCAACTGTTGTTCCATCATTAAACTAAAATAGTAAATAAATAAAATGATGATATTAATATAAATATAAATAAATTAGAAACGTAATGGTTGGTTATCTTTGTCTTTACCTTTTTAAATGGAATGGTATTTGTAAATAATGTCCACAAGATGAGCGAGAATGAATATACATCTACTTTGGTGGTGATCGCCTGTGACTTGATTATTTCCGGTGCACGATAACGCGGATCGATGGCAGGATCGTTTGGATCTGAAGAGTTGTACTTGATTCCACCGACTTTGACATTGCCAAGCTTATCAACATAGATTGAGTCGATAGTCAAGTTACCATGAATGATTTCCATTGAATGAAGATGATTCATTGCAGCTGCCAACTCCTTACCGATCTTTAAGAACATTGGCATCTCAATCTTTACACCATCTTTTATCAGCAGATCATACAAAGTAGTACCCTCCATATACTCTAACAACAGACATTGATGTGGTTGCACTGTATATCCAATTCCAACCATTACATTATAATGATTGATACCCCTATATATATTTATTGTTATTATTAAACTTATTATTAGTTTATCTGTTTTGTGGTCGTGCGTTCAATCTGTGAGTTACAGTACTACTTACAATATATATTTCATACTCTCTTCTTTTGAGAGATCATTAGATTGACCAGGTTGTGGTTGTTTATATTGTTTCAATGCAAAACGAGTTTCTCTCCACATTACCTCCCAAATAACTGAATGTTTACCTTCACCCAACTTTCTCTTTATAGTATATTCTTGATAATCAATAGGTTCTTTTTGTTTAAATGCTATAACATTGATTGATTGATAAACAGTTGTGTTTGATTAATATTCATTGTTAAAAGAAGATAAGGTATGTAAGATAACATAAAACATTAACATACCTAATGCAAATTGATATTGATCGAGCTTTGTTTTTTCAACTTCAAACTCTGATATAGTATCATCAAAGAAGTTGGTGATAGACGAACTCGATTGATTGATACCGTTGCTATTGGTAATGTTGTTATTGTTGTTACTATTGATTTGTGAGGTGTTGAGTCGTCGTGGTGAAGTATGTACGGCAGCTCTAATCTCGAGTGGACGTAACTCCAATTTCAATTCCTGTGAAAACTTTTTACTTGATGGCGAATTGAATCCAGTTCCGCTACAACCGATACCGCAGCTACACGACGACGACGTATTGTTGGTCCACTCGCGATGCAGACTACTCGAACTATTGGTTACATTGGTCCAATCTCTCCAATCACGAGTACGAGGTGAAGTCGACGATCTGTTACTTCCACAACTACTGTGCATATGACCAACATGTTGGCTGTGATGATGATGCTGCTGATGACTTGCACTATGACCAATACTACTTCCACTTGTACTATGTGTAATACCATTACTATTGCTATTGTTATTGTTGTTGTTATTATTATTGTTACCGAAATTTGATTGTGTTGATAAAAGCGATAATAAATTCTCCAAGTTGTTTATATCAATTTCCAACTTTTTTTTTTTTTTTTTTTAAAGAAAAGTTAGTTAATCATCATTGTAATTAAGTTTGTTTAATTGATAATGTTTACCTTTTTACATTGTTTTTCTAATTTTGGTTTACTTTCATTGTTGTTGTCGTTGTTATCTTCATCGTCTTCGTCATCAGAGAGGTATTGTACTTCGGTGTAACCTTCATCGAGTAGTGACATTTGTTGTTTCAGCTTTACATGTTTGAGTTTCATAGATTCCAAATCTTTCTTGTGAACTCTAATCTTCTCCATCACCTTGATATCTGATGCGATCGGATTGTCTTCACTACTACGTCTTATCGATCTAAAGTCGAGTGGTGTCATCAAAGGTTTGGTAGGTACAGACGATCTTCTTTTTCTAATTACATAGCTAATATTGTTATTATTGATTATATTATTATTGTTATTGTTATTCTCGGAATTTAAACTTGTATTACTTTCAGTTGAATTACTACTATTATTATTGTTGATGTTGATATTGCTGTTCTTTTTAGGTGATGTCGGTGGTGAAAGTGAAAATGTAGTGCAATTGGTAATCGGAATAAAGTTTGAACTTGAATTAAGTCTACCACTTGTTGTTGTTTTGGTGGGTGAAGTATTAAAATGTGTGTTGTTGTTGTTGTTGGTGGTGGTTGTTGTTGTTGGTGTGCTCGTGCGATTCATTTGTGGTGGCGATGTCGGTGTGTTTGTGGGTGACAATCGTAGGAGATCGTTGAGTGTCGGTGAGAGTCGTAGCTGTTGTTGTTGCGTCAGCAGTGGTGTATTCTGCATCGCTGTAATTGCCGATTGTATAACGCTGAAATGATTATTACTATTGTTAATGTTGTTGTTGTTGAAACTACTACCATATAAACTACCTTCAAAAATATTATTTATACTACTGGTTCCTGTGCAGTTTGACATTAAGCTGTTGCTTCTACTTCGATTGGCGACACCGGTGTAACGTCGTTTTTCACGCTCTGATTCCACATCGTCGGTGAATACCAGCATCTCATCGAAATCCTCTGCACACTCATCAATATCACTGCTGCTACTGCTGCTGTCGTCGTTCATTCCATTGTTTGTATGGCCAACACCACATACACTAAAGTTCTCTTCCATCCAACTATCGCCATTCTCCCTCGATGACAAATGATTCAAATGATGAAGACTAACATTCCCACTGTTTAACAAAATGTTACTATTACTATTTTGCTCGGCAACCGAAGTACTTGTTGTAGGACAACAACAATCACCACTATTTTCATTGTCAGACAAGTAAAGTGGATATTCATCGTTAATATTGTTGGATTGATGTTGTTGTTGTTGTTGCTGGTGAGTATGTATGCTACAGATTGTTTTTGTGTTGATTGTAATGGGATGGTTGTTTATGGTACAGGTTGAAGTAGTGGTAGCAGTGTCTTGTTGTTGTTGTTGTAAAAGCATAAATGATGAAGTTGTAGAAATAGTGGTAGTTGCCAGACCGATATCATCGCTCCGCAGATGATGATTCTCAGTGGCAGCAACAGCCAGCAGTTGTTTATTGTTCGTAGTTAAAATAGAGGCAGATGTCAACGACGAGTCTGAAGTAACGGTAGCCATATTCGTTGTTGAGGGTATCGACGATGTTGTCGCAGTTGACGATGTACTATTATTGATATTATTTGATTGTATTGGTTGTGGTGGTGACGATATTGTTGTTGATGGTAAATCGATCACTGTTTGTTGTTGAATTAACATTCTCGAAAATGAATAAAAAAGATGTAAAACTCTGATTTGATTTATAAATAGAAAGATGGAAAACTAACTTTAACTACCACTTTCAAAACTCTCTTTTGGAATTTTTACTTTAATTTTACTGTATATTAAATATTTGTTTGATTGGTTGGTTGGTCGCTAGATTATATTCCTATACATTTGTTTGAATTTACTATTTTATTTTTTATTTATTTTTTTAATGATAAAATTAATATTAATATTTATTTATAATAAAAATAATTATATCTATATATATTAACATATATAAATTTAGGGAAGTGAATATGGAGGTGGAAGTGGAAGTGGAATAAGAAGTGACAGATTTATATTATTATTAATTATTATTATTATTATTATTATTATTATATTAATATTGTATGATAAATACTATTATTATATTATGATTGTAGTTATTGCGCTTGACTGAGTTGGTTATTATAATTATTGGATGATGATTATTTTAAATAAATAAATAATAATTTCTGTGTGACTGACGCCGATTTTAACTTTGTTAAGAGGGAAGAGGAGGGAAAAACAAATAATATTTAAACAGAAATATGCAACAGTCAATCAAACTGCTGTTGGTTTGTTTTGTTTTGCTAATTGATTGATGTGTGATCTATTATAAAAATAATAAATATGTTGATTGAGTGAGTGTTTTGTTTTTATCACAAAAAGTAATAAAATCGAAAATAAATGTTTGTCACAAAAAAATCAAACCTAAACCTTTTTTTTTATTTTTTTTTTTGCAGATATTATTTAAAAAATTTGATCCCACCGCAAAAATAATAATAATAATAATTGTTTATTATTAGTTCTCACAGTATGGTATGATGATGATGTGATGAAAGTGTCATTTGAAGTGGATTGGTAATTGTATCTATTTTTGATACTATGTGATATCACTAAATTTAAAATAAATATGATATGTCGACCAACCACACACATATATATGAAATTGATTATATCAAAAACTAATTCTGTCCTACAAACAAAATAAATGATTGATTGATTGATGTTCCTGTGGAATAATTCTAATAATAATTAGATAAGTAAGAATGAAGGAGAAAAAGAATGTTTTTTTTTTGTTTTGTTTTGTTTTACTTTTTTTGTATAAGTTCAAAATAATATTATAGAAAGTTACTAATTGTATGTTTTGAACGTAAAATTTTTAATAATGTATTATTTATTTTATTTTTCTTTTCTTTACAATTCCTTGGAAAATATTTCAAAGCATTTTAAATTTATTAATCATTTGTTTATTTACATAATTTTGTTGACCCATTTAATCTTATAGGATGTTTGCAACAACAAAATTTTGAAAAAAAAAAAACAAAAAATGTTTGAAAAAAATTAATTCTTTTCCCACTATTTTTCAAATAAAAAAAATAGTTTTTTTGAAAAATTTGATTATCAGTAGCGAATAATTGGAACTCGTAGCCCATTCCCTCTGTTTGTTTGTTGTTTAATGATGACGAACCAAGTGAACTAAAATTGTTTGCAGACGGTCCAACCTCAAAATATTTTATTTTTTTTGTTTTTATGTTAAACTTTTTTTTTTTTTACAATCTCAGATATCTGATTGATTCCCAATTCAAATATTGGTTTCAATAATTTTTTATTCGTATTTGGTGTTTTTTTTTTTCATAGCCTTTAAAAGGTATTAAATTTTTTTTATCTTTTAACCCTTCTGGTTTGTGGATAGATTTTTTTATTTTCTATTGTTTTTTTTTTGTTGTTGTTTTGTTGAAATAATCTCATTCAGAGCGAAGTTGAAACATTCGTCATTCTATTGATGGTTTTAAAATTATGATAAAACATTGAAAAAGCTGCAAATATGGTAATGTTTAAAATAATCTCTGTTTAATTTTGACCAAAAAAAAAAAAAAAACATAGTTCTATCTTGAAGGAAGATTAAAATGTTGTATATAAATAAATTCGAAACTGTTCAGATTTTCCATTATGAGATATTATAACTATTTTCCAAAAGAAACTAAATATCATCAACAAATGTATTTTTAATATTTTATAAATAAAAATTTGTTTTATGAAGAATAAATGGAATAGTTTAAAATAAATAATCATATCTATACACTCATAAAGAAGAAAAATAGTATATAAAAATAAATATTATGTAAAATCAAAACAAATGATTTATTTGTTATTCAACGATTGAGATTTTTAACGCTTTCTTAATCTTTTCAAGGTGGTGCTGTTTCCACTTTTAGTGCTACTGTCACTGTTGACTAGGAAATCTTCATCCTCAGAGCTAGGGTTATCTTTTCTCTTTGATAAAAAGACTTCATCGTCAGAGTCCAAACTGTCTTCACCTTCTTCGGAAGATATATCTTTAACCTTCTTTTCCTTCTTTTTCTTTTGTTCTAACTTTTGATCTTCTTCTTCTTCCACATCACTGTCATCTTCTGAAGAAATGGCCATCTCTTCTTCTTCACTTTCATTTTCATCGTCAGAAATCAATGAAATAGGTGAACTGTCAGAGTCTGGTTTAACTTGGGCATTTGCTTGACGTCTGCTTCTGCCATTGGCTGGAAATTCATTGAGTTCCGGGTAGAGATCATCACCCTCCAGACACCAATCACAATCGCCACAACCACCACAGTCACCGTTATGAGCGAGATGTTTCTCCAGTTCCGAATCTGATGCACTGTCTTCGATAGCCTCCTCTTCGTACTCGTCAATGTATGAATCGTGTTCGTCATCAATGTCCTCACCATCCAAAAGATCCAAATCATTGAGATCGACAACATCGTCATCGTCTTCATCCTCCTCTGCATAGTGTCTGTCTACATCGAATGCAATATCCAAAGATTCATCGAGATTGATTGGATTGTTGGCTGTACTCTGTGCTACCAGTGGTCGTCTTACCGCTCTTAGAGTGAAAAGTCTACCACCCAAATGTCTAACATTTGCACCAGGGAAATAGGAGGCAAGATTGAAACTTGCATCTGCATCGTCTTGGTCAGAGTCATCGTCGATGAAATCATCGATCGAATCGTCAGAATCATAGTCGTCATCGTCGTCGTCATCAAATTCAAATTCCTCATCTTCATCGCCATACTCGTAGCCAATCAGTCTCTCCAACTCCTCAGGCGAATACTCTGCCTTTTGTTCCTTGTTCGCTACTCTAACAACATTCTTACCCTTTCCAGTTTGAACTTTCTAAATTAATATTAATATTAATATATTAGTTAGTTATTCATTTTGAAGTTCAATTGATATTTATAAATTTAATTTAAAATAAAATAATATTTTAATATTAAACGCTGATAGCTTACTCTTATTGTTTTAAATTTATTTTTACATAGTGGACAACTGTTGGTTTGTTTGCTCCACTCGTGGATACAATCAAAACAAAAAGTGTGTTCACATCCATCGATCTTTGCCTCCGCAGTATATTTATCGACACAAATAATACATTGTCTAGCTTCCTCTTCTTCCTTCTTCTTTCTTTCTTTCTCAACTTCCTCCTCCTTTTTCTTTTTCAACTCCTCCTCTTCTTTTTTTTTCTTTTCCTCCGCTTCCTTTTGATAATTACTATTATAATTTCTATTTTTATTTTTGGTTATGTTACCATTATTATTATTATTATTATTACTATTATTATTTATTTTATTTTCTTTTTCTTTTTTATCTTTTTTCTTTTTTCTTTTTCTAAAATATTATTTATTTTTATTATTTTTTATTTTTATTTTCTTTTTCTTTATTTTCTTTATTATTATTATTGTTGTTGTAGTTTGAATTTGTAGTTGTTGTTGTGGTTGTTGTAGTTGTAGTATTTGATTTATAATTTCTATTATTTCTCTTAAGATTACCATTATCAGAATTATTATTTATAGTTTCCATTTCTTTTGAAGATTTTCCAGAATTTGAATTATTATTATTATCTATTTGTTGGATTGTTGGTTTTGTTGAAATGGATGGTTGATTATTGTTATTTTTGGTTTTGTTATTGTGTTTCTGGTGACCGTTATTCTTAATTGTTTCACCATTTTCTAATGGGGATTCTAATAATCGATTTGCAGGAACTTCTGATTTCCCAGCTATACCGCCACTCTCACTTGAATTTAAATTTGAATTTGAATTTGAATCCACTTTACTTTTCTTATTCCTTTTCTTTTTGATTTATTATTATTATTATTGTCATCATTCTCAGTAACGTTACCATTACTATTACCATTTTCATCATCGCCATCATGATTATCACCATCGTCATCAATATTTTTATTATTTTTATTATTATTATTATTATTATGTTTGTTGCTGTTGTTGACTTTTGACTTTTCTTTATGTTTACTATTATCTTGTACTTTTAATTTCTTTGGTTGCTCTTGTTGTTGTTGTTGTTGCTGAAGTTCGGATCTTGATTTATCTTTGTTTTTTTTTTTTTTTCTTTGATGATGACTTTTCATTTGATTGACTGTTGTTATCTTCAGAAGTATCATTATTATTATTGATATTGCTATTTGATGTCGTTGTTGTAGTGGTAGTTGTTGTCGTTGTAAATTCTATTTCTTCTTCATCATTTCTATTTGAATGATGTTGATGATTATGTTTATGACTATTGTTATTATTATTATTTGACTTATTTCGTTTTGAAGATTCTTCACCACTATTACTAATAGCTCTACTCGTAGTTTTTAACTTTTTCTGTCTTTCTATTTCATCCTCTAGCTCTTTCTTTCTCTGATTGTACTCTTCCTCTAGTTTCTGTCTTGCCAACTCTAACTCTTCTATATTACTCTTTTGCTTTTGTTTCTTACTACTATTATTGCTATTACTATTATTATTATTATTATTATTGTCGTTTGATGTCAAAGTACTTGTGCTCTTGCTTGTACTACTATTATTAATATCACCTAAGTTCTCTTGATTTTGAATATCAGGTGATTTTCTCTTCTTGTTTGAATCATTGTTGTTACTATTATTGTTATTATTCTTATTATTTTTATTGACTACATGACTTGTTGAAGTAGCAGCGGTTTCATCATGAGATAAATGACTACCACTACTATTTCTCTTTTTCATGTTGTTGTTTAAAATAAATTTGGGAAAATGAATTAATTAAAAAATTATTGTCGAATTAATCAAATCACACGTGATATGACATACACACATATCGAGTATAAAAAAAAAAAAATTGTGAAAAATAAAATAAAATTTGAAATAAATAAAATTTTCGTTAATAGAACAATTTGTAATACCAAGAAAAACTAGTAACTCTCTAATCTTTTTTGATTTGTTTTTGATTGTTTTTTTTTATCTTGTTTTATGAATGGATGGAACAACCAATTGATCGGTATAACGGTAGAGATTCTTTGAGAAGAGTGAAAGGATGTTGGGTTTGTCTGGTCCGGACTCTGCCTGAATCGCCTGTTTGATCGACTCGACCACCTTGTACTTGAGTTGGTCGTGTGGCGCGAGCTGGTCGGCCATCTGCGGCAGTCTGAGTGGGTCGAACTGCGTAACTCGCTCGTTACGGTTCCAAAAGTGGATTTGGTTCGTCTGGTAGTTGTGCGCTATCGGGAGGTCGACAAACAACTCTGAGAGACCGAGCACAGGCTGGCTTGTGCGACTGAAGAATCGGAGTGTCATGAACACGACGTGTGCATCGCGCTTGTGGATGAATGGCTCGCGGACGAGATGCGACGACGCTGCCGACAGACAGATGTCGACGATGTAGCGGTGTTGGTGCTGATGCTCCTGGTCGCCACGCAGAATCTTGAGCAATTCGAGCAACACCACTGGCGGCACCGTCAGCATGCTGACTACGCTTGCAATGGTTTGCTGGCGATACGAGGCGCCATTGATCTTCTTCTTGAAATACATCGACAGTGTCTCAAAGTCTGTCTTGGTGAGCACCGACTGAGTCACACCCGGCTTATTAGAGGCATCCAACTCGAACGTCGAGTAATCTCTAACATTCAAATGAAACTGTATCGTTTCCGAACTGAATTTCATAGTTAGAGCTTGATGCATTATATCATTAAACTATCATTGACAAAAAAAAAAAAAAACAAGTAATAATAATAATAATGTTAGTAATCATCATCATCTTTGTTTAGTTGTTTGTTTTAACATACCTCTACTTTGATTGCAGATCGCAATATATTAAATAAAAATGTACAACTCATGAATAATACAATACGTTGGAGTGAAGCTCTAAATTGTCGCATCGGTACTAACCAAGATGATCTGAATCCCTGGTTGTCTAGTGCAACTACATTGATACGATGCTCCATTATCAAGTGTATATAGGGAATGGCCATCAATTTCGATCGATGTACCTGTGGATAGAGATTAGCCATAACATTCGTATAGTGAGCATCTTCAACAATACAATTCTCTGTAGAAACAAATCTAATATCAATTCCATATCTATAATATAATACAATTAATAAACAACATTGTAAAGATAAGGATAAACAAAAAAATAATAAAAACTTACACATTTTTATAAATTAATCTAATCTGAGTGGATGATCTTGGTATAACGTAGATCTCTAGTGGTAGGAATTGAGAGGTACTACTGTTGGGTGTGTAGATGATAGCTTGAATCGAGAATACAATCTCGTTGGAGATGGCTATCGAGTGGAGTAGATTCTCCATATTCATGGATTCATTGAGATCCTTCTCAAAGAATGGCAGCAATGGATTAACAAATGGTTGATAATCCAATACTATTTGATTCTGTTTATTTACAACGATTTTAATAGTTGATTTTGAAAGTGACTTTGTTTGTTTGTTTGATTATAAATAAATATTATTATTAGAACAAATATTACTTTAAGTTTTTTTATAATATAATATTGTTTTGTTAACAATTGTACATGTACATACATAATTTAAACATATAAATTCAATTTCCTTTGGTTTAATTGATAGAATTTGGAATGTACTTTGGAACTCTTTGGATATGCGTAGTTGTTTGACGAGTTGCGATGCCAAATTGATGATTTTATTGATTGCAATTAGATCACTTTTGAAACTTGATAACCAATCTGTTGCCTATATATTTATAATATGTTTAGTTAGTTTGTTGTTTGTTAATTTGTTAGTTTTGTTTATGAATATACTATTATCAAAGTAATATGTAGATAAGATAATTACGGTATCATAAGTGAATGACCAATTTCCATCGGTTGTGTAGGTGATGTGTTTGTTTGTAATGTTCTTTAACTCTGAAAATGGAGAGAGTTCTGTGAAATCGACACGACAATGGTTATCGTTGGGGAATGTGATGATCATGTGATCGGCCACTTTGATGAGAGGCTTGGGCAGCAGTGGCTGTGTGAAATTGAATTTGATGTGATCGTCGTTGTTGATCTGGTAGGAGACACCGCTGTTGGCGGCATTCATGTACTGCACGACACTGGCAATGTTGATCTGAAACTTGGCGATCTCGTACAGACGTTTCACCAAACGGTAGATACCCAGTTGAAACTGTTTCGATTGCTGCTGTTGTGCTTGCTCCTGTTGCTGTTGCTGTGACTGCTGTGACTGCTGCTGTTGTTGCTGCTGCTGCTGTTGCTGTTGCTGTTGCAGCTGCGATACCGATTGTGAAAGTTGTAGTAGATGTTGTTGTGTCTGTTGGTGTTGTGGGTTTTGCTGTTGTTGCTGCTGCAGCTGCTGGAGTATCTGGTGTAACGGTGAACTATACTCGCAGTCCTTGATCAGTCTGAGTAGCTCTGCATTATCGATTCTCTTTATTTGTGAATCGGATGATACAATTGCAGAGTTTAAAGATGGTCTATAATAATAATAATAATAACAATTAGTTAGTAATTAGCTACAATTGTTGTTGTTATTGTTATTCGTTGTAGGTTATTAACCAGATCACTTACTTTGAATAAATTAAATGAAAAATAGGTAAGAAAGTAGTAGGATGTATAGAGATAACGAGATAGTAGATATCTTTATACTTTGGGAATCGAATACAAATGTAGTTTTGCTCTGTAAACAGCTGTGAGACGAGAGGTATCTTATAGAAACATTCGAGACGCATAAATAAAGCTGCCTCTTCAAAGCATGAGAGTAATGAACGTAGTTTGAATGTATTGACAATCGATTTGATCTCTACATAATATGTATTAAGTTTCGCTTCAAATGGTGCTATCAACTCTGTAAATATTTAAGTACAAAACTAATTAGTAACACTAACAAATAAACTAACATTAATTATTACTATTATTGTTGTTATCAAACTTACCATGATTCTTTGAAGATGATAATAAAATATTGAATTTACCAGTTAGTTGGTTCACTGTGATATCAAGATAGTTCGACCCATACAGTTGTACTCTTAGTATTGTGGGTAAAGAGTCATCTGTAGAAGTAACAATATTGCTTGTTTCATTGGATGATTGTTGTTTCTGTTGATGTTGTGAACTAAATATCATTTTAAAATCATTGATTTGAAAGGATTTACAGCTACTACTACTACCACTACTACTTGGTGTGTTGGTATTAGTAGTGCCTGATGTAAGTTGTAATTGCTGTTGTTGTTGTTGTTGATGTTGTTGTAATTTCAATTTGTTAAGATAATCTTCAAACAATATATTATAAAGATGCTGTACTCTGAAATGAGCATGCAACTCCATTGCTCTCATCAGAATCGTTTCAATATTCAACGATGGCTGTTGACATAATAAAAAAAGAAAGGTTATTAGTTTAGTTATTACTTCAACTAGACAATCGATTGTCTATCTATCTTTTTACTTACTATTCTTAAAGAACTATCTGATCTTGCGTTCTGTATATTAGGTGTATATGATACATGTAATTTATTACTATCATCGATATATATCTTTATATTCATATGTTTTTTAACTGTATAAAATAATAGATAGTTAGTTATCAACTGTTTAAAATCTTGATGTGTATAATATAATATTACCATCTAAACTACCAACTGAATTTGCAATCTCTTCAGATATCCAAAAGAATATGGTAAGTGACAAATCCTTGCCTTGTACACACTTGATATTACTTCTGAATGCTGTCTTTTTCAATGCATCCATTTGAGATGATAATGAATCTAGTTGTGCAGATACAACCAATGAATCTAGATTGTTCATAACAAATAGATAATAATAATAATAATAATTAGTAAAGAACAAGATTGATTTAAAATTCTAATGTTAATATCAAGTAAACATACGTATAATATTATGCAATTCATGTAAAGGTTGTTTGGAATGTGCTAAACGATTCTGTATTCTCTCGGTGACCTCTTTGACTCTCTCATCTACACGTATCTTTATAGGACCTTTCCCCTCCTTCAGTTGTTGTGAGTATATAAAGAGATTGAACGAGATGAGTAGCCAACTGTTTGATACACTGGCACCGTCAATCGTCAGGAACGCTTCGTATTCATTCTTCACAGTTAGATAAGCACGTCCATTCTCAACACGAATCGGTTCAAACTCACTGGGAACATCCGATAAGAACAACTTGTAACATATTATATTGTTGAGCTTGTCGATTGCTCTCGATATCTCTGTATTCGATAGAATAGGTGGTGGTAATACCATCTACAATACAACATACATAATTTAAAATTATACAAATCAAAACATTAATTAACTAAAAACATATATTTAATAATATTATTATTATTATTATTATACATACACCAATATTAACAGGCATTCTCTGATAGGTTCCAGAAGTCATTACATCGACTGCTGTCGGGATGTCATAGATGGGTGCACGCGCATTTATGAGATTTTCTTTTGTCAAAATTAGCATATCGGCAGCCTCTCTAAAAAAAGAATCTTCTTTTTCAAGTAATTGTATGATATCCTATTAATTATTATTATTACAATAGATAATTAAATTGATATTAATATTGATTTGATTTGAATCGAATTGAATTGAATTGAATTTACATTTGCTTTTGTAAGAGTATCTATATGAGATGACCATTTTAATATGACGAGAAGTCGGAGGAATCGCTCTCTTGTCTGATCGAAATAATCTAGGAGTGTACGCTTCTTATCTACATCTTTGAGTGACGGCGATATCTCTGTCAGTCCAATTAAATTATTATATGAATCTTGTACCAATCTATGAATGACCGTTGATAATTTAATTGTTTGTTGTTGTTGTGGTGGTTGTTGTTGTTGTTGCTGTGAAGTCGATTCAATTGTAGGTGATTGCTGTGATTGTGATTGTGACTGTTGTTGATGATTCATGTTTGTTTTTTTTGCAAAAACAAATAATAATGGAATTCCAAAAGAGAATATGTAGAATTATTTGTTTATTTCTGTTTTGTTTCTACACCTAACTACAGACTACATAAATAACAAACTAACCTAACAAAGTCTACTAAAGTAATTTATTTTAAACTTGGATAACACCTTTTTTTTTTGTTTTTATATGATACTTTGAAATGATTGTTTTTGAACAACCAATTCTGTGTTTATTTTTGATTACAAAATTTTTCAAACCGTTAATTTTTGTGTTTTAGCAAAAAAAAAAACCCTCCTTTTAATAAAAAAAAAAAAAAATTGCAAAGTCCTTGATCAGGTTTTGTAAATATATATTGTCCGATTAATTAATTAATCATATTGTCTTGTTTATATATATCTATGAAATGATTGATTTATTGTTTATTGGTTTAAAATGGTATTTGTTCAAAGTTTATTTTAACTAGTTAATAAAATAATTTTTGGTAGTGTTCTTTCAACATTTATTCATTTTTAAGATATCTTTTGAAATGCATACATTATAATAAATCAAAAAATATAATAAAACAATTGTATTTGCATTTTAATTAATGTTTTAAATATATTGTATAAATGAATAAAAAAAAGGAAAGAAAAAATGATTATTGTTGTAAAATATGTTTTATTTAGAAATTTTGTATAAAAAAGAATAATAACATTAAATCTAGATTAAAAAAAAAAAAATAATTAGTAATGAAAAAAAAAAAAAAAAAAAAGTTAAGTAGTAATAAAAAAGATATTTGAGTTAAGTAAGATTCTTTGTATATGGGTGGTGTTGAAAAACACCTTTTGAGTGTATAATTTGATTATATGTTCACTCAACATCAAGGTTAACTATAAGAATTAACGACTTTAAGCACGTTCACCACGGATACGCTTGGCCAATTGGACGTCTTTGACCATGATAGTTACTCTCTTGGCGTGGATAGCACAGAGATTGGTATCTTCAAAGAGACCGACCAAGTAGGCTTCAGAGGCTTCTTGGAGGGCATGGATGGCAGCAGCTTGGAAACGAAGATCGGTCTTGAACTCTTGGGCGATCTCACGAACCAAACGTTGGAATGGAAGCTTCTTGATGAGCAACTCTGAGGTCTTTTGGTAACGACGGATCTCACGAAGAGCGACGGTACCTGGCTTGAAACGATGGGTCTTCTTCAAACCAGAAGTTGATGGGTACTTGGAGGCAGACTTGTTGGCGAGATGCTTTCTTGGGACCTTGGCACCAGTTGATTTACGAGCGGTTTGTTTAGTACGAGCCATTGCTAATTGATTTAGTTAAGTTGTTTGGGAATTAAGAATTGAAAAACTGGAGAGTTTAAAAATTGTTGTTGCTTAAAGTTGATGATTGTTGCTTTTAGTGTGAATATACACTGTTGTTTGTTTTGAGAGATGATTGTTTGTTGTTTGAATGAAAAATAAAAATTCAATTGATCACTATTTAAAGACCAAGGTGGAAGTGAATGAACATCAAAAAAAAATAAAAATTTTATTGAAAAAATTGTTGGCGCCAGAATAATCGATTCCAAAAATCCGGTTGAGTAAACCCTTTTCATAATAATCAAAATAAAAAAGCGCAATTTCCAAATTGTTTTTTGTAACTGTCATTTTTTTTTTAAAGCACACTTTTCAAATTTTTAAATATTTTAAAAACTATCACCTTTATATTTCTAACAACTAAATTCCTAGAAAAATATCTTAATCAATCAATCAGCCAAACGACACAAACAATTTAATTTTTATAGTATGATTCTAGAATTATCTCATTTTTAAGAAACAAAAAAAAATTCATATGAAAGTTGAGAGTTTGTTGAATATCTCCAAAAACAAAGATTTACAATTATTACGATTGATTAAGTAATTTGTGTAAAGTCATTATTATTCATTAAGAAAATGAATGATTGTTAAATTTAATAATATAATAGATTTAAATTTATTTAAATAAAGATTAAATTTTCAAAGTTATAGTATCGAAAAATGATTGATTGATTGATTGATTGATTGTTAGATTGATTTTTGTATTAATATTGCTATTATTATTATACACTAATTAAACTACTTAAAGTTAATTGGTGTTGTGTATGTTCTCTTTAGTTGAGTGAATTGTGTTTGTTGTGTGTGTTGAGTTGTTGGTAACTGTGAATGTTGTTTAGTTAGCATAGTTGGTTGAGTGTTATTGTTGTATGCAATATTCATTCTATTTTGATTGTTTTCTTTATCTTGTTGTTGTAATAATATTTGTTGTTGTTGTAATATTACATTATTTACACCAGTACCATTCATCTGTTGTTCCTTTGCCATTAGAATCTGTTCTTTTGCCAAGATTTCTTGTTCCTTAGCGGCAACAGCTTTTTCACGTTCGATCAACAACTTTTCTTTATTCTTTAGATCCTCTTCCATTGACTTTAAATTTTGATAACTAAATTGATATGTGTCAGTCAGTTTCTTAAAACTTTATCCATTATACATATACATATATTATATATAAATAACTATTTATAAATACATACTATTGATTTAACTTTCTTTCTTTTAATCTAAAAGCAATTGGTGGGAATGAGAACAACTCTTCTACAGTTGGACGTTTGGTCATCTGTGATTATTAAAAAATAAAAATGAATTGTTTTGTTATATTAATAAAATTGGAATTGGTTTGAAAAGATAGATTAAATTATATATTTAGCTACTTACGTTAACATTCAACATTGTTGAAATGACTTGTGCTAGTTCGGTTGAGTAGTGGTCGGAGATTGGGATGTAACGACCGTCACGGATCTTCTCATAGAGTTGATTGTGAGTGGTGGCGTCGTAAAAGGGTGGACGGTGGGTGGCCATCTCGTAGACGAGACATCCAACTGACCAGACGTCGGACTTGTCGTTGTATTTACCAGTGATCTGCTCCGGACTCATATAGTGTGGAGTACCGACAAAAGTGTGGGCGTGCATCGAGTTGGTGAGGATCTTGGCAAGACCAAAGTCACCGAGCTTTACATTTCTACTCTCGTCCAGGAATAAATTGCCTGGCTTAATGTCACGATGAAGGATGACACCGTCTTTTCTATTGTGAATTTCGTGGAGTGCAGATAAAATTTGGACCAAAGTTCTCCAAATTACTTCTTCCTCAATGAAAATACTGAAATGATTATTATTATTTAATAAAAGTTAATTAATTGTCGATTTAAATTTATGTAATATTTTATAGTAGACAGTAGTACATACCGATCACTTTTGCATTTGGAAATCAATTGTGAAAGATCACCACCTGTACAGTATTCCATGATAATGTAAATCTTGGTGGAGTGTTTATCAATGATTCTGTCGTAGTATCTTACAATGTTTGGATGTCTCAACTTTTGGAGAATATTGACTTCGTTAACCAATAATTGCTTTTCTTTCTCTTTCATCTCACCATAGCAAATCTCTTTCCAAACCATAATCTATAAAAGATAAAAAGAAAAAAAGAAATGTAAAAGAATGAATTAATTATTGAAATTTAAAAATAGTCAATAATTTACTATACATACTCTACCATCTTCCTTTCTTCTAATTTTTGATACTGATCCGAATGATCCTTGACCAAGATGTCCTAACACTTCATATGCGTCCATTTTCAAATGTAAATACTAATACTATTTATTATTATTATGATAAAAACACAAAACACAAAACACAAAACACAAAAACAATACAAAATAAATAACAAATAACAAAAAAACAAAAGATATTAATTAATATTAATAGTATAGAATATTAAAATATGATTTTAATCATCAAGCTTTTGCACTCAGTATGTAAGAAAAAAAAAATTTTTGTAACAAATAGGAGGGATTCTTTAACGGACATATTAAATTTGAAAATTTGAATTTTTCAAAAACACAATTTTTTTTTTTGTTTTTAAAAAAGTAAAAGATATTATTGATTTAAGGTTGTTATATATTATTAATTTGCAATAAATAGAACTAGTACTGGTTGATTATCATATGATTACAACCAACATTGTCTTTCTTTACTTATCAAATTTATCAGCATTATTGTTATTATTGTTACGAAAATAAAAATAAAAATAAACAAATAAAATAAAAAAATATCACAAACAATGAATTTTATTTCAATTTAATATAGTATTCTGATCAGTCTATTTCTTTAGTTTTATCTCTCTCATTTTTGCACATTGTTAATAAAAACAAAACAATTTTCACGGTCATCCTTCTTTGTAACGTTTTAAAATGTGAAATTAATTTTTAAAAATTAAATTTTATTTTTTCAATTATGCGCTTCTGACACGACCTTACCCCGCTGTGTGGCTGAGTGTGCGAGTTGGAGTATGCTGTGTTGGAACGAAGCTTAACTAAAGGCGAGTCTCTTGATTACCACACACAGAAAGAGGATACAATGTCAACCAAGTATGTCATTATCTATCTATCTATCTATTCATTATCTATCATACTAGTTATCATCGTATTTAGGGATAGAGAGTGAAAGATGAATGATAGTTTAAAGAGAGAGAAAATAGAGAGGAAAGAGAAAGATACTAACGCGCTCTATTTTCACCTACCTATTATGATTATCTAGATTACATTCAACAGGAGTCGTTTTGGGATACAGAAGATCAAAGGCCACCCAATACCCAAACATTTCTTTGGTCAAGATTGAAGGTGTTGCCACCCGTGAAGACTCAACTTTCTACATTGGAAAGCGTGTTTGTCTCGCTCGTCGTGTCAAGAAGTCCCCAAAGAACCCATCAGGACACAAGCTCATCTGGGGTAAGATCTCCAAGTCACACGGTAGCTCTGGTGTCGTCCAAGCTCGTTTCCCAAGAAACTTGCCACCAAAGGCTATGGGTGCCAAGGTTAGAGTTATGTTGTTCCCATCTGCCATCTAAATCAATTATTTGGTAGAAAAATGATAAAATAAACCTGTTGTCGCGAGTTCCTCTAAATTAAAACTAAACTCTCTCAATCAATCAATTCTCTATTACTCTTTCCACTTCCTTCCTCTATTCTCACAACACAACAACAATACTTTTTCAAAAGTTATAAGATATAGGTTGCTACACTACAGAAAAAAAAAACGCAGGAAATTGAAGTAAATATATGATAATTGCATAATAGTTCAGTTAGTTGTTTAAATTACATTATTTATTTACATATTGATAGTAGTTAGTTATTGATACTGTTATTAAATTATGGATTGTTTCTTATACTATCTTTGTTGATTGACATCATCTCTTCGTCGTCTTCGTCTTCATATTCGTCGTACTCATATTCCAAATCTGGATTGTCTTTGATTGTAAATTGATTATCACCATAATCATCATTTTCGTCATCCGATTCTATTTCTTCACTATATTCTTCATAGTATTCTTCTTCATTATTGTTATTATTATTATTATCTATTTCTGCGCATTGTTGTTGTTGTTGAGAATCATCTTTAGACTTTAAAAGTATTCTATTTGAGACAAGTTTATCTTTAGTTGGTCTATTACTGAAATGATTGTTTAGTACATTCTTTTTGCTATTACTACTACTACTATTATTATTATTACAATTGTCATCGTCATTATCATTGTTGTTGTCGTGTTGATTCTCCTCTTTATCTTCAAATAGAATATGATTACCCAACAGCTTATCTTTGGTCGGTCTACTCTCCACCTTTGAATTCAACAAATGTTTAGTTTGATTAAACTTTAATATATTCCTTTTGTTTTGAATAGATGGTGATGATTCATTATCTAAAATAGCGTATAAATTTAATTAGTATCTAATATTAGATAATCTAACATAAACATATCAACTTGTTGTTACCTTTTAATATATTACGATTGGTTAGATCATCTGGTGTCGGTCTATTGATTAGTTTACGATCGAGTCTACTGTTTGAATGTTGTTGTTGTTGCTGTTGTCTGTCGGGATCCTCTTGGTTCTTGATGATCTTGCTGTCTACGAGGTGGTAGTGCGTCGGACGGTTGTCTAGCTTCTGATTGAGTTGTGTCGCGGTCTGTTGGAATTGAAGTTGCTTCTTCTTTGATTGCAACGCCGGTGCGACATCGGTCTGCGCTTGATATACGATATTGGTGTCGATCAACTGGTTGATATCCGGTCGGTTGTACAGCTTTGCATCCAGCTGGTGTGTGGTTCGTTTGAATCTTATCTTGCTTTGTCTATCATGAAACGACGGAGACACTGCCAAACTTGCTAAACATATAGTATAAAAAAAAAATAAATAATTTATTATTATTATTAATAAAATATTCTTGTTGTTATCGTTGTTGTTGTTGTTATTGGCTTGACTTTTAACACACTCACACAATGAATAAACAATGCATTGAAACACTCTCTCACATACACACCTGCGCATAAATAACAACAGACATAAACACACTTCTTACATCTTTCCTTTCCACTACTTCCTATACGCATCTTTCACTACCGCATCTTTCTTTCACTACTCTTCCCTTCCTTCAATTATCTTTCTATTAATTTACACTTTAATATTCCACGATCCAGTAATTCATTGGGGGTGTCTCTATTATCTAATTTCAATTCAATGGTATCACATACTTTATTGAATTGTTCTTCATTCATTTTTTTATTAATAATAATAATACATATAGATAGACAATTTAATAAATATGTTCAAATTTAAAGGATTGATGATGTTGTCGCAAGTGATTTGATTTAAATCTCCCTCCATTTTTTTTTATTTTATTTTTTTTTTTAATTTTTCTTTATTGTAATTTTATGATTTTTCCAACCATTTAGTTTTTGTCCAACTTTGACCAATCAGTCTGGAGTTCATGATTGTGTAGAATTGTGAGGTTTTAGGAAGAAATTTAAATTCTAGAGTTGAAAAGTTGTCATGATCTTTAATTAATATTAATAATAATAATGGATCATCACTCAAACAGCGAATGCCGACATAAACGTGGTTAGTATACTTTTGGTGAAAAAACATACACTAAAACACATTTAAATAAAAATTGTCCACCACTCTTGTGATATTTGCAATGAATGAAATATTGATCAAAAGTATTTAAAAATAATCAATAAATCTATTCAAATCATATAACTTCCCACCTAATTTTTCATTTCATTTAAACACTGAATAATTACTTTAACTAATTATTCGTAATATATATTTTTGTATCTATCTTCTACTAAAAAAAAACAAAAAAAAACAAAATAAAATAAAATAAAATTAAATAAACTAAATAAAACTATGAGTAGAGTATTAATTTTATTAATAATTGGATTAGTTTGTCTATCATCACTAGCAAATGTAAGTATTTGTAGTAAATTAAATATATTTATTTGTAAATATTCCATTGGCAATTTCATATTAAATCAGAACTTTTCCAATTTAATATATCGATAATAATAATATTAAATATTTATATTATTTATTTATAGGCAGGTATAATTTTCTCAAAGATAACAGGTGGTACAAAAGTTAGTGTATTCATCAATGTTCCATCGGCAACTGCAGCGTCTCGTAGAGGAACATATGCATTCAGAGATGAATATAATCGTCATATGCTTCAACAGTTTTCCACTAACTTTGACAATATATTTGCAAAATTCAAAATTGCCGCACCATTCCAATTCAAAATCGATCCAAGCTCTGAATATTTCTTGGTGATCAATGGTGATGAAGGAAACAAATCAGCCAAATGGGAGTTGGGTGAGGAGAATGGTAATCAAGATATGCTCTGGGCGGAATCACTCTTTGAGAATCCAAATCTCGCTAGAATTCTAAATCCCTCAAAAGATTTAGTAAACGTTTCAAATTATTAAAGTATTTTGTTTGACTTTCAACCAGATCTCAACAATAAAGTTAAAAAATATAAATAAAATAAATAAATTTATTTCTTATAAATAATATAATATACAATATTGTTTTTATTTTGTAAACAAACAAAGTAAACTAACTAACTGTTGGATGATGCAATGATTGATTTGGTATGTTTTACATATTGATTGGATGAAAATAGTAATTGTCCATTTGGCAAGTAATGATGTAAAAGTAATAATATATCTTCACTCTTTGTAAATATCTATATTTTCCATTTATTGTAAGATGTTAGTTAGTTAATCAACTATTGTCATACTTTAATATAATAGTATAGCATTATACTAACCTCTTGTATTGATGATTTCGAAATTACATTCTTAAAGAAATCTAAAAGTATATTATTAAACATATTCAAAAAGTTTATAACAAGTAATCTATTTTCATCAGGTTCACATATTACTGTGAAACAAACACTACATACATATAACATACTAAGTTAGTTCTTAATATAATAATAAATTATATATATATATGTTTTTTCTTACCCTAACATCTGTTTCCATATTACATATTTTGAGGTACTAAAGTATTGTGATGCAGAGGAGATAGAATCGTTTGCTGGCGATATGACGGGTGTTGTTTGTAGTTTGGGTGGTACGATTCTAAAGATTCCATCTCTTGGGCCGTTGTCACTGTTTCTCGATGACATACCGGAACTACCCGATGCACCGGTTCCACTGGTGACGGGTGGAGCACTTCCACTTGAAAGTGCAGCTGCAACCTGTTGCTGTTCTCGCTGTCGCTGTAGGAATGCCACTGCCCAATCGGGATAGGCACGCTCATCAGGCTTGGTATTATCACACTGATATTTAAACTGATGTTCACTAAGAACTCTCTGTACAACGGCAGTCTGTCGTCTCTGCATCATCTCATCATTACCATCGGAAGTGTAGAACTGTGAGCAATACACTACAAAATCTGAACTTCCACCACTTCCACTAACTGTTGTTGTTGTTGTTGATGGTAATGAATGTATAAGCAATCCATATACCATTTTTAACACTAACACTTTATATATATATACACTACACTTTAACCAAAATGATCATTTTTTTTGAAGCAATCAGATTTTTTTTTTTGAGATTTTTTTAAATTATTTTATATTAGTCAATTGATAGTTGTTTTTTAATTAAATAAAATTAAAATAAACAGTGTACAATGAATATAGTTATTTCTTTATGACATAAATAACAATTGGTATACATTGTCGATAGTTATTGAAATTTGGTCAAATTTGGTTTTACAATTATCTTATACTTTTGTTTCCAAGATTCTTCAACATCATGACTTTTAGATTTAATCGATATTATAGCTATTCACAGATATAATTAATTTAAAGAGAATTCACAAAATTTCATACGACTACAATAAACTTGCCTGTATCACTTTCACTTTTTCACAAAACACACCACGATAAGCATCACAGTATAACTCTACAACAAGCCAACAAAACAACCACCAAATGTCGTTTGCTAAGCGAGTTAGTTACATTAACCTGGTTTTTTCACTTTTATTGCTAATTTACTCACACAACCAAATCTTTTCATAATTTCTAATATAGTTAAAACAGAGTTTTTTAAATATAAAAGTTCTAACAAGATTTAATAAAACTTTAATTTAATGTTTATTCCAAAGATTCTTCTTAAATATCTTATAATGATAAAAAAAATGACAAAAAAAACGACAATCACTGATTTTACAAAATTATTTAATATTCATCATCTATGTAATGAATCATTAAGCAATATTTATTAATCTAAATATCTGAATGAATATTTATACATATAAATATATATTTATAAATGTCTATGTGGCTCATTCGATTTGGTCAACAGTAAAACAATGACTCACACCTCTCTGACTTATTTTTTTTTTTTTTTCATTTTTTTTAAAAACCAAAATCCACACTCTTGGCAAAAAAAATAAATAAAACAACAAAACAATCAGCATCTTCACTATTTTGATTTAAAGTTAATTAGAAACTTCATACAAGCAGCAAAAAAAAATATTTACTTTTTTGTTTTTTTTTTCTTTTGACTTTGATTGAATTTTGTTGTTTTTAAATAGAGACAAAATTTAAAAATATTAATAATCATTTATTTGTATTATTTTTATTATTTATTTTATTTTTATATATTATAGGTTTTTTTTGTTTATATTGTTGTTATATTAGTAGTTAGTAGTGAAAGAAAAGGAAAGAAAAGAAAAGAAAAGGAAAAAACAAAAAAGATAGAAAATTAGTTTTTTTTTTTTTTAAATATTTATATATAATAAAATAATAATTTAGATAATGTCGAAATTAAAGGAAATTCAAAAGCAAGCGACATTTGCATGGAGTCCATTGGTAGATAAACCAGATCTGATGGCAACCGGTACTGTTGCCGGTACAATCGGTTTGGACTTTGATACCAGCTCAAAGTTGGAGTTGTACTCATTGGACATCACCGGTCAATCACCACAGATGACTCTGAAAGGAACGGTCAACGCAGACAGTCGTTTTCATAAATTGGTATGGTTACCATCGCATGCCGGTCAACCCAACGGTTTAGTTGTTGGTGGTATGGAAAATGGTTCAATCGGTATCTGGAATCCATCAAAAATATTAGCGTAAGTTTGTTAATCATCAAATCAAAAGCATCAAATCAATCATAAAGATATAATTAGTTTAGTTTAACTAATCGTTTCATTTTCCTTATATATTATATCATTATATATATATATATATTAGTGGTGAAGATGCACACGTTGGAACTGGACAAAAACACAGTGGTCCAGTACAAGCATTGGATTATAATATTGTACAACCAAACTTGATTGCATCTGGTGGAAATGATTCAGAAGTATGTATATATATTTACTTGACATTCATATATATATATATATAAATGTTGTATTTTGTTTATTTACATTTTTATTTTCTTTTAATAATATTATCAGTTATTCATTTGGGATTTGTCAAATCCAAGTTCACCATCTGCTTACTCTCCAGGAAACAAAGCTCAACAATCAGAGATTACTTCCATTTCATGGAATAGAAAAGTTCAACATGTAAGTTCAAAAAAAAAAAAAAAAAACAATGTGTTTTTCCAACTTCATTTTCACTTTTACTTACTTACTTCATTTCATTTTTATTATTTTGTTCAAAATAAAGATTATTGCATCAGCATATTATAATGGTAATACCTATGTTTGGGATTTGAAGGCAAGAAGATCGATTATAAACTTTAGTGATAGAAACAGAAAGTGTTCGACAAGATCGATTCTTTGGAATCCAAACGAGGCGACCAGCATCGTTACCGCCTCGGAGGACGACGACCACCCAGTCATCCAGACCTGGGATTTGAGATATATTAACACTCCACTGAAAACACTGGAGGGACATCGTCGTGGTGTCTGGGGATTGTCGTGGTGTCCGTTCGACTCGAGCCTCTTGCTCTCCTGCGGCAAAGACAACCGTACCATCTGCTGGAACATCGAGAAGGGTGAGATTCTCTGTGAGTTTGAATCGAGCACCGACTCGAATCACTGGAACTTTGACGTGCAATGGTCGCCACGTATCCCAGCGGTCGTCGCCACCTCGTCGTTCGGTGGAAACATCAATGCTTTCTCGTTGCAAGACGTCAATCCACGCGCTGCTACTCCCGCGCCAAACGCACTTGGCGTCGTCGAGCCAGTTGCCGCACCGCTCTTCAAGCACACACCATCGTGGTTGCAGCGTCCAGTCGGTGCCGCCTTTGGATTCGGTGGTAAGATCGCTGTGTTTGGCCGTCGCAAACCAGTTGGAACCAGTCCAGGTGCACCGGGCACTGTTGCCGCACAGCAACGTACCATCCACATCTCACAGGTCGTCACCGAGCAAGGTTTGTTGGAGCGTGCCGACAAGCTGGAGAACGTATTGAAACAGCGAAACTACGAGCAATTCTGCGAGGAGAAGATCAACGCATCGACCTCCGCCGAGGAGAAAGCGACCTGGGGATTCCTTAAGGTGCTCTTTGACGAATCCAGTCGTAAGAAGATTCTCAACTATCTTGGACACGACGTCGAATCCACACAAAATGAATTACAAAACTTCCTAAAGACACTTCCAGAACTAAAGATTTCCAGTGGTGATAAAGAGAATAAACAAGATAGCCAACAACAACAAGAGGATGAACAACAACAACCAACAGAAAATGGAGATAACAATTCAACTGAAGGTGGAGAGAAGAAGGATGTTTTCAGTTTGTTCAAATCATCGACTGACGAATTGCCATTGGAGGTTGTCAAGAATTTGAATATCGTTCCAATCTCGTTCCCAAAGGACGGTGACGAACAATTGATTACCAGATCTTTGTTGATCGGTGACTTTGCCACTGCTGTTCAGTGTTGTTTGCGTTTGGGTCGTATGGCAGACGCGTTGATTTTGGCATCGTGTGGAAGTACCGATCTCTGGAAGAAGACACAACAAGCCTATTTCGAAATCGAACAACGTCCATTCACCAGAGTTCTCAGTTGTATTGCACGTGAAGACTTTGCCACTCTCGTCCAGAGTGCCGACCTCAAAGACTGGAAGTCGACACTCTCCATCCTCTGTACCTACGGTACCGAGGAGAACTTCAAGCGTTTGGCCGGTGTGCTTGGTGACCGTCTAGACGCCGCTGACGACACCGAAGCAGCCACTCTCTGCTACATCTGCGCCTGTGACATTGACAAGACCGTCAACATCTGGACACGTTCACACGCATCCAATAAGGAGTCGAGCAACAGCGAACTCTTGAATCTCATTGAGAAGGTCAGCATCTTTAGAAGCGCAACCAACTCCACCACATTGTCCAACGACACACTCGCTTCGAAATACTCCAAGTACGCAGAGATTCTCGCTTCTCAAGGTCACTTGACCGATTCACTCCGTTATCTCTCTGCACTCAACACCACTCACCCATCTTCTGACCCAAGCGGACTCGTTCTCTTGGATCGTGTCTATCGTGCCGCTCCAAATGTACAAGGTATCGCTCCACCACCCTTCCCATTCCCAATCGTCGATGTCTATCCATCTGGAGGTGCTCCACGTACTCAATTCCAACAACCAATTCAAAATCAACAACAACAACAACAACAACAACATCATTCCAACAACCAATAATGAACAGACAACCACAACCACCACAACCAATCCAATCACAACCATTCCAAATGGGTGGAGGAGTTGCTCCTCCATTCGGTCAGCAACAACAACCACCACAACCAATTCAATCACAACCACCTCAAGTCGGTGCATTCCCGACTGGCGTTAACATGAATCGTGGCGGTCCAATGACAATGCCACCACAGACTGGAGGATTCGTATCACAACAGCCACCACCACCAGTTTCACACCAATTGCCACCACAAGCTCATCACCTCAGTCCACCAACTTCCTCCATGTTACCACCAACCTCACATCAAGTGATTCCACCAATGACACACCAACACAATGTTCCACCACCAATGACACACCAACACAATGTGTTACCACCGATGGGTCACTCTGGTATGCCACCACAACCACACCACTCACATCCACCAACCGTCCCACCAACCAACAACAACATGATGCCACCATCTCCAGTTGTCCCAGTCGGTAGTCTCTCACCGGTAACACCATTGTCGCCACCAACTCACTCTGCTCCACCAATGACAGCCACAGCACCCAAGCCAACCGCCACCTCAAGCCACGATTCGCCAGCTACCACCTCGTTCACCGCTCCACCTCCAAAGGCCAACGTCCACAACACTCCACCAAGCAATCCACAACCAACACCAGAGATGAACGAAAAGATCAGCGCGCTGATTGGATCACTCCAAAAGTCACTCCAAGACCTTTTGGCGGGTGGTGCCAACAAACAAAAGTGGGACGATGCCAACCATCGTATCCAAAACCTCATCAACAAGCTCAATAAGAACGACCTATCGCCATTGGCAATCAACGCACTCGAGGGTGTCATCTCATCGATCATCGAAGGTGATTTCAAGACTGCCAACAGCAAATATCTTCAGGTAACATCAAGCCCATTCTGGAATGAAATTGGTTCTCAATCAATGATTGGTTTGAAGCGTATCATTGATCTAGGTTTGAAACCAAATTAAAAAAACCAACAAACCAATTATATAACTTCCCCAAAAAAAATAAAATAAAATAAAATAAAATAAATAGTTTAAAATTAGAAAACATTGTGATTTTTGAAAAAAAAAGAAATAGAAACTATGTCTATGTCCTCTCCACCCTCTTGATACATAAAGTCAGAAGCGAGTTCTCAAATTGCCTTTCATTTCTTTAAAGAAATAGAAACAACATTATAATATCATATTTATTAAAGCAATCAACTTATATGTCGGACCAGAATTATCGCCTCTGGTTCAAGCTTTTGTTATGTAAAAGAGTATCTATGGAGGACATAGAAACTTATATCTTGCAGATCTTCAATTGATTTTGTAAAGCTGTAAAGTCCAGATTATCTGGATTCACGGAGTAGCTGTTTGATGGCGCGTAAACATGATATCCAAAAAGCTTTGACTAGACTCACCTATCATTCCTATTTGTGTTTTGTGAGGAATGTTATCACTCTCCAAAATCAAATGAATGTCATACTGATAAAGCTATCTTACCTCATCAATGTACAATTGAGACAAGTATATTTAAATCCTAAATTCAATGAGATAATTACTCTTTTCTGAAAAAATCATAATTTTTTAATTTGAACATAGAAACTGATAGTGAATATTTAGAATCCAATCAATCTGACAGATTTTATCAATGTTTTGTGAATGCATTCAATAGTTTTTCTCACAGAAATTGTATTGGTGTAAGACCTGTTGCAAATGAGCCAACTGTAAATTGGTTAACATTTAAAGATGTTTATCAAAATTCTGAAATGTTTGGATCTGCTTTAAAAATAAATGTTAAAGTAAATATTAAAAATATCTTATGTCTTTATTTTTAATTATTAATATTTTATTTTAATTTTCTAAGTATGAATCAAGAGTTGGAATAATGCTCAATAATGTTCCTGAATGGTATTTCGTAGAATTTGGATGTCTATTTTATGGATACACTCTTATTCCTATCAATCATTATATCAGTATGTTCAATTAAAAATATTGTTTTATTTAATTTGATTACTAATTAATAATAAAATTACAGATAATGATCAATTATTGAATATCCTTAAGATTGGAGAACCATCAGTTCTTGTGGTTTCAAAGATAACATTTCCAAAATTACTAAATGTGATAAACAACTATTCAAATTTAACATTGATCATACATGTTGGTGATGATTATGATCAAAATTTGAAAAATCAACTTCCACAACAAATCAAATTCAAATTATATTCTGAATTCTTATCTACTGTTTCTGAAATTGCTCCACATTCACCATTGATCAATGGTATTTTATCAATTGGTAAGGATAATTTGTGTTATAATTATATTTATAAGTTTTATTTTATTTTATTATATAATTAATTTAAAAATAAATATTATCATTTATTAAAAAAGTATTTTCAACTGGTAGTACTGGTGTTCCAAAAGGAGAGATATGCAAAGATAGAGATACTACCAATTGTTTAAAAGCCTTTTCTTTATTGAAAATAAGCCTTATTTCTATCAGTTATCTTTCTCTTTGTAAGTTAGAATCTGTTTTATTTCATTATTAAATTGAGAAATATAACTAATCATTTAAAATAGCTCATACTCAAAGGAAAATGGATTTAAATAGCATTTTTCTTGGAGGTAGATTTATAATTTACTCTTTGGGCACAGAGATAGAACCATTTATTAAAGAGTGTTCAATGGTTAGACCATCATATTTCTGGAATTTCCCAACGTAATTAAATTAAATTTTTTTATTTTATCTTATTTTTATTAATTAATATTTCATAATAGATTTTATAATCAAATATATTCAAAGTATCAAAGAAGATTAGAAATAATAAAGAAAGAACAACCAAATCTTTCAAATGATGAAGTTGATTCAATAGCAATTAGAGAAACAACAAATGTTTTTGGAGATAGAATTCAACACATATCAGCAGGAGGTGCTAAAATAGCTCCACATATTGAAATATTTTTGAAGAAATGTTGGGGAAATCGCTTTTATAACCACTATGCTTGTACTGAATCATATGGTATTGCATCTAATGGTAGAATTATAAGTGATGTAGAGTATAAAATCAATGCAATACCTGGTTTCAGAGATGAAAGTCCATTTCCAGTTGGTGAATTAATTGTCAAATCACCAAGAACTATTGAAGGTTATATCAACAAAGATGGTTCAAATGAAAAGAATTTCAGAAATGGATGGTTTGCCACTGGTGATATCGTTGAAGAATATGAACCTGGATACATTAGAATCCTTGAGAGAGTTAGTTTCTCTTTCAAATCATCATTTGGAAGATTTATATCGTAAGTTTTCTTTTTTTATTACAATTTTAAAAGAATATTTATTATTAATTTAAAACCTTGATGCAGACCCGAAATCATTTAATCAAATTTTTATTCATCATCTTTGATTAGAAATATATTCATTTATGGAACATCATTACATCCATTTTTGGTTGGAATAGTTGTACCTTCTCAATTGGCTTTGGAGAGATTCAATCTAACATATGATCAATCAAATATTGATCAACATCAAGATCTGAAAGAATCTATCATCAATGAAATAAATATCATATCAAAACAAAAGAATGTAAGTAAAATTAATAAAACAACCAGGATTTAACTTTTTTTCTAATTTTCTAATATATTTAATAGATTATATTTTGGGAAATTCCAAAGGCAATAAAATTGGATAATACCATTTGGACTGTTGATAATCATCTTTTAAATGGATCTTTCAAATTCGATCGAAAAGAAATCACAAAATACTATCAAGAATCTTTGGATCAATTATTATCAGGTATAAATGAAAATGGTAGTTCATTCTTCTAAATCAATCAACTTTTCTAAAATCTATCATTAATAAATCTTTATTTTTTTGAACCCTTAATCTAGGTTTTTGAAAACAGGGGTAGAATTTCTCTTATTATGTTAAGTAAAGTTGTGGTAACATTTAATTTAAAGGATGGGTTGTATTACTATTATTATGAATTAAATAGTTTGACAAGTAAATCATTCTTTTTGTATAAGAATTCAAGAAACAAAAAAATAAAATAAAAAAAGAAATTAATTATAAATTTTACTTACCCTTAAAGTGATCAAAGATTTGACTTAATGATCGAAATTTACAGTTTTAATAAAGAATTCTCTTTTTTTTAATATTAAATTAATTTTTTCATTTATTTTTTGCAAATATTCTTAGTTTTTTAATCAATCTAAAAACTATCTTGTTCGTGCCTATCTTCTTTTTAAATAGGAATTTTATAATTTTTAAAATCAAGTTATAACAATTATAAGAAGATGGAATTACAACCATCATCATCATCGGATGAAAAAGAAAATCAATTCTTTGAAGTAAAGTATCATACACACAAATTTTAATGGGAGAAAAAAATTTCATATATTAATTAAATTTTTCTTATAAAAGTTGGGTAAATCTATTTTAAAAAGAAAAAATATAGATGCAGAGTTAATATTCTTTTGTAGAGCTGGTAGTCACAGTTTCAATTTGAATGTGGAAACAAGTGATTCCGATTACTTTGGTGTGTATGAGATCGATATTGATTTGGTGTTGTCTGGCAGTGTCACCGCTCAACAGTCGCTGATCGACGGACACGAACCAGAGGATTTCGTAATGTATGAAATCGGTAGATTCGCAGAGTTACTACTGAAAGGAAATCCAAAGTTAATAGAACCGTTGTTCACTACCAACTATTGTTATGTCGCACCAAAGTGGCGAGAACTGGTCGAGCGACACCGCCATGCTTTCATCAGTCAACTGGTTATCTATCACTACATTAGCTATAGTAAAACGATGATGGGGGATGCCAAGCGACTTACCTCCAATAACAATAGCGGGAAGAAGCCAATGAGTACCGAGCTCAGCAGCAATCATTCACCAAACAAGAAGCTGTATCATACGATTCGTCTGTTGAACGAAACCGTTAGGATGTTGGACGGCAAGGATCCAGAGGTGTTTCTCACAGGCGAGCATCGTGAATACATCATGAGTATTCGTCGTGGTGAGATTGAAATAGAGAAGCTCGAACAGGAGGTCGCTCGACTGTATATGATCATCGACGAGAAGATGCAGGTGATGCAATCGACCAACCCAAACAACATTCCAAGCGTTGCCGACTCCAAGTTGATCGACAACTGGGTAATCTCATGTAGAAAACAAACTATGTTGTCGGCAAACAATAGCGAAGAGTATTTCTCAATGGATGAATTAAAGTTGGATGTGGAGTCATCGAGTGATTTGATAAAGAATGTTTATAGCAGAGCACTGGAGGTATTACGAGATAACAAAGTAGATGGTTCAGTGTTGTATATCGGTAGAACAGGTAGTCATCTTCATAATCTTCAGGTGGAAGACGTCTCTAGTGACGATTGGTTCGTGGTGTTTGCTGCATCGCTCGATCATGTATTCTCAATCGAACCGACACCGACAAGATTGGAATCGATTCAAGTGCAATCCACCACGACATCCGGTGCACAGGCAGAGAAAGAATCGGCTAGCAGTAGAGATACCTATGTGAATGGTGTACAGTTGATCGAAGTAGGTTACTTCCTATCTCTATTGTCACAGGGTAATCATCGTGCAGTAGAATTGTTCTACGCAGAGCAACAACCAACAACCTCATTACATTGTAAAGCATGGAATCTACTTAACCAACATAGCTACATGAGTTACAACTTTATGCAACATTGTTGGGGTGTTGCACAAGGTCAACTTGCAAAAGTTAAATCATTACTTAAGAATAACAACAGCGGCGATGAACAACAACAACAGCAACAACAACAACAACAACAAATTAATAAGCATCTATATCATAGTTTCAGATTGTTAAAGTTATCGGAACAAGTTGCAGATAGTAGCAGTAGGTTAGAGGTGACCGTTTCAAGTGAGAGTAGAGATAGCTACTTGATGATTAGATCGAATCAACAGCCACAACAAACACAATCAACACTTCAGAAATGTACAGATATCTCAAACAAAATAACAATAGCAATCAAAGAAAAGAAGAATCAAGAGCAAACCAACAACAAATTAGTATTGGCCAACTGGCTAGCAAAACTTAGAAAATCATTATCAAAATAAATAAAATAAAATCGAATGAATATATTTTCGCATTTATTTTTCATTCATCTTCATTATCAATATCTTTTTGTATCAACAAACAAAACATGACTACAAATAATAATAATAATAAAAACAATGTAAACAACAACAACAATAACAATACAAATAAACCAAAAGCAAGTCTTTGGGAAAGATGGATTGTATGTTATCAAAGTCAATCTATTGATTCGGTAGTTTTAAATTTAAAATGTTAATATTCTTATAAAAATAAACATAAACATAAACTATAGGCTATAAATCCAAAAAAAGATTGATACTTAGTGCTAGTTTATTGGCTATTTCGTGTGTTGGATTATATGTAGATTCGCTAAACCCAAAGGATAATCCATTTACAACACCGTTCGAACGAAAAGATATAACTTATAGAACTATAGATTATCGTAAGCCTGCCGGTCAGCGTGTTACAGTCACTCGTAATGGTGTGGTAATCGAAGGTGGTCCAGATAACATCAAACCAAATCAAAATCAATCTGAGACATCAACAACAACAACAACACCAACAGCAGACATCTCAACTGAAAACAAATAGAATATATATAATAATAATAACTATCGATCTACAATAAGTTACACAAAACAACTATCAACGTTTCATTTTCACACTAAAGTTCACATTGATATAATATCGCATTATTCATTGTAAGATGAACTTTTAATTCCAAGAAAACATATTAAAGTTGTCCAATAGAATAACCAACAAAAACAAAAAATAAAAAAATATTTTTAAAAAATTAATTTATATAACTTTTAATTAAATAGTGTGTGTGAAGTTGTGCAAGTGACTTGTATATATCAGATATTTATTATAATGAATGAAGCAGATTTAAATACAAATAGTGATAGTAATAATGGTGGTGGTGGTGGAGATAATATTAATAGACATGAAGAGTTACAGAAACCACCTGTATTGAATGGAACGATTTTCAATCCAGTGTTGAAATCTAAACTGAAAAGCAGTGATACCATTCATGTAAATAAATTGCAACCTGGCAAAAACAACATTGGTAGAGCTGCTATCAATCATATACATTTCAAAGTTGAGAATGTCTCTAATTTTCATGCTACTTTGGGTATGTAAATAGTTAGCTTGAGTGATGAACAATAAAGTGCAATGGATTGATAGATTGATTAACACTTTTAATCTAAATATCTATCTATAGAGGTCAGTGATACATCGGTCTCAATCATAGATTTGAATAGTAGAAATAGAACTATCATTATGGTTCCACCAAGTCAGGAGTTATTGACGCTCAACCCCAACACATCATATTACTTAAAGAATGGATCAAAGATATGGATAGGCAGCGTTTGTTCGATTGTTAATTTCAGTTTTGCACCGACTTCACCATCTCCTCCAATTCCTCAACAACAACAACAACAACAGCAACAAACTACATCACCAACAAATAATATTACAGGTTCAAAGAGAAAGATTGATGATGAGAGTGTTGCTGCTCCTGTTCCAACAGGAACTACAACGACAACAACAATAGCATCGTCATCATCCTCATCGAATGCTGTTATAACATCATCGTCATCCAGCGATCATATCGTTAACAGTCAAGAGGAACGTGATGGTACACTATCTCCATTCTCTTCAACTCTGTTACATAAAAAGAAAAAGGTTGATGACAATACCACCATCAATAACACTGATACCATCAATAACAATAGTAATAACAATGACGAAGTTGGAGGTAGAACTATTGTCAATGATCAAAGTAGAAGCGCAATTGATATCAATACCAATAGAAATAGTAATAGTAATAGTAATACTCTTCTAGACAACAATAGTAACAATAATAACAATAATAATGATGAAATGAACTTGGATGATATGATTACAAATTTAACTGATAAACAACAACAGAAACAGCAGCAGCAAGAACAACAACAACAACAACAACAACAACAACAACAACAACAACAACAACAACAACAACAAGAACAGAGTATCCAAGAACCACAACATCAGCAGCATATAGAAGAGCAACCTCCACAACAACAACAAACAACAATAGATGAACCAGAAAAACAAACAAACAGCGATAAAAGAAGTCAGTCTGGTAGATCACAAGAGCAAGTCCAAGATAATATGAGTATACTAGCTCCACAAATACAAGAGGAGGATGACGATGAATTGGAACTAGAGAAAAATAATGAGAATGAAAAAGAAAAAGAGAAGGAGAAGGAAAAAGAAGTAGAGATGCAGGTAGATGAGGAGGAGGAGGAAAATATAGATTTAAGTAAAACCAACAATAAACAACAAGCAGAAAACCAAAAGAATAGTAATCAAGAAGTGGAAAGTGAAATAGAAAAAGAAGATATACAAATGGATACCTCAGATAGTGGAAATCAAGATAAATCAATAGAGGAAAATGAAAAAGAGAAGAATATAGATAGCGCGAAAAATGTAACAGAAATAAATAGTAAAGACAATCAAACAAAAGATATAGTAGATGACTGTAATGATAATGACGATAACATAGCACAAGAAACAGAATCAATTACAACAAATATAACGACAAATGAAATAACTAAAGAAATAGAAACAGAAAATAAAGAAAAAACAGACAAAGGAGATAGAGATGTAGAAAAAGAGAAGGAAATTGAAGAAGAGGAAGAGGAAGAAGTCATTGTCAGTCAAGATGAAAAAGAAAAGGAAAAGAAAGACATTAAGAATAAGGAGAAGGAAAAAGAAAAAGTAGAAGAAGAGGAAGAAGCGGAAGAAGAAGAAGAAGAAACAAAATCAACACCAAAATCATCTCAAACTAAGTCATCAAGATCAACAACTAGGAAGTCATCGCAACCAAAATCAACACCTCCACCTAAATCACCTAGAAAATCGAGTGCAAAACCAAGAGCATCATCTCAGCAAGATAAAGACTCACCGTCACAACACCCACTTTCTAATTCAGAACCACTGGAATCTAAACGTTCCGATACAGCGAAACCAAAGATTATTTTCACTTCACTCGATGAATCGATAGTCAACCAACTGACCAAGCTTGCCAAGTCGATGGGCGCTCAGATCGTCGACAATCCCGAACACTGTACGCATTTGCTGTGCGACGGAATCAAGAGAACTGCCAAGATGCTCGTTGCCATCTCCACCGGCAAGTACATCGTCGACAAACAATGGCTGAAAGACTGCAAGAAAGTGGGTCACATTCTCAAGGAGGATCAATATATAGTGCGCGACAAGCATGCTGAGGCAGAGTGGAAGTTCAACCTGGCCGAGTCACTCCAGTTGGCGCGACACCACCACCTATTCAGTGGTTACACATTCCACATAATGGAGAACAGTGTGCCAGCGAGTTCATTCCTCACCGAACTCGTAGAGATAAACAAAGGCAAGCTCATTAAGAGCGTTACACAGAGTGCTGTCAACTCACACAAAGATCTCATTGTCATCGCCGGCGAAAAAGACAGGCGCAAAGCGAAATCTCTAGTCGAAGAATTCAACCTTGTTATTCATTCCGGTGAATTGATACTTGTTTCAATACTTAGACAACAGTTGAATCTAAGTGAATGTATAATTTACCAATAATAATAATAAAAAAAGAAATATAAATATACAATTGTTTAAAAATCTATCCTTTTTTAATATTACGCTTTATTGATAATAAAAAAACTGGATTTTACAATATTTACTACTTTCACCCCCTCCTCATGTTCACACACTAATATTATTAATTTATTTTTAAGTTTATTTGCAATTTGTTTTTGGGGTGGAGATCTCACACTTAGTTATCATAGAAATTCTCATTTTTTTGAAACCAATAATTTGCAAACACATTTAAATATGGATGTTTTTTTTTGTTTTTTTTTTTGCTTTTGGATTGTCAAACAAACACTCTTTCTTGTTGAGTTTCACAACACAACACCAAACGAGTATTTTATACAGAACATTGTTTTATAACATATATTATTTTTATTATTTATTTGCAAAGAATGAAACAAACAAAATAATAATAAAGGAAAATAGAAAAAAATTAAAAAAAAAGAATAAAAAATAACAAATAAAAAGTTGACAAGATTTTTCAAATAAAATTAAGATAAAAATAACAACAACTTAAACAAATTTGTAAGTCAATCATTAATCAATAATTATATTATACTTTTTAAACAATTGTATTTTAAATGTTTGTTGTCAAGTTCAACTCGATTTTTATTAAATTAAATTTTTAATATAAAATGGGTTGGTTTCCTGCAAAACATCTCTTTTTTACACCACATTCCTCCTCAATTTAATTTTTATTTTTGTTTTCTATTTTACAACAACACTTTGGCTTATTGTATTGTTTTAAACACATTCAAATCATCAGGTTTAGTCAGATTGCTATTGATGGAAGGATTTGACTATAGTCATTTATAAATAGTGTTGTTGAAAGAGTGGTTTTAGCTTTACTTCTATATGTGTCAATTCAATCAATCTATTGGCAATTTTATATATTTTTGCATAAATTATTTACAAACTCTCAATTTGTTTATCAATAATTGGGTCGTGAAGATGTGTCATTAATGATAGCTTTTCTTTAAACCATTTGTAAATAAACAACAGTCTCATATTATTAATAGAAGAAATTTACATTTTGTTATAGATAGGATAGAGAAGTCTTAACTTAATAAAATAGAGTATTTATTTAAAGAAAAAAAGTAGTTTTCAACAAAATAATAAGCAATGTTAAATTATGTTATGTTATGTTTGTTGTTATCAATATGATCCATTTGTAGATTAAAAAAGTCATTGGAAATGAAAATTTTGTTGCCTTTTATAATCGATTGTAAAGAAATGCACTCACTCTAAGCAGCAAGCAAACAAGCAAACAACCTTATAGAAATTTGGAATAATAAAAATATGAAATCAATACAAATCAATCAGTCTATACACTTCATACGACAGATGTTCATATCATTAGCATGACAACTAACACTACCTACCTACCTATTGAATACATATATGTCAAGACAACACACACCCACACACACATTGAACAAAATAGAATCGAGTTTAACAACTAAATTCATATCAATCTACTTATATAATCTATCTATACTTTTATTTAGTAACAATCCAATTGTTTTGTTTTTAATAGTATTAATTTTTTATTATTTTTATTTATCCTTTTACCTATTATTATCAACATCAACACCATCTAATATTATTAATTTTGCTTTCATTCATGTATATATGAGAAGTGTTAAAAGTGAAAAAATTAACAGTGTGTGTAAATATGTGTGTTTCTAATCAAAATCATATCAGTGTTTTTTTTGTTTTTCAATAACATTAAGCCAAAATAAAACATTCGTCCCACCAATCACAATATTGAGAAATCATTTATTCCCACTCCAATTCCATTATCAGACAAATTTAATATATGAAATATCCAAATCTATACAATTTTATCATCACCAAAAATAAATAAATATATAGACACTGTCAAAAAATATTTGTTAAAAATTTATTTTTATTTTCATAAATTTGCAAATAGTGTATTCAATCTTCACTTTCACTCCACCGATTTTCTCTTTGTAATATTAGATCTAAAATTACTTCTATTGGGTGATGTTATTGTTTTTGTTGTTGTTAATGTGTTGTCAAATATACTCACTTGAAATCATAATAAAATGTTAGTGTTGTTTGCTTACTTCACTCACTCATCACTCCATTATTTATTCATTCAATAATGATATATGACTAAAGTTACTCTATACAAATTTTGATTTTGTTACTAGCAAAAAAATAATGATGTTATAAAGAAGTAATGGTTGTAATGGTTGTAGTAGTAATATAAATATAATTTTTTATCAGGGTTTTGTTTAGGTAGTCAATAAATGAAGTTATTGATCATTAATGAAGAGTTATTGTTGTTGCTGTTGGTAATCGTTTTTTGATGTTATTGGTTTTTGTCTAATTTGGATTGTTTGTTTGTTTATTTTTTTTATTTTATTTTGTCAATATTATTATTTTGGATTAGTATTATTATTTTTGATGTATTAATTAAATTCTTATCCTCACATTAATAAAATTTCTAATATCTCCATTATAATAATTAATTAAAGAAAGTAAAAGTAAAGTTAGTTTAAACTGCATATATATTTATATTATTATTTCCAGGAATAGCTTTAAATCTTCAAACCATATATAACGAATAAAACCAAACACCACTACAAAACTACAATTTTATATTTGTACATATATATATTTGAATCATGATGTCTGAAGGTGATGATGGCTCTGATCCAATCTCTGAAGCAGTTGGGTAAGATTATTATTTGAATTACATACATTACATAGCATAACGATTAGTTCAAAGATATTAACATTCTATTTCTTATTAAATTTGTAGATTCATTGAGAATATTTTACAACCAAATATAGATCTTCAATATCAGGGTCTAAAAGGTTTAATGCTTTGTTCAACTACTCATGTAGTTGAATTATTTAAGAATCCATCATTTTTCTATCATATAAAGAGACATCCAAACCATAAATTAAATCATATCTCCTCTCATGGACACCATCACCAATCATCACCTATTCCAACTGGCAATGCTGCCAATCCAGGATCCAATAATTCATCTCCATCTTCTTCACCCTCCTCATCACCCACCAACAGCCTAATAGAACCATGTAACCAATCACCTTCCAAATACTCTGACATTGACTATGATAAATACTCAAAGAAGAGAAAAAGTACACTCAAAAGTCTGATTGAACTATGTCTCTCTGAAACCAAAAAAGTTCAATCCTCTGCACTTAGATTACTTTGGCATCTATCAGCACAAGGTAGGTTATATTATTTTATTTATCTAGTGAGTTGTGAACTATAGTTTTATTAACCTTTGTTTTTTTAGCTGATTTGAAAGTATTATTATATGAAGAAGGTGTTTTGGATAAACTAAAGTATTTGATATCAAGTGATTCCCAAGCGCCAAAGGATGATATAGAGAGTAGACAGAATGGAATACACAGAACTGAGGTACAGCTGGCTTCATCAGCAATTCTACAGAATATTACAGAGTATAGATTCGAGAGAGGCGAGATCAATCCCAATCAAGTGAAGATCGTCAATGAGGGAATCGTAGAGATGATTCTACTGCCAAGATCAAAGAGTACCGATCGTAGGGTACAATTCCTTACCACCCTCACAATTGCCAACCTCTCAATGAATGAAGAGAACCATCAAATCCTACAGAGTCACAAAGCATTCGATATTGTCGAATCGTTTGTCACCAACAACAGTCTGCATATGGATTTGGTTTGTCATTGGATCACACTGCAACCTCACATCCCTTTGCTTCATTCAAAATATTCACAAGTGCAATTGTTTGCTCTTTATTGTTTATATAATTTAATGAGAAATGGTAAATAACAGTGTTTTATTATTAACTATCTATATTTCTATCAAGTTACTTACCAACTATGTTTTAAATTGATATAGATCAATATAAAGTCGAAGTTTGGAAAGGTTTAAGTGTCAATAATGGTGTTCAATCAATTTTCTTATTGTTACATTCTCCACATCCAAAAGTAGTTGAATTGGCAAAGAAGATCGCTGAACAACTACAGATTGAAGAGCCATCAGTCACTGTAAATACCACCAAGATCGGCACCGATCTCAAGAAGCTTTTCAATAACTCTGACTTTTCAGATATTTGTTTTGTCTGCGAAGGCAAGAAGATCTACGCTCACAAGGCTATCTGTGCTTCGCGATGTGAACAACTGCGTGCAATGTTCACATGGGGCAAAGAGTCACAGGAGAATGAAATTCACTTGCCTCACATTCCCTATGCATCGATGTACGGTGTCTTGGAGTATATTTACTGTGGAGTGGCATCGATCACCTGGGACAACGCGTGTGACTTGCTGCAGTGGGCCGACTTCTTCTCGTTGAGCGGTCTCAAGAGCACCTGTGAATTCTTCCTATGGCACTACATTGATTTGGAGAATGCACCGATCATCCTGTCGGTCGCTGACAACTACGGTTGCACACAGCTACGAAATGTCACTGCTAACTTTGTCGTGAGAAACTGGGAGAAGATCAAAGACACTGAGAATTGGGTTAACCTTACATCACAAGATTTAAAAAACTATATCAATGCTAAAATTTATACACTAATAACTTGTTCATGTGGCTGTTTTTGTAGTTGTATAGATGAAGAAAATAGAAGATCCGAAGACATCTAAATATTGCTAATTCAAATTGAACCAATTAAAATAAATGTTACATTTACATATAAATTTTAAACACACAACAAAAAAAACTAATATATATGTACTTAGTTTAGTTAAGCGGTATTACTTTGTTGTTGTAAAAATAAGTGTGGAAAAGGTGATCAAAGGAATAGAAGATTAAATTTTGTTTTATTTTTTTTTTTGTAATTTTGATCAAAATTGGCCGACTTGTTGCATGATTTCATACTCTATTATGTTGTTATAATTTTATACATATCAAAAAAAAAGAGAAAGAACAGTTATCAATAACGGATAGATGAAGTTCTTCACTCCAGCTTGGATTTGAACAGAGGTGGTACTGAATTTCAGATCCCTGAATTGTTAACAATTTGAATTTACAGTGAATTGTTTTATACTAAATAATAGATAGGTGAACGTGCATGTTGTATTTTTTATAGCATTGGAACAGATAATATAGATAGCATTGGAACAGAGATCATTGGAAGTGTAAAGCATTTCTCTTATTATGTATTAAACTTTATCTTTTTGGTTTAAAAATTTATTTAAATAGGTTGTTTTTGTCAGTTTAATAACATTAAAAACTTTGGTGGGTTAGATATGTGTTTTTTCATTTAGTTTGTTTTTTTTTTTGTGTTGTTTAAAACATTTTTAACAAATGAATTAATTACAAACAATTTAATCATACATTTACTTTTATTTAAATAATAATTTGTTGCAAATAGTAAGTTAAGATTTATTGTTAGTTAAAATGTTCTCATCAGAATCAGGTAAGTAAAATTAGGATTTATTTTTAAATCTCATTTTTAATTATTTAATCCATTTGGTAGGCTCAAATATTTGTTCATTATGCTCTAAGGCATTGGAATGTGGAGAAAAAAGGTACAGGTGTTCAGAATGTAGAGATATAAAGTTTTGTGAGGAATGTTATCACTCTCCAAAATCAAATGAATGTCATACTGATAAAGCTATCTTACCTCATCAATGTACAATTGAGACAAGTATATTTAAATCCTAAATTCAATGAGATAATTACTCTTTTCTGAAATAATAATAATTTTTTAATTTGAACATAGAAACTGATAGCGAATATATAGAATCCAATCAATCTGACAGATTTTATCAATGTTTTGTGAATGCATTCAATAGTTTTTCTCACAGGAATTGTATTGGTGTAAGACCTGTTGCAAATGAGCCAACTGTAAATTGGTTGACATTTAAAGATGTTTATCAAAATTCTGAAATGTTTGGATCTGCTTTAAAAATAAATGTTAAAGTAAATATTAAAAATATCTTATGTCTTTATTTTTAATTATTAATATTCTAATTTTAATTATTACAGTATGAATCAAGAGTTGGAATAATGCTCAATAATGTTCCTGAATGGTATTTCGTAGAATTTGGATGTCTATTTTATGGATACACTCTTATTCCTATCAATCATTATATCAGTATGTTCAGTTAAAAATATTGTTTTATTTAATTTGATTACTAATTAATAATAAAATTACAGATAATGATCAATTATTGAATATCCTTAAGATTGGAGAACCATCAGTTCTTGTGGTTTCAAAGATAACATTTCCAAAATTACTAAATGTGATAGACAACTATTCAAATTTAACATTGATCATACATGTTGGTGATGATTATGATCAAAATTTGAAAAATCAACTTCCACAACAAATCAAATTCAAATTATATTCTGAATTCTTATCTACTGTTTCTGAAATTGCTCCACATTCACCATTGATCAATGGTATTTTATCAATTGGTAAGGATAATTTGTGTTATAATTATATTTATAAGTTTTATTTTATTTTATTACCGAATTAATAATATATAATATATATATTAAAAAATTAATATAAATAATTTAAAAATAATATATTATCATTTATTAAAAAAGTATTTTCAACTGGTAGTACTGGTGTTCCAAAAGGAGAGATGTGCAAAGATAGAGATACTACCAATTGTTTAAAAACCTTTTCTTCAACGAAAATAATCCCTATTTCTATCAGTTATCTTTCTCTTTGTAAGTTAGAATCTGTTTTATTTCATGATTAAATTGAGAAATATAACTAATCATTTAAAATAGCTCATACTCAAAGGCTAATGGATTTAACTAGCATATTTCTTGGAGGTAGATTCATAATTTACTCATTTGGTACAGAGATAGAACCATTTATTAAAGAGTGTTCAATGGTTAGACCAACAATTTTCTGGAATTTCCCAACGTAATTAAAATTAATGTTTTTTATTATCTTATTTTTATTAATTAATATTCAAAATAGATTTTATAATCAAATATATTCAAAGTATCAAAGAAGATTAGAAATACTAAAGAAAGAACAACCAAATCTTTCAGATGATGAAGTTGATTCAATAGCAATTAGAGAAACAACAAATGTTTTTGGAGATAGAATTCAACTTATAACAACAGGAGGTGCTAAAATAGCTCCAAATATTGAAATATTTTTGAAGAAATGTTGGGGAAATCGCTTTTTTATCCAGTATGCTTGTACTGAATCATATGCTATTTCATATAATGGTAGAATTAAAAGTGATGTGGAATATAAAATCAATGCAATACCTGGTTTCAGAGATGACAGTCCATTTCCAGTTGGTGAATTAATTGTCAAATCACCAAGAACTATTGAAGGTTATATCAACAAAGATGATTCAAATGAAAAGAATTTCAGAAATGGATGGTTTGCCACTGGTGATATCGTTGAAGAATATGAACCTGGATACATTAGAATCCTTGAGAGAGTTAGTTTCTCTTTCAAATCATCATTTGGAAGATTTATATCGTAAGTTTTCTTTTTTTATTACAATTTTAAAGAATATTTATTATTAATTTTAAAACCTTGATACAGACCCGAAAACATTGAATCAAATTTTTATTCATCATCTTTGATTAGAAATATATTCATTTATGGAACATCATTACATCCATTTTTGGTTGGAATAGTTGTACCTTCTCAATTGGCTTTGGAGAGATTCAATCTAACATATGATCAATCAAATATTGATCAACATCAAGATCTGAAAGAATCTATCATCAATGAAATAAATATCATATCAAAACAAAAGAATGTAAGTAAAATTAATAAAACAACCAGGATTTAACTTTTTTTTCTAATTTTCTAATATATTTAATAGATTATATTTTGGGAAATTCCAAAGGCAATAAAATTGGATAATACCATTTGGACTGTTTATAATCATCTTTTAAATGGATCTTTCAAATTCGATCGAAAAGAGATCACAAAATACTATCAAGAATCTTTGGATCAATTATTATCAGGTATAAATGAAAATGGTAGTTCATTCTTCTAAATCAATCAACTTTTCTAAAATCTATCAGTCGTTGAAAATCTGTTCCTAAGAGTAAGAAATTTTTCAATATTGGATAGACCATTTCGATCTGATGTAGTTAAGTTAAATAAATATACAAGAGTTATCTTTTTTATCATATCAATTGATAACTAAAAATAAAATATTGTTTTTTAATTCATTTTATTTTTTTAAAAATAAATATTTTATTTTTTTTTGATTGTTCTCTCAAAAATTTTTTTTTTTTAATTTTTATTTTTTATTTGCTTTTTTTTTTTTTGTATTTGTTTATCTGTAGACACCTTTATGTTAATCTGTTATCAAAGCTTTTTAACAGCAGGCCCGAGATCTGTATAGCGGTTTGAGGCTTACCTGCTGACGGAGCTTTGTTAGTTGTATATCGATTAGCACACTACTCCTTTTTTAAGCATTGTGAACAATGAACGAATATAGATGTCCTAGCAGAGAAGACTGGGTTAAACTTGCAAATATATTTAGTTTAGAGTATGAGAGTTGTAGTATTAATGAAAACAAGGATTATAAAAAGTTAATGCATAAGTTTTCAGAAGATTCTCCTGCTATTAGATATTCAAAACAGTTAATATCGATCCAAACAATATTCTTAAATGTCTTAAACTACCTAAAACTCAATCATTATTAATGCTAATTGTAAGTATGCCTTTTAATCTATATCTATTATATTTTTATTAATTTTTTTTTAAAAAAAAAAATAGAAAAAGCCTAATGATCAAATCTTCTGTGTCCCTACGAAGATGCCTCATTTATGGAGTTGTACAAGAAATCGTTAAATGCAGATTGTTTCTATCGTTACCCAAAGGAACAAAAAGAAACTACTTGCTTTGGAGATTGTAATGTTCAAGCTACACCAGAGGTATTGGAAAAGTGTCATGAATATCGAGCTTTATAGTGAACGAGAAGTCAGTATTTTTAAGAAAATCTACTCAGACTCACAACAAGCAATTGAATCGTTGGATATCGTTGATGCATCAGTTGATGAGGATGATGGCGATGATGACGAGCTGGACGCCGACGACCTTTTAGTGGATCTAGACACTGGAGATCTCGTCGGCACTGCCATACAGCAGTCAGACAAGCCATCGATTCACAGCCAAAGTTTTGGTTTCACTTCCGAAATGTCTCTTGATGAAAAGTACAAAACTATCACTCGTATATTCTACCTGCGAAGAGTACTCTGTATCCGCCAATTGTCATGCTACAAAGACTCCATTAGAGCCAAGAAGGATATATTCTTTAATATATGTCCAAATGATGGATGCCAACAAGTTTTTGCGCAGGCTGCCGCTTACAATGCTCACAAAAACACCGCTCACGCTATCCACTCAGAAGTAGATCCTTCAAAATTTGAATGGGTTATCAAACAGAAGAATGGGTTTATGGCTAAGTTCATTGCCTTGCCAACTAGCAGACCTCTTCTACGATCTCCTCTCGATGAAAGTGAAAACCCGGCAGTAATTTTGTTGTTGGATACCGAGACCACTGGCAAATCTACATTGACATTGAGATTACCATTGTTAACATATCCAATGGTGATACCTTTTACCAAAGAATCAATCCTACCATAGTTATAGACAAAGAAGCATCAAACGTACATAGTATGACGAATCAATCTTTAGCTGGACATCAATATTGGAACGCAATAGAGCCTTCCCTAGTCAGTTTCTTTCAACAGTATGGTCAGAGACCTATCTATATCACTGTGAAAAGTTTGATCGAGGCATTCGAGCTACACAAATATATAATCAGGTGAGGCTGCAGCCGAATCTTTTTCAAATATATATTTTGTTGACTCAATAGCCATTATCAAACGATTTTTCCCAACGATAGAAAGAGGTTATTCCATCGACAATCTATTGAAGGATTTTGCTATTCCAATGGATAATCCAGCCATGAGACATACTAGTTGCAAAGACATATTATCCCTTACTAAGATTCTATCACATGTATATGATAATCAATCTCTTTATTATTGTTAAATAAAAAAATAAAAAATCCAACCACTCAAATTTTATATTTTTCTTCTGTTTTTCGATGGAATGAAACAAATAGTAAAAACAAATGTTTGTAAATATCGATATAGAAGCAGAGTAATTTAATCAACAATGACAGACATAGATAGTAGTAGATGTAGTATTCACAAAGATGAATTGTATAAACTGATTTGTATTGAATGTAATGTGTTGCTGTGTTCGGTTTGTTCAGTAGATCATAATGGTCATATTTACAATCATATTCACAATCTAAAGAATAGTGATGATAATTCCAATGTATTTAAATCGAGAATCGATACATTATTGAATGTGATTATATTTATTAATTTTAATTAACTTTTTTTTCATTGTTCTTCATAGAAATAGAAATTATCCCAAAAGGATCACTTAGCATATGTGTATAATTATAATAAATTATTTCTAATATATAAATCAAGCTTTTAAACCAATATAATATAATTGTTTTTTTTTTTGTAATTTTGAATGCGAAATTTTGTAAACACCTCCTGTTGTTCACAAAAACAGAAATCAATAGATCAAGAAACTAAAAAATTTACTTATTCAGGTATAATACTCTGTAGATTAAATTTATTTTAATTTATTAACTAATCTTTAACCTCAAAAATCAAATTTTTTTAATCTATTTAAAATAATAATCCTCATCATTGAATACACACTTCTTGTTATCATTTTCTTTGGTAGACTCTGGTTGCTCCAACTTAAACTTAAACATATAGTTTTCCATCTTTTAAAAAAAAATCATAACTAGAATAATATATTATATTCTGTACAAGTAAATATTAAAAAAACAAAAAAGCAAAAAAAAAAATTGTGGAACTGTCAAATTTTTAGATTATAGATATCTAATACCTTTCATAATGGCGGACCATCTTCTCTTCTTGATTTCAATGTTCAGAGGGTGGAGGACACAGACATAACGAAAGACAACATTGCTTCTATAGCTATTTATGATATGAAAGATTGTGAGACAATAAATAAACAAATTTGTCAATTTAATTTAATTTAAATATGTTTAACTGTTTTTCTCATTTAAATCAATCAATCAAATCACCTTTAATGAAACTTGTCCATATCTCATACTGGTGGTAGAATATAATGATATTTAATGAACATAAATTTTTGAAAAAAAAATGACCATGTCTCATTTTAAAAAATGAAAAAAAAGCAATTCACGCATCCCCTCACTTTGATGTGTATAGCATTTCGCCAATTATGAATTAAACTTTATTATAAACCTCAATAAAAAATTTATTTAAATATTATTATTTTTATCATTTTAATTACATTTAAAACTTTGGTGGGTTAGATATGTGTTTTTTTATTTTGTTTTTTTTTTGTGTTGTTTAAAACATTTTTAACATATGAATTGCAAACAATTTAATCATACATTAACTTTTATTTATTATTATTAAAATAATAATAAATAATAATAATAATTTGTTACAAATAGTAAGTTAAGATTTATTGTTAGTTAAAATGTTCTCATCAGAATCAAGTAAGTAAAATTAGGATTTATTTTCAAATCTCATTTTTAATTATTTAATCCATTTGGTAGGCTCAAATATTTGTTCATTATGCTCTAAGGCATTGGAATGTGGAGAAAAAAGGTACAGGTGTTCAGAATGTAGTGATATAAAGTTTTGTGAGGAATGTTATCACTCTCCAAAATCAAATGAATGTCATACTGATAAAGCTATCTTACCTCATCAATGTACAATTGAGACAAGTATATTTAAATCCTAAATTCAATGAGATAATTACTCTTTTCTTAAATAATCATAATTTTTTAATTTGAACATAGAAACTGATAGTGAATATTTAGAATCCAATGAATCTGATAGATTTTATCAATGTTTTATGAATGCATTCAATAGTTTTTCTCACAGGAATTGTATTGGTGTAAGACCTGTTGCAAATGAGCCAACTGTAAATTGGTTGACATTTAAAGATGTTTATCAAAATTCTGAAATGTTTGGATCTGCTTTAAAAATGAATGTTAAAGTAAATATTAAAAATATCTTATGTCTTTATTTTTAATTATTAATATTTTATTTTAATTTTCTAAGTATGAATCAAGAGTTGGAATAATGCTTAATAATGTTCCTGAATGGTATTTCGTAGAATTTGGATGTCTATTTTATGGATACACTCTTATTCCTATCAATCATTATATCAGTATGTTCAATTAAAAATATTGTTTTATTTAATTTGATTACTAATTAATAATAAAATTACAGATAATGATCAATTATTGAATATCCTTAAGATTGGAGAACCATCAGTTCTTGTGGTTTCAAAGATAACATTTCCAAAATTACTAAATGTGATAAACAACTATTCAAATTTAACATTGATCATACATGTTGGTGATGATTATGATCAAAATTTGAAAAATCAACTTCCACAACAAATCAAATTCAAATTATATTCTGAATTCTTATCTACTGTTTCTGAAATTGCTCCACATTCACCATTGATCAATGGTATTTTATCAATTGGTAAGGATAGTTATAATTATATTTATAAGTTTTATTTTAAAATTCAATAATAATTAATTTAAAAATAATATATTATCATTTATTAAAAAAGTATTTTCAACTGGTAGTACTGGTGTTCCAAAAGGAGAGATGTGCAAAGATAGAGATACTACCAATTGTTTAAAAGCCTTTTCTTTATTGAAAATAAGCCTTATTTCTATCAGTTATCTTTCTCTTTGTAAGTTAGAATCTGTTTTATTTCATGATTATATTGAGAAATATAACTAATCATTTAAAATAGCTCATACTCAAAGGCTAATGGATTTAACTAGCATATTTCTTGGAGGTAGATTCATAATTTACTCTTTGGGTACAGAGATAGAACCATTTATTAAAGAGTGTTCAATGGTTAGACCAACACATTTCTGGAATTTCCCAACGTAATTAAAATTAATTTTTTTATTTTATCTTTTTTTTATTAATTAATATTTCATAATAGATTTTATAATCAAATATATTCAAAGTATCAAAGAAGATTAGAAATACTAAAGAAAGAACAACCAAATCTTTCAGATGATGAAGTTGATTCAATAGCAATTAGAGAAACAACAAATGTTTTTGGAGATAGAATTCAACACATATCAGCAGGAGGTGCTAAAATAGCTCCACATATTGAAATATTTTTGAAGAAATGTTGGGGAAATCGCTTTTTTATCCACTATGGTTGTACTGAATCATATGGTATTGCATCTAATGGTAGAATTAAAAGTGATGTGGAATATAAAATCAATGCAATACCTGGTTTCAGAGATGACAGTCCATTTCCAGTTGGTGAATTAATTGTCAAATCACCAAGAACTATTGAAGGTTATATCAACAAAGATGGTTCAAATGAAAAGAATTTCAGAAATGGATGGTTTGCCACTGGTGATATCGTTGAAGAATATGAACCTGGATTTATTAGAATCCTTGAGAGAGTTAGTTACTCTTTCAAATCATCATTTGGAAGATTTATATCGTAAGTTTTCTTTTTTTTATTACAATTTTAAAAGAATATTAATTAATAATTTTAAAACCTTGATACAGACCCGAAATCATTGAATCAAATTTTTATTCATCATCTTTGATTAGAAATATATTCATTTATGGAACATCATTACATCCATTTTTGGTTGGAATAGTTGTACCTTCTCAATTGGCTTTGGAGAGATTCAATCTAACATATGATCAATCAAATATTGATCAACATCAAGATCTGAAAGAATCTATCATCAATGAAATAAATATCATATCAAAACAAAAGAATGTAAGTAAAATTAATAAAACAACCAGGATTTAACTTTTTTTCTAATTTTCTAATATATTTAATAGATTATATTTTGGGAAATTCCAAAGGCAATAAAATTGGATAATACCATTTGGACTGTTGATAATCATCTTTTAAATGGATCTTTCAAATTCGATCGAAAAGAAATCACAAAATACTATCAAGAATCTTTGGATCAATTATTATCAGGTATAAATGAAAATGGTAGTTCATTCTTCTAAATCAATCAACTTTTCTAAAATCTATCAGTCGTTGAAAACCTGTTCCTTAAGAGTAAGAAATTTTTCAATATTGGATAGACCATTTCGATATGATGTTGTTATATTAAATAAATATACAAGAGTTATCTTTTTTATCATATCAATTGATAACTAAAAATAAAATATTGTTTTTTAATTCATTTTATTTTTTTAAAAATAAATCTTTTTTTTTTTTTGATTGTTCTCTCAAAAAATATTTTTTTTTTAATTTTTATTTTTTTATTTGCTTTTTTTTTTTTGTATTTGTTTACTTAGTTTATCTGTAGACACCTTTATGTTAATCTGTTATCAAAGCTTTTTAACAGCAGGCCCGAGATCTGTATAGCGGTTTGAGGCTTACCTGCTGACGGAGCTTTGTTAGTTGTATATCGATTAGCACACTACTCCTTTTTTAAGCATTGTGAACAATGAACGAATATAGATGTCCTAGCAGAGAAGACTGGGTTAAACTTGCAAATATATTTAGTTTAGAGTATGAGAGTTGTAGTATTAATGAAAACAAGGATTATAAAAGCTAATGCATAAGTTTTCAGAAGATTCTCCTGCTATTAGATATTCAAAACAGTTAATATCGATCCAAACAATATTCTTAAATGTCTTAAACTACCTAAAACTCAATCATTATTAATGATAATTGTAAGTATGCCTTTTAATCTATATCTATTATATTTTTATTAATTTTTTTTTTAAAAAAAAAGAAAAAGCCTAATGATCAAATCATCATCCGTCGAACTGTGTCTCTACGAAGATGCCTCATTTATGGAGTTGTACAAGAAATCGTTAAATGCAGATTGTTTCTATCGTTACCCAAAGGAACAAAAAGAAACTACTTGCTTTGGAGATTGTAATGTTCAAGCTACACCAGAGGTATTGGAAAAGTGTCATGAATATCGAGCTTTATAGTGAACGAGAAGTCAGTATTTTTAAGAAAATCTACTCAGACTCACAACAAGCAATTGAATCGTTGGATATCGTTGATGCATCAGTTGATGAGGATGATGGCGATGATGACGAGTTGGACGCCGACGACGATTTAGTGGATCTAAACACTGGAGATCTCGTCGACACTGCCGTACAGCAGTCAGACAAGCCATCGACTCACAGCCAAAGTTTTGGTTCACTTCCGAAATGTCTCTTGATGAAAAGTACAAAACTATCACTCGTATATTCTACCTGCGAAGAGTACTCTGTATCCGCATGCTACAAAGACTCCATTAGAGCCAAGAAGGATATATTCTACAAAATTGGAATGGGTTATCAAACAGAAGAATGGGTTTATGGCTAAGTTCATTGCCTTGCCAACTATCAGACCTCTTCTACGATCTCCTCTCGATGAAAGTGAAAACCCGGCAGTAATTTTGTTGTTGGATACCGAGACCACTGGCAAATTGTTAAATAAATAAATAAAAAAATCCAACCACTCAAATTTTCATATTTTTCTTCTGTTTTTCGATGGAATGAAACAAATAGTAAAAACAAATGTTTGTAAATATCGATATAGAAGCAGAGTAATTTAATCAACAATGACAGACATAGATAGTAGTAGATGTAGTATTCACAAAGATGAATTGTATAAACTGATTTGTATTGAATGTAATGTGTTGCTGTGTTCGGTTTGTTCAGTAGATCATAATGGTCATATTTACAATCATATTCACAATCTAAAGAATAGTGATGATAATTCCAATGTATTTAAATCGAGAATCGATACTTTATGGTCATCGGTAAAGACATCGAACGACTCTATCAAAGTATTGAAAAACAATCGTACAAAGATAACCGACCACTTTCGAGAGTTACACAACATTCTAATGAAACAAGAATACACACTACTCAAACCAATCGATGATAACATCAATTCAGTACAAAAACACATTAAAGATATGCTTAAAGAATTGAAATCAATAGTTAATATATTAAATCAAATAACTGATAATAAAAATAATAATAGTAATAAAAGCAGCAGTAGTAGTAGTAATGATGATAACAACACAAATATTAGTACAGATTCATATAGAATTGATAATATCATTGAAACAATCAATGAATGTGAATCATTCGATAAGTTTGTTGATATCAATAGAGTATCATTTTTCAGTTATAATAAGAATGAAAACAACTATCCACAACTACAAGTAAACAATAGCTATACCAATCTACAATTAATACAATCATTCAATTCGAAATACCAATTATCAAATAGTAAAGGTATTCATCATAGTCCAGTTATTCCAAGTTATAAAATCAGTATTAGTCAACTTAAAATGCAGAATATAAAGAGTGATGCCGAACAATCAATTTATGTAACTGCTTCTGAGAGTACATCTACCAGTAATACTTCAACCACATCCAACAACAACAACAATAATAACAACAATAACAATAACAGTAGTAGTGATAGTAGCAGTAGTGGTAGTAATAGTAATGTTAGTAGTAATAATAATAGTGCAAGATATATTATATCGGCAGATCGTAATAATATTAGTTTGTTAAGCATTGGTGACAATGCAGAGTCGATAGTTTTAGATAGTCAATATACTCCACCATTGTCATCGACTATAGCTGGACGTTGGACACTAAATGCAATTGCTGCGACTGTCAGTGGTAAGTACGTCTACATCTTTGGCGTGTCAAGGAGTGGTACCAAGTATTTGCGATTCAGTTTGGAATCGCGAGTTTTCGATCTTGCCGAGGACATCAGTGGCATCACCACTGGCGAATGGCTATCGGTATGCAACGATCCTTCTAATAATGGTCACATCTACATCATCAATAACTTTGATAAAGAAAAAGCAGAGATCTCAAGATACAACATTAAATCGATGAAGTTCGAGAAAATTGGAAAGCATCGTCTCAGTAGTGAGATTACTAACGATGTCATCAAATCGTTTATCTATCACGATTGTCTCTATATGGTGACATCGGTAAGCAACCGGATCTTCAAAATCAACAACTTACCGACACACCATAAGAATCACAGTGTTAGTAATCTCGACATTCAACTGCCATTGGAGAAGTATGTCGCCGTTACACATGACAACCAAGGTAACATCTACATCCTTACTTTTAAACGAAAGTTCCTCAGAGTAAACGTTGATAGCAAGCAGATTGCTCATCTGACACCACTTAGCATCAGTGAATACTGTTCAATGGTATACTCTAAAGATGGACCGTATATCTACTTGTTTGGTGGCGCTGACTATGGTAACTTTGTTTACACGATCCAGAAGGATCTATGGACACCAATCTTTAAAGATGATCAATCAAAGAGAATCAATTGTGGTTCAGTTTTAATATAATACTTTGATTAACAAAACAACAACAAATGTAATAATAATAATAAAATAATGTAAATTAAATATATAGATTGTTTATATACAAAATATTTTAGTTTTAGTTTTAGTTTTAGTTTTAAATCTAAATTGATTGTAATTTGAAAGTGTAATGAGTGTATATCATATCTATATTTGTTTAGAGTTTTGCTAATCTGAGTGCACCATCGAGTCTAATAGTACTACCGTTCAAATATTGATTTTCAATGATATGAACAACGAGTTGTGCAAATTCATTGGTCTTACCAAAACGATTTGGGAATGGAATGGTTGAGAGAATTGCTTTGGTAGCTGCATCTGGCAGACCTGATAACATTGGTGTGTCAAATGTACCAGGAGCGATTGTCATTATTCTCATACCCAATGGTGCAAATTCTCTTGCCAATGGTAATGTCATACTGTTTGGTTTGAAGATAATGTTAGTTAGTTAGTTCGTTAGTTCTATATTTTAATAACTATCTTAATCTATCTCTATTTACTTACCCAACAACACCAGCTTTAGAAGCACTGTAAGCAGCTTGACCCTGTTGACCTTCGAATGCAGCACACGAAGCAGTCATAACGAAAACACCCTTCTCACCATCGACCATCTCTTGTTTGTCGATGACCTCTGCAACCAAACGAATTACATTGAATGTACCGGTAAGATTGATATTAATAACTCTACTATAAACATCCAATGGAATAACACCTTTCTTTGATAGTGTCTATATATATACATATATATAATATATACCAAATCATATTATAGATAATATATTAATAAATGATTTGATTACAACTAATAATATCTGTTAAGCATATATTACTTACTCTAATGGCAACGGCAATACCAGCACAATTGATTGCACCATGTATCTTTTTAAACTTGTTCAATGTCTCTTTGATTGCATTCTTTACGGATGCTTCATTTGTGATATCTGTATTCTGGAAGAGTGCTCTCTCACCTCCAAGTTCCTTTACCAATTGATTTCCACTCTCATCATTCATATCAAAGATGACAACATTTGCATTTCTTTTGTGTAGCTCTCTAACGGTAGCTTCTCCAAGACCACTGGCTCCACCAGTAACAATAAATGTTTTATTTTCTAATTTCATATTAATTAATATGTTAAAAATTAAAATGATAATTAATTCAAACAAACAAAAATAATAAATAAAATAAAAAATACTATTAAATTAAGCACACACACAAAATGATAAAAATTTTTTATTTTGATTTTATTTTTTTATCCAAAATATCTATTTTGAACTCAACAATCTGGAATTTATAAATTTAACATTTGTAAGATGTATATAGTTTTGGTAACTTTGTCACTTTTTTGAAAATCAGATATTATGATGATAAATTAGACCTGCAAAGATGTTTTAATACAACATTGATTAATGTCGCAGAAATCAAATTAAATTTTTAAGAAAGTTCAAGTTAGTTCGAACATTTAAATTGTTGGGTGGTCAAAGTTAGAAGCACACAACTTTATTAAACCAACCCAAAATTGGAAATTTTAGTTATTATTTAATAATGAATAATTTGTATAATAAATGTTTAAAATAAAGAAATTATTAAATATTAAAAATGGATATATAAGATGTTATTCTTGGAATAGTGATAGATCAAGTAAAATAAAATATTGTTTGATTCGTTTGATTGCTCAATCAATTACTTACTTTTTACTCTCTCTCTCTCTCTTTTAGAAATAGTTTTATCTTCAAATGTTAATAATAATATTTTAATATATTCATTAAATATTAATAATAATAATAATGATAATGAAGAAGATGAAGAATGGATATTAGAATATGAGTTATGTCAACATGATAGAATGGTAACATCATTAGATTGGTCAGAGAAAAACAATTGTATACTATCGTGTTCCGAAGACAAGTTGGCTTGCTATTGGAGATACGATCAGGCTACCCGTCGATGGCTGCCGAGGATAACGACCGTTCGTGTATCAAAGTCGTGTGAGCAACTCGCTTGGAGTCCCCTGGGAAACAAGTTTGCACTGACCACCGCTGAGAACACTCTGATGATTCTCTTTAACACCGGCGAATCCGATCATTGGCTGTCACATCGATTCGGTCCGTCCAACTCGAGAGTTCGCGCCATCGCTTGGAATCCCGTGAATAACAACATGCTGGCGTGTGGCAACGCCCGAGGTGAACTGTACATCTACAACGCCTACATCTCGACGGTCGACCGACTACTGCCAAACAAAATCGGTAACTTCCAACTAATAACGAAAATGAGTGATTCCGCAACTGATGGTTTCATTCAATCGATTGCATGGTCGCGAGACGGTGTATTCTTGGCATACAGTTCGCAAGCATCGAAACTAACGATAATACAGCTACTCAGTCAATATGAATTCAAGATCATCGCAACGATAAAACTACCGACTCTGCCGATATGCGATATGATATTCAAAGATAACAGTAAAGAGTTAATCGCATTGACATTCGACTATCAATTACTTAAATTTACATACTCACCGACTACCAATCAATGGTCTATAACTGATATCGTAGATAGCGGTGATCATCTATTTCATCCAAAGATTAGATACTATCATGAGATAGATGGTGAACAATACTATTCGATACAATCATCGATTGATGGTTGCTTAGCAATCATTTCAATATAATACAATAACAAATAATATTAAATTGTAAATATAATGTAAATATAATAAAGTAATATTTAATTTTAAACATCTATTATTATTAGTATTTATATATTAAAAATCCCAATTTAACTTCTAAATTCAAAGGTAATATGGAATCTGATGCCTGTTGGCTATCATAGCTATTTTTACAATCTTTACACTCGTTCACTAGTTCTTGTAGGTTGGTCGGTGAAATGAAACCTTTGAGTCTTTCTTCATCTGTCCATTCATATTCCAAATCGTTTCTTTTAATCTTTATAGGTATCTGTTTGTAATATACTTTTATGGTTGGAATACCAGCTAAATTAAGTGTTTAATTAAACAATATATATATTAGTATTTAACATTATATCTGTCAATCATCTCTCATCATCATCATCATCATCATCATCATCATCGTTATACAATACCAATATCATTATAATTCTCTTTCACATAATCGTTTGAAGATTGATTTATAAAGAATACCAATATATCTTTATCTTTTGCTATAGATTGAAAGTTATCATAACTAAAATATTAACAATTAATTGTATGAGTTTTGTTAGCATATAATAATAATAATAAATAATAATATGTTAAAGGTAAAGTATTTACGTTTGTCTTGCTAAATTGAACCAATCTACACAATATACAATGAAAATGAGATGATTTTGATCTTCTTGTGCTGTTTCTAGAGCTTCTGTGAGTGATGAGAATTTCATTGGCTCCAACATTTGATTCTTTAGTTTCTCTAATATCATATTAGTAACATCTTTGGTTGTCAATGGTTGTGAATCCCTTTTTTTATTAAATTATTTGTTAATATATATATATTGTTATGTTTAAAGTAATAGCTATTATATTTAGTTTACATACTCTGTTTTTATTAAAGCATCGATTTTATCATCATCTAGATCGTCTTGATCATCGTCGTCATCGTCATCGTCATCACTATCGATCAACATTGCCAGGTTGGCAGCGGTGACACTCGATCGCTTGTTTGTTAGTTGATTCGGTGATGCTATACTCTTTGGATCGTTTTGACTGTCTTTAGCATGAATGGTATCGAATATCTGTTTGTCTTTACTCTTGATCAGCCATTTCTTTAATGAACGTTTATGTAGTTTCTTCTTTTTCTCTTTCTCCTGCTCTTTATTAATACTACTATGTTTATCTTTTACTTTAATTGATTTATCTTTTAATTTATCTTTTTCTTTTTCTTTCTTTTCTTTTTTATTCCATTATTAATTAATTAACTATTTATTTTATCAACAAATAGATAGATTTATATATAATGTAAAAACAATAACAACTAACTGCCTAATCAAATAAATCAGATTACTTTTAAATTTGAATTTTCATTTTCCTTGCTTGTGTGTGTGAAAGGATCTGCTTGGCATGATCAATCAATCATCCAGTTTTGTTCATTTTAACTTCAAATACATATAATAATAATAATAATAATAATAATAATAATAATAATAATAATAATAATAAAATCAAATGAATGTCGATGAATTAGAGGAAGGTGAACATGAAGAACAAGATTATAATCCAGCTGTTGTAGTTGTCAATTTACAACAACAACAGATTGGTGGAAGTAATAAAGTTGATAGTTCACCATTCGATAAACTTTCATTTGATAATATATTTAAAGTATATCTAGATAATAAAGATCAATCCACTATTTTATTAGAACAAAAGTTAAAGGACAATAAAACAACATCATCACCAACGGCAATAGAGACCTATAGATTACAATTTAATAGATTACTTTATATATTGAATCAACATGATAATATAGATGAATCAATTGATTTTATCTTATTATTCTATAGTATTGCTATTAATAACATCAACAATAATAATAATAATGATCATGAAAAACTAGATGATTTATATAAATTGTTTAATAATAATGTTCATCTTTGGTGTATGTTATGATAAGATAAGATAATAATACATTTATTTATTAAAAAGATACTAATTTCATGCTAATCAAGTGTTTGTAGAATTGATATATAAGTTTATAGTTGATAGACCACCACAATCAACTGAGAGAATGGAATCAATTATACATATATCAAATATCATTGAAAAGAATGATAAACATATTGATTTACTATATATAATACTTATTCCATTACTATGGGAGCAATCAGATAGATTAATTAATGTATGCATACATCAAAGAAATAACAATAGAATCAATATTTTAAATTAAGAATAAGAACTAATGCATTTTCAAATAGAATATAATAAGATATATAGGATCATTAGTATCATTCTCTATCAGTATGGAGTTTTATAAGATATTAGAGTATATCGATTTATTCCAACAATCATTGAAACCACATTATAAACCAAATGTAATATCATTACCTAATAATAATGATAATGATAATAATGATGATAATATTGATAATGATAACAATTATATATTACCAACAACACTCAATCAACTTTTTGATAGTCAACAAAGATGTTCAGACAACAGTAACAATCAAGTGAATTGGTCGAATGAAAATGCATGGTCATTCATGTTCTACTTAACCAACCAATTGTTAATAGATCATCTCATACTGTTTGAGTCGAATTCATTCGAGCAACTACCACGTAATTCCTATAGATTCAGTTCATCACTATTAAAGATAATATTATCTTATTATTTAAATCCTTTAAATACTGTTGGTATGTAGTTGTAGCTTTATCAAAAATGTATTAACATTTAACTTACTTGCTCTCTCCATAATTTTAATAAAGATATTCCAAATTCAGAGACTATCATACCAAAGTTGATATCTATGGTTATCAATCATTGGATTATATCACGACCATTGATAATCGTTGAAATACCAAGTGGAATAGATATGAATATGAATAGTGACAACAAGAACAACAACAACAACAACAACATCACAACCATATTACAACTGATAGTTAGAATTTGTATATTTGGAAGTTCGTTTCAACATTTCGATTTAATAAGTGGGCACATCGATAGAATTCATTCTACTCTATTGAATCTATTATACAAATTAGATAATAATATTAATAATAACAATGATAGTAATAATAATAATCGTAATGATAATTATACAAAACTAAAAGATATAATCAAATCAAATTTATCAATAGATTTCTTTTTGAATTGTATTGATCATATAAATAATAGTAATAATAACAAAGAATCAGTTTTATATATGACAAATAGACTTGCTCAGATCATACAACTACTATGTCAATTGAAAGAGAACGAAGAAAATGATGACAATAATAATATGAAATTAAAGGAATCACTAACAAAGCTATCAGTTAAAACACCTCTAATTTCAATGATATTAAAGAAATAATAAACAAACTATTATATATATTGATCTTATGTATTATTATTTACAATATTATTTAATTAATTTATTTATATTAATAAACTAACTGGTTAGTTAACTCTTCTTATTTTATGTTGTTTATCTTATCTTTTAGGTTGTGGTTGTGGTTGTTGTTGTTGTTGTTTTATTGAAGATTGTTCTTGTTTTTGTTGATCGTTTAAATAGGTACTAAAGAATTTCTCTCTTTCTATATCGGCATCCTTTGATACTCTTATCAGCTGTTCCTCTTTCTTCTTTAGAAAAGACTCTTGATGTTTCAACTCCTTTTCGATCTCTGTGTTCTCCTCCAACATAGTACGATTGCAATGATCGTCTTTCATCAATATGAAAATATCACCAGTATAGACCCATCGTTTGTTCGTATCGCCAGACGATCTTTGTTTATTTAAAATTGACAATGCCTCTTGATTCAATTTATATCTATGATTTAAATCTACCAACTATATATATAATATATACTGCAAAGTTAACATTCATCTCATCATTATCATCAATTAACAACATTACGTTATATATTAAACATACATACTTTTTCCTTGTGATAAAGTATTTCATCTGACAGTTCTTCTTTATAATTAAATAACTCTTCGAATTTATTCATTTCTACTACTACTACTACTACTATTATATTATCAACAAATACTCTAAAAATAATTAGATAAAAAAACGAAATATTTCGTACATGTATTGCCGCCAATTTGTTTTAAAGCAATTTAGCAAATTCACCATGGTATACCCTAATGATAAAGAAAGAGGTAACTTCAATCAATATAATTGTTATTTATAGTTTTGTTCAATGAAAGTTAATGAATAATCATTACAACTACTCTACCCAATAAGTATGTATATTGATTTGTAAGTTTTAAAAAGGAATCTTTCTAGAGAATAAAGCACAAGACTCTCTTGTTCTTCTCACATTTCTTTTGTATTTGTTTAACATTTGTCTACTTTTCGATAGATCAATTACATTTTGATTTTACCTTTCATTCCCTACTCATAAATGTGTATGTCATTATAATTGCGATAATTATCTGGTTTGTTAATCAAGATTCGATTATTTTACTATAAATTAATATGACAATCGACGTGCATACAAACTACTCACTTCAGACGCGTTTTTAAATTTACAACTAACACATTATCAACCAAAAAAGTAGTGTGTTATACGATCAAGTCAGAGTATGACATTGTTTTGGCTAGTGGTGGTTACAAAAAAATATAACAAACAACTATATAGAGAGATTTTCAGTATTTTGTAATAATATGAATTCATATTATTTTACTTCTAGATACTTCTTTATTATTAATAATAATTATTATTTGACGTGAATTTCCGATCAAGTTTCTCTTCTTACCAATTATTATTATGGAGAATTGATAATAAAAATAATAAATTTAATCTAAAGTAGAAATAAATTTGTGTATTTTAACAAACTATGAAAATGAAATGTAATTTAACCTAATACTCACCATCGTGAGATTTATAGAATAAAACTATTTGTTACTTGGTTTACTGAAAAAACAATTCAGATCAAAATGTGTCTCTGTGAAAATGAACCAATGACTACTTATCTTACTTTATATCTTCCATTTTTAGTTTTTCCTAGATTTATAAAGTTATCCAATTTAAGCTACATGTATATCCTTTGTGAGATAAAATATTTCTTATTTTCAACTAATACTTTGCCAGCAATGTATCGGAGCAATAATGGGAAACGATCTATCCTTTATCTACAATTACAACATTTAAATAAATTGTTGTTCTAGAAATGGTACCAAAATTAATATAAATACTACTGAACTTTCTAACAAAAGAATTTTTAATATTCAAATAACTTTAGTATTTCAACTACATGATCCAACCAATAGTTATAATCTAAAGACATTTAATTATTATTTTTTTTTAACTAAAAAATTATCTGTTTCTAGAAAATTCTTTTTAGAAAACCAATAATATGTCGTCAACCAATGCAATAGATTATTTTTGTTCGTTAACAAAAAAGACACCCATAAATTTCAACCAATATATTAAATACGAATATGTTTTTGTTTTATTTTTTATGATTATATTTATATTATTAGATGTAAGACAAATAAAAACAACTTTAATAAAAATCAAGAATTAAATTTTAATCATATTTATTTTTTTAGGTACACAAAAGATCGCATCCACACATTAAAAATAGTAATAAATTTGCAGTATTTGATTTTCTATATTCTATTTTCAACAATAGATTTCATTTATTCTTTAGACATCAATTTGAAGCCAATCCAGACCAATCTATTTTCAAAATTAATTTACTATTACAGGATTTAATTGTAATCACCGATCCAGAATATATTAAACATGTCTGCAACAATAGACCACTTAAATACACCAGGATTGAAGGTTTAATCGAGGGACTGAATGGATGTGGAAAGAATGTATTCAGTGGAGAAGGTTCTCAGTGGTCTCACCATCGAAAAGTTACAGCCAGTCAATTCAATACGTTTAAACTGCCAAAGATGGAAAAGCCAATCAATCAGATTGTAGATCGTTTTGTTAAAAAATTGGAAACTCATACGATTGAACAACCTCATCAATCAGTGAACTTCTCCAAAGAAGTTAGTTCTTATACATTAGATGTCTTGTTTAAAACCGGGTTTGGATACGATTTAAATTCAATCGAGAGTGGTCAGGTTGGTACCACTCCAAAAATAATTAAGAGATTAGAGTGCGTAATGGGAAATATCACCAAACGTTGTTTATCTCCATTTCACTATTGGAAATATTATACAACCTTTACTGTATGTAATCAGTCATTGATAATTTATTAATTTTAGCTAGTTCTAATAATTTTTTTCTGCTAATATTATTTTTCTTTAGGAATCTAAATTTAATAAATTCTTGGATTTAGTAAAGGATTTTAAGAATCATTTTATTCAACAAGATTATGCGATAACTGAAGAAGCTGGATTATTACATTCTTTGATGGTTCAGATGAAACAAGGTTTGATTGATGACGATGAAATCTATGCCAATATGTTGTGCTATATTATTGCTGGACACGATACCTCTTCCAAAGCCATCTCCTATGCCATTTGGTATTTAGCCAAACATCCAGATATACTTCAGAAAGTTAAAAAAGAAGTGGTTGATGTGTTGGCAAACACCGAAAATTCATATCTCTCCAATAAAGACATTGATAAACTCCAACTACTTCAACAGGTGCTTCTGGAATCGATGCGTTTGAAACCGTTGGTATCTTTTATACTTTTGGAGTGTATCGAAGACGATGTCGTTGGTGATACCGAAATCTATGCAGGTGCTCAAGTGGTTCTGACGACAGAGGCAGTCTATAGAAATGCAGAGTACTTCCCAGAGCCAGAGGAATTCAAACCGGAACGATGGGAAGGTGTTTCCTTTGAAAGATGTACCGATTACAATCTGTTCGCATTTGGATACGGTCCTAGAATGTGTCCAGGACGTAAGATGGTCCGAGTTCAAATGTTGATTCTCTTTGCAAAATTGATTGCCAATTTCGATATTAAACTGGCAGAAAACTCGATAGAACTTGTAGACGAACATGTTTTCGTTCTTTCACCAGAAGGTGGAGTGAATATTCATTTAATAAAGAACTAACCTTTAAAGTTAACTCTTATCGAAAAAAAAATAACAGATTTCGTTCATTTTGTCTCTCTATTCTCTGTATATATTAAATATTTATTTATTAGAAATATAATATCATATCATTTTTTAAAACTATAACACAGCAATAATGATTATTTAGTTGAATAGCTATAATTAATTTTTACTATTATTGTTTGATTGTTATTGTATTACTATTCTTAATATTATCATAACATTGATTGAAATAATAGAATGACGAAATACTATTGTCAATGAATGGCACTTGATCAAACTATTTTTTAAAAAAAAAATTTTTGTTACTGTATTTTAATGATAATTATTCTTCTGACAGTTTAATTGATCATCTTTTAATATACAGCAACTCGATCGATTGTAGATATGTTAATGCAAAGATTTAGACAATGTACTTCACTATCTACAATTACTACTTATCATAATATATCTAGGTTAATGTTGAAAACATCAATCGGTATAAACGATCGTTGTTGCTTAAACGATATTAATAGATTATTATATTCAACGTTATCATCGAGTACTAGTAGTAGTAATAATAATAGTAGATTAAATCATCATCATTATTATAACACCAATAATAATAACAATAGTAGTGGTAATACTTTTAAAAATCATTATAATAAAAGTAGTAGTAGTAGTAGTTCTAGCAATAATATAAATAATAGATCTTCTTCGTTAACAAGTCAAGATATTTCGAATTTAGAGAACAAGTTAGTAGAGCTATCAAATGAATGGTGTAGATTAGATGGCATTAGAAGTGAATTGGCATTGTCTAACGTTGAGCAATTCGAACATCAACAACAACAGTTATCAAATATCATTGTCAATCAGAGAGATATCCTTTTCACCATAGATTCAATTAAATATCTATTGAACATAAACAACAATATCAATAATAGTAATCAATTAGATGATAATATATATAATTTTAAACATATGTCAATTAATAATCAATATCAATTCGAACGATCATTATTAAATAAAATACCACTAAATAACTACAATATTAATAATAATAATGATGATAACTATAATAATAGTAATAATAGTAATAATGAAGATATGATATTACAATTAAATGGTCATAAGCTATTGAGAGATACCTACTTAATGTTAGAATTAATCATTGGTAGAATAGAGAGAAACATTACCTATGGTGGTAAGGTTGGTGAGTTGGTTAGCAAACAACTTCAGACATTGCTTCTCTCGTATAAGAGTAACAGTCGGTTCCTATTGATTAGTATTCCCGATTGGTCAGAGAAGTACAACGAACAAAGAGCTGCTGTCATTCAATCGATAGAGAATCAACTATTGGCATGGACAACAACAACAACCGATACACCTAATAATAATAATAATAATAATAATAATAACATTCATACATTAAATCTATTAATCAACACAAGAGATCTTTTACATACATTATACTATGGTTTTATAAATCAAAAAGATAATAACAATATCAATAACAATATCAATAATAATAATAATAATAATAATAATAATAGTTATAAAGAATATATAAAACATTATTTAGATAGAATGGTAGTGGTACATAATGAGATAGAGGAATGTCTATTAAATACCAATGAGAAAGCAAAGAACGTACGTCAGAGAACTGTTAATACTTCCACCTCCGCTATAAGGTCAATGATAGAGAGTGATCTGTCGTTGGTTAGAAGTGTGGTGAATGACAATCGTAACAGATATCCTTTGGAACTCTTGGAGAATGATAAGATGCTATATAGACGACTACCATATACAAGTTCATTAATATTCAAATCGAAATCAAATTCAAATTCATCAAAAGTAAATAGCTATAATAATAATTATTACAATAACAACAATAATTATAACAAGATACAAGAAAAATATAAATTATTTAGAAATATAGATAATAATAATAATAATAATAATAATGATCATGATGATATTGATTACATCGATATACTAGATTCAAAAGAAATAATAGATAACAACAACAATAATAATAATAATAATAATGAAGATGATTTTAATGATGAACAAGAAATAGTTAAACAATCAAAATCAAAAGCATATCATCAACTTCCAAAAAGAAACGGTCCAAGATGGAAACATTGGTAATTGACAAATGTCATTATAAATAAATTTATTTATATTACTATCATTAAAATTGTTTGAACAATGATTGCCTCAATTTTAAAAAGGAAAAAACAAAAAAATCAAAATTTTTTTTTTTATTAAAAGACTTTTAATTTGTTGTTGTATTTTTATTTGTATTATATATTATTATTATTATTATTATTATTATTATTATTATTACTATTTAAAGTTAGAAAAGATAGTGTTAGATATAGATTTAAGAAAGATAGTGTTAGATATTTGAAAGAAAACAAAACTAGGAAATAGAGATAATCATAATCATAAATAGTGTTTAGTTAAACATTTAGTTTAGTTTAGTTTGTTAGTTTTGTGAAAAATCTAATAAGAAATAGATGTCATCACAACAACAGCAACAACAGCAACAACAACAACAAGGTTATAAAACCTTTGGTTTGAAGATTGGATTTCCTGCAGGATTTCCAATGAAGTACAAGAGTATTAGATTCCCAGACTATAATATAAGTGTACGCGAAGCTGTAAACTACATCAGTAGTAAGCAGATCATACCGAAACCAGAGAGTTATGTTCTACAGATATCGTATATCGACGGACCTGGAACTGGCTCATCGTCTGGAGCGAGTCAATCGTTGTCCTCCTCGACTGGCATGAGCGCACCGGTTGCGGGTGGACAACGACCGGAAAAACGTGTCGTAAAGTGGATGGATGACACTGCCAAACTCTCGTCGTATCCACTTGGCGCGGCTGATGTCGTCCTCGAAATGCGCAAGCGTCTGCAACCTGTGAAAGTGGTGTGCGCGACACAATCGATGCGTCTGGTTGCCGACGTCTCCAAGCCGATGGGAGATCTTCTCGATTTCATCGCCTGCAAGTTCAAGCTGTCGACAAGTGACTCGGCTCGCTACCGCTTGTTCCACAACAACGTGGAGTTGCCAACCCAACTCGATATTCGCGCGCTCAACATCGACACGCAAATTCCATTCTTTGTTCATAATAGCGCCGATCCCAAGTCTGAGAAAGACGACCCCTCGCTCTACAACGAGGAGCAAGACAGCGACGACGATTCCTTCTCTGGCAATCTGTCGCTCGAGGTGCCGGCAAAGTCGTTGGTGCCACTCAAGGAAGGCTATCTCAAGAAGCAGAACCGAAAGAAGTCGTATAACACTCGGTACTTTATCCTGACGGACAAGTTCCTCTTCTACTACAAGTCGCCACATGACCGTAAGGCATCGGGAATCATCAACTACAAGGAGCATGTCATTCGCGTGATGGTACCGCCTCGCGATGCCAAACTCGAGTTGATACCGAAAGACAGCTATCAACAGAACTCGGCGTCGGTACACACACATCCCGGTAGCTACGTCATCAAATTCGACACCGAACAGGAAATGAAATCTTGGAATATCGCACCGTTCACATTCCAGTCGCCAACACCAGCACCGTCGTCGTCGTTGTCGTCGGCAGCACAACCTGTCAAAGGTGGAAAAGTTGCAAGCAAAGCAGTCTTTGGTGTACCGGTAGAGCGATCCGTACCACCAGGATCAGATGTTCCACTCATTGTCACACAAACCATCGACTATATAGAAAAGAAGGCAATGGATGTCGTAGGTATTTTCCGTCTGTCCGGTTCTGTCAACACCATCGAACAATGGAAGAAACAATACGATAGAGGTGACAAATGTGATCTATTCCAAGAGAATGATCCACATGCAATTGCTGGTTTATTAAAATTATATCTAAGAGTAAGCAACCATATTATTAAAGTTATTATATATAACAATCGGAATCGGGATATTTATATCTATCTTTTCTTTGTTTTAGGAATTACCTGAGCCATTATTAACTTATGAAAGATATGATAAATTTATTGCTGCCCAATGTAAGTAGTATATTCGCCAAAGAAAAAAAACAAAGGAATGTTTTGGATAACTTACTAACCGAATCAATCAACTTGTTTGTTTATTTTTTAGCAATGGACGATTTAGCATCAAGAATTAAATTGATTAAACATTTAGTTAGATCATTACCACAGACAAACTATGCGATTCTATCAAAGTTGATGGCGTTTTTGGGTAGAGTTGCTCAACACTCTGCAAACAACAAGATGCAAATTCATAATTTGTCGACTGTGTTTGGTCCCAATTTGATAAAGGAGAGAAACTCTGGTGCCGCCGGTACCAACGTTCAGAATCTTGTGGAGGACACACCGATTATCAATGCTCTCGCTCTCTCGCTGATGAGAGACTATCCATATATCTTTGGAGACAAGGAGATTCCAGAGCAAAAGATCTACGCCAAGACACTCTACGACTACAACGGTGGTGAGAATGGCGCGGTACCAGAGGATTTGATCTTCCCGCAGGGCGTCACCATCCGTGTCACTGCAAAGTCGCAAGACGGCTGGTGGACCGGTGAATATCAAGGCAAATCCGGACGATTCCCTGCGACCTACGTCGATTTGATCGTCACACAATCGCCAGCTTCTCTGCTCCGAACCAAATCAAACTCTAGCATCTCCAAGAAAAAGAAATTCATGCTCGAGATGGAGAACACTCGTACCAAGACACAGGACAATGAGAAACTGCTCCAGCAGCTAAGGGAGCGCAAGGAGAAGCTTCAGAACAGCATTGCCTCGTTGAATCACGAGAAACAACAGTTGGCACAGGACGCAGCCACTCAGAAACTAATAGGAAATGTAAATACAACGAAACGAAAGCAAGCGATTGCCAACATACCAAAGACGATCGATATCCTCCTGGTGAAGTACAACGAATACAAAAAGAGTCACGACGAGCTTGCTACCATTAGAAATCTGTTGTTGGAAGAGTGCGACCAATTCAACAACAATCCAAAGGTTAAAGGAAAATTAGAAAGCAAAGAGAAAGAACTACTCCAATCAAAGATAGACACAGTAGCTTCGAAATTGGATGACTCTCTAAAGGCAAGACAAAAGAGTCTGTCATCAAAGAGAGTAATCAACGATGATTTAGCTGAATTAAAAATAACCTTAACCTTAAATTAATTACACAAAACCAAAAGACAAAACAAAACATTTATATACGATAAATAATAATAATAATATTAATACCTATACAATCTGTAAACATTAAATAACAACAAACAACAACAAACAATAATAAAAAAAATAGTAATAATAAAAGTTGATTTATATATATTTATTAATAAACTTTAGGTGTTTATTTAGTTTATTTATTTACTTGATGGTTGTTGGGCTGGTTTCAAAGGTGGTGGTGGAAACATATAACTATAAAATTGATTGAATATACCTGCTGATAATAATGAAAATGTTTCCATCCTAAGAATTGAATTACCAAAATTAGTTGGATAAACATTTGATAGCTTTGAAAGTTTATTGATTTCATTCTCTGTGAAACCACCTTCTGATCCGACCATCACCAACAATCTAGGTGATACCTTTGGTATTGACAACGATTCAACACTATTGTTGTTGTTGTTGTCGTTGTTGTTTTTAATATAGTCTGTTTTGAACTTCTCTATTAGTTGTGGTAATGGTTGACCTGTTGGATGTCCAACTATAATATGTGTCCAAAGATTATCTTTTACTATTCTATTGTTTATAAATGAATTTAATGATTCCATTGCATGTATTTTCATCATTCTATTATTTCTAATGATAATTAACTTTACAGTTAGTTAACTAAATTTGTCAAATCTTAGAGATTGATTGATTGATTGAAATAATACTTTGATTGTTTTGCAGCTTCTATAATAATTCTTTGGTATCGATCGAATTTGTTGTCGGTGATGTTAGATGATTTTGAGGATTTAGAATAGTCGGTCTCTATGAGGTAGAGTGATCGAACATCGAGTTCGGTTAGTTTCTCTACCATCCAGTCACCACGCGATGCCTTCGGAAGTGACGATGCAATGTCTATTCTGCTGTCGAATGTATGTTGGTTGTCAGCGCTGCTAGTACTCTCATTGATTTTACTGATGATCAGATCAGAGTGATTCTTTCCGATCGAATCGATCACAGCGATCACCGATTGATTGCCATCGAACAACTCCACCTCCTGGCCTTCTTTCAATCTCAGACTCTTCTTTAAATGCAAATGTTGACTACCATCCAATCTTACACTACCTCTTAGCATCAAAGGTATATTCTCTACAAAGAATCTTCTGAGAATTGTCATTGCTATAAATATAATCAATTTTTTTTTGTTGCCAATTTTTTGAAAATATCAAAGCTAGTTTGGTTGTTTTTAATCAATCTTAAAATCAGCTGATTAATCAATATTCTCGATTTGTATTTCTGTATTATATTATCTGTTTATTTATTATCTATTTATTTATTATTTATTTATTTATTTATTGTTTATTTGACATGATGTATAGTAGTATTGAAAGAAGTAGTGAAGAGAGTGATGAAGAGATTGATATCTTTAGTGAGATTGAAGATAAAAATATAGATAATAAGAGTACTAGCAATAATAACTTTATAATATGTAATAGTGATGATGCATATGATGGTACCTTTGAATTCAATCTAGATAACAATCCATATATAAAGATTGAAGATCATCCGATAAAAGGTAGATGTGTAGTTGCCAAAAGATTCATACCAAGAGGAACTACACTTCTTATTGACAAACCATATGTTTCAGGTGATTATTATTAGTATTATACCATTGATTCACAAAACAAACAAAACAACTTACTTTTTTGTAATATCAAAAATATATAGTTGTCAATCAAAAATATAAAAGAAATATATGTAATAGTTGTTTCAAATACTTTAGTGAATTAAATAGACAAAATGTTGTTTGTTGTCCTGGATGTGGGTAAGATTAAAATATATTATTTGGAAATCGATGAAATCGATATTTACTAATAGTATTATTTATTATTAAATTTAGTGAAATATATTATTGTTCTACTTTTTGTAAGCATTCAAGATTTAAGGAAACGAAACATAGTGATTTGGAATGTAAATGGATGTATTATTTCTCGAAAACCTATCTTCATCAACTACTTGACGATGAGAAAGACATGGTTCTAATTATTCTGAGGATATTGGCTCGTAGACAACAAGCAAAACTCTCAATGGATTTCACTAGAGCGCCCACTTCTAGCCGACTGGATCTTCCATCGGAAATCAACGATCTCGTTGATCACATCGATGAATATTTCTCGGTTTCATTAGAGCATCAAACCAATGACAATAACAATAACAATACACAACAACAACAACAATATATTGTTAAAAATGAAATTATAAATAATCAAGATATCTCTATAAATAGACCAACCAATATGAATATTGATGACTATAAATTGGTTTGGCAACACGACTTTGCAAAATTGTTGACTCTCACCAGAATCATTCAAAACATAATAACTCCATCGAAAAACTGTAGTTTCAAGAGTAACATCGACAGAGATGGTGACTTTGAGATGACCGACACTACTAGTGCACCTACCTCACTACGAACCTCACTCGAAGTCATCACAAAAACAGACTTTAACCTACTGAAACTACTTGGAAAGATAAGATCAAATTACTTTGGACTGTGGACACATTCTCCTATGCCCATCATCGGCAATACCAATTCATCATTTAATCAAACTAATACTACGACAACGACAACAATGGAATCAAGTAGTAGTAGTAGTACATCGTCACCACCACTACTACGACCACAACAATGCCACTGGGGAGGTGCAGCTGTCTATCTCCGAATGTCACTTTTCAATCATTCTTGCTTTCCAAATTGTACAACTCTACTTCAAACCAACGATACACATCGCATTAAACTTGGTAATTCCGATATCGACGGTGCCGATTCGACCATCTACGAATTGGATCCTGAGAGAGTCAACCCTTTATCATTCCACGTGGTAACAATCAGAGATATCGAAGTTGATACTGAATGTCTAATAACCTACATTCCACTCGACCAAAAACTAAAAGATAGACAATCACATCTGAAATCAATGTGGCTCTTTGATTGTAATTGTCAAAGATGTCAATTTGATTTATATCAACAACAACAACAACAAAAAAGTGACACCTCTTTGACCGACAACAACCAAGACACAACAACAACCAAGACAAACCTGATTCCTAACTTGGAATTTGAAAAGTATTGTTGCAATAGTGTTGGTTGTCATAGTGGAATGTTGGTACCTGACTATCCCGGAAGCACCACTGGCTCATGCCGTGAATGCAATCAATCATTCCAATTACCGAAATAAATTAATGTGAAAAAAGTGGAGATATCCATTACTGTCAATGGATATCTTCATATGAAAACAATAACTATCGCAAAACCTTAAAAACTAAACTACTAATTTAAAATATCGTTATGAACACCCAAGTGTCATAAGTGTCAAAGCCTAAATTTCTATTTAGTTTTGCCCCTTAATCAAAAAAAAAAAAAAAAAAAAATTTTTGATTTTTTGAATAAAAAATTTAGAATTTTCCACTCCCATCACACACATTTGTCCTTCTTAAAAATGTGTTTTTTTTTTTTGCAATTTTTTTTGGGTATAAGATTGTTTAATTGTGGGAACGATTTTTTTTGTGTTCTGAGAACTTTCTTCTATCTATTTTTATAATTTTTTTTTAATTTATTTTTAAAATTTTTTTTTCACCGCACTCTTTTGTTTTATTTAAAACAAGGTGATCACACACAACTTTTTTATTCATTCCAAATTATTTTTTAGTAAAACAACACAAAAGAAAGTTATAACATCAAACCAATAAAAAAAAAAAAAAAGCAAGTTACTTCCTCCTCATCCTCTTCTTAATTCCTCCTCTTAGTAAATATAAATATAAATCATAATTCCTCTCCTTTTAAAAATTATATTTTAATTTTTTGCAATACACAATAAGAAAAACAAATCAAATCATAATTCCTCCCCTTTTTCCTCTCCTTAGTAAAAACTCCTCTTCTTTTTTTATCAGTACACAACATAATATATTTTTTTTTTAATTTCGATCATAAATTATAATGTTTACTCTAATGATTTTAAATAAAAAAAAAAAATTACAATTAACTACTTTATCTTTATTATCTTTTATTTTTTCATGAATATCATGTTACTAAACCAATCAATCGATCAATCACGATTTTGTTTTATTTGTTTGTTCACATCACAATCACATATCTTTAATTTATTTATCTATTGTTATGACGTGCCATTACAATTCCATTCACTTGAATCAATATTATTCATATTCACTTCAAACACACACACATACACAATACACCACATCACATAACCACAAATAACACACAATACCACACCCAAACAAACACATTCACACAATTACTTAACAGATTCAAACGACTTTTGACATTTTATCACATTCAAATTATACATTATATTATTTCAATTTTATAGTTGTGTGATATGATAGATGTACAATCGTCTGTGTTTCTTAATGTTTTATACATACCAATGTTAAAATTTAAACTTTTTTAATGAATATTAAATTCCTTTTTTATATAAATACATCCACCTACTAGTATAGTATATAGAAATATTATTTTTTACACACACATATCATTTCAAACAATATTCAAATTGTCTATTTTCCACTCCACTCACTCACTTTGAAATGAATTCTTGTCGAAGTCATCATCTCTCATACTGACCGATCCAAACTAATCCGTCTCTTGACATGACATTCTCTTTTTTTTTTTTTTTTTGAAATAACCTACTTATATGAATAATACCTACTACAAATAATCTATATTTCATATCTCTTTTTATCTTTATGATGTTATTATATATTTATTCGATTCACAAATATTAATAATAATATAATTTTTAAATAATACTTTTACTAACAACCAAATAATAACAACAACAACCAACTTTAATTTAAATCTTTATTATTTATTTATGTTTAATTATTAATATTTACAGATAGAACAAAATTAATTGTTAATATATAAAAGTAAAATTCGATATTCTCAAAAAAGTAAATTATTTATAAATAATATGGCTACATTAATTGTTCCAAATCTCCCAGTTTCTGGAAAGAACGCCTTTGACAGTTGCTCTTGTTCCTGTGTAAAGTGTCTCTGTAACAAACTCCTCGATAGTATCACCACATACAATGACGCTAGTGATAACTTCACCATGGAAGTTGCAATTCAATCGTGTTGTTCCACCGATCCATCCAATTCCAACACAGCTGCCAATGCCACATCAAGCATCTCTTCCAACTGTGGTTGTGAATCAAATTCCTGTTGTGGTCTCTCCACTCTTTTCTCATACCAAGATTTCACTATTTTCGTACCAAATCTTGAAAAGTAAGTACACTTTTTCGTATCAATAAATTAAATACTAATTGATAAAAAAAAATATAGACAACACATTGAACCACTTGAAAAGTTATTAAATAGCTTATCAACTGTTCTCTCTGCCAAAGTCAACAATAACAAATTCGTAGAGATTCACACCAATTCACAGAGATCTATCTTCTCAATTCTCTCTGTATTCAAATCATTAAATCTTACAATTGCCTCTGTCCAATCCAATCAATGTCCAAAGCCATCATCTTTAGATGATATTGTAAGTATAATTTGGAATAAAATAGTAAATTACTTTTTTGAAATATATATTAATCATGATTATTTATATTAGGATATTGATGATGATTTCATTTCACCGGAAATGAATGGTGGAAATGGTGGTAGTGCCAACTATTCAAGTGAAGACGAGAAGGATGAAAAGATCTTCCAAATCTCTGGAATGGTCTGCCAATTGGGTTGTGCCAAAATCATTGAAACCAAGTTTATGGAGAACAGCAGAATCTCCAATGCCTACGTTAATTTCTCTGCTCAAACCTTACATATTCGTGGAGATGTATCCGATAGATCGGTCATCAGAAAGGTTGAAAAGTTGGGTTTCAAATGTGAACGTATCAAAAAAGATCAAGTCAGTTTAATTTCACCAATCGACCAATCACCAGTATGTATAATTCCACAAAAGAACAATAACAACAACTCTCCAAAGCAACAGCAACAACAACAACGTGCAACTGAAATCGAAATGATTTCAATCGAATCATCACCTGTAAAAGAATCATTCCCAGAGATCAAAGTTGAAACTCCATCGTCTGAAACCAATACAATTGCTATCGGTGTCTATGGTATGACTTGTGCGTCGTGTGTCGGTATTGTAGAGCATGGTGTCAAGTCGGTTGCCGGTGTCGTAGAGTGCTCAGTGAATCTTTTGGCGGAGCGAGCTGAAGTTACTTATCATCCAGCTGTTGCCACTCTCAAGGACATATTGGAGATCTTGGATACTCTTGGTTACGAAACCAAGGTTCTCCACACTCCAAAGCCAGGTACATTCTTCATTGCCATCGACGAGATGCCATCGACTTCCAATGCACTCGATGCCCAAAATTCGTTGAGTTCACTCAGCGGTGTCACTTCAGTTGAGCCACACGAGAACGACAATGGAAAGATCGTATTCAAAATCGAAGCCGACGCATTGGTCGTTGGACCAAGAAGCGCCATCAGAAAGTTGGCCGAAAGCAAAATCGTTGCGACACTCTACAGTCCCGATACTGACGAAGCTAAAGATTCACTCTTGAGAAAGCGTGAAATTCAAAAGTGGAGACGTTACTTCATCTTCTCCATTGCTTTCACCGCTCCACTGATTGTGATTGCTATGATTCTCACACCGGCCAAAGTTCCATTCGTAATGAAGGAAATTACTATGGGGTTGCCCGTGGAAGCACTTCTTGGTTTCATTCTTGCAACACCCGTTCAATTCTACACTGGTCTCACCTACTACAAGGCATCGTGGGGTGCACTTAGAAATCTTCATGGTAACATGGATCTTTTGGTTGCCATTGGTTCGAGTGCCGCCTATATCTACTCCGTCTTGTCAATCGTCTTGGGAATGGCAAATCCAGATTATATGGGTATGCATTTCTTTGAGACATCAGCATCGCTTATCACCTTTATCACTTTGGGTCGTTGGCTAGAGAATATCGCCAAGGGACACACCTCATCTGCCATCGTCAAGCTCATGAATCTTCAATCCAAAGAGTCGATCCTCATCAACGCCAACTATGATGAAGAGAAAGGTACTTTTGAAGCACTCTCTGAAGAGATTATCCCATCGAATTTGATTCAATACAACGATATTCTCAAGGTGGTTCCAGGTGCCTCGGTTCCAACTGACGGTGTTGTTATCTATGGTACATCGTCTATCGATGAATCCATGTTAACCGGAGAATCCGTTCCAGTCTCCAAGAAGCCAGGTGACGATATCACTGGTGGTACTGTCAATCTCGAGGGTGCAGTCTACGTTCGTGCCAACAAAGTCGGATCGGAATCAACTCTCTCACAAATCATCTCTCTCGTTCAACAAGCTCAAACCTCCAAAGCACCAATTCAAGAGATTGCCGACAAGATCTCAAAGGTATTCGTTCCGGGTATCGTTCTTATTGGTTTGTTCACTTTCGCTTTGTGGATGATTCTCGGTGCAACCGATGCCTATCCAGAGAAGTGGAGAAACGGTAACAGTTCTTTCTTGTTCTCTTTCTTGGCATCGATCGCTGTCATTGTTATTGCTTGTCCATGTGCTCTTGGTTTGGCCACTCCAACTGCAGTCATGGTTGGAACTGGTGTCGGTGCTCAACTTGGTATCTTGATTAAGGGTGGAAAAGCTTTGGAGACCGCTCACAAGACATCGGCTGTTCTCTTTGACAAGACCGGTACCATCACCACCGGAAAGATGACAGTCACCGAATATCAAACTCCAGACAACTCACCAGCTCATTTGAAAGAGTTCTTTACCTTTGTAGGATCTGCCGAGAGCGGATCGGAGCATCCAATTGGTCGTGCCATTGTAAAGTATTGCAAGGAGAAGTTGGCTGCCGAAGACGGAAGATCTGAGAAGGAAATCCAATTCCCAATGGTCGAAGACTTCAAAGGTGTTCCGGGTCGTGGTCTTGTCTGCCACATCGAAGGAAACAAGGTTCTCATCGGTAATCTTAGTTTCATGAAGGAGAACGATATCAAAGTCGATCAACGTTATGTCGACGCTGCTCAAGAGATGGAAACCAACGGTAAAACTGTCATCTACATCATGTACAAGAGCGAATTCCGTGGAATCATGTCGATTTCCGATGTACCAAGAGACGATTCCATGATTGCCATCAAGAAACTTCATCAACTCGGTTTGAAATGCTACATGGTCACCGGTGACAATCGTCGTGCCGCCAAGTTTATCTCAAAGGAAGTCGGTATTCCCGAGGAAAACATCTTCTCTGAAGTCATTCCAAAGGAGAAAGCCGATAAGGTTCGTCAACTCCAAGAGCAAGGTCACGTTGTCTGCTTCGTTGGTGACGGTATCAACGATTCGCCAGCACTCTCTCAAGCGGATGTCGCCGTATCCGTCGCAACCGGTACTGACATTGCTATTGAATCGTCATCGATCGTTCTCTTGAAGAACTCACTCACCGATGTCTACCGTTCGATCCATCTCTCGCGTGTAGTGTTCCGTCGTATCAGAATCAACTTCACACTGGCACTCATCTACAATCTCTGTGCAGTGCCACTGGCAGCCGGTCTCTTCCTTGTTATTTTTGGAGTTGAACTGCCACCAATGGCAGCAGCCGCAGCAATGGTTGTAAGTTCTCTCTCTGTTCTCTGTTCATCATTATTACTCAAGCTCTACAGACCAACCAAGATCAAAACCAAATAAAGCATGTGTTGTGATCACCATTACCAATCAACCATCACCACAACATTTTCATAGAGATTTCTCTTCAAATCACACCATTAATTAACCTGCATATCAAATAAAAATTTATTATTCTGATCTAAAAATACAATTGAATTCTCTAAAATTAAAAACCAATTTTGGGTTGTTTTAAAATGCTCTGATTAAGTAATAAGATAACCACAATTGATAAAAAAACAAAACAAAAAGCGAATTTTATTCTTGTTGTTTAAAAGTGATTTGATCTACTACCCCATCCGTTTTACAAGTTGTGGTTATCTTTGTCAAGACTTTAGAATTAAAAGTTTGTTTTGGTCGATTATCTAAAACATTCCTTTTTTTTTTCTTTGTAGTATTAAAAGAAATATTTAAAAAATGTTTAATATAGATATATTAAGTAAAGCGAATAATGTAGTTGTTTATGCTAATATAATATGTAGTTTTTTAATAATTTTAACTTTTTTTGTTTTTATAAACAAAGATCATTTCAGATACAACTGATTATGTATTTAAGTTATAGTACAGGAGTAGGAAATTTATTTTATAATATATCCTTTTCCTACCCGGATTTTTGTTTGGCAAGTGGAATTGTTAGTATGTATTTCACTTTAGCCAAAGTATTTTGGAATTTCTGTATATGTGTCAATTTCTATCAGGTAATTTTATTATTTATATATATGAATTTATATAATTAATTTTTACTACTCTTTTAAAGCTTATAGTTAAAAGAAATAAAGATGCAGAGTCTTTGGAAAAGTTTTATCATTTATTTTCTTGGGGAATTCCACTACTGATATTAATTATAGTTGCCAGTACCAAAAATATTTTTTATAATGGTTCAAAGTATGTTTTTAATAGACTTATTGGCATTATATTGTTGTTAATATAAAAGATACTAATACATTGTAAAGTTGTTTTTTGAATACTTCAGATGAAACAATGATTACATTGTGGCTGCCACTTGATTTGTTTTATATAATAAATTTATCAATTTATATAATAGTTGCTAGAAATATACACGACACTCTAAAAAACACTCCTGAACCTTATAGAAAAGAGAGATCCAAAGAATTTAGAGTTCAGTTTTCTATATTTGTTTCGATTGGTATGTTTTCAGTGTTCAATACATTGACTCCACTGACCAGAAGTACCACAAATGTAGATCTAGCTAATTTCCTTTTGGTATTTCAGTTATTCTTCTCCTACTTGGATGGTGTTTTAATATTTATTTGTTATTGTATCAACAAAAGGATTATCCAATCATATATTAATTTCTTCACCTATACCATTTTATCCAAATTTTGTAACATTAAAGAATTACCTAAAAAAGAAAAGAGTATATCATCAACTGAACAACAGATGGAAGAATCAAACGGTGCATCATCAATGACCATCATAAATGTTCATCATGACAATAATAATGTAAATTTCCCAAATCAATTAAACACAAACACATAGAAAATATAAATAAATAAATTATTGTAATTGTTTTCATCATTGTTAATAAAAAAAACAAAATTGTGTATTGAAATCAAATTTTATTTAAATCAATCAAAAAAACACCACAAGGACATATAAATAAATTTGTATTTTTTAATCGATTTTGGGGTGGGAACTGCCCTTTGGGTTGGTAGCTGATCATCTTGTCTTGGATAATCAAATCAAGAGATTTTAATTTTCATAATACCAAATTTTCGTTAAGAAAATTAAAACTTTATTTATTTATCCTTTTTTATTATAATAATAAAAATGTTGCATTTTATTTATGATTATATAATAAATATATGTATTTGGATATCATTGATTAGTACATTAGGAACAATTTTTACTTTTTTAATTTTTCCAGTAGTTAGAACATTTCAAATCAAATTAATTATATATCTATGTTGTTGTATTTTTTTTCATGACATTTTCCATAGGTTAACATACTGGATTCATGTTCCTACTTGTTTGGCAAGTGGGATTATTACAAATTATTTTTTATTAAGTGCATTCTTTTGGAAGAGTTGTATTTCATTTAACTTATATCAGGTAATATAAAAGTTCAAATTAAAAGAAACAATAAACCTACTAATGGTTATTTGTAGACTATAATCGTTAAAAATATAAATCATAAAAAACTAGAAATCTTTTATCATGTATTTTCTTGGGGATTACCTTTTCTGGAAGTTGTAATTATGGCATCATTAAAACAATTCGAACTTAGTAGTGTTTTTCTAAGGTATTATAGAATTCAAATTTATTGATAAAACTATTATAATTATTAATATTTTTATTCTCTTAATAAAAACTAAAGATGTTATTTAAAAGCTTATGGAATGGCAATAGTGTATGGAATGTATATCCCAACATTAATTTGTATTATTTTTAATATCATTATTTATATTTTTGTTTCGACAAAAGTCCGTAAAATATTAAAAAATACACCTAATTCCTATCAGAGATGTGAAACTACTAAAGAATTAAAGGTACATCTTACTATATTCATTTCCACTGGTTTTGTAGGATTGATAAGTTTTGGAGGTACATTTTTTTTATATGCTTGGAAAGATGGAATAATTTTGTACATTATATCCAGTGTGTGTATACCATTAGAGGTAAGAACACTTTTTAACTATTCTATTTATTTATTACTAATTACAAATTAAAAATTTATAGGGTACTTTAATATTCATTATGTATTGTATTTTGAACAAAGATATAAAAGAATCTTATAGAAAATCATTTGAAAAATTAAAAAATAGTTGTAGGAAAAATAAGAAGAACATTCACAAAAAAGAAACAAAACAAAAAGTTGAACATCATCAAATCTCATTGCCACAACTGTGTATTGAAATAAATGAAAAAATGGCTAGCAGAAATGGTGGTAAAGAATAAAATAAAAAAAAATTTTAATATTTATATTTATTTATAATTATTTGATAAATATAGTGTTTTGATTAATAATATATTCACTCACCACTTTATTCTTTTTTTTACACAAATAATCAAATTATTGTTACCACTTACTTACTGTTGATAAAAACGATTAATTATTAATATAATATAAATAGAAACATATTGATTGTTTTGTTTCGAAAAAATATTTGATTTTTTATTTATTATTATCCATATTCTAAAAACAATAAAATAAAAAATGAAAGTAGAAATTTTAGATAAAAACGAAATAAATATTAGAATTTTTTGTATTTATTCAAAATTTGAATCTTTTTTAACTTGTTCTTATAAAGATGTAAGAAAATGAGTATTTTATCTTATTTTAAAAAAAAATAATAATAATTTTAATACAAAATTATCAATTTTAGTTAAATCAAGAAATTCCAAAATCAATTAAAGATTTGGAGAATATAGTTGAAAATGATGAAGAATGGAGAAATTGTAACAAAAACAACAGAATAGTTATTTTCAATACGACTATTGAAACAATAATTAAATATCTTGAAAATCAAGACTTAGTTAATTTTATAATTAAAGTAATAATCGATGAATTAAAAAAAGGTATATTTAAAAGTTAATGATTTTTACCAAAAATAGATATTTAATTTTAATATTAATTTTTTTTTTTTTTAAAAAAGGAGGGGAAAACAAAGATTTTCTTTTCGAATTAATTGATAACCTTTTACATAGATTATCGGTTGATCAAATTCAACTAGTTATTACAGAGTTATTTAGAGTATCGAATGAAGTAGTTCTTGGTTATATCGATGGCTATATCTCGAGAAACAAATGTGATGCATTTGATGAACCTGCGAAAATACATGAATCCACAACTACTACTACTGCTACTACTACTACTCTCGAGAGATTCGACCATGTCAAGTCATTCATCAAGATCATCTATGTAATTGCAATCGTTGATAGTCAATTACAAAATATATTAAAACATCTCAAACATACTACATTGGATTCTAATTTCATAGGACTTTCATATTCAATGAACAAAGTAAGTTGCAAATCAAGTTAAATCATGATTCACAGTTAATAATTAATATGTTAAATTTGTATTATTTCATTCAGTTTATATCATTACTTCCAAATGATTCAAGAATTGAACTAAGAGATTTACTTGTGCAAATATCTAAACAACCTGAATTAAATATAATGGAAAGTAGTATGTATTGATTGTGTTTATTTTTGTTATAATCAAGGGTAATCTTATTAATAAAAAATAGGATTGTTTTATGTGGTTCATCAGTTAATAAGATACTCATTGACGACGGGTGATGATTTCCAGACATTCTTTGGATCGGATATGATCAGTTTCTATATAGAGTCGATCATGAAGAGATTGACTACAATCGATGATGATCTCGTCAATATTGCTATGACACGCGATTATAGTACCAGTGATATGATGCTAATCGATTTGGAACTAATGATATCCGGTTTCAGTTCGAATGTTCACTACCCAAAGATGATCATACAGAAGCTAATAGATAGTTACAGCCACATGTTTGAATCTACCAATTGGAAAGAGAGATATTCTATTCTAAGAATGTTAAACACTCAGAATATTTCTTATGAAAATATAGATTTTATATTTAAGTAAGTTAATAATTAGATTATATATATCGTCAAATTTGTAATAATACTAATTAAAAAAACAAAGTAGTGGATTCAAATCAATGAATATTGATGATCAGTCATCATCATCATCATCATCACTGGGTAATGATGAACATCCATTGGTTAGATATGAATATTATACTTTGGTGTCAAGGTATTTGTCATCGAAAACTGACAAGTTTGATTTATGTTATCATTTCGTCAAGATGATATTAAATAGAGATGAAGATATACCAATTTTGAAGACGTGCATGCTCAACTGCCTATATACTATGATGATACTCCACAACATCACGACCAACGATGAAAATCAATTGAATGCATTCCACAGAGATATCATTACAATCATCTGCAAATATGCCAGCTCAAACGAACGTAACGTTGTAAGACAAGCACTAGCAACGGTCATACAATTCTCCACACATATTGGTAATGGCTTTATTCCAGTAAGTAGAAAAAAAAGACAAACCTAAACATTACATAACAAAACATAACAAAACTAATTAAATATTATATAATTATTATTAGTATTTTGACGATACCATTGAATGGTTTATCAAGACACTGGAATCACATCCATATTCCCATGAACTTAGATTCGATATTCTACAATCGCTTAGTAAACTACTTGTTGTTATGGGTGTAGATTACTCACATATAACCAATAATAGATTCAACAATGGACAGATCATACAGAGATTGCTAACTACTACATTGGCTGAAGTGGATGTATTGTCCGTCGATCAACAAAGTCTATCTAAACTGTTTGATACTTTTAGAAACTTTTGTCAATGTCCAGGATTTGATATACAGACATATTTAGTTAGAATAATGGATTGTGTAACAATGATTTTGATAAGCGATGAAGGTGTTCAACAGTGGACAGGCAACGAGGGAACAGTATTGGAGTTGGATCACTTCACTCAGACCTACAGTCGTTTGGAACTGGCATTGCGATTTCTACCTTACGCTTTTCACTGTCTGGAGTTTGGCGATGTCTTTCTCCCGTATCTTAGTATTCTCACCAGAGAGTGTTTGAGAGTGATGGATACACCGTACTTCTCACAGGTTTCTCACGCAGCAATCAACATGTTGCCGCACCTGGTTCGAACATCCAAGTATTACTTCCTCCGACATTCACCACCAGATTCCAACCCACACACCATTGACAGTGAAACCCGAGAGCTTCTAACTATTATCAGAAAGAATCTTTACAAATCAATGGAAGTCGAGATTATTCCTTTCTTGGTCAATGCTAAATCAAACATTCTACTTCAAGTAAGATATTTAAAACTAATGAATTATAACTAAACAATCACTAACATTCCATCCATTTTTTTTTTTTTGAACGTTGTATTATAGTGTATGAACATTGCAGTAAATCCAATAGATTTAAATTTCTTATTAATCAATTAATGTATTAGAGATTTAATTATTATTTCAAATAATTAAGAAACTCTTCTCCAATATTCCCCAATGTTAAAATTTGTTACAACATTATTATTATATATTAATCAATTGAAATTGAATGGTTCTAATTTAATAATAAAGCATCTTTAAAAATATTTAAGAATGGCTCAAAAAACACTCGTTTTTACACACTTTTTTTTTAATGATCTGTCGGTAAATAATCTAATTAGTGCACAATGGAGACAAATCTAACTAAAGAGTATCTAGATACTTTAGATAAAGAAAAGTTAATTGAATTAATATTAAGTAGTAGTAGTAATCAGAAAGATAATAAAAATAACAATAATAATAGCAGTAACAATAAACAACAACAACAACAACCAAAAAAGAAAAAAGATAAGAAAAGAAAAAGAACAAGTGAGATAGATTTCGATAAATGTTATAAAAGATATATTGCATTGAAAGTTGCATACTTGGGTTGGGATTATCATGGGTTTGCTGCTCAACAAATCACTGAGGAAACCATTGAAGGTCATCTCATTAGAGCATTACAAAAGACTTGTTTAATCAATGATATAAAGAATTGTAATTATTCAAAGTATGCATTGTATTTTAATCATCAATTTAAGATATATCAATATCAATTTGTTACAATAACTAACTAACTAACTAACTAACTAACTAACTAACTAAATAATTGATTATTATTATTATAGATCAGGTAGAACAGATAAAGGTGTTTCTGCATTTGGTCAGGTGATTTCATTGTATGTAAGATCGAATTTGACTGAAGGAAACGATCTTATACCACCTACTGTCATCGATGACGAAGCAATCGCAAAAAAGAAAGCGAATCTTCTAAAGAATAAGAAAACACACGAGGAATTCCAATTTGTAAAGATGTTGAACGGTGTTCTACCTCCTTACATCAGAGTGTTAGGTTGGTCACCTATTCCATTCCACTTCAACGCTCGTTTCAGTACACTCTATAGAACTTACAAATACTTTTTTGATCCATCCAATCTAGATTTGAATGTAACTAATTGCTCTATCTATCTATTATTCATAAAGATTCATACATTAATGTTGTTTCTCTTTATATATATAGTTAATGAAAGAAGCAGGTAAATCATATATTGGTGAACATGACTTTTCAAACTTTTGTAAAGTAAATATAATCATAATACGACAAAACAAATATTACAAGTATAAGTTTATATATATTAATTGATTCTTTATTATTATTATCATTATTAGATTGATTTAGAAAGTGTTAAATCATTTACAAGAGTTATATTATCTTTTGATATACAACCGGTTGAATCTGGTGATTTTTCGACGAGTGGAATGTATGTTGCAACTATTTGTGGATATGCATTCCTTTGGCATCAGATAAGATGTATGATGGCAATGTTGTTTTTAATAGGTCAAAAGAAATTCCCGACAACTGTAACTATATTATAATCATAAATATAGGTGTTAAATAATATATTTTAGCTAATCGTCGTCGAACCTTTTTGTTTTTATTTAAATAAATAAATTAATGTAGATTATTGCAGATTTATTGGATCTATCAAAAGGTATTGTAAAACCACCGTACGAGATGGCATCTGAAGTTCCACTTGTTCTATTCGATTGTGGCTACGAAGATTTGAACTTCATATATGATAAAGGTAATTACCATTACCATTTAATTAGATTAATCAACCATTCATTCATATTTATTAATATACTTTGTTTGATATCAATCAACAATTAACAAACAACACTGCAGAATCATATCAAAAAGTTATTCAGCAACTATATAGTATTTGGAATGAACAATATGTCAAATCATCAGTTTCATATTTGATGTTAAACGAAATGAGAACTCTACCATTTGGTTTATCAATAGCAAACGATAAATAATAACAAACTGACATTCTTTTTACACAAATATAATTTGTTTTGTGAAAGAAGGCATCAATTTCAAAATCTTTTCGCACTTTGACCAATAGATTAATATTTTTTATATATTCTTAGTTTTATCATACATATTATTAAACATCTTCGTTGATTGCATTCCTATCTATACCTCTCTTTACCAACATGAAAACAGATAGCAAGATAAGTGATACTACGATCATAATTAAAATAATTGCATAGAATGGTAGGATTGGGAGATCTTCCAAGTTCTGTTTTCGTTGTTTGTTTTGTTTATACAATTTATTAGTATATCACTATGATGTAATATATAGATATATGATATTTACCATTCCATAGATACTTGATAATAAAACTGCTGGAATTGTGAATGCAGAGAACGCAGATACCAATAGCTCATATCTATACTTTGCATTCTCTTTCTTGTATCTCTGTATTTTGGCACGATCTCTATCGGCTCGTTCATCGCGTTGCTCTTCGAATTTAACACGACGTCGTTCCTCTAGATAATCGTTTTCCAACAACGCCAGCGTATCCTCGAGTTCTTCACGTAGTTCTTTTCTCTGCGAAGGAATACCAAAGACACGACGCATCGCCAAGAAAAACTCTGAGAACTCCGACTGACCTCCACAGTCATCGGATGACATTGATATGGTGAAACGTGCCACCAACTTTGCCAATCCACGCGAATTCGTCAGTTCATCAAGTGTTGTTCTTTCGAATTCGAGTCGCATCGACTCTGCTTGTAGCGACGCCATTGTGCTCAACTCCTCGAGAACTGCCCGTTCTGCATGAGCGTGAAGTGCCAGCACCAAATAGACTCCTTGGAACTTGCTGTGCCAGTTCAAAACACTGCTTTCATGTTGATTCTCGACTGACCACGAGATACAAGCGATTCCCTCTCTGGAGATACCGATGTACCTGTTCAATCTAGGCACCAGAATCCTATCCAACATTCCATTCTGGTCATCGTTCATTTCGTTGAGTGGTGGTCTATTCTTTTGTCCAAGAGCACGTCGCAAATGGAACAAATAGGTTTGTAGAGTCAGATAGCTTGGTTGGCGATCGAGTATCACCGTAGTATGGTGGTGAGCATGTCCACCTGTTCCAACCTTTGGTATCAAATTGTTTGGATCTTCACTGGCAACCAACAGTAGCCAATTGGCAATGGTGTTCAACGATACTGTTTTATCCTTGTAGATTGACTTTACCATCTTTCTTCCAATGGATTCAAGATGTGATTCCTCAATTACTTCTTGACTTTTCATTGAAGATGGTACTTGTTGTGCTTGCTGCTGTTGTTGACTTTGCTTTTCACCTTGTTGATTAACATTAATATCTCCAGTATGTTGATGTTGACCTGGTTGTTGTTGTGTTTGCTGTTGAGTGGTATCTACAACTAGCTCTTTAAAACTCCATCCATTAGCAACCTTTCTTACTTTATGACGGAATTTAGATACATATAACCATGTTCTAAACTCTTCCAATGGGAATGTTTTGCTTGGTCCCATGTTGCTGTGGTGACTGGATGCATCTTCATGTACATGACCAACCTCTGGCATCCAATCGATGTTGAATACTAGAATACCAACGCCAAGCGGATAAACAATGAGATTGACCGATTCAAACTTGACTTGCTTATAGATATTCTTTGGCTGTTGACCTTCACCCTCTTCAACTGTCCACAGTTTCGGTTGTGGGAATACCATTGCCTGTGCTTTCTCTGTCATTTGAAGACGACGACAACGCCAAGTTGATTTTGCATCGATATCCTTTTGGTTGACACCAATGATGTTTTTAAATTGACGACTTAGTTCCTCCAACTCTCTTGGTAACACGGTTTGCATCTGCCAGACTGCAACGCTACTCTTTCCATCTTTGGCAATGAGACGACGATCCAGTAAACCCTGAAGCCAATATGTTGTAGGAGATTGATGATTGCTATATTGGAATGGAATGATCAAAGCTGTCTTGGTAACCAAACATCCTATATCATTATCAATGAAATCCTCAAGAATTGAAACCGATTGTTGTTGCTGCTGTTCTTGTTGTTGTGCTTTCAGCCTTGGCAATTCATATTCATGATGGTGTAGAGCTGCAGGGTCATCTTCTTCCTCATAGTCACTTAGATCATCCGCTTGGTGGAATAAATCCATATGAGAAATTGAAGGTCTATGTCTTCTTCTATGATAAGAATCATATATTGAATTCTAATTATTAAAATAAAAAAATAATTTGTTTTCTAAATATTAATAAATTTCTTAAAAAAAATAAAACAATTCTAAAAGTAAAAATAAATTTCTAAATTTACCCTTCCTAATGATGGAGACAATGAATAATCTACTATATGAGATGGTACTTGTAGAAATTGTTGTTGTGGTGGTTGAGAAGATCTTGAATATCCATCAGCATATGGATATTTTCTGACGAAAGATGATCTTCTTGGTAGATTATCTATATTTGATCTTTGTTGTTCATTGTTACTATTATTATTATTATTATTATTATTTTCCATATTATTTATATCGATTTCATCTAACAAATTTTTATATCTTCTATTATTTTTGTTATTATAGCTCATTATTATTAAAATTGTTTTAAAAATTAGGAAATAAAAAAAAGACAAATCCTATAATTGTTATATATATATCTGATAAAAATAATAAAAAAACCATAAATCCAATAGATTAAATTCACTTGAACAATGTTCATTGGTCCAATGAGAAAAAAAAAAAAACACTTTGGAAAATTACCAAAAATAGAAATTTTAGTTATTTTTTTACAGATAGAGAAAAGTTTGGAATCAATAGTTTGTATTTTAACTAAATAGAAAAAAAAATTTTTTATCAATTTTGAAATAGAATTTGTTAAGTTCTTTAAAATATTTGTGTTGCATTATCTTTTGGAATTCCAGAGAGAACTAGATATTATCTAGATTCATCTTCAACTAAATAAGATCAACTTTTTACAACTCTCATCAAATAAAGTGAAAGAAATATTTTAAATTAACCTATAAGAGTAGAGATAAATATGTCTTTGATACCAAATCTTCTAGTCTCAAAATGATTTAAATGATTTTAGAGGAAAATATATAAAAACAAATCAATAAATTTAAGGATCTCAATTTGAATTACTAATTTAATAAGATGTACAGAAACTATGTATTTTTTTTTTACAAAATCATCAGAGTTTTAAATTAAAATAAAAAAGATATTAATTTTTTTCAAAGTACAAATATGAATGATTCAATAATGAAGGATGAAGAGGATGAAGATGACTTTTATAGACAACAGAATGGTAGTAGCAATAGTAGTAATAGTAATGCCACCGGTGGTGTAATATACACTGTAGAATCACTACAGAGTGAAATGAATAGCTACAGTCTAGAGAAACTGATGAAGGAACCTCAACTACTAGCTAAACACAAGCAACACACCATCGGTCAAATGAAATCATTGGCATTGCAACACTACCAATTGTTTATAGATAATTACAATACATTGAACTTCACTCAGAATCAAGTAAGTATTAACTAACTTTAATAAGTTATTATTGTACAGGAGTAGATCACTAAACTCTACTCTTTCAATTCATCTTAAAGATGGATACAATTAATGATAGAGTAGATTCATTGCTGGATCATCTACAATCTATATCGACCAGCTGTGAATCGTTCTCGACGATATCGAATCAACTAACTGTAAAGAGAGCATCCGTTAAGAATCTACTTGATAACTTCCCAACCATTCTGGATCTTCTCGAGATTCCACAGCTGATGGATACATGTGTAAAGAATGGCTACTACGACGAAGCATTACAATTAGAGTCGTACGCTAAAAAGATATCGAAACAATATCCAAATATTAAAGTTATAAATGAAATTGTATGTTATAAATATAGATATCTATTCTCGAGATTGTTATCATTGATATAATATACTTTATAATACTAATTATCAATCTGATAGATTATTGAAGTCCAAAAGAGTACACAATCATTGATTGCTAACTTACAACAACAACTTAAAGGTAACATTTCGCTTACAGACTGTATTCGAACAATTGGATTCCTAAGAAGACTGTCTATCTATAGAGAGAATGAATTGAAAACAATACTACTACATACACGTGATCAATGGTTAATGAATTCAATTAAATTTATCAATGATTCAAATCCTGTTTCTTATGTATGTTAATAATAACTATCTAACTTCATCTTCATTAACAACAACAATATTAATATTATAATCATCAATTGATGCTTTTAGTTAACAAAACTAACAGATTGTTGTAGAACTAATATATTTGATATTGTAACACAATTCAGTGCTATTTTCTCTGATGAATCTGATGATGATGTAAGTAAAGTAATAGTAATAGTTAGCAAGGAAACTAACTTTATTATATTATTATTATGATAGTCACAATTAGATGATTTAATATTAAATGGGTGGGTACAACAAAAGATACAAATGTATTTAACAACACTCGAGAGAACACTGCCGTTGGTAAAGGAAGGTTCTTCAATAGCGTATATCTTGGAGAATGCAATGTACTACTCAATGTCAATGTCAAGAGTTGGTATCGATTTTAGAGGATTGCTATTGCCGATCTTTGAGAAGGTTATTACAAGTGTATTCCTCTCACATATAACAACTGCAACTCACCACTTTCTAGAGGCATTGAAATCATATAGATTCCAACAAATCATTACAAAAGAAAGCAACTATCAATCATCATCATCATCATCCAATCATCTATCACCTCCAAATACACTATTACAACATCCACCACTTGCTATCTTGACCAACTCTTTCATCTCATCGTATATCGAACTAAAAGAATGTGCACCGCTCTCGTTGGAATACCCACTCTCTTTGAAACTTAGAGATACCATTGTAACACTGACAAGTGGTGTACTTTCATTCTACAATCAATCATCTCTTACTTCATCACAACATCCTGTATTCAATGCATTTAGTAAAGTAAGTATTATTATTATTATTGTTATTATTATTCACTTACTTACCTATATATTATTATTATTACTTTTTAGTGTTTAGTTGAAGACTTCTTACCATTTATTATTAGCTGTTTTGACTCTATATTTTGTAATACTAGTAAAATACCATTGATCGATATAAGTGGTATTGTTATTCCTCTCATCAAGATATATGAACCGACCAAACTTGAACAAAATCATAGAGCTATCGATGAACATTTAAAAGCTAGCAACAACACTACAGAAACAACAACAACCTCACCAATACCAACACCAACAACCCCTTCTGTCACCATTACTTCAACTTCTACCTCTACTTCTACTTCGCCTCCACCACAACCTACTATTGCTGTTTTACCATCTTCACCACAACCTTCTACACCTACCACAACTGAAATTCCCAATATCGATACAATTACTACAGCAACAACGGAAACATCGTCAACAAATGTAGAAATGCAACAACAAGATGAAAACAAACAGCCTTTAGAAGATATTAATCAACAGCAACAACAACCAATGGTTGAAGAGGTTACCACTCAACAACCAGAAGATGATAATAATTTTAGTACTAAACAACCAATATTGGAAAAGACAGAGGAAATGAAAGAAAATATAGTTGTAGATGAAATCAAGTCGGAAGAAAATACATTGATTGTTGAAGAACAAACTAAACCTGTAGATGATGATGTTGCTGTTGTTACTCAGCAACTGCAATCGGATGCTACCGAAGTTCAACAACCAACAGATCCTACTCCACCTGTAGAAAATCAAGTCGAATAGATCGAATCAGACAAACCATTGGGACCAACAACAACAACAACAACAACAATTGAATCGATACAAGAAACTAAAGATGAACAATAATAAACCTAAAACCTGTTTTATATAATATCTTTTATATATTAAATAGAATAAAGAAACCTAAATACATTCTATTTGTTTAACTGTCTTGTAGTTGCTCTTGTTCCTGTTCTTTCTTTAGCAACTGTCTCTTAAGTGAATCGATTAGATTCTGTTTCATTATTGAATAAACTTTATCACATCCATCTATACATAAATCAATTCCCTAAAATATATATATATAACGAATAGATTAGACAACAATATCAAATATAATAATATCAACAATGATAACAATGATACTTACATCAACTATATTTGTATAAGAAAGTTCACCTGTTTGTAATAATTGAGTAATTTCATTGTGTGATGGCATCTTTGATACGACGACGTATCCCGCTTTGTCTAGTGTCTCTTCTTCGTGTGTGGGATCGAGCAGTACGCTATCGTCCAAGCATACCGACGAGCACGCAGCAACCAAATCGTACATCTCTACACCGGCATCGGCCAATGCCATCGAAGCGGCAACGATCGACGCTGCCAATGCCGATCCGGCATCACACAACACCAGTATATATATATCGATGGCAGCCTTTGGGTATTTCTCCAAACGAATGGCGCCAATGATTGCCTGTGTAATAATCAAACTATAATCTTTTTCTTTTGTACTCTCTACATAATCGGAACGAGCGTCATGCGTTGAAAACGACGCATACTTTAACTCACAATTCAGCTTCGCTGTTTCAAATAACTCTGTTTTATGTGTTGCTCTTGGTCCGTGACTTTTTAAAAAAAGATAAGATGATGAGATTAGATTATTTCATCGTTAAAAACAACAACAACAACAACAACGATAACATCGCATCGTTAAATGAATAAACATACACTGAACATATAATCTTTGTTTGTTCTATTTCGATATATGATGATCCAGATGCACTACTTATAATACCAGTGTTCATAACTAAAAAGAAAAAGAAAACATGACTATCTATTAATAAGAGAAAACGAATGAAGACGTAAAAAGGTTATTTTCGATACATTACATATTTGTCTAAATTGTTCGTCGGATCTTGATGTTCTCTTTACTCTTTGTTTAGGTTGTTGTTGTTGCACTAACTTTGAACCATTGTTATTTGAAGAGGTGTTGTTACTTTTTGTGGTGTTTTCGGAGGTGTTTTTTTTCAAAGATGGTATCTTTGTAGTGATGTCATTTTGGGCTCTAAAATCTATTTTCATTTTTCACAAACAAACAATTTGTTGTATTTTTTTTGTTTTTTTTCAAAAATTAAAATAAGGTATTAGGAATGAAAAGTTACTTGACTCTGACAATCTCAAATCAAAGTTTTTTTATTTTATTTTTTATTTTATTTTATTTTATTTTTTGCTTTTGATCAAAAAAGTTCCTGGGAATTGAAAAAATAAAAATAAATCTAAAATATTTTTGTAATCAATTTGTTTTTATCAAATTGGCAAAAGACAAGAGTTATACACATAATATTAACATCTTACATCATATCATATACCTATATATTTTAAGAAAAGAGAACATTAAAAAAAAAATACTTTTAAAAATTTTTTTTTCTTAAGTAATAAGTAAAATAATATATTAATATTTATTTATTTATTACCAAATATAAAGTAAAGCAAAGTAAAGTTACTTTAATTAATTAATAAATAAAATCAAAAACGTAAGTTCTCATTAAATTTATTGTCAAGATATCTAATTTTTTTTTTGAGTAAAGCAAATCACAAATCTATCAGTGATCACACACACACTATATCTTCACCTTTTTTCACACAAAGTTGATTACTCAATTTGTTATTACTTACTTATCTTTTCTTTTTGATTAGCACGCACAAATTAACACACCAAGATTCATTCATTCGCACACACTCACACACAACATAGATCATGATAAACAATAACAACACAAACAAAACAAAAACCTAAAACACTTTGATCACCAAAATCATCAATAACAATAAAATCAAACAGATGTAAAAAAAGATACAAAGGTATATTTATGATCCATTATTATTTTATTCTATTTAATTGATTGAAATCAGTTGGTTACCTATTCATTTTACTTCACTTTCATTAATTAGATTTATAAATAACATTAATAAATAAATATGTATGTGTTCGTGACACGATTCGATTAGATAAGATTATAAGATATTAGAGGACACTGCTATATTATGTAATTGCCATTTAGACATCACCAAAATTCCAAATGTTTTTTTTTAATTGTTTTATTCTTTTTATTATTAATTTATTTTATTGCAATCTATCAATCAATCAATAACAATCAGTCAATCACAATATATATAAATCGATTGAGTTTGGTTGTTTTATTTTTAATTCCACTACACTACTACTACTTATATCTATATTTAATTACCACTACACAACAACTACATTTTTACACAAAATTTGGTTTCATAATAAAGAAGAAAAAAAAAAAAACAAAATAAAATAAAATAAAAAAACTAATCATAATAATAATTACCTCTTTTGGTGTTTGGCGAAATAAATAAATGTTGTTTGCCTAATAAAAATTGTTTACACATCTCAAAACTCTTCATTTTTTATATTTCCCGCCTGACTGGTACAATACAATATAGTATAGTAATAATAGTAATATATTTATAAACAATAATAATAATAATATTAATATTTTATAATAAAATATTGTTATTCACACAATATAAAATCTTCTATCTCTCTTTATTGATTGATTAAAATATATATTTAAAAAAGAATAAGAAAGAGAAGAGAAGAGAGAAAAAGGAGAAAGGATTCATTTTTTTATTATTTTCAACTAAAATCACAACTTAAAACTAACCTAACTGATTGATTCTCAATAAATTTAATTAATTAGTTGAAATGTAAAAATGATGGAAAATATCAATTTTCAACAACAAACAAATCTGTATCAACAACAGCAACAGCAACAAAATATTAATATGGGTCACTATAAATCAAATATTATACAACAGCAACAACCACCGTTACAACAACAACAATTGATTTCGAATAACAATTTAAATTTACAAAATCAACAACAACAGCAACAACAGTTGTATCAATCATTTCAACCACCTTCAAATCGTAGTCCAAATGGACATATCAACAATGTAAATAGTCCAAATAATAATAATAATAATAATAATAATAACCAATTCAACGGAAATATCAATGTTGAACAACAGCCACAACAACAATCCGACCAATCTAATATGTTCAATTCACCAATTCAACAACAATATCAAACCAATAACTCTGCGATGCCAACTCCACCACCACATATTACCACTTCCAATGGTCTAAATAGTCATCCATATTCACCGATTCAACATTTGCAATCACCAGCTGTTCAAACTCTCCAATCACAAAGTCCACTCTCCCCACAACCACCTGGAACACCTGTACCATCCATTAACAATAACAATATCAATGGCAGCAGTCTAAATACTTCAAGTTCACCAAATCAACAGTACAATAATAATAACAACAATACAACAAACGGCGTTGGTTTTTCAAATAATAATTTAATTGAGGATTTCAATCAACAACAACAACAACAACAACCACAATTACCTTTAGAAACACAAAATAGTAGTAATAGTCCCAATAATAATATATATAAAAATAAAACCATTCCTTCTTCTATAAACTTTGGTGGCAATCTATCGAATGAAGTAAAAGCAGGACTGTATCAATTAAGCGAGGAAATTAGATCTCGCTCGAAGCGACTCAATATGATTCCGATGCGCCGACAAGTGTTCTATCAAGGAATGATATCTTTGGCTCCGCAAATACTGACCGTGCCAAAACTAATGAAGAGTCAGTACGTCGGAAACTCTGGCAAGCTGTATATAGTTGATAGCAACAACCCATTGCTCCGTCCGAATCTCGGCGAACAACTCACATCCACCACTCTCTTTGGTGCCAAAGTGGTACCTGTCGAACTCTACGAGTATTTCATTGACTATATCCTCAATATTTTCCTGAAATGTAGTATATTCACTCAGGAGGAGTATGGTTTGTGCATCGAAAAAATTCATCCCAATGTACCATCCTCTGTTATTCAAGCTGGAAGTCAACAACAATTTTTACAACAACAACAAAATATTCAGCAACAACAGCAGCAACAACAAAATATTCAACAACAACAACAACAACAACAACAACAACAACAACAACAACAACAACAACAACAACAACAACAACAATCACCTCAAAATAATAATTTACAACCAGTTCCATCTCCGCAAATTTCCAATGATTTAAGTCAAAATAATAATTTACAAACAATTCCATCACCTCAAACCAATGTCCAACAAAATGTTCAACAACAACCAAATTTGAATATACAACAAAATACACCACAACAACAAACAAATTTAAATATACAGCAACAACAAATGTTTCAGTCGCCGCCTCCTTTGGTGCCTCAACAAACTTTGCAGCAACCACTACAACAAACTATTAATATACAACAACAACCAAACTTGCAGCATCAACAAAATTTACAACAACAACAACAACAACAATATCAAAACTTTAATCCAACCAATAATGTAAATAGTAATCAAAATATAAACATACAGCAACAAAATATTAATATACAACAACAACAAAATATGAACATACAACAAAACCAACAACCAATACACCAAAACCAGCAAATATATCAACAATTTCAACAACCAAATTTAAATAACACAATTAATATACAACAACCAATTTCAACACAACCAATTTTTCAACCGCAGCAATTTCAAAATTCTTTAAATAATAATTTCAATTTGAATACTAATTTTAATTTAAATAATAATGGTTTCAAAATAATATAATCATTAGTATAATAAATATATTTTCTTTGGCAAAATTATTGTTTTCAATTTACATTCTTTTTTAAAAAACACTATCAAGAACCGAACTTTTTTCACGGGGCGACGCAATGAAAAGGTATTGAAAAAAATTTAACATAATGTCGAATGACTTTTGCCAATCTCCCATAATCAACGAGATTATACCGCCCTGACTTTTATGGCAATACTGACACTATTTTAAGGTAGATCAAAAAGACAATGATGGTATTATGCCACAGGCAAAATCTAGTGTACTAACGCGATGAAACAATGCCTGCCAATACCTTCAAAGATGCAATTCTCAATTTTAAAGAACCACATAGATCTTTATATCTAATTGTGAGCCGAAAGCGAGAAACACTAAAATACGAAAATTAAAAAAACAAAAACATAAAAACAAAAAAAAAAACAAATTGAAAAAATCTGATTTAATAAATAGTCAAAGAATAAATTAAGTTAATTAATTGGTAGTGTGAGTGTTTTTGATTGTCAAACATATCAAGCGTCACCAATGTCAAAGGCGTAATTGCAAAAAAATAAAGTTGGATTGCTTGATTGACTGCTGGTTATAAAAAAAAAAAGTGAGAGGTTTGTAAAAACTTTTTTTTTTTTTTTTTTTTTTTTCTAAAAAATTGTTTTTATTGTGGTGCTATAACCAACAGCTCCAAAGACAATAACACCCACTCAAACCATTTTTTCAAGAACTTTTTTTTAATTCAATTAATAATAGATCAATCAAAAAAAAACAAAAAAAATAAGAAAAATAAAATAACAATAAATCAAACAATCAAGCAAAAAAAGGGTGTTTGAATCAACAATAAATTAATTAATTAAACAAAACAACCAAATAATCAAGACAATCAATCAATCACTCAATCAATCAATCCAACAAATAAAGTAAAATAGTATAGTTAATCAATCAACCAATTTTTCAAATATTTTATATAAAATTGTATTTTTATGAGTGTTTCTGATAGGGAAACTAGTAGTAGTAGGATTGGTTTGACGTCGGTTGATACTAATAGTAGTGGTGGTGGCGGAGCGAGCAGCAGTCAGAGTAGCAGTAACGGTGGCAGCGGTAGTAGTACAAAAGGTGTGTCATCGCCAATACACAGCTTGCGAAAGAAAGGATTCGTAGTACGTCAGAGCATAGAGGAATTCTTCACCAATGTACATGGTGCACTTAGTGAACTGAGTAGTAGCAATAGCAACAACAATAACAACAATCATCATGATTCACCACAGATCTCACCTCGGTCCAACAACAACAATAACAATTCACCAATAATGTCATCGTCATCATTGTCGGGAAGTGGAAACAGTAGTAGTAGTAGTGGCATTAGTAGTAGTAATAGTAGTAACAGTAATAATAATCACCAACATATTCAAAGATCTAATAGTAGTAAACAACTTGTATCAACATCATCAAACTCATCGTCATCCAACACATCACCACAGTCATCAAACAGATCATCACTCTCACAACAAATGGTATGTTAATTTTCATTTATTACTTTTTAGTAAAAAACACACACACTAACACACCACTTTTAAACTTTATTAACACTAATAAAAAAAAACAAACTCACATCACCACCACACATTTAGAAATCATTGGCAAAGTTTTATCTTTTAGCACAGCAAATCGATTATGTACATGTGGGATCTAGCACATTTCTAAAGCCAACAACACCGAATAACCCGCTACTTCCAGTTGAGAACTTCTCGAGTATTCTAAATGTACAATGGACAACCTATTGGACAATACATCTTAATCATACGAGAACAGTACTGGACATCTTGAAATACATCTCACAAAAGACAAATAGAGAAGTAAAGTTCCTAAAGCTGGCGGATTGCGATGGTAAGATCTTGGACCACGACTATCTCTTAATGTCACACCGATCCAAGAAATTTGTTGTTTTCGAAGAGATTTTAATTGATGAACAGAATCCACAGCAACAGAATGCTTCCACCGATACTACCACTAAATCCATAAACGTTGGATCACCTAATGCACAGAGAAAGTTACCACCTGCCCCACCACCTCGTTCGCCATCTAGCTATCCAGTTCCCATTACACCACTCACCAATAACAACAATCCACTGATGGTTCACACCGAGTTGATATCGGATCCATCATCGATGAATGTATCCGATCGTCCCAATACAATAACACATACATTTTCAAATGGATCATTTACCATTGGTGGTGGACTTAATATTAATAGTCCAAGTTTTATCAATAGTAACAACAATAGTAGTAGCAATTGTTCATCACCTTCATCACCATCATCATCACCTTCATCACCAATGTTAGAAGCAACCAACAGCAATAGTAATAACAATATAAAGAAATCACCATCATCATCACCAAACACCAGCAGAAAGAATAGTAAAGAAACAACACCGGCAACCACCACATCGTCAACACAAACCAATTCTCCATATCAGTATTGTAAATTTTTAGATAAAGTAGAGAGTGCAAACAATCCACCGACCACAGAGAAAGGCAAGATCTTGGACAACTATTTCAGTCATTACTACCAGGAGCTTTTCAAGTATATACATCAGCGAAGCAGACGTTATCAGCGAGTACTCGATTTCTGTAAGGAGTCGGGTCTGGACGAGTGCGGTGCACAAGCCTGGACATCAAAGCATTTCGAGAGTGAAAGCAACTTCCTCCGGAACAAACGTGCCGGTATGAAGCTAAAGGAATTCAAAATTCTCACGCAAATCGGAAAGGGTGGATTCGGACAGGTGTTCCTCGCCATCAAGAAAGACACTGGCGACATTGTCACGCTGAAACGAATCAAAAAGCAATCGTATCAATGGGCGAATCAGAGAATACAGGTCGCGCAGGAGAAGGCAGTGATGTCTGAGTCGAGCGGCAAATGGATAACGAAACTGCTCTACTCGTTCCAGGATTCACAGTATCTCTACCTGGCGATGGAGTATCATTGTGGCGGCGATTTCCGCGCGCTACTCAACTCACTCGGCATGCTCAGCGAGGAGGACGCGCGATTCTACATGGCCGAGATGATCGAAGCGTTGAACTCGCTACACACACTGAAATTCACGCATCGCGATATCAAACCCGGTAATTTCGTCATCGATAAGCACGGCCATATCAAGCTGATCGACTTTGGACTGAGTAAAGAGGGAATAGAGAGCAGGAACGGATTCAACCAAAAGACAATGTCAGACTTTAGAAAGAGTTGTATGGATGGAACGTTCTCGTTCCGCTCGACACTCACTCATGCCAACGGAACCAACGGTGTCGTGGCGTATCGTCGTCCTACAGCACACTCTGCGGTGGGATCACCCGAGTACATGGCACCAGAGATTGTCGCCGACGAAGGATACAACCACACCTGCGACTACTGGTCACTTGGCTGTGTCTTCATGGAGATGCTCTGTGGATTCAATCCGTTCTGCGCCGACACACCCAACGATGTATTTATAAATATCATACAGTGGCGAGAGGTTTTAGATTGGCCTCTTTTCACACAAGAAATATCACCTGAAGCTTCTGATATTCTAAAAAGGTAAGCAGCAGCAGCAGCAGCAGTGATTAGATTAAGATTGTTATCCATTTCCAAATTATTGTTGTTATTAACTAACTATCTATTTTTCTTTATGTTTGTTTGTTTCTTTCTAGAATGTTATGTGAACCTTCAAATAGAATTAAAAGTTTAGAGGAATTCAAGTCACATCCATTTTTTAATAGGAATGGAATGACTTGGGAATCTATTTTGGAGCAGAAACCACCATTTATTCCAAAGGTAGAGAGTGATATAGATACTTCATACTTTGAAGACGCTGTAAATAATGATCCGTCTTCTTGGGATGTCTCTGCACCAGAGCCAGACAATGAGCGAAGAGATCCATTTTCAAATTTAAACATCCCATTTTTTACCTACAGAAAATCATCTGCACTCAACATTATAGAAAATAGTTTAAACTATTAGTTAGATCTAACTAATAGTTTTTAAATTATATTAATATAATATAATAATCAAAAATAAAAATAAAAATAAAAATATAATATAATATTAAAAAAAACAAAACAAAACAATCTCATTAATTAATTCATTCAATTAACTTCTATAATAATATATAAAAGATAATCTAAACTATCATGATCGCGATGATCGATGATTGATTTGATTCATTTTTGATTTGATTTGATTGATTCTGATTTTGTTTAAAGATTATATTATTAAACTATTTTATTATTATTATTATTATTATGATAACATCTGTGTATGTGTAATTAATTATGTATGGTATTTGATTGTTTATTGGAATTTTTCGAATGACTTTAATTTGAAACATTGTGAGAGATCGACTCTTTCTTTATCACATTTTACAGAACGCATATTATTCTCTTCCAAACAGTGAACTGCTTTATCTAATTCTTGTTTACATTCTTTTGTGAGTTCTTGCATGCTGTTATGTTATGAGTAAGAGTGATGGTTTGGTTAGTTAACTTTGTACTGCTGCTACTACTGTTGCTACACGCAACTATATAATCATATTATGATCACATAATCTTGATCGATATTGATACATACATCTTTTGAGTGCAACCAGATACGGCAATTGCATATCTAAGACAAACCTCTGGATCGTCACCCTTTTCGATTTTACATTTTTCGAAAGCATACATAGATCTCTCACAGATTGACCAGATTGGATCGACTGACATCAATAACTCTGCTCTTGTATATTGTTCCATTTCTCTTTTCTATTCTATTTTATAATATATAATTTATTGATTGGTTTTAAACAATAATCGCTATGATCACAAAAAATGATCTTTTCATTTTTTGTTTTTTTTTATTTTTGATAATTTTATTTTTCATTATTTTTTAATTATATGTCAGAGACTGCTGTTCTTGAAGATTTGATTAGTTTTTAAGAGTTATATTATAATTAGAAAATACAGTAATATGAGTGGAAACGGTAGTAATACTAGTATAACTAGTTCATCTACAACTTCAGTCACACCTTCTGTTGTTGTTTCGAGTACAACAAACACTGGTGGTGGTGGCAATACAACTTCCAATACATTAACACCGACAGGAACATCAACAACAGCAACAACCAATATCAGTGGTAGTGGTAGTAGTAGTAGTGGTGGTGGTGGTACCAGTATCAACAGTAGTAGTCATATCGGAAGTAGTAGCAGTACTGACTACACAAAGACTCACGTTGAAACTCTAACAAAGGAACTGAAACAATTGAAAACAAAACTAGATAACTATGAACGTGAGAATAAAGATCTAAAGAAATCAATCTATGATTTAACTGCAAGGTATTTTATTTTATTTTGTTATAACAACATTAATAATAATAATAATAATAATATACTAATAATAATAAAATTAATATTATTATTAATTATAGATATGATATGCTTGTTTATCAAACCGGTAAATCACATAAGCCATTCAATATCGATGCAATATTTACATCACAAACACCAGAGGTATCCAGTAGTGGTTCCATAGACCAGTCGACTACACCTGTAATCGTACCACCACCTACATTAGTCTCCGATGTTAACGAAGAGAGTATGAATACATTGCATTGCATTGTATATATCTATATTTTTAATAATTAAAAAAATCATTCTTTCTTTTTCATAGGAGTATCATCTACACAACAAAGAACCAGTAAGAAAATGGACGAAAGACACTTCTTTTATAAATTCACACTCAAAGGTCACAATGCAAGCGTTTACTCTGTCAAGTTTTCACCATGTGGAAAGATGTTGGCATCTGCAAGTTTCGATAAGACTTTAAAGATCTGGGATGTTTTTAATCAAAGAGAGGTAAACTATCTATCTATCCATTTATAGCTAACTTTTAGTTATATTATTATTATCTTTAAAGATTGTTTAACAAACAAAATTAATAATCAACTATTATTATTATTATTATTATCATCATTCAGATTTCAACATTATCAGAACATAATGTAAATGTTAGTGAAGTTGCATGGAATAACGATAGTACAGAGATTCTCTCTGGTTCATACGACAAGACAGTAAAGCTTTGGGATTTACAACAGCCTAGCAAATCGATTGCTTCGTTCAATACCTCTGGATTCGTGTTGGATGTCATGTTTTCACCGGTCGATAACAACATCTTCTTTGCTGGTAACACTCAGAATCATATCATTGGATTCGACAAGAGAACTCCAAACTCTATCTTTGTATTAGAGAATGATTCATTCATCAATTCATTGTAAGATTATAATTATAATTATATAATTGCTAATAATATGATTAACAAACTAACTAACTAACTAACTAACTAACTAACTAACTAACTAACTAACTAACTAACTAACTAACTAACTAATTATTTACAACTTTGATTATTAGACATATATTTAAAGATGGTCAACATATTTTGACAGGTGATTCTAATGGAAAGCTAAAGGTATGGGATACAAGAAAGTCTAATAAGATTACTTTGCCCGAAGGTTTTCATTCCGATATTGGTGTCGACGGCATGGCAGGTAGCAAAGAGAGTTGTCCACCAATCGATACATTCGATACCTCGCAAGAAGGTAGACCCATTTCAGGTATTACAATGTCATCTACCAACAGTGAAGGTGACGATGGTAGATTTTTAGCTGTTAATTCTTATGATAATGGTATTGTATAAATTTGATATATATATATTTGTACAAATGTTAAACGATATATAATATTAATATTGAACACAACAATCAACTAGTTTTAAGAGTATATGATAGATCAAAGGTATCGATTGTTTCACATCCATATTCATTGGCACCAATGAAACTGTTACATTCACTTACAAGTCATAAGAATAAGAATTGGCCAATTAAGAGCTCTATCTTTGTAGGAAAGGATTTCAGTATGTTAATTAATATTTATTAATATAGTTAAATAATGTGTTATAATTACTAATTACTAATTATTATTTGCTTTGCTTTTGTTCAACCACTAACTAGATGATGGTGGTAATATTAAGAGAAGTGGAGAACAAACGAAATCAGAGGAAGACGATGACGATGAAAATAAATGTGATGATATCAATCAATCGGTATTGCTAGCCACTGGTAGTGCAGATTACAATGCTTATTTATTCGATATTGGTTTTACAAAAGTAAGTAAAAAGAAAAAGTTATATAACAATGTGCTATGGTTGATACTTATATACTTTAATTAAAACAAACACTATAGCAATCAGGTAAAGTTTTACAAAAATTGGAAGGACATACTGATAGAGTTTACTCTGTCAAGTTCCATCCTTCGGAACCGATTTTGGCATCTTGCTCGGCAGATTCCACCATCAGATTATGGACACCAAAGAAAAAGATATTCAATCAATAAGGGACAGAGATAGTAGATATTTAAATATTATGTTATATTAAAAAAAAAAGCTAAACTTGTGTGATATCAAGTAAACACTGATTACTTTATAAATTTATATTATTGAATCAATCGGTTATTTATTTATTTAAATATTGGCTAATAATAGCTCATTTAAATTATTATAGATTTCCTCTGGAAGTCTACCGGATAACGATGATGAAAGTGGATGTTTGCTGGTGATTGCACGTAGTAGATTTGAAATGTATACTCTTTGACCTTGATTGTCATCGATTGATAGATTGTGAATTAAATACATCGATTCAACCAAAGTATCTAAATCAAACTCCAAAAATGATTCCAAAACCACTGAATAGCCTTCCTTGAAGAATATCTCTGACATTGTTAAACCACCAATTGATTGACTCAATGCAAATATATTACCTATTAAATAAATTGATTCTTTTAACATTCTATTATTATTATTATTATTATTATTATTATTATTATTATTATTATTATTATGTAAATGTTAAGATAAATTGTGTTAGATTAATAATCATATTATCATTACTATAAATTGTTAATTGTTAATAAATATACATACATTTTATATGATTTTATATAAATTGAAAGTAGATGTATTATCTTTAAAAGTTGATCTGTATAGCTCTTTGAGATTGTATATGATAGGTTTGCATTTGAGAATATTCTGCCGAGTATTCTAACCAATGGAGTGACAATCTCTACAGGTCTACTTAGTTCCACGCTATTCGTTCCATTGTAATCCAATATACAAACGAACAAATCTAAATAGTTTTCTTTAATAATCCAATTAAACACCTCTGTATAATCTAAAAAGTCATTTAACAACCATAATATTTCTATTATAACATTATTATCACTATTATTACTATCGATATTATTATTATTATTATTATTATTATTATTGGTTGATTTATTCTTTTCTATATTATCTAAATATTGTATCAGTTTTAACTTTAGTTCATTGAAGATATCATATTTTATAAGTGATTTGAATGCTGTGTAGTTGTGCTCTATCAATCTCATCATTAGAAAACAACAATTCAATACTGTTACTCTTGATATCTAAATAATAATGATAATAATAATAATTTGATTTAGTTGTTTGTTTGTTTGTTTGATTGCTATCTTATCATGATAAACACACTTACATCAGATTTAAATAACTTTACTAAAGGATTAATAATACCTTGTGCTACAAGAGTATCTCTATATTCTTGATTATCATTTGCAATGTTAAGTAATGCCCAAGAGCATTGTTCTTCTAATATCTAAAAATGATAAAAAGAAAAAGAAGAATAAGTAAGATTATCATAGTATAATAATTAATAGTTGTCTTTTGTTAATCTAGATTAGATAGTAATTGGATATTTACATTATTTTTAGATGATAGATAGTTTATAAGAAGTGGTGTTGTACTAATGATGGATTTGGTTTGTGATGTATTTCCAGCGGCAATGTTTGTTATACACCAAGATGCCTCTGCTTGAAACACTTCATTTCTAGAGTCTGCTAGCATGTCAATGATGAATCCCAGCACATATTCATCATTGATCACCGCATCAATTACAGGATTGATCGTAGAGTAATCACTAATAGATAAAAGACATCTTAACATAATTATTGCATCTTTCTTTTCATTACTCTAAGTTTGATCAATAAAATAAATATTTCAAACAAACAAACAACAAAACACAACAAAATAAAATAAAATAATATTAATGTTAGTTAATCTTATCTGATCTGATTAATCATTTTCAATAAATATCAAAAAAGGTAGATAATCACATCTATTTTATTCTTAATTGCATTGATTTCATTCGAGTATTGAGGAGTGACAATGAGTGAACCTCTCTTCTCTGCTATCAATTGTTGTTGAACGGTGGTTCTCTGATTGATTTGTCTCTGTATTCTCCGCTCAGTATACTCATGAGATGAAGGTGTTGGTTTGTGACTCTTCTTACTTCTCTCCATCACACACAATCGACTTCAAAAAAAAATTATATTACAACACGCCACCTTAGCGATTTCAAAGTCATTTAATAGTGGTAATTAATTTTCAAACTTTGAAAAAAAAAAAAATCAAAAATCAAATAAATAAAATGGGGTCCACACACTAATTCACTCACACATTCGGAAACTTCTTTTGACAAAATAACACCAATTATTTAATTTAAAATAAAATCAATTATTATTTTTTTATTTTTTGCAAACAAAACCAATAATAATCGCAAAAAAGTTTTGGTTGCAACACTAGTATTTCATTTCATTTCCTATCTTTTTTAGATTTATTATCTTTTTATTTATTTTTTAAATTTTGTATTATATTTTATATTAGATTTTCTTTAGTAGTTAAAACAAATAAGTTGTAAAAACAAAACAAAAAACAAAATGGGATACGACGATAATAATAATCAACAAAATCAACAACAACAACAACAACAACAAAATGTTAACACACCATTGAATACTGGTTATCAAACACCAAACTATATCAGTGGACCAGCTGTTAATGATGGATTCTCTTTAGGTCCAAATGCTTACCAATATATGCCGATTGTTAATAACAACGCTAATGTTAACAACAACAACAATGCTAATAACGGTAGCAACAATAATATGGGTGTATACTATGGATATCCAGGTCAATTCCAACCAGGTCCACCACCCCCAGGTTTCGTATACCAACAATACGTTCCAGCCAACGGTGCCATCATCACCACTGCCACCGTTCACTCTTCGAGCAACAACCACGGTAGTGACTCTAGTCTCGATGAACACAGCACAGAGAATTGCAAGAGAAGAGGATACTTCCACGCCGAAGAGGTCACCGGTGCTCTTATCATCTTCCTCTGCGGTTTCTTCTTGACCTGCATCTGGTTGGCCGGTTGCATCTACTTCAAATCCAAGAACAGTACTGCTCGTGCACTCGGTATCCTCTCGGTCATCTTGTTCACCGTCTTCACAATCATCTCTGTCGTTTTAATCTCAATCATCTTCACCCAAGCAGGCAACACCGATAACAACTCATCGTCCGGTTGGTAAAAGAGATTATCACCAATCACCACCACCACCACCATAACCATAATCGATTGACAATTGCAATTGTCTTAATTCATTTTTAATTTGTATTTTTCTTCTTCATCTTTATTAATTTGTATTCGTATTTAAATCAGTTTCATAAACAATAACCAACCAAAACAAAAATTAACAACAAAATATAATATGATAACTCCCCAACTCCCCAAAAGCATTCCACCAAAACAAAAGTTTAAACAATAAACAAAAAGATTTGGTCATTTTTTTTCACAATTACTACTACTAATGATTTATTCTCATTACCTTATTTTATGTATGAAGTAATAAGTTTTGATTATATATTGATATGTACATAAAAAATAAAATTGATTTTCTAGGTTATTTATTATTAAAGAAAAAATAACTCATTTTTCTTGAACTTGGTTGTTGAAGTTGTTGTTCCTTTGTCGAATTTGTTGGACCTGATTTTGAAGTTGTTTTAGCTGTTATTCAAGTTGTAGTCGTGTATCTGAATCTCCATTAGTCTTTGAAAGTCTGCTATTGGACTTTCAAATTCTCCACCAATATCCATTATACACATTTTGTCAAGGAATTCTTTTGGATTGTAATTTGATTTGTTTAACAAATAGTTTCGTGTCAAAGAAAAATTAAAACTATTAAATAAATAAAACTTACTTGGGTTCTCTTTTCTATCTAAAAGATTTAATAAGTTCTCGGAAACTATTCTGCTCTTAAAAATGAATGATATTTAGTTGTCTAAAATGGATTATCGGCAGTATAAATGGTTGTACCATCAATGGCTGGGAAAACTTCAGGTGGTCTCAAAGAATGCGGGTAGGTTCAAGTGAAAGTCTGGACGCCCACTAGAATGTGTTTACAAGCAAATTCTTGTAACCTTGATCAAGTTCCGGATGGAAATCAGAAAAGGTAACTTGGATATCTTCAAGTCGATCTTCTATTTCTTCAAGATTATCTTCCATTACTCAAGGATAAAAAATTATGAAATAGAGTTCTTCACACAAGAAAGAAGGTATTAATTTAATAGGTTATAAGTTGATAAAAATAAAAGTAATCCATGTGCCAAGATACAAATAGAAGCTTCAGACACAATCAGATTCTCACACCCAACTCCACATCGACTTTTACTGAAACATATGTCAAATTTTATTGCATCACTGTATCTATAACCAGTTTAATTCAACTTTTTTTTTTCACAATTTTTCATTAAGTTCAGAAAAAAATTGTTATATTCAAATATCAGAAAGAAGATGACCAAATCAAATCGATTTACGATATCAAAATGACCGATATATACTCTAGACTATTATTATATTATAACTTTAAATAAATTCCAAAACCAAAAATAAATAACAATGAAAAAAAGGAAAAAGAAAAAAAAAAAAATTTACAAAAAAATTTGTTTTGTTAATTTTTTGAAAAATTGACGTCTTCATTTTTTTTCTTAAACTATTACAAGATTAAAACAATTTCTTTTGATTTGTATAAATATATACAAGGTATCAATTTATAATTAATATATATTTATATAATTGTAAACAATTTGATGTCTTATTAAGATATTGAAATAAAACCTTTTTTTTTTATTATTATAAAATTTTTGAATGCTTGTATTACCTTTTTTTTGTTTGAATAGATAAAACAAATAAACTATATAAAAATGCAATCAGGTATGTTATGTTATGTTATGCTATGTTATGTTAAAATGATATGAATTCAATTCATTTGTAAAAACTAATTATTATCTTAATCAAATCTATTAATAAATACTGTAGTACCACAATATTATTGAATTTGCAAAGGAAGAAGAGAAAACTTTTAAACTATTGGGATGAAATCGATGCATTCGAAACATCGCTAAAGATGTCAGAGGGTAAACCAGAGTATAATTTCTACGATGGTCCACCATTTGCCACTGGTCTGCCACATTACGGTCATATCTTGGCTGGTACCATCAAGGATACCGTCACCAGATACGCACACCAGACTGGTCATCATGTAGCACGTCGTTTCGGTTGGGATTGTCACGGTCTTCCCATTGAATACGAGATTGACAAACTCTGTAACGTGCGTACCAAGGACGACGTCATGAAGATGGGTATTCCAAAGTACAACCAAGAGTGTCGTAACATCGTCATGAAGTACTCGAGCGAGTGGGAGGTCGTTGTGAAGCGTCTCGGTCGTTGGATCGACATGAAGAACAACTACAAAACAATGGATCCAAAGTTTATGGAGTCTGTATGGTGGGTGTTCAAGCAGCTCTACGAGAAGGGTTTGGTCTACCAGGGTTTCAAGGTGATGCCATACTCGATCCCATGTACCACACCGTTGTCCAACTTTGAAGCCGGTTCCAACTATAAGGACGTCCCCGATCCCGCCGTCGTCGTTGCATTCCCGATTGTCGGAGAGGAGAGTGTCGCTTTCGTCGCTTGGACAACCACACCATGGACACTTCCATGCAACTTGGCGTTGGTCGTCAATCCCAACATGGACTATGTCCGTGTGTTGGACAGCAAGACCGGTAAGACTTTTATCTTGGCAGAGAAGCGTCTCTCCATCCTCTACAAGGATGTCAAGCCCGAGAGCAAAGAGTTTAAGATCTTGGCCAAGTGCAAGGGTGCCGAGTTGGTCGGAAAGCAATACGTTCCAATGTTTGACTACTTTGCATCCGACGCCGAGACTGGTGCATTCCGTGTCATTCCAGGCACCTACGTCACTGAGGACAGTGGTACCGGTATTGTACATGCCGCTCCAGCCTATGGTGAGGAGGATTTCAATGTTTGTTTAAAGAGTGGTATCATCAAGCGTGAGGATTTCCGTCGTCCATCGTTGAATGCCGTCGATGTCAACGGTTGTTACACCGCCGACATCAAGGACTTTGCTGGTAAGCGTGTCAAGACACTCGATGGAAAGTCCACTGAAGAAAGCACCGACAAGGAGATCATCAAAGCAATCAAGGCAAAGGATCGTTTGGTTAACGTTGGAACCATTGTTCACAGTTATCCATTCTGTTGGCGTTCAGATACCCCATTGATCTACAAGGCTGTCGGTAGTTGGTTCGTACGTGTCGAGAACATGAGAGAACGTCTCTTGAAAAACAACAGTCAAACCTACTGGGTTCCAGATTTCGTCAAGGAGAAACGTTTCGCCAATTGGTTGGAAGCTGCCACCGATTGGGCTGTCTCTCGTAATCGTTATTGGGGTACTCCAATCCCATTGTGGGTCAGCGAGGATGGTGAGGAAGTTGTAGCTGTCGGTTCCGTCGAGGAGTTGTACGAGTTGTCCGGTGTTCGTATCACCGATTTGCATCGTGAATCGATCGACCACATCACTATCCCATCGAAGCAGGGTAAGGGTCAATTGAAGAGAATCGAAGAGGTCTTTGATTGTTGGTTCGAGTCCGGATCGATGCCATACGCTCAACAACACTATCCATTCGAGAACAAGGATCACTTTGAATCGATCTTCCCAGCTCAATTCATTGCCGAAGGTATCGATCAAACCAGAGGTTGGTTCTACACCTTGTTGGTACTCTCCACCGCTTTGTTTGACAAGCCACCCTTCCAAAATCTCATTGCCAACGGTCTCGTATTGGCTGCCGACGGTAAGAAGATGTCGAAGCGTTTGAAGAACTATCCAGATCCAATGGAAGTCATCGGTAAGAATGGTTCCGACGCACTTCGTCTCTATCTCATCACTTCGCCAGTCGTCAGAGGTGAGACTTTGAAGTTCCAAGAGAAGGGTGTCGCCGACGTCCTCAAGGATGTTTTCTTGCCATGGTTCAATGCCTATCGTTTCATGGTTCAGAACGCCTTGCGTCACGAAAAGGTCGCTGGAAAGTCGTTCGTTCCAGACATCAACAATGCTTTGGCATCGACCAACATCATGGATCGTTGGATCCTTGCAAGTTGCCAATCGCTCATCAAGTTTGTACGTGAGGAGATGGCCGCCTATCGTCTCTACACTGTAGTTCCACGTCTCACCAAGTTCATCGAACAATTGACCAACTGGTATGTCCGTTTGAATCGTAAGAGATTCAAGGGTGCCCAGGGTGAAGACGATGCTCTCCACTCACTCAATATCCTCTATGAGATTCTCTTGACACTCTCTGTTGCCATGGCACCATTCACTCCATTCCTCTCTGAATACATGTATCAAAACTTGAAGCGTTCACTTCCAAAGGAGAAGCAAATGGATTCCGTTCACTACTGCATGTATCCAGAACCAATTGAAGCCGCTTTCAACGTCAGAATCGAAGAGGCCGTCGGTAGAATGCAAACTGTCATCGAGTTGGGTAGAGTCTCACGTGACCGTAGAACCAAGCCAATCAAGAACCCATTACAAACCTTCACTGTCATCACCGAGAACAAGCAGTATCTCGAGGATTTGGAGAACCTCAAGAAATACATCATCGAAGAGTTGAACGTACAGAACGTTGTGCTCACCACCGACGAATCACTGGTGACCGTCATTGCCGAGCCAGACCGTAAGCGTCTCGGTCAACGTTTGAAGACCGCCATCAAGGAGGTCTCTGACAAGATCACCAAGTTGACTCACGACGAGCTCCGTTCCTTCCAAAAGAACGGTGAGATCACCATTGCCAGTCACGTACTGACCACCGAGGATTTGAAGATCATCCGTCGTTACAATGGTCCAGTCGACCACTACGAACCATCGGGTAACGATGAAGTCCTCACCGTTTTGGATTTGAATATCGATCAGGTACTCCTTCAACTTGGTGTCGCTCGTGAGGTCACCAATCGTATCCAACGTCTCAGAAAGAAGTCTGGATTGGCCCCAGAAGATCCAATCAAGATGTTCTACAACACCAAGGATGGAGCAATCAAAGAGGCAATCTTGGCCAACACCGAATACCTAAACTCGACCATCATCTACCCATTAGTATTAGTCGAGGTTGCACCAGAAGCAATCTTTGCCGAAGAACTTGCATCTGTAACAAATGATAATGATTTCCAAATCTGGTTCTCAAAATAAATAATTAAAATAAACACCAATAAACATATAATCATAACATAAATAAATGATCATCATTCATTATCTTTATTCATAATTAAGTATGTTGATTGTTGTATTAAAAAAATAAAAAGTGTGGATATTATTATTAATATTAAATAAGCAAATAATTTGATCAATCAAATAATTGTATTATTAAACTATGATCTAAAGTATATGATTTTTTCTGAACTAGAAATTACAAAAATAAATGTATTGATAAGATAAAATTTATTAACAGCAAGATGATTTGGTTTGAGTTTGTTCTGGTTGAACTTGAATTCCTGGTGGAATTGGGAAAACCAAACCGTCTTCCAATTTGATGGCGTTTTTGGCGATGGTTTGGAAAGCTTGTTCGACGTTGATGGCCTCCTTGGCAGAGGTTTCAAAGTATGGGATGTTACCTTTGCTCTGGCACCATGAAGCAGCACGCTTTTGTGATACGACACGTTGGTTCTCCAAATCTATCTTGTTACCCAATACGACGAATGGGAAGTTGTCTGGATCACGTGGACCAGCTTGGATGAGGAACTCATCACGCCATGAGTCGAGATTCTCAAATGTCTTGGCGACATTGACATCATATACCAATACACAACAGTCGGCACCACGGTAGAATGCAACACCCAAACTTTGGAAACGCTCTTGACCAGCAGTATCCCAGATCTGCATGGTTACGACACGATCATCGACCATCAATTCTTTAGTAAGGAAATCAGCACCAATAGTAGCTTTATATTGATTGCTAAACTTCTTGTTAACATATTGATTCATGAGAGATGTCTTTCCTACACTGTAATCGCGAGATTATAGATTATGATTGATGTTTGATTAGTTCAATGTTTGACAGGTATCATTAATATTATTGTTTAAAACAACTTACCCAGTATCTCCCAAAATGATAACCTTCAATAAAACCTTCTTCTTTGTGGCCATTTTATAATGCTTTGTTTTTTTTGTTTAAAACTAAAATATACAAGGGTAATAAATAAATAATTAATTAATAAGTTTTAATAAATATTTAAAAAATAAAATTATTATTATTATAAAAAGTAAATATAAAAATAACAAAGAAAGATAATTATTGCTTGTATTATTGTTGTTGTTTGTTTTTTTTTTAAAATTTTTTATAAATATTTTTTTTGTTTACATATTTGTGTGTTCGCAATAAAAAGGGAAAAGATCTGGTCAATTTGACTTATATTTAAAGTGAGTAATGGTAGAATATCTTTAAATTATTAGGGTGTAAGAGTTTGATTATTGTTGTTGTTGTTATTATTTATTTATTTATTTTTTTAAAACATTTTTAAAAAAGAGTAAATGTAAACATTTATATATTATGATTGTGTTTGTGTTTAGTTAATTGTAACTATTTTTGAGTTGAATTATTTACTGCCTACTTCACACCAAATAAATCAATTAACTTTTTACTTTTATTATTTGTTTGTTTGTTTATTTGGTTGGTCAAATTTGTCTAAAATGATAGATAGATAAGGAAGGAGGTAGAGGATAGATATTTTTTATATTTTCAAGTGTTTATGACTTACTTTAATTTAATAAATAATATATAATTTGATAAAAATATAAATTTATATTTTTAATTAATTGTTTTGTTTAAATGTTTGTTTTATGACTATAAATTACAGAATATGATAGTATTTATAGTTATGAAAATGGACTCTGAGTTTAGTAGTAGTTGAGAAGAGAGATCAATTCACTTGAAACTGAAATCACAACAATTACAGAAAAGAGAGAAATTTGAGAGAGAAAAGAAAAAAGAGATATGAAAAAAAGAGAGGTCAAAAGAGTCTGTCTTTGAGAGAATCTATTGTTTTTTTTTTTTTTTTTGCAATATTTTTTTTTGTTTTTGGATATTGAGGAGAAAAATATGACAAAAAATTAAAAAAAATTAAAAATTCAATATTGCTCAGTGTGGTGTTTGAAAGGAAATGTTATTGGATTTTTTTTTTTTTTTTGCATTCACAAAAAAAAACACACAATTTATTTTTTAAAAAGTAGAATCAATTTCTCTTTCATATTTTTTTTTGTGTTTTTTTTTTTTTTGTTTGATATGATTCGGCATTGTTTGTCTATTATTTGAGACCCACCACCTCACAAACCAAACAATCAATCATATTCAAACCTTTTTTTTATAAAACATTATATTTGATGACGAAGATTGATTGTTATTTTTTCATTGATTCAATATCTATATTGATTTGAAAATTAAAATATCTAAAACTATTTAGATTTAATTTAGTTCATGAATAAATAAAATTTATATTTATATTTATTCAGAACATAATATATTACCATGATATAAAAATAATAATAATAAGTTATTTTTATTTTTATTTATATCTTATTACACCCACCACACGATCGACAAAGATCACTTGATCATTTTGAGATTGGATTTTTTTCTTTTTTTGTTTGTTTTTTTTTTTTTTTGATTTTTGATTTTTTAAATATTAATGGATTTTTTTTGAATAATGTAATTTTTGCAAAGTTTTTTTTATTATAATTGGAACAGATATAGAATAATATATTAATATGTCAGGTTCAACATCAAATAGTGGCCAATTGATGGTCAGAGTTTATTTCATTGATGATACACATAGAACTTTGATGATCGATCCCAATACGGTGACAGGTGACAAACTCTGGGAGATGGTCTCGGATAAGCTCGCCATCAAGAATAAGGATGCAGAGTGTTTCTTTGTTTGGGCGCAGTCCGATGAGATCGAGTGGTTGCTCTACAATCATCAGACGATGCAAGAGGTGATCAACGGTTGGGACGTCATCCGTAAGCGATACGTAGAGCAGCCCGGCAGCAACGAGAGCAGTCCCAATAACATGTCGCCACGATCAACAGGCCCAGTGGGTACTCTTCGTGGAAAGATAGCATCGCTATCACCGACTCTTCGTTCAAAGAGCTCTGCCAACCTGAACTCCTCCGTTTCTCAAGCGGATTTGAATGGCGCCGATGGAAAGAAGACTGGACAGATTGTGTCGTCTTTTCCAACACTTGGAGACAAGGCGCAATTCAAGCTGGTGTATCGCGCCACCAGTGTTTTGCCACTGGCTCAGGAGCGATCGATCATATCGCCAGAGGCAATTCATCTGTTTTACATCCAGGCAATTCACCACGTCGTCAACAGCAACTACCCATGTGACCAAGACATCGCACTGAAACTGGCGTCGATCCAGATTCAAGTGCTCATAGGTGATCAGAAACCAGAACACCAGGCACACATAAGAGAATCGCTAGACTCTTATATTCCAACACATTTGGCTGGCAAACATAAACCTGAGGAATGGGAAGCACTGTTGCAACCTCAACACATCTTATTGCGTGGATCGAATCAACTGAATTTGAAGAAGGCATATCTCGAGACTTGCCAACGTTGGGTCTACTACGGATCCACCTTTTTCAAAGCGAAATACATTCCATCGACAACATCTTTCTTCCTCCAAGAGTTTGAAGGTAAAGTTAGACTCGGTGTCAATGGTTATGGTGTACATATTATAGATCCAAAAGCAATGGTAAATTTCATAAATATTAATATAAATAGAGTGATATCACTAACAATTCAATTCCAATTTACAAATTATTTAGAAAATCGTATCGTATCATTATAGAGATATTGTTTGTTGGGATAGTACGGAATCATCGTTCACTATTCAATTTTTGATAACAACAGGTTCGAAACAACAACAATCAAAGAAAGCATATATTTTCAAGACTCAACAAGGTGAATTAATCAATGATTTAATGCATGATTGGATGGCAGAATGGGAGCACGAGGTTAAAAAAGAAAAACAAAATACAAGTGGAGCCCCAGCAGGAAGTGCAACAGGATTGAATTCATCAGCCAAATCATCATCATCATCAGTGTACTCTTAAATTAAATTACGAAAAAAAAACAAAATATCAAATTATTTATTTATAATCAGAAAAAAGAAGAATAACAAAACAAAACAAAACAAAACATTGAAAAAAAAAGAAAGATAAAAATAAATATTAATTGTAATATAGAATAATAAATTATACATATATCGAGGACTGGTTTGGTTACCGATTTCTTAAAATAAATTGATTCATTCGTTTTTTTTGATATTTTTTTGCTTTTAGGTCTAAAGTGATCATCAAGTTCTTGAAAAATTAATTATTTAAATCTAGATGTTATTCAAAACCAAAAATAAACAAAAATTATTAAAACTTTTAATTTAAACCTATCAAGTCCGAACCTTTTTGTTTTGTTTTGCTGCTATTATAGTGAGTGATAAATAGTATATTAAAGATATGAATTCGAGTGAAGCTGATGATGTTGTTGACCATAACAAGTTTCTATTGTTTAGAAATCTTTTAAGAAATTATGTTGTTAGGAATTTGATTTATACTCATTGTAAATATATTCTATCGATTGAAAAGTGAGTAGTTGTTGTTGTTTGTAAGTTCAACGGTAATAGTAACTCTAAATATATATTACAAACTAATAATAGTTATCATTTATATGTTTTGTTTTGTTTTGTTTTTTTTTACTTGTAGATTATTTGATGATGGTATAATTTGTGAATACCCATTGATTGGTGATTACACATTCGAATCGATGTCGATCAAAGCAGAGATAGTAAAGTCGATCAAACAACAGTATTTATGGGCAACTACGAAATCGATTCATCGTAGGGCGATACCACCGCTTCTCAATGGTGTCGATATTCATGTAAAATACTCGACCTATTCAAACGTTTCTGTATCTACCTATGCTATTTCATTGTTGAATATGATCGATCTAAAGCTAGAAGGTTGTTGTCAAGCATTGGTGATAGCACCGACCAGAGAAGTATCAAACTATGTCCATGATGTAAAGTTAACTACCATGATTAAGTTTTTTACCTATTAAATATCTTACTTAATAACAACAACAAAACAAAACAAAACATAACAATAATTATGTTTATAGGTATTTAATCGCATAGGTGAAGGTATGAAAGATGTTAAAATTAAAAAGATAAACGGTGGAACCAATGCAAGATCGGACGTTTTCGAGATAAGAAAGAAGAATGTTCATATTATTATATGTACTCCTGGTAGAGTTTCATTCTATATAGAATCTGGAGATATCGATCTGAGCACAGTGAAATATGTAATATTGGAATCGATTGATGATATTCTAAATATGGGTTTCTCTTACACGATGGATATGATCTTTAAGGCACTACCTCTTGAAGCTGTAAGAGTGTCGATGTATTCACATATCGAGAGAGACAGTGGTATAAACAAAGAATTGACAGCATTCATCGATAAATATTTTAAACAGAATCCACCTATAACCATAGTTCTACCAAGTAAAGGATTAATTGAATAAATTGAATATTTATTTATTGTTGTTATTTATTATTAATTAATTATCATCATCTTCATCATCATCATCATTTAGTAGAAAATCTTTAATTTCATTACGTAGTTGATAGCTATGTACCATTGTCTTTGAATTCTCTTTGATATAGGGTGGTAGTGTTAGTGTTGTTGATTTCTTATCGAGTATATTCCTACAGCTATAACAAAGTGTATGTAAATTGAGAGGTGTACTACTATTGTCAGAGCAACAATTGTTATTATTATTATTATTATTATTATTGTTGTTGTTGTTGTCATTGGAACAACAAGATTTGCTACTATCAGTAGAACAACAAGATGTTGCTTGATTATTTGTTGTTGTTGTTGAGCATTTTGTATTGTTATTGCTATTACTATTGTTAATTCTTTCACCAACTGATTTCTTCAATGTTTCAATCTCTGACTTTGTCAAACTACATGAACAAACCGAACAAAACATTGATTCATCGGCAACTGGCGAATGCAACTTATCAACCGATCTCAATAATGTATGAATAGTTTGACTTGATATATCTTGTAATGTATTAATGAAATCTATAAGTAATTAAAGTTAGTTATTTAGTTTAGCTATCATCTATATATATTGTTTATGTTTTAGTTTTGCTTACTTTCACAAAGAGTATTGATAGATGCTTTGTGTGATGATTGATTCAAATTTATACTGTGGAATGGATTCGATGGTACCGTTAGATCTTGTAGACCTAGATAGCGGTGGTAGATAGCAATCTCCTTCAGTAGGAAGTCACGCATCGGATGGCAGACAGTGGTGCTCGTTCGGTGGTAGTCGAGAAGATTCGTTTCATTCGGTACACTGTTTCCACGACCTTTAGAGGTGGACGATAGCAACCTAATGGCCAAACGATTCGAACTGCTCCCGTTTAGAATTCTACCGAGTCCGAGCTTGTGAGCGGTCTCATAGACAAGCTGTGCTCTAAAGTGTTCCAAGAGATCCTCCTTCGAGGTGTTGTTCGACTCCATCTGCTCGAACACCTCCACCAATTGTTGTCTGCGTTGTTCACGAGTTTCATTGGCGTCTCCATAGATATTCTCTAGTGGAACGATAGTAAGTGGTACCTTATAACTCGAACATATTTCTTCCAATTGTTTTTGAATTGCTAAACCAGTGTTATTATCTTCACTATCATTACTATTGCTATTTCCATTTAAACCTCTTAATACACTTTGATCTATATGAATAGCATGTACTTTGAAGAACATCTTTGCTCGTTTTACATTCTCTCCGATGCATTGATCGATCAAATCCAACATTACCATCGAGGAAGGTCCACCTGACAACGACACTGCAAAAGTCTCTAATTCACGCTTATCAGAACGTGATTTACTAATGTTATTCTTAAATTTCTTTGTAATAACTTCTCTATAACATGGCCTATATATTTGATATATCAACAAAACATTATTAATTAATATCGATCTAATAATTATTGTTATTATATCTAATCTTTTTCTAAACAAACATGTACATACCAACATAAAGTATCAGTTGTTCTAAATACAATAATTGGTTTCGATTCTTTACATCTTATACAATTCTTTGCATACACTCTCTTTGGTGTTGCATTCAAAACTGTATTACCATCATCTGTACTACAACTTGGTACACCTGACATCTTTAAATAAATAAAAGTAAATAGATAGGTAGATTTGTGTTTTAGTTGTGTAATTTAAGGTGGTGGGTGAAATTTTGAAAAAAAAGTGAGAAATAGACGAATGACTCGTTTTTTTTTAATTAATATGTGGATGTACAATTGCTTTTTTATTAATAAGTTACTATTATTATTATTATTATTGTTGTTATTGATTGAGTGATAACCAATCTTGTGGTTTCAAAAAGAAATCTGTGAGTTCTGATTCTGGTGTGTTGGGTTGTGGTTTGTAGTTGTATTTCCATTTGGCGACGGCTGGCAGTGACATGAAGATCGATTCGATACGACCTTCCGATTGGATACCGAATTTGGTACCACGGTCAAAGAGAAGATTGAATTCAACGTAACGAGAACGACGATACAGTTGGAATTCACGTTGTGCCAATGTATAGGGAAGTGAGATGTTCTCTTCCAAGAACGGTCTGTAGAGACTGACGAATGCCAGTCCGAGTGCCTCGATGAAACGCCATGCCTTGCGCTTGGCCGCCTCGCTGCTATCGCCTCTGATGTGGTCGTAGAAGAGACCACCGACACCACGCGTTTCATTGCGGTGCTTCAAGTGGAAGTAGCTGTCACACTCTGCTTTGCCCTTGGCGTAGGTGGTGCCTTGTTCGTCGCAGCCGAATTGGTCGCAAACAGCTTTGAGGCCGCGGTGATACGCTACGACCTGGTCGAGGTTCGGGTAGACGGGAGTGACGTCGATTCCACCGCCGAACCACCAGGTTGCACCGGCCTGGAAGTATCTGACGTTCATGTGGATGGTTGGCACGCGTGGACTGTACGAGTGCAGCACCAAGCTGACACCGGTGGCGACGTACGGTGTGGTCGGTGCGATGTTGAACTGGGTGGCGGCGGCCGATGGCAGATTGTCACCTTCGATGCAACTGAAATTGACACCGCCTTTCTCCAAGACATCGTAACGACGACCGGCATCTGGAGCACCAAAGAAACCCTCTGGATTCTCGCCTTCCCAGACACGAGTGATTCCACCACCCGTACCCTTATGATAGTCCCAAAGATCCTCCAAATACTCTTGTTTCGTATGCTCTACTAAATAGCTACAAATATTATTCTGAATTGTTTTGAATCCATTCTTTATCTCTTCAACAGTTACAACTTCATTATTATCTGACATCTTTTTTCCTTTCTTTTAGTCTTGATACAAAACTGAATTCAATTACAAATCGATTTGCAATTCTAGTCCAAAAAATAAAATAAAAATAAAAAATAAAAATAAAATATAAAAATAAAATAATAATTATAATTTGATCAACCACAAACTTAAACTAAAATATCGCGATGAAATTAAAATGTTCATCATAAATGGGTGTCATATGATTAACAATCATCTGTATTAGGACATGACGATAATTAGCAAAAAAATATGAAAATTGAAAATCTCAAAAGAAATTAGCAGTAAGTTTTATGAATTCAATGATTGGTGTTAATTACTGTTTTTGGAAGTAAAATATTCAATTGATCATTTGTTTATAGAATCAATCATATAATGTTAAAATCATTTATATTAAGAAATCATTGTAATAATCTAACAAATGTTGTTAGATCATCATTAGTTAGATATAACAGTAGTAGTAGTAGTAGCAACAGCAACAATAAAAATGAATCAACAACAAATATAAAACCAAAAACAGCAATTGTTATGTTAAATTTAGGTGGACCAGCAAAACCAGAGGATGTAGAACCTTTTCTGACAAGATTGTTTAGTGATCGTGATATTTTCAAGCTACCATTTCAAAAGTGGGCAGGTAAATTCATTGCGAAACGTCGTTCGCCAGCGGTACGTAAGCTTTACGAGGCGATCGGTGGTGGCAGTCCCATCAGAATGTGGACAGAGCGTCAGGGTACAGCAATGGCACAACAACTCGACCGTCTATCGCCATCGACAGCGCCACACAAGTTTTACATTGGATTCCGTTATGCCGATCCACTGATCGACGAGACACTCGACGCTATGAAACACGATGGTGTGGAACGCGCCATCGCCTTCACACAATATCCACACTTCTCTTGCACCACCACCGGATCCAGTCTAAACAATCTCTGGAAATCACTGGAGTCCAAAGGAATGGACAGCGATTTCCAATGGTCGATTATCGATCGTTGGCATCTACACGATGGATTCATCGATGCCGTCGCCAGCAAGGTGAGCGCGGCACTCGCGCGCTACAAAGTGGAAGCCGGCAAAATAGGTGATCAGACAGAGCCGGTTGTGGTTTTCAGTGCTCATTCACTGCCAATGAGAACGGTGGAGCGTGGTGACCCTTACCCCAATGAAGTAGCCGCTACAGTTGCCGCGGTAATCAACAAGCTTGGCGGCGAGAACGCACCACAACACATGTTGTGTTGGCAGTCCAAGGTCGGACCACTGCCATGGCTAGTTCCAAAGACATCGGATACCATCGAACGCCTAGCGAAATCCGGAAGAAATGCTATCGTTGTACCAATTGCATTCACCTCAGATCACATTGAAACACTCTCAGAGATCGACATTGAACTTCAGCATCTCGCCAAAGAAAACGGAATGAAACTACTGCTTCGTAGTGAATCACTCAACGACGATCCAAAGCTGACATCGGCATTGGCAGACATTGTATTGCAACATATGAAATCTGGAAAATCGATACAACATCACAATCAATATAAACTCAAATGTCCAGGATGTATAGATGAAACCGGTCATTATTGTAGAACCATTAGAAATCCAATAGTACTTTAAAAATGTTAATTAATAAATCTCTTGTCAAAATGTTGGTCCAATTATTATTTTTTTTTACAATGGCATCAGCAACTTTTTTTGAACATGATGTTCAAAGATCTTTAATGAATATCTCTTTGGATTACCTAAATACTCCAGACAAGACAGCAAGGTAACGAATTCATAGATGGTATGATCGCCAAAGGAATGATGAAACTATCGGACTTCCCCTCACCTGCACTGACCTTGGTATTTGATCAAGGAAACGATATCGTCCGCATTAGATGAAGATCAATAGAATTACCAAACCGGATCAACACCCATTACTGAACACTGATCAAAATGACAAAGGTTTGGAAGTTGAATAGCAGTTGTTTTTTGTTAGGTGATGGTCATTCTAGTATCGATGTCAAAATGTTCCCAAACATCACAATTGCACTAGTGTAGTACTGTCATTTGATCTTGTGAAATTTCAAATTGGTAATTATAAGTATATCCTGGCTAACACCCCAGACTAACCACAAAATCTTATCATTTGTTTTTCTATATTCCTCTTATAGTCATTCCACTAAAGGTTTTTTTCTTCAATTATTTCATAAATATAAATGTAGTGGTTTCACTAATTATTATTATTATTGTTATTATAAATACTACTAACTAATCAAAACTTTTACACATTTTAAAAATATTAATGATTTAAAAAAAAATTAATTAATTTAAAAATCAAAGTTTTCCTTTTTTTTTTTTTTTAATTCTGATCATTTATGCAGTATCATTTGTATCTTTACTCTTAAATTCGATAAAATGAATATATCTGATAAAATAGTTAATCTATCACACTTAATATTAAATAAGATAATTAGTCATTTAGATCAAAACATTGACAGAATATGTTTTAGTTTTGCTTGTAAGAGATGGTTCAACGATAGAGATAAATATTTAATATTCAACACCGATAATATCTGTATTAACTCTGATAATAATAATGATATCACTCAAAATCATAAACATTTCCTATTACCTTCATATAATAACATCTATCTGAAAACGATTCAAACAAAGACTGATTGTTCACTTTATTTTGGATATAAAGATACTCATACAAAATTTAGATACGATTTTTTCTATGGTAAATTAACGATTGTATTTTGAAAATATTTATATTAATAGATTGAATCTTTAACAATTGAACAATTGTAGACATAGATAATATTAGAAATCTAAATAGAATTCCAAGTAATATATCGACGATCTTTATTTTTGATTTGATGATTCCAGATAGTGAATTAAAGTGTCTTCATCGATTGTTGAATGAATCACAATCATTAACAACATTGATTGGATGTTGTACATTGAAATATGGACTGCCAACCACAATCAAAACAATTATGTTTCATTCTTCATTCAATGAAAAACTTGTTCGAGGATCACTTCCATCGTCTTTAGAGGTTGTAGATTTCGGTGATAATTTCGACCAAGAGATTCCACCAGGTGTACTTCCAGAAGGTCTACTCGTATTCACTATAAACAACCGGCACTATCAACACGAAATTCAACCAGGAGTATTCCCATCATCAATCAAGACCATAAATCTCATAAACTATTCTATGCCGATCAAAGCTGGAGTACTTCCAACAAACCTTGATAACTTAAGATATACTTACGGAGTTGAAAGACCATTGGAATTACCGAAATCCTTAAAATACCTAGAGATTTGCGGGCCCAATACAAGTTTAAAAAGGTTATCATTACTTACGAATCTTCAAACACTTTTAGTTCACCAGTTTAACAATGGAAAACCTACATTAGATATCAATTGCCTCCCACCAACCATAAGAGAATTAGAATTCAAACGATATCGATTGAAAGGAACAATGCCAACTTCAATACGTAGAATCTTTATGGAGGAATGTGAATTTCAGTTCAACGAAATATTCCCAGAAACATTGCAATATTACTTTGAAGTATTCAAATATTCAATAGCAACTATAGTTTCAATTCCGTCGAACATAAAGATTGTTCACTTGGAGGTGTATGGATCGTCAAACGAACCAATCATTTCACTACCATCAGGAATAGAATCAATCTACCTAAGTGGCCAATTAAACAATGAAAAAGAACATCTTCTCGATTGTGATGGTGATCGAGGTGTTGGTGGCCCATCCGATAAACCTGTATTATTAAGAGAGCTGCGTCTTCCATTATTCAAAAAAGTAAAACCTAATTTTAATCTACCACACACAGTCGAAGTGTTAGATGTTGGTATGAATGATCTCAATGATATATTACCGGTGGTTCCCTCAACACCAACAATTAAAACACTCGGCTTTTCAAAACAATCAGCAATCAATATCATCATACCAAATAATATCAAATCGATCACCAATATCATCTATCATAATATTAGCTATTCTATATATACTATTCGAAAGTTAGATGATAGTTTTTATTTGATCTATGGTGAAAATCAAGTTACAAACTTAATAATAGCTAAGGTCTTCCATCAATCTAATCTTGAAAAAATCTTAAGCATATCTTTTAAATAAAAAAAAAAAAAATCTTTTTATTTGTCACATCTTTTATGATACATTTTTATTGTTAATTATGTTATTTATTTTAATTCTTTAGTGATACAATATTAGAGTTATTTTTAAAATGAAAGTTCGGGAAGTTAAAATTTTTATAAATATCTATGTATTGCCATTTTTTTAAGATCATTTAAATAATTTTTTATCATTGATATCAATTTTTACTCTTAAATTCGATTAAATGAATATATCAGATTTAGTAGTTAATCTATCACACTTAATATTAAATAAAATAATCAGTAATTTAGATCAAAACATTGACAGAATATGTTTTAGTTTAGTTTGTAAGAGATGGTTCAATGATAGAGATAAATACTTAATGTTTAACAGAGATAATATATGTATCAATGCTTCTCCAAATAACTACGATATCCAACTAAATCATAAACATTTCCAATTGCCTTCATATAATAAGATCTATCTGAAATCGATTCAAACAAAGACTGATTGTTCACTTTATATTGGATATAAAGATAATCAAACAAAGTTTCGACACGATTTCTATTATGGTAAATATAATTTAATATTTCAATATATATATCAATAGATTGAATTAACTATTAAATAATAAACATAGATGATGTTAGAAATCTAAATAGTATTCCAGGTAAAATATCGACGATCTCTGTTGTTTGTCAAACAATATCAGATAGTGACTTGGAGTATCTTCATCGATTGTTGAATGAATCACAATCAGTAACAAGATTGATTGGATGTCACACATTGAAATATGGATTACCAAATACAATCAAGAGACTCTCATTCCGCAATGGATACAATGAAAAACTAGTTCAAGGATCACTTCCATCTTCTTTAAAGATTATAGATTTCGGTGCTCATTTCAACCAAGAGATTCAACCAGGTGTACTTCCAGAGGGTCTACTAGAATTCCATATGAACTCGAATTATAAACATGAATTTCAACCAGGAGTGTTCCCATCATCTCTAAAGAACTTGGTTATTACAAACCATTTTATGCCAATCAAAGTTGGAGTACTTCCGGCACACCTTGAATGTTTAGAATATACTGATGATTCTACAACAGTATTGGAAAATATTTTACCTAAATCGCTAAATTCTCTACTGATTAGAGCACCAATTACAAGTTTCAGAGGATTGTCAGTGCTCCCAGATCTTCAAATGCTTTTTATATTTCAAAAAAGTGACGAAAAATCTATATTGAATCTAAATGAGCTCCCACCGACCATTAGAGAAATAGAATTAAGACAAACTAGATTGACAGGAGCAATGCCATCTTCAATAGCTAAACTCACTCTTTGCGATTGTGAATTTCAGATCAACGAAATATTCCCAGAAACATTGCAATACCACTTGGAATTCCTCAGTTTAATAGGAGAAATTGCTATCGGAATTCCATCGAACCTAAAGATTGTTAAGTTGGCAGTGTACGCATCGTCGAACGAACCAATCATTTCACTATCACCAGAAATAGAATCAATCTACCTAAGTGGCCAATTAAACAATGAAAAAGAACATCTACTCGATTGTAGTGGTGGTGATGGTAATCGAGGTGTTGGTGGCACATCCGATAAACCTGTATTATTAAGAGAGGTGCGTCTTCCGTTTTTCAAAAAAGTAAAACCAAATTTTAAACTACCAAACACAGTCGAACTGTTAGATGTTGGTATGAATGATCTCAATGATATATTACCGGTGGTTCCTTCAACAGTAAAAACACTCGGATTTTCCTATCAATCTACAATCAATATCATCATACCAAATAATATCAAATCGATCACCAATATCATCTATCATAATATTAGCTTTTTCATTTATACTATTCGAAAGTTAGATGATAATTTTTATTTAATCTTTGGTGAAAATCAATTTTCAAACTTAATAATAGCTAAAGTATTCCATCAATCTGTTCTTGAAAAAATCTTAAGCACTTCTTTTAAATAAAAAATTGATCTTTTTTATTTGTATTATTACTTTTTTTGTTCTTTGTTATAGAGTATTTAAATATGAGATTTATGTACCCATTAAAACTCGAGAAACCAATTTATTAACAACTATGTTATTAAATACCAATGTAAATATTTTTTATTTTATTATGAACTTCGAAAACTTAGTTAAAAAACATTGTTTTTTATTTTATTTTTTGCTATTTTTAGAAAATATTTCAAGATTCGAGGAAAAAATAGAATTTGTTGAAAAAAAAATGATTTTTTGAAAATATCCTAATTTGTGAAAAACAGGATAATGCGCAGGCTAAAGGGGTTGGGAGTCAGTTTTGTTTTGTATTGTTTTTAGATATCAAATATATATACAGATATTTATAATGGAGAGGAGTAATCAAATAGATAAAATTTTCGTTAATCTATCACATTTAATATTAAATAAAATAATAGGTTGTTTAGATGAAAACATTGACAGAATATGTTTTAGTTTAGTTTGTAAGAGATGGTTCAACGATAGAGATAAATATTTAATATTCAACACTGATAATATCAATATTAACTCTAATAATAATAATGATATTACTCAAAATCATAAACAATTCAAGTTACCTTCGTATAATAACATCTTTAATAAATCGATTCAATCAAAGACTGATTGTTCACTTTTTATTGGAGCAACCAGATTTTTATTTGGTGAATACGATTTTTATTATGGTAAATATATTACTTTAAACCTCTTTATATGTGATGATCTTTAACATTGAACTAATTAATATATATAAAGATAAATATACAGACTTGAAAAGTATTCCATCATATATTTCAACGATCGGCTCAACAGATGAAAGTACAGACCTAGAGTATTTCTATCAATTACTATTGGAATCACAATCAGTAACAACATTGAATGGATGCCACACACTGAGATATGGATTACCAAAAACAATCAAAACACTCTCTTTCAGCTATAGATTCAATGAATTGCTTGTTAAAGGATCACTCCCATCATCTTTAGAAGTTCTTGGTTTTCATAATTCTTTTAAGCAAGCGATTCAAGCAGGTGTACTTCCAGAAGGTTTACTCGAATTCAACTTGTACAGCATCGAATATCAATCTGATCTTCAACCAGGAGTGTTCCCATCATCTCTCAAGACCTTAAATCTTTTTTATTATAGGAATACTATTAAAGCTGGAGTACTTCCAGAGAACCTTGAATGCTTGTATTATTCTGGTGAATGTACATCATTGAAAGATGGAGTATTACCTAAATCCTTAAAGAAACTTGTGAATGTGCCAATGACATGGTTACAAGCAATATCATCACTTCCAAATCTTGAAATCATTCATTTTTTTCAATTTAAAAAAGTTATATCAACATTCAATCTCGACTTATTACCACCATCTTTAAAGGTTCTCAAATTCAAGCAATTTAAGTTGATAGGAACAATGCCAACATCAATCAAATCACTATGCATTGTTGAATGTGAATTTCAGTTTGAAGAAATATTCCCAGAAACATTACAATATCACTTTGAATCTCTCCAATATTTAAGCGATAAGATTCTTTCGATTCCACCCAACGTAAAGATCGATAAGTTGATAATAGAAGGATCCATTGATCAGGAAAATTGTTCACTTTCACTTCCATCTGGAATCACTTCAATCAGATTAGATATGACATTGGACCAAGGAGATGGTTTTTTAAGAATCGATGGAAATGATCAAACAACTCTGAAAGAGCTACGACTTCCATATTTTGATTTCCAACCACGTGCATTCATACCAAACACCATTAAAGAGTTGGATATTGGTGACAATTCACTTATTTATTCTTTAGATTTGATCAAATCAATCGATTCAATCAAAACACTTATGCTTTCGAAATTTCCAAAAATTGAAATCATATCACCAGAATCTTTCAAAACAATCAACAATATCATCTATACTGAAGAAAGCAATAGTAATATTGTTATTTACAGAAAGTTAGACGATAATTATTATTTAATGTATGGTAATCTTTTTGGAAATATAATAGCCAGAATATTCCATCAATCTAATTTGCCAACGAACTTAAACAAAAAATTAAAAAAATATATAAAGTCTATTCCTTTAAAATAAAAATTACTATATGTTTATTAAATATCAAATAAATTTTAAAAATGATTATTTACAAATTCTATTTTTTCGAATCGATGTATTCATTCAAAAGGTCATGTAATTCAAAACAATAAGGTAATCTTTTTATCATTTGCTGAAGATAGAGTACCAACTTATCGATAGGTATCGAAATATTTCTGAGAATCCAATCCAATGAACGATACTTGAATTGTGTAAATGCTTCGATTTTTTTGATTATATCAAACTCTATTGACTCGATTGTATTTAGATGACGCCAGGTTAAACTGAAAGAGATAAGTTGGGAGCGGATCTGGGCGAGCATTAACGGGAGTACCTCTGGGAATAGAATAGTAGCAGGTTGATTTTCATTATTGTTATTGCTACTATTGAGATCACTCATTCTTAGCTCATTCGTGATAGTAGCTGGATTTGTAGAAGTTGTTGAATCATTAGTCTTTGTGGTTGTCGTTGTTGAATTTGTTCTTGTTGTATTTGTAGTTCCTGTTGTGTTTGTTGAATCGTTGGTGGAGCTAGTTGATTTAATAATGGTAAAAAGTTTATTATAAAATAATAAAAGTAATTTAAATAATATATAAATATTAGAGAATTACATATTTTAATAATAATATTATGAACTTCGAAAACTAGTTAAAAAAATTGTTTTTTTATTTTTTTTTAATTATTTTCGTTTTTGCATTATTATATGAAAAAACAATGCAAATATTTTTTTTTTTCTACATCAAATTAATAATGGAGAGTAATCAAATAGATAAAATATTCGTTAATCTATCACATTTAATATTAAATAAAATAATTAGTTATTTAGATGAAAATATTGACAGAATATGTTTTAGTTTGGTGTGCAAGAGATGGTTCAATGATAGAGATAAATACTTAATATTCAACACTGATTATATCTGTATTAACTCTAATAATAATAATGATATTACTCATAATCATAAACTATTCAAGTTACCTTCGTATAATAACATCTTTAATAAATCGATTCAATCAAAGACTGATTGTTCACTTTTTATTGGAGCAACCAGATTTTTATTTGGTGTATACGATTTTTATTATGGTAAATATAATATTTTAAACCTCTTTATATGTGATGATCATTTAACATTTAACTAATTAATATATATATATAAAGATAAATATACAGACTTGAAAAGTATTCCATCTTACATTTCAATGATCACCTTACCAAGTGAAATTAGCGACATAGAGTATTTCTATCAATTACTATTGGAATCACAATCAGTAACAACATTGAATGGATGCCACACACTGAGATATGGATTACCAAAAACAATCAAAACACTCTCTTTCAGCCATAGATTCAATGAATTGCTTGTTAAAGGATCACTCCCATCATCTTTAGAAGTTCTTGGTTTTCATAATTCTTTTAAGCAAGCGATTCAAGCAGGTGTACTTCCAGAAGGTTTACTCGAATTCAACTTGTACAGCATCGATTATCAATTTGAATTTCAACCAGGAGTGTTCCCATCATCTCTCAAGACCTTAAATCTTTTTTATTATAGGAATACTATTAAAGCTGGAGTACTTCCAGAGAACCTTGAATGCTTGTATTATTCTGGTGAATGTACATCATTGAAAGATGGAGTATTACCTAAATCATTAAAGAAACTTGTGAATGTGCCAATGACATGGTTACAAGCAATATCATCACTTCCAAATCTTGAAATCATTCATTTTTTTCAAATTAAAAAAGTTATATCAACACTCAATCTCGACTTATTACCACCATCTTTAAAGGTTCTCAAATTCAAGCAATTTAAGTTGATAGGAACAATGCCAACATCAATCAAATCACTATGCATTGTTGAATGTGAATTTCAGTTTGAAGAGATATTCCCAGAAACATTACAATATCACTTTGAATCGCTCCAATATTTAAGCGATAGGATTCTTTCGATTCCACCCAACGTAAAGATCGATAAGTTGATAATAAATGGATCCATTGATCAGAAAAATTGTTCACTTTCACTTCCATCTGGAATCAGTTCAACCAGATTAGATATGACATTGGACCAAGGAGATGGTTTTTTAAGAATCGATGGAAATGATCAAACAACTCTGAAAGAGCTACGACTTCCATATTCTGATATCCAACCACGTGCATTCATACCAAACACCATTAAAGAGTTGGATATTGGAGACAATTCACTTATTTATTGTTTAGATTTGATCAAATCAATCGATTCAATCAAAACACTTATGTTTTCGAAATTTCCAAAAATTGAAATCATATCACCAGAATCTTTCAAAACAATCAACAATATCATCTATACTGAAGAAACCTATCGTAATATTGTTATTTACAGAAAGTTGGACGATAATTATTATTTAATGTATGGTAATTTTTATAGAAATATAATAGCCAGAATATTCCATCAATCTAATTTGCCAACGAACTTAAACAAAAAATTAAAAACATATATAAAGTCTATTCCCTTAGAATAAATATTACTATATGTTTATTAAATATCAAATAAATTTTACAAATGATTATTTACAAATGCTATTTTTTCGAATCGATGTATTCATTCAAAAGGTCATGTAATTCAAAACAATAAGGTAATCTTTTTATCATTTGCTGAAGATAGAGTACCAACTTATCGATAGGTATCGAAATATTTCTGAGAATCCAATCCAATGAAAGATACTTGAATTGTGTAAATGCTTCGATTTTTTTGATTATATCAAACTCTATTGACTCGATTGTACATTCAGTACGATTCGCTAGCAACCATCCAAGAATATCTATTTTTTCATTGTTTAACGCTTGAATGAGTGCCTGTTTTGTACATCCTTCACTACGGTTTTCATGTAAAAACCGGACAATCTCCAATTTGTTGAAGGATGCATCATCCATTGTACGCTCACTGAATCCGAATCTGTTTTTTACTCCATCGTTGTTCTGGTGGAAGAACTCTACTACTTTAGGATTTCCGAAATAAGCAACTCTTTTCAGTATTTTCTCACTTGGTAGATCACCAGTGTTTTCTTGGAACCACTGAAGCATTGCCACGTCGCCAGCCGATGCTACGACATCCAATATCTGTCCGTGTGAATGACCTTCTGTACGATTCTCTTTCAGCCAATTAACCATTTCCAAGTTAGAGTTAATGGCGGCTCTGTTCATTGCTGCTACTGAACATCCTTCTGTACTATTCACATTCAACCATTTCACCAATTCTATATGGCCCGCACCAACAGCTGTATCCATCATCTCGACAGTATAATTTAGATTACAACTCTCTTTCAACCATGTAATAATATCAAAACGATTTGCTTGTGCTGCGAAATTAAGAGATTTCGAAGTACATCTATGTGTTGTATTGGAATGTAACCATTTCATGGCATCGAAATTGCTTGACATAGCTGCTAAATCCATTACATTATCTGGGCATATACATCCAACACCATATATAAATTTGAATAGCGTGAATCTATTTGGATATTTTATTGTTGAAGATATGTATTGTGGTTTACTTTGGTCAAACAAATTGTTATGTTCAGCCAACACATAATCTAGGATATGTTGATGATTTGCAGCGACACCAGAATAAAACATATCGGAACTCGCCAAATCTTCGGATCGATTCTCTGCTAACCATTTGATTATTCCTATGTCACCGTAGTAAGCAGCTTCATTAAACACATTTCCATCGATTTCAGATCGAGGTTGGTCAGAATGCTCTTTCAATTTGCCTAAAAGCAACTTTATCACCTCCAAATCACCGGAATGCGGTGAAATTGTAAAGGCACTAATATAATTCCAGTTGTAGGTTGGAAAGCGGTCGAAAAGATAGTTGATCATATTCATTCTACCGTACATCGAGCAGCAAGTTAACAAGCTATTGAGAAGACCATAATCTTCGTTCAGTGTGATCTCTACTTTGTTTCTCCTCTCGATTTGAAAGTGCTCCAATAGGTACTCGAATGTATTCATATCATCAGCTCTGATCGCACCAGTAAACACTGGATAGCTATTGTAATTGATAGGTTTGGTTCTATCGCTGAAATAGGTTTTCAATTGATCGATATATCCGTGAGCAGCCAACACCTCTGGTAGATTGGTTACTCTATCCCATTTATAATGAAGTCTACCATTAATACTTGAAATATCAACTACATATTTGAATATCAATTTATTTAACACTATATTATTAAATACCAAAGTAAATTCTTTTTTATCCATTTCTTCACTAAATACTATTAAAAAAAAACATATAGATCTAAAAATTATTTAAAATCTTTTACATTTTTAAAAAATTTTGATTTCAAAGAATGATCACCAACCCCTTTTCTTAAAAAAAAATGATTCTAAACAGATATATAAATGGAGAGTTGCAGTAATCAAATAGATATATTCGTTAATCTATCACATTTAATATTAAATAAAATAATTAGTTATTTAGATGAAAACATTGACAGAATATGTTTTAGTTTGGTGTGCAAGAGATGGTTCAATGATAGAGATAAATATTTAATATTCAACACTGATAATATCAATATTAACTCTATTAATAATAGGGATATTACTCATAATCATAAACATTTCAACTTACCTTCATATAATAACATCTTTAATAAATCGATTCAATCAAAGACTGATTGTTCACTTTATATTGGATTAAACAACTTTGTTAAAGAATACGATATTTATTTTGGTAAATATAATATTTTAAACCTCTTTATATGTGATGATCATTTAACATTGAACTTATTAATATATATATAAAGATAAATATACAGACTTGAATAGTATTCCATCTTACATTTCAACGATAACCTTATCCAATGAAATTAGCGACCAAGAGTATCTCTATCAATTACTATTGGAATCACAATCAGTAACAACATTGAATGGATGCCACACATTGAAATATGGATTACCAAAAACAATCAAAACACTCACTCTCAACTATCTATTCAATGAATTGCTTGTGAAAGGATCACTCCCACCATCTTTAGAAGAAGTTACTTTCCGTCATTCCTTCAAACAAGAGATTCAAGCAGGTGTACTTCCAGAAGGTTTACTCGAATTCTATCTGTACAGCTCCGAATATCAATTTGAGTTTCAACCAGGAGTGTTCCCTTCGTCTCTCAAGACCTTAAATCTTTGCTTTTATAAGAAGCCGTTAAAAGTTGGAGTACTTCCAGAGAACCTTGAATGCTTGTATTATTCAGGTGCATCTACACCATTGGAAGAAGGAGTATTACCTAAATCCTTAAAGAAACTTATTGATGCACCACCCAAATGGTTACAAACAATATCATCACTTCCAAATCTTGAAATCCTTCATTTTTATGAAAAGAATACGGATATCTCAACAATCAATCTCGACTTATTACCATCATCTTTAAAGGTTCTCGAATTCAAACGATATCGATTGATTGGAACAATGCCAACATCAATCACAACACTATATCTTGGTAAATGTGAATTTCAATTCGATGAAATATTCCCAGAAACATTACAATATCACTTTGAATCGCTCCAATATTCAAGACCAACGATTCTTTCAATTCCATCAAACATAAAAATTGATAAATTGAGAATAAACGGAACATCTTTTCTCGAGAACTATTTACTTACTCCTCCATCTGGAATCACATCAATCAGTTTAGATATAACATTACATCATAAGGACGCATGTTTAAGAGTCGATGGAAATGATCAAACAACTCTTAAAAAGCTACGACTTCCATATTTTAATGTCCGACCTCGTGCATTCATACCAAACACCATTGAAGAGTTGGATATTGGTGACAATTCACTTAATGACTCACTGGATCTCATCAAATCAATCGATTCAATCAAAACACTTGTGTTTTCCAAATTACCAACCATATCACCAGAAAATTTGAAAACGATAAACAATATAATATATATTAACGAGGAAAAATATGGTAATAATAATATTATTTACAGAAAGTTAGATGATAATTTCTATTTATTATATGGTCATTTATACGGAAAAATAATTGCAAGAATATTCCACCAATCTAATTTGCCAACGAACTTAAACAAAAAATTAAAAAAAAGTATTAAGTAATTTATTTTTAAATCGACGTGAAAAATTTTAATATTTGAAGCTCGGAATGTTCTTCATAATTTCTACTATCAATTTTTTTTCAGATTCCAAAATAGAATGATCTGATGTCATATCTTAAAAATACAGCTGTATTTTTTTATTTATGACAAGTAATATCAAAAACAGATTTTTTTTTATTGTTATCAGATATATATAATGGAGAGTAATAATCAAATAGATATATTTGTTAATCTATCACATTTAATATTAAATAAAATAATAGGTTGTTTAGATGACAACATTGACAGATTATGTTTTTAGTTTGGTGTGCAAGAGATGGGTTCATGATAGAGAATAATACTTAATATTCCACACTGATAATATCAATATTAACTCTATTAATAATAATGATATAACTCATAATCATAAACATTTCAACTTACCTTCATATAGAAGCATCTTTAATAATTCTATTCAATCAAAGACTGATTGTTCACTTTATATTTGTTCAAACTTCAAAGATGGAGAATACGATTTTTATTATAGTAAATATATTACTTTCAACCTCTTTATTTTTTATACTGATGTAATGTTTAACTAATTATTAAACTTATAGATAAATATACAGACTTGAAAAGTATTCCATCTTACATTTCAACGATCAGCTTATCCATTGAAGGTACCGACATAGAGTATTTCTATCAATTACTATTGGAATCACAATCAGTAACAACATTGTATGGATGCAACACACTGAGATATGGATTACCGAAAACAATCAAAAACCTCTGTTTCAGCTTTAAATTCAATGAATTGATTGATAAAGGATCACTCCCGCCATCTTTAGAAGAAGTTACTTTTTTTAATTCTTTCAACAAAGAGATTCAAGCAGGTGTACTTCCAGAAGGTTTACTGGAACTCTCTTTGAACTCCACCAATTATCAATTTGAATTTCAACCAGGAGTGTTCCCATCATCTCTTAAGACCTTAAATCTTTGTTTTTATAGGAATCCTTTAAAAGTTGGAGTACTACCAGAGAACCTTGAATTCCTGCAATATTCAGGTGTAAGGACATCATTGGAAGATGGAGTACTACCTAAATCATTAAAAGAACTTTTATGTGTACCAATCAGATGGTTACAAGCAATATCATCACTTCCAAAACTTGAAATCCTTCATTTTTATGAAATGAATCAAGAGATCTCAACAATCAATCTCGACTTACTACCATCATCCTTAAAGGTTCTAGAGTTACAAAAACAAAGTCGTTTGATTGGGACAATGCCAACATCAATCAAATCATTAAATCTTGGTAAATGTGAATTTCAATTCGAAGAAATATTCCCAGAAACATTACAATATCACTTTGAATCGCTCCAATATTCGAGAGATACGTTTTTTCCAATTCCATCCAACATAAAGACCAATAAATTGATAATAAATGGAATCTCTAATCATGACAACAATTCACTTACTCCTCCATCTGGAATCACTTCAATCAGTTTAGAAATGTCATTAAAACATAAGGACGCATGTTTAAGAATCGATGGAAATGATCAAACAACTCTTAAAAAGCTACGACTTCCATATTTTAATGTCCGACCTCGTGCATTCATTCCAAACACCATTGAAGAGTTGGATATTGGTGACAATTCACTTAATGACTCATTGGATCTTATCAAATCAATCGATTCAATCAAAACACTTCAATTTTCCAAATTACCAAAGACTGAAATCATTTCACCAGAAACATTCAAAACAATAAAAAAAATCAACAATATAATCTATAAAGACGATAATAATAATATTGTTTATAGAAAGTTAGATAATAATTTTTATTTAATGTTTGGTAATCTATATGGAAAGATAATTACAAGAATATTCAATCAGTCCAATATGCCAGCGAACTTAAACAATAAATATTTCAAGTCTATTTTAATTTAAAAATAAATATTTATAGTAATAATTATATATGTTTAATAAATATTTATTTTTTTTTATTCCCATTCCACATAATTTTAAAGCTTCTATAATGAAAATATTTCGAATTAGCGATCTATTAATAACTCAACCATATCAATTCAAACGGTTCTCTATAAATCTTTTAAACTTTCTTTTAAAAAAGAGTGTTTATAATGGGTAAGATTGAAAACAAATTAACTAACACCAAAAATTAAAATTTTAACGATGATCATAAAAAAAACAAGAAATTTTTAAAATGGTGATCATTTAAATAAATCATTGTATATCCCCTTAATTTCGATTAAATGAATATATCAGATTTAGTAGTTAATCTATCACATTTAATATTAAATAAAATAATTAGTTATTTAGATGAAAACATTGACAGAATATGTTTTAGTTTGGTGTGTAAGAGATGGTTCAATGATAGAGATAAATATTTAATATTCAACACTGATAATATATGTATAAATGCTTCTCTAAATAATTCCGATATCCAACTAAATCATAAACATTTCCAATTACCTTCATATAATAAGATCTATCTGAAATCGATTCAATCAAAGACTGATTGTTCACTTTATATTGGACCAGGTAATGGTCAGACAATGTTTCGATACGATTTTTATTATGGTAAATATATAAACACTTGAATATAATTCAATAAATTGATATAACAATTAAATAATAAACATAGATAATATTAGAAATCTAAATAGTATTCCAAGTAATATATCGATGGTCTCTTTAGTTTCACGGGCTAGATTCCTAGATAGTGACTTGGAGTATCTTCATCGATTGTTGAATGAATCACAATCAGTAACAACATTGAATGGATGTCACACATTGAAATATGGATTACCAAATACAATCAAAAGCCTTTCATTCCATCGACAATATAATGAAAAACTAGTTCAAGGATCATTTCCATCATCTTTAAAGTCTTTAGAGATTGTAGATTTCGGTTATTATTTCTACCAAGAGATTCAACCAGGTGTATTTCCAGAAGGTCTACTCGAATTAGCTATAGACCACTCGAGTTATCAGCATGAATTTCAACCAGGAGTGTTCCCATCATCGCTCAAGACCTTGCATCTAACAAACTATCATATACCGATCAAAGCTGGACTACTTCCAACTAATCTTGAATTTTTGAAATATACTGGTAAATCTACAACAAAATTGGAAGAGTTATTACCGAAATCCTTAAAGTCTCTATACATTACAGTGCCAACTCCAAGTTTAAAAGGATTGTCGGTGCTTCCAAACCTTCAAACACTTTTAGTACATCAATATCGTAACCAGATATCCTCGTTAGATCTCAATGAGCTCCCACCAACCATTAGAGAATTAGAAATCAAACGATTTCGATTGACAGGAACAATACCAACTTCAATATTTAGACTATCTCTATGTGAATGTGAATTTCAGTTCCATGAAATATTCCCAGAAACATTGCAATATCATATGGAATCCTTCAAATTAACAGGAGCAAATACTATCGGAATTCCATCGAACCTCAAGATTATGAAATTTAAAGTATACTGTTCTTCATACGAACCAATCATTTCACTACCATCACAAATAGAATCAATCTACTTGGGTGGCCAATTAAACAATGAAAAAGAACATCTACTCGATTGTAGTGGTGGAGGTAGTGGTGGTGATGGTAATCGAGGTGTTGGTGGCACATCAGATAAACCTTTATTAAGAGAACTTCGTCTTCCATCATTCATAAATGTAAAACCTAATTTTAAACTACCAAACACAGTCGAACTGTTAGATCTTGGTTTGAATGATCTCGAAGATGCATTACCGATGGTTCCTTCAACAGTAAAAACACTTGGCTTCTCTAATCGATCTATCAATAATATCAGCATACCAAATAATATCAAATCGTTCACCAATATCATCTTTCATTTAAATAGTCATTACATATATACTATTCGAAAGTTAGATGATAGTTTTTATTTGATCTATGGTGAAAATCAATTAACAAACTTAATAATAGCTAAAGTATTCCACCAATCTAAGCTAACAAAGATCTTAGGCAAATCTTTTAAATAAAATATATATAACATAAATTTTTGATGAGCATTAATAACTTTATTTAGTTGATATAGCTGTATCGATTTCATTAAAAGTTCAACGAGTGGTTGAACCAGTGGTTGAGCTAGTGCTTGTAGAAGAAGGTGGTTTAGTTCCCGTTGTAGAGATCGAGCCGGCAGGAAACGGGGAAGTAGGTTCGGGCCAGGGTGGAACTGTAGCGAAGGTAGTTGGGCGGTCACAATCAATGCAATTGGCTTGGCACTTTTCACTGTCCGGTGGGCATCTCTCACAACATGGTCTAGCAGTTACAATGCTCAACATGAACAAGATTGCTAACATTAACGCGATAGATTTTACAATATTCATTTTTCTTTGTATAAACTATATACATATTTTGATAAATATGATTAATTTTAATGATTAAATAGAATTAGTTTTAAACTTTTACTTACTTATTGGTTTTTAATAATTGATTAAGTTTTATTTTAATATTGATTTATATGATTTTTGAATGATTAATGATATCATTTTTAAAAGTATTTATAGCTGTAGTATCTCTAAAGAGACCTATGTATTCATGTAAATTTCATTGTTTACAAAAGTTGTTTATGTGTATTTTAAAAGTAAAATTAAAAGTAAAATTTAAACTAACAAAAATTTTTCAAATGACTTGAGTAAATATTAGATTATCTTTAATAATATAAAAGAAACTAAAAATAAATTGTCTTCACATTTTCAAAGTGTATCAAAACACTGTGAACCAACTATGTTTTTTTTTTTAAAAATTAAATCAAGTTATAGTCAACCTAAATGGAAGTAGTAAAACTCGATGGTCCTTACTACAGGTGGGTCCACGACCTAACTATAGCAAGACAAACCAACTTGCCCAATTTATTTGGAGTCAGATATTAAGTGATAAAGCCTATATAGGTGATGGTAAGTTTTAACTCCTATTAAAAAAAATTGGAGGAGTAAATACAGAAGAAGAGAAACTATTTAATAGTAGATTGTCACTATTCGCTTGGACGTTGAAAACCTGTTCCCAAGAGTAAGAAATTTTTCAATATTGGATAGACCATTTCGATCTGATGTTGTTATGTTAAATAAATATACAAGAGTTATCTTTTTTATCATATCATGATAACTAAAAATAAAAATATTGTTTTTTAATTCATTTTATTTTTTAATAAATAAATTTTTTTTTTTTTTTTTTGATTTTCTCTATTTAACCAGTCAGTTAATTAAAGTTGTTTAAAAGTGAAAAAATAAAATAAATCTATACCTTTATAAATATTACATCCGCTATCCTTTTTAGCCAATCTATGATTACATGTGCTTGTTTATATGTTTGTTTTACTTTTTAGTTGAGCAATAGAACTAATTCTGTTATTGAACTCTCACCGGTCGTACTATTCCAACTCTAATCAATAAAAGAATTTGAATCATCTCACCTTTAAGTCTTTGTTTATTATCATCATTGAATCATTGTGATCAATCACAATTGGAGGTGAGAATGGAGAGTGATTGTATTGAGATGAGAGATAGAATTGGAGGGATGGTTTGGATGAGGAATATATACATTGTCTTTATTGGATTGTTGTTGGAGACTACTGGATCAAAGTGCGAGAGTTGGATGCTTCATCACGGGAGATTTTCGTTGGCAGTTTGTTGGATGGAATGCAGGTCTACAGCATAGAATGGAGGAATAATGACACCTGATGGCAAAGGTGGTGCTCCATTGAACAGTTCAACAGTTGGTATCTGGAGTTGGTAAAGTGGAAGACCAAGTGCATTACAAGGATTTTGAAGGTTGAGGGGATTGGCTGGATTGGCTACAGGTGGAGGAGGCCCAACTGGAGGCATGACACCTTCATAGCCTTGAGGAGCAGCATATCCAGGTGGAGATATGGGAGGCAAGTGTCTTTGGATTGTATTGGTGACATCCAAATGTGTCGTTCCACAAGAGATGATCCTGACAGGATTTGCTGCTGCACCATTCTGATAGTACAAAACAAGCATCGCAAAGTCTCCATTGTTTCTGGGATAGATCTTGACACCAATAACGATCCTGATTGTGCTTGGTATTGCAGCCACCGCAGGGACACCAGGAGCAGGAAGGACAGCAGCAACACGATCCATGAAATAGTCGAGGCAATTTTGATGTAACACTGGAAGTGATTGAGACTTGGCTGTTTCGATGACTAATGTTGGGTAAGGTTTTCCATGTCCATTTGCCGAATGATTGTTGGGGACATTGGGTCGAAGAGGTCGCAAAGATTGGTCTGGCTCAGCATTTGCATGTCCTGGTTGGAGGATCAATGTCGCATCTCCTACGGTGCGCAACAAATGTTGGTTTGGGAATGTTTGAAAATGAATGATATCCTTGATCTCATTGACAGTGCATGAATGCTCCATTGAGGGTACTTCATAGATCCATGCCCTTCCATCTCTAAACCATATCCTCGACTTGAACTCAGATCTCTCCCCATCCTTTTGTCTTCTTGCTATAAAAGTATTATGATTGATGGGTCCAAGTTCAACTCCTCCATCGGGAACATATCCTACCTGGATATAGATGAGGATGTTAGTGATATTTCCTCTGCAATATAATTGAAGTCATACTTCTCTCAAAAAATTTATTTTATTGGACCAACCTCTGATCCTTTTGACTTCCTCAAGAACTTCCTGTTGAGACTGATTTGTTGGTGAGGAGAGCGCAAGAGAGTCGATATATGGTTCAGTGTGTGCATGCTCTTGATTTGAAGAGGAGGAGGAGGAGGAGGAAGAGTACAGTTGCTGAGTCATCGGTATTGCTTGATGATCTGTACAACTATAACTACGAAGAGAGAATGATGATTAGTGAGGAATATAAATTATCACCTATCTTATAAAAAAATAAACAAATGATTGACAGCTCACATTATGATACATTTAATAAATAATGTTCCTTATAGAAGTAAAAAACAAATAAATAAATAATAGAAAAGACAATAATATTATTAAAAATGATATTATAATTTTTATTGGGCTTTTTCACTTTTTTTATTTTGAAAAATTAGAATGTAGTTTTTTGCAAAAAAAAGTGAAAATTACCAAAATTAGTATGTTCAAATATTTAAAATCTCTTTGTTCTTTGGCATTAATGATTGTACCTTTAATAGAATTCTTTGTTACTTCAATGATTTGAATGATCACTTTTCCAAATCAGATGATCTCGCAAACCAGTATATTCTTAGGAGCATAATAACCTCTTTGTGAGTCTTAACATCGAAATCTACTTGTTGTCTTTATATGATTTCCTAATGAGATCTAGTACTAACTGTGGATCCCATATAGTATTGTATTTCGGTTTTGCAGGTCTTTCTTTTGCAATACCTCTTGTTACTCTGTTACGCGTAGTTTCCGAATTGACATTAACAATAGCTAATCGCTGAAGTTGAGCTATCATCGATGAATTCTAATATATATGAGCTGCTAAAATCCAAAGAGTAAAGGTATGTAAGGATCAGGTTAGCCGTTGAAATGTCAATTCGATTTAAATCTTTTAACTCTGTGAATTCACACCATTACAATAATTACAAAGCTCCACGCTCTATCGTAACAATCTAAAGTTGAGGAAGACCATGAGCTATGTAACAGAGACAACTCTTCCTCATATGTCTCTGTACAGAAATAACTTACTGCTTCTCTGAAAGTCACAGGTAAGCTAATTTCCATTTGTCCTGTAGGTGACTCGGTATCTGACTGATCGACGCAGCTTTCAAATAATTCGAGAAGGTTCCTATCTCTATTATCATATGGTCTAGTCGATTCGCTTGTTCCTTGATCAGTGGGAACCATGGTGCGCGGACCACAGTGGGAACACCAGTGTTGACGAAGTCCGATTCTCGTCTTCCCACTTCGCTATCGTTCTCGGTATCAGTTTCGGCGGTGGAAACATGTAAAGGTGATGTCCATTCCTCCATTTCTGGCTGAAAGCATCCTTCTGTAATGTGCAATATGGAATTGTTCTTCTGTTCGAATGTGAAGAAAATAGGTCTAATGTCTTCTGTTTTCCCATGATCCTGTGGTACCATTCCTTCTTTAATGTCCATCCGTATCTGATCTCTTTCTTTTTGTTGTTTTCTACTCCTCTTGATAGATAGTCCGGAGTTGAATTGAACGTTCCCGGAATGTGAGCTTATTTACTCATGTCAAAAGAATCTGATCAAATTTTATTTTTTCTTAAAAAAATAAATTAAAACAAAAGTAAAACAAAGATCTTTAATCTTAAAATTATTTAATTAATTAAAAAATAAATAATTAAAAAAATGTGATCTTGAGCAAAGATCAATGTCCAATTTCATTTGTTATTATATTAATGAATCAATTTCTTGAATATTCACAAGAAAGTAGTATTGTTATTATTTTAATACCCAAGTGATAATTTTAAAATTAATGTTCATTGTAAAGTAATCACATGTTTATTGTTATTTTTATTTTTTGTTCTATTTTATGATAGTGCTAATTAGTAAATATCGTCATTGTATGGTTATGTATCTTTACTTGTACACTGTCGTCCGTCTAAGGACAATAAGGTAGCCGCCAAGGCAATGTCAATACCTATCAATCAACATCAACAATATACATCAGCCAACACATAGCAATAGTCAATTACAATTAATTAAATTAATTAAATCAACTAAATAAGTAATAGTTCAAAACAACAGATCGAAATAACAATTAAATTAGAATCTGTTGTTTCTAGATTAAGTATTCAACACTCAGCCGTCAAGCTTCTCAATAATGAATATATTGAGTTTAATGCGACGTTAAAGAGTCATTCAATTGATTCAATTCATTCAATAATTAATTAAGATTATTATATTATAAAGCTATATAAGATATCAAAATCAATTAATTAATAAAAGATTTGATTAGAGTTAAATTTAAATTATATTAAAACATTATTAAGAATATTATTTTTTATATTATCATCGATTATTAACTAAATAAGAAAATGGTAGATCCAGCTGATCAGCCATCAGATACAACAACAACAACCACAACCACAACAACTAGTTCAACAACACCTACAGATCCAACAACTAGGGCAGGTGACCTCAGCATGAGTGACCTTGAAAGTAACAACAATAACAATTCAATCCAATCAACTTCCATTCTATTCCCGGATATAACTCCTACCAACACGCGTCCAGATCCACTCCCATCCGATCTATTCCAATCAACTCTGGCCGCTTCGAAGATACCGATCTCCTCTGCCATCGCCTCTGGTCAACCGGATAATAAACATACACCTATCATTTTAATACTATACTTCAGAAACACAGTTTTGGTAAATTTGATCGTAGTTGACCTACATATTAATTGAAACTACTGTAATTACTGTTTTCTTAAATTCGTTTCTCAATTAGCTAAATTCTTTGATTCTTAAACTCTAATTTGAATGATATTATTTCTTTTAGATGATATTTAAATAATATGAACTCCCAAAAAAAAAAAAAAAAGATCATAAGAGCAAAAACAGATTTTTTTTATTTTTTTAGATAATATTAATGGAGAGTTGCAGTAATCAAATAGATAAAATAGTTGTTAATCTATCTCATTTAATATTAAATAAAATAATTTGTTATTTAGATCAAAACATTGACAGAATATGTTTTAGTTTGGTGTGCAAGAGATGGTTCAATGATAGAGATAAATATTTAATATTCAACACTGATAATATCTTTATTACTCATAATCATAAACAATTCAAGTTACCTCCATTCAACAACACTTTTAATAAATCGATTCAATCAAAGACTGATTGTTCACTTTATATTGGATTAAATAACTTTGCTAGAGAACACGATTTTTATTATGGTAAATATTATACTTTAAGCCTCATTTTTTGGGATGATCATTTAACATTTAACTAATTAATATATATATATATATAGATAAATATACAGACTTGAAAAGTATTCCATCTTACATTTCAATGATCAGCTTACCAGGTGAAATTAGCGACCGAGAGTATTTCTATCAATTACTATTGGAATCACAATCAGTAACAACATTGTATGGATGCCACACACTGAAGTATGGATTACCAAAAACAATCAAAAAACTCTCTTTCGACTATAGATTCAATGAATCGCTTGTGAAAGGTTCACTTCCACCATCTTTAGAAGTTGTTAGTTTCCTTAATTTTTTCAATCAAGAGATTCAAGCAGATGTACTTCCAGAAGGTTTACTTGTATTATATTTGTACAACTCCGAATATCAATTTGAATTTCAACCAGGAGTGTTCCCATCATCTTCAAGTCCATAAGTCTCTCTTTTTATAACCATCATTTAAAAGCTGGAGTACTTCCAGAGAACCTTGAATACCTGGAATATTCAGGTTCATCTACACCATTGGAAGATGGAGTACTACCTAAATCATTAAAGACTATTATAAATGCACCAATTTCATGGTTACAAACAATATCATCACTTCCAAATCTTGAAATCCTTCAATTTTATGAATCGAAAAATGCTATCTCAACAATCAATCTCGACTGCCTACCACCATCTTTATAGGTTCTAGGATTCAAAAAAAGATATAGTCTGAAAGGAACGATGCCAACATCAATCAAATTACTAGATCTTGGTGAATGTGAGTTTCAGATCGATGAAATATTCCCAGAAACATTACAATATCACTTTGAATTGCTCGAATACTCAAAAGATACAATTATTTCAACTCCATCCAACTTAAAGATAGATAAATTGATTATAGATGGAATCATTGATCAGGAAACCTGTTCACTTACTCCTCCATCTGGAATCACATCAATCAGTTTAGATATGTTATTTGATCATAATGAATCATTTTTAAGAATACATGGAAATGATCAAACAACTCTGAAAAAGTTACGACTACCACATTTCAATATCCGACCTCGTGCATCCATACCAAACACCATTGAAGAGTTGGATATTGGTAACAATTCACTTTATGACTCATTGGATCTCATCAAGTCAATCGATTCAATCAAAACACTTGTATTTTCAAAATTATCAACAATTGAAATCATATCACCAGAAACATTCAAAACAATCAACAATATCATCTATCTGGAAGATTATAATAATAATATTTTTTTCAGAAAGTTAGATAATAATTTTTATTTAATGTTTGGTAATCTAAATGGAGATATAATTGCAAGAATATTCCATCATTCGAATTTGAATGCGCACTTACATAAAAACATTCAAAGATAACATGAACAAACTATAATGATTTTAATTAGTTCAAGAAACACATTCACTCTTTAATATAAATCATTTTGAATTTGGAAACCTATTCTCTATATTATTTTATTTTTTAATTAATGATTAACAATTAAATAAACAGAACTTCCAAAAAAAATTTAAATAAATTTTTTTTTTTAAAAAAACCAACTTTTTTAGAGGTCCATTTTTATATCAGATATTTTTTTTCAATCATAACCAAAGTATCTGTATTTTTGCTCAGGTGCAACTCTTTTGTATAGATATCTAATAAATACTGGAGAGTAGTAATCAAACAGATAAAATAGTTAATCTATCACATTTAATATTAAACAAAATAATTAGTTACAATTTTATTTTCTTTTTTTTTTAAATAAACAATCATTATTTGCTCAGATCAGATATTTATAATGGAGAGCAGTAATCAAACAGATATAATAGTTGTTAATCTATCACATTTAATATTAAACAAAATAATTAGTTATTTAGATGAAAACATTGACAGAATATGTTTTAGTTTAGTATGCAAGATGGTTCAATGATAGAGATAAATACTTAATATTCAACATTGATAATATCGTTATTAAATCTATTAATGATAATGATATAACTCATAATCATAAACATTTCAACTTACCTTCATATAATAACATCTTTAATAAATCGATTCAAACAAAGACTGATTGTTCACTTTATTTCGGACCAACCGACTTTAATAGAAAATACGATTTTTATTATGGTAAATATTATACTTTAAACCTCTTTATTTGTGATGCTCATTTAACTTTTAACTAATTAATAATTATTAAATTTATAAGATACATATACAGACTTGAAAAGTATTCCATCTTACATTTCAACGATCAGCTTACCAGATGAAATTACTGACCAAGAGTATCTCTATCAATTACTATTGGAATCACAATCAGTAACAACATTGAATGGATGCAACACATTGAAGTATGGATTACCAAAAACAATCAAAACACTCTCTCTTGGGTATAAATTCAATGAATTGCTTGTTAAAGGATCACTTCCATCATCTTTGGAAGAAGTTATCTTGAATTCTTTCGACCAAGCGATTCAAGCAGGTGTACTTCCAGAAGGTTTACTCGAATTCAGCTCCGATTATCAATTTGAATTTCAACCAGGAGTGTTTCCATCATCTCTCAAGACCTTAATTCTCTCTTTTTATAAGAAACCTTTCAAAGTTGGAGTACTTCCAGAGAACCTTGAATGCTTGTATTATTCAGGTGCATCTACACCATTGGAAGATGGAGTATTACCTAAATCATTAAAGCAACTTATTGATGTACCAATGACATGGTTACAAACAATATCATCACTTCCAAATCTTGAAATCCTTCGTTTTTATGAAGAGAACCAAGATATCTTAACAATCAACCTCGACTTATTACCATCATCTTTAAAGGTTCTCGAATTCAAACGATATCGATTGATTGGAACAATGCCAACATCAATCACATCATTAAATCTTGGTAAATGTGAGTTTCAATTCGAAGAAATATTCCCAGAAACATTACAATATCACTTTGAATCGCTGCAATATTCAAAAAAAACGATTGTTTCAATTCCATCAAACCTAAAGATAGTTAAATTGATAATAGATGGAACATCTTTTCTCGAAAACAATTCGCTTTCACTTCCATCTGGAATCACATCAATCAGTTTAGAAATGTCATTAAAACATAAAGAGGCATTTTTAAGAATCGATGGAAATGATCAAACAACTCTTAAAAAGCTACGACTTCCATATTTTAATGTCCGACCTCGTGTATTCATTCCAAACACCATTGAAGAGTTGGATATTGGTAACAATTCACTTAATGACTCATTGGATCTCATCAAATCAATCGATTCAATCAAAACTTTTGTATTTTCGAAACTATCAAATATTGAAATCATCTCACCAGAAAATTTGAACACAATAAACAATATCATCTATCTGGAGTATAGTAATAATATTAAATACAGAAAGTTAGATGACAATTTTTATTTAATGTTTGGTTGTTTAAATGAAACTATAATTGCAAGAATATTCCATCAATCTAAATTGTCTGTGAACCTTCATAAAAAAATGAAATAAATTAAAGTTTTTTTTTTTTGTTGATATTCAATTTGAAGAGTTGGATATTGGTGACAATTCACTTTATGACTCATTGGATCTCATAAAATCAATTGATTCAACCAAAACACTTGTATTTTCCAAATTTATCAAATATTGAAACTATATCAACAGAAAATTTGAACAAAATCAACAATATCATTCATCTTCAGTATAGGAATTTTATTAAATACAGAAAGTTAGATTACAATTTTTATTTACTTTTTGGAATTTTAAATGAAATGATAATTGCAAGAATATTCCATCAATCTAAATTGTGCGAACCATAATAAGAGAAATGCTACCTTCTTTACACACCAAAGTGTGGGATTCGATATTCATGATATCAAAAAATAAATAATAAAAAGTCAGTTTGACTAAATGAAATAAAATCTGACTAATATATTTTTTAATGTAAAAAAAAGCATTAGGAAGTTGCACCTCCAAATTGTTTATTCCATTCTAAATAATTTTTGAGTTCACTTTGGGCAACGCTCGGTTTCATTGATGATAAAGCCGCCTTGAAATCACAAAGTGCAATCGGTCGAATAGCATCAGTCGTTGCGTTGAGAATATCGATCTCTCCTCTTATGGGAATCATAGCTGCCTCTGTGCAAAGTGCTTTCATGTCGGAACCAGAGTAACCTTCAGTGAGCTCTGCAACTTGATCATAGTCATCCTCAGACATATCTTTATCCTCGTTCGACAACAGTTGTTTCACCAATTGATAACGTGCAATTTTCTCTGGCAACGGAATATACAATCTCTTTACTAAACGACGTCTGGCAGCTTCGTCCAGCTCTTCAGGTCGGTTGGTCGCTCCCACCAACAACATACGATCGGCCGAGTTTGTAGCGACACCATCCCACTGCACCAAGAACTCTGTCTTTATTCTACGCGATGCTTCATTCTCACCGTCGGTTCTCTGCGTTAAAAGTGAATCGATTTCATCGATGAATATAACCGATGGCAAATAGCATCTGGCAACAGCGAAAAGAGCACGAACCATCTTCTCACCGTCACCGATCCACTTGCTCGTGAGCGAACTAGCGGAAATACTAAAGAAAGTGGCATTGACGCCACTGGCAATGGCACGACCAATCATAGTCTTACCGGTTCCAGGTGGACCAAACAAAAGAAGACCTTTCGGTGGATTACGCAGTCCTTTGAAGATGTCGGGTCTCAACAACGGGTAGGTAGCAAGCTCCTTAATCTGTTTCTTTACACCCTCCAAACCGGCAATGTCATCCCACGAGACCGAGAGTTTCTTATCGAGAATCTCATTGCAAATCAACTCCAACATTCTCGGCTCTACGTTTCTCAGTCGTTCGTCGTCCAGTGGAATACCATTGACATTATCGATACCACTTGGATTTGTCTCATCGTTCTTACTAGTGGCAGCACTTCCACCACCACTTCCATTTCCACCACCGGTTGCTGTTGTTGGTTTTCCTTTTACTACTTTCTTTGGTTGCTCTACTACCTGTTCTTCTTCTTCTTCATCTTGCTTATACGGTGAAATAAAACCTTTTCTCTTTCCACCTGCCACTTTTCCAACGTTTGACTTTATAGGATTCGGTGCAGCTCTTTGATTGTTTAACTTGTTCTTCTTCTCTTGATCCGTTATAAATTGATCTTTTGCAGATTTAAATGAATTCTCTAAAGGTGTAGTATCCATTTCATCATCTAAATCGATTGTCTTTGGTGGTAACGATGCAGGTGCCTTATTTACATTTGAAAATGATGGTTTTGCAATTGGTGCTCTAAATGTTGGAATTGATTGTTGTTGTTGTTGCTGTTGTTTAACTTGATATCTATTATTATTATCATCATCATTATTATTATTATTAAATTGTTGTTGTTGGTATGTTTGTTGTGTTGTTGCTATTGCTGAAGTAGAGGAAGTAGAAGTAGGAATGCTTGTTGGTGTTTGTGTTTGTATTGAAGGTGGTGTTGGCATAGGTATTTGTCTATCATTATATAATCTATTTATCTCATTGATTGTCTGTGAAACTTGATTAGTGTTGAACAGTTTGAATGCATCGTCTATCGAATGTAGAAACGGTCTATCTTTATATGCCAGCTTCATCTCGTTCATTGCAACGTTCTGTTGTCTAAGCAGTTCATCGTCGAGCAATGAGTTGTATCGCCTCAGCAGTGATTTCACCGCTTTTCTATTGACGCTGTTTCTAATGGAGTCGCGACTGATCTGAATCTGCTCGGTATTGACGATACTGGAGATAGGTATACTCTGTCGCGAGGTGGTGGGTTGTGTCGATGGCGAATAGCTATCTTTCATATCGCAGGTGGCCAATGAACATCGCAGATGATCCAACTGTCTCATCAATATCGATACTATCTCTGCATTGATACCATTGATTATAGTTGCACTCTCATCGTTGAATGAAATCGAATCTCGATGACTAATTAGTTTATCTAGTTGCTGTTGGTTCCTCTGAAAGTAATGTATACCCAAGAATGAATTACACTGAATATCAAAATATTGATTAACATTATTATTATTCCAATCCATGATTAATTATCTTCTCATTTCTTTTTTTATTCAAAAACGTCAATATATATATATCTATCAATACATATAAATATATATAAAATTAATATTTAGACATAAATCTGAATCCATCAAATATTCAAATAATTAATAAATTCCTAGAAATTTTTGACAAAAAAATTAAAAAAAAATTAAAATTAAAAATGATCCGATGAGATTCATGAATTTTTTGGTTATATCTATAGAGTTAATAATTATATATTACTTTACCGATAATGATAGTAATCCAACGGTTGTTTTTGGTTCAGATAGTATTAAACACTTCCATGCCATTGTTATTGGATTTCCTTATAACTATGATTACTTGAATGAAACCAACAACAAAAACATTGGATATCTCAAACTATCGTACTCACTGAATGGCTATCATTACAAAGACTACGGGGTGATTGAAACCGGTCTAAACGATACTACCCACGTTCACTCGATCGATTTCGTCGCTGTTTTCTCAACGTGGGGAGATTCTGAAATTTGGGATTTAGTGGCAACCTACATAGCAACCATAGATGAAAACTATACTACCCCGAAGAACTTCCAACAACCAATTGGTAATGATAACACATAATTACAATTGTAATTGTTAACAACAATAAAGATTATTAAAACTTATTTATTTGTTTACTTTTGGTTTGTCATGTAAACGATGGAAGATGCACATGAATCTCTATCTTTATCATCTTCACTAAAGAATTGACTCCATGTATTGTTGAGAATAGAATATTTAAAATTCTTGTTTTTCTTGTTGGAAGTACCACCTAATATATAGATATGACAGTCATCATCATCATCATCATGATCCTGTGTTGTTGTTGTTGTTGCTGTTGGTGATGCTTGGTGATATACCATTGATAGGTAGATATTCGATTCGAATTTGAATGGTGCAGAACAGAGTATCTCTATTTGATTGGTATGTGTACTGAATCTTTGGAATCGGTTGCTACCACTTGAATAAAGGTAGATATTACCATCGCCATCTGTACATGCCGATTTGATATCATCGTTGAGAAGTTGATCTTTGTGTTGTGTTATCGCTTTCGATTTAGTATCGAATAGATAGATACTGTTATTATTATTATTGGATTGTGTTGGTATAAAGTAGATAATACTGTCATAGTAGAATGAATAATAGTTATTCCTATAGTTGAAATCTTGATGGTATCTTTCAAACTGCCGTTTGGAAATAGTAAACTTGTGTATAGCATTATCATTTCTATGTACTAGATAGACTGTGTCTATTCCATCGAAGCATGCCGATATACTACTTCCTTTGATTCCAGAGGTCATTTCACCCACGAAATCAATCGATTTGCTTCTAATTGAAAACCTAAAGTATCGATTAGCTAACTGATGGGAATCATTCCCAAAGATATAGATACAATCATCTACAGTAACAACTGAATTGTATGAAAAGTTAAATGTAAATCCCAAGTCAATTGATTGTTTTGTTAGTTCTGTAGATCCTCCTGTTGTTGTAGTTGTTGTTCCACCACATGGTAATTGAATTAATGTTGCAAATTTATTATCCCATGTGATTGATAATATGTATTGTTGTTGTAGATATTGTTGTTGTTCTGATTTAGGTTGAAGATTAGATTGGGATAGTGAAAGTTTAGCCATTTGTTGCTCTTGTTGTAATTGTTGTCTATATCTCTGAGTTACCAACATAAATGATTGTTTAATTGATTGTTTTACTTTGTTGACAGATGGCTTATCCACTACCAATTTGAAAGTTGTGTTATTTCTCGAAGGAGATGCAAGTAACTCTTCATTCAACACAAACGAACTATAGTATTTCAATACAAGTTCCATTATATCTATGTCGGTAGACTCTACTTGATCCTCTTCGTTCCCAAACTGTTCATTACTGAACTCAGATAACAAATGATATCCAATATCATCAATTAACGATTTCAGACATTCTGATCGATTGATTTTATCGATAATATTAGTTATTTGATAGTTGCTAATATTGTTATTCTCTTCCTCTTGATTATAATTATAACTATCACCACTACTACTATTGTTATTATTTTTATTAATTATATCGTCATTCCTATTGATAATGTTAACTAAATGTTTTAATTGGTTGAAATGTTGGTTGATTTGTTGTTCTAGTGTATCTTTGAGATTGTTGATTGGTCTACGTAGTTTGTACTCCTCCAATCGTAGTAGTTCGTGTAGCTCACCGAATGCTTCTGATATCTCATTCTCTGTCTGCGTCAATGACTGATAGATGGACGAACGCAACTTTATGACATTGTAGACTCTGTCTCTCTCGCTTCGAATATGGTCAATGATTGTTGAGTCGCCACCACCAATATGTACTTTATGATTTTCATGAAGTGTGCTGGCGGTTTGTGAACAACGACAACAACTCTCCAAACAAAATAACACTTGACAATCAAAACAAATTGATTTGCTGATATTACAACGACTACTATTACTCTCACAACTATTCATTTGAATCGATTATAAACAAAAGTAGAGTAACAATAGTACTGTACTACACTATACTATTGTTTGTTATCATTTTGTTTAAACCACATTTTTAAACAAAAACAAAAAAGAAAGTTAAAAAAATCGTATTTACAAAATATTGTTGTAATTAACGGTGATCAAAGCTATGCTAAAAGGTAACCCAATGATCATATCAACACTTGTTTTTTTTTTCATCATTTTCTTTTGATTATAATGTCGACCTATCCACAAAACGGTGATAGTTTAAATTTTGACATTTTTGACATCTTTGACACCATTGACATATTTGACTAATTGTTTAAAATTTTAAACAATTTTGAGTCTTTATAAGTGTTATTATTTATTGTTCGAACACAAAAAATTAAATAAATTCATTACCAAAAAAAAAATATCAAAAATTTTTTAAAAAAAAAAAAAAAATAAATTAAAATTAATCGAAAGACAGAAAGAACTTTAAAGTCATTCATCTCAAAAAAGATAATAATTAAAAATAGAATAAAAATAGAATGTCAGGAGAAACAGAGTGGGATGATATTCAGATAAAGTTGGGCAACAAAGCTGCACCACCAAAGAAGTTGACAGAGGACGAGATATTCGATCTCATTCAAGAGGCTGCACAATATGCCTCTGAGAAAGAGAAACAAGAGAAGCTAGATAATGCTTCACTCGAAGACTTGAAAGAGATGGAAGACGATGAAGATGAACAAGTTTTAGAGAAATTAAGGTTTGAATTCAAAGAAAACAAAAACAAAAACAAAACAAAACTATTGGTTTTAACATTACTTGTTTACTTCCTTTTAATAACTTTATAGACAGAGAAGAATTGCACAAATGAAAGCGGAAGCAGAGAAAAATAAATTTGGTGAACTTTATGAGATTTCAGAGCCTGCCTATAAGAGTGAGGTAACAGAAACTACTGGTTATTTCGTTGTAGTATTACTTTTTAAGAATGGGTATGTTATTATTTTACTTGTGTGAAAAGAGAGATAGTTTTGTTTGTTTATTTGTTATTAATTCATTCTTTTAGTATTCCACAATGTCAGTTGGTAAATGAAATTTTGAAGGAATTGGCAAAGAAACATAGAGCAACCAAGTTCGTTCGAATTAGATCGGAGGAAGCTATTCACAACTACCCAGATAGAAACCTACCAACTATTTTGGTTTATTTCAATGGTATGATTGTCAATCAGATGATTACACTGGCAAAGATGTACGGTGATCAAGTCAATGCCAAAGACATAGAGTGGTGGCTGTCGAGATGCGGTGCAGTCAAGACTGAAATGAAAGAAGATCCAAGAACAGCAAAGAAAACCAACATCACAACCACCTCGAAATCATTAAACTCAAATCGTGCACGTATAGAAGATTCTGACGATGATTACTCTGACGACGATTAATCGAAAAATAAAACAACTGTTACATAGCATAGCAACAACAACAACACCAAAACTGTAATGATATAGTCTACAATCTTTAAAAACAATCAAAAATAAACCATATTAAAATTATAAATAAAAAATGTAACTAACTATTTCTAAATAACTCAATGTCCATTGATTTCCACTCTAATTCAGCTAATATGTGCAGATTAATATCAACACTATTACCAAAAATAAAAATCATTAATGATATTTGCTGAATTACGCACTTATACGTTTTGAACACGACATTAAAGTGGGAAAATGATTAGAATGATAATAGTTTTGCTGTTCAAAAACATGGGGTATTTATCTAATTATTGTTTTTTCAAAAAAAAAAAAAAAAAAAAAAGGTTGTTTTATTTTTTGATGGTGTGAAATTTAACAACTGCAATCCTAATTGGTAATATTATTGATCTAATGTGAACTAATAAAAAAAGAGAGTCATTATTTTCATTTCAATAACAACAACAACTGAAATAAATCAATCATAAATCATTAACAATGCCACTTTTCGAAACAATAGCTATCGATTTAGAAAAACTAAGCTCTACTGCTGAGAAACATTGGGGTGTCACTGTTGGTGAATGCATCAAATCCAGTCAAAATCATACATATATTGCAACTGGAAAAGATGGTGAAAAGCTAATTTTACGTGCAACTCCAGACCCACAAAGACGTCGTATAGATTCTACCAGGTTGGAAGTTAAGCTGTTGGATTATCTTGCTGATAACGGACTCGAAGTATGTCCGGCTCTGAAGAGTAACATCACCAATGAGTCGCTTGTCGTAATGGATGATCCATGTGTAATTATATGTCTCTATAGATTCGCTAAAGGCGAGCCAGTTGTCTATACTGAATGGCGATGGTTGGAAAACAAAGAGATTGTAGTGGCGCTCGGCCAATGGTTTGGAAAGCTACATCAACTCACCCGGCGATTCCAAGTGGAAAATCCGGATCTAGCTAGTACCGCCAGACACTGGACAACCCTCCACGATTCGATACTCGCTAGCTACCAAGTGGATCCACTCGATCTTGCGGTGGAGAACGATTCTCAACACTTTGGAATCATACACGGCGACGTCAACCCGAGTAACTACTTCTGGCAACCCGATGTCAAGATGGTATCGATGTTCGATTGGGATCAGCTACAGAGTGGTTATCTTCTCTACGATTTGTCCGCACCGATCTGGGGTGTCGTTACACTCGAGCAACACGGATCGACAATGGGAGCAGCTCCAGAGAACGCCAGCGCCAAACAATATACACAATGGCTGCTAGAGGGATACGAACCAATTGAAGGACCAGTCGATAGAAAGCGTCTCGAACGTATGGTTACAATCAGACGTGAACTCTATGTTCGTTTCTGTAGTTCGGCTCTCAATGAACTCGCGCCAGAACACCCAATGGCTATATTCTGTAAAAAGATGACTGATTACTTTGCTAATGAGAAAAGTTTCAATTTAAATTTATTCTAAAAAAAAAATAAAATCAAAAAAATATATGAATATGAATATATGTAATTTATAAAAAAAAAAAAAGATTATCATCTTTTTTGAAATATTATTTTTATCTGACTGATCATGATAAATTCAAATCTAAAAATACTTTTTTGTGCAAACATGATTGAGATCCATTATTAGAAAAAAAAAAAAGTTTTTTGAAAACCAAAATTTGGACAAAACTATTTTTGCAAAACAAAAAAAAAAAAAAAAGATTATCATTATGTTAAAAAAGATGGTGTTGGTGCCAATACACTTTCCCCCTTTTTAATATTTTTTTTTTTAGAAAATCTCATCAATTTTTGATCAAAAATTATTAACGGTGTTATTGTTACTGCTAAAATTTTCTTAATTTTTAATTGTATTATTACATATACTATTACACAAAATCAATCAATCGTCAATCCTCATTTCTTAATTTCATAGTAAATACTAATTAATAGTTAAGTTTATATTTAGTCAATCAGCCAATCTATTTGTTGTATTTATTATTTATTTATTTCAAAAAAAAACAAAAAAAGTCTTTAAAATCATTATTTATTATTATTATGTATTTTGAGAAAAATATTATATATTCTTTTTTTATAGATTGTTGTTGTTGTAATCTTTTCTAAATATAGTATAAAATATTATTATTATTATTATAGTATTTAAATCGATTTAAATATAAAAATTTGGGGGAAACCATCAATCATATCATGGATCCATGGATTCGAATATTAGGATGGATAGAGTTTATTGTTGCACTATTGGTGCTGTGTGCGCTTGGTACAGTCATTTATATAATAGCTAAATATCGACATTTAGAATTCAATAGATATTGGATTGTCAGATCGATTATATGTGGGTCTGCATTCATTTGGATTGTAAGTCTGATCATTGATCATTAATCATTAATCATTATCAAACACATACACATTCACGAATCTTGAAGACTAATCAGATCAATATTATCTAGCTCGCTCTGTTACTTGGTAATCAATTTCTATGGTATTCAGATGGAGGACTTTTCGGTTCGAATCCACGTTACTATAAATATGTTTGTAGTCTACATCTATTCTTCACTGTCGGCAGCGCAGAACCATTGTTTTTTATTGTATTCTTATTTATTCTTAAATCAAAAACAAGGTATTATATACAATTAATTAAACTCTAGAAAATAAGCAATATTAACCAATCATCATCATCTTGTTGTTATTTTTTTAGTCCAAAGAGAAGTTCTTTGTATATAGATGATCCAAATTATTATGTTGTAAAACGATCGATATTAGTTACTATTCCGGTGGTAATTCTCCATATTGCAATTCTTATTATAGCTGCATCGGATGTAAAGAAACCATCCAATCAATTTTGGAATACCTACGATGATGAAGCCAATAAATGTGTAATACCAATCATATCGACTATAGTTTTCGCCATATTCTTTATAATCTTTTTGTTTTTCTTTGGTAAGTAAAGTAAACTTATAATAATAATAATAGTTCGAACCCTTTATTATATTAACAAAATCATCAAATCATCAAGTTTTAATATCAAGAAAATTCGCCAGATCATTAATGAATAAGAATCTACTCAGCAGAATCAAATTATCAGCATTATGCTTTATACTATTCTTACCATTGGAATTGGCAACTCGTATTTTAATATTTTTCTTGGATATAAAGGTAATACAAAATATATATATTAAAATATTTGGAAATGAACTTTAATTTTAACCTTATTATTTTTATTATAGCAAACACAAGCACTATATTATGCATTTTTCTTTGTAGATATTCTAGTGATAATTATTGCAGTTTCGGAATTTGTACTCTTCCCAATTCTCGATTCGATTGGATTCACAGTTTCACTGTCGAGCTTCAGTATCAGGGACTATAGAATCAACAGTCGAAACTATGAACACATCGACGAAAAGGATGTCATCTCTGTACATACTTCAAGACCAGATGAAATTCTCACACCCAAAGAACCAAAACCACAAATTACAACTCAACAAAAAATGGCACTAAAACAGAAGCTTCAACAACAAACAAATAACAACAACAATACCAGTGGTAATAATAATAGTAATGGAAATGATATAGAGATGGATAGATTAAAGAATAAGATATTCAATCGTGTCAAAGACACCGAAGATATTAACAATAATCCATCCTCACCGTTTTCATCGCCACTCACATCGTCGACCTCTAATAAATCACCACCTCCACTGTCTCTACTGTCAGGCTCACCAACAAACAACAACAACAACAATAGCAGCAACAATAACAATAACAACAACCTGTTACACCCACAACAACACCCAATCGGATCGGTATCATCTACATCATCGACATCGTCATCAGGTCACGAAAGAAAGAAATCAAGAAGATTCTCACTCGCTATCAACATCAAAAAGAAGACTCCATCGCCAACTGAATCGCCCATTCTCACACCAACATCTGTATCTCCAACATCTACCACCAGAATTCTACAACCAACACCAGTCGATGACTTTAAGAGTCAACTAATGAAGTATTCACACCAGAATCAAAGATTCTAATATAATATAAATCAAATAAAATAAATCAAAATAAAACAAAACAAAACAAAACCAAACACAATATAATTATTTCTTTAAAAAAAAAAAAAAAGAGGTTGATTGTACATTGATTATTATTATTATTTAGTTTTTTAAAAATAAATTTCTTTCTTTTTTTGTTTTTCATTTTTTTTTATTAATTCAATATATATTTATATATATTTATGTGTACTGTACAAAACTTACACTGCTTCAATGTAATTTTATTCCCTTGTTCTTTTTCAAAATTAGGGATATCATATTATTAATAATATTATTGTTGTTGTTGTTGTTTTTGGTTGATTAGTTAGTTGGTTAGTTGGTTAGTTGGTTAGTTGGTTAGTTGGTTTAAATTGGACTGTTGTTGTTGATGTTGATTTCTTTTCTTTACTTTTTAGTTGATGTGTTGGTATTGGTGATGGTGATGGTGCGTGTTTAACTTAAGCATAACTACAATTGATTTGGTTTGTTGGGTGTGGACATATACTGATTATACATTTCCATGTTTCTGCGCAAGATATCTTCACAAGGTCCAAGCAGTCTGTTAAATCTTTGACGATCCATCTCTACGCATTTGGTGGGTCCGACCGCTGTTACGGTGGCGGCACGAGGACGATCAGTCAAGAGTGCAATCTCACCGAAATAGTCTGAGCTATGCAGTCTCGATACTTCGACGCCGTTGGTTGTCACCTTGACCTCACCATCGACAATAATATAGAATTTATCACCTTGCTCGCCTTGTCGTACAATAATATCACCGTCTTGGAACGCACTAGGTTCCAGAGCGTCTGCCAAACTGACTCGCTCGTATTTATCCAAATGTCTGAGTATCGAAACCTTTTCCAAGAAATTCTCATACAGTTTTCTCTTCTTTATAGTTGTATCCATCAAAATTCTACGATAAGTCATTCTATCTATTGCCCATAGTCTAACATCTGTTCTTGCCTACAATTATAATCAATCAATCAATATTTAATACTCTTTAAACAAAAAACAACAACAACAATTAACTTACAATAACTGTTGCAGCTCTTGGACTTCCATAGATTAACGCTAACTCACCGAAACTACCACCTTCATATACATCCATCACGTGAAGTGGTGGTTGATTCTCCTTATTTACATAGATATCACAGATACCTTGATCGATGACATAAAAGTTGTCACCTTCGTCACCCTGTTTGATGATGACATCACCCTGTTTGTAGTGTACTTCAAACATAGCGGCAAACACTGAATTTCTTTCCTCTTCCTCTAGATGACTAAACATAATATTCTTTTTCAAAGCTTGATCTAGACGTTGTTGTGTCTCCTCTGATTTCGGTATAGTCGGAATGGCATTGACCGGTTGCTCACCGAGCGACTCACTACTGATAGCACCACGACGTTTACTAAGAATGTTTCCATGTTCATCCATCATCCTTGAGTTCGTCCTGATATTTGCCTTCTCTGTTGCTGTCTGATTAGAACCATTTGTCATTTTCATCCTTTTTCTTTATTATTTATTATATTATTGTAATATTGATTTGTTTGTTTATTTGTTTATTTGTAATATTGAAAATAAATATATATAAATAAATCTGTTATAATTAATTATTAAATGATTATTATTATTATTGTTTTATGATAAGAGAAGAAAAGATACAAATAGAGAGAGAATAGAATATATTAGTTATAATAATAAAAAATGAATTAAAATTGTATTGAATTTGATGATATAATATCTATAAAAATAATAAATAATAATAAATTAATGAACAAATTAATTTAAAATTAATTTAAATGAAAAAAAAGCAAAATAAGTGAAATTGTGTGTGTTTGTAAAAATAAATTAATAAATTGAGTGAGGGTGCAACTGAGGATAATTAATTTTTTTTTATTTATTACACAACAATAACAATGAGATTTATAAAGATTGATGATGATGATTTAGATAAAATTGTATATATTTGGTAATAGAAAAGAATGCGGAGTGAGTAAATTAATAAATTAGGAGTGAAGCTGATGTGTGCGATAATATTATGTGAGGGAAATGCAAAATTGTTACTACTATTTATGTGGTTTGTTGTTGTTGTGTTTAATGATATATATATATTTTATATATAATATATATTTGGTATAGAGTTTGTTTATTTTTAGTACAATTATAATGTGATGTGATATGATTGATATGCTATTACAATAGTAAGTAAATAATTTTATTTTATTTTAGTTTATACAAATATTTAGTTATACAATTGTTGTTAATTTTTTGTTTTAATAATAAAAAACTAACTAACTAATTAAACAAAATTTAAAGTTTGAAAGATAGATTTGTTTGATTAATGATGATGATTGTTTAAATAGATTGATAGGGTAGTGAGTGTTGTGTTGTGTTATGTCATTTAAATACATTTATTGGTAGTATGGAATGGCAATATTTATGAATAAAATAATATCGATTTAAAAGAAAACATTTAGGTGGGTTGTAGTGAAATATAAGGTGTTGGTTATTTCTTTTTCCAACTAAATATGTATTTGATTGTATCGATTGTACTATTATCACTACACCAAAAGGATAACAAGCAAACCAACAATCAAATAAAAAAGCAAACAATTTAATTGTTTTAACAGTAGCAATATAAAATGCGAATAAAATTTAATGTGCTTATTGATTTGTTGTTTGATGATGGTCTGTGACTGATTGGGTTGTTTGTATTGATTGACTGACTGACTGACTGATAGAATGACAAAGTCGTTACATATGTAAGTAAATACATATAATAAATCACTTTCGTTCTTTAAATATCAATATTAATTTGAAATGGACTGATGATGATTGATGGTTATAAATATTATCATGATAATATTTGTACTAGTACCTTTTTTTTATCAGCTTTATTTATAATGTCAAAAAGAAATAAAATGGTAGTATTACTTATATATACTCTACATGTAAAATATTAGAACAATCTATCTATCTATCGTCTTGTGTAAATATCTATTTCAAATCTAAATCGATTGTTATGTTAGGATGTTTGTTTGTGCTTTGTTAGATTTTACTTTTTTTTTTATTGTTTTTTTTTATAATGATAGAGAAATCATTAAATTGAAAGCAAGTAATAAACGTCAGATACGATTGTTATTGAAACTCCACCAACTAACAAGACACAACAAGGACAAAATAATCAAATCAGTCAGTAAATAAGTCAGACAGTCAACCAGTCAGTCAGTAAATAAGTCAATTTAGTCGAGTCAATTAATTCTTTTCATTTAATTAATTGAAAAAAAATCAAAACTACCATATATAAATCCATCCATCCATACATCCACACACCCAAAATTAATTATATATAACTACAGACATACAAATAGATAGGATTAACACCAAAAAACACAAAAGGTTGTAAAATTTACTTACGAGTAAAATGTGGTTTAAACTACAACTTTTTCACTTTACAATGTTGTTGTTGTTATTGTTGTCTGAATCAATATAATATTATTCCAAATAATAATAATAATAATAATAATAATAATAATAATAATATCTCTTTGGGAAAATGAAATCCAAATAAATAGAATTTACTATATTTATATAATGTCCTATTAAATCTATCTTATCTCTATTCTGTTTAGGTTTAATTGTTGACTATACTGACTGACTGACTGACTGATTAATTGTTTGATTGTTTGATTACTTGATTGATTGATTGAATCACTCACTCACTTCTGTTCTGATTGAAAATTAAGAAAATAATAATGTAATGTTATAATGAATATGAGATGATGATAATGTAGTAGTAGTAGTAGTATGATGATGATAATGATGATGATGATGGTAATGGTGATGGTGTATTTTTATTATTTTTATTATTTTTTATTTGGTGTGTGCGTGTGTATTTGATGTATCAAAATAATACAATTCTCACTCCCCTACCACTAAACATATCAATATAATATAATTAAAGAAATTGTATATTCTGTCTCGATCCTAGGATAGCATAGGTTAGGTAGAGATAATAAATGCACCCCTGTGTCTTACAAAACTAAACACGATTTTTTTTGATTTTACTTGTTCATTGGTTATTATAGATATTTATAAATTAAAAAAGAAAAAAAACACAATCACACAAACACTGGTGTTATTTTTATCTATTATTAAATTTACTTTTTTTCTATTTTTTTTTTTTTTTGATGATGATTGTTGTATGATTTATTTATTATATTATCTGTTATGTTCTGTTATGTTTTTTTGTAATTTAAATTTGTAAGTGTTTGGTTCAAGTTATCATAAATGGGTTGTTTGATTCGACACCACTTGTGATAAAATTAAAAAAAAAAAACAAAAAAAAACTTTTAAAATAATTTTTTCACAATAATTTCCTTTTTAAGTAAAAAGAGGAAACCGAGTAAATTTCGAACAACTAAATTCGAAAAAAGGCTCATATCTGCTATCTCTTTTTATAATGATAATCAATGTACATTACTATATTAGTTAACCCAAACACACTACTACGCCAATCCTATATTTAGAAATAAATAAAGATAGTTTATTTTAGTGTTATTAGAAAATTAATAATATTCTTTTGTTAGATGTTTCTACCAAATTATGATGTATCACTCTTTAGAGAGACCAGAGTTACAACTTCATCGCCACCTATACCCAAATAGGTGTTATCTCTTCTCACCAGGGTAAGTGGTTTCTAGGTTTTCAAATCTATCACCGTGCTGTCTTGTTGAACCTATAGGTAGCTTGGTTGTGCAGGCGGCTCTCTGTTTGATTATACAATCTATCATCACTCATATAGAATCCCGTACTTGGTATCTCTTCTTTTTCATCTTACGACTAATATATATTGATCCCACTTAGACAGGTAGAAAAGGGCTGTCAAGTCCTTCTGTTTAACAAACAGGCTTATCTGTTGTAATTAAGTCTTGGATAGCTTGTGGACATCATTTGTATATAGTTGCTTTTACATATGCATAGAGTAGTTCTTTGGTTTTTAGATCTATCTATTTTTTTAGACAAAAAAACAAAAAATCAAAAAAAAAATGAACTTAAAAAGACATCATCAACTCAGCTCAGTTTTAATATAAGTGTCAATTTTGCAAAATAAAATAAAAATAAATAAATAAAAAGAAACTCTTATCTTTTAATTTAATAACTTGAGTTTTAGATTTAGAATGAGTCTTTTTCACTTTTTTTTTTCAAATAACTACACACTAATTTTTCAAAATAAAAAAAGTGAAATAATGCAATAAATACAATCAGGCATTTCAAAAAACTTAAATATCCAAAAAATGTATCAAAAAAAAAAAAAATTTGTGGCAACGCACAAAACTGTTTCAAATTTTTTGATGAATTTGTTAGAAACTTAAAATAATGATCAAAATTTGAATATTTGAGCCATTGTAAAATCAAATTTGTAGAATAGTTTTTTATTTATTTTTGAAATATTTATATATATGTAGCTTTCCAGTTTAAAAAAATTACAAAAAAATTGAATTTCAACTTGTTTGTTTTAGTTTGGGGTAAAAACTAAAATTTAAAATTTAATATCTAGAAAATTCGAAAGATTAAATTTAATAATATTAGAAAAAATTTCAAAAATTTTAACAATCATTTATTCTATATCCAGATGGATACTCCACAGTCAGGATTATTACTTAGATTAGAAGAATCGAAAGAATTGTCACCGGATCAAATCCATCAGGCATCAAAAATTATTATATTTAATCGTCCAAATATAGATATTAATATATTTTTTTATATAGGATTGATCGCGAATCCCCATATCTTTAATCGACTAATTTTAGATATGATTAGCTATTATGGTTCAAATGAACCATTATCGAAGGATACTAATAGTTTACCACAAAGAGACCTTCCCATTAATTTTGATCCTGACCAAAAAGATCAATCCTCCTCAGAATCATCCTCAGACACCTCTACCCCACTTCCTAGATTATCAATTCCTTCGCCATTGCCGAACACAGTTATCTTCGACCCAAATTTAAGAAGCTTTTCAAACTCAGAAACGGTATTACTATTGGATCCGGAAGAAAGAAAAAAGAAGGATCAAATCAAGAAGAAAATCTCAACAAAACCCATTTTACATAGTAAATGGTTCATCATTCCAAGAGATTGGTATGAAGACTGGGAGTCCAATAAAAAGGAAGGAAAAGTTTTAAGAAAAATTCATAATAAACATCTCCTGAATCCTGGATCACTGCATCTTAAAGAGGACTACTATATGGATATAGTTGCTGTTCCTGAAGAAGTTTGGAAATACTTTTCGGAGGAGTTTGGATCTGATACGGAGATTAGAAGAATTGTAAGAGACTTTAATAATATTCCTCAAATTGATATGGAGAATCTTACTCTTAGTTTAAATTTTTATTTGGCTTCAAACCCAAATAAAATTCTCAATCTCTGTGTCTCTTATGATAATACAATATGGGAAATTAAAGAAGTAAGTAAAAAACTTTCAAATTTTTTTAAGAATAATATATTAATTTTTTATCAAAACAATACTTTTACTATTAACATCAGAGAGTATGTGATGAAATGTATCTAAGTCCATATAATTGTGACTTTTGGGGTGATCATCAAGGAAAGCCTTTTTCGAAGCTGGAGGACAAAAAAAAAGTTGAAAAAACTTTGTTAACTGAAGATCAAATGGTATATATTCAAATTAACTTTATATTAAAAATAAATTTCTAATTTCATTTTCCTATAGGTTCGCATAGTGGAGAAAAAGATAATCTCAACAAAGATAGATTTAAAACATTAAATTAATCAAAGGTTTAAACGTTGCATCACAGTTTTTATGAAACACAAAAAAAAAAAAAAAAAAACATTAACAACAATAAAAAGCATAAAATTTAATTTAATTTAAATCTCTAAATCTCAATGGAATGACCAATATCCTATCAGGTGAAATAATTGTTTTATTATAGTTTATTTTTGATATTAATTTGATACAGTGAATTGAGATTTAATTTCTTTGGTGATAAGTTGTGAAAGAGTGGCATCTGATGATTTTACATCGAAACATGCAACACCGTCACGATCCTTACATAACATTGCAATGTGGTGTTGTTGAACGGTCTTTGCATAGAAGGAAATGGTTGAACCGGATGGATGGATTTGAACAACTTCAAATTGAAGACGTTCACGAAGTCCATCGATGCACGACTGCGAGGTGACTCCTGCTACCTTGACACTGGACAGTGGCATCTGACCAGAGTTTTGTAGAATATCGGCAAACTTGTCTTTGGTCAATCGGTGTCCGACAATAAAGAAATTGATGGGTGTAGCGACTTCAAAGCCAACGGTGACGTCCGGTGACGACGATGGAGTGGCAGACAACGAGAATTGAATTGGGTTTTGTGCGGCAGCCAAGATATTCTCGGATTTGAAGAGTTGTGTTATGGTTGTCGATGATCCAGATTCAATGATACCAATGTCATGAACTTCTTCACCACCAACCAGCGAGAGGGTGTTTTCGGCTGGCTTGACGCTGAGCTTGACATCGGAGAGATCTTCATCACTCTTGTTTTGAATTTTCATTGTCAATTTCAGTTGATCCGGTGTTGCGGTGGCATCGACAACACGAAGGTCATAAGTGACATTGAAGAATTCATTCTCTGCCAAATTGGAAACCGCTACGAATACCAATGGTTTCTTAACAACAACTGGAGCTGGAGCAGCCGCTGTTGATTTCTTTGACGATGATGATTGTTCTCCTTTCTTTGATGACTTCTTTGTCTTTCCGGCTCCAGTGATCTCTGGACTGGCGAGCTCAGTGTAGTTTGGTGATTGTTGTCCGACTTTGGGTGATGATTTTCTTGAAGCGGCAGCAGCCTTTGCACGCTCAGCAGCTTCACGATCACGAATAATATCGGTACGATGTCTGTTGGAGTACAATACTTCGTTGGCGCCAAGTGGTTCATCTAAATTGATGGCACTGAGCGCGTCGGATTTGGTATTCTTGGAACGACGCTCGTCTTCACTATCCGATTCTTTGGCTCCCTCTGGCATCTCTGTGGTTGTGTCGATAGCAATGTTCTTCTTCAACTTGGATGGCTTCTTCTTTTCGAGTGAGTCGAAACGACCACCGACAATTACTGGACCCATGTTTTCTGGAAGTTTGGCAACTGGAATATGAGTTGGTTCGTCACCAAGATCCAAATGTTGTTGTTGTTGTTGCTTGCCACGATTACCGAGCATATATGGATTGTTTGCTTGCTTTTTCAATCTCTCTTCCTTTTGACGTGCCAACTCCTCTTTGGTTGGCTGACGAGTGTGTTCCTCGTCTGACTCTTCATTGTACTTTCCAAAGATTTCACTGTCGGATTCGTCAGACTCTTCGAGTTCCTGAAGTTTTGGATCGTTGATCCAGGCGTCCAAGTCCAATCCTTCGGGGACTGGCACCTTCTTTTGTGCTTTTGGTGCAACGGGGTTGAGTGCCTCTGTGAAAAGACCGACCAACTCGCTGGCGATGTTTGTTCCTTGATCCTTGCTAGTCGAGTAGAACTTGATAATCTCATTGACAAGACATGCACGTTCCTGGACATCGATGTGAATCGACTGGGTAAAGAGTGGCAAACGATCTTTGAGAACGGTGAGACACTCGTCGATTGTCTCTGTCGAGATCTGCTCCAACTCGACGGGCGAAGTCTGTTCGTCGAGATCCAAGTTCTCTGGTTGCTCGCCGTTGGCGCTGGCACAGGCATGAGCAAACACCTTCAAGATGTTCTGCATGTAGACCGACTGAATGTGAGCGGGCAAGATGGAAACTCTTGGCTGAAGGAATGCCTCGAGCGATTGGAGTGGCTGGTTGAGGTAACCGCTAAACTCACCGACGATCCAGGCGGCAGCATAGAGAACCTCGCAGATTCCATTCTCCTTTGGATTGGACATCAACTTTGGATTCTTTAACAAGTTGATCATAGCACGTGCACTGTATGCTCTCACCACCTTGACACGAATGACAACGTCCAACAGCTGCGAAGCAATCAGCTTGCCGTGGACAGTCTCGTGGATCTCTGAGAGACGAGTCAGGACATTGATATACCACTCGAAATCCGTGATATATTGATAGGTTCCGAGTGAGCAGAGTTCGATGATCTTCTCGAGAATCTTCTCCTTGTAGGCGCCCTCGGCAAGATCGATGTGTTGCAACAACTTCAAGACGATCTCGTGGATGTTCTTCTTGTTGACCATACCGGTGAGCAAGTCGAGTGCACGTGTACGAATAGAGATATCTTCGTCGTCCAAACAATTGAGTACGAGTTCACGATGCTCGGAAACAGCCTTGGGATGAATCTTCATGATGTTGCTGAGCGCGAGCAGACCGAGATACTTTAGATTCTGGTCGTGATGCTCGATCAGCGTACGCAACTTGGAGATACACAGCTTCATCAGTGGGATATTATCGCTGATACCGATGATACAAGTTTGGATACACTCGAACAGTAGCGACATTGACGAGGAGGTGTTGATGATGTTGGTGAGCGGGTCGACCAACTTCTTGGCGAGTCTGGGCTCGAGCGGGGTGAGCGCGCCAAACAACTTGACGATCTTGATGAACATCCAGTAGTTGGTTGTACTGTTGGTGAGGATCTTAAAGAGTACGGGTGCCAGTGTCAAGTAGTTCTTTGGATTCTTACGGGCGAGTTCGCAGATGACGTTGACCGCGCAGGAGACGACGGACGGCTCGGGATCCTCGAGCTTCTCCTTCAGCTTTGGGAATGCTGGACGCAGCGAATCTGGATAGCGCAAGAAGATCTTGTACATCACGGTGATAGTACGCTTGAGGATATGTGTCTTCTGGGTGGATAGCAGCGACACCAAGTCGTTGGCGAGGTCACGCGCCAAGTCCGGTGTGCAGATGTTCGACAAGCAATTCAACGCTAGATACGCTTCGTATTGATTCGAGAGGAAATCCTTACGAATCTGATTGGTTGCCAGCGTAATCACCTCGGTTCCCTCATTGAAACTCTGACTGGCGGCCAAGTAACCGACACGCTTCGACGAGAACTTGGTGGCACTCATCACCTCGACAATATTGAATGCCGCCCAACTAATATCATATCCCAACATTGAAATCTAAAGATTCAATTCAATTCAATCAACATCGTTATTAATTATTGATTCGTCATTATATCTTTATAAACACACATTTCCCAACAACAACAACAACAACAACTTACATAAGTTAACTTTTGAACAGCCAATGTTTTCTTTGAGATATCACCTTTCAACTCCATTTTAATCTCTTGAATACATTGATTAATGAACTTCTCTTCATTCTTCTTATGATTTCTAATACCTCTTACGAGGTCTGCCAATGTTCTTTCAAACATATCTATATTGACTATCTATCCTAACTATCTATAATCCTCTTTATTTTTCTTTATCTATCTATTGTTTAATTGTTTATGTATAATATAAATATTCAATGTTGTTGTTGTTATGCTTAATAAATTTAATCTATAAACGATATCATTCAATATAAAAAAAAATAACAAAGTAAAATGTTGCAACTTGGCTTTATGAAAATTGCTCTGCTTTTTTCATTTCAAAAATTTTTTTAAAGTATTTTTTTTTTTTTTTCGCAAAATCAAAGAATTAAAGTAGTGAGGTAATTACTTTCCTTGTATCTCTAATACATTATCAATAAATAATATAATTCAAAAAGAGAACAAAGGAATAAATTATGAATAAATTTGGTAAAATTTTTTTTTTTTATTTGTTTTTAAAAAAAATAGTGATTAAAAAATACAACATTGCATTGTTTCTATATTTATTTTTTAAAGATTTCTCATATTCATGAAAATAATTATTGAAACAAGTATATAAAATTAGTTATTTATAATACAGAAAAAAGTATTTTGTTATGCATAAAAAAAGATATTTTTAAAAAAAAAAAAAATAATATTAAAAATAACCAGTATTCACTTACAATTTGACGTGTCACCCACATGGAATTTATTTTTGCGTTCCATTTTATTTTTCATGGTTTAAAAGTGTTCCATTGGAATGTTGTTTTCCGTTAGATGACTCAGCTGTAAAAGATTTAAATCAATCAAACACACCACTCTCATTTATTTATAAAATTAGATTGATATATTTTTATATATTGTTATAATAATAATAATAATAGTAGTAATTGTTTAATAATAACAAAGTCATGGCACAACAAAATAATAATAATGATGGTGAGAAAGATTTAAAGAGTGTTGGTGAAAATGTTAGGGTTGGTGATGGTGGTAGTAGATGGACAACATGGTTGTCACCATGGTTGGCATTGATTGCATCGTCCTGTTGTATCATTCAGTTGGTATTGAATGTGTTCTCGGTGTCGTGTGCAGGCTTTGCCATTCTCAATCCATACCGATCGGTATTCACTGCACTCACTGTGTGCTCGATCGCCTACAACTTCTACAGATTCGGATTGACCCGACAAACAATGATAACTCTCACCATCTCGCTACTACTCTGTTCGAGCAATGAGATCGTACAAATTGTAAACGAAGGAAAACTAGATTATATTGTATATACATTTACAAACACCTATAACAATAACAAAAATAACTTTTTTATAAATATAAATAATATAAATACAAACAACAACAACAACGACAACAACAATAACAATAACAATCAAGCAACTTGTACAACATATAAAATAGAGATCGATGGAATTGGTTGTATGTCTTGTGCCAATAGAATTAAAAATACACTGGATGCATATCCTGCTGTGGCAAAGGCACTCGTTTACTTGGAGAATGCAACTGCTATCGTATCGATAACAAAATCAAACAATAACAATAACAACAATAATAATAATAATAATAATAACGACTATTCATATTCATTGGAACAACTTATCAATAATATAGATAGAAAATATACTGCAAAGGTAACGGGTAAATGGTAGATTATAAATGAAATCAATTCAATCTGCTTTAACAACAACAGCAACAACAACAACAACAACAAACTTAACAACAACTTCAACAAGATATTAATAATAATAGTAATAAAAAAGATAGTGTTAGCTCACTAAAGAATCCTCTCCTTTTTCCTCTTCTTTTTCCTCCTCCTCTTCAAAATTAATCACATTTGCACTTGACAAACAGATAACTTGAAATGTTAGGCCTCTTTATCAAGTGATATTTTATCACTAGATTCATTATAATATAGATATCCAATATGTATATAATTTGTAAGTTTTTTGGTTTTTGTTTGTTTGTTCTTCATGTTACAATAACCAAACAGTTGTTTGGAGATCAGTTTAATTGCTTGAAGATCACTGATATCTATATTTGAATCCCTTATAATTCTACTACTCCACTACCGATCGCTTTAAGTCGACAATGAATTGGCTTTCACCTGAAACATAGCGACGATACAGAACGGATCGGAATATAAGATGAAAAACAATCGATTTTATTATGATTTAAATGAAATAAAACAATTTTTAAATATTTAATTTTTAAATCTCATTATCTATTTATTTGTAAAGTTATGAATATATCAATTCAACAACGTTGTAAACTTTTCAAGAGACAAGAAACTTCTTGGTATTGTTCCACAAGCTACTTGACAGACCGGGATATATCTTGTTCATTCGGTCTATGAATCGATCTTCCACACAGTATTTGCACGTGCAAAATTACTATTTTCAGAGTGAATCTGATACGATATTATTGAAATGAGGTCAAAATCCTTTAAAAAGTTGATGTTGTAAAGACTATTATAAAATTGTAAATGATTTTATATTTTTTTTTTAAAAAACAACTTATCAATAATACTAACCCATCTTTTTTTTTAAGTTTAACTGTAATAAACCTTCAAAAAAAAATATATAAATATGAATTTTGTTAAATTGATATTAATAACTTAAATAAATTGATAAATAAGATTATCACATTGTGGAATTATATTGTTGTTTCTTGCAAATTGAAATCTTAAATGGCGAAATAAAAAATATTTTAAAATTAAGAAGTAGATTGTTATCAATAAATAAATAAATATAAATTTTGTTTACTTTTTAAAAATCATTTAAATTTAAAAGATTTCTTTTGTTTTAACAAAATAATGGTGAAGTTTTTTTGTATTGACAAATAATCGGTATCGCTCAAGATTATTTGTCCATCAAAAAAACTTTTATATTGATGATTGCTAATAATAAAAGAAATCAAAAAATATTTTGTTATATGATGAAGTACTTCAATTATTTTGCATCTTCAGTCTTTTCTTTCATTTCAAACTCTCCATAATCGCTAAAGTCACAGTTTGAATTAATATCAGGATAGCTAGTTACATCGTTCCTGTGTTGAACAATATATCTTTATTTATTTAATTTTATTTAATTCTTTTTTATTATTTATTTATTTAATTAATTTTAATTCTTTTTTTTTTTTAAAAACTTTCATATTTTTGAATTCGATTAAATAATTTGCATGGCTGATCGTTGTAAAAGCAAAGATCTTTGCAACTATTTTTTTCTATTTTTTTATTTTTTGGCCAAAAAAACGTCTAAAAAAAAATAAACAAATAATTGTTTTTAATAAAATTTTAAATTCAAACGACGATTACTGCTTGCCTATTATTTTGAAACACATTTTTTAGTTTTGTTATTTTCATCTTTCGAAATTATTATATATTTTCCATACATACTCAAGTTATCTCTTTGTTGTCTGTATACCAATATATAAACAAATTTTATTTACATATATAAATTATATTTTTATATAAACAACTACACACACATATATAATAATGTCTTTCAGAGGAGGTCGTGGTAGAGGTGGATCGCGTGGTGGTGGTGGCGGTGGTGGTTTCAGAGGTGGTCGTGGTGGATCACGTACCGGTGGTGGTGGCGGTGGTGGTGGTTGCTTCAAGTGCGGTAAGCCAGGTCATATGTCGAGAGAGTGCACTCAGGGCGGTGGTTCCGATCGTGGTGGTAACAACTGTTTCAACTGCGGTAAGCCAGGTCATATCTCGAGAGAGTGTCCCGACGGTGCTGCCGGTGCCGGTAACACTGGATCGTGTTACAACTGCGGTAACACCGGTCACATCTCGAGAGAGTGTCCAAACAAGTCAGAGAGAAACGACCGTAGCGGTGGAGACCGTGCCTGTTTCAACTGCGGTAAGACCGGTCACATGTCGAGAGATTGCACTCAGGGTGGATCGTCTGCCGGTTGCTTCAAGTGCGGTAAGACCGGACATATCTCAAGAGACTGTACCGAGTCTGGTGGATCCGATCGTGGTCACGGTGGAGACAAGAAGTGTTTCAAGTGCAACCAAACCGGTCATATTTCAAGAGACTGTCCAAACTCTGACAGTCAAGGTCCATCATGTTTCAACTGCGGTGAATCCGGACACAAGTCAAGAGAATGCACAAAGTAAATATCAATTAAATTTAATTAACAATTAAATATGTATATGTATATTAACTAATTTATTCTTTTCTTCTTTTTTTCTCTTTTTTTTTTTTTTTTAATTATTTATTATTTCTCTACAGATCCAAGAATGATAATAACAAGAATGCTAGAGATGAAGAATCAGAAGAGCCAGAACGTCCATCAAAGAAGCAAAAGCAACCAGAGTCAGAAGAAGAGAAGAGTGACCAAGAATCAGAGTCAGAAGAAGACGACGAATAAGCAATCAAAAGTAATTGGGTAGATTACTTCTTTTATTAAATTATTTTTCAAAAAAAAACAACTGTTGACAGCATCTAAATTGGTCAAGTGTGTGTAGTTGACAATTGTAGATGGCTGAAGTAATATGCGTGTGTTGGTGATAGAGATGTAAAGAGAGAGAAAGAGAGAGATTAGAGCGAGAGTAGAGAGAGTAGAGAGAGTAGAGAGAGTAGAGAGAGAGAGTAGAGAGAATTGGTAGAGAAGAATAGAAAGTTTGGCGACTGTAGTTGTTATGGCGTAGGTCGGTCAGGCGGTGATGGTGATGGTAACGGTTTAGTAGTAGCGGCACAAATCAAGATGTTGGTCGGCGGTCGGTCGGTCGGTGTATTGGTGATGTGGTGTGTACGGCAAATTGATTTGATAGTTAGTAGTTAGTTAGTTAGTTGGTTGGCTGTTTAGTTGGTTAGTTAGAGTAGAGAGGTGTTGTTATAAATGGTTGGTGAAAAGTTTGAAGAAGATAGAGTGTAGATTAGTTGGTAATTTAGGAGTAGTTGTTGTAGTTATCCCCTGCGTACACAATTCAATTTATTCAAGAAACTAGAATCTCAATCATCTCTATAAAAGGTAAGTATTAAAATAACCATTGTAATATTTGGACATTTAAACAAGTTTTACTTTTACTTTAATTTAAATAAATAAAATTGAGAGTTTATTATAATATATTTATAAATATTTGTCTTGTTGTTTGATTATCTTTTTTTTGTTTAAAGATTACATGTTGGATAACCATAATCCCATGTGACTGTTCCGGTACAAGTCTCACAACGACTACCAGTGAAACCTGGTCGGCAATAACAAACACCATTGCAATAGGCCATAGGGACTTGACCACATTCATAGTCTTGTTGGCAGCTACTTGGTTGTCCATTCGGAAGTAATGCAACGCATTGCGGAATTCCGTTGGTCCAACGAGTTACACCGTTGGTGCATGTCTGACAGTTTGGTCCAGTGAAGCCAACTGCGCAACCGCACGAACCTGAGCTTGTGCTGTTCGAGTAGAGTGTAGTTACCGGTCTACTCTGTTGAGAAAGATCAATCTTTGAGATAGAGTTATCGGTGCTTGAGAAGTACACGCTGTTACCGTTCAGCGACAAACCAATCACTGGCTTCGAACTGAGCTTTCTCAACTTTGAGAGGTCACCACTGAGTGGCAGTTCAAATACACCGGTCTCATTCGAGTAGTAACCAGCTTTGGTACCAAAGTACATAGCGGCATTGTTGACGGCGAATCCAGTCACTTCAAACGGTAGCGATGCTACCAATGTGAAAGCGGTCGCTTTGGCACAGCCAACACAGTTACGATCGATAGTGGAGACGGTCGATCTGAAAGGACTGTCATATTGATACTGTATGATGTACAAATTCGATCCGGCTCTACCAATGAAGGAGCAACGTGTGTCGTAGGCAGCGGAATCCTCGAGCATGGCAAACTGTTGACTTTGATCGATGAATCCAGTTGGGAAGTAGTTGGCACGCCACATTCCAAAGGTACAGGTGTACAGTCGCTGATCGGACTCATCGAAATAGGTGGCCAGCTGGAAACCTCTTGGATACCAGATGTAGTTGACAGTGTTGTTATTGGCAAAGTATGGACCGATTGCTTGTGACAGACGTTGTGAAGCAATAGTGTAGACGAGGTTTGTAGAATCGACATAGGCTTGCATTCCGGTGGTGACAGAGAATCCGGAACCAGGAATAATATCAGTGGTGATTGGATATTCAATGGTGACAGCACCGCCACCACTTCCAGAGACCGAGGCAACCACTACAGTTCCAGAAGGGTCAAGCTTGCCCATAAACATTACTTTATTCTTATCTTGGTCATAGCCAAGACCAGACATTATATTGATTCTAGATTGACATACTGAATATGGAACACTTCCACATTCCCAATCCTATATTATATATTTAAAAAACAACAAGTTTATATTAAGAGTAAGTAAGAAGTATGAAGTTTACATGTCACCAAACACAATTATTAATTATACAAACTTGTTGACAAGAATATGAAATTCCAATTAAAAGTGATAAAAATATTAAATATTTCATTATAATTATTATCTTAAAATTGTTAATAATGAGTTAAATATATACGATGGATTACTATAAATACTTTGAAGAATCAATAATTAATTAATGATAAATATATAATAAATATTTAATCTCTTTGAAAATCAAAGAACAAACTTAACAAACAGTACTGTGTCATTTTAAATATTTAAAACCAATCCTATGGTATTATATAATATATTATTGGGGGAGGGTGTCATTTCTATTTTGAACATATTAAACATCAAAACAGTCTATCTATCTATCAAAATAGAAATAAATATAATTATATTTTTAGTCTATTATATATTATTTAAATGAATTCTTTAAAAAATATTGAATTCCTTTAAAAAAACTGATAGGTTAATTGTGTTTGAAACCACACTCTTAAACACACATGAACATGATAGTGCTGTTTTATAGATGATAACTATGTTGACTCAAACACTTACAAGTCATCATCGGTGAGAGGTAGAGGGTAGAATATTAGCGATTTGATAGTTAGTCGTGGTATATGTGTGTGTTGAAGCGTTAAAAAAATATTTATTTACATCATTGTGTATATATTGTTGATAAGTAAAGAGATCGGTAAGGTACAATTCGTGTTATTGTTATTGTTGTTCTTATTATTGTTTTATAATTATACATTTTTAAATTTAAATAGGTTGTTGTTTTTTGCACAGTTTTGTTTATGTTTGTTTAATATCATACCATGAATAAAGAAACGGTTTCAATTGAATGATCAATTGACTATTTTATAAAATTAGTTTTGTAGTGGTGGTTGTTCTGTTTGTTGTTGTTGTTGTTGTAATCGATTTGATAAATAGTTGGCAACTTCATTGGCTGTAGTGCGACTGTAGGCATCTTGTATATCACCTTCGGTTCGGTTATTACATAGGAATTCCACTACTTTTAGATGACCATTGCGAGCTGCACAACTCAGTGCTTCAAAGTTCCATGGTTCCGTTCGATTGTAGTGCAACCACTCGACAATCGCTAGGTGACCAGCGCTACATGCGTCTCTCATAGTATTCAAAGTGCAACAAACATACGGGTAGTTTGTATGAATCCATTCGATTATTTCTAGGTGGCCATGTTCGGCAGCACCTCTCAACGCTTCACTCGAACAACCTTCACCTCTATTATCGTGAAGATACTTTAGAATCTCCAAGTAACCGTGTTCGGCCGCTAAATCCATCACTCTAGTGCCACAGAAGAGATGGTCGTTGAGATTCTCTTGCATCCAAACTACCACATGTAAATGTCCGTTTTGAACGGCACGTCTAAATGCCTTACTTAAATTATCTTCATACAACGTTGGATATCGTTCTTGTGGATCTGTTTCCGTTTGTTTTTGTTGCTTATGTTCTCTCTTTCTAGTGAATGCCTGTAATATTCTATCTTGCCATGATGTTGATTTACTACTATTATTATTATTATCATTTTTATAGTTGTCATGTATTGATTTATTGTATTTGATAAGCTTTTGCATTAGATGAAGATATCCTTTGGTAGCAGCCATAACAATGGCGTCACCGATACACGCTTGATTGCATGAGATATTATTGGCCAAGAGATAATCGAATATCTCTTCACAATTGAATTGTACCGAACGAAACAACTCTCTATTCTCCAAAGGGAAGATAGTTGGATGTTTGAGCAGTTTCTTCAGCACCTCTAGTCTATGATGTTTCACCGCTACATATGTGCAATATTGTGCAGCGTAAACCATAGATTTACCACTGAATTGATCGTATATCGTCTCATCTTTCTTAAGTGAATAGATTCTCTTTGTAATAGGTCCAACCAATTCACTGTATCCATAACACACAATCTGTTCAATGGAATTGGTCAACTCTTTCCAATTCAAAGCACGTACAGACTCAATTTGATGAATGTTAGTGATCTCTTTGAATATTAATGATCTTATTACTACATTATTAAATAAACATTTAAACAAATAATCTATTTTATTTATTGATTTATTATTACTATTCTTGGTTTTCATTCTGTTAACCTTATTTGGATGATCACCTGAAATTTCTAATGACTTTTTTGACGAATTTAATTTTGTTGATCACTATTCTATTTAACACATATTTATATCTATAGCACAAATCTAATATATATAGTAATGATGGATAAAAGATTATTTTTAATAGTGTTTAATAATAAAATATTGTATAATAACATATTCAAATATGTCAGTTTGATTTCGAGTTTAAAAGGAAAAAAACAATTTAAATGGAGTGAAGTTATTCGTAATCCTCAATCGCTAGCTGCTCATAACTATTTTGAACAACTGAAACAATGTTTATCAATTAAATATAAAATAGATTCGGATTGTAAACGACAGACATTGAAAATGGCTATTAAATTTGGAACTATTGAAATGTTGGTATACCTCTTAGATCGATTCAAAGTTGATTTGCACTCCTATAGCTCCAGTGAAGCGGTAGAGTTTTATGATTTCGACGATGACAATGATCCCGAGAGAATAGAGTATCACGAACCGTGCGATCATCTCAATAGTATCTATAGTTGTGCCGCTCAATACGGAAGAATGGACATCATAGAATATTTAACAACACGTTTCAAAACATACAAATGGAACTACGATAAAGCAATGATGAAGTCACCACTCTCCAGAGATATCGATATTCTAATGTATTTTGTAGTTTTACATAAAAACATCAATGTATTATGGAATACCACCAAGAGTTTCATTAGTTTCGGTAGAGTGGTTTATGAGAATGCTGCATTGGTTGGGCGTATCGATATGATTGAATATTTGATTAAACAATTACCGCCCAAAGACAAAGTAAAATTATCACTATTGGAAAATGCAATCAAAGGTGGTCATTTCGATTTGGTTGAGTATCTACTACGAGAACACCGAAATCCTTCGAGGGAAAATGAAGAGGAATTACTGGATTTGGCAGCTCGTCTAAACCGTCAAGATATCATCAAGTTATTGATAAGCAATGGTATTACTAGTTGTACGACTGCATTGATGAACTACACAGCTTGGCATGGTAATCTAGAGTTATTGAAATGGTTGGGCCAGAATACAACAGCAGTGTGTTCCACTCGCGCCATGGATAACGCAGCATCGGAAAACCATTTCGAATGTCTACAGTGGTTACATTTCAATCGTAGTGAAGGATGTTCAAACCAAGCTATGGATTATGCTGCATGTAAAGGTCATTTTGAAATTGTTCTATGGCTCTACAACAATAGGAAAGAAGGTTGTTCCGATCAGGCAATTTCCGATGTTATTTTGCACTGCGGAAGACTGGATATTATCGATTGGCTATATCAAAATCAACCAAATTCATACAGCAATACACAGTTATTATTTCAAATAGCTGCTGATCTCGGAAATTTGGATATAATCAAATATCTTTATACAAAGGAAAAACATTGTGGTATCGATGCGTTGTACTCAGCTGCTATCAAGGGTCATTTGAATGTATTCCAATGTTTGTTCGAAAATGATTCAAGTATTGGCAAATCCAGAGGCGATTCCTTCAAGGATATACTCGAAGCTGCTGCATCGGAGGGACACTTGGAAATTGTGAAATATATAATTCAGAATTGTTCCAATGAAATGTTAATGTTGGACATTGCTATTTTCAAAGCAATTAAATTCAATCATTTGGAAGTCGTCAAGTATCTTTGTGAAAATATCACTCCAAACACTCTTTCCAAAAGAAATTACATTGAGATTGCAGCTTCCTATGAAAACATCCAGGTTTTACAATGGTTACATTCAAATATAGCCAATTGTGGTAAGATTACAGCAACTTCATTCAATGGAGCCATAAAGAATGTCAATCTTCCACTAGCAAAATGGATATTATTTAATATTGGTGAAGATCAATGTAATTTTATAAAAAAGAATCTTTTCAAAATGGATACATTCGCATCTGACCTATTCAAGTTCAATCAATATGAAATAATTGAATGGATTTTAGATACTTTCCAAGATATTTCAAAAAGTGAACTTGAAGCCTATAAACAAATCTTGGAAACTAAATATCCAAATTCTGTGGAATCAATTGAAATTATTAATAAATTTATTAAATTAAAATAGTTTTTTAAACAATAGGAATGAAAATGATTCCCTAGAAAAACAGAAAAAATTCGAAAAGAAAAAATTTTTCGCAATCATTTACAAGTCTCTTTGGATATCTATCTAGCATGCATAAAATTGAGGGTACTATCACCAGCAATGAACCTGAGAGTTGTGGCAAAATTGATCATTTCTTGGTTCCATTTATGACCTCCTGGACCGCGGTAGTTGCAGCCTCGATGAAATAGTACCAGAAAGATGATTGAACTCTTGATACTTCTTGACCATCTTGTCAACCAGTTGTCCCAAAGTAGTTGTTGTTTCTTGGGCAGGAGTTGATTTAGAGTCCACAACCGCCAATATAGACAATATCGAAGTATTTGGCCATACGATTCTTATACAAAAGGCTCGTAAGATAGTTTGACATTTTTGAACCACGAATCACAACTATTACAACCATTTAACTTCTTGTTATTGTCATAGCACCTGGACTGCAAGCACGATAGTTATCATCCTTGTCCTCTAAAACACTCTTCTGTTGAATATAAGAGCCATGATTTAGACACGCAAACAATATAAGATCTTGATGAAATAGACCCTAGCAAAGATTCTTTTTCTTCACCGTACTTCCAGATGTAGTCTGCGGATTATAAAGATCAAAACTACAGATACTGTCGTTTGGGATATCACTGAAAGTATTGTAGGCCCAATTATAATAGTTTGAAAGTCTAATGATTCTAAAAAAATACATCAAATCTAACTTTGTCCTGAAGATGAAACATCTAAGACATTAGTAATTTGTAACTTGAATTATTGGCTCCAACTTTGTGCTAGTAGATGAGATCAGGTTTTTCAAATTTATTAAATTTTTTTCTGTACAATAATTTAATTTAGAATGAGGAAAGTTAAATTGATTTTTAAATTTAAATTGCAAAAAAATAAAAAAAATCACCATCAATCTAAAAAAATGTAATCTGACCATAAATTCATCGGTTTAATTTATAAAAATATTAGTGTCAAAAAATCACAAGGTATCACAAGCTCTATTTTAATTGTTTTTTTGTTTAAATTAATTTAAACCTTTACATCCAATAAGACAAGTGAACTTCAACTACAGATGAATTTTTTTATTATTTTTAATTGATTTAATTTGATTTTTAACTTTAAAACAGTTTTATATTTTTTACATTTATTTTTGGTTTTGATCAGTTTAATATTCAAAATTTTTAAATTATTAAGATAAATAAATAATAATAAATAGATAAATAAATAAATTAATATTAATTAAAATGCCATTAAAATTAGATAATGAAGGAGAATTAAGAGGTTAGTTATCAAATTATTTTTTAATATAATATAATATCAAATTTTAATTTATTTATCTTGTGAATAAAAATTTAGAGGCTCAGGCTGCGACATTCAATATAGATTCAACAAGTGGATGGGTCTTATTGAATTATGTTGGTCCATCAACTGTTCATTTCTATGCTGGTGGTGATAATTTCGATGACATCAAAAAACAATTCGAAGATGATCAAATTCAATATGGTCTGGTCAGAATTGGTGGTATTCAAGAAAAAGGAACATTAAAAACCACCTCCAGAGATATTTTCTTTTGTTGGATAGGCCCAGGTGTTGGAATTATCGAAAAAGGTAAAAAAACAGCTCTTTTGGGTGATGCTCAATCTTTTCTTCAACCGTTCCACGCAGATATTACCGTCCTCAATAAAGATAAGTTTGATAGAGAAACAGTTTTAGATAGATCAAGCCCATTATCAGGAAGCCATGTCATTGATTAAACTTTTAAAACCAATCAATTCTGCAATAATCCAAAAAATATTACAAATCATATTTTTTATTGTTTAAAATAAAATTTTCAATTACCACTTTTTTGGAAAAAAAAAAGTAAAATGATTAAAAAATTAAAATATTTAACACATATAAATATATAGTAATGATGGACAAAACAATATTTTCATTAGTTTTTAATAATAAAGTATTGTCTAATGACATATTCAATCATGTCGGTTTGATTTCGAGTCAAAAAGGAAATAAAAAAAAGCATTTCAAATGGTGTGAGGTGGTTGCTATGCCTCAGGTGTTGGCAGCTCACAACTACTTTGAACAATTGAAACTATATTTTTCAGTAGTTAGCAAAATAGATAGTAGGTATAGAATATTTACTCTGGAGAATGCGATCAAATACGGAAGTATTGAAATGCTGGGATACCTTTTGAATCGATTCAAAGTCGATTTGAACACCGTGGAGACCGCCGAGGAAATGACAATGTGTGAACCTCTTTACTATCTCAATAGTATCTTTTGCTGTGCCGCTCAGAATGGAAGAGTAGACATACTGGAGTATCTTACCAAGAGATTCCAAACCTATCAGTGGAATTACTATAGAGCAATGATACGGTCACCACTCTCTCGCAATATCGATCTTCTCAAACATCTTGTCGAGAAACAAAAGAGTAATAATGGAGTGTTTCAAACCGATGTAAAAGTGATTTGTACAGTGTTTGACAATGCTGCACTGGTTGGTCGTATCGATATGATTGAGTTTCTTGTTAGCGAGACACCACAATACCTTGACAAGAGCAAAATGTATGAATATTCAATCAGAGGTGGACATTTGCATGTCATTGAATATCTACTACGAGAACACCGACACTTGGCTGATAAGGATGGTATCGAATTGTTGGATATGGCAGCACTTGAGAATCAACCAGAGATTATCAAGTTTTTAATCAACAATAATATAAAGACATGTTCCGTTTTGTTGATGAATTTCACAGCGGAATTTGGTAATTTAGATTTATTGCAATTCTTGCATCAGAATACAACCGCTGGAATAAGTTCACATGCTATGGAAAAGGCAGCATCCAACGGACACTTTGACTGTTTAAAGTGGTTGAATTCCAACTATGCCAACTTTGAAGGATGGACAACTCGAGTGATGGATCTTGCTGCAGCTCGTGGTCATTTTGATATCGTCCTATGGTTGAACCAAAATAGAACAGAAGGTTTCTCTGACATGGCAATAACTGAAGTTATTTTCGGTTGTGGAAGACTGGATATAATCGATTGGCTATTTCAAAATCAAACAGGATCTATCAATAGCTACAGCTTTATGGAAGAAGCAGCTCACGTTGGAAGCTTGGAGATCTTGACATACCTTCGTGACAAGCAGTGTCCTAGTAGCTATAATGTAATGAACAAGGCCATTTGGAGTGGCAGAGTCAGTATTGTACAATGGTTGTACGAGAATAGAATTATTCAGGAATTCAAACAATTCACACTTGAAGTTGCAGCTTTTGCAGGTTATACCAATGTTGTCAAATATATTGTCGAGAATTCCACTGGTTTCTCAGTGGACAAGGCCATTTGCAGCGCTATCAGATCCAATAGTTTCGAGGTTGTAAATATTCTGTTTGAACATATCACACCAGACACTCTCAGCATAAGCAATTACCAAGATATTGCTGCAATGTCTGAAAACATCGATATTCTAAAATGGCTAAATTCAAGAACTATTTGCACTATTAAAACAACTACTTTCAAATCGATAATAAGCAAAGGAAATCTTCCACTTGCAAAGTTGATTTTAAACTATATCGGTAAAGAACAATGTGGTTTCATTATTGACGATCTTTTCAAAATGGAAGCATTCACATCTGACCTATTCAAGTTCAATCAATATGAAATAGTTGAGTGGATTTTAGAAACATTCCAAGATATTTCAAAAGGTGAACTTGAAGCCTATAAACAAATGTTGGAAACTAAATATCCATTTTCAGTAGAAACAATTGAAATTATTAATAAATTTATTAAATTAGAATAGTTTGAATTATGTTGATCCACAAGTCTTCATTTAGCTGGTAGTGGTAAAAATTTGGATGATATGAAAGAACTCAAATGAGATGAAGTTCAGAAAAAAAAAAAAGTTAATTTTTTTTTCTACTTTGTTTTTTTTAAAGTAATATTTTTTTTTTAAAACTATAAATAGTAATGATGGATAAATCAATATTTTCATTAGTTTTTAATAACAAAGTATTGTGTAATAACATATTCAATCATGTCATTTTAATATCGAGTTCAGACAAAAGAAAACATTTCAAATGGAGCGAAGTAGTCGTAAACGCTAAAGTGTTGGCTGCACACAACTACTTTGAACAATTGAAACAATTTTTATCAAAGATAGTTATTAAGGATCCTATTGTTAAGAATTCTATATTGATGATTGCAATCAAATATGGTGATATTGATATGTTGGCATACCTAATGAATCGATTCAAAGTCGATTTAAACTCGGTTGACAATTCATTTTCAAACTATCTTAAAAGCAATATCAATAATCAAGAATATAATGAACCTTGTTGCTACCTCAACAGTATCTATTGTTATGCAGCTCAGAAGGGAAGAATGGATATTGTCGATTATCTAACTGCTAGATTCAAATCGTATCAATGGAATTATTATCGAGCGATGGTAAAGTCACCTCTTTCCAAGAATCTAGAGATTGTAAAGTACTTTGTCGATAAGCACAACAATAACACACCTCCAACAAAGTTCAAGGTTAACCGAGATTTAGGAGTGAATGTATTCGATACAGCTGCATACGTTGGACAAATCGAAATGATTGAATATCTTGTAAGAGAGAGACCAAATGATTTACAAAATAGTAAAATGTATTTATACGCAATTGAAGGAGGAAACACTCATTTTATTGAATATCTACTTCGAGAGCACAGAGATTTGGCAAACAAAGAAAGACAATTAATAGATTCAGCTTCAAGTTTATATCGATTTGACATTGTTAAGCTATTGTTTAGCAATGGTATTTCAGAGTGTACCTCTAAGCCAATTGATAACGCAGCAATAAAAGGTGATATGGAAATGTTAATTTGGTTGAAAGAGAATACTACTGCTGAATCTACTAAACACACAATGGATTATGCGGCAATGAATGGTCATTTAGATTGTTTGAAATGGCTAAATGCTAATATTACATCTGGATGTAGTTCCTCGACCATGGATTACGCATCTATGAGTCATCTTTTATGTGTTAAGTGGTTACATTATAATCGAACAGAGGGTTGTACTACCCAATCAATAGAAAATGCTACACAACGAGGAAACCTCGAGATCTTACAGTGGATAAACTCTAATTATCGATCTTTAAAGATATCTAGAAGTTGTGTATGGCAAGCTATTGAATACTCTGGTAAACTCCAAGTTTTTCAATGGATTTATGAAAACACTACACATGAATACACTTATTTTAGTTTAATAGAAATGGCATCTCATTTTAATCGATTCAATATTCTGAAATATCTTATTCAACAAAACAATGGAGAATGTCATATACAGTATTGAATAATGTACAAAAGTGGCGATCTCAGTATGGTAAAGTGGTTGTATGAAAATAGTCATATAACAACATTCGAATCGAAATCAATTGGGATTGCGTCGGAGCTTGGACATATTGATATCGTTCGATATATTCTTCAGAACTCTAGTGAAATGGAAGTGGATGGCGCTATTATCAATTCTATTGAAAATGATCACTTGGAAATATTAAAGATTTTATGGCCACATTTCAAGACATCACCAATCACTTTTCCACTCCGAACAAAAGAACTTCTTATTGATAATGAAGATACAGATCTATTGAAATGGTTATATGAAAACATTACAGACTTTGGTGAGATGATACCGATTTCATACTTTTTTAAATCAATCGAAAAAGGAAATCTGTCAATGGCAAAATTGATTTTTGAACACATACCCAAACCAAACACTATAGAGATTAGTAAGACATTATATTTCGCACCATTTACAAGTGATATCTTATGCCAGAACCATTATGAAATACTTGAGTGGATTTTCGAAACATTCAAAGATGAACTAACCAAAGAAAAAGTCATAGTATATAAACAGGTTTTGGAATCTAATTATCCAAATTCAATTGAATCAATTGAAATTATAAATAAATATTTAAAATGATACATTAATTCCTTTATTCTACAATTTTTTTTGAATTTAATTTATTTGTTTTCAGTTGGAAGTTTTATTGGAAAAAATTAAAAAATACAAATTGATAAACAAAAACAAAAATAAGTAAATTCATCATGTAGATCATTTTTTCTTTTTCTTTCATTGAGCTCCTTTTGAACAACCTCAGAGATTTGAATTAAAAATTTAGTAGAGAATATGCTCAGGGAAACTGTTTTTAGAGAGAATGTTACCACCTCTGACGGCAGAGTTCTACTGAGATCTCAAATATTTTCTCGAACCTCAGTGTTTAATAACAATGACATAGGAAGAAGAAGATATTTTTCATGGCATCTGTACATCCAGATAGTTTATTTATTCCTGACTTTGTTGCTGTTGAATTGTCAATGAAATATTCTTAATTTCACTCTCTATTGGGAATTTAATGGAACCAGAAATTGATCCGTCCTTGAAATCTTGATCTTCGAAATAGTGGAGCGATGTGATTGGTATTGGCCGCATTGTACTCTCTACAAGATAGGATCCAGTTGGTTTGTTTGGTGGACAGATAGCTCCAATTGTTTTGGCACTGACACGTTTTCCAAAGTCACCAGGTTGGTACATTGCCAAGATTTGTTTCAGTTGGTAAACCGATAGATTTGGACATACTAGCTTACGGAGTTTCTCGTCGGCAAACTTCTCTTTGTCCTTGTAGGTTATAACAGCAATTACTTCTTTGATGGTGATAAAAGTCTCTTCGACGGTTGGACTAATCCAAACGTGACCTTCACTGGTCCAACGTAGGAGTGCATCGATCTTGGTTTTGGTATGGCTGGCAAATACATCGTTACAAAATACCAGACGCAACATGAATGCATTCACGAGGAAATGTGCAATCCAAACGAATATCTGGTTGAAAAACTCTTGTGACAAACTGAAATGGATCATTCTAAATTGGAATACATTGATTATGGTGTTGAGGTAGCTGGTGACTGTCTCGATAGGTGCCAACGGTGTTCCAGAGGTGGTAGCAGTTGGTTTCTTGTTAAAGTTTTCATTCAAGATAGATGCTTCTAACAGCGGTTTCAATTTGGCAATAACCATACTGTACAGCGAACCGTAGGATCTTCCAATGGTCTGTTGCATATGGATCATGAATTGATTAGAGGTTATCATACTGACTTCGGAATCGATAGCATTCTCCAGTTCCTCCAATTCATTATGAGTTGGAATGGTTGGCTGAATCGATTTAGTTCCAACCGGTAATCTCTTTTGGAAAACATATACCAGCAATGAAGAACAAGCCAATAAATAACTCATTAAATCTTGATCATCAATATTATTCTATTAAATGTACAAATAAGAAATTGTTAAAGCATTATTATTTAAATTAGTTTGTTGTTACTTACTTTGGTAAATGATAAAGTAGATTTGATAATTCCTTTGAAAATATATGATTTATCAATTTGGAATGCACGCCAATAACTGATTTGATGGAACCACATTTGACCGGCAAGAGTTGGGTGTTCGAGTTTGCAAGTGAGTAGGAAATCGGTGAGCATCTTTGTTTGGAGTTCCTGATTTCCAGCCATTCTTGCCAGCTTCTCCCAGTCGTTCTCTTTGTAATCGATCAATTCCTCGATGTGTTTGAAGGACTTGATTCTAAGTGCCAACTCATTGTATCTAGTCATTGCTTGTGTCTTTGTCATGTCCAACTGTTGCTTCTCACGAGCCAACTGTTCGATTTGCTTGGACAAACGATCTTTTTCCACTTTCCACTCTGAATGTTGGGCCTGCTGCGACTTCATCTCTTCGACTTGTTTCTTCAACATTTGAATCTCGTTGAGTTGCGATGTCTTTGTATCTTCGAGGTGCTGCTGAATCTCAATCGATTGTCTACGTGATTTCTTCTCTTCGAATGCCATTTGCTTGAGCTTGTCATTCTCTTGTCTCGTTGCCAAGTTACTTGACTCCAACTCAGACAACTCACTTCTCAGTCTGGAATTCTCTTCTTGAACAGACTTGACGGTTTCTTCCAACTCTAGATTCTGTAGTTTCTGACGACCTGCTTCATTCGAGTGTGTCTCCTTGAATTGTGAGATCTGATTATTCAATGTGGCGATCTCTGCATCTTTGTTGTGAACAACACTCTCCAACTCCTTCTGAGTGTCTGTAGTCTTGGACTTGGCCATCTGATACATTTCAGAGAGCTCCAAGTTTCTCTGCTTCAAATCATTGTAGGAGGTTTCAACCCATTCCATCTTGCTCTTGGTCATTGTCAACTCTGTCTCGATCTTTACATTCTGTTCACGCAACTCTTGGTATTGTTGTTTGGTCTTGGAGCTCTTTTCCTTGAGTTTCTTTCTCTCGGATTCCGACTCTGACAGACTTTGATTCGAATTGGACTGACTGTTCTTCAACGATTGAATCTCACTGTTTTGCTGTTCCAGTTGTGCAGTGAGCTTCGATAGTTTCTCCTTGGCCTGCGATCTCTTTGTATTGCTTGCCTCCAGTTGTCCTTGGCTGGCGTTGTACTGTGTTTGTAGCTGCTCATTCGACAACACCAATTTGTCAAACTGCTTTCTCAGATGATCACGTTCATCCTCCAGTTTGTCGATGGCACTCTTCTTGTCAGCGACATCCTTTTCCAATCGCTCTTGTGTCTGTTGCATCTGTTGAGTCACCTCCTTCAAATACAACGACTCCTGTGCGTTGGTCGAACTCTTTTCCTTGGCAACAAAGAACTCACTTTCGAATCGTTCCTTAAGCGAATTGAGCTGTTTAATCTCCGACTCCAATCTGGCAACGGAGTCCTTGGAATTGGAAAGATCTCTTTCAGTTTGTTTCAACTGTTGTTGAAGTCGTTCTGACTCTAACTTTAAGTTATCGATTGTCTTCTCAGAGGATGACGAGGACAAGTCGTTCTTGTTCTTCTCGATTTGCAATGTGGATGACAATTCAATGAGTTCTTTCGATTGCTTCGATGTCTGACTTCTCAGTTCTTGCAACTCGATATTCATACGATTGATCTGGTCATCCTTTGTCGACAGTTCATTCTTGATTCTGTTGCATTCGAATTGCGATGATTCCAAGTTGTTCTTTGTTGACGAGAGCTTCTCTTTGAGTGAATGATTGGTCGATTGAACTTGTTCCTTCTCGGTTCTCACCATAGAGAGTTGTTGATTCAACTGAGATTTCTCTTCCTCCAATGTCTGCTTCATCGATTTGAACTTATCGATATCGTTGCTAGCGTTCTTCTTCTCCTCCTGTGTTGTCTCCAACTTATTCTTTGCTTTCTTGAATTTCTCTGAGAGTTCATTGAACTGCGATTCCTTGCTGCTCAACTTTGTTCTTAAATCATCACCTACATTGACCAAACTATTGATTTGTGCTTTCAATGATTCTTCTGTCGATTTCCATTGTTGGCCATCTGCTTGATTCTTCTTGGTCAACTCATCCAATTGTTTCACAAGATTGTCGTGATCCTTTTGAAGTTTGGATAGCTGCTCTTGTAGTCCATTCTTTTGTCCATCTATATCGTTGGATTGTTCGATTTGTTTGGCCAACTTTTCCTTGAGCTCGCCATTCTCCTCCACCAGATGGTCAAACGATCCCTGAAGAGTATCCTTCAGACTGTTGATGGTATGATTCTCCTCTTCGAGACGATCCAACTTCTTCTTGGTCGATGTCAACTCCTGCGAGTACAAATCCAACTCCTTTGACTTGTCAACGAGTTGCAACTCCAATTGTTTCATCTTCTCAACGACCTCTGTTTTGTAGACTTCATTCTCACGTTTCAACAGCACATTGCTCTCACTGGCAACCTTCAAATCGTGTTCCAAACTCTCACACTCTTTCTTCTTGGTCTCTGCCAACTCATGCCAATCTTGCTTCTCTTTGTCGATACGCTTCTTCTCGCTGGTCACCTCGGCCAACTGTTTCTCAGTATCCTCGAGCTTTGCGACATATTGATTTCGCTCTTCCTCCACTGCTTTTCCAGACTCCATGGCACTGGAAACCTTTGATTCCAACTCGGAAACTTGCATTTCCAATCTGTCTTTGGATTGACTGAGTTCATCGACACGCGACTCCAACTTGATTTTTGCTTCTTCGGCATGTTGTTTTCCACGTTGTTCTGCAGTCAATCTCCATTGAATCTCTTCGAGTTTCTCCTGTAACTTGTTCTTCTCGTTCTGAACGGATCTCAACGATCTAGCTTCTGCTCGCAACTCGCGGTACACTCTTCTTGCCAGTTTACCTCTCCACATGGCTTGAATCAATACGATTCCACGCAGTTTCGACTTCAACAGTTTCTTTGCTGCCAGCGATCTCATCACAGTCTGCAACTGTAGAGCGGCATTCTCGTACATCTCGACTTGCAGTGTTTCACGTGCAACCTTTCGTCTCATAGTGTTCTGTAGTACAATGGCTGCCTGTCTCTTCTTCTGGTAGGTACTTCTACACTTCCAACCTCTATATATCTTTTGTATCAGAGTTGCAGCGTGGATTCTACGCAGCGACGTCAACTTGTTCTTGGCAGTCTGTTGTCTTATCTTTGTCTGAATTATCAGAGCTGCACTCTTCAACTGTCGGTACTTCTTCTCGTAGTAGTGTCTACGCCAACACGACTGAATCACCGTTGCACTGTGACTCAACTTTGTCAGTCTCATATTCTCCAGTGCCGCCAACTGACCAGCTCTCAAGAACACCTTGGTAATTCCAATCTTGAATTTATCCTCCGACAGCTTGATTCCCTCGAACAACGCAGTCACCTGAATCTTGACGTCCTTGCTTCCCTTCTTTCCCTGTGACTTTGGATAGAGTAGTTTGTAACGACTGTAGAACTCGGCGAGTGGTCGACGAGTTGGGAATCCAGCGCAACAGATTCTAACAGACTCCATTACACCACCGCATCGCAGTTGGTGGATGACGTCGTGCTTGTTAAAGGTCTGAGGCAACTTGTCGGGATTCGGTTTGATACAACGAACATAATGAGGAGTGGTCGTTCCGATTGTCTTCATGAGTGTCGCCAGCGACGAACTAAACTGTGAGCCAACCGAAGAGAACTTCATACTGGACGAGCCCGAGTTGGAAGATGGTTTATTCGATGGCGTTGGATTCGATGAAGCCGCCGAGTAACCGAGTCTCTCGTTTCCACCGAGAAGTGTCTTGATGAAGCCAAACGATGCTTTCTGGAGCAAGATGATCTGCTCGGGAATAATGAAATCCTTGTTCTTATCGAGGAATTGATCGGTTTCATACGTTACCTTACCGGCATAATGATTGATAGTGAATGCAGTCGATGAGAAACGTGGCTTCTCAAATTTGCTGTGTGACGTCAGCTTGCCATACAGCTTCGTGGCAAACGTCTGTGGCGTCGCCTTGGGAAACATCGACTCCTCGTCCAACAGCGACAAGATACACATCGGTCGCTTCTCAATGAGATCGAGCGTGTCTTGATTGTCGTTGAAATCGATGTACGACCAGTCGATCTTCTCCTTTATGTACTCTTGTTGCTCCTCCTTGAAGACGTGTTGATTGAAAACCTGTTGCAACTTCTCGTTGGCATAGTTGATACAGAACTGTTCGAATCCATTGACCTCGAACGACTCGAAACCATAGATATCGAGAATACCAATGAACGACTTGGATTTCTGCTGGATCGACATCGATGCATTGATCTTGACGACGAGCCAATCAAACATCAGCCCGTACAGTAGCATCGCCAGTGAATCACGAGCGTTCTCTGCACGCTCCTTTGTGTTGTTGGTGACGAACGACTCTTTGCCAGTCACCACCTTCCTCGTAAGAAAAGTCTTGGCGAGATCGTCCTTTGGACAGCCAATCAATGCCGCTGCCTTTTCGAGCGGGTCTTCATCGACAACAGCTGCATTCTCATCGCCCTGATCTGCAAACTCTATATTTCCAAGCCATAGCACAGTACTGAGAATGCGGAATACAAACTCCTGGTCCTGAGTACTGATGCCGGCCACCGACATCGCATGACAAGTCCTCTGGAAAGTATCGTCATCATCGACACCGTCCACTTCAAAACAATCGCTCTGATTCAAATAATAATAGTTTTGAGCATTCTGTAAATATAATCTATCTCTTAAATCTGAATTTGCACCTGCAATCAACTAGTTATGATAATTAATTACACAAAACACAGAGTTAGTTAAATTTAAATTCCAGAAAGAAAACGAATTAATCTTACTTGATAAAATATATGATAGTTTCTTTCATTTCTAACTTGTCTGACAATTCTTGATTTCTCAAGTAGATAAGTCAGAATCTTGGCACCAATAATAGATCCACTATCATTGAAATGTATCTCTATAAATTTACCAAAACGTGAAGAATTATCCTATTTTGATTGAAGTTATAAATCAAGTTAGTTGGTTATGGAATTTCGAAAGACAATGTTCCATTTCAGGGACAAGACAAGAATTTACATTTCTAAGTGTTTTGGCATTACCAAATGCCTCTAATAATGGAGTACTCTCCAAGACACGCTCTTCCACTGATTTTTCAGAAGCCGGTTTTCTAGAGGTCGGTGAAAGTGGCGATGCCGCCGAGTTGATGGCGGAACCAGAGGAGGTGAGTGAAGGTCCCCCGCTAGGAGCAGCATCACTCTTGATAAGATTACCCATCGCCGCAAAATATTGGAGAAGGAATTTCGTTGTCTCTGTCTTACCGGCACCGGATTCACCGCTAACGAGTATCGATTGCGACGATCCGTCGTATCGCATATCCTTGAAGGCATCCTCTGCGACCGCGTAGACATGCGGCGACAGTGCACCCAGCTGCTTGCCGTAGTAGGCGCCAATCATCTCACGCCCATACAGCGGCAGCGATGTATAGGGATTGATGGCAATCAGGATCTTGCCAATGTAGGTGTAGATCGTATTGATGTTGTACCGATGATGCAGGTTGTGAAGGATGGCCGCTTCGTGGAGATGCGACAAGCCTGCGAGATCGTCGATACCCTCGAGAATGTCTGGATTCTTCATGAACACCTTCTCACGCGGAACCGTCACTTCGCGGTCGTCTTCAGTGCGAACCAGAACATCGTTGTCGTTCACCGTAATGATCTCACCGGCAATCCACTCCAAATGCGAATCTGGAATCCAAACACCCGTTCCCTCACCAAATATACTGGTGCCACTTGGTGTATCCGACATATCTATCTTTATCTAATCTATCTATCTAAAATCTAGTGAACAAACTTAATCTATCAATCTATCTATCTATTTATCTATTATTTTAAAACAAAAAATACAAACAACAATCACAATCTAATACAAAAAGTATTTTGTAATATTACAAATATAATATAACTAACTATTTAAAACTACAACAAACAAAAAGAAAACAAAACAAAACAAAAAGAAACAAGAAAATAAAATATATATTATATAAAAAATAAGTAGATTTGATAGTGATAATGAATTAAAAAACACTAATCAATCTACTATGAATAAAACAAAACTCTTTAAAAAAATATTTTGCAAAAATGATTAAAAAAAAAACCAAAAAATGAAAATTACAAAAAAACTGATAGCAGTTCCCCAAAAAATAAAATATTCAACAATGAAAAAAAATTGATAAAATTAAAATTTCACCACGATTGGGGTTCTTTCATAACCACCTCTCACATTTCTTAAAAAACTTTTCATGTTTTTTAATTAAATTTATGCTAAAAAAAACAATTGTAAAATTAAAAAAAATCTGAATCGTGATCGTTTTATAATAAATTTATTTTAAAGATAATGTTGTGATGATTATATTTAAATAAAAATAACTCTAACATTTTGTAATTATTAAATGTATTCATATGATTAGCCATTTTTTCACTTGTCATTGATTTCCCCTTCATAATTCCTAACTATGAATATCATATCAAATCAATAAAATAAACTATTCTCTTTTTACATATCTCAATATAAAATTAATATTTATTATAAAGTTATATAACTATCTTAAATTTATAATTATACCAAGTGAAACACTCCATATCTAAAAAATCGGAAAAAAACATTAAACTAAATAAAAATAAAGTGATTCATTAAATTTAATACACACACATACATGTTTTTATGTTAATTGATCATTTTCTTAAGATTCTTAAGATTATATGTGTTTGTTTTTATTTTTATAGAATAATTTTGAACCATCTGTTTGAATATCGATAAAGATAATAAATTCTTTTTTTTTTTGGTTATTTGATTAATATTTCTTTAAAGATATGTGTACCAAACAAAATAATTTTGTGACACACCTCAAATCTCACATAATAATAACATCTTATAAAAAGTTACAGTCACTCAAATATCACTTTTGAAATTGTGGTCAACAGATAATGTTTGATTTTGTTTTAATAAATTACATAGATTGAATGTGCGAAAAACATTAGTTAGATTTTACAACTCTATATACGGTTAAAGTTTATCAATTAATTAATTAAATTAGAAAGTGGAATGTTTGAATGTGATAAAAAGTTAAAGTTGTTGTCATGCCTCTGCTAATAATAAGTTATTGTTATACATATATATAACATTTTAATTGTTTACTTTCTATTTCTTTTACTATTATAATATTAACAAATTGTTATTATAATAATAGAAACTAAAATGTTATATTTTCAAAATGGTAAGAGTTTATATTTATAGTTAAAAAATATTAACAAATTAATATTAATAAATAAACTATCGATCAACTGTTTATTTATATATAGAGAAAAGAAAATGTTCTTTATGTTCTATCGTTTTGGCTGAAGGAATAGAAAGTTACCGTTGCTCAGAATGTAGTAATCTATTCCTTTGTATGAAGTGTTACTCTTTTGAAGCAGAGTCAAAGAGTGTTCATTATGACAGTGCACCAATGCCACATCATATGACAATCGTATCAAGTTTGTAGCTTATTCTAAATAATAATATTACAAAAAACTATATAATAATATTAATATTAACTTTTTATCTATTATTAATATTATAGAATCAGATTTTGAATATTATCAAACAATTAAAAGCGATACAATCTATCAAAGTTTCGTTAATGTATTCAATTGCTATTCAGATAGAAGATGTATCGGAATGAAATCAAAGAATGAAGATCATCGTTCTAATGGTTTCGATTGGATCACTTATCAACAACTCTATGATAGATCCGTTGCATTGGGATCTGCAATAAAACCATACATTGAACATGTAAGTAAAATCATTAAGCTATTAGTACTTACATTTTATATCTATATATATATATTAATATTTTTTTTTTATGTAGGGATCGAAAGTAGCAGTAATCTTGAACAATATTCCTCATTGGTATTATGTTGATTTTGCATGTCTATTCTATGGATACACACTAGTACCTCTTAGTCAACAGATAAGTAAGTTGTTTAAACAATGTTTTTTAAATTAAATTGCTTTAATATAACAAACTAACTAATAAAAACATTCATTAAAAGATGTTGAACAATTAATTGCAATCTTAGAGAATAGTGAACCATCTCTATTGATCGTTTCAAAAGAAATCTTTAATAGATTGTTCGATGCGATCAAAGACAACAAGCAGTTGAAAATGATTATTCATATTGAAGATGAATATGACCAAGAACAAAGAGAAACATTATCGCCATCAATAAATTTCAAACTCTATTCAGAGTTAATTAATGGTTCAACTAATGAAATTGAACATTCTCCTTTAAAAGATGGTATATTAACAATTAGTATGTTTGTAGCATTATTTTATTTTATATTGTAGTATTTAATCTAATAAATGGTTTAATTAGCTTATACTTCAGGTTCAACAGGTCCACCAAAAGGAATGGCAAGAAAAGATGCAGAGTGTGTTTCCAATATTATTAATAGTATAAGTCGTGATGTTTCAATACAAATGGGTTACCTTTCAATATGTATGTATTATATACCTATACCTTTTATTGAAGATATATCTGACCATTAATAATAATAATAAACAGCAAATTCACAGAGAACATTGGATCTAAAAACAATGATTGTTGGTGGAAGAATTGGTATTCATACATCTTTAGAGGTTGAAGAGTTTCTAAAAGAACTCGCTATTTTTAGACCAACTGTATTTTGGTGTAATCCTGGGTAAATATTAACTCTAAACATTATGATATATAAAAACTATATATATATTAATAATAGTAATACTTTTCATTAGATTCTATAATTATTTTAATTTGAAATATCAAAAAAGAAAGATTGATATTCAAGAGGAGAATCCTCAACTATCGGATCAAGAATGTGATGAATTAGCAATCAATGAAATTGGATCGATTTTTGGTGATAGAATAAAGACAGTTGTCAGTGGAAGTTCATTATTACCAACGGAAACATTCAATTTTATGAAGAAATGTTGGGGTGAAGATAAAGCATTCAATTTTTTCGGCACAACTGAGACTACTTTTATTTCAAAGAATGATATCATATATCCAGATGTTTCGTATCAAATCATTCCGATTCCGGGTGTTGGAGAAGACAAATCATATCCAGTTGGTGAATTGTTGGTTAAATCACCAAGAACCATCAAACAATACTATAATAATGAAGAAGCAACAAGAAATTCATTCAGAGATGGTTGGTACGTAACTGGTGATGTCGTTGAAGAATATGAACCTAGAAAGATAAGAATAATTTCAAGATTGAAAAACTTTTTCAAATCAATTCATGGTAGATTTATTTAGTAAGTAAAATTTAGCTATTAAATTAGCAGTAAACAACATATTTAATAACATTTGTTTGTAATAATATATAGTCCAGAAACAATTGAAAGTAATTTCTATCAATCAACAATGATAAAAGATATCTTTATTTATGGTGATCCATTCCATGCTCATTTGGTTGCCATTATCATTCCATCAATTGATATTATAAATAAATATATCAATGAGACTACACCACATATCAACATTGATGACTGTGATGATCTAAAATCAGATGTTTTCAAAGAAATTCAATTAATTTCCAAACAAAAGAATGTAAGTTTCTCCAATCAAAACAATTGGTTTTAATATTTACATTTAATTAATTTTAACTTTTAATAGGTTGTACCATGGGGTATTCCTCAATCAATTTACTTGGACTCAATTGATTGGACAGTTGAAAACAAATTTTTAACTTATACATTGAAATACAATAGATCTTTCATCGCCAACTACTATATCCAGCCAATTGCTCAGATGTTTGATAAATTGAAATCAAATCAAACAATCTATTTGTAAATTCTTAAAAGATTATTAAAAGGTTTATATTTGTTAGTTGTGTCATTTGTTTAATAAAAATTTGTTGAATAGATTATAATATAAAAATTTAATAATCATAGCTCAAGAATAGTTATTCGATTTACTTTGAGTGAAGTTATTGAATTGTAAGATGATACAATTCATGCTATTATCGATAATATTATTAAATAAAACTACAAAAATAAAAGGTTATAAATAGGTATTTGGGAATGAATCATGTTGAAACAACAACAAATCACGATTTTTTTTTTTGGTTATAATTCAAATCTTGTTTTGTTCTTTTTTTTAATATTACCCCTCTGAGGTGTGTGAAAATCGGAGAACAAAAAAAAAAAAAAAAAGAATCAAGATATTGTTTTAGATTTTTTGTTTGAATTCATTTTACTCTTTTACGATGAGGTCTTAGATTATTTCATTGCTAATAGAATATTCTTATAAGATTATTTTCTCTTTTTCTTATTTATACAAACTATTCTATTCTTATGAAGAAGTTATATTTAATTTTATTTTTTATTTCTTTTTTCGGAATATCAGGTGCTTATGTTTTGAATACTCAAGAACGTAAGTGATAACATCAAAGTCCTGACATTGAAAACTATTTTAAGTATTAATCGAATATCTACTATTTTGTCTTTTTTTTTTTCATTAGTGAGTTCATTAAGATGGTTAATTATACAGGTATTTATTTTTATGTATTTGTTTAAAAATTTTGTTAACAAAAATAAAATATAGTACCAATTCAATTGGAATATAACTGCAACTGATTGTGTTGATATCAAAGTCGATGGAGTTTTGGATTGTCTAGTAGATGAAAATGGATTTCAAACGATTACTAAATTGTATGTTTAATTAAGTGAAAAATATAAAAATAATAAAAAAAAGAAAGAGTTAACATCTTCTCAGAATAATAGTATATCCTATAACAGTGGATCGTGGAGAACCACCGGCTATTGACAAGTTGATATTCCCCAATATGCAATGGTTCTCATTAATTGGTGCTCAACATAAAAATGCAAGCTATTCTTTATTTGGTTTGCTTGATAACATTGAAAATGTCAATTTAACTCAAATATCTGTTAACTCTATATATTTGGTATCTGTTCCGACATTCCCTTCAAAACTTAAATTGAATACATTGTAAGTAGAATAAATTTTAAAATGTAAATCAATAACTAATTTATGAAAATAGAGTTCTCAGTAATGTTCAAATGTATTCTGATTTAAATTTGAACCCAATATTTGCAGGAGTAAGCGCAACATTATCTTTAGAAAATATAGGATTCTCTTTCAATTTTAAAATGCTGTCAGACTCATCAACTATGAAAACAAAAAGTTCATTAGTCAATATGTATGTATGAAAGAAAATGCAAATGAATAATAATTCTGTTTATTAATTCATATTAATATTATCACTCTTAGAGTTATAAATTCCATAGATAGGTTTGAAACAAATGGAATGTTAAATTTTACCAACTCTTATTTTAGTGCAATCAGTTTTATGTATGTAATTTTATATTACTCTTTTTGTATTAAACACTATATTAATTATTTTTTCCTATTAATTATAGAACGATAAAAGATATTTCAAATAGACCACAAATTTTTTTTGAATCATCTTCTTTAAATATTTTGTAAGTATTTGGTTTTAAGATCAAATTGGAACATAAAATTAATAATAGTTCATTCTTTTAGAGATATTGATAATGCAATGGTTGTACTTGGTGTGCTACCGAAAATTAGAGATTTGTAATTGTCATTTAATTCAAAATGTTTATATTTTTTAACTTTCAATTTTATATATATAGTAAAGCATCAAATTGTGCATTTTCAACTTCAGATTTTTCAGTATTCCCTTCTCTTACTAAGATGTAAGTCATAAAAATACTACTATAATTAAAATTGAACTGTATTAACTAAAAATTAATATTTAGAAATTTTAACAATATTTCCACACCAATTGAAAATGCTTCAGGTTTGGTCAATGTGTAAGTATAAATTTTCTAAATATCAAATCACTCAAACATCTCTTTTAACATTATTTCTATAGGGTTATTCAAAATTCACCTGTTCCAATTGTACCGCCAGAATCTTGGTTTTCAAATACGTTCACATTGTATGTTGAATATAAATATTTTTTATTAATCCTAACATCTTATTGATTGATTAACTTACTAAATTGTTTTAATTTAATCAGAAAATTAAACAATACCAATAGTGGAGGTAAATTACAAGAGTTTAAATCTTTTGATAGTGTTTCGATATCAATATATGGAACACAGAATATAAAAACGGAATTATATGATTCATTTTGTAGATTCAATTTGGATATACCATCAACCACTCTTGTTGGTAATATTGCAGATTGTATTTATTGTTATTGGTCTGAAATCAATTCAACATTTCCACCAAACACACCAGTACCCCCAATTAATTATAAATGCAGTATGTATTATATCTTTTCAAATACTATTACCTTTCAATTTTATTAATTATTTATAAATAATAAGATATTTCATTGGATAGTTATAAATATGTCATTCCTAAAAGTATCGTAATATATACATTTCCATTGTTGATTTTTTTCTAACTTAAAAATACATTAGGCAGGCTGTTACTTTTAAATGGAACTAACTTGGGATGGGGATTAAATAGATCGCCAGCAACGTTAATGATTTCTGTTTTTAATAAGCAGTTTGCGTAATTATCTTTTTTATTTTATTGTAGTAATCATCATCATAATATTAATAATTTCTTATAGATATCCAGTCACCACAGAATATGGAACTACAAATTTAACATTTTCAACAATTCAAAACTATACTTTTCAAATATATTGGGGATTAGAATGTATGTTATCTTTTCATTTGTTATTTATTTTTTTACATGTTATTAATTAATTTAACAATACTTTAGTAAGTGTGTATTTAATTCAATCAGAGAATATTAATGATAACAATGTTTTAATTAAAGCATTTGGAAAATTTAACTTGAAAGCACCACTTGCAATCAAAGCCACCAGTTTTGGAAATTCAAATTGTCAAATCACATATAACACGACAACTCAATTGAATTGTATAATTCCGAATCAAAATAGCACAAATCCAATTTTAATTAATCTTGATGATACTGTTACAACTATTAATTATTATAGTTCTTCAAGTATGTACAATATCAATTTGTTGTTTTGTTTTCATTTTATCTCATTTTTTTATCTCTCCAAATTAGCTTTACTCATAAGCGGTGTCCATTTCAAGATAAATAATCAAGATGTCGAAATTAGTGCAAACTTTGGACCGAATCCATACAATGTATCTGCAATTATATCCAGCTTCCCTTGCCAACAAACATTCTTAAATTCTTCCGTATTATCATGTAGATTACCTTCAAGGTTGGTGGAAAATGTTAATTATAGTTTGTTGGTTTATGCCAATGGATATAATCAAACGATACTTGTTTTCATTAAACCAAAAGAAGATTGTGGATCACAATCAAATTGCAATGGTCATGGAAGTTGTTTCGATGGAAAGTGTAGATGTAACGATGGTTATGGTGGATATTATTGTGAATCACAACTAAGTCCAGGTGTAATCATTCTCCCAAACAACACGATTCCTTCACCAACTGTCATCGTTAAAGATGGAATGAATTTCACATTCAACATCATTGCAATTCAAGAGATAGATGAGTTAAGTTCAGTGGTAAGAGAATTGAAAACAAATAAATGGATTCATTCAACAACCGGAAATGAAACATTCAGCATCACAACATACAGTTTACAATCAACAACACCAGAAGTCGATCAAATCAATGCAACAATCGAATATTCAAAGAACAGTAGATTGATTAACTTTGCAGGACAATCAACATTATATCCAGAGAATAGTTTGAAATTGATGGTTACAATCAATAATTGGTCATATAAAGATCGATTAAATCGATTGAGACTATTAATGGAATCGATATCTTCAATCAATGATAATGATGACGGTTGTTCAGAATTGGATATTTCAGTTAACAATGGAACAGAAGTGAATTTCTTGCGAATGACAATCAACGATGTATCGTTTTATGGTCGATTCCTTCCATATGCACTGTCAGACGACAAACCAGTCTTCATTCAAAATCAAGTTGTTAATCAAACTAAAGATAGTATTTTGATTGGAATGACACTATCTTACTGTGATAGTTGTGTGATAGATCCTGATTTTTCAGTTCTTGTCAACACTGACATCAAACAAAGTGATTGTAAAGAAAAATTCTCCACTTGGAAGATCGTAACCATTGTTGTTGTGCTTTCTGTTGCTTTACTGGCATCAGTTGTCGGTGCATTTTTTTTCTATAAAAAGAAAATACAATATAGAAAAGAACAGAAAAGAATGAACAACAAATTAAATAAATTATCATAATTAATCAATTCGATTAAAATCAATTAGCCTAATCAATCTGATTACTTCTATTATTAAAATTAAAATTATTACACAACTTTGATAATCCATCATTATTCACATAATTTTTTCACAAAAAAAAAGAAAAAAAAATTAATTCAAAACAAATAAAATTTAAAAAAAAAAAACGCGGGAACATTACTTTTTTTTGAAAATAAATCTCTGTGTGAAATCATAATAAATTTTTTTTAGTATCTTTTAAACAACAACATTAATTGTACACATCTAATTGCATTATATTAATGATAATTATTAGGTATGTTCTCATGAATAAAATAGAAATTATGAACATGATGATGTAACAACTAAATCTCTAGATCCCAGAACTACTTTAATATGTTTTTGGTTCTGATCTCATAAGATGTGATATCAATGAACACTTTAATTGAATGATAATTCGTACATGGAACCAAAAAAATCTAATCACCTATATTCTAAACAGGGCTTTAAAGAATGTTGTTTGGGGACACAATCGGTAAAATGAGCAAAAAATCCAAGAAAAATCAAGATATTAATTTAGATTTTGTTTTTTTTTTTGAAGGTGACGAATTGTTTTACTCTTTGGTATCAGATATTTTGGATTTTTTTGACTGTCGATTTTACTCTTTTACAATGGGCATTAGATCGTCTTAATTTTTTTTCTTTTTCTGTTTTCATTTTATTTCCACAAATTATTCTATGTTATGAAAAGGTTATATTTAATTTTATATTTCATTTCTTTTTTCCGACTATCAGGTGCAGATTTATATCCACAAGAACGTAAGTCATAACATAGAAAAACAAAACCAAATAAATAAAGTATTAATCGAAAATCTACTTATTTTGTCTTTTTTTTTTTTAATAAAGTGAGTTCACTAAGATGGTTAATAACGCAGGTATTTATTTTTTATGTCTTTTTATTTTAAAAATAAAAATCTGGTCAACTAATATAAAATATAGTATCAATTGAATTGGAATTTAGCTGCAACTGATTGTGCTGGTATCAGCAATCCTGGAACACTTAATTGTGGAGTTGATCAAAGTGGATTTCAAACAATTAATACATTGTAAGTTTTTTAAGTGAAATATTTTAATCTCTAAAAAACAATATGTTAACATCTTCTCAGAACAATATCAACTTCTATAGCGGTCGACCATGGAGAACCACCAGTTATTGACAAGTTGATATTCCCCAATTTGCAAACGTTCTTGTTAAGTGGCGCTCAACATAAAAATGCAAGCTATTCTTTATTGGGTTTGCTTGATAACATTGAAAATGTCAATTTAAATCTAATGTCTGTTCAATCTCTAAATTTGGTATCGGTTCCAACATTCCCATCAAAACTTAAATTGAATACATTGTAAGTAGAATAAATTTAATTAAATAAGAAACATATTATGAATCATTAACTAATTTATTAAAATAGCACTATGAGGAATGTTACTATGTACTCTGATTTAAATATGGACCCAATATTTGCAGGAATAAACACATCATTAGGGTTTCAAAAAATAACATTCACTTCCACTTTTAAAATGCTGTCAGATTTATCAACTATGACAAGAAAAAGTACATTAACAAATTTGTAAGAGAAATTAACATTCAATCTCTATTACTTCATATTAATATTATCACTCTTAGAGATTTAAATACTATAAATAGGTTTGAAACAAATGGAATGTTGAATATTACCAACTCTTATTTTAGTGCAATCGATACTTTGTAAGTTATTTTTATTTTGTATTAAACACTTTTTTAATTAATTTTTTTCCAACTAATTAAAGAACGATAAAAGATATTTCAAATACACCAGTAATTTTATTGGAATCTTCAACTTTATATAATATGTAAGTATTTGGTTTTCAGATCAAATTTGAACATAAAATTAATAATTTATTCATTAGAGATATTGATAATGCAATGGTTGTACTTGGTAACCTACCGATAATTAGAAATATGTAAATATTTATCATCTAATTCAAAATAAGGTTTCTTTTTTACTTAAACCTTTCAATTTAATTATGTATAGTAAAGCAAAAAATTGTGCATTTTCAACTTCAGATTTTTCAGTATTACCTTCTCTTTATGAAGTGTGAGTAATAATATTAATATAACTGGAAATTTTAACTATTAACAAAAATTAAAATTTAGAAATTTTGATAATATTTCCACACCAATTGAAAAAGCTTCAGGTTTGGTCATTGTGTAAGTATAAATTTTCTAAATAGTCAATCGATCAAAAATATCTTTTAACATCATTTTTTCTTTAGAGTAATTACAAATTCACCTGTTCCAATTGTACCATCAGAATCTTGGTTTTCAAATTCATCATTCATGTTGTATGTCAAACTTTTAAATTTTTAATAATCTAATTTATATTTATTCACTTATAAAAATTAATTATTATTTTCCAGAAAGTTAAATAATACCAATAGTAGTGGTAAATTACCAGATTTTAAATCATATGAAGATGTTTCGATATCAATATATGGAACACAGAATATAAAAACGGAATTATATGATTCATTTTGTAGATTCAATTTGGATATACCATCACCCACTCTTGTTGGTAATATTGCAGATTGTTTTTATTGTTATTGGTCTGAAATGAAATCAAAACTTCCATCAAACACACCAAATCCTCCAAATGATTTTAAATGCAGTATGTATTAATTTTCTTTTCAAATACTACCTTTCAATTTTATTAATTATTTATAAATAATAAGATATTTCATTGGATAGTTATAAATATGTCATTCCTAAAGCCGGTAGAGTATAAAATTTATATTTCCATTGTTGATTATTTCTAATTTTAAAAAATTACAATACAATAGGGATTTTGTTACAATTAAATGGAACTAGCTTGGGATGGGGGATTAAATAAATCACCTTTAAGTTTAACGAAATTTATTTACAAATAAGCAATTTGTGTAAGTATCTTTTATATTATATTGTAGTAATCATCATCAAAATATTAATAATTTCTTATAGATATCCAGTCGACACAGAATATGGAAGCTCAAATTTAACATTTTCAACAATTCAAAACTATACTTTTCAAATATATTGGGGATTAGAATGTATGTTATCTTTTCATTTGCTATTTATTTTTTAATTTTATTTCAAATTTTTATTAATTATTTTAAAAATACTTTAGTAAGTGTGTATTTAGTTCAATCAGAGAATATTGGTGGTAACAATGTTTTAATTAAAGCATTTGGAAAATTTAACTTGAAAGCACCACTTGCAATCAAAGCCACCAGTTTTTGGAAATTCAAATTGTCAAATCACATATAACACGACAACTCAATTGAATTGTATAAATTCCGAATCAAAATAGTACAAATCCAATTTTAATTAATCTTGATGATACTGTTACAACTATTAATTATTATAGTTCTTCAAGTATGTACAATATCAATTTGTTGTTTTGTTTTCATTTTATCTAATTTTTTTATCTCTCCAAATTAGCTTTACTCATAAGCGGTGTCCATTTCAAGATAAATAATCAAGATGTCGAAATTAGTGCAAACTTTGGACCAAATCCATACAATGTATCTGCAATTATATCGAACTACCAATGTCAACAAACATTGTTAAATTCTTCAGTATTATCATGTAGATTACCTTCAAGGTTGGTGGAAAATGTTAATTATAGTTTGTTGGTTTATGCCAATGGATATAATCAAACGATACCTGTTTTCATTAAACCAAAAGAAGATTGTGGATCACAATCAAACTGCAATGGTCATGGAAGTTGTTTCGATGGAAAGTGTAGATGTAATGATGGATATAGTGGATATTATTGTGAATCACAACTAAGTCCAGGTGTAATCATTCTCCCAAACAACACGATTCCTTCACCAACTGTCATCGTTAAAGATGGAATGAATTTCACATTCAACATCATTGCAATTCAAGAGATAGATGAGTTAAGTTCAGTGGTAAGAGAATTGAAAACAAATAAATGGACTCATTCAACAACTGGAAATGAAACATTCAGCATCACAACATACAGTTTACAATCAACAACACCAGAAGTCGATCAAATCAATGCAACAATCGAATATTCAAAGAACAGTAGATTGATTAACTTTGCAGGACAATCAACATTATATCCAGAGAATAGTTTGAAATTGATGGTCACAATCAATAATTGGTCATATAAAGATCGATTAAATCGATTGAGACTATTAATGGAATCGATATCTTCAATCAATGATAATGATGACGGTTGTTCAGAATTGGATATTTCAGTTAACAATGGAACAGAAGTGAATTTCTTGCAAATGACAATCAACGATGTATCGTTTTATGGTCGATTCCTTCCATATGCGCTGTCAGACGACAAACCAGTCTTCATTCAAAACCAAGTTGTTAATCAAACGAAAGATAGTATTTTGATTGGAATGACACTATCTTACTGTGATAGTTGTGTGATAGATCCTGATTTTTCAGTTCTTATCAACACTGATGTTAAAAGTGATTGTAAAGAAAAATTCTCCACTTGGAAGATCGTAACCATTGTTGTTGTGCTTTCTGTTGCTTTACTGGCTGTAGGTGTTAGTGTATTCGTCTTCTATAAAAAGAAAATACAATATAGAAAAGAACAGAAAAGAATGAACAACAAATTAAATAAACTATCAAATTAATCAATTCGATTAAAATCAAACCTTAATGAAAATTCTTTATTTTTTACAAAAGTTTTTAAGCTTTAGTGCTTCCTGTGATACCTTTACCACTGTTATTGCTGGAACAATCTCTTTGTTTCCGGCTATAGCGATTTCCTTTGAGATAGACTTTTTTTGGCTTTTTAAGAAATATTGGGTCGCAGTATTCGTGTGCAATCCAATTGAACAAACCAGACTTAATCCAAGACATTCTTATATTGGATGAGTTGAATGATGATGACCAAGCATGATAAGCCAACATTTGGTAGTGTTTATCGTTCACTTTAAACTTTGGATTGACCTTTAACCCATCTCTGAGCAAATTCGATAGGTGTTGAGAGAATGACGAAAATAGGACTAAATCCAAAGGCTGGAGAATGTGAGTCAGGTTTGATGGGAACGTCATTATGATAAGATTATTCTCATCACAAAGTTTTTGTTCGTCAAAGAAATAATTGGATATGTGATTGTCCACTAAAAGCAGCTTTTTATCTGTTTTCTTAAATTGTCCTAGAAGCCATTCGACATATTCTTTCTTTATCTCTTGCGTTACCTATAATATATAATAATACAATGTATCAATATTGATATATTAATAATAGCAATAGACAACTTTGGATCAAGTTATAAAAAGTTGCCAACTTACATATCCTGATTCATTAGCAATAATGACACCATAATTTGAATTTTGCATATGTTCCCATTTTACTCGTTTAGGAATCTGGAGAACGTTATAGGGTGGTAGAGCATGACCAGATGCTGTTATTGTTCCAATCATTGTAAAGTGTTGACTTTGGGATTGCTTGGGAAACCTAGGTTTGACTGTCTCAAATTTGTTTCCACGGTCAATAATGGCAACCTATATTTTTATAACAATTAGCTAAATCTTTCGAAAAAAAACTAATAAATAGAATAAAATAGACTATTAAATACCTTTTGATTCATTTTCGTGAATAAAACACCTTTCTCATCAGAGTTTATTACATTCTTTGGTTGAATTTGGTTTTCTACTATCACTTTATGAACTCTCTGGATGAAACCTTGAATATCGGCCTCTTTCTCCGCTTTTAATATGGCTTCATCTTGAAACTTAACCTTTCTTAACTTTAAGATCGGATATTTTTGTTTCAGCTTTGTCCACCAGTCACGACCAGGGTGACGACTCATTGTATAGCCATATTTGTCATATACCTTTCCGACCACCCAATTTAGAATATTCTCCTTCGTTATCGGAATATTCTTGGTATTTGATTCTTCTACCATCTTTATCATCTCTAATTCTTCTGCTTCGGTGAGATATCTACCTCTTGGCTTAAAGGAGAGGTTATTTTTTTTCTTGGATAGCTCACTTTCTGAAACTCCATACTTTTGAGAGAGCTCCTTTTGAGTAAAACCTGTATCGTTTTGAATTTCATTTATTGCTTCCATCAACCTCTCTTCTCTGCTCATTTGACTAATCCTCTGAGGTGTTACACCTATGATATTGCTTAATTCTTTTGTATCCTATTAAAAGTGCTATATTAGCACCATCTTTTCTAAATAATAACATAATTTTTAAATAATGTTAAACCCGACATACCATTGCATTGATACATTCTATTTTAATATAACTTTGTTTATTTTTATCTTAAAATCTACAAATATTAATAACTTAGCTTCAAAAAAAAAACCATATTAATTTTTTAAAAATTTTCACAAATTTACGTGGGTAGTCAACCCCACTCAAGTGAGGTTGTTTGAGCATGAGTTGTAAAAAAATTAGTGCGAGAAAAAAAAAAATTGTTCACAACTCCTTCTGCATTTACACTTAATTGACCCACCCAAATTTAGTTCAGAAACGAGAGGGCAAATTTCTTGCCTTCGTGACCCTTCGTGACAACATTGCATAAAAAAAAAGTTTGTTTCGACTGCAGAACACTATTTTTGCTATGTCAAGTCAGGTTTGGGGTTTATTTGATTTTTGACTTTTTTACTAAAGTTTTTAAGCTTTGTTGGCCCAACATAGAATATTATCTTTACAATTATTTTGATTTTATTCTTCTTTTTATTTGTTTTATTTTTTTGTTTTTGATTATATATATTGTTTAAGGTTCCCACGCCATCTTCGTTCACAGTGCGTATTCACTTTGGGTGGAATGTTAATTGTGAAATTTCATTTTATCACTCAAAAAATTTAACAAATGCGAAAATAAAAAAAAAGCTGTGCAAAAAAACCGACAAAATGAAATAACACAATTGTAAACATCATACTCATTCTACTTTTCATTATTAATATAAAAGATAAATTATGAAAAAATAAAACTATTATTAAGGTGGTAATGGTATGTTCTCATTAAGAAAATAATATAAAAACCATAAACAAAATGATGTAATAACAAAAATATCTCTTTAGATTGGGGATCTAAAGAGTGCTATCTTGTTTTGGTTCTGATATCATTCGTATCTTATCAAATATTTAAATATCATGATCAACCACAATCTTTTCACCCTACAATTGACCTATATATTAACTCTAATCACTTTTATAATATAGGTGATTAGATTCTAAACAGCTTTAAAGAAACAAAAATATGATGCAATCTTTTTTTTTCCAAGCTATCGGGAGTCAAAAAAAAAAAAAACAAAAAATCAAGATATTTAGATTTTGGATTTTTTTTAGGTGTAGATTTTACACTTAATATAATTGGTAGTAGAAAATGAAAATAAACGGAACTAATTTAAAATATTTAAAGAACTTTAATCTTAATTTTTATTTTTTTCTTTTTCTTTCTTTTTTCATTTTATTTATACAAACTATTCTATATTATGAAAAAGTTATATTTATTATTTTTTATTTCTTTTTTGGGAATATCAGGTGCTTATGATTTGAATGCTCAAGAACGTAAGTCATAACATCAAGTCATACTTAGATATAGTAAAGTATTAAATAAAAATCTACAATTCTTTTTATTTTAGTGAGTTCTTTAAGATGGTTAATTACGCAGGTATTATTTTTTTATCAACATTTATTTTTTTTTTTAAATAAAATTTTTTTTAACAAAAATAAAATATAGTATCAAATTAATTCGAATTGGAACTTGACTGCAACTGATTGCGCTGATATCAATAAAGGTGCTGGAGGATCGATGACTTGTAGAATTGATCAAAGTGGATTTCAAACAATTACTACATTGTAAGTTGTTTAAGTGAAAAATATTGTTATTAAAAGAAAATGTTAACATCTTCTCAGATTAATGGTAACTTCTACTTGGGTCGATCATGGAGAACCACCAGTAATTGACAAGTTGATATTCCCCAATTTGCAAACGTTCTTGTTAAGTGGCGCTCAACATAAAAATGCAAGCTATTCATTATTGGGTTTGCTTGATAACACTGAAAATGTCAATTTAAATACAATATCTGTTCAATTTTTAAGTTTGGCATCCGTTCCAACTTTCCCATCAAAACTCAAATTAACAACATTGTAAGTAGAATAAATTTAAATAAAATATGAATAATTATCTTATTTATGAAAATAGAGTTTTGACGGATGTTACTATGATATCTGATTTAAATTTGAACTTAATATTTAAAGGTGTAAAGTCGAGTTTAAATTTACAAAGAATATCATTCACTTCCACTTTTAAAATGTTTTTAGATACATCAACTATGACAAAAAGTACATTATCTACTATGTAAGATATAATCCAAATAAAACTCAAATCTTTACTATTCATATTAATATTATCACTTCAAGAATATTTAAGACCATTTATAGGTTTGAAACAAATGGAATGTTGAATTTTACCAACTCTTATTTTGACACAATAGGCGCTATGTAAGTTATTTTATATTACTCTTCTTGTATTAAACACTATTTTAATTAATTTTTTCCAAATAATTATAGAACTATAAATGATATTTCAAATACACACCCAATTGTATTTGGTTCTTCAACTTTAAATAATATGTAAGTATTTGGTTTTCCAAACTTGAACATAAAATTAATAATTTTTTCATTAGAGATATTGATAATGCAATGATTGTTCTTGGTGACCTACCGGAAGTTAGAAAAATGTAAATATCATTAAATTCTTAACTGGTTTCTTTTTTTACTTAAACCTTTCAATTTAATTATGTATAGTAAAGCAAAAAATTGTGCATTTTCAACTTCAGATTTTTCAGTATTACCTTTTATTACTGATATGTAAGTAATAATATTAATATAACTAGAAATTTTAACTATTAACAAAAATTAAAATTTAGAAATTTTGATAATATTTCCACACCAATTGAAAATGCTTCAGGTTTGATCAATGTGTAAGTATAGATTTCTAAATAGTCAATCGATCAAAAATATCTTTTAACATCATTTTTTCTTTAGAGTAATTACAAATTCACCTGTTCCAATTGTACCATCAGAATCTTGGTTTTCAAATTCATCATTATCATTGTATGTTAAACTTTTAAATCTAATTTATATTTATTCACGTATAAACATTAATTATTATTTTCCAGAAAGTTAGAAAATACCAATAGTAGTGGTAAATTACCAGATTTTAAATCATATGAAGATGTTTCGATATCAATATATGGAACACAGAATATAAAAACGGAATTATATGATTCATTTTGTAGATTCAATTTGGATATACCATCAACCACTCTTGTTGGTAATATTGCAGATTGTTTTTATTGTTATTGGTCTGAAATGAAATCAAAACTTCCATCAAACACACCAAATCCTCCAAATGATTTTAAATGCAGTATGTATTAATTTTCTTTTCAAATACTACCTTTCAATTTTATTAATTATTTATAAATAATAAGATATTTCATTGGATAGTTATAAATATGTCATTCCTCAAATAGGTAGGGTATTATATATTTTCATTTCATTCTTCCTTACTTCTAACTTAAAAAAAATACTATACAGAATGGACTTTTATTTTATCTTTAAAAGGAACAAACTTGGGATGGGGATTAAATAAATCACCTTTAAGTTTAACGAATGCTATTTATAATAATCAGTTTTCGTAATTATCTTTAATATTATTTTCTAGAAATGATGATGAAATTTAAAATATTAATAATTTCTTATAGATATCCAGTCAACACAGAATATGGAAGCTCAAATTTAACATTTTCAACAATTCAAAACTATACTTTACAAATATATTGGGGATTAGAATGTATGTTATCTTTTCATTTGCTATTTATTTTTTAATTTTTTTTCAAATTTTTATTAATTAATTTAACAATACTTTAGTAAGTGTGTATTTAATTCAATCAGAGAATATTGGTGGTAACAATGTTTTAATTAAAGCATTTGGAAAATTTAACTTGAAAGCACCACTTGCGATCAAAGCCACCAGTTTTGGAAATTCAAATTGTCAAATCACATATAACACGACAACTCAATTGAATTGTATAATTCCGAATCAAAATAGTACAAATCCAATTTTAATTAATCTTGATGATACTGTTACAACTATTAATTATTATAGTTCTTCAAGTATGTACAATATCAATTTGTTGTTTTGTTTTCATTTTATCTAATTTTTTTATCTCTCCAAATTAGCTTTACTCATAAGCGGTGTCCATTTCAAGATAAATAATCAAGATGTCGAAATTAGTGCAAACTTTGGACCAAATCCATACAATGTATCTGCCATTATATCCAGCTTTCCTTGCCAACAAACATTCTTAAATGATTCAATATTATCATGTAAATTACCAGTAGGTTTGGTGGAAAATGTTAATTATAGTTTGTTGGTTTATGCCAATGGATATAATCAAACGATACTTGTTTTCATTAAACCAAAAGAAGATTGTGGATCACAATCAAACTGCAATGGTCATGGAAGTTGTTTCGATGGAAAATGTAGATGTAATGATGGCTATGGTGGATATTATTGTGAATCACAACTAAGTCCAGGTGTAATCATTCTCCCAAACAACACGATTCCTTCACCAACTGTCATCGTTAAAGATGGAATGAATTTCACATTCAACATCATTGCAATTCAAGAGATAGATGAGTTAAGTTCAGTGGTAAGAGAATTGAAAACAAATAAATGGACTCATTCAACAACTGGAAATGAAACATTCAGCATCACAACATACAGTTTACAATCAACAACACCAGAAGTCGATCAAATCAATGCAACAATCGAATATTCAAAGAACAGTAGATTGATTAACTTTGCAGGACAATCAACATTATATCCAGAGAATAGTTTGAAATTGATGGTCACAATCAATAATTGGTCATATAAAGATCGATTAAATCGATTGAGACTATTAATGGAATCGATATCTTCAATCAATGATAATGATGACGGTTGTTCAGAATTGGATATTTCAGTTAACAATGGGACAGAAGTGAATTTCTTGCAAATGACAATCAACGATGTATCGTTTTATGGTCGATTCCTTCCATATGCACTGTCAGACGACAAACCAGTTTTCATTCAAAATCAAGTTGTTAATCAAACGAAAGATAGTATTTTGATTGGAATGACACTATCTTACTGTGATAGTTGTGTGATAGATCCTGATTTTTCAGTTCTTATCAACACTGATGTTAAAAGTGATTGTAAAGAAAAATTCTCCACTTGGAAGATCGTAACCATTGTTGTTGTGCTTTCTGTTGCTTTACTGGCTGCAGGTCTCGGAGTATTCTTTGTATTGAAAAAGAAATATAAATATAGAAAAGAACAGAAATGTATAGGCAACAAATTAAATAAAATATCATAATAAATCATTCTTTTATTAATTAACTTGATATATGATAGTTAAAATTTAATTGATTTCTTAATTTTAAATTGATCATTAAAAAATTTTTAGTTAAAAAAAAAAAAAAAAAAAGTGGAGGCGCCGTATTTTCGCTATGTCGGTTTTTTTGTTTTACGCACTTGGTTTATCTGAATTTTGACAAATTAAGTAAACAATTATAGTTAATAAATTCGATTAAATTTATGAATCGAATGAAATTCAAAATTTATTATATCTTTAATTAACTTGGGTAGCCATCTGTGGGTGTGAAGTGTTTTTTAACGGAAGATGGTAGCATAACAATTTTTCATTTTTTGTCATTTTTACATACAAATTTCAATTCCTATCTTCCGCCATCTTTTTTGACAAATACCCTTAGCCAGTTGGGTAGCTACCCACCTTAATTAATTATTATAGTATTATTTGAGATCTTTTATTACAGATCTTACTAAAAAAATATTTAGAAATCCAAGGAGCATTCAAAAAAAAAACCCAACCTATAAAATGAAAAAACACAAATTTTGTCACAATTATTGATTAATCGATCAAAGAAAGATTTATTATTAAATATACTAAAATGAAAAAAGAATTATTTGTATTGATATTTAATAATATTGTTTTAAGTCAAAAGATATTCAATGATGTTGTCTCTATTGTTAATATGAATGGATCACTTAAACATTTCAAGTGGAACAAAGTATTGAAGCGACCAGGAGTGATGGCTGCCAACGGTTATTTCGATCAACTGAAAACATTTTTGGAGACGGACGGTATGCATCAATACACATTCAAGAGAAGAGTGAGTATTTCGGTTTTGGTTGACGCAGTCAGAAGTGGTAGTTTGGAAATCATAGACTATCTACTCGATCAATATAGAATGACTGAAAGAATCGAGTTGGCATCTTGGCGTGAAGGTTTCTCTTTGTACTGTTTGGATACTATGATGTCGGTTGCTGCATCTCATCAAAGGATCGATGTTGTTCAATTTCTTATTGACCGATTTCCAAACTATCGGTATTGTTATCGAAAAATTTTTGCGTCTCTAGTGTCAAGCAATCGACCTGACCTTGAAATGGTGGAATTCATTGCCAATAAAAAGGATGATTGTGAAGTCTATAAAAGAGAATGTTGCCAGGACATGTTAGTTCATAACAATGTGTTAAATAGGGCTGCACACCGTGGTAATTTGGAGGTGATCCGGTGGTTGTTAGCTAATAGATCTGAGGATTTGGATCAATCAACCATGCTCTCTTATGCAGTAATGGGAAAGCAAATCGATGTCATTCGTTACTTGGTTGCCGAACATGGTGAACCAAAAGACAAGAATAATGAAGAGTATATTAATGATGCACTCTATTCTGAAGATGCATTTGATATGTTCAAATTATTGTACGATTTGGGTTGTGCTTGTAGCGAAGATATCATGGATCGTGCTGCTGCTTCTGGTAGTATGAAAGTTCTCAAATGGCTACATGAGAATACCACTTTCAAGTGTACTACTAATGCAATAGACAATGCAGCGTATAAAAATCGATTGGATATTGTGAAATGGTTGCATGAAAATAGAAGTGAAGGTTGTACTGTTGAAGCTATGAATAAAGCTGTTGATAAAGGCAACCTGGAATTGGTTCAATGGCTGCATGACAATAGGACAGAAGGATGTAGTGATGAAGCATGGAGATCGGCTATTCAGAATGGTGATTTGTCGATGGTCAAATGGCTTCATGAAAATAGGACAGAGAGATATTCAGCTGCTAATATTATGGATGAAATAGCTCTTGCTGGACAATCGGAGATTTTAGAATGGTTCGAACAGAATACCAGTGAGCGATGTTCAAACACAGTGTTGGAACAAGTTGGAGATATTGGGGTCATAAAATATCTACATGAGAGGAATGAAGGTGAAGCTAATAGATTTGGATTCTCTACTGATACAATGGATAATACTTGGTCTCTTGTTACTATAAAATGGTTACATGAAAATCGATCAGAAGGTTGTACTGAAAAAGCATACATGCATGCAATTGATCGTGATAATGTTAAAGTATTACAATGGCTATTGGACAATCGAACGGAATACACTAAGCAATCGATGGAAAATGACATTGATAGAATCGTGGAACGAACTTTTAAACAAGATTCAAGTTGCACATTGAAATGGATGTTAAATAATTTGTCCTTTCCAATTGGCACACTATTGAAATATAAAGAAAAGTATAGTCATTCAGTTGAACCAACTATAGTATCGATAGAATATCTTTCAAAGTTGGAGCAGAAAAAAATAATAAATACTAATAAATAAATTGTTGTTTCAAAAATAAATATAACACTGTAGTGTTATGAATAATTATTTTCAAAACAAATAAGTAATGTTAAATAGTTTATTTATTTACTATTATGTGTATATTAATAATTTTTTTTTTTTTAAGATCTGAAAAACTTGGTTCCAAATAGAAGGAATAGATTGAATTGATGGTCATTGAATAGATTGATGACATTATGCACATCGATGTACCATTGACTGAAACTAAAGATATAAGTAAAACCAAATTTCAGAATAAAAAGTTATATTTCCAAAATTTTACGGCCACCACCCTGTACGAGTTCCTGGTCCTGCCATTTGGAATGTCGGAAGCACCTGCTGTCTTTAACCGTTTCGTTAAGGAAATATAAATCTTAATCTAAGCGATCTTGTAGCTATTGATTGATGTTTGGTCAAATTCGCCTGTTGTTTCTCTAGTTCGGTACACTCTCTTAAGGACCACGTATACTAATTAGGTGTTTCGATAACTTTGTTGATTCACTAAACTAAAAAACTTACATTTAAATTTTACCACCACTTACACAAATTAGTTCATATTCTTAAATATCTGATTCGAATATCATTTCAACTTGAAGAAATCATACAATCTATCATTGATCTTTGATTATTAATAATCAATCTCTTAGAGAGATGGGTTGTTGGTGTCTGACTGATCGATATAAACTTAAAATAAGTTTCCAAAAAAAAAAAAATCAATAAAAAAAAAGGTTAAAAATTTTAAAAAAACTAACATGTGTGTGGTTGGTTGATTAAAAAAAAAAACTGGTGGTTTATTATTTATTTTTATTATCATGATTAAAAACAAAACAATAACAAATATTAATTAATTAATAAAATAATATAATATCAAGATAGTGAAGAAACACCACCCAACTAATTTTCTAGATTCAAATGAATATCAATAGTAATAGTAGTAGTATCAGTAATGAAAATATTGGAAATGGAAATGAATCAATTCTAACATCTGAAAATCTGTCAAACGACGACAATGATGTTGTTGATGATTTATCAACAATCTTAAATAACAACAACGATAATAATAGTATTGATAATATTGATAATATTGATAATAATAGTATTGATAATTTTATTAATAATATGAATGATAATGATAATTCTCTGAATATTAATAATAATAATAACAATAATAATAACGATTCAATATTACCATTATTAGTAAAACAACAACCACAAACAGAAACAACAACACCATTGTTATCAGAAAATACTACAACATCAGCAACAACAACAGCAGTAACTACAACAACAACATCTAATGATACTTCACATCTTAGAAAGAAAGATGGTGGGGTTAACTTGGCAGACTACCAAGAACAATCTGCTATCAATAATATAAGAGAGATTGCATCACGTCTCTCTACAGATTTTGCAAATGAAGAATTAACACAGCCTGCCAATCTATCTCTATTTATCGGTCAACTTTTAAATCTATATGAACAATATTTAGGTAGAAACGTATGTATATAATTATATAATTAAAATATTAAAAATATAGCAACAATTCTAATCGAATATATATATTTATTAATTTATAAAAATTTGAAATATAATAACAACAATAACAACACACAGGCATTGAACAGACCAAAATATACAAAGTTACCATTAAAGTTATTTAAAGATTACACTTCTACTGGAAGTTTATATCATTTGTTACACATTGTAATTACATTTAAAAATACACACGGTTGGAAACTATCGGATATCCAATCTTCAACAACAAATTCAAAGAATATTGAATTAATTGCGTATATTGAATCAGAGTTATTAGTATGTATAAAAATATAATATATAATTAGAGACTAAACAATTAATTGTATTTTGTTTTAATGATGTTTCTAGAAATTAGGTATATTGAAACCACCAAAAGTATATTTGGTAGAGAATTTAAAGGATAGAATATCGTTGAAAGATATGGTGTTACGACATGGTGGTTCAGTGGTGGAGAGTGAGGACGATGCAACGCATATCATCGATTGCGACGGTCAGACTGCAGTGCCGAATGAATCGGAGGATGAGTATCTTCGTACCATCGAGCATAATAGTAACAATATGAACTTGGTGCACTTTTGGTACTATCCTGATTCATACGATACTTGGGTGCCGTCGTCAGAGGTGGAGGGTGAAGATCCCGATCCAGAGGAACCTAGAGCAACTTGGCGTATCAATTCTCGTTGGATAACCGATTCCGATCTATTCAACGAATGGATGAATGAAATAGATTATGAAAGAGAGGATGATGATGATGAGGATATCGGTGATGATGATGATACAACAACTACAGCAACAAGTACATCATCGACAACAACAACAACAACTACATCAACAACAAATGAAAACATAACAGCAACAACTAGTACTAGTAATACTTCAACAACAAATAACAACAACTCTACAAAGACAACTATTTTAACTGATGAAGACAATGACGATATAATGGATGAAGATGAAGATGATTTGGAGTTGAACAAGAGTGAGACACCAAGTAGATTGCCGCTGACAAGATTGTCAAAATCAAATTCTCCATTGAAAGCATCTCCAAAGCTACAGGAATCAACTATTTCAGATGATCATCTCAATGAATCCAACAAGCGTACAATGAACACAGATAAACAACAGAATCAACAAAATTCATCATCGTCACCAGCTTTCAAGAAGCAAAAGAGAGACATTGTAGAGTCGGACGAATCGCCTTCACCTTTGATTACAACATCGGAGTTGAAATCACCTTCATCATTGTCCAGCGGCAGCGTTAATAGATCTTTCACAGTACCAACACCACCACCTTCAAAGCCATTGCCAAATGTTACTTCTCCTGTGGTATCAGCTCCTTACATTACAGTGAGCACACCCATCAAAGCATCGATGTCACCCTCTTCGCAAATGGTCTACAATCCATCGACTCCACAGCCAGTTTCGGCGTCTGTGATGAAGGCTCCGCTGTCGTTCCAGATGACACCGTCTTCGAATCGACCATCGTCGCGTTCCTCCAACACCAGGAACTCTGCCTCCAAAGAAATAGCTCAGCCAACCGTAATTCCTCTGGTTGTCACCAACATCTCACACCTGCCAAACGAGGAGTATGATGAACTTTTTAATATCTCTACATCGCCGGTCGCAACTCCACCAGGCGACCACAACGGTGTAGAGTCGTCACAACAACCAAAGTTGGAAGTGTTATGCAAGTGGTTCAATCAAGAGGAAATACACGATATCGAAGTCAATCAAATGAGTTCGTTCTTCAATGATTCCGAGCCCGGTAGAACGATGACTGTCTACAAGAAATACAGAGATTACATGATCAACGAATATCGCACCAATCCCTACCGATATCTTTCAATGACCATGGTAGTTAGAGGATTGCAAGTTGACGCAGCTGCGCTGATGAGAGTTCACAGTTTCCTCGAACACTGGAATCTCATCAATTACTTTACCAACCCAGAAGGCAATGTTTGTGTACCACTTCCAAACCCCACACTATCCGATCAGATGCAACCTATCATTCAACATTATCAAGATATAGCAGTAAAAGAAAAAGAAAGTGAGCTACAACAGATCAAAGATAAACAAGAGAAGAAAGCATCAAGAAGAGCAGCTGCTAAAAAGAAGAACAATGAAGATATTATGGAGTTGGATGAACAACAACAAGAAGAAGAGAAAGAGAAGGAGAAGGATCAAGAGAAAGAAGAACAAGAACAAGAACAGTTAGATAATAATGAAAACAATGGAATGGAGATTGAAGAAGAGGATAAAGAAGAGGATAGAGAAGAGGATAAAGAAAGCGTCATTCATACAGCTGAACAGATTGTCAAAGAAGTAGTTGATGAAGTTTTATATCAAGTAGAAAAAGAAATTGAATCAAAGACAGATAAAGAAGAAGAAGAAGAAAAAGAAAAGATTGAAAAAGAAGAGGTAGAGGAAAAGTCAAATGAATCAGTAGACAACAGTACAATCACCACCAACAATAAGATTGATAATGAAAGTCTCAAGAATGATGATGATGAAATCATGAAGGAGATAGAGAGTAATATAGATGTAAATAATCAAATTGAAAAGGAAAATAGAGAAGGAAAAGAGCAAGATTTAGTAGAGGAAGGCGCCGTTGTTAGTAAGTCAGAGGAGTTTCTCTATAGTAATACAAATACAGCAATAGAAGAACCACAACAAGAGCAACAGCAACAACAACAACAATCACTCAGTGTATTAGAGCCAATCAATGAAACCGAGAGTAAAGATACAGCTACAACAGATGCATCAGTTCTGGACAACATTGGTTTACAAGAGAATCAAGATTCAACAACTGCTGAAAAACAAGATAGTAGCGATAAGATAGAGACATCATTTGAGAGCGAGAAACCTGTAGTCGGCAGTAGCAATACTTCAATCGAAGTCGATATGAATGAAACAGAGATTAAGAAGCAAGAGATTCAGAGTGATATCAACGATGTACCACCACCACCACCAACTGACATAGTTGTAGATTCAAATCCAGATACCTTAAATATTCCAAATGTTAATCCCATCGATTCAATGCCAGTCGAAACCTCCATGCCAGACACATCAGTTGACAATCAACATCCCAATGAACCTTCTCAAGAACAACAACAGCAGCAACAACAAGGACAACAACGACAATCTAACACCATCGAAACCACTGAAATTGAATCAACCGCAATCAATACAATTCAAGAAGAGGAAAAGAAGATTACTGAGGAGATTAATAGTAGTACAAATAATAAGATTGTTGAAGACATTATAGCTCCTGTGGAAGTTAAACAACAAGATAGTGATGATAATAATAATGTAGATAATAGTGTTGAGAATAATAGTATTACTTTAGATCCAACTTCAACTTCAACTGAAAACATAGCAGACAACAGTAACGTATCTGAGAGTAATAAACCAACTGATCAAACAGAGAACGTAACATCATTATACATTCCTGAAGTCGATAATAGTGTATCAACAATAACAGTCAACAAGAATTCCGACGATATAGAAGATGAAAAAATGGAAATAGAACCAATGGACTTTGACAATTCATTCAACTCCAAGCCATCAGAAGATACCATTGAAGTTGCGCCACCACAAACATCAACAGACTCTTCAAATCAGAAACAAGATCACCAAGTAATGGAGATTGAAGAAGCATCCGCTAGTAGTAGCAGTAGTAATAGTTCTCAGATGAATATTCAAACTCTTGTGTCCAGTACACCAACCAACATTGTTGAATACGTTCAAGCTCAAGCTAAATCTCAAGCTCAAGAATCATCAATCCCATCACAGGACGTAGTTCAAGTTGTTAATGACGATGAAAAGGAAGATGGCGAACTTGGATCAAGTGATCCAATTGAACCACCACAAACAAAGGTCAATTCACCATCACCACCACCACCACCAGTAGAGCAACAACAACAACTTGCACAGGATGAGAAAGAAGATGGTGAAGTCGATGACGAAGAAGAGACAAGAAGAGAGAAGGAAAAGAGAGTTTCATTTGGTCGACATGTCGAAGAGGATGACAATGCTGAAGAGATGGTCCGTGAAAATGAATACGATGACGACAAGAGTAAAGATACTATGATGAGCGATTCAAAAGAGATTGACGCGAAGCAAGTTGATCATGAGATGAAGGAAGTCAACAACAACGACAACAACAATCAAATGGAGAATGGCACAGATGAATCAACTGAAATCATCATTCATCATGGTGATCATGATGAACAAATCAATGAAGAGACGAATGAAGAATCTTCTACAGCAGCAGCTAAAGACGATAAAGAAAAAGATAAAGAAAAAGAACAAGCAGCAGTAGAACAACCTGAAGTTATAATCAAACAAACATTCAATGTGTTCCCCAAGAAGAAGAATGTATTTGGACAACCACAGCCATTGGTCATTCATAGATGCTCTCACTGCCACAAACAATGTAGTGAGCTCCGATACTTCCTTGTCAACAAACCAGTGTTTAACGAGGGATCGCAACTGCCAAATGAAACCACCCAAATGGAGCTCTGTGTAAATTGCTATAACAATGGTGATTATCCAGTGTATTGCCAATCGTCAGACTTTACTCGTTACGAGCAGAATGTTGCTCTCGATCTTCCTGAGGAGTGGAGTGACCAAGAGATACTGAAGCTACTCGAAGGCATTGAGAGATTCGGTGATAACTGGACTGACATTGCCGAGTTTGTTACCACCAAGACACGTGAACAATGTCTACTCTACTTCCTGAGACTGCCAATCGAAGATGCCTATCTTGAAGACTGTGACAATCATCTTGTAAACAAAACCAACAACAACAACAACCTTGACAAGTCATCATCCGACGACGACGATGATGAAGACAATGAAAAAAATGTTCATGAACAACAAGATCAAGACCTCATGGAAGTTGGTGAACGTGATCAACAAGACGAAATGGATGCAGAGATTGCAGAGTTTGAAATGATTAGCAAACCTTTGGTATCGAATGGATCTATCAACACCTTCTCAGAGTCACAGAACCCATTGATGTCATTACTTGCTCTGCTATCGAGCACTATGAGTCCGAGCTTGGCATCTGCCGCCGCCAAAGCTGCCTTTGATTTCATTGGTGAGGAAAAGAACAATCCTAGAGATAGTTTGTTGGCATCAACCACTGAAGAAGTCATACTGACGCCACTCAACCATGAAGTATCAAAGAAAAACATTCAAGAAGCATCGAATGCAGCACTTTTAGCAGCATCAGAAAAAGCAAAGGTAAGTTTACTTTTTACAATTGTTAAATTATTGCAAACAATTAAAATTACTAACTTATTATTATTATTATTATGTTTATCTTATAGATATTATCAAAGATTGAAGAGAGACAAATTAAATCACTTATGTTGAAGATGATAAATGTACAAACTAAAAAACTGGAAATGAAATTGAAATACTACACAGAGCTTGAGGATAGCATCGAGAAAGAGAGAGTATCATTGGAAAAAGCTAAACACAATCTTTTCGATAACATAGATAGACACTTGCAATCATTCTCGACAACACCCAATCCTAGTACAAGCACATCGGCCACACCAGCACCAACCACTCCTACAACAACCTCTGTCAATTCCACACAAAATCCAACAACTACAACAACAACTACAACTTCAACTTCACCAAATGTAAATGTACCAATAACTACAACAATGGTGTAATAACATTAATAATAATCAAACCAATAGAAAAACCAAATAAATTCATATCACTTGTAAAAACTATATTCACGATGACTCTGATGCTTTGATTTTTGCTTTTTCTTAACTAAAATGTTTTATATCATGCATTATCCACCAAAACCAAATTCTTTGATATGTTTTAGTTATTAAATCAATAAACTATTTAATTACTTTTTGTCTTAAAAATTACTAATTTAAATTTTATTTTACAAAGAATTATTACTATTAAAATTATTCTTCTCCAACTTTGAAAGATATTCTACTAATACTATATATGGTTCAATCGCATGACTATACTTTTCTTTATATTTCAATAGTGTGCCAATTGGAATCGTCAAATTATATAACATCCATTTCAATGTGCAATTTGATTCCGCCACAAAAGCTTGTACCAAGAGTTTATCAATGTCATTTTCCATCGATTGTTTAGTGTATTCCGTTCGATTGTCCAATAGCCATTGTAATACTCGAGAATTATTATTTTTTATAGCATTGAAAAATGCTTTTTCTGTACAACCTTCTGTTCGATTTTCATGTAACCATTTTATAGCATCAAGAGAACAAGTATTATCCATTGTATCAGTAGAGAATCCAAATCTATTAGTTTCACCTTCATTCCTCTCATGTAGATATTTTATGACTTGAAGATTATCAACTCTTTCCAACACTGTGTTTGAACATCGCTCACTGGTATTCTGTTCGAACCATTCTAAAATCTCCACATGTCCTGCAAGAGCTATTTCATCCATAATGTTATCAGCTGAATATCTCTCTGTCCTATTTTCATGAAGCCATTTGACCATCGACAAATCACCATTCTGAATAGCCGATCTCCATGCTTTATCACTACATCCTTCTGTCCTATTGTCATGCAGCCATTGAACCAAATTCCAGGTTGCCTTTATTAACAGCTTTATTCATAGCTTCAACAGTACAACCTTCACTTCTATTTTCATGCAACCATTTCACAATGTCCAATCGATTTTTATGCACTGCAAGGTCTATTGTATTAGTAGTACACTTGAAAGTGGTATTCTCATGTAGCCATTTGAGAACTTTCATACTACCAGAAGCAGCAGCACGATCCATGATATCTTCGCTACAAGCACAACCCAAATCGTACAATAATTTGAACATATCAAATGCATCTTCAGAATAGAGTGCAAAACAAATATATTGTGTATTGTCCTTGTCTTTTGGTTCACCGTGTTCGGCAACCAAGTAACGAATGACATCGATTTGTTTTCCCGTTGTTGCAGAAGAAAACATTGTCGAATTCTCCAGATCCTCATATCTATTTACTAACAACCACCGGATCACCTCCAAATTACCATTATATGCTGCCTTATTAAACAGATTATCATGGTGAACATGTCTTTGATACGTTTGACATTCATCTGGTATATTGGCAAAGAACTGAATCTTTTCAAGGTCAGGTCGATAGCTTGATATTAACGCCGCCATAGCTTTCACAAAACAAAATCGATAGGTTGGGAATTTGTCAATTAGAAACTGAACGACATTCATTCTTCCATGATAGGAAGCAATCGACATTAGAGTCTCCATGTAGTGCAGCGAGGAATTGTTATGCGTCATTGACAACTCTACTCTCTCTTTCATTCTGTGTCGGTCCAGTAGATAATCCAATATTTCCAAACTACAACTTCGAATCGCACCACCAAGATTGAAAGACTTACAGTACTCTCAAAAGTGTATTGATGGAAATTGTTTTTTTTTCTTTGACCATCATTAAGTAAGTGTATTTCACTTTATTATTTTTTTTTATTTCAATGATCACAATTTTACTTTACAAACAAATATGATTTATAAATACTAAGCTTGAAAGAATAACAAACATAAAAAAACAAATTACTAAAAAATATAATGTTATATCATACCATTGATTTATTGAATAAATAAAAACAATGTATAGAAATAATTTGATTTATGTTTGTTTTAATTTAGAAACCAAAATCTCCACAACCACGACCGAATCCACCACAACCTCCACAACAACTACCACCACCAAAGACATTAACATCACCAAAAATAACATTGGTAGTTCTTCTTCTTCTACCCCAACCGAAACATTGCTCTTGGTTGGAGGAATCAATAGATGCACTACCAGCGGATCCAGCAATGTCTGAAGAGGAACTGTTTTCCAAACCAGAGAATGAGTTACCCAACAATGAAATTGATTCTAGAACAAATAAAATAAATAAATAAAATTATAATTCTTTTGATTAATACATATTATTAATAATTATTTATAAATATTTAAAAATAACATACTGATAAGAGTCATTTTATTTACTAAGATAACTTGTTATTTCTATTGAATATAGAATGATTTGATACTTACAGTCTACATTGTTGATCAGTATTTATACTTAAAGAAATATATTAAAATTAAAAATAATAAAATAAAATAAAAAAATAGAAATATGACATTGTATTTAGATTGATTACAACTTTAAATGATGATTATTTTTGAACTATATTAATAAAATAAAATCTTTCATCCATTCCATTTAAACTTGTGTTAAACAGATAAATCAGTGAAAGTTCGCCAAAACTTAAAAAGGTTTTGAATTCAAACTATCGACAATGGCGCGAAAATTATTATCCGTTATAAAAAAAAAATTTGGTCAATAAAAAATAAGTTTAAGTTAAATTGATAGTTTGTTTGATATTAATATAATTAAAAATAATAAATAGTTATATTTAAGTAGATAATTATTTTATTTGTAGTATATTAACATTGATATCAATTATATTATATTGTTATGTTATATATGTATTAATTAATTAGTAAGAAGAAGAATGAGTGAATCATCACATAATAATAATAATAGAAACACACCACATTCAAATAGGAAGTTGGCACCAAAGATATCTAGAGCGATGTTGGATCGTGCTAGAAACATAAAGAGTACATTCTCTGTTACTGAGACAAAAGAGAAAGTAGTAGCTACTAATGAGAATGATAATGATAGTGACAATGACAATGGTGATCACTCATCATCATCATCAACATCAAAATCAACATTACCAACACCTAAACCAACAAATAAAACCACCGATGATAATGATGATTTAAAGGAATTGGAGAGAAAGTTGAGTCAGACATTATCAGTTTCAAAACCAAGAAAGTCAATAAAGATATTTGAAGAGGAGGAGGAAGAAGAAGAGAAAGAGAAAGTGGTAGTGAAGCAATCGAATCTTACAAATCAATTGGAGGAAGAGGCAAAGCAAATGAGAATGAAACGACAACAACAACAAGAAGTAGAAGAGGAAGAGAAAGATGTAATAGTAGTACCAAGTAATAATAGAAATAAAAGAATCATTATCGATGATGAAGATGATCTTGAGAAGATAGAGAATCATCATACAAATAATAATAAAAATGAAAAGCAGTCAACTAAGCAACAAATATCAGTTATAGAGATTACTGATGAAGAGGAAGAGGAAGAAGAAGAAGAGGAAGAGGAAGAGGAAGAACCAATTGTAAATAAAAGAAGACCAGCTTCCAATAGATCTATTAAGATAGAATCAGAGGAGGAGGAGGAGGAGGAAGAGGATGAAGAAGAGGAGGAAGAGGAAGAGGAAGAAGATGATGAAGAGGAGGTTATAGTAAGAAAGAAAGTAATAGTTAGAGGTAATAAGAAACTAACAGAAGAAGAGTTAGAGGTAGAAGCAGATAACTTGGATGAAACTGATGGTGAAGAGGAAGAACAAGAAGATGACAAACCAAATTCAGATGATGAAAAGTTTGTTGTTAATGACGACGATGAAGAAGAGGAAGAGGATGAAGAAGAGGATGAAGAAGAAGAAGAGGAAGCTATTGAGGAGGAAGAAGATGATGATGAATATATAGATTCAGAGTCAGAGGAATCCGATGATGAATATGTACCACCAAAGAGAACAAGAGACAATAAACCAATCAAACCATCAAATAGTAACAACAACAACAGTATTATGAACAGTAAGAAGTTTAGTAGAGTTGTAAAGAAGAGAGATTATGAGATTGATGAAGATGAAATAGATCATGAAAAAGATGAAGAAGAAGTAGAGAAAGAGAAAGAGAAGAAGAAGAAGAACAATAATAAGGATAGTAAAGAAGAGAAAACAACATCAACAACAACAACAACAGGAGAACCAGATAAATATGAAGATCAGATGAATGGTTTCTTTAAGAATCTTAGAACGGGCGACTATCATGACACCACCAAATACTTGGATGAGAAGACCAACAAGGAGCACGAGTACGTATTGAACGCTGACACCTATGAAGCGTTGTTTTGGTATCAACGAGAGGGTATCGATTGGATGTGGAAGCTGTTTGTCAAGGGTGCCGGTGGAATCTTGGGTGACGACATGGGACTTGGCAAGACGATGCAAGTCATCTCATTCCTCAAGCAGATGCATAAGTCGCGCTTCATCACACACTCACTCGTAGTGATGCCAGTCTCGCTGATCGAGCACTGGGTCAAAGAGTTTGAGAAACGACAGCCGACAGTGCGTGTCTTGGTCTACCACGGTAACAATCAGCGAGAACGTCAACAGAATCTCGAGACGATAAAGAAGCTGGGTGGTGTCCTCATAACCACGTACGGTATGATCGTATCGAATTGTGAACCGCTGAAAGAGTACAAGCGCAAACCATTCACCTGGGACTATATTGTGTTGGACGAAGGTCATAAGATTAAGGAGACCAAGACAAAGATCGCCAAGACCATGCGTGAGTTGACTGCACACTACAAGATCATAATGACCGGAACTGCCATACAGAACAATCTACGTGAGCTGTGGGCACTCTTTGACTGGGTGTGTGACGGTTCACTCCTTGGCTCGGTCCGTTCGTTCGCCTCTAAATTCGAGAAGCCAATTCTCAAGGCACACATTGCCGACACCTCACAATCACAGAAAACACTTGGTTCTGCAGTTGCCGAGTCACTTCGTCAAATCATTGCTCCCTATTTCCTACGTCGTGAGAAGAAAGATGTATTTCCAACAAACAACAACAACAACAATAGCAATAGTAACAACAAAGATAATAACAACAACAATATTGACAACAAAGAAAACATTGAGAATCTATCAAATGTTACAAATGAAACGACAACTAAACAAACAACATCGACAACAACAACAACAACAGTTAGTTCGTTGAAAACAAAGAGAATGTCAGTCAAAGGTATAAAGACTAGAAAGAATGATTTCGTTTGTTGGATAAAGTTGGCGGAACCACAGATAGAGATTTACAAGACATTTTTGAATTCCGAGGAGGTGAAGGATGCACTGAATAAGACATCGAGTCCACTGGCTGCACTCACTGTATTAAAGAAGATATCGGATCATCCTTTGTTGTTGCACGAGGAGATGTCATCCTGTGCCAGTCCAGAGATGAAACAGATCATGCACAAGTTTGGTGATAACTCAACGATTAAATCACTCGTTAGAAACTCTGGAAAGATGCAATTCCTCTACTACCTACTGCCAAATCTCAAGCAAGAAGGTCATAGACTTTTAATTTTCAGTCAATCCGTAAAGATGTTAAATGCAATTGAACAACTATTAAATTATTTGGTAAGCTATCATCTATTATTACAAATGAATCGATAACCAAACTAAACTAACTCTAAACTCTACTATTAATACAAATAGAAACTTAGCTTTTTAAGAATAGATGGATCAATTTCATCAAGTAAAGAAAGACAAAAGAGAATCGATGAGTTCAATGGTGATAGAGAGATCTTTTGTTTCCTCTTGACAATTCAAGTTGGTGCTCTTGGACTTAATATGACATCTGCTGATAGAGTGGTCATTTGTAAGTTTATTTAACTAGTTTATAAACAAAAAGATCATTATTATCTAATCTAATTGTAAATTCTAACCTTTCTTTAATTCTGTTTTTTAGTTGATCCATCTTGGAACACAGTTGACAATCAAGCTGTAGATCGTGTCTATCGTATTGGTCAAACAAAAGATGTTGTAGTTTATAGATTAATGTGTTGTGGTACAATGTGAGTATTTTAATAATAATTTATTATATTACTATATTTTTAATTTATTAACAATGTTTGTTTGTCGTGTAATTAATTATAGTGAAGAAAAGATCTATCGTAAACAAGTATTCAAAGGTGCTTTGATGAAGACTATGCTTAATCAGGGTAAAGGTCAGCATAGATACTTCTCGAGCAGTGAGTTGAGAGAGTTGTTCAGATTGGATGACACCAATGTATCGTCGACTCAGATGTATCTGGAGGGTCTGCACTCTAGTAAGAGAAAGACAAGCGAAGAACTCGACCAACACATTCAGTTCTTGGGTAAGCTTGGCATGTTGGCCGGTCTCAGTGACCACGATCTACTCTTCACCGAAGAGGTCTCTGTCGATCACAACGAAAACGATGTTAAAATGGTCGAACAACAAGTTAGCTCTACTATTACACCAAGTAAGCAACCAAGAAAGAAGAAGATTACAATCGTTACAAAAGATACTGTAAGTATCATCATTATTATGATCATTTTTATTATTATAATGTAATACTAATAATATAATTGGATATAAATATATAGCCAAATAAATCAAAGGTTATGAAACAGAACTTTATTTATGTTGACGATGATTATAATGATGATGAAGTCGACTTGACAGTGGAGACATACAACCCTAGAAACATAAACACCACTGGTTCTTCTATTGTTAGAAAACCAAGTACATCTATTCCTCTTGTCATCAATCTTGATAATGAAATTACTTCTAAACCTAAGCCACAGCAACAACAATCAAGACCAGCTTCAACAACTCAAACAATAGTACATAACAACGTACACCCACAACAACAACAACCTCCAAAACAATTGATTCCAGCATCGGTTGTTAATCAAATGCAATCACAGCAATTACAAAAGCAGATTCAGCATATCAATACAACAACAAGTAGTATTACACATGCTAATGCAAATGCAAATACAAATACAAATGATAATAACAAACTATTAGATGATTATAATAGATTAATTTTGGAGGCAAAGTAAGTATTTTATTAACAACTTTTTGGTAATAACATTACAACCAACTAACAAATATTTTAGCAAATATTCTAAAACAGATAAAGTTAGATCTATTAATCTTCTCCTAGATGCTTTACAAGTTAAATATAGTGTGGAATTGGAAAATTTGATTAGACAAGAATATGAATATATGGATATCAATTAAATAAAAGTCAACCAAAGAAGACTAGAGTTAATTAAATAAATAGAGTGTTTAACAATAAAATGTTAGAGATTTAGAATTATTTAATTATTTAACAATTATGTTTTTTTATTATTTTGTTTTATTTTGTTGAGTAAAGATTAAGGTAGATTAGTATCAATAATGTTTACCCAAAAGTTTGCACATTTCATATGGAATTGATTGTGATTGTGTTGAGTAATGTTGTCAAATGCAGAGTCCAGTGAGTTACCACAGATATAACAATTGCTGGTCGATGACTTTGAAGTGGAGAGGTTCGATCTCTGTTGTTGGGGTGATGGTGGTGTGAAGAATTGGAATTTGATTTCATTAAAGTAGGGAACGATCTGTTTCCAGAGCACATTGATCTTATTGTTCAGGTCGTCCAGTATGCTACTACTGCAGTCTTGTTCTACCAGCGACTTGTGAATGTTATAGGCGATCGAGAAGATCGATGACAGCGACTGCAGATAATCTCTATACTTTTGCGATGGCAGTATCTGTGTTCGAACTTTGGCATCCTGTAGCTTTATCATTGCCAGCACATCTACCGATTGACTCAGTTCCTCGTGACAGTTGTAAAGAGCAGTTCCACTAATCTCAATATTTATTTTCTTTAATGGTGTCTTTTTCACTTCTGTACCATTCAATATTGATCTTTAAATGATAAATAAATGAGTCAATAGATCATTAATATGAATGTTTGTAATATTTGTTTTTAGTAATAAACTTACTGAACAAGTGTTTTTGACTTTTGTTGAAGTTCATAAGCAACCATGAGATCAGTGTTGGCCATTGATGACAGTGGTTGATGGTCAAACTGTGAGAAAAAGGTATCGATTGTTTCATTTGGAATGTTCTTTACTCTTAATGATTGCTTCATTTGAACAATAGTCGAATGATTGGCTGGTGGTGCATCAGTCCATTGAACAATCTTGTTTTGAACTTGTTGATCTAATTCTTTTTTACTACTATCATATTCCTATAGTTTTAAAAAATAAATAAAAATGATAAAAGTTAAATTAACCTAATGAATATGAATAGATATATTAATCTTTGATTGATAATTACTTTGATTTGTTTTTGACAATCTATAGCCTCTTCTAATCTCTCTTGAGATATCAATTGTGAGAGAATGTCTAGCAATAAACTTTGATTGGGTGTTGGTATTGAGACGCTATTGTTGTTTTGGGTGATTGGTGTATGAGCTTTGGTGGAAGATGAGGCTGATGGTGTCGGTGTTAAGATGTCATCGGTTAATATTACTTTGGCATCACTCTTTACTTGTGATTTAGATGTTGATGAAGCAGGTGAAATTACATCGAAATCTCCGAAATCGAAATCAGTTGATAATGTAGATGGTTTTTGTGTTGTAGTAGTAGTAGCTATTATTGTAGATGATGAAGAAGTAGATGGTGTTAGAACAGAGGTAGTGTTGGATGGTTTCAAAAAGTCATCGAAATCAAATGCTGATGATGATGTTGTTGTTGTTTTGGTTAGTGGTATTGAATTGATTGGTGTGATTGTATTATTATTTGGTGTAAGTGTTGTGGTTGATGATGATGTTGTTGTTGGTATTAGTGTTGAGTTGGTAGATGTAGATGCTGATGGAGTAAGTAAAGTTGTTGGAGTAAGTGTATTTGCAACAACATCCAACTCAGGATTATCACTGGATTTGAAATCAGAGAATCCTTCAAATTCATCGAATTCCTCATTGGATGGTGTAGAAGCAACAGGTTGCAATGTTATTGTTGTCGTCGTTGTTGCTGTTGTTGTTGGTTGTAACAATGTTGATTTGTCTTTTGATAGTGAAGAGGAGTTAGATGATGAAGGAATCAATGTATCTAAAGCGTTGTTGGTTTGTGTGGCAGTTGATGTAACAGGCACTGTAATGGTTGTAAAGAATGTATCGTCATCAAATAGATTAGTTGTTGGTGCAGCTGGTGGTGGTGGTTGAACTACTTTCTTTGGAACGTTTGGTGATGATGATAATGAGGAAGAACTCTCTGTTGGAAGACGAATGGGAGGTGGTGTAGAAGAAGCGGATTTGGGAAGTGGAACGATGATCGGTGACATTCCACTCGGTGATTTAATTTGTGGCAATGGAATGGTTGGTGTAGTTGATTTTACTGGTGGTATAGATGGTGGAATAATAGTTGTAGCTGTTGTTGCTGTTGGAATCGATGGTGAAATGGGTGGAATTGGATTAGGAACTAGCTCTTTAAGATTCGGTTGAGTCATAGGTGGTGAAAGAGTATCTGCAAACATATCTGGCATCACAGAGTTGTATGATTTATTCTCTTGGAACACATCGGCAGTTGCTTTCTTAAATTGGTTACTTAGATTCAATACATTCTCTTTAATATCCTGTTGTTGAGTAGGAGTAACTACAGCTGGTGTTGGTTGTTCAAAACTAGCGACATCATTAACTGAATCTTCGAAATCACCAAATTCGTCTGCAACTGTTGTTGTTACTTTTGCTGTTGTTGTTGTCGTTGAAGTTGTTGTTGTTGTTGTTGATAATAAATTGGCAGTTAAATTAGTTGGTGCTACTACAGAGGTTGTGACTGTGGTTGTTGCATCTGGAACAGAGAAAAAGTCAACCTCTTTCTCGACGTTATCAAATATCTTTTTGTAGTTGTCAGAATTCGACCAGAATCCACCACCACCACTTGTTGTATTAGATACAGATGATGATGTTGTTGTTGCTGTTATTGATGATGGATCTTTCTTTATACCAGCTAATCTAAGTGATTCCTGCATCAACTTTTGTAAATCAATCTTTCCATCGTCTTCAACAGCTGCAGGTGGTGTTGATGTTTGTTGTTGAGTTACAGATCCTCCTGCTGATAATGATGTCGTTGTTGTTGTTGTTTGTTGTGGTAATTGTGGCATTCCTGGCATCGATGGCATTACAATTGGTTTAGTGACTGACGATGATTTTGATTGTGATTGTGATTGTTCTAATGAAGTCTTTCCAACACTGCCATTATTCATATTAAAACTATTATTATTGTTATTACTACTACTTATTGCAGCACTTTCAAACTCTGAAGATTCAAAACTTCCAAATTCTCCAAACTCGTTGGCTGCTGCACTTGTCATATTACCAAACGATTGTTGCTGTAACATCGAGTTAAATGTACTATTACCAACATTATTTAGTTGCTGTTGTGGTTGCTGATGTTGACCATGTGGATAACCGAAATGTTGCTGATGTTGTTGTTGATGTTGATGATGTAATTGTTGTTGTTGGTTAAATTGTCCAAAATGTGGTTGTTGAGGTTGTTGTTGTTGTTGTTGTAGCATAGAGTTAAATGATGATTGATTAGCTGTCGTTGGTGATTGATTACCCATTATTCCACCATGTTGTTGTTGTTGTTGTGGGAACATTGGAGATGATACTCCACCAAATCCATGTGGTTGTGATTGTAAATGTTGCTGTTGTTGTTGTTGTTGCTTTGATAATGAACCACCACCACCACTACTAGTACCACCTGCAATTTGATTCCTATCGACAGAATTCATTGGACTCTTTGCAAGTATTTCATTGGCCAAGATACTGTTGCTGTCTGGCGATGGCTGTGCTGGCGATGTATCAGCATCGACCATCTCTCTAAGAATATCGTAATTTGGCATTCCTGCTCTTGGTGGTGCACCTGTTCTCTGTGCATTTGCTGGTAGTGGTTGCAGTAATCCCTATTATCATAATTATAATAATATTATTATTATTATTAACAAAAGAGTAAGTATACATACAATACTTTATGAAATTAATGAAAATAATCTAAACACTTACATCTTGTGATTGAATGTTATTATTATTATTATTATTGTTATTTGAAGCACCAGCAGCCAACTCTGGGAAGAATTGTAAGAGTTGTTCTTGTTTACTCTTTTGTTGTTGCTGTTGTTGTTGTTGCTGCTGTTGTTGCTGTACTTGTGGTAAGAAGTTATCAAACATACTTGGTTGTTGTTGCTGCTGTTGATAATACATCATATTCTGACCATACATCATAGCATTAGGATTCTGTTGATACATCATCTGCTGTTGATATTGTTGTCTCTGCATCATTTGATTATATATTTCATTGTTTTGTGGTTGTTGTTGCTGTTGTTGGAAAAACTGATTATTTTGTGGATTTTGTTGTTGTTGCTGATAGTATTGTTGTTGTTGCTGTTGATTATAGAACTGTTGTTGTTGTTGCTGTTGCTGCTGTTGGTTATAAAATTGTTGTTGTTGTTGTTGTGGATTATATTGTTGTGGCTGTTGTTGATTATGTTGTTGATTATATTGATTATACATTTTTTTGTTATTTGTTATTGTTTGTTTAGTTTTAAACAAATAAAAAACAACTATATTAACTAACTAACTAACTAACTAAATAACTAAATACTTGATAAATCTTTTATCTGAAATGAAAGAAAATAAAATTAAAAAAAAAAAAAAAAAAAGTGTAATAGATAGATTATCGATTGATTAAATAATTAATTAATTTATTAATTGATTGATTGATTGATTGATTATTATAATAACACAAACTAAATATAAAACATCGTTTGTTCAAAAAGCAATAATGCGTACTTATAACAGGTTGAAAAAAATGAACAACCCTTACCCTTATAATTAACTTTCATTGGATTTTTTTAATTTTTTTAATTTTTTTTTTTTTTTTCCCCAAATGAACTTGGTTGGTGAAATGGTTAAAACACAATTCATACATAGATATATTACCAATCTAGATTGGTTTTCTTTATCTATAGAAATTTAAAGGGAATATTTTTGCTTTGATCTTTTTAGATTAAAACTTTAAAGAAAAAAAATTATTTTTTTTATTCAACAACAAAATTGATTGTCATAAAGTACAATAGTTAATTGTTTGTTGTGAAGGAATAACTAACTTCTATTCTGAAGTAATTCATTTAAAATGCATTATTTATATAATAATATTTTAACATAGTGTGTATATAGACTCTTTTAATTAATATTCCTTCAGGTCATGTTTGTTTTTTTTTACAAGTAAAAAAATAAAAAATATTTAAGTCATAAAACAGACAAAGAATATTTTTGTGTTCAATTGATGATATCATTACTTTGACTCTAATCTATTTAATCGTAATAACAATAATTAAAAAAAAATAAAAATAAAATAAAAACCAAACAAGTTATATAACTTTTTTCAAAAAATAATCGGATTTTCGGCAAATCTCTTTAAGTTAAGGAGTCGACCAAAAAAGACATAAAATGCAAAACCTAAGTTTGACTAAAAAAAGATCATTGTGATGATTTACTGTGTTAAATAAAAAAGAGAGTTTTATAAATTCTTTGAGTTGGTACCAAACCTTTTTTTTATTTATTGTTTGTTACAAAAATAAACATATTTATTTTTCTTATACAAATATTCAAAACAAATTAGTATAATAATATAATATATTAGTATGGGTTCATTAATTAGTACTGCTTATGATCGTTCACTTTCATTAACACTCAAGGGTGGAAACAGACCAAGTGTATGTAGTGTTTTACTCAATGATTATGCATAGTCATTATCTTTACTTTGTTATGTTCAATCAGTATTATCAAACAATCAAACAAACAACACAAACATTCAATCCATCAATCCATCAATCCATCCAATCTCAATTAGATAATAATCTAAATGAATATCTTCTCAAATAGAATTGAATAGAATCTTGACAAAAAATAACAAACGAAAACTATCTATCAATCATTCATTCATGACTTTAGATATTTTTTGACACTGCACACTACATAATGCAAGATAATATGTTGTTGTTTTCTTCTGTAATGTCAATTGAATTGTTGTTGAAGATCATTACATCACCACACATCCACACTCACCACTAGAACTTAAGTAAAATTATAAAAAGAGATGTTTTTTTTTTTTGTTTTTTTGTTTTTCAGTACATCCGAAGAGCGGGGCATTTTTACAAAAACAAGGCATTGCCTTTCGGGATATTTCGAGAAAAACATAAAAATGGATAATTTTATAAAATGTTTTATTTTTTTATTCTTTTGTTTTTTTTATTGTACCGATCGGTTCATCTTCCGAATCTACTTATGCAATCAAAACAATGCTTTTGCAAACATAAAAGTTTAAATAATTTTATTTTTACTTTTGTTTTTTCATTACACTCAACATACCAAGTTAAGTTATAATTAGATGGATTGTTAATATATCATCTAAATTAATTAATTAATTAACTTGGCAAAATAAATCAAATATCAATATCAATTATTATAATTATCAAACAAAAGAATCGAAATAAATAGAGAATAATAATATTTATTTCTTTTCAAATATTTATTTTCTAATTTATTAAAAAATATTCAATTTAATCTTTATTTAATTTAAGATATGGAAAAACTAAATCCAATATTAATATCTAAATATTTTGTAAATTTACAATCTGGAAAGAATCTTTATATCACTGGATTTTTGGTATCGTTTTTGCTCGGAGTTCGTTTGTTGAGAAATGTGTTCTCAAAGCAAATGAATTTGAAAGGTAAATTGGCAATTGTCACCGGTGCATCGAGTGGAATCGGACTTTCGATTGCAACTGAGTTGGCTAGCAAAGGTGCTACCGTCTGCTTGGTTGCTCGTTCCAAAGACAAATTGAGTGTCATCGTCGAGGATTTGAAATCCAAGGGATTCGAAGCTTTCTACATCTGCGCTGACCTCAGCAAGCCAGCTGATGTCACTCAATGTCACCAAGCAGTAATGCAAACCATTGGAAATCGTCCAGTCGATATCCTTGTCAATTGCGCCGGTGCAGGTCACTGGAAATTCATTGAAGAAACATCAATGGAAGAATGTAATGAAATGATGGCATTACCATGTAAGTTAATCAAATCAATCAATATATTTAAATTAGAAAGAAAAAGAAACTAATTATCTATACCTATTTTCAAAATGTGGAATGAATTCGAAAAATGAAGATTTCGCAGCATTTTATATGACAAGATTATTTATTCCAAGAATGTTAAGTTTGAATAGTGGATATATTATTAATGTAAATTCACCTGCATCATCGAATCCATGGCCAGGTTGTATTGGTTATGCATGTTCACGTTATGCTATGCGTGGTTTCACTGATGCTTTGAGAATGGATTTGAGAGGAACCAACGTTCAAGTGATGGAAGTGATTGCCGGTGAGACCAATTCCAACTACTTTGAAGCGAACGGAATCGATGAATCGCACTTCCCATATCTAGCTCAATGGCTACCAAAGATTTCACCTTCGGACGTTGCCAAGTCAACAGTTAGCGGAATCATCAACAACAAGAGTCGTGTAGTGACTCCATCGTCACTCGGTTTCGTCATTAGAATGGGTCAACTATTCCCTAATTTCACCACCTTGTTTGTCGCTCGCTCACCAAGAGGTGATCAGAGAATTCAAAACATCTTGAAATCCGCTGAGAATTCAAAAACCAAACAAGAATAACTCCAAGCGACTAGAGTTATTGCAACAACATTCCCCTTATTTATTTGCCTAAAAATATAAAAAAGAAATAAAGTCATATTTGTATTTTAATAAATTTCCAACTATTATTATCAAGCCATGGCTTAATCTTTATTTGATAATAATATAAACACCAATTTTAATGGTGATACTGACAGTATCAAAGTTGCCTCTCAATGTAAATCAAAAGTTTGTATAGCCTGTAACTGGTTATTTTTTTGTTATATAACTTTTTTTATTATTGCAAAGATATAATTATATAATATATATTAATATTACATTGTTTTATATATTGATTTTATCCATCGCATATCTATCTATTTAATCAAAATCAAATCCAATCTATATTTAATAATATTAGACCTGATTGATTTTTAAGGTTGTTGTTGCTGTTGCTGTTGCGCTCCTGGCTTGACTCTTACCCAACCTAATTGGGCTGATGATCTTCTATTTCCTGAACTTGGTGTTACATTTGTCAGAATAGTTGTATTGGTAGTTGGAGTTGTTGTTGTTGTTGTTTGTGTTGGTGTTGAACTTTCCAAACTTGGACTATTATTATTACTATTGCTATTGCTGGCTCCGCCTGAAAGTGAAAGTGTAGATATATCAGCTGTTGTTGTTTCATTAGTTGAAGTGGTAGTTGGTGTTGAAGTTGTTGATGTTGGTCGTTTTTTCTCAAATACTGGTTCATCTTGTTGCGGTTGTGAAACTGGTTCAATCTCATCATCTGATTTAATATTGTTATTGATATCGTCGTCTTCATCAACCATCAGCTCTTCAATGTCACCGTCTTCCTCCATGATGGCGTCGGCAGAACTAACTGGCAAACCAAGGAATTCACGTTCGGGTGGCGGGAAATTCTGGATGAGATTCTCAACGAATGCCTTCTCGTGATTGACGTTGCTCAACATCACCGATGGATCGTTCGATGGACATCGGAGAATGGTCGGTGCGAATATCATTGCCATGTTGCTGCTGCCCATCTTTGAGTGGGCAACGAATTCGTAGCGACAGAAGATCTGGACGAAATTTATCAGGTAGCTGAGCACCTTGAAATTGATGGCTGGAATTCGCTTGACCAACTCCATGGAGCCCGCTGGATTCTCTATGCAATTCTGGTAGAGTGACAGTGGGATGATTGGTTCGGGGATATCACGCAGCCACTGCTTGAAGAGCGCTGCCGGTGTACGCACGTCGTCGATAGCCGACAAATCAAAGTTGGCACGATCGATTTGCAAACGATACTCTTTGATGGAACTGACAATTCCTGGAACTCTGAAAATACCTTCTTGGACGTGTCCTTTCAGCTTGCAAATGACTTCCGCCAGCACTACGAGGACACGTGGAACTTCGAGAGTTGGATGAGTGTCCCGCTGTTTTATCATCAGTTCCTCGAGTGATACACCGTACGATGCTGTTGGTAACAATGGTTCTTTGACCGATGGCTTATATAGATTGGTGACAGAGGTGTTTGGTGACATTGGATCCTCCTTTTTGGTCGATGATTTCGAGAAGAATTGATCTCTCAGTGTTTTCGTATTCCAACCAGATTTCTTTTGAAGTTTTCCTTCGACGTATGGTTCATATTGGAATGCTGTACCAACAACTTTCTTCATCATATTCTTCTTTATAAAGTCTTGGACATCATTTTGATTATCGACTTGATCAATCAATCGCTTCACACCCTCGTAGGATTGTGAGTAGACAGGTGGTAAATCATTGATAATCTTTGTCCAATTTACCCAATATGTTCTTGTTAAATGTATATGTGTAACCATGAAATGCTCGAAATCCTAAAGCAAGTAATTAATTGAAATTAGTAAACTTTACTAATTTTTGTTTTGTTGTTTTTTTTTCCAGTTCTGGAAATTAATATTTCATAATAATATTTACATTTAAAATCTTTGGCATTAATTCTGTGTTGTAAAGATTCTGGAAATCGTTGGTTGCTTTGATTTGCTCTTTGTATTCATCATCGTTCTGTGCTTGTTCCAACTCGAGACGTTCTTTCTTCTTTTCGAGCTTGGCAATGTCACTGGCGGTGTCTGGCTGCTCACGCAGGTCTTTCAGCTCCAGTCGAGTCAACTCCAACTCCTTTGACACCTTTTCGTATTTGGTTTGCGATTTCTTGAGTGCTTCAATCATGCCTTTCATGTCGACTCGCAGACGTGTACCGTCGTTGACGATCTTCTTTCGTTTCGACTCCATATCCTTGATCATCGCTTGGAATGGCTGACAAACTTTGTTCAAGATGCTACCATTGAATGTTTGATGTTGTTCCGACTCGAAATACGTTGAATTCACAATCTTTTTCCAACCATTATTAGTGGTGGATACTTCCAACGAATCGTTCTGACCGATGAGCTTCGACGCCAGTTTCTCCAACTTCTTGGCGTGTTGATCTTCGAGTTCCGCTCTCTTTTTGAAAAACATCAAAATATTCTTTGATTGTTGTAAATCATTCTCTGTTCTCTTACATAACAAATCGAATCCTTCCTATAAAAATAGAAATATAAAATCACCTTATTAATATAACTTCTCCAATATTGTATGTATCTAATTAGTTTAAACATACCCATAGATTTTCTGAAAACTTTAATTTTCCGGATGAAGTATTCATTTTATATTTTCAGAGTACTTCACTAAATTTATACAAAAAGTGAAAGAAAAAAAAACAATATATATATAGAAAAGAAAAGAAAATTAACAACAAACAATGTGCTCTATAATAATACAACAAACAAAAAAGACTATATTAAAAAACCTAAACAATAATGTGCTACTACTAATATTCGGTATTGGTATGGTTTTGTTAACTAAAAAATAAAAGGTTGATATGATAATGATGATGTTTCTATTTTTGAAAATGTATGTTTATATATAAATTAATAATAATGAATATTAATAAAGTAAAGTGGCTGGTTTTGAAGGAAGAAGTTATCGGGTCACTAATACTGATATTAATTAGTTTTCTTTTTTTTTTTTTTTTTTATTAATGAAAAATAAAATTTTTATGATGATTTTTCCGATTTGATGTTTGATACTTGTTAAACAAAGTGATTTTTCTCTCTTTTCAGATAAATGATAAAAATTTAGAACTAAAACTGTTTCTTTTTAAAAATAAAAAGAATTATGATAATATTATATAAATATTTTGTTTTTTTGTTTGCTTTTTTGATATAAATGATTACTATTTATTTATTTATTTGAATAAGTTAATATAACTGTATGATTGATTGATTAGATAATTAAAGAAAAAAAATAAAGTAGACAGTAATGGGTGATCGATCTTTATTCAAATTCAATGTCAGCCAGTAGATATTTAAAAATTTTTTGCAAACATTAATTTTTTTTTTTTTTTTTTTTGATTTTTTTCATTAATGAACAAAAAAATTTTGTTCATGAAATGATTTCAAATTAAAACCCACTCTTTGTCTTTTTGGCAATCAAAAAGTATCAAATTTTAAAAAAGTTTGCAAAAATTAATTTAATTGTTTATTAGATCAAGATCAATTACACATTTTCAGATATTTATTTTGATAAATAAAGTAAAAGATATTTAACTTTGAAGTTGATTCGCATTTATCGACCTTTAATGGTAATTGTGTTGGATCGTTCAAAATCATTGCACAAGTTCACCAGATTAACTATTTAAAAAAATATCTTTTTTTTTAATCGACAAAGCTTTTGCAGAATGAAAAGAAATGAAACAAATTATTAAAAAGTATCTGTTTTATTTTATTTTAATTATTTATTTAAAATAGTTGATATTTTCAACTTTTAAGAAAGGTTTCGAATTGAATTGATTCTGAATAGGTAATTCCACCAATGAAATAAATAACTATTTTCTTTTGATCAGAGTCAGACTGCAGTTGTTTGAATATTTAAAAGTTTTTATTTAAAATAATTGATCCATTTGTTTGTGTTGATAATGGATGTTGTACAGATAATGAAATCCCTATTTAGCTTTTTAGAAAGATTACGAATTGAATTGATTTCAGAATAAGTTACTCCACCAATGAAATAGATGATAGTTTTCTTTTGGTCGGCTGTCGTAGTTGTTTGTATATTTAAAAGCTGTGCATCTACTTCATCGAGATCTTCAATTTCATTATCACTTTGACCTTCACTTTCATCAGAGGTCATAGAAGTGTTTGATTTATCTGAATTGGAAATATTACTATTATTACTACTACTATTGTTATTGTTATTATCTGTTTTAATGGTTGATTTAAATCTTGGAGATGTTGGTATTCTATTGTCAAATTCAAATTGTGGAACTGGAATGAGTTGTGCCAAACTGTTGGTTTCTTGTGTATTCCATTCGTTGATCAGTCGCTCTACAATCTTTACTGATATCGATACATTATTATCGTTTCTACTGGATTTATATAGTTTTAGATTCTCTTTAATCTTTCTAAAGGTATTAACTTCCACTTCATCTCCATCCATTTCCTCCAATTCCATCCCTGCATCACCAACTGACTTTATTAAACCTGCCAGTTCCAAATTATTGAAATGTGAAATCGATTGTAATCCATAGTGCTGAACGATTTGATATTTCCACTCACTGTACAACTCGAGCGAGATTCCACCTAGTAGCTGACTGTACAACGAAATGAATCTCATGATATAGCTGTAGTTGGATTTCGATTCGATCTGTTGGAATATATATTGTTCTACCGATTGTATGTTTCGGTTGTTCAATAAATTATCTTGCATTGTTAGACGTTCCAAATATTCTGGTGTGTCCATTATTCTCTTCATCTCATTGAGCAGTGCACGATGTCTATTGATTTCATCTACTGGTACCTTATCGCCATCGCTATCGACCACCACAATTGAATTGATAATCGAATCGAACTCTTCTACCAACTGGTTAAATTCTAAACTTCTAATTGTATTGAAAATCCTATCGTTTGAACTTAATGGTAAATCAAAATCTATATCCACACTACTACTATTATTTTCCAATTTATTTACAATCATATCTAATTATAATGACCAATAATTAGTAATTGTCTTAATTTACAATGATTAATCAGTAGTCAACTTACTTGAATCTATTTGAAAAAGTTCATCTATCAATGCTTCATAACTGGTTGGAATTAAAAGGGGTGTTATTAAATCAACGTGTCTATCTATTAAAACCAAACTTTCAAAGTAGCTTTCCAAATCATTTTCCAAATTTTCACCATTTCCATTGTTTTGTATTGTTTTTATCAATTGATTAAATATCATCTAAATAAATAATATTAATATTTGTTTTTCTTATTATTATTTAATTAAATTTTCTTTTCATACTTTCGAATATTTTCCTTTTCCTCTTATTATTGGAACCGATCCAAAATTGGTAAACAATTGATTTTGAATTGATTTAAGTGTGAGTGCCAATAGTGATCTACTATAGTTGAGTAATAATGAAATAGTTGATTCCGTTGGGATTTGGAGTGAAAGTAGGTCGCTGTCCAATGGTATCAAATCGATTGGAAACTCAATGTGATTCGCTTGTATTCCATGTCTTTCCATCAACTCTATAGAAACTGGATTGATCCTCTTAAAATAAACAATGGTATATCTACAACTATCATCACAATCATTGGAATTACTGCTATTATATTTTATTTGTTGTTCTATACAATTTATAACTCTATTTATATTTTCAATACTATAATAAAAAAGTAAGTAATTTAAGTTATTTAAATTTGGATGAATTATCTATATGTTTATATTTACCAATCATTTATTATAAATATTGTATCTAAATTATATCCATCCGGTATCATTTCAACAACATCACTTTGAATTGAATGTATTGATGTAATTCCTTTTCTTTTCTGTTAAGCGCTTAATATTAATACTTTTGTTGTTTTAATTTAATTTAAAATGACTAACTAATACTTACTTGTAGAAAAGAATGACTATCAATCATTAAATCCATTATGGGTGCAAGTGTTGGATCTATGTATAACACAGATTTTGTTTTATGTACATTGTATGGTTGTAGTTGTTGTGGTTGGGTTATATGTGAAAATAGAGTATCCAATAGCTCCTCATTCATATTTCTGATTTTTTTGAGATTTACAATGCTAGAGATGACCTCGTCGCATGGTGAAGATAGTTTCTTACTATATTTATATAGTAGATCTTCAATATTTACATTGAAATTGAATTGAGTTCCATTTACAAGATTGCTGTCATTGTTGTTTGATTCATCATCATTGTTTTGAACAACACTAGTGTTGATTTTCTTGGCAATCTTTATTTTAATTGGTGAAATTGGAACATTGAAATGTTTTTTCTTTATTGGATTACTGTCAATAATAAATAATGATTTTGTTGTTCTATGTAACATTTTGAAAATATATACAAATTTAAATAAATAAATAATAAATTAAAAATAGTTATAGTTATAAATAGGTAAATGTTAAAATAATAATAATAAATATATAACTTGTGAAGATGATGTATTGAACTGTATGTTCTTTAATGAGATTGATTAAATTGTTAATGTTATATTAGTCAGCTAGTCATAAACTTAAATTTAAACATTTGATTTGATTAGTGATAATTATTTTTAAAAAGTGATCAGAGTGAGTAAAGGGTATATTATTTAAGGGTATAACTGTAGAGGACTGTTCTATCTATCTTTAATTTTTGATTGTGTGGTGTGTTTGTGTTTGTTATGTGTGTATGAAATAGGTGTTGTGTGGTGATACTAATTAATAAATAAAGTGATGAAAAATGAACCTTTTAAGAATTGACACGTGATATGTTAAATATAAATATTAAACAAAACCACTACTTTATTTTAAAAAAAAACTTGTATTAATATGGGTATTTCCTTCCTTCTTCCACTTCTCTTCTCTTAAAGAAGAAGATCATTTTCATTTTATTGATCCAATAATTACCTTTGTATTATTATAACTAAAGTTTACTAACTACTTCAATGCTAACTCGACTTGTGACAACAACTTGGAAATTACCTTTGAAATTTATTTTATTGATTTGTTTTAAAAACTATTGATATTACTGCGTAGTAATTGTGATTGATTTACTAGTTTTTTTTATAGAATTATTGGGAAGGTTGATACGAAAAAAATCAAAATTATAATAATAGATGTGTTAATCTAATAATGTTTTTGAAATTTAATATCCGACGAAAACGGAAGTGCAAAAAAGGCTAAACTTTGAAAAAGAAAAATGGGGGATTATTTGATTAACACAATTTTCATACAAAAACCACACACCACAAAGAAAGAGGTTAATTTTTTAATTCTTACTTTTCAATGAACAAAAAGTTACTACTAATTTTTTTCTGTTCTTCAAAAGAATTTGACAATTCTTACTTTTCAATAAAAAATGATTTTAAAATATAAATATAATTGTAGGATACAATACTATAATAAAAATGATTTAAGTTTGATTAAGAATTTGTAAATTTTGATAAACTTTTATTTTGATTAAGCAAAAAAAAAGATAATAAATAATTTAAAATTTAAATCATCAGATAGTTTGGTCAATATAAAATCCATCTGATCAGAAAACAAATCTAGATCAAGATATTTACTTCATCAGCACTCATAAAAATCAGAAAAAGTTTTTGACTTGTTTTTTTGTGAAAATAAAAATAGAATGGATATAAATGACCATACTTATATATAAAATGATTATAAAAAGATAAATATAATTATCTTTATTTGTATAACCTAAAAACACTACAAAAATAAATATGATTATTAATTTAATACATATTCAAGTTAAAGTCAATATGATCATCAAAATGAATTGAATGTCAGAGACTATTTTTTTTTTATGTGCCAATTGAACGTTACAATTTTAAATTTTCATTTTTTCAATTTATTTTTGAATTTTTCACTTTTTTTTTTTTGCGAGACGACTCGTCTGTGTGAATGTATTCGTTTGAAGGACACCCAACCCTTTTTTTTTCATCTCGTATCTCGTCAAAGGTTTAGATCAATTAAGGAATGGTATGTGGATATACAGAGTATAAGATTATATAGTTAGTTAGTTTAGTATTGCTAATATAGTGATGATGTTGATTTATTATAGACTGACAAGAATAAGAAGCCAACCGCTGCTGCTACCAAGACTGCTGCCAAGCCAGCCGCCAAGCCAGTTGCCAAGACTGCCGCCAAGGGTGCCGTCAAGGGTGGTAAGGGTGCCAAGCGTACCAAGCCAAGAACTTTGTTCAACGCCTTGTACACCAAGAAGGTCAGAATCTACGGTACCGGTTTCGGTGTCCAACCAAAGCGTGATTTGACTCACTTTGTCAAGTGGCCACGTTACATCCGTATCCAACGTCAACGTCGTGTCTTGATGAGACGTTTGAAGGTTCCACCAACCATCAACCAATTCACCCGTGTTTTCGATAAGAACAACGCCACCCAATTGTTCAAGTTGATGGACAAGTACCGTCCAGAGGAAGCCGCCGCCAAGAAGGCTCGTCTCTTGAAGGCTGCCAAGGAGAGAGCTGCCGCCCCAAAGGGTGCTGCTCCAGCCAAGCCAGAAGCCAAGCCATTGGCTGTTGCTCACGGTATCGATTTGGTCACTCGTTTAGTCGAGAAGAAGAAGGCCAAGTTGGTCGTCATTGCTCATGACGTCGACCCAATCGAAGTATGTATTAACTACTTTTATTTATTATAGTTTCGATTATCATCTCTTCTACTCTTCTCTCTACATTTTCCAACAGATTATATTTTCTATTACATAATGTATTAGTTATGTTTTCGATATTATTATTAGTTTAGTAGACTACAACTACAATATTATTGAAAGTGTAAAAAAGTTATGCGGTGCTGTGTAATAATTTGTACAACCTTTTAACTTTTTTTTGGTTATTTGGTTGTTCTATCTTGCTCAGTTGATAATATGTTTACTTTATTATAAACTCATTATTATCTATTGAATACGATAAGAAATTATCACTGTTAGATGTTTATTTTATTATACAATTTGTTTGTATATATTTTTAAACATTGCTGAAGGCACCGATCGATAGGATTGCCTGCTAGGTCTATATTGTTAAACTCACTATTTTTACAACAACAAACAGTTGTTGATTTTAATATATTTAAACTTTATTGGTTTATTATTATTAATATTAAAATAGTTGTAGTTTGTCATGATGACTGATTATGCAGTGAACTTATTCGATGGGGTTTATTGCTTTGCGCTAACACAGTGTCTGTTTGAACACTTGACCAAATACTCTATTCAATTCAACCAATTGTTATGGTATGACATCAAGTGTTCAACCACCCTACTGCTGCTGCTGTTAAAATTCTCCCTCCACTTTTCACTTTATCAATCGAATCGATTCAAACCTACCTTCTTCTCCCTCTTTTTTGTATTCTAACAGTTTGATTTGTTTTGTTTCGAATAGGTTGTTATCTGGTTACCAGCTTTGTGCCGTCGTATGGACGTTCCATATTGCATCGTCAAATCCAAGTCTCGTTTGGGTAAGGTCGTTCACATGAAGAAGACCTCCTGTGTTGCCATCACCGGTGTCAACCAAGCTGATGCTCACGATCTCTCATTGTTGGTCGAGTCTGCCAAGAACATGTACAACAACAACGCTGATCACCGTAAGCAATGGGGTGGTAACACTCTCTCCGGTCCAACCCGTGCCATCATCGCCAAGCGTGTCAAGGCTGCCAACAAGGAAGCCACCGCCAAATCCAAGATGAACTAAACTAATTTAAATAAACCCGATCCTCAAAGACAAGATATTGTGTCATTCCTAAAAACTAAAAGTAACATTCATTTTCTCAATTATTGTCTATCTTTATAGTTTACATTAATTTTAAACCAATGAATGAACTTTAACAACTTTTTATTGGTAATCATATGTATTATACCAATACAAAGAATATTTTATCAGAGAATATTAGATTACCTGTTATCTAATATACATAGACTTTTTTAATAAAATTGTATTTAGTAGTTCTAAAAAAAAAAAAAAAAAAAAAAAAGAGAATTTTAATAGTAGAGATACTCTGGTAATCAATTTTCTCAATATTGAATATCTTTTAATAATTTAAAATCAAAGCAGCTCACACAAGTGTTTTATTAACGATGTAGCAAACTAAAGCATCTGAGATAGATGAACACAAAGATAAAGATTCTCAAAAATAAATATTTCTCAAGTAGATGACATGAGATTCAAGTGATGATCCCACTCCAATTTAAAAGCTTCTTTTTGTATACAGGTTTCGAACTACAGCAAATAATATTATTGAATAGTAAAGAAAGTAGTTGGAAACCAATCAGAAACTACAATCACCAAAGATCTATAAAATTCCTGAACATTCAACTAGTCATTCTCAACAAAGAAGGTTTGAAGTATTGAATTGGCCTCTTACCTACAGTCTCATCAAGAATCCTCCAACAGCTCTATAGATCTATCAAACTAAAACCACCATTCCTACAATCTCAATAATTCCTAAACTATATAGTTATTAAGTTTTAAAATAAAATCTATTTATATTGCCTTATTTGGGAATATATTTATATATTTTTTTAAACTATTAGTTAAAAAATAAATAAAATAAAGGCGCCAACTCTATTTTAAGTGATTGGTTTTTTTTTTTTTTTTTGATATGTTATTTTGCAAAAATCATATGATTCACTATGAGGTGATGATGTTTGATTGTTCAAGCAGATAAAAATAATCAATTATTATTTATTATATCATCATATATTTATTATTTATTTTGCAAAATAAACAAAAATGTTTATTCTCAGTTGTATTTTATTGATTTCAACACTACTGCTGGCACAATCGATAAAGAAGAGTAGATCGTGTGCAGGAGTATCGTTGAAAACACAGATTCTCTTTGCCATAGTATATAGTATCGGTTTCATTGTCGATACATCGAGACTACTCGGCAATGCAGAGTCAGACTATTTAGATCTACTGGACTACCTGGTCAATCTGAATTCACTGGGTGCCATCTACTTTGTCATCTATCTCATAGCGATCAAATACAAACATAGCTACGACAGAAATCACGATAGTTTCAGAATATCATTCATAATAATACCTTCATTCCTACTATCCTTATTATTCTTTAATGGTGACAACGGAGAGGATAGTAGCTATTTATTAGAGGTGAGTTAGTTTATCATTCATTCTCTTCTCTTTTCATTCAATTCAATATATTTATTAACCTTTTTTTTTTCTAACTTATTATTACTTAGATATTATCAACATTTTCATATATATTAAATTGTTTTGCGATATTACCACAATATATTCAATTAAAGAGAACGGGTGACATTGATACACTGACACCAAACTACATTGTTACACTGACAGTCTATAGAGTATTCAATTGGACATCACTACCTTCTCTACCACTATTAATAATCCGTATTGCACAGATAGCATTCGATATTCTGAATTTGTATCAATTCTTTAAGATTCCAAATTATACAATTAGTTTAAGTTAGCATAATAGTAATGGTAATAAATTATATATATAAAATAAATTTTTAAAAAAAAAACAATTATTATTCTTTGATAATACTATTTCGATTGATTAACTACATAATATTATCATAGATATACATAGAAAGATAAATTTGATTAGATCATAGTTTGATTTCATATGCATGCAGCATAAACAAATGTTTTAATTTGGAATAATTATAAGTGTGTTTGAGCGTTGTTCAGTTGTTTCAAAAAACACCACACGATTGGATAATTAAAAAAAAAAGTTTGTCCATGCCATGTTGTGTTTTTTTTTTTTAAATTGATTTTTTTTTAAACAACTCTGATGATTCATTTTAGTTGTTTATTAGTAATAAATAAAGAAAAGTAAAGTAAAGAAAAGTAAAGAAAAGAAAAGAAAAGAAAAGTAAAGTTAAGTAAAGTACAAGTACTTAGTTTGTAATAACAGAATGGATAGTAGTGCTGATTATCAAGCTCTTCAGAGTGATGAAGCAGATCTTGGTGACGTCAGCAATAGCAACAGTAACAACAATAGTAGTAGTAACAACAACAACAACAACAACAACAATAGTAATAAGTTATATCAATACGATGAATATGATAATAATAATAGTAGTAGTGATGATGTGGTTGTAGATTTAAAAATGAATAAAGACGAAGCACAACAACAACCTGTAGTAGTAGTCGTAGTTGAAAATCATAATGATTCGAAATTAGATACCAATGAAATAGAATTAGAACAAGATAGATATCTGGGGAGTGGAAATAATGACAATAGTAATAATAAATATAAAAAAGTAGAGGAGGTGGTAGAAGTAAATGGTGCAGATTCAAATAATTCAATTTTAATAACAAACAACAACAGCAATAATAATAATAGTAGTATATATGGTCAAGCTGATGATGGTGATGATGCTAGTGATAATGATAATGATAGATTACTTGAAAAAACATATCCAGATTCAGAAACAAATTCAGATTCAGATTCAAATTCAAATTTCAATATAAATTCATCGTCATCAATACTACCACCATTACCACCACAAACTTTTACACCATCAAAGTTGGAGCAACACGTAACATTCAATGATAACATATTGAAGTATAGCAGTGTTGATCCAGAGGACTTTGATGACGACGACGACACTGTTTCCTCACTGAACGAATCGGATTTCGTTACACCCGATGCAGATCTCTTTCCAACACCAAACAATATCTATGAAAGAATATTGAATCAAGCATCGAAATTAAGGTATGTCAGTCAAAGAATATTGATAAAGTATTGAATCAAGCTGTTATTTATTTGCTAAAATTTTGTATTTTCCAATAATAATAATAGATTTGAAGCATCTATACATGCAAAGGAATTAAAGTTGACGGCTGCCTATTTGGCATGTTTCATTTCACTTGGTATCAGTATTGGAAGTTTAGGACCGACATTGCCAGCGTTGGCAAAGAACACTCATTCAACGCTTGCCGAGGTTGGATACTTCTTTTCAGCTAGAGGTGTTGGTTATTTCATAGGTTCATTTTCAGGTAGAGTAAGTATAATATAATATAGGCAAAAATGAATATTCATAATCGTTAATCTAATTAATCTACATTCATTCCATTCCGTACTTTCTAGTTTTATGATAGATTGAAAAATGGTAATCTTTTTATTGGTGCAGCTATTATATTGTTATCAGTTTCATTGTTGTTGATTCCACTATGTACCAATGTAAGTTAGTTTTAACAATTCCAATACAATTCTATAGTAAATTTATTAACTTTATACTATTTTCGAAACAAAAACAAAAAAGGTATGGCTAGCAGGATTATTATTCTTTTTCGAGGGTGTTGGTGGTGGTGTCACCGATGCAGGTTTAAATACAATGATTGTTTGGATTTGGAAGAAATCTGTTAATCCATTCATGCAATTATTACATTGTATGTATATTAATATAACTTTTGTTATAATTCCTATTAATTATTGTTTGTTTTGTTAAATATAGTTTCATTTGGAATAGGTGCATTGTTAGCACCGTTTATTGTATCGATGATAGTGGAGAGTTCATTGTTTGTAAAGTATTTGGTGTTGTCAATGATTATGTTGTGTTCGTTCTTACCGGTGATTCTATTGCGATCACCTCCACCCTATAACGAGGAGACAGAGACAGCGGTGACACTGACAAAGAACGAGAAACGACTGAGAATCGAAGTAATCTTGGCAGTTGCATGCTTCCTATTCTTCTATGTCGGTGCAGAGGCTGGCTATGGAGGTTGGGTATTCACCTACGCCAAAAGTCTACTGAATATGGAAGATCAAGCAGCTGGACTGCTAAACTCGCTATTCTGGACAACCTTTACACTTGCAAGATTAGCTGGTGTATTCATCTCAATGTATTTAACACCAAATGTAAAGTATTCGAATACTCGGAAATATCTCTTGATAACTATATGTTATTAATTTGTTATTTATTTATTTTTGTGGACAAAACTTTAGCAAATGGTAATATTGGATATGGCAGGATGTTTCTTTTCTCATTTCTATTGATTATTGCACCTTATTCTGAAGCGGTGTTATGGATTGCCACTTCAGGACTTGGCATTAGTTTGGCGTCGATCTTCCCGACTTGCATTTCATTGCCACAGAATTTGAATATGCCGGTCACTGGTGAAGCGACTTCCTATATGATTATCGGTGCCACTCTTGGTGAGGTGACTATTCCTTGGTTGATAGGTGTCGCTCAACATCATATTTCAGAGAGAACACTTCCATGGGTGGTTGTCATAAGTTGTGTCATTACATTGGCCGTCTACATTGGAATTAATATTCGTGCGAAAATTATGAGAGCAAGAGATCGTGGTGATACCTTTGAATTGAAGAATATCAATCAATTCATAACAACCATTCAACATCAAAATTAAATCAATTGATTTGATTTGATTGATTCACCATTTCAAAAATAAAGAAATTGAAAAAAAAAAAAAAAAAAGATATTATTTATTTATTCATTATTTAATTCTTTAAGTATTGCTCTCCTAATTACATTATTTAAGTGAGTGAATCCAAATGGGTCTAAAGTTGGATTGGATGATTCTATTTCCAATGTTTGTTGAATATTGGTGTTTTCCATTGGTAAAACTTGATCTTGTTGAATCAATTCTTGTTGTGACTGTTGTTGTTGTTGTAGTTGCTGATGTGATAGTTTTAACTTTTCAACAACTTCTAAATATTTATAAATAAGATTTGATTGTTTATATAATTGATTCTGACATAAATGTGTATTTGCCAGTAGAGATTGAATATTGATCCGCTGTTCCGATGGTACATGACAAAGTAATTCGTTTAATTTAAATAGAGATGGAAGATCTTGAAATTTTGAATTTAAAATACATTCCATTATCGGAATGATATCCACTAGTTCACCATCCAACAACGTACCATTATTATTGAATCCATTGATATTAATGTTTTGTGATGGAAAATAGAATATCGATTCTAAAACTTGCTTATAGAGGAATAGCAGTGGGTGTATGATATAGCTAGTTGGAAATGCATAGTAAATATAATGAGTACAATTGGTTAGCGATGGATTTATAGTTGTACTCTCTAGTGAATTGAAAACATCTTGTAGTTCATCGAATAGCAATCCACTTGCAATACCAACATAGCTAACTACCATATTAAATGGCTTTTCCTCACTTCTGATTTGTTTTTCTTTTTCAAAGAAAAAATAGATTCCAGGTCGATCCGATTCTCCTGGTGGTGGAAGTGTACCGATATTCAAAATCTGTGACCAACCTTGACAATCTACAGGAATACTACTTCCAAACATTGTATTTCCATTATTAATTGTTCCATAAAATCGAACATATTCCATTTTTTTATTTATATTTTTTATCTTATCTATCTCCTTATAATTATTTTTATTTAAATTAAAAATAAATAATAATAATTTTAACAATTAAATTTTTTTAATTCTTTATATAAAATTAAAATTAAATAAATAAAAAATAAATAAATAAAATAAAAATACTAATTTGTTTTTACAACTTCAGATATTTGTTTATCACAACACATAAACACACAAAACACACACACACACACATATATATACTCATATGCATATATATGTACCATTTAGATAGTATTAAAGAATATTTGTAAAAAAAATTAATAATTTAAATATTTTGAATTTATATATTTTGTTGTTGTAATAGAAATGTTTTAAAAGAACCAATGTAAAATACTTGATGTACCTTCTACTGCAATGAGTGCAATGATGATTCTCTCTAAACGAATGGAATGACTGTGTTTCTGTTCATCATTGATTACATCGTAGATTCCACTTATCAAGTTTAATCTTTCATTCATGATTCTAACTCTCTTATCGATTTCACAATGACTTCTAACTGTTTTATAGATACCTTCACCTTCTGTATGTTCCCAGAAATGTTCTATATTTATTAATTTATATATATATACATGTTAATAGCTATTATTTTCCAATGGTTCGACACCTGATGTTAACTTTTAATTATTTACCTGGAGTATCGATAATATCGGAATGAAGATTAAGATAGTTCTTAATTTTCATTTGTTCACCTAGTTGCATTACGATTTCTTTCTTTGAGATTTGTACAGTTCCGTTGCGAGAGAGTTGGTCGGGAAGCGATGCCACCTTCTCACTGAGCTTCATGACGTCGTCCTCGATGAGGAAGAGACGCACCGACTGCGCAAATGCATAGGACACTGCAAACTTCTCGTTGAAATTGGCTTCGGGGTCGGTCGAGAGTGTCACCAAGTCTTGGTTTTTGGTGATTTCAAAGCGGTTACCACTGTCGGTGTAGCGGTAGATATCGAGCTGATCGGGATGTGCATCGACTTTGTATTCCTGTAGCCATGCCAACAGACGTCGCTGAGCGTGCTCCGGAACACCCCAACTAACAACACATCCAAACGATGGAAATATAAATACATCGGATCCACTTAATGGTGTTGATGTCGATGTGGATGCTGTTTGATTTTGTTCATTTGATGAATCAGCTGTATCACTGTTGTTGGGATTGTATCTAAGCCATTTCACATTTGATGTTGAAAATACTTTCTCTAGTGAAAAGTCATCTGGAAGTGAAACCAATTTCCTTTCTGAAAGTCTTTGCCAAGCAGAATGTTGAACATTTATAGATTTCACCTTCCAACTCAACATTACTACTTGTTTCAACAACAACACTATTATTATTACTATTAATATTATTATTTGATGAATGTCCATTATTATTATTATTATTATATCTTTGTTGTTTCTCTCTATCTAATCTATCTCTTTGTTTTTCCTTTTGAATTTCTCTATCTGATCTGTTATCCCTATCTCTTTCTCTTTCTCTTTCCCTTTCTCTATCTTGTCTATCTCTAGATGAAAAACTTCTAATATTTGCTATTGACGAAATATGAGTATTATTAATACTATTATTATTATTATATCTATTTAAAAATAGTGAAGTAGTAGTAGTAGATGACAATGGTGATGGTGATCTTATAAATGATCTTGATGATCCATTGAACAACAAAAGTTTTGATGTTGTAGATCTAATCATTGTTTCTACAAATTATATTATCACTCTAAAGTAAATAAATAAACAAGTATATTAAAATAAATAATAGTGATCAATTCTCAAATCAAATCAATTTTCGAAATCTCATTTAAATTAGTAGGAAATAATCATGACAAATGATTATTAATAAATTTTAAATTAATTTTTAAATGATTTTTATTTTATTTTTAATTATTAAAAAAAAAAAACGACCGATTTTTGAAATTTATTTGGTTGGTTGATGTTGTCTCTTGAAAGGTGATTTTAAGAATTTAATTTTATTTTACCTAAAGTTCGTCGTTCAAATTATATACACACATATAATATTACAGATATAAATATATATTTATATAAAATCACTTTTTTTTTTTTAATTAATAATAAAACAACAACCAATTAAAAAATGAGTTTCTTTTGTATGGAATTGACACCCAACCAACCATTCGTTATGGATTTGGAGGATGGTGAAACCTTCCACTTGACACAAGTAAGTTAATAAAGTAGGAAAGAGATAGAGAGGGATCGAGAGAGAAAGTTTGTAGTGGTGTGTAAGTGTGAGATTGATTTTTCAAGAGACTCAAATTGTGATTTGGAAATTAATATTTCTCGTTATTACTTACTTATTTGCATAGGCTATTATCACTCAAGAGTCAAAGGCAAAGGGAAAGATCTATCTCACTGCTACCATGTCTGCTGAGATGGAAAGCGAAGATCCAGAGGAGGAACCACAAGAGGAAGAGATTGTCAAGACACCAGTCTGTATGTTGCAAGCCGATAAATGTGAACAATACGCCTTGAACTTGATGTTCAACGGTGAGTACAAGATTACTTTCGGTGTCGAGGGTGACGATAAGGCCGTCGTCAACATTTTGGGTTACATCATGGTCGACCCAGAAGGTGGACACAGCCACATGGACGACTGCGAAGATGAAGATTGCCAAGGTTGTGCCATCGATGAAGACGACGATGAATTCGGATTCTCCGACGAAGAAGAGATGGATTTCGATGGTGAAGACGACGAAGTACCAATGTTGAAATCGAGCAACGGTAAGATTAAAGAGATCCCAGAGGACGCTCCAGTCGCCACCAAAAAGCAACAACCAGCCGCCGCCAAGAAGGAACAACCAGCCAAGAAGGAGCAACCAGCTAAGAAGGAACAACCAGCCGCCGCTGCTGCCAAGAAGGAGCAACCAGCCAAGAAGGAACAACCAGCTGCTGCTGCCGCTCCAGCTGCTGCCGCCGGTGCCAAGAAACCAAAGAGAAATCAACAACAACAACAACAACAACCAGCTCAAAACGGTAAGAGACCAGCTGATGCCAATCAAGGAAAGCAACAAAAGAAAGCTAAAAACTAAATAATTATAATAAATAATGTTAAATAAATAAAAAATTAATTAAAAAAAAAAAAAAACAAATCTTTTTAAATTTAAATTTTGGCGGGAGTATCGTTTTTCAATCACACCAACACACAATCAATCAAAAAAATATGATCAACATAATTCCTTTTTTGTAAATAGATAAATCTTTGTTTCAAATTATAAATCTAAAATATATTTATTAGTATATTTAAGTTTATAATTATTATTTAGTTAGTTAGTTAGTTTGGGAATGGATCAAGATGCAATCAATGAGGTTGCTATTATCTCAAAGGAAGTTTGCAATCGTTTTATAAAGTTCTTAACTAGCTTTGTTGTTCTAGCAACAAACGGGCATATCAGTAATAATAATAATGATGATAGTGACAACGAAGATGAAGAGGAAAATCTTCGAGCCTCCAACGAACCTTTATATATAAATAGGATATGCGAAATGATTGAAAAAGGAAAGAGACATATCAATGTAGATATAACTCATCTAGAGAGTTTCGATGATTATCTTTCAAAAACTATTAGAGAAGAATATATCAGGTAAATATATGTTTACAATACATTCAATTAAGTTTCTAGAAATTAAATTAATATTAACTTTTAACCTTCAACTAATTAAATTTAGATATGAAAAAGAGATAAATAGTGCATTGGTAATGGTTTCAAGAAGATACGAACATTTATATATTGATAAAGATTCGAATGGTGGAGGAGGAGCTAATGTTAATGCAAATGGAGCAAAACAAGAGCAGGAAAATGCAGATCCAGTCTATCAAGTTTGTTTCTACAATATTCAGGAGATTATTAAGATTAGAGACCTCAGAACAGCTAGAGTTGGAACACTGTGTGCCATCACTGGAACGGTAACAAGAACCACTGAAGTCAGACCGGAGCTTCTGATAGGTTCATTCATTTGTATGGATTGTCGAAATCAATCGGTGAAAATCCCACAGGAATTCAAATATACGGAACCGACCAACTGTCTGACTCCGGGCTGTTCAAACACGCGTCGTTGGAACATCTGTATGGATACATCGATATTTGTCGATTGGCAAAAAGTTAGAATTCAAGAGAACAGCAATGATATTCCTTCGGGATCGATGCCGCGTTCGCTCGACATTGTGTTGCGTGGCGACGCTGTGGAGTCGGCGCGTGCCGGTGACAAAGTCGTTTTCTATGGAACACCGATGGTGATACCGGACGTCTCGAGAATGAACATCGGACAAAACTCGACACTGATTAAAGGTATTCCGAATACAACGAACGACTCTGCTTCGAAATCCGAGGATTTCGGTGGTGTTTCCGGTATCAAGGATCTGGGTGTACGTGAAATGTCCTACAAAGTCTGTTTTCTTGCGAATTGCGTGCGTTCTATCGATGCCAATCCGCATGCCATCAACGTAAAGGACGACAACACAGAGAACGACTTTGAGGAGACACCGGAAACATTCTTGGCAAGCTTGCCGAAAGCCGAGAGAAAGGCACTGGAATCGATGTTGAAAAAGAAAAATATGTACAAAAAACTGGTGGATTCGATTGCTCCCTCGATTTTCGGACACGCCGAAATCAAGCGTGGTGTTCTCCTAATGCTTTTCGGTGGTGTTCACAAGCAGACACCCGAGAAAATCAGACTGCGAGGTGATATCAATGTTTGTATCGTTGGTGACCCATCCACTTCGAAATCACAGTTTCTCAAGTATTTGATTTCTTTCTTGCCGCGCACTGTCTACACCTCTGGAAAAGCATCTTCTGCAGCCGGTCTCACAGCGACCGTCGTCAGAGATCCCGACAGTGGCGATTTCAACATTGAAGCGGGTGCACTTATGTTGGCGGACAACGGAATCTGTTGCATCGACGAGTTTGACAAGATGGATCCTGCCGATCAGGTTGCCATTCACGAAGCGATGGAACAACAAACCATCTCCATTGCCAAAGCGGGCATTCACGCCACTCTTAATGCTCGTGCCAGTATCCTTGCCGCTGCCAATCCAATCGGAGGACGTTACGACAAGACGAAATCACTCAAACATAATCTCAGCATTGGTGCAGCACTCATTTCCAGATTCGATCTATTCTTTATCGTAACCGACCAGGCCAATCCCGAACAAGATAAACAAATCGCTCAACATATAGTTGCAGTTCACCAAAGAAAACAAGGACTGACGCAAGAATTCTCATTAACAGAAATCAAGAATTATATTGGATATGCAAAGCTAATTAAACCAGTTGTAAGTTTATTTATTTTGGAAAGAAAAGATATCAATTCTCCACATTGATGTTATGTATTTACTAAAATTCTTTTTCAAAGATTACAACTGAATCAGCAGATTTATTGGAATATTATTATTCGAAATTAAGACAGGACGTATCACTGAGTGGAACTGGAAATGTAGCTTATAGAATTACCGTTAGACAATTGGAGTCGTTGGTTAGATTGTCAGAGTCCTATGCAAAGTTGTGTTTGTCCGATCAGGTTCTACCTAAGCATGTTCATGAAGCCGCTAGACTCTTGATGAAGTCGGTGGTTCACGTTCGTACCGATGACATCAAGTTGGCAATCGATGAGGACGAGAACAACCAAGATTGGTCGATCGACAACGATGCTTTTCACGCCACTTGCAACCTTATTGTTTTGTATCTACGAAAGTTCCAAGAGGGAAAACTTCAGAAAGATATTTTGGATTGGTACATGTCCAACAGCGATACGGAAGATCAGAGCAGAGAGCTGCTCATCGTTCGTGCGGTACTCAAGCAAATGATAGTGGAAAAGAAACTACTCATTGTTAAAGAATCAAAAACTGAAGATGAAAGATTATTAATTGTTCATCCGAATCATTTAGAATAAAAATTGGATAATCGATGTATAATTATTATATTAATTAATAGGTTATTTTAAAATTTTGATTAATTTTATAGATGCATTCTATAAAATCAATATACAAATAAATGGATATTTATTATTAATAATTTACATTAGTACTTATGTATTGTTGTTGTTGAAATGCCACTTCTAAATTTGAATGAATTGATTGATTATTTGTTGAAAAAAAAAGAAAACTAAGACTTGTTTTAATTTAAATTTGTTTTTTTTTGGGAATGAGAGGAGGAGATTGAATCTAATTACAAATATACAAAAAAAAAATAGAAAAGAAAAGTAGTTGAGTTGAATTTAACTATGATCAATAATTAAATAGATAGATTGATTGAGTTGATTGTTGTACAAAAGCTAATACTTTTGGTTGGGTGATATATCTGATGTCAAATCTACAATATCTCTTTTATGAGTAAAAAGTTGTTGGTTATGAGTTTGTTGTTGAATTTTATAGTTTTGATGATGATGATTAAAATTATTCAGTTGAAAGGAGGAATCTGAATTGTCTGAAAGTTGAGTTGTTGATTAGATTAAAAAAAAGATAACATAATAATGGATACATTGGTTTTTCAAAGGAGTCAATTTGGAATTGGGGTATGGTATGTAGGTAGAAATAATTTGTAGGTAGAGTAGGTTGGTGGTCAGTTTTGTGATTCAAACGGGAGTCTAATGTTTGCCTTGAATTCAATTCTACATACCAGAAAGCTGAGATGGAATGGACTGAAGTGAAATGGAAAGGGGTTGGTGAATAGGTTGTTCTTGTTGTTGTTGTTTTAGTTGTTGCTGCTGTTGCTGTTGAGCTTGTTGTTGTTGTTGTTGTAATTGTTTCTTTAGAAATGCGGCAGCGGAAATATCGTTCTTTGTAACTTTTCTCTTTTTGACATCACTTTCATCGACATCATATGGATTGGAATTCTCATCTTTCAAACACCAATATCCTAAATTTATATTGGCAAATTGTTATTAGAAATTATCAAAAATGTATATATAAATATGAAATTAATATTTACCTGTATTATGGAAGATTTGATATCCATTTTTAAAAAGATTTTGATAATGTGATAATGTCATACCAATTGTATGTTTCCAATGTGGAATTCCTGTAAATAGAGTAAAAAACAAAGATAAAAAGAAATGTTTGTTGTTAGTTTAATTATTATAATAAAGTCATCAGTATTCATTTTAAAAGTATACTTACTTTCACGTCTACATATGACATCCCAATGTACATTGATAAACTCATAAATATCATCACGAAGATGAAAGTACTTTTTACCGTTTGGCATCTCTGAACGGTTTGGACGATTCAGTTGAGAGAATTGTGAGCTCATCTTGGAGGATTCCGTTAGAGCGTATAGTACGACATGTAGAATTTGAGACCAAATCGGTGTACCTTTCTCAAAGGAGGGTGGTGGACCTCTTTCACACACAATACAATCGGGTGTTTTACATTGGGCTTTGGACTGGTCAGATCCTGATTTAATATTCTGACTTTTGATGACTGGACTATTGTTGGCACTACCACCATTGAAGCTAATTGGCTTTTTAGTGGAGGGGGTATTGGTTTGATATGAAGGATGATTGGTGTTATTATTATTATTATTATGATTATTATTGTTATTAATATTGTTAGATTCGCCTGATGATTCTTGTCCATTGAAAATTGATTTAATCGAGTCGAATGGATTTGGTTGTTTCTTTTGTTGTTGTTGCTGCTGCTGTTGTTGTTGTTGCTGTTGTATTTGATTGTGAAGTCGCTGTGTTTGTTGTTGATCCAATGGTGAAAGAGGTGCATGGAAAATTAAAAGTGAAGGTGTTTCTTTATGTTGTAATGGTTGTCTATGTGAATGAATTAGAAGATTACTATTATTACTATTGCTATTACTATTATTATTAAGATTGAATGATCCACCACCAATACTGTAACTACTATCTCTAATTATAACACCACCATTGTTGTTGTTACTATTGATATTGATACTGGAAATGTAAGGACTGATTCCAGAGGAGCTACTGAAACTTGGTGAACGATCAACAGGGTTACCACCGGAACTACCGCCATAAGTGGAAAAACTTGTACTTGTGAAAGGCAAGCTGGATGTAGATTTATGAAAGGAGTTGGAGCCATTGGAATTTCTATCGGCACTAGAGAAAATTTTGAATCCAGAGCCTTCGTTATTGTAGCTGCCACTTCCGATACCAACAAATGGCGGGGTACTGATTCTTGGTTTACCACCACCAATCAAACTTGGACTTCCAGTTGCTGTTCCACCAGTTGATCCACTTAATACCATCATTTTTGATTGTTGTTGTTGTTGTTGTTGTTGAAATTGATGATGTTGATATTGTTGTTGATGTTGAAGTTGAAGTTGTTGATGTTGGTGAATGCTATTTTGATGTTGATGATAATAATTATTATTACTTTCAATACTAGATATAGAAGTATTGTTGTTCTCTGTCCACATCACTCACAATAAACATTCATACTAAATATTTAGAACTTCTAAGTTGGTTTTGTTGTTTTTTTGGTTGTTGTTTTTATTTGTTGTGTTGTGTTGTTTTGTGGTTTGGTTTGGATTGTATGGAATATTTATTTTAAGACTTTGACAAACTAAAAATATAAATAAAAAATATATATTGTTGTTAATAAATATATATATATAACTTGTGTTTTTTTGTTTGGTGTTCTAAAAATTGATTTTGTCTAAATTAGTAATGTGGTGGATTACTATGATGATTACAACAATAGATTATTAACATTAAACAACAAAATATTAAATTTAATTTAAAAATAAATTGGATTGTTTTTTAAATTTTGTTTTATTTTTGTTTTTTTTGATATATTAAAGCAACATCACAATGTACAGCCTCAATCTACCAACTTTAGAATTTTAATTTAAAATAAACAAAAAAGGTAGAAATACCTTTGAAGGATGTTTATAAATGATTTTGTTAATGGTATGTTTTTTTTTTTTTTTTTGTTCTTAAAAGATGGCGATGATGTAGGTTTGAGATATTGTAAAAGGTTTTGTATTAATATGGATTGATTTTGATTAAATGTGTTGTGGGGTGGTGTGGTGTGGTGTGTGCTCGGAATGGAAAAAGGTCTGAGGGAGATGTGGGGGTGTGGTGATTAAATGAGCCTCTGCATTCGAAGTGGTAATAGTGGGAGGTAGAAGATCAACTAACAACTTTCTATTGTTGTTGTTGTTGATGGTTGTTGGTTTGTTTCAACAACAACCACTGAAATACATACATTACTGTCCACCTTACTTTAATTGTACTGTTGTTGAACCTTTCAAACTTTAGTGTTATAATCCACTGCTGCACTACTAAACTAACTAACTTACTAACTGTTTGATAGAATTTATTTGAATATATAAATTATTGTATAGTGTTGTATTATATAAACTAATCTTAACACACTCACTCTCTCCACATATATATATTATGTATACATATATATTAATATATCTGTATGTTTTTATTTTAAAAGTGGAATGAATTTATTTTTAAGGTTTGAATTGTGTTGATTTGATTTGAATTGTTTTTGATTGTCTGATTGTTGTTATGTTTTAACCTGTATGTGTGTTATTGGTGTTGTGTTGTTGGTTGTTGGATGTGTTTTATTTATTTTTAAGAAGAATAAGTAAAGTAAATGTAATGCAGTATGTGTTTAACTACTAAATTTCAATAATAACAATAATTAATATATCACATCCATCATTATCATCAATCATCAAAATAGAATTTGTAGGTAGGAGGTTAAGGTTTTAAAAAACATAAAATCAAATTTGCAAATTTTCCATCCATCCGCCTCCTTCTAAGACCAGTCTCCATCATAATAATAAAAAACTAAAAAAAAAAATACTTAATCATCATTAATATTAATTGGTTCAACAACACCTCATTAGTAATTTTGCAAAAAAAACATACAACAACCAAAAATTGCGCTGATCAATCAATCTTCTCAAAACAGATGCAAATTTATTCTATTCTATTATTAAAGAAAGAAAGGCAGCCTATCAGGTTGAAAATAAAAAAGACAAAAAAAAAAAAAGAAAGTACCCTAACCCCTCCCATCAAAAACCCCACAATATCAAACTACATAACTGGTTTTTACTTGATAAGTCAAAAATTACTTTTGTTCTATCCAAGATTCTAAAAGTTGTGTTGTTGGGGGTCAATCCATCACGATGTTTTTCAGAAAATAATTATGGTGATGGTGCAAAAACACTAAAAAAAAAAAAACCAAAATAAAAAAAAGAACAATTTTTTCTTTGCACAATTTATCAGTTGGGTGTGAGTAGTACTATTTTAGATATATATTACTTTTTTATTTTATATAATGAATTTTAATATTAAAATTATTATATAAGTGTTAACAGTTACCCCCAAAAATTACACTGATCACAATATCATGGAACAAAACACACAAACAATGCATTGTTTGTTAGTTTTTTTTTTGTTAACAATCAGTAAAGATTCACTGATCACTGCATCATCATTCAAATACAGACTTTCAAAAAGTGTGCAATTTTAAAATAAATATCAATTTTGATAAACATACCTCATAAAATATAACTTTTTTGTTGTTTTTTGTTTTTTGGTGGTATCACACAGGTCACTATAAAGTTTGGTTTGGTTGGTTTCCTTGTTGTGTGCTATTTGATATAAACTGTTCAAAAATCAGACGGGATTATTTTAGTTGTTTTGCAAACCAACCAAAAAAACTAACACAACACAACGTTTCCAGAAGAAAAGAAAAAAAAAATCTGGGTTTTCATATTCCAAATTATTAATATAAATATCGATCTACTCTGGTCACTACACTAACGTATGGTATGTGTTTGATTTAATTAAAAGTTTAATTAACCACCATTTCAATCAATCTATTGCCGTCATCATCTATCGACACCTCACACCCACACATCCATCAAATTCAATTAATGTCAAAGTAAAAAACCCTTTTTTAGAATAAATTATTTTAAATTAGATATTTTTTTAAAGAAAATGATCAAATACCAACACACACAAGGTCCATATTCAATTTTTTTTTGAAAACAATTAATATATTTTATATTCAATTAAATTTAAAGAATAAAACGTCACCATCTTTCACTTCATAGAGTGGACCTTCACTTCTTTGTTTTCCTTTTTCTTTTGCCAACTTATCATCGCAATTGTTATCAATGAAATCTTGATAGGAGATAGTCTGTTGTTGTTGATGTTAAAGTTGTAGAAAGAATGAATTTGATATCAGTTAGTTAAATATGCAATTGTAGTAAATAGATATTGGTTCTTGATAATGGTAAATATGTTCATTGTGTTTGTGTGTTTTGTTGCTTCTCTAATTAATGTATTGGTTTGGTTATTGGGTGATGTGGTAGAAAACTGATATGATTGCAAAAAAGAAAAAGATTGAAATGGAATCAAAATAATTTTGTGGGGTTACATATTTGGTGTTTTGCAGCATCAGCGCTGCCGAAAATATCGCAAGCCTAAAGATAACCTCATCCTATACTAATGATTCATTATTTACTACAGTAAACTGTCCACCGTCCAATCCACATGATCTTGTGACATTAACCCTGGGGTTAATCATATCCATCACATTTTTGACTAACTATTATTTTTTTTTTTTTTTTCTGAATATTCATTAACTTTTGCATTTGCTTGCTGATGTTGTTGTTGTTTTTTGTGATTGATTTTGATTGGATGATTATGATATAGATATTTTTAACTAATCCAACAGTTGGATTATAACCAACTAATTACTAATAATATAAATTAACTTACATCTGCTTTGATAAAACCTTTTTCGAAATCAGTGTGAATGACACCTGCTGCTTGTTTGGCTTTGGTTCCGATTGGGATGGTCCAAGCACGACACTCCTTTTCGGAGGCGGTGTAGTATGATTGGAGACCCATTAATTGACGAGCACCATTGATAACCTTGTATAATCCGTTTCTCTCCAGACCGTAGAGTTGGAGGAATTCCTGTTTCATTTCGTCGCTCTCCAGTAGCGACACCTCTGATTCTATTTTCGCAGAGACAACCACTGGATCCAACTCCAGTCCTTGCTTCTGCGAGTACTGCTTCACCATATCGGTGTATTTATTGCCGGTGGCGGCATCGCTCTCTCCGACGTTGCAAGTGTACAACATTGGCTTGCCAGTCAGCAAATGCAACGATTGGAATGCCGGCCACTCCTTATCGGTGATAACAATCTCTCTTGCCATCAAACCGCCTTCCAACGACTTTCTAATTCTGATTGCCAGTTCGTGACGCAGTGTTTGCTCGGGAGTCGCACGCTTCTTTGGCTCCGCTATGATTTTCTCGAGTGATTGGAGATCTGCTAGAATCAACTCCATCTCAATCGTTTCCAAATCCTTGACTGGATCGATCGCGTCGTGAACATGTGTAATATTAGAGTCTTCGAAACAACGAACCAAATGTACAATCAGCGAAACCTGACGAATGTTTGCAAGGAATTTATTTCCTAGACCTTCACCATCGGCAGCACCCTTTACCAGACCTGCAATATCTACAAACTCCAACTGTGTACCAACTTTACTCTTTGTATTCAACTTTTTTGAAATTAAATCTAATCTTTCATCTGGGACAAATACTAATCCTACATTTGGACTATTATATATTTATCAATATTCCATAACAAACAATCTTCTCAATTATATTATGTTTCCAACAACCAAATCTAACTAACTTACTCAATTGTACAAAATGGGAAATTCTATAATAATTATAAAAAAATCAAATAATTTTAATTAATTTCCAATTGTGGAAATATAAAATGATTATCATTATACTTACAGCAGCCATTGCAGCTTGTGAACTAGTTAATGCATTAAATAATGTCGATTTTCTATTGAAAATAGATATTTGATATGTTAAAATACATTCATTTATGTAATAATAATAATAATAATAATATTGTCGTATTGACATACCCTACATTTGGTAAACCTACAATACCAGCAGATTTACAACTACCCCTTGTCTTTACAAAATAAGATGCTTTTGCTTCTTTTATTTCCTTTGGTGTTTCAGTTGCATAGGTGTATCTTCCAATGAATGAGCTGCTGCAGTTATTGATTGGTATTATATTATTGAAACGAGTGGTTACACCACCTTTAAAAAGGTTCGATGATATCTTTAACATAATAATCTTATAATAAATAAATATTAATTAAATTAAAAAATGATCATTTTTCTTTTTTTTTTTTATTTTTTATTTTTGATTCGTTCGGTTTTTTGTTTTTCATTAAATCAATCAGTCAACACACCACAAAACATCAAACACAGATTAATTAATTTGAGGTGAAAGGTGAATGAATAAACACCAAACAAATCAAATGAGTGTAAAATTATATATCTATATTTTAATGTTGCAATATAGTTTTCAAAATAATATTGTATAGTTATATGATTAAAAAAAATAAAAATAAAAATATAGACTTTTTATGATTAAAATTCTTATGATTTGATTTCAAATTTGATTAACCATAAATCATTGTATTTATCAAATAGATATATATAACTTTTTACAATTGAAATTGTATTTTTAATTTTTTTAATTTTTTTTTAATTTTTTTTGTTATTTTTTTAAAAATATCCTTTTTGTTTTGATGTCAAGTTGTGGAGGAGCGAAACAATTCACAACCAATTTAATGATGATAAATAGAATCATCGATCATTATTTAAAAATAGATTTATTCAAAAAACATAAACAAATAGAATAGATATAGGATATAGTATATTATTGTAATTTGTTAAAGAAAAACACAGATAGATAGATAGAGATATATCACAAATCAAAGTTCGAAAAAGACAAGATATATATATAAAGAAAAAACAAAAATATAATGCAATTTTCAGTTGAATCAGTACAAAATGTATGTACATCTTTGAAATATCTATATCTATTTGATATATATTGATTTTATTAACTTGTTTAAACAATCGATAATAACAACAACAACGAAAATAAAAGGTGCTTCATTCATTTTATGGATCATCGAGTGATCCCAATAATATGGCGATGGCACAAGATTGGTTGATTCAATTTCAAAAGTCAAATTCGGTGTGGTCGATCGCACCTTTGTTGTTACAGAACAATATCGTTGAGATACAGTACTTTGGTGCATCGACAATCGAAGGCAAGATCAAATCGGATTGGATCAACATGTCGGCCGATCTAAAACAACAGGTACTAGAACAGCTACTTTTACTCTTGCGAAACGATAATACCAGTCTACAGCGAGTGGTAATCACTCGACTCTGTCTGGCAGTCGCTGCGATAGCCTGTCATTCCACACCGGAAACCTGGCAGAATCCAATACAAGATATATTACAACTTATATTTCCAGAGATTGATTTATCATCAAGTGAAACAATAGATTTATATTTGCGGAATAATAATAATAATAATAATAATAATAGCAATAGTAGTAACAATAATAATAATAATAGAATATCAATGGTTTTGGAATTATTAACTATATTACCTGATGAATTATTGAATTGTGATTATATTACTCAGGAAAGAAGGAATAGAGTTGGATTCGAATTCAACAAGTCTACTGAGGCAATCATGAAGGTGTTGGCAAGGTTTATTCATTCCGGTGCGGTAACGACGTTGCCACCGACAGCGCAGTCGACAACGATGTTAAAGTCCGCGCTAAAGTGTCTGAAGAGTTGGATTCTCTTTGATACACCGGCCACCTATTTCCTGGTGGATGGACATCTACTGTCGGACTGCTTCGACGCCGTCGTCAAAGATCCGCAGCTCGTGGAAGACTTTGTTTTGGTGTTGGATGAAATATTCACTTTTATGCGAGGCAAACACTTTAAGCAGTATCAATCGGCGTTCGATCCGGTGGTCGGCCGGATTCTCGAGGTGTTGCCACACTACTATGTGGTGGCGCAACAAGAGATGAACGAGCGCATCTACAACTCTATATTCCTGTTGTTTTCACATATACCAGAGACTCATGCCAAGCTGCTGTTGGCCAGCGAATACAATGAGCGATTCATGTCGGTGCTGGTGGCGCTTGGCATGCGCGGCGGCATCGATATCTGCGACCTAATGGAACCGGTCATAAGCGAAGTCCACAATCTCTTTGATAGCAACATTGACATCACCATTTGGAAACCGTTTCTCTGTGAAACCATTGAGTTATTACGTACCAAGTGTATGTTTCCCGATGAGGAAATGGATGTTCGTAAGTTATCATAAAACAAACTAGCGCAAGCTACTACTTAAAAAGAAGAACAACAAGTATATTTATTTCTAACAAAATAATAATGAACAATCAAGTTGAATATGAAAATTTCATAAGATTTAGAGTATCAACAGGTGATTCTCTGTTGAATATCTATAGTATTTTGGAAACAAAAGTTCTGCAGATTCTCTTATCATCGCTTTGGAACGATATCAATAAGTTCCCAAGCACCACTTGGCAATCGATAGAGTCAACGGTTTATCTATTGGGATGTCTCTCTGAAGGTATCACCGATGACATTTCATTTATTCCACAACTCTTCCAATTGCTAGGTTCACTGCCAATCCAATCGACGCCACTCGTTAAATCAACGATTGTTTTGGCCGGAAAATACGCCAATCTCCTCGAAAAGAGCACACAATTCCTCATCAAGTTGGTCGGTGACTTTATACCGGCTTTTTCGAATCCAGAGCTTGCCAACGTTGCCTCTGATTCTTTTCTCTCGATCTCTAGAAACAAAAACTGTGCTCTTTTGCTCTCAACCGATATATCTACATTGGTAATGGTTTGCGAACCAATCATTTCAGTAAGTATACTACTATTTTTAAAACGACAACAAACAAAAGAATTCCATAATCTAATAATTATTTTGTAGCAAGATACTGAATCATCTAGAAAGATATTAGAAGCATTACTTGAAATAGTTGCAGTACTCTCTCAAGATGAAATTCTAAATTATATTTCGAAATTGATATCACCATACTTGAATTTCCTCAAGCAATACCAACCAAACTCCAAGACATCCAAAGCAACACTTTTAAACACAATCACAATCTTTTCAAAACTCTTTAAGATATTCGAAATCGAGGAATACGAAATCTCCTTGGAAAAAGAATATATACATCCAATTCTACCCATTGCTTTGGCCATCATTCCAATCACAGGAAATATCTTGAAACTTCAACAACAAGATATAGAGATAATTGATGTAAGTGTTTAAAATTAGTATAACCATAACTATCTTTATTAATCATAAATAATTTGATTTAATGTTATCATTTTTTTTAGCATATAAGTTTACTTTATAAAAGAATTACAATATCTTGTAGTAAGAATTATGAACAATATATATCGATTATATTCAAACAGTTGACAGAAATCTATGAAGTTACACCGTTGAATCAAACTCTAAATACGCTATCGATGGGACTACCTTTGCTTTCTACAAATCAAAGATATGATTTCCTCACACACTCGATTAGCTCGATATCGGTGACCACCTTCCAAATCTGGAAGAATGGCAATGCCGATCGAGTCGGAGTGGTCCACACCAACACACTCTACAATCTCTCTATCATCCCTACAATCACCAAAGAGTATTTTTCACTATTGGAACAATGCATCAAGTACAATATAGTATCATTCCCAACAAACCTCTTGGCGCCACTCTTCCAAGTCATCCTTGAAAACATTTTAAACATTCAAGACAAACCAACAATTAGACCTGTTTGTTCATTTGTTTCAACATTAATATCTGGTAACTATAACTATAACTACAATAGCTATTTAAATATTTAACAAAAAAAAAAACTAATAATTGTTTAATTTACTAACTTTTATAGTTGAACAAAAAGGTAATCATTCAAATTATATAAATTTCAAGACAGAGTTGGATAGATTACTTGGTCAACATGGAGAGAGTCTTATCAAACAGGTTCTTTATGCTGTAGGTGGTGGATCTCCTCGTTCCATTGCCATTTATATTGCAAACATTATAAATGCATTAATTATCAGTCATCCCAATACTTTTAGACCGATCGCTCTTCGAATGCTATCAGTTGAAGGTTTCCCATCATCCTACATCACTTTAGCTCAAAAAGAGAAGTTCGTGGAGAACATCATGAGATACAAATCGAAACAAACTACTTTTAGAAAGACAATCGAGGAATTCTCTATTATTTGTAAAGGTTTTACAAACAGATAGATATATAGATAGAAAGATAGATAAAAAGATAATATATATAAATAGATAAAGGTATTCTTCATTGAATAAATCTTTATAAACAAAAAAACAACAATATTATTATCGCTTCTCAAAAAAAAAAAGTAATCTTTTTTTATTATTTGTTTTTAATTTTAATTATAAATTCTATTTTTTTATTATTATTCTTTTTGCAATAACTAAAATAGGATGATATTGAATATCAAAATGTATGAATGTATGAATGTATGTATATATGTATAAATATAAAATAACTATAAGCAATTCAATCAAGATTCTTGAGTTGGAGATGATTCATTGTTTGGTGTGGAGTTGGTTGATTCATTGTTTGGGGTGGATGAAGAGGAGTTGTTGGTGTTTTCTTTGTAGGAGTTGTTGGCGTATTCAATGAGTTCGGCTGGGTAGAGGAGGATGTTTGGGATGACTAGGAGAATGTTATGTACAGCTTGTTCAACCATGACGATGGTGGTCTTGACAATGGTAAGATCAGATTTCTTCCATTCTTCGACCTTTGCTTTTCCAGAATCGATTTGTTGTTGTAAGATTTGACCAGTTTTTGAGAGAATTTTTGCGCAATCATCTTTGAATTTCTATTGTAATGAATATTAAAAGTTAAGTTAGTCACAAATTATTATTTCACTTTAACCTCTTTGATATTTAATTAACTTACTTGAACCTTTTGCTTTTGATCATCCATGTTCAAGATTTGATTCTTGGACTCTTTGATCATGTTGGTGAGTTCGGTGATGGAGATGAGGATTTCATTTGGATCGAATCTGTGTACCCACAAGGAAAAGTTACCGACAGAAGCAGCGGTAGTATCCAAGTACTGGTAGATTTGGTCGATGGTCTTCTTTGACACTTCGTCCTTGACGTCTGACAAGTTCATGCTGGAGATCTTGTCGGCAGCAGCATGGATTTTGTCTACCAAATAAGAAATTGGTTTGACTAAATAATTATTTAATGAATGATTTTATATATATTAACAACTACTACAAAGAATATTTGTTAATTTTTATTAAAAAACATACCAGTTGTATATTTGGTAATACCTTGGTAGGTGTTACTTGGAATACCCTTGACCGACTCGGTGTTGACTCTAGTTCTAATTTTGTAAATAACTGGGAATCTCTTTTCGAGATTGTACATTCTGAGAAATGAGTAATTAATTAATTAATGTTAGTATAGATTAAAACAAAAAAAAAAAGATGAAAATGTTTGAAACTTACTCTGATGGATCAGATGTTGGTTCATCAGATGCTGGTGGTAAGATGGTGTCTACGACATTGTCAGCAATCGACTCTATCTGGGTGGCAGACTTGGCAATGAGTTCTTGCAATGGAGTACCACTGATCTTCTCTTCACCAAATTCAATAAAGGTTTCAAGAGTGCTGTCAACCTTGGAGACAGTCTTGGTCAGAGTGTTGATAGCAGATTCTTTATATGGAGTGACAGTGCTGATGACTAATTCCTTGGTTCTGACAGCAGTTGATTCCAACTATTAAAATAAAAAGAAGTAAAAAATAATAATTATCAAGCCAAGTTAGTTAAAAAAAGAACCTTTGTAAAAAAAAAAAATTAGTAAAAAAATGAAAAAACTTACTTTATCAATTTTGTCAGCAGTGTAGTCATCGGCTCTGCTAATCAATGGATCACAGACATCCAAAATCGGTTTAGATACTAAACTAACTGTGGCTTCACTCAATTCCATTGGCATCTATAGATATAAGAGAATAGAGTATAAAAACAAAATTTATAATATTAATATCTATTGATAATGGCTCTCTGCTGCAGACTCCTGCTCCTTCTACTTACTCTAAGAAGTGAATAACTCTTGGCATAGTTATATAGATCAAACGATGAATTTACGGTGGTTGATACCAAGCTGTAATCGTAGAGACGCGAGAGTGTTTTGTATTTCTCAAGCAACTTGTACTTTTCCGAAGAATTGACAGTGGTTGGTTGATCACCACTCTGTTGTTGTGGCTCCTCAGTAGATGACATCATTTAACAAACAATTTATTTGTAAATAATAGAATAAATACTACTATTGTTTATAATAATATCTACTAGTTGTATGTTATTGTATATAATTAAAGATATTAATTAATAAAAATAAATTGTAAATAAATTTAATTAAAATTAAAAAAATTAAAAAAAAAAATAAGTGAAAATGGAGAAAAATAACAAAAGAGAAGAGGAGAGATAAATGTTAATGAAATGAGCAAATTTAACTTGCAAATGTTAACAATAAATACTCTAAATAATATCTTTTCTTTTCTTTTTGTTTTAAATTAATGTTGTTGTTGTTGTTGTTGTTGTTTGAAACCAACAAAAAAAAAAAACAAAAGGTGCAAACCAACTATTAACCTAATAATAAAAATTAATTATAAAATAACCAATTATGTTTAACTATGTTGGTTATTGTTATAAATATATATTTATTTGTTGTTTTGTGTTTCTCTGTGGTAAAAATATATATAAATATTTAAATGTGTGTGTGTGTGAAAGTTTCTTTGTATATAGATACAATTGTATTTATATGTTTATATATATATATATGTGTGTTTAATATTAAGTAATTAATGAATGAAGTGAGGTGAAATGAAATGAAAAGAGGAAGTGTAGGTGAAAGTTGCAGTGATAAGAATGGTGATGAGTTGCGTTTGTCTAAAGTTAAAGTTTGTTGTGTTGTGTTGGTGTTTATTTTGTTTTAATATTAGTTGTTTATTTACCCAGTTTCTATTTATTTTTACACTTATAAAGTTGATGATGTTGTTTCTGCTGCTATTTTTTTTATAGTGAATATAAATGGGCTCAGTTTGGTAATTAATGAAAAAATAAAAATAAATTCATCTTAATGTTATTAGATTCCAAAACAGGAAGAGAGTAACATCAGAAAAAGGGGTGAAAAAAGAACATCCTGCAAAGACAAAAAAAAAAAATTAATCATTTAATTTAAAACTTTTTTTAGTCGGGGCTTTTCAACACACCGCTCACTCGGTGAAAGTGTTTTTAGTGATGAGTATGTGTGTGGTGTGGGTAAATAAGATAATGAGTGCTGCTAAGCTTTTTAAGTTTTTTAATTTATTCTTTGAGTTAATAGGTTAGCTGTTGCTATTGTTGTTCTTGATGAATCAACACAAACAACTTACACAATGAGAAGTGTTATTTGGACAACAAAAAAATTTAATTTGAAGTACTTCAAAATATCATCTACCAAAAACAAAACAAACAACAACGAATCAGTGAATATCAAATCAATCAATCTGATTCAGCAAAAAAACAAAAAAAAAAAGGTGTAATATCGACTTTTTTAGTTAAGTAACAATAAAAAACGATAACGTTAGTGTTGACCTTTTTAAGTTAAATAAACTCTTTACTTAATAGTCATTTTTTCTCTTTTCAAAGTTGTTATGCTTTTTGTTTTAAGTTGGTTGTGTTGGCCAAAGCCATCATCAGGTTATAAATAATGATGATCACAATAATCAACTATTTAGCTATTATTATATATCGGTTGGTGATTCATCAATCTGAATGAGTGCAAATCTGTCATCTCAACATTCAAAGATGATGAATTAAATTAACTATATTATTTTCCTTAATCGGTATTATATCCCATTATTTATATCTCCCCATTTTTTTCACACTTGAACACTACTCTCAACTAAATGATGATCATACATTACTTACACTCATTTATTATAAATAAAATTCTTTCTTTTTGTTTTATTATACCTATAAATTTCAACAACAATTTAATCTATGTTTATTTATTTGAGTTATAAACCAAACTAAACTTGGAAAATGTCATTTTTTTGATGGATCATTGAAATCAAACAAATCTTCTAAAATTTTTCTGATAAAAACAAAAAAGTTAATAATTTGAAATTAAATTAAAAGTAAATTAAATAGAGAAATTCATTCATTCTTAAAATATCTATATTTTAGTAGATTCTATTATTAACTATTATTTATATAACTTTATTAAGATGGATGAGAAATATTGTGCTTGTATGGTTTTATCAGGTGTTGGTGATGCCATTGGTTATAAAAACGGAAGATGGGAGTTTGAGAGAAACCCCAAACAGATATTGAAAGAATATAATCATTTAGGTGGTTATCAAAATATAAAGTAAATAGTTGTTTGTTGTTAAGTAACAAAACTTAAATGACACATTCTAAGCTAATAATATTTTAAAAACAAAAAAAAAAACAACAACAACAGAGTTGATCATAGTAATTGGAGAGTATCGGATGATACTGTTATGCACTTGGCAACAGCAATCGCTATAACACGTGACAATGCCGATGACTTTGAGAAGACCTGTCAGGAGATGGCCACTGCCTACGTGCGGTGTATGGAGGATATGGGTGGTCGTGCACCGGGCAGACAGTCGATCGAGTCACTCTCAAAGATGACACCGGGCATGAAGAGCAAGCTGCTCAAGTGGAACGAGATACCGTATGCACCGGCCGGTGGTGGCTGCGGTGGTGCAATGCGCGCAATGTGCATCGGCTTGAAGTATTCGTCGTCGGCGTCATTCGATCAGCTACTGCGTTTCTCTATCGAGTCGGGTCGTATCACGCACAATCACCCGGTCGGATTCCTCGGTGCGTACGTCGCTGCGCTCTTCACTTCCTACGCGATCCAGGGTGTCGCGCCACGCCAATGGGGACGCAAACTCATGTCGGAAGGACTGCCCGCTGCCAAGCAATATCTAGTCGATTCACAGGCGCAACCTCATCGCACTATGGAGTTGTACGAACGTGGATGGAACTACTTTTACACCGCTTGGGAATCTTATCTTCGTGATAGACAGATCGGTGTAGAGAATGGCGGTGATAGCGACCCGGTGTTTCCTGAAACCTATGGATTCCTAGAGCGTGATGAATACTATAATAAGTTATCGTTCGATGGTTGGGGAGGATCGAGTGGTCACGACTCTGTCCTCATTGCATACGACGCGCTGCTTGGTGCCGGCAACTCGTGGAAAGAGATGATAGAGCGATCGGCCATCCACGGTGGTGATTCCGACAGTACCGCTGCCATTGGTTGTGCATGGTGGGGTGCACTCTACGGATTCGAAGGTGTTCCCGATTGTAACTACCAACTCTTAGAGTATCGTCCAGAGCTCTACGCATTAGCCAAAACATTATTAAATCAAAGAAAATAAGAATATAATAGAATAGAATAGAATAACTATCTATTTATTTGTTGTTATTTGTTTTTCTTATTGTTATATTTATAAACAATCGAATATAGTATAAGTATATTTATTTCAAAGTTTTATAGTTTTATAGTTTTTTAATAATGTAAAAGGTGGTGTGGTGATTGGTGTGTTGATGGTGATGATGATGATAATGTAAATTTTATAAATTAATTTTTAATTTAAGCAAGGATATCTCTAACCAATTCAGCACCAACGACGTCGGCAACGAGTTGATCGAGTTCATCAGTGAATCCACCGGTTTCAATCTTTGGTGCAGAGGCAGCCTTTTGGAAAACAATACCTTCTTCGAATGATTTAGTCTTTGTTTGGTTGACGGCCTTTTCGATGTCGTGAACCAAAAGATCTCTGTGTTTCTCTTTCAAACCTTTGATTCTCATTGAACCATACATAGCTCCTGCGAGGAAACTACCAGTGTATAAAAGCTAAAATAATATTTAATAGTAGTAGAATCATTAGTATCATATGATATATAAACAACACTTTTTATATAGATCTATTTTATTAATGAATCTAACCAACTAAACTAAACTAATCAAACAAATCAAAATCAAATGAATTATTATTGCTATTATTATTACTACTATTACTATTACTATTATATTATTGCTATTATTATTTCAATCTTTTTGTAAATTTGATATACTATTTGTTGTTATCTATCCATCTATCTTCTATTTATCTGTCTGTTTATAGTATAGTTGTTATGCAACCAATTATTGTTCTTTCTTGCTGTTTGATTGATCAAACAATTTCTTCATTTACCATTGCACAAAAGTTATCTGTTACTGTATGTAGGTTGTTGTTGTTGTTGTTTCTTTTTTTTTTTTTTTTTTTGTATCATTTTCTGTTGATATCATATGATGTTGTTGATCTAATCTGTTATGCTGTGATGATGATATTGATCATTTTATTTGTTTTGAACCAAATTTCTTATTCTATGTTATTTTTATTATAGCGCTATTATTTACTATTTGATCATATGTCTAGAAAGTTGTATTCTATAACGTTTATTTGTTGTTATCGTAAGATTATAATGATTTACTAATATACTACTTTATTGTTTATTATTTTCTATTTATTTTCTTGATTTTGATTTTGATTTGATTTTCATAAAGTAAGCTGTTCAGTTCATATAAATACTTACACCAACAAATGAATTTGGAGTGTAAGACATCTTGTTTATTTAGATATACAATAAAAGAATTTAATTAATAATCAATATTGAACAGAAATCGCTACCTCATAAAATATCACTGCAGCATTTTTTTGTTTTTTTTTGATTTCACAAAAATTTGTGTTGAAAAACAAAAAAATGAAAATTATTAAAAAAACGTTACTGTGATCATGAGTGCTATGATTGTGATTTAACTTTTTTAATAAATAACGTAAAAAAAAAAGTAAAAGAATAAAATGTTATTATTCTCTCTTGTTTATTTTGGAATTGATATTATTATCATGCTGATGATGATGATAATGATGATGGTGAAGATTGATTGTTTGCAATGACAGTGATTGCATCGGATTTATAGCGAATGATGATCAAGTTCCAAATAACAAATATAAATACACCAACTCCACCAAAGATATAGGTGATGTTGGTAGGTGAGATATGAGCGGTGTCCAGTAGAATACCGGTTGACATTTTCGCGGTGGTGGCAACAATCGTAAGTATACCGAATTCGAATGCGAAAACTCTGCCTCTAACGTGATCTGGCACCGACTGTTGCAGAATCGAAGAGGAATACAGCCACAACACACAGGTAGCAGTCGAACGCAAAACATTACATATCAAAAACACTGGGAATACCTTTGAAGTGAATCCTAACCAAAAAGTACCGAACCAATTTAAAAACTAAATAAAATTTATATTAGTTATTAATTAGTTGTTGAAAAGTTATAATAATAAACTACTTACGAATCCAAATCTTAATATATTTAAATGATTCTCCGGTTTATCTTTGATTATTCTTGCGAATATGAATGGTACTAGCAGGATACCCAATCCTCCACACGCCAAGATCAACCCTAGTGAAAGTGAACCGTTTTCATCGAATCGGAATTCGGTTTTTGCAAATTTGATGAGCACGGCATCGATACCAGCCCATACAATCGCTCCAAACGACTTTGTCAGAGATATAATTAAAATGTATGGATTGTCATATAAATATTTTAATCCATCCTTGTACATTCTGAAATAATCTCTAAATCCAATTGCTATTGCAATAATAAATGATTTTCTTTCTTCATTATTATTATTTGTTGTTGTTACTATTTCTTCTTCTAAATGATCACTATTACCACTACCAATACTATTTCTATCCATCTCTCTATTATTATTCTTTCCACTTTTTACATGATTTTTAAATACTCTTGCTTTTGTTAATAATATAATATTATTATTATCATCATTATCTTCTCCTTCCTCTCCTTCTTCATCTTCATCGTCATTGTTATTACTACTTTCCAACTCTATATCCTCCATGAGATTTCCACTTTCCTCATCACCTAGCAGCTTTTCGTGTTGTTGTGTTTCCTCGATTTTGTTGCTATTTGATTTCTGTGGCATTCCAGCTTTGAGTCTAACCAGCTGTAATACCAATAGCCCAGATCCAAGATAGGTAGCACTATCAATGATAAAGTTGGCATTCGTTCCCAAACCATAGCTTATCAGACCACCGAGACTTGCACCGATCAACATCATCGATGAGTACGACGCCTGATCGATAGCGTTCGCCGTAATCAAATCGTCTTTCTTCACAAGCATTGGGAACATCGATGATTTCGCAGGCAAGAAGAACGACCCGATAGTGAATTGCAGAAACGACAGCACGTAGAGCAACCACAGACTCTCGCTGCTTCGGACCAGCAAGAACAGCGGGACTAACGCCATACGAAGAACATCGGTCACAATCATGACGTAGCGTCGATCGAATCGGTCCGATACCACACCGGACACCGGTGAGAATATAAAAGACGGGCACTCTCTGATCACCAGGAAAACACTGACCATCATACCACTCGCTTCGAATCGGGTCAACAAAGAAATACAAGCCAATTCGTTGAACCAATCACCCATGAGGGAGATCAACGATGCAAAAAACAAATATCTATAGGGTGCATTATCTCTTATTATTCTGAAATAGGGTGCTGCACATTCGAAACGTCTTAATTTTTCACGGAAACTTTCATCACCATTATTATTATTATTATTATTATTATTTCTATTTTTTTTATTATTATTATTATCTTTATCAGCTCCATTTGGTGAATTGTTATTATTATTGTTATGTCCATATGATAAATCTAAACTATCATAATCATTATTATTACTACTATTATTATCAATATTATTTATATTATTATTATTATTGTTATTGTTATTTTTAGTATTAATTTTGTTATTATTGTTATTGAAATTTAAACCTTCTGGTATTATTTGTTTTGTATTTTTAAGATTTGAGTTGTGATCTGTCATATCTAATGAACTTTTAACACCTTTGTAATTTGGTCTGTTTATTAGCTCGAGTGTATCTGGATCCAGCTCTATCTCTATCTCGTCCTGTCCATAGCCCATGGTGAATTCCAATTCTGATTTGTTACGCTTGTTCTTGAAGTTCTCTACTTCATCGTCATCCTGTAAGTGTGTATCTAAATTGATGCTACTAACAACACTAGCATTACTACTACTGATCAAACTAACATTATCAGCCAACTCCGAGTCGGAAACTCCCGATTTTTTAAAATGAATTTGTTTCTTTTGTTGTTGTTGTTGTTGTTGTTGTTGTTGTTGTTGTTGTTGTTGTTGTTGTTGTTGTTGTTGTTGTTGACTATTATTATTATGATGTTGAACTTGTTGTTGTTGTTGTTGTTGTTGTTGTTGACTATTATTACTCTCTAAATCATCAATATGTAAATCTATATGTTGATGTTGATGATTATTATTTGAATCGTATGAATCTTTTAGATGATCGTCACCTTCATCTATTAAAGTCTTCATACTTTAAGCTCTAAAAGTGAAGTATGTATATATAATATCTACTAAAATAAATTAATGATTAATCATATGAAAAGATCGGCACGTGCAGATATCATAGAAAACGATGTCGTTTTATTAAAAAAATTTAATAAATTTGCACAAAAAAAAAAACAATAAATCTTAATTTTCTTTTTTTATTATTAGCTTTAAAAAAAGTTTTTCAAAACTTAAAAAATTTTCATTGGGCATCGGAAAAAGTCATTTTTTAATTGGGCTGACATCATTTTATATTTTATTGTATTGCTCAGAAGATTGTATATTTAGATAAACAACTTCTACTCCTACAAATACTAAAACCACTTCTTTTTACAATCTATCTAATGAAAACAAAACAAAAATTGGAATCTTTTCTTTTTTTAATAGATTAAAAGGATTTTTTGAGTTAGAATAACTAATTATTTAAGGTTGTTATTTTATCTTTTTCTCATTATTACTTGTGGGATCCATTGACATCATACTTCTCTAAGCAATGAGTGTAAAGTAAAAAAAAAAAATATAATTGTCTGTCTTTAAATTTTTGATTTTTGTTATTTCACCACCTTTGCAAGGGCAAGTAGAGAAGAGATGTTGATCATTATAAGTTCAATGAAGAAGTTTGAACTAACTGATTATCACTAGAAGGATGAGATCCCTGATAAGATTCAAAAAAAAAAACATTTCAATTGTGTGTCAACTTTGAAATAAATTTTTGATTTGCACTTTTATAATCAAGTTTGAAAAATGTAATTGGTAATAGAGTTCGGAGATTAGAAAACCATCAAATCATCACCAATCTTAAAAATGGGTTCAGCGAACCACTAATAACTGACTCTATAAACTCTGTCATTTAAGTTTGAGATAAATTAAACTGAATTTATTTCTTTGTAAATTAATATATTAACATCTTTCTTTTCTGCAGAATTATATTAAATTTAAAGAAAAAATATTGATAGGTATTTAAATTAGAATTTAATACATCTTTTTTACTATCAATATTTTATTAATATTTAAATACAAATATATATATTCAAATATTAAAATATGACATCTATATTTGGAACACTTAAAAGAATATTACCAAATACAGAGGATTGGTGGAGTACTCTAATTGGTCTTGGAACTTTTGCATTTTGTTTTGTAATTTCATTCAGCAGTAAATCGGATTATACTACCGCACCAATATGGTCGAATAATCCAGGAACTTTCTTTACCGATTCATACTATTGGGTTTCCATTCCGATTGCCTTTGTAGTTTTGCTATTTGGAACCTATGTACCACTTAAATTCATGGAGAAGCGATTCGATCTCAAAGGCTTTGTATTTATATTCCTCCTGACGATACTCTGTATTATCATTGGAAATCAAAAGACATTTCATGCCGTTGGTGTAGGTGCACCGGTTTGGTCTATTGGCATTGGATTTATGTTTTCCAACATTGTTTTCCGAGGCTACCATGTCTATGTCAATTTGAGAAGAAGAGAAGGTTACCAGACTATTCAAGACGACCGAACCCTCGATGAAATGGAGAATAGCGCCTCTCTGAAATTAAAGGAAACCAAGTCGATTTGGACCGAAGATTGCATTCCAAGGTGGTTGAAATGTGTGTTGCTCGACGAATACTTTATCAAGGTGAGTCTTGTACTTTTGGCAATGGATTTGTTGAAGGTAAAAGATGTTTTTGTTCCATCTATCATTGTATCATCCGATACCATCTTTTTATTCCTGTTTTTGTTTGTGGTCGGTTGGAAGATTTGGGTTATCGATCGTGATACCGCTATGGTTGCAGCCGCCGCAGTTTCGATTTGTGGTTCGTCCGCGGCCAATGCCATAGGCTCGACTATTGGCGCATCGAAAAGTGCAATCTCATTCCCTATTGCTATTATGGCGATATGGACGGTTCCATGCATTGTTTTGATGCCAATTATGTACACCAAGTGGCTGGAGGATGCTCTACACTGGACCAGTCGTGAGGGTGGCGCATGGATAGGTGGAACCATCGATACTACGGGCGCGGTAGTCGCAAGTGCAGCGACGATCGACGATGACGCCAAACAGGCGGCAGCCATCGTTAAAATGTTACAGAACTGTTTGATCGGTCCGATTTGTCTGATCGTGCTTATCGGCAACATCTATTTGAATAGAGAGAAGGAATCCGATATCTCTGGAAAGAAAGTACTTCAAATCCTCTGGAACAGATTCCCAAAGTTTGTTCTTGGTTTCATCTCTGTTTGTTTGATATTGTTGGCATTGCCTAGCTCCGATTGGAAAACACAGATCATCAACACCTCTTTGTTGGGAAGCTCTTGGTTTGAAACAATGGGATTCGTTTGTATCGGGTTGAACATCAACATCACAGAGATTTGCAACAATCTAAGTGTAATGAAACTATTGGTTTTCTACCTTTTGGCTCAAGCATTCGATATGTTTACAACTGGTTTATTAACAAATTATGCATTTTAAAACAAAACAAAACAAAACAATAACTATAACTATAACTATAACTGTGGCTATATTTTTAATAATTTAATAATATTTCAAATTTAATTTCTTTAAAACGATTTCAAAATCAGAGAGATGGTTAATAAATACAAGACAAACTATTGAGAATGGAATATGGCCTTGAATTAGTTGTTAAATACCAAATTGCTTATCTTTTTGCACCTAAAATATCTATATTATGGTTATATCTTCCCATAGTTGTAATATGATAACTTCACAATTATCAGTGAAGAGAAAAAATATAAATTAAAAAAAAAAAACATGATAATGAGAGACAATACTCTATGTCTAACATTCATACTTGTGTGGTGGTAGAGATAACAAGAGAATTGAAATAAAAAAAAAGTTGTTTGATTAAATTTAAAAATTGTATGAAACTTACAATGATTAAACAAACCACATGATAAGAAGAAATGCATTGATTCTGCACATGAAAAAACAACATTAAAATTATGTGTGTGGTTGATGTATTAAAAAAAAACAAAATGAACTGATCACTAATTTTTCATAGGATATGTTCATTGTTTGGGTTGTAATCTTTACTCGCATTCATATGAAAAATAATTGTATAAGAAATAATGGTGGTGCTTAATATGAATATGAATAGTGATGTGATGTTATATATTTTTGTTAAAACAAATATTAATAATAATATAAAATGAAAATAAATAAACAAAATCAAAGGAACTGAATTCACGAAACAACAATAACAACAACATTCATTGTTTAGAAACTATACTCAACAACAACAAGTCTATAAACCAAAACCTACCCAACAACCAACTAATTACTTTATAAATTAATACATAAATCAAACAAATGGAAAAACTATTTGCAATCCTACTTATTGTCTTGGCTCTCATCTCCATGGTAATGGCTTCCCAGTGTGATTGTGAAGAGGCATACGAAGCTTGCAGCCTTAAGGGCGGTACCGCATTATCATGTGGCCGTGATCTGTTCATCTGCCTTAGTAGCTGTGCTTAAAATGCGATGAAAAAGTGCATAAAAAAACAAAAAACATCAATTTCCTTCCAAACAACTAAAATTGACAAACAACAAAACACAACAACTACAAATAATAGTATTAAACTAAAGTTAATAAAATATTCGCACTAGTTTTCTAAAAAAATAAAAATAAAAACACAATTTCAAAAAACAAATTTTTATTTAATAAATTGTTAACATTACACATATTATATATAACTGTTGAAATCAAAATCTATTATAAATTTAAAGAAATAAAAATAAAGTTAGTAAAAATACGTCTTTTTAAAATCATTAAAAAGATTGATTCGATATGTTATAAAAGATCAGAGTTAAGCAGCCAGCTTTTTCTTCTTATTACCAATGCATCGATATTCATACGTATATAAATAAAAACACACGGCTCCGTCGGTAATTTGTATCATCATCCAAATATAACAAATTAAATCAATCTTTATCTTTATTAACTTTTACATGTACTTACAAATTTTTAATAATAATAATATTCTTCACTTTCCCAAGAAACAAATACACAAAAACAAAACACCTAAAAAAGAAAATCAATCAAAAGAAAAAAACAACTATTTATATTATTAGTATGATTGATTATTTTAAAATTTATATATAATAATAATTAAATAAATATAAATATATAATGAGAAGTTTTGGTGTCAGAAGTTAATTCATATATAATCAACGTGTATGTTCAGAGACTCTAGTCTGTGAGTATGAATGTTTCATCATCAAAACTATAGATATTTATATTATAATAGATGGATAAATAAAATTTAATTGATCGAACACTTACTTTAGCCAAAAAACGAATGAAGCAAAAAATGTTGGTGCCGTCAGTTTTGTTAACAAAAGTCTCCATAGCAAAAAAATTAGGCTCCAAAAACGGTTCATAAAAAAAAAAAGTAAAATTTTTTTTTGGTTGGTCGAACTTCAAAAATAAACCAAACTTTGTTCATTTAAAATATTACAATGTTTTATTATTATTATTAAATTTATTATGTTATCTATCTGTTACAATATTGTTTTAAAAAATTGGTTATTAGTTATTATTATTATTATTACTATTGTTTTTGGAGTGTTGGGTTGAGTTTTGAGGTGAGTTGAGTTGAGATGGGTGATGATGAGTTGACGAAACCAAAAAGTTATGTTTACAATTTTTGATTAAAAAATTAACATAATTTGAATGTCTTTTCTTCACAACCGTATGCTTTTGGAGTGAGTTGAATTAGAGTGTGTAGTGGTATGTTTAAAAATGGACATTCCTCTTTGACGCGACCGGTTAGGTAGGAGTAGAGACAACGGAGAGTGGCTTGGTGACTTACTATCAGTATCGGAAGTTTGGTTCTTTCCAGCTCGAGTAGCAGCGGTTCCAGCCGCTGTATGACATCTTCGTACGACTCGCCACGCGGATAACGATAGCTAAGTTTGTCAGAGTCACGTGCAGCACTCTCGTCCGGCATCTTGTCTTGGATCTCCTCGTAGGTCATTCCGTCGCAGATACCGGCGTCGATCTCGTCGAGACCGCGCATCACCACTTTCGGCTGTGAGATATACTGTGCCGTACGGATGGCGCGTTTCAAGCTCGATGTCCACACTACCACCTCACCGTCGTAGCCCTCCTTGCGCAAGTTGCCGCACCAATCCGAGATCCAAACGGCCAGTTGATGCGCGTAGTTGTCGCCACGCTCCGTCAAGTCGGAGTCACCACCGATCTTGCCGGCGGCATTAAACTCTGATTCACCGTGACGAGTCAGCCAAATTGGACGTGGATGTATATGTAAATTCATCAGGAAAAACACAATTCTGCTCGGAATGTAACCAGTTATATTATTCACCTCTATCTTCTTGCCGACATCAAACAACTTTATATACTGAAGATCCGCTCCTTCCACCGGTTCATATACCTTATTATAATGTGCAATTCTATCTCTAAAATCTTGTACTGCTTTCTTTGAATCTGCACCAGCATAACTAAATAAATAAGTAAATAAATATTTGAAAAAAATTTTAAAGTGATTAAATTCAAAAAACTTTTTCCAGGTTTTTGTTTTTTCTTATTTTTCCCAGAGAAATTATTACTACTTACTCTGGAGATAATAATTTTGTTTCTTTTATGTTGGCTTCTATTACATCGGGATCGTTACAAATTGATTCTATAAATAATACATTCATTTTCTCACGGGTACAACGTGTGAGGATCAGTTGACGACGTTCGCGTGTGCTGTTGGTGGCATCGTAGATTCCAACTCTTCCTCCGTTGTGCAGCCATGAGATCATGTCGTCGAGAGCGGCCACAGCCATATGAAGACGTGCTTTGATACCCTCTGGATTCTGTGGATCGAAAAAGTCGTGTGGCTGACCGGTACCGATACGAAGTCGACGGTACTCACCGACATTGAACACCTTTGCCGGCAACAACATCCAATTCAGCATTCTACAGATCTTTCGAGCGACATAAGTCTTTCCACGTGCTGGCAAACCAACCATTACCAAAACTATCTTTTCTTTATCCAATCCTGTATAGCCAGCCGATCTTTTCTTTCCATCATCAGCTAAATGTAGATTAGAAAATATTGTACAAGTGAGTTTGTTAATAAATCGAATTGAATTGAATTAGAAAAGTAAAGTAAAGTAAAGTAAAGAGTTATGATTAACTTACCCATATCATGTTTAACAAGAATAACTTGAAATTCCGTTAGTTTATCTATTGATTTGAATGGTACTTCATTTCCGGTCGATGGGTCGACATTGAAGAATGGACATTCTGTATCTTTTGGGAACTCGGGGAACTTTGAAACAAACAGTAGTTTGAGATCGTCGAGTGTACTGCCTGTGAATATTGCTTTCTTAACTCTATCTCTTACTCTAAAGAATATTGTCTTTGGTGGTTGTTGTTTTGTTTGTTCATCTGTCATTTTATTTATCTTTTTGCAAAAAAATCTTAAACAAAAATAAACATGAACATAAACAATATAAAGAAAACAAAACAAAGCCTAATAAAAAAATAAAATTAATATAAGATTTTGAAATTTCTCTCTGTTCAAAAAAACATGACAAAAAAATTGATCAGAGGTTGGAAAAAAAAAAAAAAAAAGGATTTTTTCTAATTTTTGTTAAAATATTTTAATTGTTTGTAATTTTTTTTATTTTTTTTTGTGGATTTGATATGGGTTTTATTTATTAATTGCAAAGATCATCAATCTTTACCTTAAAAGATGATTAAAGAAATTTAGAAATTTATAATAGTTTTTTTTTATTTAAAATTAATAATTAAATAATAAATAGAAATCAATAAATAATGATATTGTTGTTATGGATAAATTATCAAATTTATTATTAAAAAATATTATTATATATTTAGATAATATCGATACGATCATATTTTCATTAGTTTGTAAGAGATTCTATCAAAATAGAGATACACTCATACAATGGCAATTAACTAAAAACAATGCCTATAAATACTTGGAGGATAAACATTTTCAACATTTTCATTTGAATTCTTTTAAATCTATACTTTTGAAATCATTAGATTTATATTATATCGATAGTAAGTGGTGTTTGTTCTTAATAATTAAGTTTATATTTACTTATTATTATTATTATTTATTAATTTATTTATAGATAGTTTTAATGATAATGAAAATAATGAAATCAATTCAAATATAAATAGTTTAGCATTTTCAGGTGGATTCACAGGCCAATTAGTTAGATCGATGTTTCCAGATTGTATTACTACTGTATATCTACCGTATCATTTCAATACACCGTTGAAAGTGGGACTTTTTTCATCTAGTTTGGTGACACATCTAACGTTTGGCGGAAAGTTCAATCAGATCCTAGAGGTCGGTGTGCTCCCGTCCAATCTGAAGTTCTTGGCATTCGGAACGGACTTTAATCAAAGGCTGATACCTGGTTCATTGCCATCGACACTCACTGAGATAGCTTTTCAATTTTATTATAATCAACCACTGGAAAGAGGTGCGATTCCACCTGCCTGTAGGAAGCTAACGTTTATGAATGAATTCGATCAGCTGATAAAAGCGGGTGATCTACCAGAGAGTTTGACTTCGTTGGCATTTGGAACGAAATTCAATCAGAAAATTGAAGTCGGAGTATTGCCAGCCGGTTTGTTGCACTTGGAGTTCGGACTGAACTATAATCATCCGATGGAGATTGGCGTGTTGCCGGAGCGGCTGGAAACTCTGAGGTTGGGATATCATTATAATCAACCATATGTATTTCCGGCTTCGTTGATATCGATTCACACTCAGCGGGTATTCGATTTCCGATTGCTCCGTCGACAATTGCAGGCCGGACAACTCGGGCTGCAAACACTCTCCACTGGAAAACTCTATAATGAAAGTTTGAATATGTCGGATTTCACAACGTTGACCCGACTGGAATTCGGTCTGAATTTCGATAGTCCACTGAGACCAGGTGAACTTCCACCGAATCTAGAGTATCTCTATCTCGGTGAGTTGAATCAGGAGTTACCAGTTGGATCGCTTCCACCGAAACTAAAAGAAATCGTCTTTGGCAATTCTTACAATGTTTTCATACTACCGAATGTACTGCCAAGTTCACTGAAGAGAATTAAATTTGGAAGTAGTTTCAATCAGTATTTAGTGGCGGGAGTGATACCGCTTGGTTGTGAAACTCTTTGTTTCGGTCATCAATTCGATCAAACCATCGAAGTGAACGTCATTCCACCGACCGTAACCACATTGAAATTCGGATTCTTCTACAACCGTAGAATTCAACAGGGTGTTCTGAAAAACGTTAAATCACTTACACTAGGTTATCTTTTCAACCAGACCGTTGTGTTTGACGACCAAAAGCAATCGTTTCTATCACGTTTAGTTGGTGGAGAATCATTTATTCCTAGTACACTCGAGTATCTGGAGATTGATAATACTCTCGGTGGCATGATGGTCAATAGACCACCCGCCAAAACATTGAAATCGCTCATTTCACTTTCAGTCAATTTTCATTATACCGAACAATACAGCCATTATTTAGTGCGATTCATCGATAATGATAATTCTCTGGTGATAAGGCGGTCGACAATGGAAGGTGGAATCATTCCAAAATCAAAACTATTTAATTCATTTGCAATGAAAAATCTAAGTATAATGAGAGAAATTCATGTATTTTCAACAAATATTAATTTCGATTAAAAATAAAACTGTAAATATTATTATTGTAATCCTGTTTTTGTTTGTTTGTTTTTATTTATTTATAGATTCCATTTATTCCAGCCTTCATTCATTAGATATGAAATAACATCATTCTTTGACCATGTTCTATATAGATTCTGTGAGTATGGTTTACAGAATGGTTCATTCTTGTAGAATTCAATGAAATAGAATAAACGGTTCTCACGTGAATATACTTTTGGACTTTGTTTGATGGTTGTATGGCAGTTATTCATAAACATCTCTAGTTGTTTGGCATCCTCTCCAGATTCCATTAGAATTTCAAAGGCATAGACCAACTTGGTTTGATAGACCATGTAGTTGCCAACGGCAAGTGTTTCTTCCCAACCCTCAACAGCTTGCTCTTGATACAACTCTGTGTAGTGATCGAATCCTGTCTTGATTCTCGAGTTGTCATCGTAGTGTTTCACCAACTTTCCGATGTTTCTAACGGTATCTTTATAGAGTTCTTTGGTATCTGGTGATCCTTGTTTGTGTAGCAGTCCATAGGTTCCAGCGAGATCTGCCGACTTTAGCTGATGGAAACAAGAGTAGGCAGCCACCGGTTTTCCTCTCGTTGCCCAATTGAAAGTAAAGAAGAAATGATATGGATAGCTGTTGATACCTGACCAACTTCCAGAGAGATTGCTTTTATCTGGTGAGCTTGCATCCAGCAACATAAATATATTGGGAATATCCTTTAGTTTTGTTTCCTTTTGGATATCGTAATCTGACTTGGCAGTCAAAACGTTATTCAAATCCAAATTTCCCAAAATGATCTCCTTAAAGAAACACTCAAACTGGTTATCTCTCTCCAATTGTGGATCGTTAGCAGCCAATCCAAGACTTTTTCTGACTTGACTAAGAGATGCACCTCCACGAATTCCTCCATTTCCAACACCTACTGGATTCTCTGTTGCTTTTAATCCAACACTTTGTGTTTGCTGTTGTTGAACTTTGTTCATAGTTAAAAATAATTTAGTTATTTAATTTTCTTAAAATAATTCTTTTCTTTCAAAATCTATCTATTAATATCATTAATTTATTCATAGACGAATATGTTTAAAAAAAAACAAAAAATTAAAAAAAATAAATAAATTTTGGAATCTGTTGTTTCTTCTTTGGGATTTCATTTTTATATGTTTTTCCAATTGTTTTTTTTTTATTCCAATGAAAATATTATTTCCAAATCAGATTTTGGATAATATATGATCTTCAGAGTAATCAAATTTCTTCATTTCCTTTTTTAAAATTTTATTGAGGTTATTTCACTTTTTTTAAATATTTCCAAAAAAGACAATTTAATATTATTATCTTTTTCTTTTGTATGATGATCAAAGTTTTTTAATTTTTTAAAACACTTATCATTCTAATACTCTTTTTGAGGGATCAAATATTTATTAAATTTTTAAAGATCCATATGATAGGATAGAAATTAGAGATTGTCATTTGCTAAGCATTTATACACCTATTTTTTATATTTCTTTTCTTTTTTTAAAAAAATGAATAGCATGACAATAATTATATTATTTATATAAATATTAGTTACAACTTCTATTGCTTACTCAATTAAAGATGTTAATTCAATCATTTTAGCAAATAAAGAGGCATTTAAAGATTCAAATACTTCGTGTATTGAATGCAATTCTCTTTTGATAGATGCAGGTGATGATATTGTTGATGTTCTTATGGGTGTTTGTTTACCTATATATATTGTTCAAAATGATACCAACGAAAGATATAATTGTAATTGATCACAAATCGATATTGGCAGTTATTTTCATGCGATTTGTAATGTTGTATGGAAATGGCCAATACAACACTATCAAAAGTCGAAAACGAAATGGGATACAAAGATGCACCCGATCCAGTTAGAATATGCCAACTATTAGAGCTGTGCCAACCACCACAACAGTAGAAGCCAATATCAGATCGGTTAGCTACAACAACCAAAATGGCTTAACATTTACAATAGATTTTACAGTAACTTCACCATTAGGTACAGCACAACTAGCTTTAGGTACAACTCTAGATGACTCACTTCTTGTAGATCTTCCAATTGGTGATTATCAAGCTACTTTTTATCCTGATATTATAATTATACATGGTAACCACTGTCTATACCCTGTCTATATGTGATGGATCATGGGATCAGATTCTCCAAATCGAAGAATCATCAGTGAATATCAACTCCCATTCCCAAATAATAATACAATGTTGGTATAATTATTAGATTTTCTTTTTCATATTATTTTAACTATAATATGAAAACCAATATAGATTTAAAAGAAATAAATGAAAAAAGATATGAAAATTAGATAGCGAGATTAATCACTATTTAAAGAAAAAAAACTAAAAAGTCTATTATTATAAAAGGAGAATTTTCTTTAGAAGATCGAGATTTAAAAAAATGTGGGTGGCAAGGTTTGATTAATCAAAACATCAAAAAAAAACTTGTATTGGAAAATTCTAGTTGAGGGATCAAATAATTTAAATATTTAAAGAGACAATTGTTGAGGAATATAAAGATATAATTAAATCTTTATTTTTATCCATTTTTATATTTAAATTTTTTAATGTATTTAAAAATGAATAGAATTTCAACAGTTATATTTTTAATATCAGTTTTAATAACCATAACTAGTGCCATCTCATTTAAAGAAGTTAATTCAATCACTTTGGATAGTTTCAAAGATTCAAATACATCTTGTAATGATTGCAATGCTCTTTTTGTAGGATTGGGTAATCTTATTGATAAAACTCTTTACGATTTTTTCTACCCAGGATGTCTATATGGAAAAGATACCAACAAAAAGTATCAATGTAATTGCCGAACAAATGATGTCCTTTGTGAAATTTTATGCGCAGATTATTGTGCAAAAAATATGACCAGCGAAGCGATATCGGAAATAGAAAATGATATGGGCTCAAATGTACATACACCTGATCCAGTAAGAATTTGCCAAATCTTAGCTAGATGTCCAAACACTACCACCGGAGAAGCCAACATCACATCGGTTTTATATCACCCAGAGAAATCGCTTTTATTTACAATATATATTACAGTTACATCCCAATTAGGCACAGCACAAATAGCAATCGGTAAAAAGGACACTACCTACGACCAAACACTTCTTGTCAATATCCCAAAAGGTGATTATCAAGTTACAGTTTCTGTTGATTCATTATTCTATGAAAACAACATTCTGCCAGTGTATCTATGTGATGGATCCTGTGGACCAGATTATCCCAATCCAAGGATCATAAGTGAGTTTCAATTGCATATGAATCCTAAAAATTAGATATGAAAATCCAATAAAAATTAAATATAATTCCAATAAAATTTAGACTGTCTGGGTACATATCTGGTGTGGGTGTTGGTTTCCACTCATTCACTACACTCACCCTCTTTATCATATATATATCTCGTTTGCTGCTTCCTTTCCTTTCCTTTTAAACAACTGCAGTATCGAATACTGGCGTGGTACTATTTTAACAATATCGTCAATTTCAGATGTTCTTTTTTTGTTCTCTTATTTTGATGGTAATTAATATCTTGAAGATACTCATATTAAAAACATAAATGGAGGTTTTAGATGTGATTGCACCCTTAAGTTATGGAAGAAACTACCAATAAATAAATTAAATATGTTCTTTATAAATTAAATTATTTTAATGTAAATAAATGTTTGTCAAAAATAGATCTCTTATATTAATTGAATCAAATAAGGTAAATGGGTACATTGTATGTGATTTATTTAATTTTAAAAAAAATCTTTGTTTTCAAATTGAATGTTCAAAAATGAATCAATTTAAATTAAATCAGTGGTTTAGTCCTATGATCAATTTAAAATTTTTTTTTTTTTTTTGAACCAATTTTTAATTAAATATTAACATTACATTAGTATATATATGCAGGACGAAAATAATAATAGTTTTAAAGGTGGGAGTGTTGGTGAATATTGGTCGGCGATCGGAGTGACAGCATCGACTTATGAACAAGCACAAGAGTTTGTCAAGGAGTTGGAGATGAGACAACGTGACGGTCTCATTGCAGATTCTACCGTTTTCATTGCTGTACCAGATCCACCATTGAATCATTTGTATACATCGTACAGTCACAGACACACCAAGATCGGAAGTGGCACGTCGTCACTCAACGCCCTGTTTGTCATCGTCGAGCAACTCTCTGTTGCCTCTGGGAAGACCTATCTCGATGGCGATGTCCTTCGTGGCAAGAAAGTACTGCTTCTCAACATCGGTGGACTGCATCATCACATGCCCCAAGTGAATCTCTGCACCAAGTCATTCACGATGGTTCCACTCGCCAATTGCGATTTGACCTATGTGCGATCGCGCGACTCCGACACCGATAGTGCGCAACAATCCTGTTCATCCAATAACAAGACCGAACATCTCTCGGCAGTCTGTCCAATCGATATCCTACTGTCAAATCTGAATAAAGTAGTTCCAATTTGTGGTCCGGGATTGGTTATTGCTAGCACAGAGTCGCTGCTGTTGTTCGACAACGATAATCCACTGTTGACCAAAGTTGAGAGTTGGAATTCCAGTGGAGTCACTCTACTTACACTGCCTATTCGCAGACATGATGCAACTAGACACGGAGTTTGTAAATTCATTAGGGACGGCGACGACTATCTCATCTCAGATATCGGTTACCGTTTGACTGAAGAGGAGCTGTTGGAACAAGGATATATTGATAAAGCTACCGATACTGCTCAGGTCTATACAGGATTGATTCGAATGTGTGAAAAGACCGCTGAGAAGTTCTTGTATCTCCATTCACAACCGCCAATGGATTCATGTACCTACTTGGGTGTTGACAACGGTGCCATACTCTTTAAATTCGGCTGGTTACCAGACGTCCTAATGCCAATGACCACCGGCATCACATGGGAAAAGTATCACGTCCTAAAAGAACCACAGCACGACAATTCAAGATACCTCACAGAAGCAGCACGTAAATCACTATGGAAAACCTTCCACGGTACAAGTCTTAGAGCATTACCGCTAAAAGGAAAATATTGTTATCTAAGACATTCCAGGTAAATATTAGTAATATGGAAATTAGCCAGTCATAATAATTGGAAACTAACAAATGATATGATCGTTATTTTTATAGAGATTTCTTGGAGTTTATTAATTACCAAAATGAAATTCCAATATCAAGATTCGCTCATTCATTTAGTGATAATAAGAACAAGATAGAGGCAACCGTTATCAATTCCATACTACACGGAGATGGCTATGCTGAGAAGAGTAGTATTATTTATTCATCGTCGCTGAGTGGTAATTGGAGAATTGGAAAAGATACTATTGTTCTTGGTGTTCGAGAGTTTAGCTATGGATTCCATTTTGGCGATCGTATGTCAATCTCTGAGATCCGGTTGAAAACCAACAAGAAGCTGAATGTATCTACCGGTGGCACTGAGTTGGAGCAACGTGCAAAAGTTCTGGTTATCATTGGTATCGATGACGATATCGATTTGATGGTAGACGATCCCAAGGCAACGATTGCCAATCGCAGCTGGTCAGAGTTTTTCTCAAAGAGTGGAGTCACTCCCGATGAGATATGGCCAGCTAAATTCCCGAGAATGTTGAGAACCGCCAGATTATTCCCTATTCTCACTGGACAGGTCGATGAACTGCTGGAATCTGCACTCTGGATGCAAGACAATACATCGCCATCGCTAAGTGTCATCGGTAGATGGCGTTCGTCCAAACGTCTTTCGATTGCCGATGTCACAGGTGAGACCGATCTTTATCAGATTGTACCGTGCGAAAACAACAGTGGTAATCCAACTTTTATTCCGAATTCCGGTATGAAAAAGTTTATTGAGGGTGATGTCAATGCTGCATTCCAGTGGAATCGTGATCTCAATTTTATGATCGATGTTCACCATGTCGAGAAAGCAATAATGGCAGGTGAAAACTTTTGTATTCTCCCATACTTTAGAAAGTGGGCAAACACCAAGGATCTACCAATCACTAAAATACTGGCTACTCTTGATCGTCTGGCAATCTCAGTTCCCATTCACTATATTGGAAGAATGCTCTCTGCCATCTCTGATTTCCTAGCGATATCGGTGCGTGGAAGAGGTGGACTGAGATCCGGTCCGGCGAGAAACGCAGCTTGGGAACCAGCACTACAGTATTTCGTCAAGAAGGACGAACGTAAAGGTATCATTGCTTTGGCAAAGGAACGTGAGAAATGGTTGAACTCTCCAGAGAAAATAATACGTGCAGCTCGACACTATGAAGGTGCCGGACAAGTATTCATTAAGAATATTGTCGATACTTGTCATGTGCAGCTGAAGAGACATCCAGATGGACCTGTTAAAGTTGACCAATGGTGTACAGTTACTTTGCCTGCAAGAATAGATTTGGCAGGTGGTTGGACTGACACTCCACCCATTTGCTATGAACATGGTGGTCTGGTTGTCAATGTCTCCATTACAGTCGATCAGAAAAGACCGATTGTTGTTCGTGCCAAACGTGTCGGTACTCCGCATATCAAGTTGCATGTTGACTCTATGGATTCAGATGCAATCGTTTGCACATCGTTCATGGATCTCTCGGATTACAGTCGTCCACAAGCACCTGCCGCTCTATTGAAAGCATGTTTCCTACAACTCGGATTGGTTGACCCACATATCAATAAAACTCTGGCCGAACAATTGGAATCGATTGGTGGTGGTATCGAAGTTGTTTCCGCATCAAACTTGCCAACTGGATCTGGTTTGGGAACTTCTTCGATTTTGGCAGCCGGATTGCTGTGTGCCATGGCCAGAGTGTACGGACAACACTACGACGATACCTCACTGATTCATGCAGTTCTAAGAGTGGAACAAATGTTGACAACCGGTGGTGGTTGGCAAGATCAAGTGGGTGGAATCATCGGTGGATTCAAAGAAGCGAAATGTCTCAAGCGTAATGAGAATGTAAATATCAATGTTGAACATCGTGTACTCAATATCAGTAGGGAGAACATCGAGAAAATCAATAATCATCTATTGTTGATCTACACCGGTAGAACTAGATTGGCAAGAGATCTTCTACAGGATGTCATTAGAAGATGGTATGCCAAGACTGAAGAAATTATACGCGTAACCGATAGTCTTGTTGCCACTGCTGAATCGATGGTCAAAGCTCTGGAGAATGTAGATATTCCACAGTTGGGTTCATTACTACGTGAGTATTGGGAACAAAAAAAATGTATGGCGAGCGGTGCTGAACCAACTCAAGTCGCACAACTAGCTAAACTCATTAGCGAAGAGAGTTACGGTTACTCATTGGTTGGCGCTGGTGGAGGTGGATTTATGGTTGCCATCACCAAAGAGAATAGTTCAATAACCAGAGAGAAATTGAAAACATTAATAGCTGGAAACGATCAATTCTCATCGGTTTCATTCCATACTGCTGAGATTGATCTTAAAGGTTTGGAGATTACTTTCGAGTAAAGTGGTTGATCCATGAAATCAAAAAAAAAACAAACAAACAAATAACTTGTAAAAAATAACTTTTAATATTTGTATTTTTATTTACATCATTGTATAAGGATAATAAATTAAACCAATATCATCTATAAAAATAGTTTGTGAAGAAGAAGAATATCCATAAATTGTGATATCTGTGAATGTGTTAAGATTCAATGTTGAAAGTGAAATACGTATTGGGTTCCAAACTTGAGCATTAAAATTGTTGAATTTGTAATCTGCTATTGGAATCGGAACATCGAGATTATTTTCAGTGATTAATCCAATTACAAAGTCAATGGCTGAATTGGTGGTAGATGTCATTACCCAGAATTCCAAGTAACTAAATTCTTTCAAAGGAAAAGGACTTGAAGAATGTAGTTTCATTTGAAATGGAATGGTTGTAGCAATGTATCGCTTGCCAAAGTGTGCTATACTTTCATTTGTTGCAATTGGTATTGGACTTATATTATTTAATATTGAATTCTTAAATAGATAATGAATCGATTCATTGAATATCATTAGGGAGTTGGTGTAATAGTTGGTACGACAATCGGCTACAGCGAAAACTGGTGATTGCTCCAGAGTAATCCTGATTCTTTCACTACCGTCCTCTGGAAATGCATAAAGATCCGGTCTCTTTTGTATTTGATTTAACTTTACAAACAACATTCCATTGGATGTATCATAGAAATAAGAATTATTATCTAATTTTAATCTATCTGACACGGGGAAGAGTTTTGGTAAGGTTTTATATCCGATCACCTTTTCGACTTGTAGGGACCGTATGGAATTGACACCAATACATATTCCAATATCCATTGTATCATTCTGGTCCCAATTGATTGCTTCTAAATCGAATACTTGTGGAACCGGATGCTTATCGAAATGGAATGTATATTCATAGTTCTTGTGGACCAAAACCAGAAAATGATTCTTTGGATTATGATTAGGAAGTCCTGATAGTGTAAGATTTAGGTGTGTATCTCTGGCTACTACCAACTGAGGTCCATTGTTATTATACTCGACACGCTCTGGATATGGAACATAAAAATAAATATACGCCATTGATTCATTGCAAACCAACAAATTTCTTTCTGGTTCTTCAATACATTTATCTGTTTTATAAATTGGAATATTTCTAACCTAAATTATATTTTAAAGATATTAATAAAATTAAGTTATTTCATTTCGATATTATTAATAATTACATAATGTAAAAGTTTATCTTTATCGAAAATATTTTGACATTTATCACCATCTTGATATAAATTATTCATATATAGTTTATGGTCAACATCAATGAATTCATTATTTTCCATGTATGATAGTGATGAGAATGTATAATCGTGCAATCGGTACCATGATATTGCACTAATATTCCTATCGTCATATCGCTTAAAGTGTCGAAAACTACAGTTTGTAACCATAACTGGTCCATCATAGACTTCGAATCCTCTGATAGGCATCTTCCAATTCTCACCAAATGGATTCGTTCTGTTTCGATGAACGGGTGCTCTATCCCAAGAGTATGAACCATTGTTTTCCGACTCTCCGATAAATAACGAGTTGGTAACTAGCTGAGCAATGCCCTTATCGGAAGGATAGGTTCCCTCCGATGCTAGTGTTAGGGAAATAGCATTGTCAGCAAAATAACAATTATCCATGATGATATTTCCTCTTGCCCATGCACCTCTCCACATATTCTTATAACAAACCAAACCTTCTAAAAGAGCTGGTCTCATTGGAGAACCTCTATTGGTAAAATCAACTCTCGGGTTGTAACGGATGCTAATGAGTGAGTTGATTTGTTGTGGCTCCTCTTTGGATGGTGGATAAAGTTTCAAACCACTGTCGAGATTGAATCCGAGAACTCGGTTCGAATGAACAGTGTTATTTTGAAACTTTTTGATAAGAGTGTAAACCGGTTGGATATGTTGGTCTACACCGGTTGAGAATGACTCGCCACCCGGATACTCGGGAACAACATACCAGATTCCGGTATTCTCTGAGCCACCGGCAATGTTGTTGGTTAAAACATTATTGGGATTGGATATCCAAAAGGTGGAAACAGCATTACATTCAGTTACCTGAGTTGGATTTCCATTGAAATCCAATGGTTTGTATGCCTTACACATTTCATCGTTTCTGTCGGCGGGTGTTACCAATCCGGAACGCGTGAGAATACCAATGTTACGATCGATTACATTGTTCATCTCAATGCCATCGCAAAGCATATAGCAATGTCCAATGTGGTCGTATGCAACATTGTCCTGAACCAACAATCCATAAACGCCATGAAGTACAATACACCGATTGTGTGAATTCAATATCACCGTATTCTTAACGTATGGACGAAAGAAATAAGTTGATACATCACCAACCATATGGAAATGAATAGGATATCTTGATATCATATGTGGTTGTCCCATAAACTCTAGTCGTAACGAGTTGAAATGAGCATTCTTAAAGCCACGAGTAATCATTATATGTGCACCGAATGTGTAGTTTGGAAAGAATCGACAAACCAAAGGGTTGGATACACAATGGTTTTCTTCTACTCTTCCTCTAACTACAATGTTTCTTGTTATCATCGAAATTGAAGCGCGTTGATCCATTCCCTCAATAAAGGTTCCCCAATGTAGATATACCAGTGGATTTGCCAATTTGATTTGATTTGGTGCACAACTTGGACAATCTACAATGGTATTAAACTCGGTCTGACCATAGTCGTAATCTGAACTGGCAATCATTACTTCACTTCCACTCTTCCAAGATACTTTAGAATTCAAGGTCAGCAGCGTATCACCAGGCCGTCCATTTCTATCTAGCTTTGCCCAAGCAGGAAGTGGTTCCTGTCCGTGAATTTCCAATGTTCCGTCTTTGCCCACAGCAATCACTTTTTGGCCATAGGGAAAGCCGTCCACTGTGAAATTGTTGGCTGTATACTCAGAGTAACCGGTTAGAGTGATCGTTGTCTTGTTGGTGTATGGACAAAGAGGACTGCCAATACAAACACTACCACCATCTACAATGATGAGAGCTTGTGTTGTAAGGCTAACACCAGGTTTATCTTCGAAAATTAACATTCCACTCCCATTGACAAGTACATATGCGAGTGGGGGAGATTCCAAATCCAACATTATTTTCGTCTGAATGATAACAGCGTCATTCGCTTTTGGAACCAACTTGTTTGGCCAGCTTGCAGCATTAGACCATCTAGTTAGACGAGGTACATCCTCATTACAAATATATCCGAAAACTACTGAAATATATAAAATAAAAATTATATTGATATTTATAAATATTTTTTTATATGACAATGATGATAATGATGATGAATACATTTTTTATATAAAAGTAGTATTATTACTATAGATAGTTATTTACGAAATGTAACAATGTTACATTAAGAATAAATTCAATCAATTGATTGAAAGATTTGATCAAATATATCCATTTTACTTTTTTATTTAAAATAATGTTTATTTATCTTTTAATATTATTATTAAAAGTTATACTACTATGTGTTATGCAATGATGGTGGTGAACATAACAAAAAAAAACAAAAAACAAAACCTTGTTGGTAAGAGACCCATTATTTACTACTATAATAAAAATTATTTGTAGTGTTACCACTAAACTGAATATATCATATAATTTTTACAAATAAATAATGATCTATATCTATTATGTATTGACATTTTCATTCAAGTTAGTATAAAAGTTTTTTTAAAAAAACATGTTGTGAATACACTACACTGATCATTGTGTGTTTGAACTTTTGATCAAATTTATTTTTATTTTTATTTTTGACAGATATAATAAACATTGAATCAACATAATTTATTTGGAAGTTCAATAAACAATTAATTGTTTACGAATATCTATGGAAGAAGAAAGAGATAAACAACAACAGCAACAACTCATTTTTATTAAGAAAATATTTGCTATTTCACCAATTAGAAATCAAATATTCGAAGAGGTTAAGAATATCAATGCTTTGTCATTCCTTCCGAAATATAGTTGGTTAGAGTTGGCATGTTTCCCAGAAAGCTATTGAAATTAAAATATATAGATCGATTCAAAACGATCTTTACATATATATTTGATAAGTCACAAGACGGTCAACTATTGGATAGTAATCAAAATGATATTAGATCTCAATATCTAAAGTCTATACAATCAGAGTATATCAATGGTACTGATTACGTTTGGCGTCTACCTTGCTGCGAAGAAAAACCACCTGGAAATCGTTTGGTTCCTCCAAGAAGATCGTAGTGAAGGATGTACAAGTGCTGCCCTTGAATATGCTGCTGGTAGTGGCTATCTGGAAGTACTCTAGAGTATCTTTGTTTGCACCGACCTGACAAATTAACACATCGGACCGTCACAATATCAGTGCAATCTGGACAGCTGGCTATTGTGAAATTCTTGCTACAAAACTATCCACATTATTTCATTGGCGATGAAATCGAAACTTCCGCTGAACATGGTTATCTTTCTATCGTCAAATACCTATTTGAAATCAAATCGTTCATAAGGAAATAATCAAACAATCTTTGGAAAAAGCAATAATCAATGGAAAAACAAAGATTAAAACTATTTATCTAATAAAATAAATTCTAAATAGAAAAAAACTTTTTTCTACAAACTGTATCTTTTTTTCATTGTATTAATCTTCTTTATAATCTATATTAGATTACCTCATTACTTTGTATTTGATTAACCTTCTGTGTTCGATTGTATGTTATTTTGTTATGTATAATTTCTTTTTTAAAATTTTTTATTATTTGTTTTTGTTGTGATTTAAAAATATGGCGATTTAAATATTATAGTGGTTTTTTTGTTTTTTTATTTAGAGGTCCAACAAGATTCTCTTTGGATCTTCGATAACATCCTTGATTTTCTTGAGGAAGGTGACAGCTTCACGACCATCGATGATTCTGTGATCGTAGGTGAGTGCCAAGTACATGATTGGTCTGACGACGACTTGTCCATTTACAACGACGGCACGGTCCTTGACAGCGTGCATACCTAAAATAGCGGATTGTGGTGGATTGATGATTGGGGTACCAAACATCGATCCGTAGACACCTCCATTGGAGATTGTGAAAGTTCCACCCATTGAATCTTCGATGGCCAATTGGTTGTTTCTGGCGAGACCAGAGAGACGACCGATCTCCTTTTCAATGTCGGCGAATCCCATGTCTTGGCAGTTCTTGACGACTGGGACTTGCAAACCTTTTGGTGCGGCGACGGCGACGTTGATGTTGATGGCGTCGTGGTAGACAATGTCGGTGTCCTCGATGGAGGCGTTGACGACCGGTTGGTCCTTGAGGGCAACAGTAGCAGCCTTGACAAAGGCACTCATGAATCCGAGCTTGACACCGTGCTTCTCAAAGAAATCGTCTTTGTACTTGTTACGCATCTCCATGAGAGCAGACATATCGACCTCGTTGAAAGTGGTCAACATGGCAGCGGTGTTTTGTGAATCCTTCAAACGTTGAGCGGTTCTCTGTCTGATACGAGTCATTGCTACTCTACGTTCTCCTGGGATGGCAGCGGCACCAGCAGCGGTGGTGGTGGTGGTCTTTGGTGGTTCAGCGGCGACTGGCTTTGGTGTCTCGACTGGCTTTGGTGCTGGTGCAGCTGGCTTTGGTGCTTCAGCGGCCTTTGGTGCCTCGGCAGCCTTTGGTGCAGCAGCCTTTGGTGCTTCAGCAGCGACGGCACCCTTCTTAATTCTATATAATGGGTTTCCAACCAAAACGGTCTCACTCTCCTTGGCGAAACACTCTGTAATGACACCACTGTCTTGGGCATTGATATCGATGGTAACCTTATCGGTTTCAATACTACAAACGACATCGTCAACCTTTACTGAATCTCCAACCTCTGTTTTCATAAATCAAATCGAATCAAATCGTAATAATAATAATATTGTTAATCAACTGTCCTGTATTTTTTTTTTTTTTTTTTGATCTGCAACGCTTATACATACTCTTGGTCCAGCTAACAATGGTACCTTCAGAGATTGAATCACCCATAGTTGGTACTTTAACAACATCTCCTTCAGCTATAATGTGATTAATATGTAAGTAATTAATGACTTCAAGTTGTGTGTGTGATAACACTTATTTATACATACCAGTAGTGTAAGTACGCTTTTGAATCAATTGGGTTTGAGCAAAGAGTGGTGAAGCATTGTTGCTTTGACCAAACATGTTTGATACATTGGCTTTATATAAAGATGAAGTTTGCGATGGCTTTACTCCATTTGGTCTGACTGTAGTCAATGGTCTAAGAGTTGAGTATCCCTATTTTATCATTTGATTGTTTGATTGATTGATTCTATGATTAGTTACTATTTTTTTCATTATCATATATATATATGATCTTATCCAACTAATACATCCAATCAAATTCCCATTTTATTTTCTTAAATCAAACTTTTCTTTTTCTTTTTCTTTTTTTTTTTTTTTCACCTTTCATATGATTATGATCTTTATGTTAATGAATATCATATATTATTATTATTCCATGTTGATTGGTATATCGATAGTTAATGAATATTCATTTGATTGAAAACACTATTTGATTAATATAAATCAGTCGACTGATTTCGTTTCGATTCGTTTCTGATAATATGCAAGTTGTGAAGTTGAATAGTTGTAAAGTTGTTACTGTAGAGCTAATTAACACCTACTCTAAAACTATTTGTGTTTTTAACTTGTTTCAAAAGAGATGATGATGATCTCATTTTTTTAATATAAATTCAAATATATAATAAAATTAATTATATTATTTTAAAGATTAAACAGTCAACTTGAAATTTTCATTACATAATCACTGATTCAAAAAAAAAAAAAAAAAAAACAAATTTTTTTAAAAAATAAAATAAAATAAAATTTTGTCAAATCAAAAAAAAAATAAAAAGTCATAATTTAGTTACTGAAAGGGGAAAATATGATTCGGGAATATAATTAATAATTATCTTTTGCAAACTAACTATAACAATAATAAATAATACACAACTAAAGTACAGTATCGTAATTAAATAATAATAATTACGATTTATATAATTATGAAATGATTCACGAAAATAAATATATAAATAAAATAAAGTGATATAGCAAAATCTTTTTTTTTGTTTTTTCATTGATTTTAAACAAATACAAAAATCAATTGATTTTTTTTTTGTTGCTTAAATTGAATTTGCTTTATGAGTGTATTTAACGGGAATGAATACCTTTTAAAGGATGTAATTTATTGGTTGTGTGTTTTCTGGTTGTTGTTGTTGTTAAAAACGTGTGGGGTGAACATCAATCCCTTTTTTTCTGCTTCACACTACAAAAAAACAAATTTTTAATTTATTTAATTTTTTTAAATGCTTTGATAATCATCACACACCCACACACACCAAACAAGTATGTTGTTAAATACTCAAGTGTTTATTTTCCTCACCTCATTTATTATTATTACATAATTATCTAATAAACAATAAATATCTCTTTAATATAAATATTATTATTACTTAAATAATTCTTTCATATTAATAATATATATCTATCATTATATAATATAAACAATGGTTGTCAAGATTGGTATTAATGGTTTCGGACGTATTGGTCGTTTAGTTCTCCGTGCTTCCACTGAAAACTCTGCTTGTCAAGTTGTCGCTGTCAACGAGCCATTCATGGATGTTGACTACATGATCTATATGTTCCACTACGATACCGTCCACGGTAGATTCAAGGGTACCGTCGGTAAGGATGCTGAGGGACACTTGGTTGTCAACGGAAAGAAGATTCACGTCTTTGCCGAGTATGTATATTGTTAAATTAATATAAACATTTATAATTGTTAACAATATATTCTTTATTACTCCTTTTTTTTTTTTTTTAACTGTCTGTTACAACAGGAAAGACCCATCAAACATTCAATGGGGTAGCGCAGGTGCTGATTATGTCGTTGAATCAACCGGTATCTTTTTAACCACCGATAAGGCAAGTGCTCATTTGAAGGGAGGTGCCAAGAAGGTTATCATCTCTGCTCCATCTGCTGATGCCCCAATGTACGTCATGGGTGTCAACGAAGAGACCTACAAGACTGATGTCAACGTCCTCTCCAACGCCTCATGTACCACCAACTGTTTGGCTCCATTGGCCAAGGTTATCAACGAGAACTTTGGTATCACCGAAGGTTTGATGACCACTGTCCACGCTATCACCGCCACCCAAAAGACTGTTGACGGTCCATCCGGTAAGGACTGGAGAGCCGGTCGTTCTGGTCTCGCCAACATTATCCCAGCCAGCACTGGTGCCGCCAAGGCCGTCGGTAAGGTCATCCCATCGTTGAACGGTAAGCTCACCGGTATGTCGTTCCGTGTACCAAACGCCGACGTCTCTGTCGTCGATTTGACCGTCAGATTGGACAAGCCAGCCACCTACGAACAAATTTGCGCTGTCGTCAAGGCTGCCTCTGAATCAGCCAACTTGAAGAGATACATTGGTTACACCGAAGACGAAGTCGTCTCATCAGATTTCATCGGTGACACCCGTTCATGTATTTTCGATGCCAAGGCTGGTATCTCTTTGAACAACAACTTTGTCAAATTGGTTGCCTGGTACGATAACGAAATGGGTTACTCCAACCGTGTCGTCGATTTGATCTGCTACATTGACTCTAAGAAGTAAATTGTGATCATTATATCTCCTCATTTTTAAACAAAAAAAATAAATTAAAACTTTTTTAACTGTAATGTTGTAGTAGGTGTGAATGAGTTAATAAATGAATGAGTTAATGATTAAATTATCTATCAATGGCTATATTCAAATAATAATCAATCAATTAGATAACTCTACACATTGATATACTATTATTTATGTATTTATGCAGTAAAGTATGTTAGGTTTTATTTTTGTTCGTCAGTAACTGAATCATCGATTGACTAAAGAAAAGATAAAAGATAAGTGTGAGTGAGTGTTATTGTTAGAATGATACTTATATATATAAGATTTACATACTTTAATGAACTCTTTAAGTACGGTCGAAGGTATATAAACAGTATTAGAATTTAAACTGGTGAAAAAGTTCTTTTTGCTATCTTGGTCAGAGTTTTGAATTAGTTTCGGATCCAATTTGACTAGACCCTCGATCATTCCAACGACCTCATTGTCAAAGTTGATGGCTGGACCACCACACATTCCCATTGGTGATGCTGATTGAGTTTGAACGAAATGTCTATTTGGTTCTTCAACATTGAATTTATATTCACTGGCCAGTGGCATCATAATATTATCTTTTTCATTTACCAATTGATATCCAAATAATTTACCAGTCTACATGTAAATATTCCAAAATTTGTTAGAACTAATAGATCTACAGAACCAATGAAATTAGATAATTAACATACATGTCCTTTACGTGGATGTTCATAGTCTTCAAGTTCGAGCACCGATGGAATGTATGGTAGGTTACTTCTTGTGAAATCCTCCAAATTAACTCTGAAACATACTAGATCCAATGTTGGATGTAAATAGTATGGTTTCTCTATTGGTAACGAATGTAAAACTTTTCCTGTTTTTGGCTAAAACATAAATAAATATAAGTATTCTATACTATAATATGACTCTATAATCTGCTATATATTTACATCACGATATTCAATCTCTGCTTTAATATTTGATTCACCGAGTGCAAATATCCATTTGTGATTCTCTTCTTTGTAGAGGAATGGGAAGTTGAATGGATGAGTAATATGTGCACAACTGATTGCATAGATTGGTCTTGATGCACTGAACAAACCACTCGGTGTTTTCACCAAGAACAAACTACCTCTTGAAAGATTAACATATTCATTGACTCCATACTCTGGATATCTAATTAATTAAATTAAAATAAGATCATTATTTATAAGTAAGTATGTATGTAAAATGATTAAAAAGGTTTGGTGATCAAAATCCTACTTAAAATATGAACTGATTGTTAAGATACTTGGTGTTTCAATAGCTTCCTCTTTCTTTTTCGTTGCTGATTTATCGGTGGATGCAGCTTTCTTTGATGCATATAATCTATTGTTTTGATTGTTGTATTGATTTGCAATGCTATATAAACGAGTTGTTGAAGATTGTAATGAAGTTGGCATAGCAGATGCAGTTGCAATCGAAACAAAAGATTGACTCAATACTCCAACATTTTGTATTTTATTCTGTCTAAATAAAGATGAACCTGTTGATTTTACAATTGACTTTAACATTCTACTTTATTAGAAATAGATATAATAATTAAAGATGAAATGATTGATTCAAAAAAAAAAGTAGATCAAAAAAAAACAAAAATGATTTAATAATGCAAGCAATGATAAAAAATCAGACTTTTGACATAAGATAATTTATTATTATATATTATTTATTATAATTACAAACTTCTTTGTGTAGGTGCATAATACTTCATTCCTATGATATCAAATATTCCACGCTCACTATGTACAATGATATCTTCACTCTTGTTATTTGCACCTGCACCCAGAATCTTATTGATTGAATATTCACTTAGTGTATATCCTTTAGATAATGCGATTGCTCTGTTGTAATACATAATAGTTATTTAAATAATGAAAATGAATTAATTAATTAATTAGTTAGTTAGTTAGTTAGTATTTTTGATTGTATTGATTGTATTGATTGATTGATTGATTAATCTTACCTCATTTGTCTATTGAATTCATCTGAACCAGTGTTATGAAGTAATCCAAAGTAATAAGATTCGATCGGTACCAATTTAAAATCTATTCTTCTAACTATTGGTTTCGGTGGATTCTTTTGACTGGACTTTGATTTGTCCATTTCATTCGGTACTATACAACAACCCATGTATTTCATTGGTCCCAAACTGATATCGTCAACTATGACACCCTTCTCTTTCAACGCCTTTACCAATTTCTCTATCAAATTGAACGATTGATTCTTCTTTGCATCTGCCTTCCACTCTTTATTGTATTTAGGATGTGTCAGCAATAGATCTATATCACCACTTGATGCTGCACCTCTACGACTAATAACAAAAATAATGATAATATAATTATTGATTGGTTGTTAGTCAAATTTGTCACACCACTATTTTACTTATTATTATTATTTCGTAAGCTACTTACTAACTACCACATGTCTCAGCAACAGCATCTTTATCAATCTTTTTCAATAGTTCAATACAAATGGTTTCAATCTTCTCTATTTCATCTCTTGGTACACGTTGTTCGATATCCTCAAAGTATTTCAAACCAACCTGTTGATGATGATTTAATGTTGTACTGATCTTTCTTAGTTTTTCTATACTAGTCACACCTTCTTCAACTAATTTCTTGGCAATGGCAGGTCTAAACAAATTAATAGAAATAAAATTAGTTTATAATCATTCAACAAACAAACTCTATTAATTAATTGACATACCCAATACCAGAAACTCTTGATATATTATTAATGGCAACAAGTTTCTCATCGGATTGAAGTTTAATAAGTTTTGCAAGTTTACCAGTATCCAATATCTCTTGTACTTTCTTTGCAATCTTTGCACCTACACCATCCAACTCTATAATCAATTGATTGTTAATATAAATTATCAGATTTGATTATAATAAGAAAAAAGTGTAGATTGATTGATAAATAGTTACTTTGTGATTCTGAACCCGATGATAACTTCTTTGGATGTACTCTTATTGATTGTATTGCTTTACGATATGCATTGTATTTATGAGTTGCACCTTTATTCTTTTCGAATATACTGACTTCATTCAAGATATCGCATATCAGTTGATTATGATTAACCTGTCCTATCAGTGGCAATTCAATAAGACCATCTTCATCTCTTTGTGTCTTACTGTTATTACCACTATTCTTTTTAATTGTATCATCTTTTCTTTTTGAATTGATTTGTGTTTTCTCTTTCTCTTTCTCTTTGCTCTTGACTGGTGTTGGTGGCGATGATTTACTTGGTGAATTTGTTGTTGCACTTGTAGTAGTTGTTGTTGTCGAAGTTGTTTTCTTCTTTATATCTTTTTCATTTTTAGTGATAGCACTACCACTACCACTACCACTATTACTAGTCGATAACTTTTGTTTCTTTATTCTTTCAGTTTTTATGTTATCTTCTTCCTCAGTATTAGAATCATCATCTTCTTCTTTTGTTTCTTTTCCTTTTCCTTTTGCACTTATTGGTTTATGTTTATCATTATTAACTTTATTGTAGTTGTTGTCGTTGTTGTTGTTGTCGTTTGAGTCAGATTCATCCGTCTCAAAAGTCACAGTATCACTGTCATCTTCGTCATTTGATTCATCGACTTCCTCCTGTGTAGGTTCATCGTCATCTGATTCATCAATCTTTCTTTTTAATAACACCATTTATTTATTTGTATATAGATATTTTGATATGTTTTTGTTTTGTTTTTTTTAATTCTGTAGAAATATCAAATCACCATTTTAATTTAAATTAAAAATTCTATTTTAGGAAAAACTTTTTTTTTTAATACTTGGAAATTAATATTTCTTTGGAGATAATAATAAATTCTTTATATATGTATATTTAATTCATTTTTATCATTTATTTATATTTTAATTTTTTATAACAACTATTTCTCTATCTTAGTGTTGAAATAGTTAATGGTGATGGTGACTTTGGTGATGGTGATTTAAGTTGACTTAATTTGTTTGTTGACGACGATTTTGGGGAGGACAAAATTGAAGTTGAGAAAGTAAGACCAGATTTGGTGGTCTTTGGTGTTAAAATGTTGTTGTTGTTGTTTTCATTGTTGGTTTGGTTTGTGATGTTCTTGAGTGGTGTGCTGCCTCTGCTGGAATTTGATTTACTTGGTGTGGACTTCTTGCTTGGAGTGTTATTGCTGCTACCTGCTCTCTTGGATGGTGTGTTGTTGGCTGCGTTCTTGTGTGGCGATCTTGTCTCACCTGGTCTCAATAAAGACGATCCAGTCTTTCTCAACTTGACTCCTGTGATATCTGCCAATGAAATATTGAATTGCTTGCCACCCGACGAGCTCGATGATTTCTTCTGTGCGGACGCTGGATTCTTCACTGAACTCGAAGAGGCAGTTGGTGTTGTTGCAACAGCTGCTGGCTTAGGGGGTGGTGGAGGTGGTGGAGGTGGAGGTGGTACATACATTGGTTGTTGTACTTGAAGAAAAAGTAATAGAAAATTAAAAAGAAAAAGAAATTAGAAAAAAGATAATTATTATTATCAAAAGATAAATATAAAATACATACATTGTGGTTGTTGATTTAATAATTGTGATGCCTTTATAATTTGGCCGAGTAATTCTTGATATTGGTTAAGATTATTTTTATACAGTTGGTTTTGATCAGATTTGATACGTAGGATTTCTTTTTCAAGGCTGGCAACCTTTGACTCTAGTCTTCTGATAATGGTGGTATCATTATTTTGTACAATAATAGTTGGAACACCCGCTGTCGATGTTGTTCCAGCAGGCAAGTTAAAGTTATTTTTATGTAGTTGTTTGGAGTCTTCTACTTCTACATCAGAGGAATCAGATTGTAAAGCTACCGATTCTTGATCATAGTCATCCTCTCCTATTGAATATACAGATAAAAAGTATTCAATTATCTTTTTTATTACAAAAATAATAAATTAATATAAAATAACAATTTAATTTAATTTAAATATTAATTATTTTATTACTTACACTATCCCATGTATCTTTTCTAAATGGTAATTGTATTACTTTAATACATTGATCAACGATGGCACTGAAACTAACTGGTAAAAAAGGTTGGTAATGGAAATTTATTTGATTGAGTTGTTGTTGTTGTTGTTCTCTCTTTCTTTTTTTCAATTGTTTATTATATTTTGATTTCTTTCTTTTATCTCCTAGTTTTGACATTCTTTAAATTATATATAATTGCTGTATTACAACATAAAAAATAAAAATAAAAATAAATTAAAGATAATGATATGCTAATTATATATATAGATTTACAATGATAATAATATTATTAGAGAAAATGAATTGTTCTGGAATGAATGATTATGTTAAGTTCATCACTGCTCATCCACACAAAAAATTGAACAACAATTCTATTTTCCAACGGAAACCGCTAAAATTCAAAAGTTTTTAATTTAAATTTTTGAATTTTGGTGGGGATATGCAATTTTTTTGTATTGAAGTCAAGTAAAAGTCAATCATATCAGTCATATGATAATAGATAAGATTAATTGATTTCATATGATTGTTTTATTTTAGTTTTAGATTCAAAATTAAAAAAAAATAGTGAAATTTTATTATTATTTAAATATTATTATTTTAATATTAATTTTGTTAGATCACTTTGTTGGTCTATATTGAAATGTGTTGATAATAACTGAAGACTCTGGGTGTAGAGTTGTGATGATAGGACGGTGTCGTACGATGAAGATGATGAACTGACGGTCTTTCCATGATCGAAATATTTGCCACTGGTGCGATCAAACTTGGATGCAACCAGCGACTCAATGATAAACTCGGAGCAGTACGCTGCCGATTTGAAAACGGCGTGATAGAGATTCTTCAGTGGGAATGGCAAGTCGACAATCTCGCTCGCAAAGATACCGGGGTGAACAGAGTTGATGGTGAGTCTCGGTTGGTCGGGATGCTCCGCTGCGTACGCTTCAACACGACGGTGCAACTCGTAGGTCGAGCAGATCTGAGCCATCTTTGACTGACAGTAAGTCAGAAAAGTTGAACTAGTATTGCCAGTCAAATTCACCAGCTTCAAACTGGAGAGTTTGTGAACGGAACTGGAAATGTTGAGAACCTTGGCTTGTGAGAGCATCAAGATGTCGAGAAGCTGGATTGTCAACAAGAAATGTCCGAGATAGTTAGCTAGGAATTGAGTGTTGAATTGTTGGTCGTCTGCTGTCGATGTTGGGTGTGTTAGAGGTGGCTGATTGACCAAGTCCTCTTTGAGCCACATGATTCCGGCGTTGCACACCAGCATGTGACACTCGAGTTTACGCGCGCGAAAAGCAGCAGCGAATGCATTGATAGAGTCGAGCGAGAGCAGATCAAGTAGCATGTATTCAACCTGTTGGTTTCCAGTTTGTTTGATTACTTCAGCGACTGCATCGCGTGCCTTTCGCTCGGTTCTGCATGCCATGATGATATGTGCTTGTCGTGCAGCCAATCGCAGTGCAATCTCTTTGCCCAAACCGGCATTGGCACCGGTAATCACAATGACCTTATTGCGAAGATCGACCTCTGGCTGTTTCTGTTGCTTCTTGTTCATCTCGTTCCTCTTGTTATTAGTGAAAACAAACAAAACCGTTATGCAAATAACTAATGCAACAAAACCAATCATTATTGATCCTTCTCACTACTACTACTACTACAACTTCTACTGTATTTTAACTATGTGATTATAGTTTGGTTTGAAATTAAATAACTTCAAAGAAGAACAAACAATCATGATCAAAACTTTTCAAAAAAAAAAAAAAAACTTTTGCAAAAAAATCTAAAATTCTTTATTTTATTTTTTTGTTTAACCGTGATAAAAGATAAAATGATATCTTATCTTATCTTGTTGACCAATTAGTATTAATATATAAGTGAATCTATTCATTTTATTTTATTTTTATTTGATTTTATTTTATTTTTGTAGTAACAGTTAAGTAAGTGTCCCGAACTTATAATTAGTCTTTATTTCTATTCAAATAACAATGATGATTTGTTTATTACCAATTAAGAGTTAACTTTAAATATCTTCTAAGATTCGCGTGAAATGATCCTATCATGATATTGACATGTCTGATTTAAAAATCATCTATTTTTTTGTGATTTTATATTTGATGAGGTGGACCCTTAGATTTTTAGGATCATTTGAATAAAAAATCCTTTTATTTTTTTTTTCACTTTATAATACGAAATAAAAACATTTAATATCAACTTTTAAAAAGGTTTTCTTTTACACTAGTAATTATTTATTTATTTTTACAACAACCCAAAAAATAAAATATAAATACTTATTATTATTGGATAGTTTAAATAATTGACACAAACACAACACAACAACACACCTCATTTTCCACTCAACCATTAATCTAAACCAAAAATAAAAAAAATATAAAAAAATAAAAATTTGCAAATAAAAATTACAAAAAGGTACATAAACAAAAACAACGCTAATATAGTTTTTAGTTAAACAATAAATATAAATAATAATATTTTTTAAAATTTAAATAGTAAGTAAAAAGATATTATGGAGAAATAAGCTTTGCATTCATCCATTCCTCACACAAACCCTTTCAAAAATGATAAAATTGTTTTTTGATTATTATTATTTGATTTTTTGATTTTTTCCTCAAAACCAAAAAATACTACCTCAGATTTGTTAGTTTTTTCTTGTCAAAAATCAGTTTATTCTTTTTATTTTTAATTTTATTTATATATTTATATTATTATTGTACTTTAATTTATTCGTTTTAAGTTTTTACTCTTATTTTTTTTTAGTTTTTAGTTTATTTGATAGCATTTAACATTGTTTTTTTATTAGTTAGTAATTTAGTAGTAGCGTTAGATTTATATAGTTTTTAAATAGAAATAGAAAAGCAAAGAAAAAATGACACTCTTATATGCATCAGTCGGTTATAAAGGTAGTGTTCTCGTTGAACACTATGTTGATCACGGAAATTTCGTAGATACTGCTAGAACACTTCTCACCAAGATTCCAGCTTATGCCAAAAAGGTAATGAATCAAGAAATCAACAAAAAATAATAGTAATAGTAAACAGTTACAACTAGTATACTACTCGAAATTAAATAGACAGGAATATATAATTAACAATATGATATTATAATATTACAAAAAACAAAACAAAAACAGAGTTATTCAGTTGGAGGTCATAACTTCCATTATATATCAGAGAATGAATTGGTGTTCTTGTGTTTCTGTCATGAGAAACTTGGATTCTCAACACCATTCGACTTCTTGATGGATATTCAATCGAGATTCATTGCATCATACGGACACAACTTGCCTTTCAATGCACCACCAGCAACCTACGATCCATTCGGTAGAGTTTTAGAAGAGAGAATGGTATGTAATCATTTATCTAATAATGTCTATTATGTTTATAGAATATTAACAATTTGTTGTTTATTTGTTTGATTTCTATGCTTTGATATTAATATAGAGATATTTTTCAAATCCACAATCAAATAAAATTAATATGATCAAAGATCAAGTCAGTGTCGTAAAGGATGAACTGACTACAACTCTAGAGAAAACAATGAACAGAGGTGGAAAGATCGAGATTATCGTCGACAAGACAGAGAGATTACAAGCAGAGTCATTCCAATTTAAATCTGGTGCAACTCAATTAAAGAGAAAGTTATGGTGGCAAAACAAAAAGATGATGATTATTATCTTTGTTATAGTATTTGTATGTAGCTAATTCCTTAGACTCTATTTTTCCATTTATTAATAATAATATTTACAAAACAACAGATTATTTTGGCAGCAATTACATTGGGTATTTTGAAATTCGTGCATGTTATTTAAAAAAACAAGAGTTAGATTGGCTTTGTCGTATTGATCAAAATCATAATTACAATTACAATTACAACTACAATCACAATCACAATCACAAATCAAATCAAATCAATCTAAAATCAATCCAATTATAATTTGACAGCTTTCACTTTTCTTTTCATTATCAAACAACACAACTGAATATATCATACATACACACAACTAAATAGCCATTCATCATAAGTAATAGTTTATTTTTACTTCTTTTTTTTTCTTTTTCAGTACAGTCGTAATCATCGTTCATCAACCAACAAAACAAACAAACAACAATACAACATCATCAAATGCTAGCTTGTTGACTGTCTTTTTTTTTTTTTAATTTTTTATTCGAAGTTGGTAGATATAATTAATATTAAAAAAATTAAATAAAATATCAGATTTTATTATTATATTATAAATCATTTGTGTCATTTTTAGATCGCAAATTATATTTGAGCCAAATCATTACTCATTTTTTTGTTAAAATAAAGAGGATAATTGCAAGTGATCAGAAAGTCAATCAAAGGTGAAATTAGGATAAATGAGGAATTAAAACTAGTTATACCAAGGTATAAAGTTGCTTGGTAAAAATCAGCAATCCAATATATAAATGGCGTAAATTGACCATTTAGTAAGGAGAATCAACTAATTTCTAAGGTTGATTAACTTCCACCTGGATATCCTTTTTTATTATTGTGTATTATCAATCAATCACTCACTCGATGTCTTTGACCTATACATATAATTTTACAAATATTTTGATTTATTTAATTAACCTTTTTTTTTTAAAAATTACTATCAAAATTCTAAAAATGATGCAAACTTTATATTATTACTATTGTAATATGTTTATGTTTTAAAATTTTGTGATGTATATATATATTTAGTTAGTGTCTGTGATTGATTTAACCATTGATATGAGTTTGATTGACGTGAGTCTCAATTTCATTGGCTGAGAATTTCTTGAAGCAGAAAGGACAGTCATGCATTTGTTGTTGTGGCTGTGATGATGCTGTTGGTTTCGATACCTGTGGTGATGGTTGCTGTTGTTGTTGTTGTTGGGGTGGTTGTACTACAGGTGGCAAATGCGAGGTATTGGGTTGTTGGTGCATGTACAGGTAACCTCCACCGTATGAGTGCATTGGTGGTGGAGCAAACTTTGGTTGGAAGCTTGGAGGAGCATCTTTCATGAACTGACCGTTTTGTTGTTGCTGTTGAGCGATTTGTGATTGTGTAAGACTGCTTTGTTGTTGAGCCTGTTGTTGTTGTTGTTGTAATGTTTGTGATAAACTTGGTGATTGTTGAGGTTGTTGTTGTTGTTGTTGAGCCTGTTGTTGTTGTTGTGGATTCTGTGGATCATATCTCATTGGTTGATATTGGAGTGACTTTACTGGGTAGAGTGGAGTGTTGGGTGGTTGGAATGGATGGATCACTTGGCTACCACCTGGATTCTGGACGGCGCCACCGACGGGAACGGCACCCTCTGGTACTGGGAAGGTTGGGGGGAAACTTTGTGGAATGATCATACCAAATGGTGTATGTTGTACTTGATGTATTTGTTGTTGTTGTTGTTGTTGAGGTTGTGCCTGTGGTGCCTGTGCTGGTTGTTGTTGTTGTGGTGGTTGACCCTGTAGTGCTAGTTGTGGTGGTTGTTGCTGTTGTTGTTGTTGCTGTTGTTGTGGTTGAGCCAAGAGTTGATCACATTTCTGATCTACAACCTTTAGCTTTTCTTCTAAACTCGCTATCTTTTCATTGGATTTATTTACAATCTCTAAAACACTCTCAAATTTACTCTCCTTTTAAATAGTTATAAATATTAGTTTGTTGTTGTTTTAAATGTAGAGGTATTTTGATTGCTTACAACTAATTTCATAAGTTCAGTGATTTGATTACTTAATACAACATTATTGTTGTTATTGTTGGTGGTAGTGGAAGTAGTGAACATTGCTGGAGGTGATTGTTGTTGTTGCTGTTGTTGTTGTTGCTGCTTGTATTGTTGGAAGAATGGTAATGTAGTTGGTGTAGTTGGTGTAACGGTGGCTGGTTGTGGTGGCGATGGTGTGGTAGTGGTCGCAGATGGTGATTGTGTTTGGACAGCTACAACAGGTGTTGGACTGATTGGATTTGTAGTTGGTGTTGGCGTTGGAGATGTGACTTGAGCTGGAACAGGTGATTGTACAGATGCATGTGGACTTGTAGTAGAGGTTGCTTGGCCGGTTACTGAAGATGATGATGATGTTGTTGGTGGTGGTGGTGTTGGATTTGGTGATGATGGTGGCATATAGAATGAATATGCTGGAGGTGGTGCTTGTGCTTGTGGCTGTGGTGGTGGTGATTGATGTACTTGTGGTGGTAGGTGTGATGGTTGTTGTACTGTACTACTACTATTACTATTGACATTTGATGATGGCAATAGATAATCTATATCACTGGTGGAGGTCGATGGTGAGCCAACAGAGGTATCGCTGTTGGTCGACGCTGTCGGATAGACAGTCGATTGCACTATGAATCCATCTGAATCATCTCTTTCACTGCTACTACTACTGATATCATTTGAGAAATTATATAATCCGCTACTCATTACTTTTTACTATTTACTATTATTTTTGTTTACTTTATAGTTTTTATAATTTAATTTACAATTATGATTGTTATTTATGATTAATGAAAATCAATATTTTTAATAATATTTCTTTGATTGAACAAACTTGGCTAAATTATAGTTAATATAATTTAATTGAATTGAAATTGTGTTGTTGTGAGTGGATAATTAAAAGTTTAGTTGTCAATAAAATAAAATAAAATAAAAAAAGATAAATTAAAAAAAAAAAGTAGTGTTTTATGTCACTGGGGGATGAACAAAAACAACAAAAAAAAAAAAAGAATTTAATTTTTGAAAAATTGTTTTGTGTTCTCAAAATTTGAGGAATGGCTGAAAAAATACTTTGTTTTTTAAAAAACCAGAAATATATTGGCAGATTTGCGCTTACAACAATGAAAAGTATAACAAGGATGTTGCTTGGCAAGCAAACAAGCAACAAAGATATTATTTTCAACTATTTCAATTGAAATAGTCATTATTAGACGTGGCAAAGTTATAACTTTGTAATCAGCATTGCGTTTTTATTCATAGTCGTTGTCTTTTATGATTTATTCATTAGTTTAAAGTTTTTAGGTCCGCTAAACCTTTTTCCATTAAGTCTATCTTTGATCGCACGGAATTTATACTTTTTGATATCTTTTCTTGTTTTCTGGTTGATTGATTGATTTAAAAAGATAATAAAGTTATGTTAATAAAATTAATTGCAATAATGATATGATAATAGAACATACTGATTTAATATATCTTCTCTTTTCTTTATGAATTCGATTGCTTCGCTTAACGTAAACTGTACACTTATATCCAATCCTATATTTATAAAAATCTTTGATGTATCAGCACTGATAGGTAAATAGATCGATAGATTAAGCTTGTTAGTTAGTATAAATGAATAGCATTATCATTGCTGAGGAGTAGATTAATGTATTGTTATTCATACACTTTTGCTTTTGTATAACATTCACAACCTAAATTTATCATTGTTTTCATATCTTTCATCTTATTATCTATCAATAGTTCTATATTGCTTTTTAACTCAAGACTAAAGGTATTTTAAGAGAAAAGTAAGTTAGTAGGTAGATTAATAAGAAAATATTCATTCAACATCAACAGAGATAAAAACATACAAAGTTTGAAGTTCATTATATATGTATTGTTTTGATTCTAGTAGTTTATTTAGGTCAGCTCTTAGCGTTTCATTTATATATTGATTATAGTAATCTATTGATTCATCTATATACGATGATGATGATTCAGATTCATCGTTATTGCTTTGTGTTGTTGTTGTTGTCTTTTGTACCATTTTTAGACAAATATATTTATTTGTATGATTTTAATTAAAAAAAAAAAAAAAAAAAAACGAAAATCTATAAAAATTTTAAAGACAAGAAACATTGGATTACCAATTCGAGTTAACTTTTATCATTTTTATTATAAATCATTATTACATTCATACTGTATGAAAAAAAAAAAAAGAAGTTTGTTTAACAACTCAATAGTAAATTATTATTTATCACTTCAATTAATTTATTCTTTAATATTGTTACAGAATTTATTACTACGTGTGGTTGGTGAATTCTGATATGTGTACTTAGAATTGACATGAACTGTAGTAGTTTCTCGATAGCTTCTTCAGAGTTAAATCTTAGATGTGGTGCGTTGAGATATATATAGGCACGCATGTTTGTATCAGGGTCGTCTCCGAACTTTCCCAAACCAGTGTTGCAGTTCATACAAAGAATACCCTGATTTCACCGGTCTTATGATCGTGGTCTAGGTGTATTTTTTTTTGTTTATAATATTTTTCAAATCATTCTTACAAATGCCACATTTATCATCTTGTTTCTTTTGCAATTCATTCTTTTCTTCTATACCTATTCCTTTATTTATAGTTAGTATAGTTAGAACAAAAAAAATTAATAGGTTTTAAAAATATACTTACCATATTTTTTTTCGAAAGTACGAATCACTTGCACAAACTTTACATGTACCTTTTTTTCCTCTCCTTATTTTATTAAGATTTCCTTTAGAGAAATCATCCGAAATCTTTATTACTTTACATTTGGGACATAAATAGCGTTCTTGAGTGGTAATTCGAGTTAAAACATTCTTTATTGTTACTGGTATTGGTATTGGTATAGTTACTGGTTTTGGTATTGGTATTGTTACTGGTTTTGGTATTGGTATAGTTACTGGTTTTGTATATTCACCTCGAGTTTGCTTAGAATACGATTTTTTTTGATTTTCCATTTTAAAGTTATTCCTTTACAGGTATTAATTTTAACAAGTTAAATGTATAATTAACTGAATCTAGAGTTATCCGTCACCGCTATTATTTTTTGTTTTTTTTTATTATTTGTTACACGATAATTGCTACAGAGAATCTAAATTATAGATGAACTTAATAAAAAAATGAAAAAAGTTTAATTATATTGTAATATATAGTAATTCAAATTGAGAAGCTTCTAAGAATATATATTTCAACTTTAGGAAAGTGAACGGAAGATATCAGATTACCAGGGAATTAAAATCATAATAAAATATCGGTCCGAGTGTCTAAAACCTACACAATTACGATTTTTGTGTAATAGCAATTTTGCTTAAAAAAAAAAAAAAAAAAAATTACATAAAAATAAAGAAAATTCTAAGATAAATATGTGATTTTTAATATCTGTGAAAAGATAGATTGTTATCTATTTTTAAAAAAAAGAAGTTGTTCGATGCCACTTAATAATTATCTGTTTATCTCTTTTCATAAATTTATTTTTTGAAAAATAGTTTGAATAAATGATGTTCATTCAGAACTTGATTTTCACAAAAAATTAAAAAAAAAAATTTAACACTTGTCTAACCAGTATAAATTCAATATACGAATAAAGAGAAGAATGTTATCAAAGGGTTCTTTTTTAAAAAATAATAACAATGGATCAAAGTTAGTGTCATTTGTGACCAGTAGAGCATCAACTCCATTATTATTATTATCAACATCATCATCATCATTCCTATCAAGATCTTTTGTTAGTTCATCAAAATTATCATTCAATCATTTAAAATCATTCAATAATAATATTAACATAATTAAAACACCTGTACTCTCTTTAAACAATAAAAGTATCAAAAATATCAATATAAATAATAATAGCAGTAGTAGCATATTAACGAGAAAATCAATCATATTCAATAACAATAATAATCAAAATGTATTAATGAGATATAAACCAACACAATCGAATAGAAATTATTATCAATCAAGTAGTACTACATCTGCTTCATATATATCATCAAATGCTCTCATTTGGGCTATCATTGCAATCAATGGTATAATTTTTAGTATGTTAGTTCCACATCACAGTGTTATACTAAAAAAAAACAAACTAACTAACTAACTAACTATTATTAAAACATTATGTAGTAATATGGCAAGATAAAACACAAGATAATCAAATTTTTATGTACAAGAACTTCACTTTGTCAACACAGAATCTAAGAGAACGTCCTTATACACTGCTGACAGCAGCATTCTCTCATAACGATCTACAACATTTCCTCTTTAATATGTTAGGTCTCTATACGATTGGAGGTTCACTGCTTGCTGCCACTGGCACACCGTTGTTCCTCGGACTCTACTTGGGTGGTGCAGTATTCAGTAGTTTCATCTACTGCTTCCTCGAGCAGCGAAAACAACAACAGCTACTAAAACAACAACGTGGAATGTTCTCATATCAACAAGTAGTTAGACACGGTCTCGGTGCATCGGGTGCATTGTCAGCGGCGATGGTGTCATTCGCCTGTATGTTCCCACACTCCACCTTCTTGTTGATGGGCATAGTTCCAATGCCTGCATGGGCAATGGTAACACTCTACATGGGTTACGACTTCTATCACGAATATCGTCATTCCAATACTGGTGTTGCACATACTGCACATCTTGGTGGTGCGCTCTATGGAGGTTTATTCTATCTCACTCTACTTAGAAAGAGAAATTATTTCTATTAAAATAATAATAATAATAATAATAATAATTAAATACCATTGTAATAATATATATTGTTTTATATTTGTTTTGTTTTATTATGATAACATTGATAATAGTTTATCTGTAATATCTAAAATTGATTTGGTGGATGATGAATTTGGGAAGTCACAAACTAAACATTTACCATTCTCTGCACAATATCCTAAGTTCTGTTGAAAGAATAACATTAGTTTGTTAGTTATTGTAATTAGTTTGTTTTTAATTTAGTTATAAACATACTGTATCTATTGGTATTTTCCCTAGGAATGGAATGTTATATTGATTGGCAAGTTTGATTCCACCTTCGGATTTAAAGATTTCTGTTATTTCTTCACAGCATGGACATGCATATCCAGAGAGATTCTCAACGATTCCCAGTATTTTGATACCCATTTTCAGACAAAAGTTGATTTCTCTTTTGACGGTATCCACTGAGAGATCCTGTGGTGTTGTGACAATGATGGCACCGTCTGGCTTACAACTGCCGCTGAGTGCTTCCACCACCGAGAGATGTTCATCACTGGTGCCAGGCGGTGTATCTACCACCAGGAAATCTTGTCTACCCCAGAACGTATCCTTAAGGAATCGGTTGATAATGTTTGTTTTTCTTGGACCACGCCAAACGATGCTGTTGTCCGAGTTGGCCAGTAGCGCACCGACCGACATCACCGCTATATTCTGATGACCTGGTGATCGTGGTTTGAGCGGTGTCCAGCCAGCTTCAGAGTTGACAACAGGCAATCCTTCGATTCCCATCAACTTTGGAATAGACGGTCCACATATATCGACATCGAGCAACGCCACCTTTTTATTTCTAGCTGCCAAACTATAGGTGAGCAGCGATGCTACTGAACTCTTTCCAACACCACCTTTTCCAGACAACACCAATAGTTTATGTTTGATTACTTTCATTCTTATATCTATTGCTTTCTTATCTGTAGTGGTAGATATATAAACAATATTAAGTTAAGTTTTCGATTACTCTAATAATGTTGTTAGCTAATTACCTGTATTTTCAGTCTGTTGTGAACTACATAGATCTTTACCAGGACAACCCTGGCATACAGATTCTTGACCTACTTGACCAGTACTCGATGGACAACCTTTAAATGTTACCATTTGATCTTCAGTACCATATTTTAATTCAACTGAATCACTTGCTATAAATTGTTCTATATTTACATTCTTTTTTTCACTATTTGTTTCTTGTTGTTGTTGTTGTTGTTGCGGTTGTTGATTATTAGACTTTGATCCACAACCACCACCTCCACAACATTGAGATTTACCACATCCTGACATTAATTAATTAATTAATTAATTATATGTAAATAAATAAAAACTGATTTAATCAAAAAAAATAAGTCATCTTAATTTTTATTAATAAAAAAATCTTAAAAAAAAATAAAACAAAAAAAAATTAGTTCATGAATATTTAAAATTTAACTTTTAAAATGTGTTAAATTCTATCTTTGTTTCATATCACAAAAATCAAATAAGATTACTTTTTTTTAACACATATTTGATCAATTCTAGAAAAAGGATCCTATACTAAAAAAAAGATATTTTGAAAAAAATATCTAATAGTTTTTTTGTTAACCACATTAATTAATTTGAGTGATTTTTGAACAAATAAAAACAAAATATATAATGAAAACAATATTATCTCTATCAATAAATATATTAAATAATATATTAGATTATTTAACCAATGTAGATATAGTATGTTTTATATTAAGTCATCCTAAACTCTATAAAGAACGATTCAGTTTTAGACTTCAGTTGGAATGTGCATCGATACCAGAGACAGGTGTAGTGCCAAGACCAATAGTTTCAATATTCGAAGATTCAGACTTCAATGCAATTGAACCATCGGAGGCCATCAGAAGATTCTACTGCGCACAGACATTCATCTCAACGAAACAAACACACTTTAAAAACAATACATTTAGAAAGATGCTTTTTAAACAATTGAATTTTGATCAACCCATTTCAAGTAAGATAAAACAGTTATGTTACCTATTTACTTTTTCTAATTGAATGGTTTACAAAATCATAGCATTCACTTGGAATTCTTTGGAGCAATCATCGTTTTTTCAGAGAAAATCATTAATATCCTATTGTATTCCATCGGATTGTACAAATTTGATTATCGATCAATCTGATGATCTAAGTGGAGTTCCAAGTACTGTCAGTTCTCTTTGTATCGGCGATAATGTAAATGATATCTATTGTGCTAAAAAGTGGAATACTCCCAACTTTAAGAAGAGTTATAGGCTGAATGGTAATTCTCTACCGAAATCACTTCGAACACTTTATTTGGGTGGCCATTTCAACGATATCATCAATGTAAATATACTACCGGATGGCATTACACATTTGGTTTTCGGTAGTTACTTTAATAGTCCACTGGCAGTCGGTAGTCTACCAAAGCAATTGAAGATTCTTCAGTTTGGCGAGCATTTCAATCAACCGCTCTCAGTTGGTCTACTACCAGACACTCTTGAGGTATTGCATTTCGGAATTGAATTTAACCAGGAGTTGGACACCCCAGCCGGAAGGTCGATGTTGCCCGCCAATCTAAAGTCGCTAAATCTCGGTAGTCGTTTCGATAGACGTCTCAATCCCTACACTTTGCCAGCTTCTTTGGAGCGCTTGATGTTGAGTACTATGTTCGATCACGGTTTGAATAGCGATACTCTTCCAGCCAATCTTAAAGAACTGACAATTAGCTTCAACTACAATAAAGTAATACCACCTGGAGCACTACCCAACGGTCTGAAGAAACTGAGAATACTCTCAACTCGATGCCAGCTGCTGGAAGGTGCCATTCCAGCTTCAGTTGAAACACTATATCTTGGCACCGATCAAGTGTTGGTCGGTTTGGCAATAGATTCGCTAAATCTAAAGAAATACATTGTCAACTCTGACAATGAACATCGACTCTCAAGTACTATTGAATCGTTTACCTGCATGAATAACAGCTATTACAACAATCCCGATGGAAGGACATTAACCGCAGAGGGTTTCAATCTACATTCGCTGGTGGAGTTGAATCTTCAGAATCTCACATTGGATCATTTCGATCATCTAAGACTACCGCCAACTCTCAAAAGACTCTACATGCCAATCGGTAGATTCAACCAACTACTCCCACCGCACTTCTTCCCCGACGGTTTGGAATTCATTGATTTCGGTCATAATCTAGTCACCAGTATTCCTGTGGTACCAAACACAGTTAAACACATGGTGTTCCGCTCACGCGACGTCAAACCCACCAATAGAATTCCACCTTCAGTCAAGAAAGTCGAATTCCATTCGCAATTGCCTGAATTCCCAGTGGCTATATTAAGCGATGGCATTGAGACTATAACATTGGACGAAAGTTTGGATCTTACATTCAAAGTCAAACAACTTCCACCATCGCTCAAAGAGATTGTTATCCCCTCAACAAGCTCGCCAATCCACATTTCACGAGTGCCCCATTCCATTCGATTGACAATCAACCACGGAACAGCAGAGAAACTCTCCTTCAAGAACAACAAACTACTCAAATACATGATGGAATCAAGACGTAGTTTTGACTTACAAGTACAAAGCTTAAGATTGTCGTTCAAGTTCCTCGATGAATCGAATCTGCTCGTGTTGTCGGAGCGTTTGGAGGGTGGAATCATAAAGAAAGACAAGTTGAAGAAATCCGATTTCTTAGAGGATCATATCAATAAATTTATTCGTTTGGTATCGTTATAGTAATTTTAGATGTTTAGTTACACTGTCGACGGCGGCTATTGGTGCAGGACCGACTGCCAACACCGTGCGTGATCCACTTGCAATTTGAGTGCGACCTGCATCGATAACCAAATAATGTGGAAGACCAGCTTCTTTTGCTGCTTTCTCCAAATCCATCAATTCTTTTTCGTTGTTTGTCTTTAAAGTAACTTTAGCTTGTCCGAAAACTTCCCATTGTTTTAACATCTTGTGATATTTCTGATTTCTCTTTGCTCTATAAACAAATTGTTTACAAAAAAACATATCATATTAGATTGACATTGTCTTTTTATCTTAATTATTTATATTATGTAATATATATTTTACCTTTTATATGATCCTAATGTTGCATGACAACATTGTGCAGCAATCTTGCCTTTTGTCATCTCTAAATCGGTTCTAACTACCAAGACCATCTTACATGCACCTATACTCTTGTCCTCTTCGATATCGTAGTCGCTATCGCTATATTCTTCGTCTTCACTCTCGTCTTCGCTTTCTTCGATGACAGGTTCCTTTGCGACCACTGGTTTACTCAGCCATTTCGACAAGACAGCACCTGTCATCATCGAGAGTGCAGAACTGACAATCAGAGTACCAACTGAAATTGATTTCTCTTCAAACATTATAACAAAATAATAATAAAAATAATATACAATATATATAGATCAACGAATTGAAAAAATAAATAATATTTGCTCTTTTTTTAGTGATCATAAAAAGAATCAAAAAAAAAAAAACTTTTTTACAAAATCAATTAACTATTTCTAGGATTTTTATAATAATAAATGTTTAAAAAGAAAATATATTAATAACAACTACATTTGATATTATATTATTATTATTGATCGGTTTGAAGAAATTTTTGAAAAAAAAAGTTGTAGAAAAAACACCATTAAAATGATTTATTCTCTTGAAAAACACCATTAAAATAAAATAATTGTGCACTTATTTTTTTAATTACTTGATTCTAATTATATCAATTTATTTTTTCCTAATAATCCTCATCATCATCTTCTTCTTCTTCTTCTTCATCATCTTCGTCTTTGTCTTCTTCTTCCTCCTCCTGTTCATTCTCTTCTTCTTCTTCTTCTTCTTCTTCTTCTTCTTCTTCTTCTTCTTCTTCTTCTTCATAGTAGCTTTGTTCATAGTGTTGGTCTTCCATAAAGCTTTGAAACTGAAATAACTGATTTGAAGTAAAAGCCTGATAATATAGGTTATAATTATAGTTAGTTGGATATATATTATTATTATTACCACCACTATCATTTCTAAAATAAAAATAACAATTTGAAGAGTCAAAATTGTTTGACTGATGAGGATTATTATTAATATAATTCATATTATTAGTGTTATAATTAAAATTATTATTAATATTATTATTATTATTATTCTCAATATTATAATCGTATTCAATATCAAAATTATTATTAAATGAGTTTTGAGTATGATTGGAATATGTTTCATTTTGTATTGAGTTGTTGGAGAAAGAATTGAGTTGGGTGTTGGTATTTGAATAGTATTCTGATGAATTATAGGTTGAAATTCTATCCGGATTTGAAGATTGAGTATTAATTATTGATCTATTTGTTGTGGTTGAGGTTGTTGGTCTAAATTGATAATTGGTTTGAAAATTTATAAAACCATTATACTGATTGCCTTTAATATTCGGTTTGGTTGAGCTAGGGATATAGTAATGTCGAACTACGACTCTGATGAGATCAAGGTTGGGTATTGTAATTTCTCTGGAGTGGGGAGCAGGGTAGGTCCGAATGTTTTTAGTATTTAATTGTTCAAGAGTAGTATTCTTCTTTTGTGTAGTGTGTTTTGGTGTGGCAGGATATTGGATCTCTCTTTGAAGAAGTCTCGTTGAGTGTTCAGATTCACTTGTTAGAGTTACATAATTGAAAGAAAGATTACCTGTGAAGGGCTTAATATCTTTATATAGCTGGTATAGAAAAGACTCTCCTGTTTTTTTGTATTGTAGATCTCCATTCACCCTTTTCCATTGCTTCACTTTTTGATACTCATTCTTTGTTTGATAAGAGAGAATAATTACTACAAAAGAATCATTCTCTGAAATAAAATATAAAAGCAAAAGATTTTATTTATGAATATTAGAATAATAATAATTTAAGAATAATTTAATATTTACCTAAGTTATTTATAGCTTCAACATCATCTTCATCTTCATATACTCTTATTCTTATTCTTACATTTTCTGGTAGCTCCATTTCAAAAACACTTTCAATACTACCTTGAGATATTTTTTCAAAAATTGAAGTTATTATGTATCTCTCTATATTTTTATTCATTTTATTATCAATACTTTATAGATTAATTCTTGAAGTATAAAAAATTGTTTTTATAAAATGATTTAAAATAACATACCATATTTATTGAATGAATTAATCAGAGGAGAAAGTAATTTTAAATCGATATCTCTTTAACATCGGTCTTCTTTTAGATAAAACAGTATATTTTGACATTGGTTAGCAATGATTTATTGGAGGATTATAATTTGGGAGAGGTTATTGTTTTTAGTGATTTTTGTTTTTATGAATTATAAATGATGCTAAGTAGCTAGAAAGGAGGAGTTCTAGTTTAATAGAACTGGAAAATGATAATTCAAATCATTGTTTTGTATCTCATTGATGAGGTAAACCAATGGATAAATGAATGAGTATTTTTAGTGCAAAGAAAAACAAGCTGACTAATCTGGAAAATAAGAAAAATGAAGAATTCGTACAGCTTTATTTTGTTTTGTTTTATTTTGTTTTTGTTTTTTTGTTTTGTGTTTTTGATGATTTTGTGGGTGGTTTAAGGATTTAGTGATTGCATCAATCACATTTTCTATGGATTAATATGAATGTTCTATGGTATACTTAACTATTTTTGAAGAGAGGTAGTTGAGTAACCTATTGCAAAAATATTCTTACCTGAACCGTTGAAAATTGAAAGAGTTATTAATATCAACTAATACCTGTGGAACAAATCTAGATTTCATTTGCTCGATTATGATTTTAATGACAATGAAATAAAATATATCAATTTACAAAGATTAATAAAAAATGATGATTTCAAAAACAAAATAAAAAACAAAACCAAACAAAGCTTATCAAAAAACAAAACTATTTTTGTTACTGTGGTCGATTATTGAGAATTTGTTTCTTTGTAATTTTTAAATATATTATTTTATCCATATTTATTTAATAAAAGTATAAATATATTTATTTTGATAATAATTTTAATAATATTTGCATCAACCAATCTCTTTATCAGATTAATAAAATTATTTTTTCTGTTAAATATCATTAGAAAACAACCAATGATAACCCCAATAAAATTTTTTCTTTTGTATTGAAGTTAAAAGTTAATATGGTTGTTATCATTGGTTTTTTATTTTTATTGTATTTTTGAATAGCAGTTTTCGCACTAATTAAATTTAATAGAATCAAGAAAAAATATAATATTTTGAACTGTTTGAAGGAATTTCAAAGGTTCAAGAATTTATTTTGATGTTAAAAGAGGCCCTCAAACTCTAAAAATATTAAAAATGGTCCCTGAGATTTAACAAAAAAAACAAAAAGATGATTCAAAACAAGTTTTCTTTTATGGAAAGTATATTTCGTATTTTTCTTTTTTGTTTTTTCTTTTTTTTCATCCTCCTTCCCTACTCTTTAAAGATAGATCAAAAAAGGTTTATTATTTTTTAGGTAGACCACCAACTACAGGAAGATAAAACCAAATTTAGGAAAAAATTCTATTTTAATAAAAAAAAATACGTTTATTCTTTAATTCTCACTAAAGTTAATAATAATACTGATACTATATGTATTTGTTTTTATTAATATAATTCTTATTTAAGAAAATGTAATTTTTTGTTAGTTAAAGTATTTAAAATCGAAAAAGAAAATTTAAAAGCTCAACATAAAAAAATATATATTTTTTTTTTATAGATACAATAGAATATTGTATATCTTGTTGTTTAATAAGTGAGCTTAATATTTTAAAGAATAAAAAGAGGACAATAGAATTAAATTTCTATAGTTGTATTGGAAATGATCTCATTTATTATAACTTTTTCAATATAAGGAGTATTTTCTTGTTTGTCGTTGACTTTGGAAGTTAGTGACGATGAAGATGACTTTCTAGGTTTAGGAAATCTATAATTCACACTTTGCAGAGCTATAACAGTAGACGGAATATTGTTTGAATAAATATTACAAGAAATTATTAATTCACTATATGTTTTGTTGATATCTTTAGTATCTTTTTTATCTACACTTCTATCTATTTTATAATTTTTAGAGGAACCAGTTGAAGCTTTCTGATTCCATCAACCAAGTATATTTAACAATATATCTTTTTATTCAAACAATTGAGTACTACCTATTTGTAATTCAAATAAATCCTTTATTAATAATAAATGAGTTGATAAAATATGAATTAATTCTCCTCAAATAATCTTACATTTTATAGAATTATACTAATATTAAATTTTTAAGTTTCATCCAGTACTCAACGATATTATTACTCTTAAATAGATTCTATTCTATTTTGTAACTAAACTATTTATTGAGTTAATAGAATTTCCTATAAAGGTTTGATTGATTTACTTTTCTATTTCAATGATTGCTATTTGTTATTGAATTTTTCTTTTTTTGGAATAGATTAATTTTTTTGTTTAATTGTTTGTGTATTAGAATGAACAATAATTGATACATAAGGGTTTAATATTATTATTTTATTCATTTTTTATTAAAATGAAATTACTATGGTTTCAAAATAGATCTTTTAATTAGAATAATTATAAAAAGGTTATTTATATTTTATTATTATTTTTATATATTATTTATACTTCATTGTATGATAGTATAGAATTATTTATTAATTATTTTAATTTTTTTGTTTTTGCAAAGAGAGAAACAACCATCATTCTAATGGTTGATGAAAAAAATTAAAAAAAAAAGCAGAAACTTTGCAATATATAAAAAAATAATCATTTCAAAAGAAAAACAACGCAAACGCCTCACTAATTTATTTTAACAACGGAATATGTAATAGCAAATCTCATGTCTAATGAAAATGATGAATATGTTAAAGATTTGTAAGTTTATAAAAAGAAAAATTTATATAAAATATTAAACCTTACCTTTTTTTACAGAAATCAAATAAAATGATTACCATTAAAAGACTACTATTGATGGCTCTATGGTGACAGGGAAGAGAACTGTGATAACTGGTTCCATGGAGTTGCTTGATGACAATAAATCTGTTTAACCAAAAGAAATCGCCACTCAAAATCTTTGTCATTAATGGCTGTTCCGAGGGTAACCAGTATCTAAACAAATAGCTACAATCTTCTCTCAAAGAGATTTCAGATTTTCAAAAGAAAGGAAAGGTAATTATATACCACTATATGAATTTTTTAAAAATGTTAATATAATGTTCTTACTGTAATAGATCACAATTGGTGGTACAACTTACCAAATCCTTTAGTTAGTAATTTTACAAAGTCTTTCAATACCTTAATTAAATAAATTCTTTGTATCTTCTACTTTTTTCAATTTATACTTAGGTTGAAAAATGTTATACAGAAATTAGTTCTCTTCCTTGACAATAATGTCTTAATAACAATTTTCAATAGCCTAATTTCCGAAACAACTCTCAATCAAAAAAACTATTTATAATTCTAAATATTATAATTTTATTTTAATTAGTTCTAATAGAAAATAGATAGTTAATGTCTTCACATTAAATAATTAAAACATTCTATATGTAATGAATCGTGAGAATCTGAGTAACCCCAATCTAATTTTAATAGAATCACTCTCAAAAACAATATTATCACATTAATGATAATATTGGTAGATTCCACACAGAGACAAGTTTAACAATTTTCAATTATTGTTTTTTATACAACATAAAATTTTTAATAACTTTTGAAAAGTTAAATAAAACAAATAAATACAAGAATTTAAAGACTAGGAAAATACTTTGTAATGAAATAATGATCTACGTAAAAAAGTAGTGGTAAAAGTTTCTTTTAATAAAAAAAACAAAAACAAAAAAAAAGAAAAAAAGATAAAACAACAATTTTATACAATTTTATTTATACCATCAAACTAGTTCTTTTTTTCTTTTATATTGATGAAACTCTAATTCAGGAACTTTATGATTCTCAATATTAAAATTGTTCATATCTCTATAAGATTTTGGCTTAATTGGTTTTCTAATGTAAAACTTCCTAATAGCTACTCGTATCAAGTTGAAATTGGGTATTGAGATAAATGTTGAATCATTAAGATTATTTATGGCTGGTTCGAATTCTTTTTCTTTTTTTTTAAGGGTTGTGATTTCGATGTTTGGTGAATATTCAACTTCCAGAAACTCTCTGGTGTTCTCATCACATCGTAGCTTTTTGAATCTGTTTATCTTTGTTTTTCCTGTGAATGGAGGGATAATATTGTTAAAGGAGTAAGGTTGGCTACTTCCAGTCATGCAGTAGGAAAAGTCTTTGTATTTTCTCTTCAATATCTCATTGGGTACGATTGTATCATATTTTAAGATCAACACTACTAATGAATCTATATCATTTTCTAAAATATTTATTAATTTTGTTAGTAAATTCCTTAAAAATATTAAGTATCTATTTAAATATACCAATATTTTCAATTGAAGAATCTTGATCTTGATGGACTTTTATCTTTGTTGATTTGTCATCAATGCTAAATTCAAAGTGACTATTGATTCCACCCTTCGATAATTGCTGAAATATATAGGTTACTGCTTTTTTAAAAAAAGAATCACTCATTTTGTATCCTTCTTACAATTAAATACAACTAATATTGATCATATTTGGGAAAAGTAAAACTACCCTGATTTGGTAAAAACATATGATCGATACTTTAACTTTTTTAAATATAATAATTTTATGATTATCTATAGATAAAATGCTCTTTTAAGATAAACAAAAACAAAAAACAAATTTAATATTTCAATTTTACATTAAAAGTATGAAATAAAAAAACAAAAAAATGTGTTTTTTTATTTTTATGATGGGTTGGATACAACAAAATAAAATAAAAATTTTTTTTATAAATATATTAATATGATATGGTGTAATAAAGAATAGAGGTTTGACCAACTTTAAAAAATTATTGAAAGGATTCGAAAACTAGAGTCTAAAAACCATCTGTTATTATCAGATGATATATGATAATTTGTATACTATTTTTTGATTGACATTTTAATCGATAGTAATTAACTTAATAATAACTTTTGTATTCCTCCCTTTTTTATTTTATTATATTTTAGATAAACAATAGCTCTATTAAATGAAGACGAAGTGAAATATAAATTAAATCAATTTATAACTAAAGTAAAATAAACTATCTAGAAATTTAAAAAAGATAAAAAACAATTATATACAACGAACCTCTATCTTGACAATCAATAGATTGATTTTGATTTCATTTGTTATTATCTAAACTAGGAAGACCTATTTAATTGAGATGATTTCTTCTTCAAACTTTATTTTTAAGATTAATTAAATATAAAGTTTGAGGAATTTACTAAAATATTCAAATTTTAATTATTATGAATTGTTTAAGAAATAATTAATTAATTTACCAAAAAGAACTATATAGGTCATTAAGAATAAAAGTTCTTTTTTTTTTAATTCATTTTATGATATAGAATTTTAAGAGTTATTGGAAGTAATTAACAATATTTAAACAAATAAATAAAAAACAACCTTTTAGATTTAGAGAAGATAGATATTTGTGTGACGATTGATTCTCTGGTTCAAACAAAATATTATTTTTATATTTTGTTTAAAAAAATTTTTTTAACATGTTTTTTTATTTTTTTTTTAAAAATCAAAAGAAAAAGATCAAAAGGGATCGAGTAATAAAATCAAACAAATCATAGTAATATTTATAATTTGAAATTTGATTAATCTATTTTAATTTATTTTAAAAATCATTAAATAAATAAATGTTTTCTTTATTCAAATCATTTAAAAATCGTTTTAAATGTCATTTTGGATGTTATTATAAAATTTATTATTTAGATAAACAAGAACGTATATATATATTTAAGAATTTTATTTTAGAGAAAAAAAATATTCCAATAGTTAGGTCGAATCTATATCTAAACTTTCCAACCTAGGAATGCTATTTGATGATTTGGCAATGTGATGGACTTTGGATTTGAATAGGGATTATAAAAGTGAATCCTTGATTTGCAATTCGACTTTCGAATAGTTGGCTGTTGATAGTACTTTCGAATAACCAAGCGAATTAAATTTAAATTTGGAGTCTCAATGTAGTAAGAGTCTGGAAAGTGGAATGGGTCTTTAGAAAGTTTTGGGATATCAATAGAACTCTTTGTATTGAAATCTTTAGGTGAAGCCGGATATTCAATCTCGTTTTGGAGAATCCTAGGCATGGTCTCGTCTTGGCTTTTGATGGTAATGTAAGAGAATGCCAATTGTCCTTCGAAAGGAGATGGAGTATCACGTGCACCCAAATGGAATACTTTGGTTACTCCTGTTCTCGTGTAGGTTGTGTTTTTGCAAACTCTTGACCATTCTTTATTCTCATCTCTCTCTTTTATATTTTTAAAAGATTTAATAATCACAACAAACTTATCTAAATCTGAAACCAAATTTGTTAATAGGTGTTGAAGAATAAATTAAGTTTGAATTTAGATTTTAAATACCAATGTTATTATTAGCTATATCTTCTTTTTCGTAAACATTGATATTCTCAATGTGAGTCCCTTCAAACTCTAATTGAAAATGACTTTGGATTCCACCTGATGAGATCTGGTATATAAAATTTACTTTAGCTCTTAAATATCGATCTTCCATTTGATAGAAAAAGAATAATTGTAATAAATAGAACAATTTAATATTTTTTAAGTTTGATTGTTTCTATTAAATACTATTGATTAAATTGAAACAAAGTTGAGTTTAATTTTTTCAATATAAAACAAACCATACATTATAAACTTTCAACATCACAATAATTAATTGGTTGATTTGATTATTAATGTGCAGTATCTATCAGATGTGATAAACTTAAATTTTTATTCAACTATGAGTTGTTTCTATTTGCAAATTAATTTGTTAATGAATTCTATTGTGCTATTTGTGTAACTCACACAGTGTTGATTGATAGGATGTGGTTGTTGGTAATATACTCACTTTTATAAATTTGTTATTAACCGCTACATAAATGAATAGCATGATAGAACAACAATTTTTCGGAAAATAAAGGTGAAGGGTCATTTATATAATTGGTTGAAATTAATCACGATTTATATTTGGTGTAAACTATAAAAGCTATTTCTACTAAACTTTATGATATATAAGGAAACTTTTTAATCCTTCATAATAAATATAAATATATTAAATTAAATAGAAATAATTTTAAAGTGTACAATGACAAAATAATAGAAAAGAACAAGGAAATTTTATTAACTAAGAAAATAAAAATTGAGACTCTCCATAATTAAAACTCACTTTTTCCTATATATTTATATGAATTAGGAAAAAGTGAGTTAATAATAATTTTATAAAGATTCATTTTTTTTTGATAAGACATTTCAAAAAAAATAATAAAAATATTTTTAATTTGATCTAATAATGAATGAATTCTTCATTCTTTAAAAAAAATTATTTTTTGTTTTTGTTTTTGCTCTCAATAGAAAAATTGATTTACACCTCAAACATTTGCAAAAAGTTGATTTATTTGGTTTGAAAAAAGGGGTGAAACAATTTTTTTTTGTTGCTTTTTACACAAAAAAATATTGAAAATCCAATCACAAAAAATCTCAAAACATTTTTTTATTTTTATTTTCAATGTTGTTGTTAAACTAAAAACTGCTAGAACCAATTTTGGTATCGGTGTGGCACAATCGAATAATAATAATTATCCAACAACAAATTTTTTTGATAAATGAAATAGGTGCAATGAGATTAGCATCTTTGGGTGACCATTCAAATAAATCTGAAAAGATTTAAAATAAACTCTTTTTTTTTTGAACACCTACAAACAAATATAATTGTTTACTTAGAGTACTTTGACATAACATTGTTTAATTCCATTCAATGACAGATGGAAAAAATTACAATTTTTTTAATTTGCTTCTGTTTTTCCATTACATTTTGCTTTGGTTGTTTTCAATTAATTGAAAAAAAAAAGAATAATAATAATTAATATTATTATATAAATGACCAGATATAATATAAAATATTATTAATGAAGTCTAGATTTAACTTTTAGTACATGCATATATTAATAAAGATATCTTTTTTCACTAAAATAAAAAATTCAATTTTCGTTCGTTTTTTTTTTTTTTTAACCAAAACAATTTTATTAATTTTATTTATTTTTTCATTCGTTTTTTTTTATTGATTATTATTTTTATTTGTTTTTTTATTGAAATTTAGATTTTAGATAACAAGATATATTGATTATCCAATAAACTACTTGTTCTATTATACTATTTTTTAAGAAAACGAAACAACGAAAATGGTAGGAACAAGTAAATCAGATAAAGTATTTTCTCAAAAGAAAGGTGCAGCTGCATCTTCCTTTGGAAAACCACAGCAACAACAACAACAACAACATACACCATCAGTAAAGATTGTAAACCCATTCGATAGAAAGACAAATCGTGTTAAGCATTCTGTTTTAGGAAAGAAGGTTGTTGGTACCTCTGGTAACAGAGGTCAATCAAGATATAATGACATCGAAAGAGTACGTACATATTACTATAATGTTGTCAAACATTGCAATAAAATTAACTATATATTATTATTAATTAAATAAAACAAACAGAGAAAGAAAACATTGTTAGTAGAGTTAAACCAATCCAAAAAGAGTAATCAATTCTTGGATCAAAGAATTGCAGAGAATGATCCAACCATGTCAGAGGAAGATAAGATGTTAGCAAGATATCAAAAGGAAAAAATGGTATGATAGAATAGATCGATCAATCAACAAAACACACAACACAACATCAAATCAAAAAAAAAGAAAAAAAATTAATAATACTTTTATTTTTATTGTTAATTATAGAAAAAGAATTTATATAATTTGAATGACGATGATGATCAATTGATACAAGGTGGATTGGGTGATCATTTGGCAGATGATTACGTTGCCGATGAGGACGACGAGTTGAGAGAGGAGGAGAGAATGTCTGGTGGTAGAAGAAGAAACATCTATGAACAGGACGAAGAGCGTGACGAGAACGGTGAGCCAATCAAGAAGACCAGAGAAGAGGTGTTCCAAGAGATCATCGAAAAGTCAAAGGCAGGTAGAGCTGAACGTGCCAAGGAGAAGATGCTCAAGGAAGACATCACCAGAGAGTTGGACCAGGAGTTTGACGAGATCAGAAGTGGCAGCATGTTGATGATGCGTGGAAAAGACGATCCGCTACTTTCGCTATTCCCAACCAGTGAAGAGGAGCAAAAGAGACAGCAACAACAAAAGGAAAAGGAAAATAATAAAGATCAACAACAAAAGGAGAAAGAGAAGCAACAGCCAGCTCAGCAAAATGAAGATGATTTCGATAATTTGGTTTTGGAGATGGCAAATGAAGCGAGAGCTAAAGCTACCGATAGAACAAAGACACCTGAGGAAGTCATGAAGGAGGAGAAGGAGAGACTCGATAAGTTGGAAGAGAATCGTTTGAAGAGAATGCGTGGTGAGATCGTCGAAGAAGATGATGAGTCCGCCAAGAAAATGACAAGATACGAAAAGAGACAAAAGAAATTGAAGAAAGACAAGACCAACTTACCATCGAGACCAACCGCCGACGACCTCAACGATGATGACTTTGCATTGGATGATCCATTGGGTAATAAGGATGCTCCATGGTATGATTTCAAAGAGAATGGTGAAGGTGAAGAAGATGGTGAAGATGAAGATGAAGATGAAGAATCAGAGGATGGTGATCAAGATGATGATGAAGAGTTAGACGGTGAAGATGATGATGAAGATGAAGAAGGTGTAGAAGAAGAAGAAGATGACGATGATGAAGAATCAGAGGATGAAGACGATATTGAAGCCAGTAGAATTGAAGCAGAGATTAGAAAGATTAACTCTCAAAAGAAAGCATCCGAAGAGATTCCATTCACTTTCGACGTTCCAAAGTCAATCGATGAGTTGAATCAATGGTTAGCCGGACGTACACAAGAAGAGAAGAATCTCATTTATACACGTATCAGAGTTTGCAATCACGTCTCTCTCAAACCACAAAACAAAGAAAAGATGAAAGTTTACCTTCCTGTTTTATGGCGTCGTTTCGAGTTGATAGCTGCCAACAACAACAACAATAACAACGCTGAAAAAGATAGTAGTAGTCTCGATTGGTTAGAGTTGGATCTTCTTGCAAAATATATTTTCGAAGTAGGAAAGGATGTACCTGATATTCTGGCTGCTACAGCACTTGCCATGATGCACAGTTGTTACAAACGTTGTTTGGCTCGTATCGAAAAGGTAACTGTTGCCGCTGCTGCCAACAACAACGCCACTACTACTACTACAGTTGTTTCGGCATGGCCATCAGTCTCTGAATTGCTAACAATGAAGTTGATTGCCAATGTATTCCCAACCTCTGATTTCCAACACCAAGTGGTAACACCAACCACCGTTGCAATGGCACACTTCCTCATCCAACTTCCAATCATCACACCACACGATATTCTTTCATCGATTTTCCTTTCAAATATTTTCAAATATGTAAGAACTTTTTCAACCAAATAATGATTATATTATATTCTAAATACTAATAATTATTGTTAAATATTGTTATTGTTATTATTATTATTATAGTATTTAGTTAGTGCTAATAAATATTCACCGGAAATAACATCGGTAGTTATTAGTTTGTTGTCATCATTTGCTTCACAACAAAAGACAGCAGCAGCAACAGCAACAGCACAGACAAAGACAAATAAGGATAGTGATCAATGGGCATCGTTCAACACAGGTATTCTTGTGCCAAACATGATGTTGAAAGACAAATGTTTGGCATTCGCTAACAAGAAGACATTGAAAAAGGTAACACCTGCCACTCAATTCGATTTCAACTATTTAATTAAATCAAAACAAGAGCAATCACAAAAGTATTTCGGAACTGATCAATTTAGGTATGTTTGTTTGTTTATCTATAATTATTAATATAATTGTTTTTATTAACCCTGTTTCAATTCATTCATTCATATTATAGAATTGATTTATTATATTTATTATTAAACTTTGTTGAATCATATGTTAAACAAATGATATTGTCAGAGAATACCGAATCATTACCATCTGTATTACAATTGTTTTTGAATCAATTGAATCAATTCGATAGTCAGTTATTCAATCAAGTACTTCAAGTATGTATTAAATCTAATATAATAATAATAATAGTTTTTAAAAAAAGATTAGTTAAATATAAATATACTTATTAACTTTATAAATTCAATAATGAATAGGATAAGTTGAAATTGGTTAAAGATTTAATTGGTGAAAAGAACAAGTCGATCGTTGAGAAGAGAGTACCGTTGACATTGTTGGTCGGTAAGCCAGTGGAGAAGAAGACATTCACACCCAGCTTCAGCAAAGAGTATCATGAACACGGTGACGATCCAGATGTCGTTAGACAGGAAGCAAGAAAGCTAAAGGCACTCCACAAGAAGGAGATGAAGGGTGCCATCAGAGAGTTGATCAAGGACAACAACTTTATCCAACAGGAGAAGACCAAGCAACGTATGGCCGAGCGTCAAGAGATCGAAATCAAACGTAAGAAGATCATGTCTGAACTCGAACAAGAGCAACACGAGCACAAACAATACAAGAAGATGAAAGATCGTCTCGATGGTAGAATTTAAATTAAAATTAAAAATAAAAATACATTTAAATAACAAAATTCAAAAAATAATCATTTTCCAAACCATTTATTTATAATAATAACTAATAATAATCATCATTGATTGTTTAATATAAATGTTACACTTAATCTATACCTTTTAAAATAAAATAGAAATGAAAGGAGATGAATAACAAAATTATATAATAATAAAAAATAATCATTTTGGGAAAATTCTAAAACAATCCATTAGAATAAATTAACACACATAAACACATATCACACCACTAAAAACTTTTGGAATAAATGTGGAGTGTTTCTAAACACGTGTGGTGTACAATGATAAATGTATACTATTCTCACTATCCTATCTCAAAATAAAAAGATAGATGTTTTATAATATATCATCAAAAAATTAATTATTTTTAAAAGAACACTCGTTAACAAGATTTTCATAAACTTTGACTTTTTATTCCCACTACCTAATAATTGAAAATTATCTGTGTGTTAATTCTTAATTATAAAGCAAATATGGAAGATATATATTTTTGGTAAGAATTAAAATTTAGTTTTTCCTATAGATGTTTCCATAACAACAACAAACACACCACATTTCAATATTTGTATATCACATATGAGATAGAAAGGATATTTTTGTCAACACAAATAAAGTCAAAGATATAGATAAAATCTTAATATATGAAAATTAAAATTTAAATTAATATATTCTCAGCTCTACTAGTAGTCTTGCCTAGATCTATTTATTTTTATTTTACGATTTTTTAATTATATATATCCATAGATCTACCTACTCAATATACATATTTCTAGTTTATACATAATTGCCCTGCAAATTATTAAAGTTGTGTTTATATTTTAAATTCAATAATATTTATTATAATGGTTTTTATAAGTCCATAAGCAGGGTGTTTCATTTATATATTCTATTTAAATTCATTGTTATTCTCTTTATATATTTCATTGGTGATATCCCCAACTCATTCTATACACAATCCACATCTATAAAGAGATATTTAAATTTTATCTAACCTTCAAACCCACTGATATTCAAATTCGAAACCCATCTTTATAAATCGTGATTTAATTTCATTTCATTTCTAAATATCAGAATTATTCCATTTCAAAATTCACAATTCACTTTAAATATATATTTATTATTTATTTATTTTTAAAACTTTTTTTTTCTTTTTAATAATATTTGTATAATAATTTAAAATATCTAAATAAATTTGTAATAATAATATATATTAAAAATGAATATAAAGTATTTAATATTTTTTATATTTATATTATTTAAAATTTCACAAGGAGCTAACTATGAACTTCCTTTAGAAATAACTTCAAAAGGGTAAGATAAATTGTGTTTTTAAAACAATTCATTTTTTAATAATTTTTTTTTTTGTAAACATTATTAGATCATTAAATGCAGTTCCAATTTCCGATAATTTAGTAGCAGTAAATAAAAAATCGAGAAATGTATTAGATATAAATATCGATAATGAGATTGCTGGTGATTTATATCAAATCAATACAAAGATTATCGTTGGAAATCATACTTTCACAGTCCAGGTAGATACTGGATCCTCTTTGATGGCCATTCCAATGGTCAATTGCAACACTTGCCACGACCGACCATCGTACGATCCAACACATTCTCAATACTCTAAAGTGGTCTCTTGCTTCAGTGAACACTGTTTGGGTTCTGGAAGTGCTCCACCCCAATGTAAGAACCGTGCAGAAGATGATTGTGACTTTGTCATCCTCTATGGTGATGGATCGCGTGTCTCTGGAAAGATCTACCAGGATGTAGTGAATCTCTCTGGTCTTTCCGGTATCGCCAACTTTGGAGCCAACCGAATTGAAACCGGTGACTTTGAATACCCAAGAGCCGACGGTATCGTAGGTTTCGGAAGATCATGCAAAACATGTGTACCAACTGTATTTGAATCTTTAGTACAAGCTCATGGACTTAAAAGTAAGTTAGCTATATCTATATAATATTATTGTTAGAGCTTTCAAAGAAGGTTTAGTTCTAACTTTTTGTTGTTTTCTATTTATAAATAGATATTTTTGCAATGTCAATGGATTATGAGGGTAGAGGTACACTCTCTTTGGGTGAATTGAATCCATCTAATCATATTGGTGAAATTCAATACACACCATTATTTGAAGACGGTCCTTTCTATAATATTAAGCCAACCAACTTCAAGGTTGACGACACTGTTATTCTTCCACGTCTCTTGGGACGTCAAGTAATTGTTGACAGCGGAAGCAGTGCTCTATCTTTGGCTAGTGGTGCCTACGATGCTCTCGTTCATCACTTTAGAAAGAACTATTGTCATGTTGCTGGAATTTGTGATTCTCCAAGTATTTTAGACGGTGTAAGTATAAAGATTTTAACTTTTTTATAATTTGACAATGAAATAATTATTTATTTTTAAACAATCTAAATCTAGTCAATTTGTTACAACTCTGCATCATCACTTGATTTACTTCCAACTATTTATCTTACTTTTGAAGGTGGTGTAAAGGTTGCAGTTCCACCAAAGAACTATTTGACCAAGGCACCTTTGACCAACGGTGCTAGTGGATACTGTTGGATGATCGATCGTGCAGATCCATCGACCACCATTCTTGGAGATGTATTCATGAGAGGATACTACACCGTTTTCGATAACGAAGAGAAGCGAATTGGATTCGCAGTCAATAGCAGAAATACTCCTGGGGCATTGGTAGGTTTTGACCAGGCAAATTCCTCTTTTAAATTATATCCATCGTTCTCCTTGCTCATCCTTTTAATTTCCTTTTTCTATTTTTTTCTATAGTCTGTAAAGATTGATCATTAAAACAATCTCATAATCATAAACTTTGGTATTTCAACTATTCTTTTATTATTTTTTCTCGTCTATCCCTTTCATTCATTCTCTTTCTTTTCCCCCCATTTCTTTTCCCATCATTCCAAAGCTTATTTCAAACTTCACAAATCTATAGAATATCCTTACCTTACATTTACTCTCTCATCATCGCTCTTTTCTATTCTTTAAATCCTCCATCCTCTTTTCTCATCATCATCATACAAATATAAAAGAATACCAATTGTTATCTTTATGTGTTTTGTTATATTATGCCTCCCCATTCGATTGTATCCTGTACAAACCTATCAATCAAATCTGCTTGTTTTTTTAGTTTGGGTATGTTTAGTTTTACTCTTTTTTAGTAAATATTTAAAATATATTAATCAATCATATCAAATTTATTTCTTTTGCCTTTATATATATATCTCATTTTTTTTATTATTATTCCTTTTATTCAACTTTAAGTGGTTGTTAAAAGAACAAAATAAACCAAAAAAATATTTATAGAATTAATTTTATTCTGGTGTTAAAATTTAAATTATTTGATTTTATCTTTGCTTAAAAAACCATTGAAATTGACAATAATTGGTTGAAAGATAATAAAAAAACCGTCAAACAGCTAAAAAAGATATATTTTTAAAATAAAAAAAACCTTGATATTTTTGTTTTTTTTTAAAAAAACTATTTTCATGGTTACTGGGTGTTTATACATCTCAAAATTAAAACAGCCTAAATGGTTTAAAAAAATAAAAACTAAATATTTTAGTTTAACTACCAATTTTGGCGAAAATAAATGATTTTCTTTAAAATATCAAAAGTCATGATTAAATTTTATCCAAAAATGTTCCTTAAATTATTGTAATATTAAATTTTCTTTTTTTAGACCCAATTGGCACAATAATCTTACCACTAAGTTTTGAGAAAAACAAAAAAGGTTAAAATTCAAGGTGTCAACAATCAAAAAACATATTGATTTTTAACAACCAAACATCAAACCCCAAGAAAAACCTTACAAAAAACAGGATCAACAATATTGTCCTTCAGATGAATCAGATTTGTTCTTTCTATTGTTACCACAAAATAAAAAAACGATTATAAAACAAAATAATTAACAAATTTACATTCTTGTTTATTTTAATTGGAAATCATCCAATGAGATTTATTAGTTGTCTATTTGGGAAAATATAATACTATTAATCCAAAATATTTATTTCTAAGACTATTTGTTTATTTTTTAACTTTCTTTATTTATATAAAATATATAAATTGATTAGAATATATTATTATTATCAATTTTAGTAACTGTATCTTATAATTTTAGTAAGTATATCAAACTCAATAGAAGTGAAGATTTTTTAGAATCCAATTCATTATGTTTTATTCAAAGAACAAAAAAAAAACAAATCCTTTTTTTTTTTCTATTAATTTTTATTGTTTTTGTTTCAAATCTTATAATCTATATAATATTTAAGTTCTATTTTATATAATGTCTGAAATCTCTTCGGAAAAATAAAATCTTTATTAAACAATCTACATTAATAACATTACATTTTACAATCATTAAAATATACAATTTTAATTGATTCCCATTATTTATAATCATCAGCTATGAATGACAACATTTAGCATTATCAGATAATATTTTATTATGTTTTAAAATTAATCATTTAAAGTAACAAAAAACAAACAACTAAAATAGTATCAATAACATCATCCTCTTTATGATATACTTTCCATTTTGGGTAAATAGAATAGTTAGTATTGTAATTTCTAGTCGCTATCAATCTACTTGATAAATAGAATTTAACATAAAAAGTAGTAAATTGAATTTAAATTATATTCTGCCTACCTTGTATTTGTGGTTCAACTTGAATAAAAAAAGGATAAAATTTTATTGTTTTATTATAAAAAGTGGTGCACTTGAATTACATTGATCGTATCACAATAAATAAACTCAATATTTTAATAATAAAATCATATACTTCATTCAACATATTATAAATAGTTTGTTTGGTTTAATGGCAAGTTGTAAATCTACAACGAACTATAAAAACAACAATAAAAAAATCATAGTAAAAAAAAGAAAAATATCAAAACAAAAAAAATCATAACAAAAGTACTTGATTAACATGACATAATCAATATATCTTTTCATTCTTTCTTTCCAAACCTCATTTTCCTAATGTGTTTCCCTAAAATGTGGTGGTGAGTAAGTTAAGACAAGTTGTGGTGTGGGGAAAATTAAATTTAAATTAATCTAACCAGTAACACACAGATTTGTTTTTGTTTTTTTTTTTTTTTTT